TTTCAGTACTCCAGAAATATAATGATAATATCTATGTAATGATGGATCCACAACGTTTTAAAAAAGCTAAGTTTGAGGATGAATTAAGAATTGATAATGCCTTAATTTATAATTTCCAACACTACTATTACCGTGGTCTTGGGAATCAGGTGATCTGCTATGGATGTGGACTCAATCACGAAACCCACAATATAGAATGTCCCAACTACAGATTTACTATGGGACTCCTTATTCCATATGTCTTGAGTTCCTCCAAAAAGTTACTTAATTATATTAATCAGGATAATATAGAAAGGGCTATAGAACTAAGAAATATAGTAGTTAATTATGTACATCAGGAGCTGTTTAGAGCCAAAATGAAGAGCTGTGTATTACTAAGATTCAACAAACAGTTGAACTTAACTCATCATAATATCCCTTTTCAAGAATTAAGTCAAGATTTGTATAATCTATTGTATACCCCCAAGCCAAATAATAGGCTTGGGGCTGATACAACTAAAAGGAGAAACTTCCTGACAACACTTAAAGTGATTAATGGTTGGAGGGGAGTAAGTAGTAAGGTAGGATGGCTGATGGACAACAATGTCAAAGAGGAAAAAATGAAACAATTAGAAGATAGATTAAGACAGAAACAAACTAAAGGAGCATGCAAAAGATGCCACTTGATGCATCAAGGTGAATGCATGATGGAACAGTTACTAAGTTTCATTCTTTTGACTGGCTATTACAATATAGACTTGTGTTTTATTACCTTATCTAAGATGTTTAGGAATCAAGAAATAATATGGATACTTCACAGCTACGATGATTTTCTTAAAGTTATATTAAGTGAATATCGAGGGACATATGGGTATATGTACTTCATATATATAATGATCCAACAAGTGAAAGAAGAGGAAACCAGCATAATGCATTACCATTTGGATAAGAAGACTAAAATGGTATTAAAGTAAGTATAAAATTATAGTTATATATGTATGTAAAATTCTTTCTAGTATAAATTTTAACATTACAATATATTTCTAACTAACTTGACTTCACTTCTTCCATTTAGAATCATTACTTTCTCTTAATCATTACTTATACAAGTTAAATATATTTTCTACTATACTCAATAAAAGTTATTGCTAGCTTACTGCTACTTCCAATAGTATATTTTATTACTTTCCCAATTAAAGATTACTATCCATTAGACTCTTGTTCTAATTCATATCACTAATAAACACTACTTTTAGTTAGACTTGTAAAATAAGCGCTACTTACTTCTACATTTTTAACTATATCATATACCACTGATACGTCAGCTAATACTATTGAAGTTATTTCTAATTCCAATTGGGTACCTCCAATATCCTTGAATAACACTTATATTTAAAGTATCATTAAGTTACCTTCAGTATAACCTCTAAAACTATACTTATAATATCTAATAGACATTCTATATTACTCTTTAATTACTTAATTACTATTTCCATATGATGATATTTCTAATTAATTTGTTCTACCTTCCATCCTACAGTTCCTTTACTTTAATTAAAGTCACCTTAAATACAACTATTATGTGACAACAATATCTATATTTATTAAATTCTATTAGCTTTCCGATAGTTAGAACAAGATTACTTATGTTACTACTACATTTAACAACACTCATTAATTACTACTATTTAAACCAATTCTATCTTCAGTGCTAACTTAGCTTGACTTGCTATTGTTAAATTTCTAGTAAATTCTACTACTTAATTCTAAATTGTATTAGTTCTATCTAAATAATTTCAAATTAACATCTAAACTACATTATGTTCCAAACTAACTTCTAAAGCGCATTAAGTTCCAAACTAATGTCTAAATTACATTATGTTCCAAACTAATATCTAAACTACATTATGTTCCAAACTTACTTCTAAAGCGCATTAAGTTCCAAACTAATGTCTAAATTACATTATGTTCCAAACTAATATCTAAACTACATTACGTTCCAATGTTACTACTTTAGCAATTGTACATAGTGCCACTTATCTAACTCTAATTACTATACTTTAAAATATAAATTTAATTTTCTGCTCACTAAAAAATTACAGCTAACAATTTCTACGCACGACCAAAAATTCAAATCTACATTAATCATAAATTTATTACAAACTAGAGAAGAGCATAAAATGTGAACCAAATCATTTATTAAAATAATTATACATATATAACTTATATAATTACATTCTACATCTTTTGAAATAACTTCCAAAGAAAAAGATGATCTTTCTATATTAAATACAACCCTTAATATACAAAAATACCAAATTTACCAACAATCAACACCAGCAAACTATACCATTAAAACTTAGAGTGCTAAACAAGTGCACCGAGTGACCAAACTCAATAGCTACCTAACCTTACCAAAACCAGCTTAAAAGTCATTGAATTGCCTTGACTGGACAATATTATAGTAATTACTTTAAAACTCTTGATTATTATATTACTGATCCACAAATAGTAATAAATCACCTTAAACAAGTGCACCTAGTGACCAAAAGCAATAGCTACCGAACCTTACCAAAACCAGCTTAAAAGTCATTGAATTGCCTTATCTGGATAATATTACACTAATTACTTTATAACTCTTGACCATTAAACTACTGCTCCACAAATAGTAATAAATCACCTTCTGAAACAAGTGTACCTAGTGACCCAAGTCCATACTAAACGAATCTTATCAAAACCAGCTTAAAAGTCATTGAATTGCAATGGCTGTATAACATTATAGTAATTAATATATTAATCATAATGAGAAATACAATGATGTCTAATTAGTGAATCCGTAACAATTGAAAGTCATACTCAAATGGATCGTGGTGAAACTATAACCAAAATAACATATGTACTTTAAAAACCATTAAAATGTTGCATATCAATAATAGTGTAGTTTACTTATGTTGTTAATAAACATTTACATAGCTCACTTCATAAAAATTTCTGGTCAATCTAAATTATACTAGACTATTTTTTTAGTACGGCATATAAACGACTCAACTTGCACCCTTAACTATGGGAAAATCAAAATGCACCCAAGTTCTGTCCTGCGAGGTGAAAATTGATTTTTTACATAGTAAATCTGCTCTCCTGCACACAGGCTAATATCTATACTAGCTGAAAAATTAAATGATCCCCACTATCTAAATTGTATAATACCCAATTAAGCAATTTGGCGCCTAGAACAGTTCATTTAAAATATATCTTTATCTTTTAACAAAAATTATTACTTTTACCAGTTATCATCCTACAAGTGTACACAAATCGGTTTATATGTTCGGTTTATAAGAAGATTATTGATGGTTTTTCGAAAGCTTGGCAATATTATTCATGTACATTTGGAACAATGATTTTAGCTTTAATGTTTCATTCTACATGTGATATCTTCTGTTCATAAGAAAATTTAAACTTTGATTGTACTCGCTAGAAAGAAATCCTGTTTACGAATCTTTTCAGATGTGATAGCTTAGGATATATGATCTTGATACTATCATTGATTGATGTACTTTTGAATGTTGATGTACTGGCTTCAGTTACTTCAGTTTTCGTGGAATCTATGTTTATTCACAGAGAATGCTTGTTATCAAGCTGGTATTTTGGTCCTTTATGGCACTTTTATACACTTTTATACTTTGATAGAGAGATCTACAGAATAATAAAATTTAACAGTAAACCCTAACCTGAGGATTTCAAGAAGGCTTAAATCGATAATCTCACCAAGAGAAATAGTCATTAGCAGTGAGGTACGATACTGATGAATACTTACTATTGGAAACTACAGGTTGAATTTATGCTGAATAAAAATAAGAAAGCATTTTACTGTATCGATATTTGTCACCTGCAGGTATATAAGTTTCTATTTACACTTTCTCATTACTTGTTGATTCAATCAATCTATCACTTAACTGTTAAATATAAAAGTTTCCCTATCATTAGCATAGAAGTTACTCTAAGAGACTGAAGCTTTGATGTATATTATAGCAGCTTTTAGATTGCTATGTTAGATTAGTCTGACTATAATTAGTTGAAGCTAGAGTGGAGCAATATTTTCAAAAGGGGCTGCATAAATCTTTTGCATTTAAGAAGGGGGATAGATGTACAGAACAAGTTTTGTGAGGTATTTTTTCTCTCTAATAGCATGTGCAGACCAAAAATTGGGACGTCGTCTATCATTTTTCTTGGCTTATCGCTTATAAACCATGTCATATTTACAGTATTTTCCACAAGTCCGCAAGTGGCGTTAATGAGTAGGTTCAAGGCAGGCATGAAGTTTTCTTTCCAATTTGCAAAAGTTGTGGCCCGCTATAAAGGAGTGGATTTTGCCTGTGACTCAGATAGTTAAGATCACAAGCAACACAGTTACAGGATCAATATATTTCAGTTTAGAGGTCGTAGTTGCTTTTAAACACATTCACCTTTGAAATTCTGAATATAATTTTACAATATAAGATATAATTAGTATTAAGCAGTATAAATTAACAATTTTAGCATTTGATATTGGAAAATAAGTCATAAAAACATTGTAGAATGAATTTCTATTACTTACCCGTACCTAACCCAAATATTTATTCAAATTTAGGGTTCTGGTCTATGCAATATTCAAATTTAGCTACAGTAAAAAGTTTCACTAATTTAAACAAATTATTTACGGATGAAATAAGGTTAACAGCAGTCATAATTGTGGAAATAATTGACGAAAAAACTAATCATAATAGTCCATTGGCTTATACGATGAAACATTAGGGCGATTATTTGGAATATATTATTTCGTAAATATTAGACCATTTTTGATTATAGCTTTGGTAATAAGTACGATCTACAGTATTTGGTAAAATGAAAAGAAAAAAACTCTTGATTTAATGCTTTTTAGAATGTAATATCTGTTTTCTCATATCCCATCCTGAAATTTAAAGTCTAGTTGTAGTTTACTATTCTTCTAAGAAATCACAATCAAAAAATTGAAAATCTTGTTTCCTACGAATGAGTTTAGACATTAATCAATTTTACAGATTACAGAACTTATGGTTGTCAATTTATTCTGTATATTAAACTACACAGCAATCTCAAAATAAAGAACCACATAATCAAAAAATCACCATATTGCTACGGAAAAAAAAAGCGGTTAAACTCCAACAAGATGTGTTGAAGAAACATTTGTAGCATTTTCTGCATGTTCACTTGCCAATTTCTCATCAGGAGTAGAAAATTTTTTTAAGGTGACAGTACCATCATCTCCAAAAACTCTAGCTACCTCTTCTAAAGTACAACCAAAAGTTTCAACGTAGAATAAATAGACCATAACTAATTCAAATGCAAGAATGCAACAATAGACAATATAATACTTCCATTCAATAGCTTGCATAGCGACGGGATTAACAAAACCATTATAAAGTAAAATTATGTTTTGGAAAACTTGAAACAAATTCATACCTTTTGCTCTGTGTGAATATGGTAAAATTTCCGTAACATATAGATATGGTAATCCATTGGCTCCAAAATCGTAAGCTAAGTAGTAAAGAAAAATCATAGCGAGAACACCATTTGCCAAAGACTTCTGTTCAAAATTTCTCTTCTGATTTATAGCAGAAAGGGCAGTCCAGATAATATAAGTAATCAACATACCAGTAATACAAACTAAGAACACTGTTCTTCTCTTAAATTTATATATTATGGAGGCTGAGAATATTGCGATAACCAAATTATAGATCATCAAACATCCATTAAGCTGCAATTGTTGTTTTGTACCTGTGATACCAATGGAGTCTAAAACTTTATTCAAGTAATAAGAGACTAACCCATTACCAGAAAGTTGCATAATAAAGGCAGTAAAGAAAGTTAAAAACAATCTTTTTCTAAAGGAAGGAATAGAAACAAAATCAACGTATCTTGAACTTGAATAAATCTTTTCTAATTCTAAAGCTGCTTCAATTTCCTTTATTTCAAATTCCACAAATCTATAGGCTCTCTCATCTTCATCTGCACCAGTGTGGTAGACGTGTAAAACATGTCTTGCTTTTTCAATTTTGCCTTTTGATATTAAATATCTAGGAGATTCTGGAACCATAAAAAAAAATACAACTTGGACTAATGGTAAAAAGCCTTGTAAGTAGGAAGGAACCTTCCAAGAGTAAGCTCCTACAATATTTCTGGTACCATAAGTAACCCAAGCAGCTATGATAGCTCCGAAATACCATAATGCATTATAACATGATGTGCAAGTCGCTCTGTAGCTGGGATAAGACAATTCAGCAATTAAATTTGGAGCGGAAACAACAGAAATTCCAAATCCAAAGCCAAGAATTATTCTGGATATTAAAAAGAACGCATAATTATAAGACGCACCCTGTAAAATAGCCCCAATAATTGTAATACTAGATCCACAAATTATACAATTTTTTCTACCAAATTTATCAGAAACAAACGAAGCGAAAGGAAAACTGCAAATGACTCCAAAAGTTGTTCCATTGGAAAGTGCCCCTAAAATAGAACCTTCTGGATATCCCATATGTTTATTCCATGTTTCTAAAGCTTGAAAACCATTTAACATTGAACTATCATATCCATTGTTGGTAGATGTCAATGTGATTAAGAAAATGTAAAAATGTAACCAACGGAAGTGTGAATATTTCCACCACGGTTTGTCAAGGTATATGTAATTCTGAATATCATCATTATTTAAGTAATTTTGTTGTAACTCAATCTGATCTGAGATTGATCCCGAATCAGTTTGCTCTTTGTTAATAACCTGCTTCACGTCTACCATGGAAAATGTTAAAATTAAAGATGGTTTATCACTAGATTTATTGATATTGCTTATATATCAATCTCCAATATCAAATTAATTATTGGACTATGGTAGTAATGTAATGAAACTAAAATTAATTGGCAACTTCTAAACTGAATTAGGAGAAATTTTGGTTTATTTATACAAAAGAATTACTGGGGTTGGGAGACATCAGACAATCAAATCAATTTGCAGCCTTGATCTTTAACCCAACCAAATTTTAAAGCCCTAATTATTATTTCAATGATCATTACTTATTTTTGTAATTTACTAAATGCATATAGTCTTATTTTGGCTAAGTTTCCTTCTACCCCACAATATTGCAGCATTTTCAACTTTAAATAATTTTTTTGACGCTATGTGCCTTCCCTCGGAAGAACTACCCTGTCAAGAAGGGTAAATACAAAACAAATTACCAGATCATTGTCAGCAGTGGTAACAAAATCACGAGTTATGCTAGGGTTGTAGCCATTTGAGACACTTTTGAAGAATTAATCCCCACCATGAATAAAAAATATCTTCCAAGGAAAAATAATTTTACTTATCTTGATTGTACGAATATTGTTGAAGTATTTATCCATGGTCTACGAATCCCGTGTAACTTTTACTTTGTTTAATAAAGCTTAGGGACATCAACCGTTGAATGGTATTTGTTAAATTGGGTTAAGTATTAGAAGTTTCGTATTAGTCTCTACTTGTATAGTTCAAATGTGACTTCTATGTAACATAAATAACAACATAAGGTCACATTCGTAAAGTGATGCGGGTTATAATGCAACCTCTCCGGAGGGGTATGAAACGGAACAAAAGCAGCGCAATGTGTCATTCTCTGTCCACAAATCAGACTAAAAATTTTTTTTTCTATACTCGGTATTTTTCCCGCGTTTACTGAGAGAAAACAATGTGACAGGTAAAAGTTTCCGCTGTTTAGATTTTCCCCCGGATTTCTGCTTTGCATTTCCTAAAACAGTACAATGCACCGCACTTGCGGAGAATTTTAGCGATAATTAGAAAATAATTTAACACATTCATAATAATTTAAGTCAGATCTATCACCCAATCTCACAAACTTTAATCTGTCGTAAAAAAGTTCATGAATCACTCGGTGGTATAAACCAGCTTATCACAAGGAATTGTTTAAGGGTATTTCCAGAAGAGAATATAGCATGTCGACTGGATTTTTGAAAGTACAAGGTACTAAAATTCTTGATGCTAATAGCAACAGTGTTGTTCTAAAAGGAACTGCAATTGGTGGCCATTTAAACATGGAAAATTTCATAACTGGTTTCCCAGGTCATGAAACTGAACATAAGAATGTCATTAAAGAAAAAATAGGAGAAGAAAAGTACCAGTACTTCTTTGATAAATTCTACGAATATTTTTGGACAGAAAAGGATGCAGAGTTCTACAAAAATGAGTTGGGGTTCAACTGTTTAAGGATACCATTCAATTACAGACATTTCATTGACGATGATGGAGATATGTTCAAGATATTGCCGAAAGGTTTTGAAAGATTAGATAGAATAATCGATATTTGTTCAAAATATGGTGTCTATACGATATTAGATTTGCATTCAACCCCAGGTGGACAGAATCAAGGATGGCATGCTGATTCTGGAATCCATAAATCGATCTTTTGGGATTTTAAAATATTTCAGGACGTAATTATCAATTTATGGATTGAACTTGCTAAGCATTATAAGGATAATATATGGGTTGCTGGATACAATCCATTAAATGAACCCGCAGTTTCCGATCATTCCAAGCTAGTTAACTTTTATATTAGATTGGATAAAGCCGTCAGAATGGTTGATTCGAACCATATCTTCTTCATTGATGGAAATACGTATTCGATGGATTTCACGAAATTCCCACCACCCTCTGAATTCATTTCAAATGCTGTCTATTCAATTCATGACTATTCTACATATGGATTCCCGAATATTGAAACGAGTTTATATCTGAGCACACAAGAGGAAACTTTAAAATTAAAGAGGCAATATAATAGGAAAATTGAATATCATAAGAAATATAATGTTCCAGTATGGAATGGTGAATTTGGGCCTGTTTATGCTTCTCGTGTCAGAGGTGATAAAAACCCAGAAATAGTGAATAAATCTCGTTATCAAGTTTTAAAAGATCAATTGGAAGTCTATAAAGTTGGTGATCCATCTGGTGATGAAGATCCAATATCATGGTCTATCTGGTTATATAAAGATATTGGTTATCAAGGTTTAACTTACGTTTCCCCAAAATCCAAGTGGTTTCAAGTTTTTGGTGACTTTCTTATTAAGAAGAAGAGGTTAGGTTTAGATAAATGGGGAAATGACATTGACCCTGAGTACAACCGGTTGTATCAAAAGTTGGTTTCTCACATTCAGCTGAATGTTCCAGAAAAATATCATAAAGTATTATATCCTCATACATGGACTATTAAGGATTATGTTTTCAGGGTTACTAAAGATATGCTTTTCTCTCAATATGCTCAACACGAATATGCAGATTTATTCGTAGGATTGAGCTTTGAAGAATTGGATGAGTTGGCCTCTTCTTTCAAGTTTGAGAATATTGAGCAGCGAGAGGAATTGAACTCAATTTTAAAAACTTATTAATTAATTCTTCCAATGTATAGATTCTAAATTAAGAAATTTTATAGATATGAACATGAACTCGTTATCTCAGAATCGCTAATATAAATCAGTATCTACCAATTCTCCCCGACAAGTGCTTATATAAGGAAACGATTAAATTGCAAGATTTTATTTGACTAATCGAAATTTCACATATATTACTTTAAAAATAGTGTAACATGATGAAATGTGTCTTTCTCGTATCGTAATTCATTATTTTGTATCTCGATTGCTTCAATTTCAATGGTGTAGGTATTATAGGTAGCAGATATATTTACATAACTCTAATAAATCCGTATATAAGTGCCTTAAACAATAAAAGCATTTAAATGGGGAAACTACCATTGTCTTAGAAGGCTAAAAAATAAGTAATTATAAGTAACTATTATCTATCCCGAGAGGCTTAGATGAGGTTTGAAAATGACGGAAAATATCTCTCTCCACTTTTTAGATTTTTGTGGTTTAGATTCAGATTCAGATTCAGATTCAGATTCAGGTATCTCTTCGTGATATATTATCCAGCGTCTTCGTAAGTCTCGCCACTACAACGAAATGAGGAATGGAGGGGGGTTTCTTTCATTAATAATTACACATTCATAATTTACGAAATTAGAATATACTTAGTAATATCCTCTAACGGATAAACTTCCAGTTAGTTGAATTAACTTAGCATCTATTAGACCTTGACGTTTAACTTCGTTCCTACAATTGAAACTCTACTTAAAGTCCAAAATGATGTCCCAATAACTGCTAAAGTCCCAACAAATATGACGAAATGATTATAATTGGTTGTACTTCCTTGGCCAATGATCGCACTCGCAATTGGAACTCCAAATAAGTTTCCGATACTTAAAATAGCGTTCAATAAACCATATTTGGAACCTATTTCACTCACTGGTGTTATTTGTGATAAACAAGCAGGAAGTAAACTTAAGATTGAACCCAGACTAAAGCCTGCCATAGTGGCAAATACTAATAAAATCTTGTAGCTTGATCCAAAAGGTAACCACAAAATAAGAATACAAATTGAATAGAATGTCAACATCAATATGTTGACATTAAATCTACCGATATGGTCAGAAATGTAACCTGGTACCCAACGGCCCAAGATTCCTGCAGCATTCCAAACAGTTAATAACAACAAAGAGTTAGATTCTGATACACCATGAGAAATGGCATACGTTGCAAAATAAGTTAGCACTAAGACTAATGATAATTCTGCAAAGAATGCTCCAGCAATAAGGTAGATATATTTTGCATCGTTCAATTTCCAATAAGATAATTTCTTTAACCTACTAGTCATTTTATCCCACTTCGTATCAAACTCGTCTGACGTGTTGTGTGACTCTCTCTTAAATCTTCCTTTCACCAAAAGTATTGAGATTAACATACATCCTAAACATGTAAATGCAAAAATTCTCATTGCCCATACATAACCATATACAGAATAAGTATATCTCAACATTAATGGAAACACTAATCCACCGACCGATCCTCCGCTAGTTGCAATGCCCGTATAATTACCTCTTTTCTTCAAAAACCAGTGACTGATTACTCCTATAAGAGGTGTCATTCCTAATCCATTACCAATCCCTAAGCAAATAAAACTTAAAATAAAATGATAAACCTTCGTGCTATTGGCTGACAGCATTAACCCTACAAATACAAAGCAAGTGGAGGCAATTAATAGTTCTAGTGGACCCTTTCTATCAAATATAGGACCAACTACCAACCCTAAAGCATAAGCTAATGATAAAAAGATGGAGAAAATCCACGATATGGAAGAAGCTTTAACTAAAGCCAATTGATGTGTTGAAACATAGGCCTGAATTGCACCAATAGAGTTTATAATTCCTAGATTTACAATTAAACCTAAAAATGATCCCACTATAACTGAGTAAGCCTTGAGACCACCGTCAGGATAGTTAACTTCGTCATCAACCTCCTGCTCAGCTTGAAGATCATTTTGTCCTATCTCATTTGATAAGGATAAGGTTGCAATTGGACTATCAGAACTCTCTGAAAACAGTTCTACATCATTTCTGTTCCTATTAGTTAGCTCTATCAGGTGAGTAGACGACATTTATGTATTCAATCACTTGATAATTTGACTATTACAAATCGTAAGGGTAGTATAAATAAATTAAATGAGTCAGATCGCTTAATCTCCACTTTTCAATTTTTCAGACAAATGTCGCAAAAGTGAATATTGGCTAACTTTCTATCTAGTTTACTAATGTGAATTATACAACGTCACGTTATAATGTAATAAACACACAGTTTAATTAAGCTGGTTATTTATCAGATTTAGTATTCTAGCAGCCAATAAGTTTTAACTGTAATATTTTTGCCTTAATACAATAAAAAGAACATGTTAATGGAAACAAAATCTAGACCTGCTATTAAACAAACAATATTTAAGACGTTAAAATAACCATTTAGTGATGGTATTCACATGACCCAAGATAATCAATTAATTTAATGTCTATATTAAATTAAAATAATTTCATCGTAGGTTGTTTGGTTGACTTGATATTCTAATTTATCTTATACTGCCTAGCTGCAAAATATATAGTGAGAATTGAGGCATCGCGAAAATAGAAAATAAAAAAAATTATGTGGAGCTTCATAAGGTAAGTTCATCAGACAAGAACATCAGTTAACATGGTATCCTTTTCGTGTGAAGTGTGTAACGACACTGTTGTGAAGAAAAAGCTTGATCAACATAGCCAAAGATGTTATGGTGCATATTATACTTGTATCGATTGTTCAACTACTTTTGAAGGTACATCGTATCGTCAACATACCAGTTGTATTTCAGAAGCTGAAAAATATGAAAAGGCTCTTTACAAGGGACCAAAGAAGCAACAGAAGAAACAACCTGAAGCACCAAAGAAGGTAGAAATACAACCTGTTGAATCTAAACCTGAATCTAAAAAGGAAGTCACATCCGACAAAGTTACTAAAACTAAAAAGTCCAAATCTTCCAGTTCAACTTTAAGCAACTTGTTATCATCCAACAAGAAAGAAGGTTTATATAAAATAGTGAAAAAGTTATCAAAGGAGAGTTCAAAAGATATCAAGGAAATCTTGAAGACTTTGAAGGTCACTAAAAGCGAAGATGGTAAAATTATAATAGAGTAGATAGATCATACAGTTTAAAATTCTTGTATAAGTAACTAATGTAACATAATATAACATGATATACTAGAGATTAATAATCGAATTTTCTTACGCTTTAGATCTCTTATGTAAAGCTCTACTCACTTTCGAATAGAATTGAGACAAGGTACTATAAGGAAAAGATAAATTCTCACATAAGTAATCTGGTAGAATGGTCTTAAGATACTTTGCATTTTCAACCGCACTTAATTCATTTTCATCATCTTCTTCGTATTCATCTTCAAGTGCTTCTAAAAATGTAGGTTCGTAATCTATTTCAGCTGTAGATTCAAATGTTTTGGAAATCACAAGCTTATAAGTAATGTAAACTACATCACTACTATTTGAGGAAGACTGTTTAACTTCAAAGTAGAATTTCTCGTCATCTTCGGTGAAATTAATAATTCTTAACCCAGTTAATAATTCAACCATATCAAGGGTGAAGCCTATATCTTCAAATTCTTTCTGTATAGCCTTTTGATTAATAAGATCTACTGGTTTATTCTTCTTGATTCTTATAGGTGATTGATATATGGAATCAAATTCACGCTCCAGATCTAGTTCTATCTTCGAATGATTATTACTATTATTATTAATATCATTTTTATTATTGCCATTCACACTCAATTTGGACTTTAATTCTTCAATATCATTTAATAAATTATCCACAATATTTTGTTTGTCTGATAAATCTTGATTCAATTGTTTTATTAATTCATGATCATTGTCTAGTTGTTTCTGTACCTTAAGTTTATAATTCTCAAATATAGAATCCTGCTTGGTATGTACCAAATTATTAATTAAACTTATTAATTCCTCACTATTCTTAACTGTCAATATATCTTTTTCCTCAATGACTGAATCAGTCAAATTCAATTTTCTTTTAACTGCCGTAGAAGGAGAAGATATTAAATTCTGTATTCTTTTTGCACCTGATTTAGGAGTAGAAGATTTTGGACCTGTAGATTTAGGAGTAGATGATTGACCAGAAATCAAAGACTCATCGTCTATAAGTCTTGATGGTTGTTTCCTTACTCGAGGCAGACTTCTTACCAATTGTGAATCAGTCTTAGCCACGACTGGTTTCTTTGAAATTTTAGATTCACTAGATTTTGTACTTTTAAGTATGGAATTGTCATCCTTTTTTGTATTCTGACCACTCAGTGGGGTTGCCAGTACTTTTCGAGTTCTAGGAGCCATTTATACTTTTTTTGAATCTCTATACACAGCAATAATTTTAAGTGTATTGAGGTCTGTTTATGTTAACGCGTTAATGTTTACTTGAGCTTGGTGATACTTAAATATGCTGGGTAGGCGCACTACTTTTCACTGTTAGTAAAAATTTAGCGAGGAGAGAAATTAGTGAAGGATGGAGGGTCATCGTAAATAAGTGGATAAACAGTAAATAAGTAATGTCATTTAGTGCTGAAATATTCAAGAATAAACTAAGTGTTCTTGATGATAGTCAGGATTCTATAGTTTCTATATCACAATGGGTATTATTTCATCATAGACATAGTAAAGAAGCAGCATCTATATGGTCAGAATTTCTATTAAATGTTCCAGCATCTACCATTAAAAATCCATCATCTAAAAGATTATCATTATTATATCTTTGTAATGATGTTGTTCAACAAGCAAGACGGAAAAGAAGAGAAGAATTTATAAGTGATTTTGCTAAAGTATTACCGAATGCTTTAAAATTAACATATGCTACTGTAACCCCACCAATAAAACCAAAAGTAGAACGATTAATAAATGTATGGGAAGAGAGACAAGTATTTTCACCAGAAGATATACGTCTTATGAAGGAAGCAATAGCTGTAGCTAAGAAAAATCCAAATTTAGCTAATAATTTAAAGAATAAATCAGATTCTCATAATATAATAGAACAGAAATCTCCACCACTAGCTGACATAGCTCCTGAATTAAAATCTTTGAATGAGTTGTTTCTCAAATTAAATAAATTAAGAGATGAATCACAAACGTATCTTACACAATATGGAATCCAATCAAAGACTTATTTACCACATGATCCAGCTCTTAATGATGCATTACCAGGTCCTAGGGCATATCTCGCTAAATTGAATACACTTGAGAAAGTTAGTCATAGTTCAATAAATAGTCTTATAGAATTAAAACAGTTGAAAACCTCAATTCAAGATCATTTAAGCAGGCTTTCCACTTTTATATCGGAAAGTGTGGATACTGATGAATCTAAATTAAAAACTATAAATGAAAAGTTGACTAGATTAGATAGGGTAAAATCAGACTTAAGAGACATGACTGGAGACAATGATGAAGAGCCTTCTCCAAGTTTCGAAAGCACTGCCATTGATAGCACTATTGATAGTGGTGAATCAAAACCCGCTAGTGATTTCGATGGCTACAATGATGATGATCTGATCCCTACATATGATGTGGATGACGAAGATGATGACGACGAAGATGATAATAGCAAATATAAGAATGAAAGTGATGGAGATACTCTTACAAATAGAAAGAGAAGACTTTCTCAAACTCCTTCTGGGGGTTCCACGCCATCATCACTTAAACGTGTGGCATTTTCAGAGGATATTGAAGTAAAAGAATATGAAGCTGAAGAGCAAACTGATATAATAAAAATTGTTAAGAGCGATGATGACACAAGTGACTTTGATATTTACGATAGTGATAACGAAGATGTAACTGAGGAGTATACCAGCCACCACAAAGACGATCTAGAGTTGAAGCATGAATACGAAAGTTTCGACGAAGATGAGTATGATCCTTCTGCTATAAATACCGATTTATCCGATTCTAAATCTTCTTATAATGGTTCAGAAGACACGCCGGATATTGCAAGCATATTATCAAAGTTATCCTAATTAATGTATTATTATTAATAAATTACCCATAATATTAATCTCTATAAATATATATAAATATCGCACTGCGTGTAGTTCAGACTTTAATTTAAAATAATACTAAAATCATATGAACTTCTTGTTTTAGTTTGAGTTGAAGTTGTAGTTGTTTTAGAATTAGAATTAGAATTGGAATTGGAATTAGAATTGGAATTAGAATTGTATGAATAATTGTCAAAATTATCATTGTGTTCATGAGATTTTGAATTGTCAAATTTGGAATAATTAAGCAAATTTGGTAATGACAATCTCTTAATTGGATATTGTTGATAACTGTCGACTTTGGAATTTATCTTTTCAATCTTAGCTCTCCTAGCTTTCAGTTTCCTTGGCAAGTAAACACATAGATCAGATGAAGATATACAGTTATTACATTCTGGAAAATCTCTTGAACACTTCTTTTTAAATTTTCTACACCTTATACAACTTGCTTTAGCTTTTGAAGGATCATCTTTGGCTATATCAGGATGTGAAAGATTATGTTCATATATATTATCTTGATTTAATTTCATATTCTTTAAATTCTTTTTTTTGAATACTGTTATAGATGCCATTTTCCCATTAATAACCTTTTCCAGTATTGGGAACATATCTGATCTAATGGTTGTAGATATTTGACTCGGTAGTTTCTTATCGTGATTTTGCAACTGTACTTGAAATTCGCCTAGATATTTCTCCATTCCTGGATACTCATCAAAACCACTACATTCCATAAGATTATTGCTTATAATTTTGGAAACCATCTTTATATCATATTAATTGCATATTTCTACTTATCTCAATATGTATAACCCAAAATAAATTTATCCCATAAGTTTCAATATATATAAATTTGATTAAATCAATTAAGAGCATATGTGCCGAGTCAAATCAAATTAATTTTGTTAGTGACTCTGATCGCGAAAAATATTCCCGCGCAAATTTGCAGTCAAAAATTTTGGATGTAAAATTTCGGATAAACTATTATAACCTTTTGAATCTTCCGAATCTTGAAAATAGAACCTGCATTTGTATTGAACTTCTATATCCAGCATAAATTTTACTTGTTGTACTAAATGATCTTGCAAGTTTAGGTGTTGATTTTTTGAAGAAATTAGCATATAATTTTGCTCCCTCCGACAACTTTGATTCGTTCGGATATACCCTGTTTAAATCTGTACTTAAGGTATGTAACAAAGTTCCTTGTCCTTTAAATTTCAGATTAAATGAAGGTAACTTGTCGGAAAATAATTCATTCATCTTTGGTGATAAGTTATTCAAAGGCTCAGAAGAACCTACATAAAGTAAACTTTTAGTTCTTGTTGTTGCTACGTATAAAAGTCTACCTTTACTTGGGTCAGGCTTTTCATTATCACTCGTATATAAACTATTCCAACTGAATCGGGGCATAGCTCCAGGAATGAAAACTACTGGGAACTCTAATCCCTTGGCAGTATGAACAGTTGATAAATTAATCATATCATGTTTTATAACTGGTGTGTCCTCACTATAACTTCTTAGAAAAAAGTCAATAAAGTTTTTATCAGACTCTGCTTCCAAGAATTTTCTATATGATATAGTCAAAGAAGAATAAAACATTATCACATTTGTTTCTAAATCTTTTCTATGAGTTTTAGTTTTCTTTGAAATTGATGCCTCACTTTCATCAATTGATATATCTTGTGGATTATTCAAATATTCAAGTAAATTCAGTGATCTAGTAATTCTCAATAATGATTCCATAATACTCTTTGGATTGTGATTATCTTTTTGGAATTCGATTTCAGTCCGGCATTGTTCAAGGAAATTCTTGAATGTTGCTAATATGTGCTTGAATTCCACAGGTTTATATATAGATGAAAAGAAATCTCCATTATTAGATAAATCATCAAGCATAAAATCAATTAATTTATCAGGTTCACTTATTTCAGTTGTTTCAAATGCTGAAAATAATTTAGCAATCCTCATTCTAGCATTGGGTTTAGTATCAATGACTAAAAAGATACACATTAAACAAAACTCACTACCCCAATTAAAATTTAAAATATTTAGTATATCAAGAAATATATGAATATTTGATGATACCCATTTAGTAGAATCACCAAATTTATTACATTTGATACTATAATGTTTTTCAAAATATTCACTAATAGCATATATTTCTCTATTAGTTCTAGTAAGGATAATAATATCTGATAACTTCAACAATCCACCCAGTTCTAAAATTAATCGTGATATTTCATTGGCTATAAAATCATACTCTTCCATTACTGAACCGTTTGAAAAATAGATTGGTTTTATTCCAAATTGCTTGACTGATTTTATAGAAGATAAATAATTATCAAGTAAACCATTTGGTCTTAGAGCAATTTCAGTTGATACTTTCAATACTTCATCACTTAATCTAAATGTTTCTTCAATATTCTTTTCAGTTACTTTGAAATTAGGAAAATGTTTCCCTATGTCATCAAACAATTTAGGATCGGAACCTAAAAATTCATAAATGCATTGATTTGGATCTCCGGCTATTGTAATATGTTTACCTTCATTATCCAACCCAGGATAAGATGATATATTTTGAATAATCTTTAATAACAGATAATGCATATCTTGAAATTCATCTATAATAATAATTTTATAATTGGCTAATTGATGAATTACTGGTAAATTTTGACTATTTAATGATTTATTCATTAACTTAATTGCATCTGAAATAAAATCAGGATATCTTTTCATACCATTTTTATTCAAATATTCTATCAATCCACTTAAGTATTCTTCACTTATTTTAAACTCAGAGGCAGCTTCTTTTATTGTGGTTTTACCTACTTTTATTGAAGCAATTACTTTTTCTAATTTAGTTGGAGTTAATGAACCACTAATTGATTTCCCCTTAATAGTTGCTGTTTTAGTTGTAAATATTGATGAAAAACTTCTCCAACTTAAATCATCTAATAATCGAATATTTTTATAATTCTCATCATATAATGACCCATAATCTTCTAATAAATGCGAGCAGAATGAATGGAAAGTACTAATATTAACGCGTTCGGATAAATAAGATTCTGAAAGGGATTTAAGCGTGGTTGTTAATGCTTCTACAGCTCTATTGGTCATTGACAATACTAAGATTTGATCAGGACTTATTTTTAATTCTTCAATTAAATATAATATTCTTCGAGCAATAGTTAATGTCTTACCACTACCTGGTCCGGCTTTTATCAATAAAATTTCATTAGCATTAGGATATGATTCTACAATATCTAATTGAGATTTGGTAAATATCTGACTTTTTATACTGTCCTGACTCATTTCCTCAATCACAGAATCCCCCCGATCCACTTCCGGTATCATTATATCTTCCATATTAATCATAATTACTTAAATTTATGTTTAATGGGGTTCGGTAGTGATACATCACATATGTGCGCCGGCCGAAACAAAAACAGAAACAGTCGCAGCCGATCCAAAATTTCCTGAACAGACTTACGCCGTCTTTACTATAGTTAGACAGTAACCCAGTAATAAAATTACTTATCAGTAAAACAATTAGGCCAATGAGTGCATTAGATTCCTTAAAGGATATTTTGAATGCCAAATATGAATTGTCCGATATACCGGAAGTATCCAATTTTAATAATTTACAGATATATCTTGAATCACAAGAGCTGACAGAACCTCATAATCCTAATATATTAGATTCTATACGAACTCAAGCTTATACAAAGAATTCAAATCAAGTAAGTCAATTAAGTTCCGATGAATTATTAGATATTTCTGATAAATTCAAATGGTATGATGATAAAATTAAACTGTTCAAAATTAAATTAGAACCTATACAAAAGATCCTTGATGATTTTAATAATGATATATCTCATTTATCAACTAGTTTATTAGCATTACAAGAAAAATCAACTAAATTATCTCTGGATTCTAATGTCCAACATTCAGTAATTGAAAAACTTAATAATATAGTATTGGATTTAATGGTATCTCCTGAAGTTTCACGATCAATAGTAGAAGATGAGATAGATGAAAAATGGTTAGAGAATTTAAGATTTATTAATGAAAAGCAACAATTCCTTGCTAATATTAAGAGTGGGAAGATATCTAAGGAATTAAAGAGTATTTATAGTAATTCTAGATCTCTTGAACAATTGGAATCTGGTATTAGATTATTATCTAATAAAGCAGTAGAAAGAATTAGAGATTTCCTTATATCTAATATTAAAAAACTTCGATCATCTTCTAAGGCTTCATCACAAGAAATTCAACAAAATCTTATAAAACTTAAAGAAATATTTGTTTTCATTAATAAAGAGCATCCTGCCCTTGCAGCTCAATTAAGATTGGCTTATGTATATACTATGAGATGGTATTATCAAGTAAAATTTGCTAAATATATTTATGCATTAGAAAAACTTCATATAAGACATATTGATCTGAACTTTGTATTGGGAACAGATGGAGAAGAGAAATTAAGTGTTTTTGGTACAGCTTGGAAAGGTTGGTTACCTTCAACATCTTCATTGGCTCCTACTGTTACTCCTGCACAATCAGGTTCAGGACAATTATCAATGAATGAATATTTACAATCGATTGATAAAAGATTGAATATATTAGAGGATAATAAGATTCCTCTGGCAATTCCCTCTCAAATTGCAGAAACTACACCTTTTGTATACTGGTTGGAATTTGTTTATAATCAATTTGCTGTTGCATTAACAGATAATGTAGTAGTAGAATATCTATTCATGGTAGAATTCTTTTATGAAGATAATGAAAAGTTTGGAAAAATGGATGCTTCAGCTCGATTAGATGAAGAAAATAAAGGAAATACTAGTCAAGTTGAATGGTACAATATAATGTTTAGTAGTACTTTTAAAATGGGACGAGAATTTGTTAATTGGGCTATTACTCATAGTCCTTATTCTAAAACTATAGGAAGTACAGCTGCTAGTGCAGCAAGAGTTCATCCATCAATTGGATTTGGATCATGTGATGGGTATGCTATATTATTTATTATACGATTAGTTCAATCATCTCAATCAATATTTCAAAATAAATATCATATACCCATTATGGATGATTATTTAAATTCATTACTATTAATCTTATGGCCTCAATTTACAAAAATTATAGATCTAAATTGTGAAGCCATGAAGAAAATGATATTACTGTCATCAAAAGTTTCTACCCTTGCTCCAGTTCATATAACTCAACAATTTGCTCAATATATACTGGGATTATTAAAGTTATCTGGTTCTACAGGTAATGGTGATAATAATAATTATAAAGGTGAACCATTATTTAATTCAATTTTGAGATTACGTAATGACTTTGAAAGTTATTTAACTAAATTAAGTACTCATTCATTTGGTAATAGTAAAAATAAAGCAGTAGAAAGAGAAATCTTTCTATATAATAATTATTTCCTTATTGTAAACATTTTAAAGAATGAGAATACTGATATTGGTGTTGTAAATGGTTTAATTAATGAACAAATATCTCATTTTGAACTTTTATGTGAAGCCTATAAAAAGAATACAAAGTAGATGTCTGTATAAGTTTATATAATTTTATTTTATTTAATAAATTATAATAATAATAATAATAATAATAATTACAAATCACATATCTTAGCAAATAATCCACATAATTGTAAATATGATGATACACCTTCAAGAACTCTCATATGAGTAAATCCAATTTCTTTTATAAGTTCTAATCTTTTCTTTTCATCAATCCCAGGTAAAGATTTAGCTACTTTAAATGTCAGAGTTACAATATCAATTGATGAATAACCTTTAATCCATAAACTATCTAATAATTCTATTGCTTGATCTATATTTTTATCAGTTGTACAACTAGATAAAATCTTTTGAATTACTAATGGATGAGGTTGATCTACAATTTTAAATACATTAATATCATTAACAAATCCAAATCCTGCTACTGTACTTTGTAAATTATTAATTGCTTGTCTCATATCTCCTTCAGCTGTAAAAATTAATGCTCCTAATCCTTCACTATTATGTTGAACATTTTCTAATTTAACTATTTCTAATAATCTTGCTAATACTTGATCATCAGCTAATTTATTATATCTTAATATTGCACATCTAGATTGTAAAGGTTCAATAATTTTCAGGGATTGATTACATGCAAATGCAAATCTGGTAGTATTAGAATATATTTCCATAGTTCTTCTTAATGCTTGTTGAGCTCCTGGAGTCATTGAATCTGCTTCATCTAAAATTATAATCTTATGTCTTCCTGGTGGTAACAGTATTTTAGTTTGAGCAAATTGTTTAATTTTATTACGTACAACATCTATACCTCTATCATCAGATGCATTTAATTCTAATGTTGCTTGATGATATAATTCGGGACCTAATAATTCTAATGCAAGACAATGAATAGATGTAGTTTTCCCAATTCCAGGTAATCCTGAAATAATCATATGAGGCATATTCCCATCTTGAGCAATTCTCTTTAATCTCTCCACGGTTTCTTCATTACCCACTATATCATCCAATTTATGAGGACGATACTTTTCCACCCACGGAAGTTCTAATGAAGTAGCAAATGTCTTAGCCATAAGGTATGGTATATATACTATTTATATAGGTATATTAATAGGTCTAGTGTAATACTCTACATTGAACTTGTACTATTTCAGCGACGCGTTTTGGCGGTCAAAATTTTATGCCCTAACACTTAAGTGCGCAGTACTTTTGCAGCAGTAAGAAATGGGTCTATTGAGGGTCATTACATCATTATATACATACAACTATATAGTTATCACTGTTGCTGCTGTTGCTCCTGCTGCTGTAACTTCTTCTGTTTATTCTCTTGCTTCTGATCATTCTTCTTAGGGAATACTGGTATACTCGTAGACAAAAAGTTAATGGCTGGCGGAAGAAAATGACTATTGCCATCAAACATACTCTCCAACCAGGGTATATCTATATCCTTAACATGTTCATCTATCATTTCAAAAAGATGCTTACCTTCTATTATATCATCTGTTAATCCTAAAATGCCTACATTGGGTACAGCTAATATTTCAGAAAGTCGTTGTATACTGCCCTTTGGTAATTGAATCAACTTTACTCTATTTGATTTATGTTTCGATCCAGTATATGCCAATACAGGGAAAGTACTTGTAATTATAGGAGGTACAATATCGTTTTTACAAACAAAGATATATTTGTAATAAGGCGTTTGACTTGATAATGATACTTTATTCTTCTTTGTATGAATTTGGGCTTGAGCCTCTAATCTTTTAACACAAGAATTGAATCCTAAGACAACATGATTTATGATTTCAGGAGGCTCAACTTTTGTGGTTTGCTTTAATTGATTATACTTCCCTATTGATGATAATAAAAGTGTAAGATGATCCATTATTTCATTAGCAAGCTCAGGCAGTATAAATGGCCATAAATTAGATTGGGTAAATGCATTATCTAATATGGGTTTAAACACTTGTTTTCTTTTCCTTTCAATCTCTTTTAGTGATGTACTAACAACTGCAGGCTTCTTCACCTTATTGGACTGATTGTTTTCTTTCTTCTTATCTTTAGCCATATCAATTCTAATTGGTGATGTTTGGATGGATATACCATACTAAAGCACACTAACTTTACAGATTTTTTTTTTTAGAGATGCCCGTTGCGACTACTAATGTATTAAAAGAACAATCAGAAAGATGTATCATTAAACAAATATTTTTACACAAGTTTAAACAGATAAACTAGAACTAAAACTAATACTAATACTTTAACTATAACTATACTTATTATTATGTTATAACCAGCTAAACTTCACCAATTATAATCCTACTTATTATCATGGTTAGGTGATTTTGGAGAGTAATCAGGAGTTTCATCTCCTTGAGGATTATATTGTGGAGAAGTTGGTGAATAGGATGGAGATGTAGGAGAATACTGAGGAGAAGTAGGTGAGTATTGTGGAGATGTTGGTGAATAAGATGGAGATGTTGGTGAATATTGTGGAGAAGTTGGAGAATAAGATGGTGAAGTAGGAGAATAACTTGGTGAAGTTGGTGAATATGAAGGGGAAGTTGGTGAATAACTTGGAGATGTAGGTGAGTAGGATGGAGAAGTTGGTGAGTAACTTGGGGATGTAGGTGAGTATGATGGAGATGTAGGAGAATAAGATGGTGAGGTTGGTGAGTAACTTGGAGATGTTGGAGAATAGGATGGTGAGGTTGGAGAATAAGCTGGGGATGTTGGAGAATAAGATGGAGATGTTGGTGAATAAGCAGGTGAAGTTGGTGAGTAGGATGGAGAAGTAGGTGAGTAACTTGGAGATGTTGGTGAGTAAGATGGAGAAGTTGGTGAATAACTTGGTGAGGTAGGTGAATAACTTGGAGAAGTTGGAGAATAACTTGGAGAAGTTCCACCATAACCTGGAGATGTAGCTCCACCAAATGAAGGTGAAGTACCACCATAACCAAATGGAGAAGTAGCAGATGGAGAAGTTGGTTGACCACCATAAGAAGTGAGACCTCCACCAATTCCATCTTGAACTTGAGCAGTATGAATAGGAGAAAATCCACCACCTTCTTCATAATGAACATTATCATCATCCATATTATAATCCTTATAAGGAGTAGCACCACCATCATCTTGATATTCTTCATTTCCACTAATAATTGGAATATTTGAAGGAGCATTTTGTAACATCTTATCATCAACCATAACATCAAATGATCCAGTACCTAATGGAGCCATTTGACCCAACATAACATTTTCAGAAATACCTCTACAATCATCTAATTCAGCAGATGCACCAGCTTCAAGTAAAATTTCAACTGTTTCTTCGAATGAACAACGCATTAATGCACCAGTATCTGATCTATTAATACCATGACGAGTAATGGCCATAAGATGACCACGAGAAGTCATAACATCAACCAAAAGAGCCATATGACGATAATTAACATAAGAACCATCAAAAGCAATAACATTAAGAATTTCTTTAAATAATGCTGATCTAGTGGCTTCAATACCAAGAACTGAAAGAATTTCAATAAAATTATTAGAATAAGTTCTACTTGAATCGACTCCAGCTACTGACATAACACCTGCAAGATTAACCCCATCAGTTTCCAAGACCCATTCTTTACCTTGTTTAAAATCACCAGTTTCATCAGGTGTACTTGTTTTATGTTGCATCATAAAAACTCTTGTAATACCTTCAATACCTCTTAAAGAAATATTTTCCAACATATGAGATTCAATACTCTTTAAAATTTGATCTTCTTCAGATTCAGCTTCTTCATCCATCTTTGGATCACGAACAACTCTACAACGAATAATTAATTTATCAGCAGTATCATCTGACCAAATAACAAATAAATCTTCTCCAAAATTTTGAGAAATCTTTTCAGCAACTTGAGCCATAGTTAATTGTTTATCAAGCATTTTAGCACGATCTAATTCTAAACGAAGTAACCATGGAGATTGATTAGCAATAGATTCTTCAACTTTTTCATCAGGAATTGCAAAATAAGCTTCAACTGTATCATAATCTTCTTCTATAACTGTTGTTCTTGGATCTGGATCATAATAAATTTCAGTTGATGAAGTAACATTCTTTAAAGTTGTATGTTCAATTGCTGATTGAACAACTTTAGCTTTTTCTATATCTGATGCAATATCCTTTTCTAAATAAACTGTAAGAGCAGGAGTTTTAATATTTTTTGCAACATTAAGAATTTCTTTAAGACGAGGAACCCCTAAAGTAACATTCTTTGAAGAAACACCGGCATAATGGAAAGTATTTAAAGTCATTTGAGTTGCTGGTTCCCCAATAGATTGAGCAGCAACCACACCAACCATTTCACCCGGATGAACAATGGATTTTTGAAATTGAGATTCAATTTCTCCCATAACCCATTCAAATGATGAAGAATTTAATTTAAATTCTTCAATAACACGTCTAGAAGCTAATCTTGATCTTACTAAACATTGGAAAAGTAATGTAGCATTAGCTTGAGCTTCATCCAGTAATGGACCTTCACCTCTTACTACAAGTAATTTAGAACATAAATTACGTACACCAGTAACAATATCTTCTAATCTTAAATCAGAAGCTTTATAACGTCCATTATGGAAAATTTGTTGAGCATTTTGAATAATACGACGTAAATTAACTGGTAATGGCCAACTAAAATCACCATTTGGAAAGCAAACATCTCTTAAATAAGTACGATCTTTAATTAATTGATCATATTCTTCATCCAAGAGTCTTTGTAATTTAACATCACCTTTAATTTCTTTACCTGATTCTAATAATGAATCAGAAAGTGTTGTCTCTGGATCTAAAAGATCAATACGATAACGTTGTTCAAAAGATTTATCTGATCCTGGTATAGTATCAACTGATTGTTTTTCAACTTGAGTACCATCAATACCATCTTCACCATAAATAAATTGAATAATATCTCCTAAAGAATTTCTTGTTGTACCATCATAATGAACCATAATATCTTCTAAAGCTTTAACTAAACGACGTTGAATATAACCTGTTTCGGCAGTTTTAACTGCAGTATCAATAAGACCTTCTCTACCTGCCATAGCATGGAAAAAGAATTCTTGTGGAGTTAAACCTCTTAAATAAGAATTTTCAACAAAACCTTTAGATTCAGGTGAATAATCATCTTTTGTAAAATGAGGTAAAGTACGATCAGCAAATCCAAATGGAATTCTTTTACCTTCAACAATTTGTTGACCAACACAAGCAGACATTTGAGAAATATTAATAAATGAACCTTTTGAACCTGAAGTAACCATTTGTTTAACATTATTTAAATCTTTTAAACTCATTTCAGCTGATCTACCAGCAGTATCTCTTGCTTGATTTAAAACTCTTGAAACATTATGTTCAAAAGATTCTCTTAATGTCATACCTGGTTCAGGATCCAATTTATTCAGTTGAGCATCTAAAATAATTTCTTGAACTTTTTGTTTAGCTTCTTGAATAGTTGATGTAACATAATTCATAGTACTTCTATCAGCAATTGTATCACCAATACCAATAGAAAATCCATTATGAAGTAACCAATAATTAACAACTTTTTGAATAGCACTAAATAATTGAGCACAAACTTGTGGACCCTTTTCTCTCATAACTGTATGAATTAATCCTCCTCCAGTAGCTCCAACAGTCTTTTTATCAACCACTCCAAACATAATTTCTCCATCAACAATTAACATACCAGTATCTTTTGGACTTAATAAATCTTTACCTCCATCAAATCTTTGTAAATGAATACCCTTTGGAATTGCCATTGATAATATTTGTTTACCACTCCATAAAAATTTTGGTTTAGTAATAACTGGTGGTGGAATAACTCCATCCCAATTTGGAATCCAATATAACATATTCATAACTTGATCATATTCAATAAAATTATCTCTTAAAGTCATTTTACGAATACCACATAAAGTATCTTGAACAATACCCATAACTGGTTTATTAGATTGAGGAGAAACAATTTGTAAAGGTACAGCACAAATTTCAGATAATTCAGCTCTAGTTTCAGGAGATTGTGGAACATGTAAATTCATTTCATCACCATCAAAATCAGCATTATAAGGTGAAGTAACTGATAAATTTAATCTAAAAGTTGAATAAGGCATAACTTTAACTCTATGAGCCATCATAGACATTTTATGTAAAGAAGGTTGACGATTAAATAAAACTGGATCATTATCCATTAAATGACGTTCAACTTTCCAACCATATTGTAAGGCAATATCCCCAGCTCTTTTATTATATCTTAAATCAATTCGATCACCTGTATCTCTTATGACATATTTTGCACCGGGATGTTCATTAGGTCCATTACGAACATATTCAGTTAAACGATGAATATTATATGGAGTAACAATTTCTGGATAAGTTAAAGTTCTTGCAATTGAAATTGGAACCCCAACTTGATCTAAATCAAGATTTGGATCACCAGAAATAACTGTACGAGCTGAAAAATCAACTCTTTTTCCCATAAGATTACCTCTTAATCTACCTTCTTTACCCTTTAATCTTGCTCTAATAGATTTAATTGGTCTACCAGTTTTTTGTAAAGCTTGAGGTTGACCAGCTATATCATTATCCATATAAGTTGCTACATGAAATTGAAGTAATGATTCAAATTCACTTATAACATGTTGAGGTGATCCATCCATTTCTAATCTTTGAACATTAATATTAGCTTTAATAACATCAGCTAATTTAAATGTTAAATCATCTTCACCTCTGGCAGTATCATTAAAGGCAATACTTGGTCTAACTGGTGGAGGTGGAACTGGTAAAACAGTAATTAACATCCATTCAGGTCTAGCATAATCTTCATTAAACCCTAATCTATAACAATCTTCTTGACTTATATGTTTAAATACATTAAGAATTTCTGATGGAGTTAAAATTCTTTTATCACCTTGTTCACCTTCTTCAAATCCTTTAGTTTGTTTCCAAGTTCCCCAAAGTTTTAAACCATCTCTACGAATTGTTGGATGAGTATTACCACATCCTCCTCTACCTATAATAGTGCCATCTTCTGTAGTTGTTTCTGCTTCACAAACATTTTTTTGTTTACAAAGACTCCATACAGCATTAAATCTCTTTTTTGGATCTCTTATTCTAATGGCTTGAGCCATAGCAGGATTAGTTTCATTTAATAAAAGTTTACCACAACTCATACAAACTGATTCACAAACTTTTTTAATTTTTGGAATAAATCCAATATGAAATACTGGTTTAGCTAATTCAATATGACCAAAATGTCCAGGACATTCAGTCATATCTTCACCACAAGTTTGACATCTAAAATTACGATCTATTGAACCTAATCTTGGATCATTTAATCCACCTTCTCTTGGCTTTTTTGTTGATTGATCCATTGTTTCTGGATATTCAATCTTAGCCACAGAAATAGCTCGAACTTCTTCTGGAGATAATAAACCAAATTGTACCTCTTTAACAGAACGGAGCGGAGCACTTGAATAAGGAAATTGACGACTCATCCTGATTGATTTACTTGAACTTTACTTAGTAGATAGTATTACTTATTTAATAGTAATTATTAAATTAATGGTAAATTATTAATATTATACTCAATAACAACTCAATGTTACTGCTAAAAACTCGTGCTAAGATTCCTCAACCAAACTGATGCAACTCCTCGACAATGTAATACACTTCCAAAAACTAAAAGTAAATGGTTTCAAGGTGGTTCACACTAACGAGTCAGGTGAGTAGTGGCTGTTGATTATCAATTGCCATTTTTTTTCAGGTTGGAAGAATTCTCGCCCGAAAAAAAGAAAATGCATGGCTGGGGACTGAGAGTTACGCGTGGAGCGATGGGAGTGGCTTGGTGGTCTGCGTATACTTGAGTCTAGGTAGTCATAGATAGCAGTAGTATATAAATACTGTATAGCATATACTATAGCATATACTATAACATATACTATACCATATACTATGACATATACTATGACATATACTATAACATACACTATAATATACTATAATATACTATAACATATACAATAACATATACTATATTACACTATAATATACTGTAACATATATGTATTTATATATGTATATATATAGTATAGTTATATGTATATTATGTGTATGTACGTTAAAGAGTACTAGTAAATAAGAATATTAGATAAAATATTTATATATATAGTGTTATAAATATTACAGTGTGTAGACCAATTAGGAGGTAAATGAGAAGATACGAACTAAAAGATATGGTACCACAAAAGAATCTTATAACAATACCATATTTAGAGTTTATAAAGAAATGAATATTTCCAAATTCAAAATCTTTTAATTTGACAATGATGTAAGAGAGACAGAAAATAATACTTATAAGACTCTAATGAAAATGTTAGTACTATTACTATCAGCACTATTCGTTACCTGTGTTCAATCTACTGGTACAGCATCAATACCTGAACCTTTGGCTAGATTCGATCCTACTAGTGGTTAAGATCGTATTCAAAGTACAGAAGTTCTCCAACGTCAAGAAGAGGTTAAGCAGCTTTAAGACAAGTCATAAGTGCTGCGTACTACGAGAGTAATACGTCACCATTATTCTGATCATGTATCAGGTAATATTAGCTATTTAATACAAATATCCTACATCTTATACTCTCATATCTTCACATACATTATATCTATATGCTTTATCTACGAAAAGAATTTAGATAATACCTTCTTTTGCTTCTCCTTACGAGCCTTAACCCTTTGCTTAACATCTTGAAGTCCCTTAACTATAGCACCATCAGATGGTTCAATAGCTAAGGCAGCTTCAAGTGCTTCTTGTGCTGAACCTTCATCCTTAAGTAAAAGATATCCCATACCCTTTCTATATAATGCTTTAGCCTTAGATTTTGATTCAATTTCAGGAATTTCTAATGCATTAGTAGATGCTTCAACTACTTTTTTACCTTCATTTAATTTTAAGGCAACTAAGGCAATATTAAGGAAACAACTAACTTTTAAATTTTGAATAATTTTAATCTCTTCAGCTGGTAAATCATCAGGATAAAAATCTTCTAAGAAATTAGAAGCTTTAGTATATTTTTCTAAAGATTTTGGTAAATTACCTTGTTTTAAAAGTTTAGTACCTATATCCTTTATGGTTGTAACAGCCTTAATAACTTCTTGAGCATTATCTGTATCAAAACTCTCATTATCATCAAGAACTTCTTCATAAATATCACCAAATCCATCATCAACAACAGCTTCTTCAGGAACATAATCATGAGGTAATTCACCACAATCACTTATAATCCAATCTTCAATTGGTTTATCATTATCACCTTTATCAGATCTTTCTAATTTTCTAACAATTGATTTACCTTGAATAACTTTACCAAATACAACATGTTTACCATTTAAATGAGGAGTTGGAACAGTAGTTATAAAAAATTGTGAACCATTAGTATTAGCTCCAGCATTGGCCATAGATAATAAAAATGGTTTATCATGAAGTAATTTAAAATTTTCATCTTCAAATTTTTCACCATAAATAGATTCTCCTCCAATTCCTGTACCATGAGTAAAATCTCCTCCTTGACACATAAATCCTTTAATTACACGATGAAAAATTGATCCTTTATAATGAAGTGGTTTACCTGATTTAGGTGATTCACCTTTCTCTCCAGTACATAAAGCTCTAAAATTTTCTACAGTTTTTGGTACAACATCACCAAATAATTCAAATACAACTCTACCTTTTGGTTCACCATTCGCAGTAATATCAAAATATACTATAGGATTAGTATTAGTCATCGTTACTTAATTGTTATATGAATATATGATATGATTACAGGTAATATTTCAAATGGTTGAAAAATTTCGAAAGAGTGTTCTAGAATGTCGCGGTAAACCAAAAATGGGGGTGAGGGGAGGAGGAGACATATGTCGTGAAAGCTTTATATTATAAGGCATAAGTATAAGTACAGGGTAGAAGAAGTTATGAAGAAGTTATGAAGAATTAGATAACTATATGCATTATTAAACGGATGGTTCAGTTAGATAAATTGAATTAAATCAAATTAATTTAAATTAATTTAAGTTGGTCTAACTGGATCAAAATATGGATGAGCCATAGCTTCTTTAGCAGTTAATCTCTCTTGATGATCATATCTTAATAAATTATCAATAAAATCAATAAATTCATTTGATACAAGATGTTGATTATTATCATTAATAAATCTTTCCCATGGTCTTCTATTATAATAACCAATATCTTCATATTCTTCACTAAGAGTTAAATTATATTTTTCAAGATATTTGTTTAAATTGCTTGAACCTAATACTCTTACTATTTGAACTAATTGATCAGTATTAGATTTCCCATGAAAAAATGGTTCCTTTATAAATACCATAGATGCTAACATACAACCATAAGACCATAAATCTAATGAATAATCATATAATCTAAAATCTACTAATAATTCAGGACCTTTAAAATAACGTGATGCAACTCTTACATTATATTCAGTACCTGGATGATAATATTCTGCTAATCCCCAATCTATTAATCTTAATATCTTCTTTTCATGATCTATCATAACATTATGAGGTTTAACATCTCGATGCATAATTCCCATTGAATGTGAATAATCAAGAGCTTTTAATAATTCATACATATAAAATCTAATATCATAATCAGAAAATGTTGGATATAATGTTCTAAAATCAACATTATTAACATGTTCAAAAATTAATCCTGGAGTTTTCAGTTGTGGTTCTCTAACTACATCAAATAATTTAACGATATTTGGTCCATCGACTAAATTCTTTAATATAGATATTTCTCTTTTAATCTTTTTCCTTTTAACTGGTTTTAATACTTTAATAACAACTTTATCACCTTTTATTAAATCAATCCCTAAGAAAACTTCTGAATATTTACCTCTACCTAATTTCTTAATTATTTCATAATTATCTTGTGAATTCCATTTAATATTTAAATCATCATAATCCCAGAATGATTGTGGTTTACTTGCCAATACATCCGCATACACCCTGGCTATTGAAGTATTAATATTATTATTATTATTACTTACCGACATTTTCTTATTATTATTATTATTATTAATATTATTACTACTACTAGTCTTCGTATTGTTAATAGATCTATAGCCAAGGTAAAACGATAAAAGCAATAATAAAACTACTCGGTAAATGAACCTTATCTTGGCTATCCCGGATTTTTACACTAGTGGAATAGATCACCTCCTGAATCAAAGGTAAATCGATCCTTAAGTTTTATCTACTAGTTTGTATTACCATATAGTCAAAGTCCCCTATACCTCAATAAAAAAATTTTTTTCTCTATCGCTCACGTGACTCTTACACTATCACTTACACCTTTTACTATCACTTCTACTTATAATATCACTATATTTTGTTACTTTACTATATTTTATTATATATAAATATATAGCTACCTATTTATACATTTAGTCTAGCAAATGCTGCATTAAATCCTTTACTACGAGGTGTCTTACGACTGTTAGAAACAGACTCAGCAGCTTGTTTAATCTTTTTAATCTCTTCATTCTTTTTCGCAAGCTTTCTACCTCCACTTTCAAGTTCATAGTTATCAAGGAAATCATCTAACATATCTTCTAAATCTCCTCTTTCTTTCTTCATATCAAACTCACCTACTTGTTCTACTTGTTCATCTTCCTTTTCGAATTTCTTATTGAGTTGTTCATAACGATCATCAAGTAATGTTAAACCTTCAGTTCTGAACAATGCTGATGATGACATAGAAAATGATGATGTATCAGTCATAGCACCTTTCTTCTTTCTTAATTTGGTACCTGAAACTTTCTTTTTTTGAATTTCAGGTAATTCTGGTAATGCATCTCCTTCTTCTTCTTCATCTTCAAATTCATCGTCTGAATCCCAGTCATTCTTATCATTTTTTGTCTGGTTCTTATATTTCATGAAATCATTATGCCATTGGTTACTTACCGTTATTTTCTCTCCTTCTAAATCTGCTGGTGCTTCTCCATCATTATACATGTCTGCTGCTTCTTCTTCCAGATAATTCTCATTATAGTCTTCTCCTTCATAATACTCATCATCATAGTTATCAAGGTCCCACTCATCATAATCATCTTCATAAAATCCTTCTTCCTCATCATCTACTTCTCCAGACTTTAATAAATCATCAAAATCTACATCTTCTTCTTCATCTCCAATATATGCTTCATCTTCTAATGCTTCAAGTACTTCTCTTAATCTTGGATCTAAATTCGGATTAAAACCTTGTAATTCTCTAGGGATATTTTCACTCAAATTGGCTTGAACTTTTCTCTTCTGTTGAGAAGGTAGTTGATCTTTAAATAAATCTTCTATATTCTGTTTAGGTTTCTGTTGTGGATCTTCTTTAGCTCCAATAAATACTGCATCTTCCGATGCACCTATTGGCTTTAAATGTTGCATATAATCATATTTGGAGTCATCATAAAGAATCCCATATTGGGCTGCAAGACCTTCATTATCTCTTATAGTATTAAGTTCATCTTTAGTAAGCTTTTGTTCGATATCTTTAATAGTACGAGATTTTCCACCTTTCTGAGCTGCTGGTACTAACACATGAGGAGAGGCTTCATCATCATAAAACAATGCATCGTCGTGTGCTCTATGCACTATGTTGAATGTGGTAGCATTCTTCTTATCGAATTTCTTTCTGGGTGCCATAACGTGTCTATTATTACTATTACTATTCTATACTATAACTACCTACTGTTAACTATGTATTCATCGTATATCATTAAGTGAAAAAAAAAATTTATTTATATGCAATATCATCGCTCCTGCATCCAGTGTCCGCACCACTATCTATAAATTTTTGCAATCATTTGTTAATTAATGATCATGTCTCTCCTTTGATTCCACAATGATTCGGGGCCAGTCACTTCTGTAGATTACTACATATTCGGAAATCGCTAAGAAAGCTACTCCCGATATTAATCCGTACCATAACCCTTGTAAACCAAATTTAAATGTGAATGCTAATACTGTACATAAGGGAAGGGCAATAACATAATATGATATCATATTAAGTATTGATCCAATTCTTTGTCTACCTTGACCTCTAAGGACTCCTGCTCCAATCACATTGAATGCATCGCCTAATTGGTTAAGAGCTACCAAGGGAAGTACTTGAACCGTAATTTTAATAACTTCTTCATCCTCAGTGAATAATCGTGATAAATAATGTCTACCAAAGAATACATGACTGAAATTAGTAAGAGCTATAATTCCTGCAAATATGATTGTTAATTTGGTAACTAACAGAGCAGCTCTAATACTTTGCATACCAACAAAATGTCCAATTCTTGTACTAAGAGCCACAGCCACTGCAAATGGTAATTGGAAAGATAATGAACCTACATTAGATGCAATGGCTTGAGCAGCAATAGCGGAAGTACCAAATGATGCAGCAAGAATTGTGAGAACTTCAAATGCTAAATATTCTGCTTCTACCATAATAACTCCTGGAATAGCCAATCTTAACATGGGTATCCAGTTCTTTATAGCTTTTTCAAAATCTAATCCACCCCAACATTTCTTTCCATCTATAAGTAACACATATAATAACATTAGTAATGAAATAATCCAATAAACGATTCCGAGGGCAATTGGAATACCGACATATCCAAGTCCATATGTTGGATGCCAAACTAATATCCAATTTAATAAATAATTTATAGGAACAACTATCACAAGAACATAAGTTCCAGCATTGAATATATGTTGAGCTTGTAAAAACCTCTTTCCTGTTTCAAATAATACTAGACCGGGAGTTCCAAATATAAGTATTCTTAAAAATGTTTGTATCATATCTACTAATTCATTATCATCAATTACATGAGCTAATATAGATCCTGAAAACCACCAGATCAATGATAAGGGGAATACAGTTACTGCTAATATCATTAATGAACATCGCTGGAAATAGACTCCAACTAGATGTAATTTTCCTGACCCATATGCTTGTGAACAAAATGAATCTAAACTAGTTGACATACCTTGATATATAGCGAGGCCCGTTATATTAAATGTACATACGGCAAGAGATACAGCTGCCAATTCCTTAGCCCCTAATTTCCCTGCCGCATAGATTGATATCACCGATAACAAATATTGTAAGAAGAATGTAATAACTAATGGTATTGAAGCCTTAGTAATAAATTTGAGCTCTTCGGCCGAAGTAAGATCTTCAGCATCTGTTGCTTCATTCAAACTAGAATAGTTTTCGTAATCTACCACACCTATTAACAATTGTTCTTCCGAGTCCATGTTGTGTTTTATATCATTTATGGTATTATAATACTGGTAATTAATATGGGTTACCAATAATTTTCCACCTCTATTATATATATTCATTCGTTTATATATGTAAAGTCGGAACGGTAACGGTTGTTACGCGCGGAATAAGATTACCTAATTGGGCGGGCAATAGCGCGATATGATCAAAGCGCATTGCCTATTTAGGTAGGTAGATTGAACTATGTCTATATAAATATATAGAGAGACTGCTCTGATTGAACGAAGAATGAATTTATGTTATCGAGTGGTTTTGATTTGACAAATGGAATAGATATTGTGTCGTTGTAGATATTGTTAGCACGAGTGAAATATAATGAACTATCCAAATTTTTAAGGATTATTTCTTGAGTTTCTGGTGATAATTGTAAGCTTAAATCGGAACCATTGAACTGAGGGCTAGATATTTGAATTATTTGAGTAGGTTCGGTTTTACGAATGACTAATGTGAAATCAATTTTTTGGGGTTGGTTCAAATCTTGTTTGGATGTTGTAATTTCTGGTTTTGAAAGTTTGGGTGGAAGTGAGTCTATAGACATATCACTGAGTTCTTCTATAAGTGGTTTATTTTTCAATTCTCCTTTGATATTTGTTAGTTCAGGTAACTCTTCTTCCATATCTATATCATTAGTTTCTTCTAGTAATCCTAAGATTTCATTCTCTTGTATATCTTTGAGCCTCTTTTGAAGTCCAGAATCTTTAATCTCTGATTCCTGTATTTCAGTTTTCGATAACTCACCTTTAGCTAACATTTTGGGTTTGGAATATTCTCGATCAAATACATATGAATATGCCATTTCAACCGCTTCTATACACCATTCGATTAATATAGTTTTCAAGTCTTCACTCACTTGACACCATCGGAAGCAAATTGGATTAATACAACAATCAACAACTATAGATGCAACTCCCTTTTTATCTTTATCATTCTTAATATTAGAAACTATTAGAGGAATCTCCCATTTATTATCTATAATCAAGGGAAATACAACTGCTGGATCAAATTCAATTTCAGGTGTCGGTACTTGAGAGTCTTGACAAATGTTTATAAACACTTTTCTAGAAAGTAATGCATAATCTTTGGCTTCTATAATTTTGGTTTTAACCACAAATCCAGGTTTAGGATCTAATGTTATTACTTTTCCTACTTCTGTAATCGCTGCCATTATTGTTTACCTAATTTAGTAATTAGGAAGTCACGATGATTCAATTGAAATATTTTTGTTGAGTCAACTCCAGAAAAAAAATGAGTCTCCAGAATTTTTTTGAGTCAACTACTCAACTTAAATTTTTCACTCTCCGAACTTATTATCTATTAAATATATATACTTAATTAAAGTAAGATGAATGTTCTAGTATATTCAGGACCTGGGTCTACGACTGAAAGTGTTAAGCACTGTATAGAGTCACTTCGATACTTATTATCTCCTCATTATGCTGTAGTATCAGTAGGGGAGGCTTCACTTCTTAATGATCCATGGATGTATAAGACTGCCATGTTAGTAATTCCTGGAGGAGCTGATTTACCATATTGTCGACTGCTTAATGGTGCAGGGACTAGAAAGATAGCTCAATATGTTAAGAAAGGTGGTAAGTATTTAGGATTTTGTGCTGGAGCATATTTTGCATCTGGTAGAGTAGAATTTGAAGTAGGACATCCACTATTAGAAGTTACTGGTGATAGAGAATTACAATTTTTCCCGGGAATTGCTAGAGGCTGTACATTCAAGGGATTTGATTATAAATCTCATGCGGGTGCAAGAGCTCCTAAAGTTTGTATTGAAGGTACTACTGATAAGGTATATGCATATTATAATGGAGGTGGTGTATTTGTTGATGCTTCTAAATATAGGGGTGTTGAAGTGATTGCTAGATATGAGGAACCAATTGATTTGGAAGATGAAGAAAAAGTCGCTGTTATCTATAAAAAAGTTGGTCGTGGAGATGTTTTATTAAGTGGAATTCATCCTGAATATTCTCCTGATTTACTAAAACCTGAATCTGAAGAATTTAATAAGACCATTGAAATTCTTAAACAACACGATCATGAAAGAAAAGTTTTCTTACGTAATTGTTTGGCTAAGCTTGGTTTAAAGGTAAATGAAGATGTGGAAGCACAAATCCCTCATCTTACTCCTATATATGTATCATCCCATCTCGATACATCATTGGTTAATAAATTAGCCGAGAATCTAAAGAATAATGTTGATTTGGTCAATAATTCTACTTTAGAAGATGATAATGATACGTTAGTATTTCATGGTGAAGATGAAGATGAGCATCATTATCTTCTTTCAGATGATACTATATCAAGTGAAGACTATACTTCAGCTCCCAAACATATAAAAATATTTAATAATGGAGGTTTACCTGATTCTAAATCTACTCCTTATTTCAATATGGCTTCATATTTCAGTCAACTACAAGCTTTATGTAAGGGTAATAATTGTGAAATTGGATCCGTTCTTGGTTATGGAGAAGTTGTAACATCAACTAGTACTTTACTTGATCATAATCCAAAATTTTTATCCCAATTACCTCATGGATTTATTATTACTGCAACCGAACAAGTTGCAGGTAGAGGTAGAGGAGGTAATGTATGGGTGAATCCCAAGGGAGTTATGGCCCTGTCTATTTTATTTAAAGTACCATCTAAAGGTGGACCATCAACCAACATTGTTACATTACAATATTTATTAGTATTAGCCCTTATTGAAGCTATTCTAGGATATGGAAGTTATGAAAGGGGTAGTGGAGCAGGATATGAAGATATTCCTGTAAGATTAAAATGGCCTAATGATATATATATACTTAAACCCGAATTCTTTAACAATCTTGAAGATGGAAAAACTGTAAGTTCTACGGTAGAAGGTGATGATGAGAAATATGCAAAAGTATCAGGAGCTTTAGTTAATTCTCAATATATTGATGGTAATTTCAATTTAGTTTGGGGAGGTGGAGTTAATGTATCTAATGATGAACCAACTACATCATTAAATTCAGTATTAAAGAAATTAAATATTATCCGAGTAGCTAGAGGATTACCAGAATTACCTCCTTATCAACCTGAAAAGCTTTTAGCTAAAATGGTGTTTACTATGGATCAATTTTACAATGTATTTAAAACTTCTGGCCTTCGACCATTCTTACCTCTCTATTATAAAAGATGGTTTCATACTAATCAACAAGTAAGTTTGGATGCCAAGGGAGATGGTCATATTAGATCCTGTATAATTAGGGGGATTACTGATGATTATGGGTTACTCATAGCAGAAGATCAAAATTCGCGAGAGATATTACATTTACAACCTGATGGGAATTCCTTTGATATCTTCAAAGGTCTAGTATATAAGAAGCAGTAATATTTAGAATAGTTAGTTTAGATATAATTAGAATTTTTATACATTTACACATTTGTTATGTAGAGATTTGTGTATAAAGAGCCGTTTGTTATGTTAGATTTTTTCTGAGGATATAACCCTTTGTTGATATTTATACTATTACACTGAAACGACCAATTAACATGAAGGTCAAGATAGTTGAGTGGCATGGGTTCTCAACATGGCATTGGAATCTCGTGTCTGATAACAATGGGTCATCATCCGAATATATTGATGAACTATGTGGGATTTGTCGTGTAGCATTCGATGGTACATGTCCTAATTGTCGATATCCAGGAGATGAATGTCCCATTGTACTCGGAGCTGGATGTAGTCATAATTTCCATCTTCATTGTATTATTAAATGGTTGGAACAGAATACTTCTAAGGGTCTTTGTCCTATGTGTAGACAAGTATTCACATATAAGGAAACTAATGCAGTAGGATCAGAAGAAATGGTTAATTTACAGAATTTAATTATGGGTCATAAGTCACTTCGTGATAGTGGTAGAGATGCGGGACAAATGATTGAATCTATGTCTGAAGATGGAGATCTACAAATGACTACTTAGTAATAGTCATACTCGTACTCATACTCATACTCATACTCATATTAATCCGTAACTAGTCTTAGTCTGGCCTTCCCTAAGACCGACCAATACGCGACTGGATAAAATGCTAAAAAAATATGTAAGACAGTGCTTACGTATTGTCTGTTACATTAACACAATTGAATAATGTTGAGGATACCACATATTCCTGTAAGGTTAGTAAGTTCCAGAAGTATTGGTTACAGTATTAGAAGTAGAAGTTTTTCAACTTCTATACTTTTAAGCAATATCACTAAACCTCAATTCTCACTGGAAGATTTGGAAACTGCAAGAGTAACTAGATTAGCAGGTCTTAAATGGTTAACTAAATTACCTGAAAAATGGATACCTTATGCTGAATTAATGAGATTAGAAAAACCTGCTGGTTCACTTTTATTATTAATTCCTTCCTTATGGGGAATAACTATGGCAGCTTATTCAACTACTGCTTCATTAACTACAACCCTTTCAGCAATGGGATTATTTTCAGTAGGAGCTATAATTATGAGAGGAGCAGGTTGTACAATAAATGATATTTTAGATAGAAATTTAGATAATCAAGTTGCACGTACTATGGAAAGACCCATTACTAGTGGTAGAGTTAAAGTACCTCAAGCAGTAGGTTGGTTAGGAATTCAATGTTTTGCTGGTTTAGGAGTATTATTATCTTTACCAGCAGAATGTTTTTATTTAGGGGCTTTATCATTACCTTTTATTGCAACTTATCCATTATTTAAAAGATTTACTTATTACCCTCAAGCTTGGTTATCTATTTGTTATTCTTGGGGTTGTTTATTAGGTTTCCCAGCTGTAGGTGCCCCATTAAATCTTTTAGTGGCAGTACCATTATTCATTTCTAATTGGATATGGTGTGTAACTTATGATACTATATATGCTCATCAAGATAAATTATATGATATTCATGCGGGAATAAAATCAACAGCATTAGCTTGGGGAGAAAATACTAAACCAATCTTGAGAAAATTAACATATGCTCAAGCTGGTTGTTATTATTTTGCTGGAATAATGAATTCAATGGGTCCAGGATTTTATATAAGTGGAACTTATGCATTATGGAGATTATATAATATAATTAGAGATGTTGATCTTGATGATCAAAAGAGTTGTTGGAAAGCTTTTACTTCTAATATTACTACTGGATTCATATTCTGGTATGGTATGGTATTCGATTACTTATTAGTTCTTTTAGGTTTCCTTTAGATTAAGATTAAGATCAAAATAGATTTAATCCATTCTTGTAAATATATATTCATTATGGTGTTTCTTGAGTCAGAAACTGTCTATAAATTTGTTTCGTTAATTCCGAATCGGCTCTTATTAATGATTTTTGAAGAATATTTTGCTTATTTCCAATCTTTAATTGTATAATTACATTTTCAATATATTCCACTAAATGGATTAAAGGAACATCTCCGGGAAGTTTCTCCATAATCTCATTAGGAGTGAAATATGATGATCCGTAATTGGAAATGAAATGAGCCACAGCAAAATTGTTTAAGGTATCGGTTGTAGTCTGATCTAAATAGTAATTAAGTATAGTCTTCAAGTTATCCTTGACATTAATATTAATAGATTGTTGTTGTTTAGATACAAAATCTCTATAGTACGCCGCTTTGGATGATGGTAGTTGTCCATTAATTGCATAGGCTTCAGCAGATGAAAAATCATAGTGTTGAAGTAATATAGTTATGGGATCTTTCAAAGGGTTCAATACATTGAAATATGAAAATATCTCATCGTGTAACATTTCATCATCTAAAGAGAATTCATCAGTTATTTGAACTAATTCTAATAGCTTTAGATATAGACCAATAAAATCATCACATCCACTAGTACCTAATCGGATATATAAATAATCTGGCCAAGGTATCTTTGGCCATTTTGAATCATTTAATGAATTAACAATATGATAAGTTTGAACTAAGATTTCAAAATTATTCTTATTAGTTTCAGTAAAGATTGTTGGAGAAACTATTAATTTCTTAACTTCTATAAATAATTCATGAAGCAGATTAGAAGTACCACTTAAGGATGATTCTAAGAATTCAATTCTTAGTAAAGAAAAATCGAGTTCATCACCATATTTAGATGATATCTCTTGCATAATCTCATTATGTACACTTTTGAATTTAGATTTATTATTACTCTTCATATAACTAAGACCTTTATCTTTATTGATCTTTAACACTTCAAATAAATATGAAGAATAACTTGTTTCCGATGAAATTAATGGTAAATTATCTAATATATTTGATACCAATTCATTGTGGTCAGCTATATCATCCTTCAATTGTAAAAGTAAATCACATAATCTAATAGCCAATTCCTCTGAAGGAACAGTTTTCAATAGATATTGATATACAAAGATTAAAGACTTGAAGAGTTTCTTTTCTTGTAGAATTCGTATAATGGTTTCATTTTCATTATCCATGGTTTTCCAATTAAGTTTATCCTTACCATTAACAAATTCTATTACTTCATCATCTGAATTTATGAGTTTCCAATATGTACGACGAATTGCAGGACTATCATTAAGTAATGGATATACTCTTTTTAAATATAATAGAATAAATTCATCATTCTTCGACATAGTTAACTTAGATAAATTCTTTTCAATCCCAAAGGGTAGAGGGAAATCAAGATCATCATAATTGAATCCATAAAGATATACTATAAGATGAGCATCAACGACTAACTTCTTGTCAATGGTAAGATATAAGAATTTAGTGGCTTCTTGAATTTTGTTATCCTTTAAGTAGTATAACAATATCATATGAATTAAGAAAGACTTTATATGACCACTGTATTGATCTACTATAGATAAAGCTTCATCTAAGAATGATTGAGTATCAGTATCAGTATCAGTATCATTAGTCAAAGCATATTGCCATGCTTCATAAATTCTCAAGATTTCATTTTCAGGACAGAGCAACCATACTTTGGACTGGCTTAAGATTATTACACTACCACTATGATCTATAGTTTCTGTTAATAAACTCTTGGTATTATCCTTAAAGTATCTACTTCGTAGTATCTCCATTAAAGAACTATTTTCAATTGATATTTTAGAAGTTCTTTCTATTCGGAATTGGAATTGCATTTCGAATTCTTGAGTAGTTTCTTGTTCAAGACCTTGAATCTCAATATCTTGTTTAGTTTCTAAGGATACTAATGAACTTATCTTTAATTTATTATCGGGGAATATCCCAAATAAGTATGGCCATTCAATAGCCAATCCACCTATAGGATAATCTGACCAAGTAAGTGTTCCTCTTGTGACATCACCTAATGAATTTATAAACATGGCTAAGGATGTACTATCACCTGAATTTATAGTTAATAAATATTCTTGATTATTAGGACCCTTATCTTCAGCTCGGAATTGAATAATATTCGGTTGAATTTGAGTATCAATATCAGTACGATATTCAAATAAAGGGATTTTTCTAGTTAATCTTAAATCAAGTATATCATAGTTTTTATTATTAGCTACAAGTACCAAATTACTAAAATTTGTTGACATAGTAGAAGTAGTTGAAATACCTTTAACTGCATTGGCATAATTTATTTGTTTTAATAATTTGACTTGTTCTTGTTCTTCTTCATATTGAACAATTCTTACATTACTAGAAGTGAATAATAATAATTTATCACTACTTCTATTGTTTTCTGAACTATATTGTAATAACAGTATATCATTAATTTCTTTAAGTTTTCTTGTATTAGTGGGAGAAAGTTCCGGTAAATTATAAAATGTTGCAATTGTTCCACATAATATTAATATTTTATTTACCACAGGAATTATAACAAATTTATTTATAGAATCTTCATGAACTTGAATATTAGCTATAAGCATATATCCTGGTATATCTTCAAATCTATGATAATGTAATACTCTACCTGATGATGTTCCAACATATATATTTGATTCATAACATGTTATACATGTTATAATATCTTCTGAATCTTTATCAAGTATCAATTCTGCACTATACACGAGTTTCGTAGAATCATTATCATTATCTATTTCTATTTTCATTCTACAATGATATTTCTATGTAAAGTCTGTAGGGCACTGACTGAATTATTGGCCCTGAAATATTTAATCTATGTACATATGTATGGTGGGGTGCTATGTGCAGTCCCTTTCTAAAAATATATTACACCTAAACTTTGGGTGGGAATGCTATATTATCTCTATGTGCAATATATTCACTATCAGCATAGCCTAAGATAGATTCAATCTCACTACTCTGGAATCCCTTAATTAATTTAATTTCCGAAGAACTGTAATTAACACGACAATGACCTACTTCAACTGCTTCTGTTATGGATGATTGTTTGGTAGGAATTACTTGAATAGATACACATTCACTTTCATGAAATATACCATTAACATCTACTATACCTGCTGGAAGTAATCCTGCTCTATTCTTTCTAGTAAGTGCTCTATAACATCCTTCATCTATTATAATATTTCCTTTAGTTTTCAATCCATGTAATAACCAGAATTTTTTATCCGATCTTATTTGTGCATCTCTTGATAATCCAAGAAATCTAGTATGTAATGGAATGGTTTTCTTAGCAATATCGGCTGACATTAAATCTCTTTGTTGATCAACTGTAAGATGAAGTTCTTCTGAATTTTGAATATGAGATACTATATCTAAAATATAATATGGTTGACTCGATAAAGTTATAATTGTAGTAACTCCAGCATTAGTTGCAAGCTCAGCAGCAATCAATTTTGTTGTCATCCCACCTGTACCTACTTGAGAACCAGCTCCATGATCGTTAGTTTTCACTTCTAAATCATCTATTTTATCAACCACTAATATTGGACGTGCACTTGGATTGGTTCTTGGATTATCGGTATATAAACATTCTACATCAGTCATTAAGAATAAATAATCTGCATGAATCATTCCAGCAGTAATAGCTGAAAGAGTATCATTATCACCAAATTTAATTTCTGCAACAGATAATGTATCATTCTCATTAACAATAGGAATAACTCCCATATCAAGTAATTCCAGTAAAGTATTTCTGGCATTCTTATATTGAGTGAAATCCATAATATCATTTCTTGTAATTAAGATTTGGGCTATTCTTTCATTTAATTGTCGAAATAAATCATCAAATAATCCTATCAATCGACCTTGTCCAATAGATGCTAACGCTTGAATTGCTGCAAGTTTCGATGGTTTCTTTTCTAAATCCATTCTTTTCATTCCAAACGCAATAGCTCCTGATGATACAATGACTATTCTATGACCTTGTCTTCTTAATTTGGCAATGGTTTCCACAATAAGAGACATGTTGGCGATTCTTGGCTCTCGAGTAACCTCATCAACCAATGAAGAAGTACCCAACTTCACCACTATTGTATATGTTTTACGTCCCATGTGAGGTTATGTGATATTCACTACTTCGTAGTGGTAAGTTAGCAGATTTGATTAATTTTTCACTCTATTTATTTTTTTTATTTTTTATATTTTATTTTTTTTGAGTCATACTTCGCAGTCCGTAAATGATAGAGGGCACAACCTGTAAAGTGACTACCCATAAATTGAAGGATAGTCCTAGACTACTACACTTATTTCTTATGTATTTTATTATAAACACAGGTTTATAGGTAATATTAATAACAATATATAATTTTTATCTATATTCTCATAATTTTTGATTTTCGTAATTTTTATTATTTTTTGCAGCTATTTAATGATAATATCTAATACTGACTTTATCATCAGTGGTCAAGTCTTTAGCTATGACTTTAATTTCTTGACCCGGAAACAAATCAAATCCATTATCGTCTAAGAAAACATCTCTCTCAACTATAATCTCAACCCCCTTGACGGGCTTATTTGCAGATAATGTTATATAGCCATTAGATACAGCAAATTTAACCTCTCTATCGGGAAATTTAAGATATTTGATGGGTTGCGGCCAGTCTCCTGCACTTGCAATAACACTTCCATCTTTTTTAGATACAAATTTACTGTGAACTACAAGTGGGATTTTACTAGAAATAGGATGTTTCAGAACCACCTCAGTCGAAGAATTTCCTTTCAAGACGGTCTCTTTTGAAAATGATTCAACCTTTTTACCAGAAACAACTTCATAAATATCGACTACTAAGGTCACATATTCATCTTCAATTTTAGAACTTGAACCCCAAACATCCACAGAATAATCAACTGGATAATAATCATGTGGCTGTCCAGATTGTCCAACTGGTAGAGCTGCTTTTGGTGTATGTTTAACTTCATTTCTGTACATTCCAAGACTGATTGGTCTACTTTCTCTTTTAACCGAATAGTATGCTAATTTGGGTCTCTTATAGTAATCAATAATGGCCCAAGAGGTGACTGGCCAACAGTCATTGATTTGCCAAACAATAGCACCTCCTGTATATCTCTTTCCATCACCTCTCCATTCTCTTCTCCAACATCTATAAGCATACCCAAGACACTCTGATTGCATTAATTGAGTAGCATAGATCCAAGAATCAAAATCTAATCCTTGTACCTTAATGTTTTCAATCACATATAAAGCCAAACGCCGTTCAAAACCATCTGCTTTGTTATGATGATCAACAGTTTGACTCTGTGGATATAATTCATCAGGATCAGTTATGCAAGCTTCAAATGTTTTCCTATTGGGTAAAGCTTCCATTCCAAATTCAGATATAAATCTTCCTCCTAGTTTATACCAATCCTGATATTTTTCCTGATTTCCATGCCATACATTCCATTGATGGAGATCACCTATAGTTGGATCTGCAGTTCCCTTACCTCCCCAAGGAGATCCAGGATGATAAGGAATTTCAGGACTGAACTTTTGAACGATTCTAGGAAAGACCGTTTCATAAAGAGTTCTAGCTGGGAATGTAGTTGCTGTATAATCTCCCGAAGTGTCTTCCGGATTCCATTCCAAATTAAATTCTTCGGCAACTTGATAATCTTCATTATTTCCAGCATACAAGGCAATACTACAGTGATTTCTAAGTCTTTTTAACTGATAATTGATCTCTTCGGTAACATTGTCAATAAATTCAGGATAAGCAGGATATTGACCACAAGCAAACATAAAATCATGCCAAATCAAAATTCCCTTTTCATCACATAAATCATAGAATAAATCATTCTCATAATAACCACCACCCCATATACGGATCATATTCTGATGACCATCAACTGCCAATTGTAAGAGATCTTTGTAATCTTGATCAACCAATAATGTTTGTAAAGAGTGTGCAGGGATCCAATTAGAACCAGCAACATAAACAGGAACAGAATTTACCTTAAAATAGAAACTAGATCCTTCTTGTTCCTTGAAGTTTTCTTGGACTAACTCCACCTTTCTTAATCCTACCTTTTTGATAATAACCTGATTATTCAACGTGTACTTGAATTCATATAATGGCTGATCACCATGTGTGAAAGGGTACCATAGTTCGGGATTTTCAATAACGAACTTATTAGAGAATGATGTAGCATTCACTGTGCTAGAAAATGATTTAATTAATTCTCCAGATGGAGATAAAACTTGTAACAGAAGTTGCTCGGCATTTGTAAGTTTAATTTCTACTTGTGAATTGATTATGGCAGCTTTCTTTTCCAAGTCTACATCAGCTTGAACATACACATCAACAATCCTTGCTTCATAAGAAACCAATTTAACTGGTTTGTATGGTCCACAAGTTATTAATACAGGACCCCAATCCCAACCAAAATGATATTGAGCCTTTCTGACTTGAAGTCTACTCGTCTCACCATTAAAACATTTGAATTTTCCATGCTCTTGTTCTAATGCTCTCGCAGTAAAAAGGGCACTTTTGAAAAATATTCTAAGTTCATTATCACTATCAAATTTCAATGCAGATTTGACATCGACAGTATATTGACGAAACATATTATCAGTCCGTAAAATTTCTTTATCATTAAGATATACTGTTGCAAATGTATCCAAACCATCAAATATCAACTCATGATTGACCTTAGATTTGGCAGAATTAGAAACTGAAAATATCGCCTTATACTCCCAATCTTTCTCACCAACCCATTGAACATCTCGTTCATTTCGATCTAAAAATGGATCAGGAATTTCTTTATTATGCAAAAGATCAGCATGGATCTCCGTAGTAGAAGCACCAGGTCTCAGTAATTTCCAATCATTAGTTTTGTATTCTCTATAACTCCAATTCTTAAGGGTCAATTCTTCAAACCCTTCAGCCTGTTGCGTCATGATTTTCAAATTTAGTCAGTGTTTTCTAACCACTTCACTGGAGGGGAATATTAGACAAATTGCTTCATGGAATATGAATATTTATATATGGTTGCTAGGAAAGTCAAAACGGAATCGGATCTGAATTATTTTTGAAATGTGGGGGAGATTTTTTTGCTTGTCAGGGAGCATTACCTAATTCATAATATTTGTCCGGTTTCGTTAACTTTTGCACCTTCAGAAAATAAAGTTTCCATCGTGCACCCCAACTTGAGCTGCTAACAATCAACTCCTGTGCATCAGACACATTCACTATTTCATTCCCCTCTATGAAACAAATTTATTTCATTTTGGGAACTTCTTCTACTCTATTGTATTGCAGAATTTGAATATGTGAATATGTTTTGGGGAATGCATCTAAGTCATAGTTACTAACTTCTTGATTATATTGTAATGCTAGAAAGTCGCTTATGTAGTTTAATGTCTTTTGCAATCTATTATAAAACTATAACAGTGAAACATAGAAGTAATTCAATTTCTACAATTTTTCATCTTCTGCTGTATTTATTAACATATTAATTATGTACGGAGAATAGAAAACATTAACTTTTATCTACAATTTGGGACTGTAATGCTAAACTTCTAATATCTCTGAATACCCAAAATACAACAGCACCATCAACATCATCATCGTAATATGTAAACCCTTTTAGAATGGTTGTAGCACTACCATGAACTTCATCTTGCCAAACCAAATCATGAACGTTTTGAAATTTGATAAATAACGACAAAGGAACCTTGAATTGATCAAATTCCATTATATCATTTAAATCAATTAAACATTTAGCAGTTTTAACTACACAATCAGATAATAGTGTCCAAATTCCATCCAATTGTTTTGCTACATTAAAGGTACTTTGAGCTAATCCTGAAATGAAATGATATAACCCTGGAACCGGAGACATTGCAATCATTCTACCTATAGTATCTTTTCTCTTTAATGCATAAGTATAATAACAACATAATAATGTGTTATGAAGTAAATGAAGTATAAAAGCTTCAGTACTGCCTCCAAGCTTGTCTTTTACTATTAATAATTCACCAGGAAGTTTGGCGGGCCATAGAAGAATATCAAATTCAAGTTGTAAAAACCGTAATTTACGTTCTGTAAAGGACAATTTCTCATCATTGACTAACCACATCATAGTATAGATGTAATAACCAATAAACAAGAAATGATATACAAATAATGTCGGATTTAAGGTAGATAGATATGTTAATGTTTTAAATGGAACTAATGGGTCTGTTATAAGTAATTTTGATCCATTGAACATGGAATAATAAGCATCAGTGATCATGGCACCAAGTATCAAGTTAATTGACAATTGATCCTTTTCAGTAGATGACAGAATTTGATTAAATGAAAGTAAACTTTTATATATAATGGAATTTCCAATGGGAACTCTCAAGGGAACCAAAAAGAAACAAGCCAAAGAAACTTCATTCCATTCAAAATCAGGAGAAGCAATCGTTGAATTAATTAAATTTAAATGGAAACTGCTATCAATATACTGAAGTGAATTACTATCAAAATTGCATTTGGCAGCGATATAAATACAACTTTCACAAAATTTATCCAAGTCATATTTGAAGATTTCTTCATCTAAGAAGGGAGTGTAGTGTTCAATGTAGTTGTGATATAAAGTTTCTAAAGTCTCTGTAACATTCGAACCCAGCAGTAGGGAACTAGGAGAGGCTTCAGATAAGGCCTGGGGACTCACATCCAAGAAAGGAGAATGTAATATAAATGAATCTGATTTTGGTTTAGGCAGGACATCTTTGGGAAGTTTCTGATTGACAATAACATGATCAAATACACATTCTCTATCATGAAGTCGACAATTTTCACAAATATTGGTATTGGATTTAACGGCACATTTTATCTTTCGTTTTCGACAAAAGTTACAAGCCTTAAATAATTTGAATGTAGATCCATATGTTGTTGATCTCCTTCTTTTTGAATGTGTTCGACGATTTGTCTCAGCTTTGCTTAGAGAAGCACCTGATTCTAGTAATGGTACGGATACTGAAACTTCACGAGTTACATTCACGCTTGGTTCATTCTGAATTATATTATTGGGCGAGTCACTTGACAACATTAAGCATATCCTGCTCTTAAAAAGCTTACTTGTAAGATTATACTCTATTTACTATTATGATTGGGAGTTATTGTATTCCTCAAAGTATTGTGCGCTGCCCCGCATTTTCTCTGGCTAGACCCACGCCTTAGCTTAATGTTACACAAACTGTTAGAATATAGTTTAACAACTTAACAACATATGCTATTAGAGTACTCCAGTGTGAATATCGAGGATATTGAAATGGTAGGAAGATGTTAGTATTATCATTCCACAGTTGACTATTAACATAAACGAGATTAAAAGATTAGATCCTCCCTTTGGAATCTCCCTTTTGGAATAAGGAAATGATTAAATCCGATTCACCGAACTGTAATTAGGTATGCAAAAGTGGTGGATGGATTGTATTCGCAATCTAATTGAATTATACACAAATTGATAAACTTTGTTCCAGAAGGGGAATGCTATATTATATTTTGTACTTACTGATATTCTGTCTTTAAATATTTTTAGGCGATAAGAGAAGGTGTGTAAGAGATAGGAAAAGGCGAGGCCGATCTGTCCGCGCTTTAATCATACACATGTCCGAGCCTAAATATTAGGCCCAATTTGATTATATTGATTTTAGGTTTTGTAGCCACAATTCTCAATCCAGTTTCTCACTCAAAGCTTTATTTAGACCTATACCGGAGAACTTCCATAGTTTTGCGCTTATTCACTAATTTCGCATTTTCGAAGAGAATGACTGAAATGAAAGATTTATGCATACACATTTAATTGGCATATTGAGTCATCCTAAGGTTAAAGGCAAACAATAAAATACTTATTTCCAAGAACCACAGCATCTATCACTATCTTGCCCAATTATAATTAATCAATGTGTAAGGGACGCAATTGCTTACAGTCTAAATTATCTTTAAATTAGTAATTAGAGCAAAAGAAATTGCGGCTGAAAAATAAAAATGCGCAAATGTTTTTTCGCAATCATTAATTCTTATCCGAGCTGCCACACTTTGAACAACGGAGAAACCTAATAAGGAATCTCTGAAAGTACCTATTGTTTCAGCTTACCTCAATGACTCGTATGATTGTGATTCGACAGAAACAAATAATAACGTAGATCATGCTGCAATTACATTTGGGGCGTCCACAGTGCTTCAAAGTGAAAAGTGAAAAATGAAAAGTGAAAATTTTGACATTTATAAAGGAGTCATTATAAATACTCTATAAACTAACTAATTTTAAAATTATTATTATAGAAGTGGAAATAAGAGTAAGTAAAAAGAAAATAAATTCTAGGCAATGTCATTATTTAAGAAAATTGCCAAGGCTTATGTTGCTTCTGAAGCGCTTGTTCAAGATGATAGATATCACAGAGGAACAATTGAACATGACGAGGATGAAAAGCTGGGAAATGTCAATATAGAAGTTAATCCTGTCGGATCAGATGATTCTAGTGATTCTTACACTTATATTGATTTGTCTTTGAACTTAACTCCAGAAGAAATTCATTACAGGGAAACTTCGAAATGGTTTAAGTTGAGAAAGTTCTTGTGGGATGGTACAGGTAAACATCCTAAGGAACAAAAGTATTTATTAAAATTAGATTTCTTTTTCTTGTCTTCAGCTTGTTTAGGTTATTTTATTAAGAATTTAAATCAATCTAATGTTACTACTGCTTATGTTAATGGTATGCAAGAATACTATGGTATGTACAATAACCAATATAATTATGTTACTACTGCTTTCACTGTCGGTTATATCGTTGGTCAAATTCCTTCAAATTTAATTTTACATAGATTAAAAGCAAGATATTACTTAGGTACTTTAGAAATTATTTGGGCCATTTTAACTTTACTTATGATTACACCAGGCAGAGGAGAAATTAGAAGTGTTTATGTCTTACGTTTCTTTGTTGCTTTATTTGAGCTGGCATTTTTCCCTGGGTTTGAATACTTAGTTGGTTCCAATTATAGCACTGCAGAAATTTCTAAAAGATCTGCTTATATTGCTATTTCTGGGGTTGTTTCGGGTATTATATCTGGTCCCCTTCAACAGGCTATTCTTACAAGGTTCAAGCATTCAAGTATAGAACCTTTCAAATGGATGTTTATATTTGATGCAATAATCAGTTTCCCCATCGGTATATATACGTTTTTTGCTAATCCTAATACTCCTTCAACTACTGATGTATGGTATTTCACTCTCGAAGATAAATTGGTAGGGTTAGAAAGAAGAAAGAAAGCAAAAGCCCAATTAAATACCAGAGTTCCATACAGTTGGAAAATAGTCAAGGAATTCTTTAATACTTGGCATATTTATGTCTTCCCATTATTATTCCTTGCTTATAACAATACCTGTGCTGCTTTCGGTAATCCTACTTTCCAATTATGGTTAAAAGTTACATTGCAGAAATCATCATACGCTTATAATACTTGGCCATCAGTGGTTTATGCTGTTGGTGTAATTATAACACTTATCATATTCTACTTAAATGATTTCTTGGGGGGTAAGACTAACGTTTACATTGTAAGTCTGTATTTTATATTTGTGACATTTGGGTGTATATGTTTGGCAGTCTGGGATATTCCAATCGGTCTTCATTGGCTTTCTTATTTCCTTATTGGATTCCCAACAGCCTATGGTCAACCTGGTATTGTTTCTTGGATGAATAGATTACTATTACATAATGATATGAAAAGAAATTTTGTTGTTGTTTGTACAAATACACTTGCTTATGTTACTGGAGCTTGGGTTCCAATTCTTGTTTGGAACACTAATACAGCCCCCGAGTATTTTATTGGATTTACTTATACTGCCGTGTTGGCTGCGCTAGGATTAGTATTGACTTTCTTGACTCAATATTTGAGTCTTAGAGATGAAAGAAGAGCAAAGAGTGATAAGGAACTGGAGGCACAAAGTTTAGAAGGATCTGAAATTGCTGGCAATGAAAAGGAATCATTTTAAATCTAGTTAGTTTTTTATACTTCGTTTCTTATTAAATATATTGATTTATTGAGCTTACAAATCTAGTAATGACAAGAACAAAAATTTGATCATTTATAATAGTAAATACTATATAGAATAATCTAACCGAGGACTGAATTAACATTCTTAGGATCAAGATCTATCCAATCAGTAAATTGTTGAGGCAATGATTCGGCATTGAGCTCTGGATAATTTTCATTTATGGCCTTTACTACGGCAGCAAAAAGAATCTTATATGCTTTAGCAGTGAAGTGAATACCATCTCTGATATATTCGTGTACACTTATATAATCTTCATCAGGTGTATCACTATGAGAAGCATGTAATTTATCTAAGGGAAATTTAGAATCTTTAAGGAATTCTTCAAACACATTCACATAAGCCACATTATTTCTTTTAGCAACTTCCACAGCGGCTGCAGCATATAATTGTTGTCTTAAGTTATCAGTATTATCAACAGTTACCTTACGATTATATAATTTGTATAATTCTCTGGCTAACTTTGCATCATGGAAACCAGGAGTTATAACAATTGGTTTAATATTTGACTTTAAACTTAATTTGATCATATAATCCAAATTCTCTTTATATCTATCAAGTGGAACAGCTTGAACTTCAGCGAGTTTATCATCTGATTGTGAGACATCATTTGTTCCAAAGAAAATTGTAATTAATTTAACATTATTCTTGGATTCATTCAATTCTGCTTCTAAAATCTTTGGAAGAATTACTTTGGCATGATCACTACTATAACCATTATAACCTCTATTAATAATATCTACTTTTCTAGCATATAAGTTTTGCAATGCTGGATGTAAACCAAATCCAACTTCTTGGTCATTACTCATTTGAGTAACTGAATCTCCAAATAAAATAAATTTATTTAATCTTGCAGACATTGTTTTTTTACTGTAACTTTACTTTTCTATTCTTATACTGTACCCCTCATGCAAATTGAAATAAATAATCCGTATTTTGGTCTCAATTTATAACTCCAGAATATTTTATGGTCTAATAATAACATAATATCTCCGTATTATTGCGGGAATTGCAGAGATGTTCCGAAAAACATCCCCCACATTTCGCACTATAAAATAGGTGAAAAATTTCACTAAAGTTTATTAACCTTTAATCGCTAACGAAAAATGGTGAATCACCAATCAGTGAATCACCAATCAGTGAATCACCGAACGGTGAGTCACCAAACGGTGAGTCACCAAACGGTGAAGCACCAATGGTGGAAAGAATCTATAGTATATCAAATATGGCCTGCTTCATATAAGGATTCTAACGGAGATGGAGTAGGAGATATACGGGGTATTGTTGATACATTAGATTATTTAAAAGAATTAGGTATTGATGTCATTTGGATAAGTCCTATGTATGATTCACCTCAAGATGATATGGGATATGATATTAGTGACTATGAAAAGATCTATGAAAAATATGGGACTTTGAATGATATGGAAGATCTCATAAATGAGTCTCATAAGAGAGGGTTAAAGATTATATTAGATTTGGTTATAAATCATACATCTAATCAACATGAATGGTTTAAAGAATCTAGATCATCAAAGACTAATCCAAAAAGAGATTGGTATATTTGGAAACCTCCAAGATATGATGAAAATGGTAATCGTCAACCTCCTAATAATTGGGGTTCTTATTTCTCGGGTTCTGCTTGGACATATGATCAATTAACTGATGAATATTATTTACATTTATTTGCTGAATCTCAACCTGATTTAAATTGGGAAAACAAATTGGCAAGAGAAGCTATATATAAATCAGCCATTTTATTTTGGCTTCAAAAGGGAATTGATGGATTTAGAATTGATACAGCTGGTATGTATTCAAAAGTTCAATCCTTTAAGGATGTACCGATTATTTTCCCTGATAAAGACTTTCAGCCATGTAAACTTTATCATCAACATGGACCTAGGATTCATGAATTTCATAAGGAAATATATGAAAGATTTATAGAACCATTTAATGCTATAACTGTGGGAGAAGTTGGACATTCTACAAGAGAAGAATCTTTAAAATATGTTAGTGAAGAAGCTAAAGAAATGAATATGATGTTTTTATTTGATGTTGTTGAAGTAGGAGTTGATTCACGAGATAGGTTTCGTTATAAAGGGTATGATTTGATTGATTTTAAAAGAGCCTTTCATACTCAAAGTTCCTTTTCAGAAGGTACTGATGCTTGGTCTACAATATTTATTGAGAATCATGATCAACCCAGATCAATTTCTCGATTTGGTAATGATTCACCTGAATTCAGAGTTCAATCAGGTAAAGCTTTAGCAACTTTACAAGTGGCATTAACTGGGACTGAATTTATTTATCAAGGTCAAGAGATTGGAATGATTAATCTTCCTCGAAGTTGGGATATAAAAGAGTATCAGGATATTAATACTGTCAATTATTTCCGGGAGAATGGATCTAAAACGGGAGACAATGAAAAGTTAATGGATGTTATTAATTTAATGGCTAGAGATAATGCCAGATCTCCAATTCAATGGAATTCTTCAAGTCAAGGAGGGTTCACTAGTGGTACACCTTGGACTCGAGTTCATGATAACTATGAACAAATCAATGTCGAATCACAACTCCATGACCCAACATCAATGCTTAGTTTCTGGAAACAAGCTATCCGGTTAAGAAAACAGTATAAAGAACTATTTGTTTATGGAAGATTAGAAATCTTAGACTGGGAAAATGAGAACATTTTTACATTTCTTAAAATTGACGAAAGAGGAAACAAAGCTTATGTGGTTATAAACTTCACTGCTAAATCAGTAAACTTTGTTAATTTACTTCCAGACAAGACACTAACTTTAATTCTTAGTAATCAAAGCAAAGAATTAAGTGAGACACAATTAATGCCTTATGAGTCAAGAATATATTTGGTACAATGAATTCATTTATTCATTTATATATATATATATATATAGTAAGCATAAAGTAACTAAATATATGAATCGCGAGATCCAGTATAACCATCATTCAATGATTCAATTTTATCATTAAACCAAAACCCAATCATAACTACCGCATACATAATGATTAAGATAAATCCTTTGAAATAATTAGATCTACCTTCAGCATAAATGTATGTAAACAAATATATAGAAATTAAAGTTGCAATGATATCCCATCTTGGAAATACTAGGGAAAACATTTGTTCAACATTAATAAATCCCATAGAAATAGAATAAAATACCAAAGAAGGTATTTGAATTAATACTACTTGTAATGCATATGCACTACCAATCTCCATAGATAATGCCACATTACCACCAACTGCAAATGAAATAGCATTTAAAAATTCAGTAGTATTTGGAACTAATGCAAAAACTGTTAATCCTAAAAATTTTGGATCAATTGGATAATCAGCCAATACTGCATCTACAGTATCCACTAAAATTTCAGCAATAATTGCATATAATAATGTAGCACCTAATAAGATTATAGCTGATTTTGTGGTTGACCAATTTGGCGCATCATGACCTCCACCTTCATGTTCATTTTCTTCAACCACTTTTATAGGAGTATCATCCACCAGTTTTCTATGAATTAATGGTGAAGCAAGTGATTTTAAAGCTGAAGGTGGTAAACTACTAAGACGTTGAGGAACTTTACTTGAACCAGCAGGAATTTGTTGTGGAGTTGCAAAACTTGATACACTTGGAGATCTATAGGACAGTTCATCCTTTTTAAGATTTGTTGGTTCATGAGTTGCCCAAATTAATGAAGCATGAGTCTTTAATGTAAAATACAATCCACAAATATAAGTAGCAAATAAAGAACCAGCTACAATTAAAGAAAATGGTTGAATTATTTTATAATATAATACATCTAATTCAAGTGAAGGTTGAACAAATCGACATTTTGTACAATCATCTTCAAAAAGATTAAATTCACATTTTTTACATCTAATTTGATAAGGACCATAAATTTGATAAAATAATGAAGGAGCAAACATTACTACCATAGCAAATAAAAACATTGTTGATGATACTCCAGCTGATTTTGGATTATATTTTTGAGTTTTCCGAACTAATGCACCACCACACATTGATAAACCCGGTAATAATAATACTCCCCCTAAAATTGAACCAATCATTGATCCTTCAACTAATTTACCTTTACCTTGATTTAATGCAACACAATATAAAAAGATTTCAACAATTGTTGAAAAAAAGGCATTTATAACTGCACCAACTCCCATAGATGATTGAGCAGAAATAGATGCTACAGCTTGACCAATAAAATAAGCTAATGGAATAATTGAAAAAAGACATGCACAAAATATAAATGTTGAATCAGTAAACCATGAATCCCATTCTAATTGTTCTTTAAATACATAAAAATCAAATATAACAAATATAACTGCTGCTAATAAATTTATAAAGAAAATATTAGTACCATCAATTGTATACTTATAATAATGAGATCCACAACATCTATAAGTACATAAAATAATCATTTGATTCTTTTTCTTTTTTTGATGTCTTTTATAATATTCCTTTTCAATTTCAAAATCTAACGCTAATGGATGACGTCTTAAATGATAACATATAGTATTAGTAATATTAGCCATTGGAATTGTAAAAACTATAAGCCAACAAAAAAATCCAATTATATATAAGATTGGTTGTAATACAACATGAAAGAAAAGATAAAATGCTAAACGTCCAGAAGACCAGCTTCCTCTACCAAAAAGACGCATCTTAATATCTTGGTCTTGATCTTGGTCTTGATCTTGTTCAAGATCTTGTTCATCATTATCTACTATAGATTCATTATGAGTTTGACTATTTTGATCTTCTCCACCTAATGAAGAATATGCATCTCCAAGTGGTCTACCCTTATGATCTTTTAATAAAGGTCTTGATTCTGCACTTTGAGTATTTCTTCTAGGTGGAGCAAAGAATAATCGACCTTCTTCTTGTAATCTCCATCTTTGAAATTCTTTTAAAGTTCTTCCATATTGTTCATCTTCATTTAAATAATTTTCATCTTTATTTAAAAGTACAAATTTACCAAATGGGTATAACCAATATTTACCCAATTTAAATAATAATCGAACATAAGGTCTCAGAGCTCGATGAATTCCAAATCCTGATGATATAAATACTATACAACCTCCAGAAATGCAAAGAATAAATAATGGTATACCAATAAATAAAGACCAAAGTAAATTTGTTAGGGTAACTCCCCAAAAGATTCTTTTAGGTTTTGTAGGATCAAAATCATGAATATCTTCTTCAGCTCTGGCAGCCACCGATCTTTGCTTTTTATATAAAGAAGGTTTCCAAATTTTAATACCAAAAGGATGAGTTTTATTAATAGCAGCTTGTCTATCCTTTAAATTTAATGATTCTATTGTATTTGATGAAGATGATGTACGAATAGATTCATTATCTTCATGAAAACTTACTTCTAAATCTTCTTCTGATTCAATAGTATTATCAGCAATATTATCATTATCTCTAAAATTATCCAAAAGTTTCATATTTTCTTCAGCATCTATTAAATCTTTTGTTATATGAGATTCAATTTGTTTAACTTTATTTAAATCATCTGATGATCGAATTATTAATTTAGATCTTCTTTGATGTAATGCCTTTAATGCATCATTATAACCTTCCAAATAATCTCTATCATTAGTTACTTCAATTTCTTCATCTTTATTATCATCAACATCTTCATTAACATCATCATCAACTGAATAAATAAAATTTTGATGACTACCACTAATAGTAGAATTCCTCTTTAAATGGGGTCGAGATTTCTTTCGTTGTTTAATTCCACCTCCACTAATTGGTAAACCATTACCTCCAGGAAATCCAATCCCCAGTCCATTACCCAGAGCTGGTCCCAGAATAATTCCACTAGTTTTAATTTTAGGGATATGAGTTACACTAGAAGTTCGAGAAAAATCATTAGGATTTTCAGGATAAATTGGTAAAATCCGAGGAGATTGTTTAATATTTGAATCTACTGGCCCATTCACCGAGTCAGACATATCAATTGAATAATTTAAACTATTTAATTGCCGAATTAACTAGAGATATTTATTTTATTTTATTATTTGTTATCGAATATTTTCGGTTTTCGCTTTTCGGTATAAGCCATCGGCTTTTTCCCCCCTCTATGATGTCAACTAATTTTTGTACCTCAAATGTCACAGTGTTACATTATGAAACACCGGCTAAAGTATATTTTATGTTTACTTTTTTGACGTTAATGTTTATATATTTAGTATATGAATTTATATATATGTATGTGTTTATGTAAGTTTGATATACATATATATATATATAGGTATATATATTTAATCTCCTAATCTGTGACCTTTACCTTGGAAAGCATGTTCTGCTCCAAACCATGATGTATAGGTTGGAGCTGGAGGCGAATCTTCTAACAGATTAATTCGTCTCGTAGCATTAGAATTATGTCCATTAACTCCTGTACTAGTTGCACCTCCTCCACCACCAACAGGAATTCCTCTAGAATTATTATTATTATTAGGACGAGTTCCAATCTCTAAAAATGCTGTAGTACGCTTGGAATTATTGGTAGGATAATTTAATAAATTATATAACCAAATTGGAGCCTTTAAATAACCTTTATCAAAGATAGAATCTTCAATAAAATCAGCTGAACTACCTTCAGTATTAAGTAAATGAATAGTTCCAACTCTTCTACCAGGATTATTTGAATTAGAATTAAATCCATATGCACCAGGAAATAAATTATAAATTGGTAAAGTATCTGATTGAATACATTGATAAATATAACCTCCAAATATTCCAATTGAAGTATCTAAAAATGAAGGATAACCACTAACTATTAATTTAAAAAATAAATTAAATAATGGTAAATAATATGCTTTAATTGGAATTAAACCTAAGAAATTAATTACTGAATTTTTCAGAGATCTTGACCAAATATATGTCACACAACTTAACATCATTTGATGATGAATTGGAAAATGATTAGGATCAATAAATGCATTATAAAATAAAGTAGTTAATACTATACATGTACCAGCCAATAAAGTAAACCAAAGACAATCCGGGAAATTTCTTCTAAATTTACCTTGATGACTTTCTAAATGATTAGCAAATGTATAAAAGAAATAAATATCAAGAATTGCTTGGAATGGTTGATCAACAAACAATCCATAAGGTAATAAAAAGGCAGTAAAAAACCTATAACTTTGAAATAATAACCAAATAATCGAAGTAACTATTTGATAATAATTACCTTTATGAACTATAAAATTAACTTGATATAATTTATCTAATAATAATGGTAAATAACATATTAAATCTTGAGGTTGAATAATTTTTAATGAATTGGCAAAACATACTATAACAGTAGTAATTGTAAAGAACCTGGTAACAGGAGGAATATTCTTGATACTCTCAGCCAACGTCAGAGATTGGTTAGGCATTGGTCTGGATGTTTAGTTAATTATGTATATGATTGGGAAGTGCATACGTAATATGAAAAATCTCACATAATCCCCAAATTTTGTACGCACACTCCATCACCAAAGCCAAGAGAGAAAAAGTACTTACTATTAAACCAAAAATAACTGGTTTTCAACGAGTTATCTGTAAGACTAATCACATTTGTAGATCAATATGAAGTTAGTTCGATTTTTAATGAATTTACCTAGTTCTACTAGTCTGCCTGTAACAGTAGAACTTAAAAATGGGAACTCTATAAGTGGTCAATTATTATCATGTACGCCTCTGATGAATTTATCATTAAAGAATATTAAATTAATTCAACCTTATCAAGATCCTCAATTATTAGAATATATGAATATAAGAGGAAATCAAATCAGACAAATAATATTACCAGATGAAATTAATATTGAGGCAATTCTAGCTAAAAGTGTCGTTAAAATTAAAGGTCAAGGTGCTGGTCCTGGTGCAAGAGATCCTCAAACATCAAGAGGTGGAGGTCCAGCTGGTAGAGGTGGTAGACCATCAAGGGGTGGTCCAAGGGGTGGATCAAGAGGAGGAAGACCCAGACCATTTTAAATGTTTATGGATGGAGATACTGGTCCCTGGTCTCTTTGTATTATAGAAATTGTCTTTTGATTAGCATGTTATAACAAACTTTTAGAATTATTAAAGAATGTTTAATCTACAGATATGTATAAATATATAATATTATAATGATTATATCATTAAACTAATACACAAGAATATGGTGAATCTATTTACAGAGTAGGTAAAAATGCAGAATGATGAATCATGATTAATTTAATTAATTCAAAACCAGTTCTTTTTACGAGCTTCTCTCTTTTCAATTTGTTTCTTATAAGATGGTCTGGCTTTAACAATGATTTCATCCATATTGGCAAGAGCTTCCTTTCTGGCTTCCAATTTCTGTGGTAATTCTCTTTCCCATTTATGTTTCTTTTGTTGTAATACACCTCTCATCCAGTTCTTATTATTATATTTCTCTTCATAGAATTTCTTTGGTAATGGTGGTAATAAATCTTGAATACCAAACTTTCTGGCCATTTTATATAAATCAGATGATCTTCTTAATGAGATTTTAGCTCCATGCCATCTACCACTTTCAGGATTTTTATTAGGTAAGAATGGATTTAGTTTTGGATCAGTTGTTATGGTTGATTTATTACTATATTCCACAAAAGGTCTTGGAGGAAATTTTATAAAGAAGTTGTGGAGCTTTTGGGGAAGCTTGGCGAATGCTTCCTTTGATGTTAAAGACATTATGTTGTTATATTATTATTGTAGGGATAGTTGGTCCTCTTAGTTCTATAGTACACTTACTTCATATTGAAGTTTTTTATTGACGCAAACTTCTGAAAAATTTTTGGTGAAGGTCTATGTGCAGGCCGAGAGTTTCTTAACTATGTATAATTAATATTAAGTATATATAATGATAAATGAGTTGCGGAATTCATCTTTCAGATGATCATTACAATAGGAAGATCATAGAAGCAAAGGTTACATTGTGTGGGTTATGATATTCTACCAAAAGAGGGAAATCAATGTCAATTACTAGCCAATAATTTATCAGAGTTACAGTTTGCAGCACGTGATTCACCACGGACTTTGACCTTTTGCAATAATAACTAATTTTAAGAAGTCAACTCTATCTAAGCGGTTCAAGACTATTACAGTAACATAACCCAAGAATATCTGAAATAGCGGCAATCAATTAAAGGATTTATTTCAATACCCGACGCTTATATCTCACTTTACAATATAATTGCTCTTTTTGTGGCCCTTTTATTTCTGGGCATAGATACAATTATCGGTATTAAGAATATGACATGATAATTTAACTAATTGCCTTATCAGCTGTTAAGTTAAATTTTTATTTCCTTTATTATCGTCTTTGTTTTAGCGGATGTGACTAATTATAGAAAAATAGAGTTGGATTTTTGTATTGTATATCATATTGTCTCCACTCGGTCGTTTCAAACTAACTGCAAAAAAAATTAAGATTAGAAAAACTTAAATTTCATATCGGGGGCTGAATGGTTTGTAGCGGAATTATCCCTATTTAGAATAAGATTCCATGTTAAAAATGTATAGTCTTTTGAATGCTAGGCAAGTATTTATTATTGGATAAATATAATGATTACAGATTAGTGATACATATGGTTATCGTAAGAAGTCAGCCGTATATAAGATAGCATTATTGCTATTTTGAAGATTGTAAATGTAAAATTTTCACAAAATGTCTAATTAAAATGTTAGAAACTAAAGAAATTAAAACAGGTATAGATATTGAGTCGGTGGGTACTTCTTACTCGATTGAAGAGCCAGCAGATTTTCATACTAATGTCGACTACTCAAAATATGGTGAAACTAAGAGAAAATTAGAAACAAGACATATATCTTTAATGATTATCGGTCAGTCTATTGGTGTGGGTCTATTTGTAGGGGTTTCCTCTCCACTCATGACTTCAGGATCATTATCATTATTCCTTGGATTCGTCATTTATGCTGTATTTATGATTTGGGTATTGATGCAATGTACAGGTGAAATGTGTTCTTATCTACCAATTAAGGGTAGTTTTTTACATTTTGCAGCTAGATTTGTAGACCCAGCGTTAGGGTTCGCTACAACATTGATATATTTATATACTTCATGTATGTTCGTTTGTTTGGAAGCTGTCTCTGTAGCTTTAGTTATCAAGTTCTGGACAGATGTAAACTCAGGTGTTTTTATTACGATATGTTTGGTTTGTTATTTCTTCTTTAATATTTATGGGGTTAACTGGTATGGTGAAATTGAATTCTTTAGTGCAATGCTTAAAGTCTTACTTATTGTGGGGTTGATGTTATTCGGATTAATCTCTATGTGTGGAGGTAATCCAAAACATGATGCTTATGGATTTCAAAATTGGAAAGAAGGAGGTTTATTCAGACCATATTTGAAAGAAGGTTCATTGGGAAACTTTTTAGGTTGGTGGAATGTATTTATTTTTGCAGCTTTAGCTTGTGGTGGACCTGATTTGTTGGCCATGGTATCAGGTGAAATAAGGAACCCAAGAAAGAATATTGCTCTAGCTAGTAAAAATGCTTATATTCGTATCTATTTATTTTATTTTGGTGGAATCTTCTTCATGAACACATTATGTTCATCAACTAATCCAGGTTTAGAAGATGCAATTAAAAAAGGTCAAGCAGGTGCTGCCGCATCACCATGGGTAATTGGAATAAGAAATGTTGGAGTACACGGTCTTGATTCTTTAGTTAATGCGTTGATCATGTCATCTGGATTCTCTTGTGGGAATGCTTTCTTCTATGGTGCTACAAGAACGGCTTATAGTGCTGGTTTAGCAGGTTACTTACCTAGATTCTTTTGTAAATGTTTAAAGAATGGTGCTCCCATCTATTGTGTGGTATTCACATCACTTATTTCATGTTTTGCTTATTTAAGTATATCAAATTCTACAGCCAATGTATTCAATTGGTTTGTAAATTTATCAACTACTGGAATATTGTGTACTTATATCTGTATGTGGATCACTTATTTTAAATTTAGAATTGCATTAAAGGCACAAGGGGTAGATATAAATAGTGATTCTTATCCATATTTCAAAGTAGCAAAATGGTTAACACCATTTACCTATTTTGGATTTTTTATCAATGTTATGGTATTATTATGTAATGGTTTTTGGATATTCTTCCCAGGTCAATTCACTGTGGCTAACTTATTCACATCTTATTTTGCTCCTGTATTATTTGTTTTCTTATTCATATTCTGGAAAATATTTAAGAAAACCAAATATAGAAGTGGTTTAGAAGCAGATATCACTTCTGGAAAGAAAGAAATAGATGAAGAAGAATTGTTAGATATAGAATATGAAGAGAATCATCCTAGAAAGACTGGATTTTGGTACAATGTATGGTATAAATTTTCAGATTTCTGTTTTAATTAAGGAAATTTGCAACCATTTATGTCAACTACGAAAAATCAAGTTCGATATTAAATGATGTTTTTTAAGTCTATAAGATTATGTAAATAATGATATGTTATATATAAAGGAAATTGGTATTTTGAGATTATTCTGGACCAGAAATAATACATTTAACAGCACCACTACCTGCTCTTACCAAATCATAAGCTTTAATGGCATCTTTGAAATCAAATCTGTGAGTGATTAAAGCTTCAAAATCAATTGGAGCTTTATCTTTACCGTTTTTATAGTTTGCATCTAAGATGGATACAGCAGTTTTATAATCACCATAACCATATCTGAAAGATCCAAATAAGGTTAATTCTTTAGTAGCAAATTCTGTAATTGGAAATTTAACTGGACCAGGAGCATTACCAACTTGAACAAATCTACCTCCTTGAGCCAAGATATTAACACCAGTATTAATACATGGTTCAGCACCAGTACATTCCAAAACAACATTTGGTTCTTGTCCATCGAAAGCAGCAATCAAAGCCTTGTAATCACCCCCAGTCTTTGAGTTGAAAGTATGAGTAGCAGCACCAATATCTTTAGCCATTTGTAATTTGTTGTCGAAAATATCAATGACAATAACGGCAGCAGCACCGAAAGACTTAGCAACAGCAGCAGTTAAAAGACCAACTGGACCAGCACCGAAAACAGCTACGATATCACCAAATTTAACGGAACCTAATCTAGAAGCATGAACACCAACAGTTAATGGTTCTACCATTGCACCTAATTCTAATGAAACGTGATCTGGTAATTTAACTAAGAAATCTTCTGGAGATTTAAAATATTTACATAAGGTACCTGGAGGATTTGGTTCACCTTCAGTTGAATTTGGAGTGGCAGCAAAACTCATGTGAGGACATAAGTTATAATGACCAGATTTATAAGCATCACTAAATCTTGATGGAATACCAGGTTCAATGGCAACTTTATCACCAACTTTGAGGGAAGTTACACCTTTACCTACTTGAGTAACTATACCGGAAGATTCATGACCTAAAACCATTGGTTTAGTTAAGACAAAATGTCCAATTTTACCATGGGCATAATAATGAATATCAGAACCACAAATACCTGTTTTTTTAACTTCAACGATTACATCTGTTGATTCTGTAATTTCTGGAGCTTCATAAGTTTCGAAACTAATATCGTCAATTTTATTAAGGACAAGGGAAGGATTAGCAACCATTTTAAAGATATTATATAAAATAAAATACTACGATGACTTAAAACAAATCAACTTAATAAAATTATATAAAATTAAAAAAGTCGAATGACAAATACGTGTATTTATATGAAAAAAGTGGAGTGAAGTGGAGTGTTATTAAAAAGATGAATTTTCATCCAGCTCGAACCTCGTGAAGTATGGGGAAATTTTCGGTGTGTTCTTCCACCTTCTTCATTAAATTTATTTTGAGATCCGCCTTTTTCTGTCGGTGCTAACTATGGGCAAATTTTTATTAAGAAGTTCAAACCGGATTGATTTCCACATTTGTTCGGCATTAGCTAATAAAGTTATGTAAGGCTGACTATACCTTCTTAAGTCATTATTAGACCTGGAGTAAATTTAATGTTTATATTTAGACCATTAAACTAACAAAAATTATATCGGAATAATTAATCCGTTCATCTACTATTATTAAAAATAATATATATATAATTGATCCGAGAACTAAACTCAATGTGCGTTAGTAAAATAGTATAGTAATTATTAGGTCAGCCGATCCTGTTTAGTTAAACACTTTATTTCTACATTTCTACAGAACCATTAGTTGATTATCACTACACTTCATATACAAAGGCTTATTTTAATTTAATTCGTTTTACTTTACTTGAACGGAATTTCATTAAATCTTTCTAATTCGTAATGTATATTGTATATTTTGGAAATATAATTGGAGTAATAATAATAAATGATATAAGAAATAAGGATGGATTGAATAGATCCATTGCTTAACCTAATCAGTAATTGGGCTAATTTATCAATGGACTAGACTGATTAATTGGTTGATTAAATGCAAATTGATAACTTTTTCATTCTCTTTTCTAAAATGTCATCATATGAGTTGATTTTTTTTTTTTATTGATTGGATAGTGTACAGTAATTGATTAATTGATTCATTCTCATTTAATTTATTTAGCAACACCTTGTAAAGCTTCTAAAACTTCCAATTCAATATTAGCTTCAGCAACAACAACTTCATCACTAGAAGCAGCTCTCTTTTGAGCATCAGCAATCAAGTTTTTGACAGCTTGAGCATCAAATTGATCTGGTTTGAAAGCTTCAATAGCACTGATGGTTAATTTATTACCTGGTTGAACAGTTGCAATACCTCCACTAACAAAGTATTGATCAGTTTCTCCACCTTTAGAAATAATTTCTAATAAACCTGGTCTTAATTGTTCAACAATTGGAATGTGATTAGCTAAAATACCTAAATCACCATTAACTGATGGTAAATTAACTTGTTGAACTTCAGCTTCAGAATATAATGTTTGATGTGGTAAAGCTAATGATAATTTTAAAGCATCTGATGCAGTAGAACTACTTTCAGTAGCATAACTTCTTCTAACAACTGAGCTGGATTGCTTAGCAACTTGACGAACGGCTTGTCTAAACATCTTTATTTATTTATACTTAATGACTGGGCTAATTCAATATGGTCAACGTTAACTTGAACTTTTTTTTTCACTATAAAATTTTCAATTGACCGAATTACGCACTGGATATGTTTAATTTGTTATGGTGCTCACAAAAAAAAATGTTAACTATGTGATCTTTTACGCATTTTTATTGGATTAAATCGTAGACTGCCTAATTAGGAAATCGGGTGCTTACATTAAATACTAATAACCTAATCTAAAAAGATTTAACTAATCAGCTCCACCAAATTGATCTAAGAAATTATCTACATCAAAATCTTCATCATTTGGTAAAGCTCCAGCATTATTATTATCATAACCTTGTTCTAAGATACTCATATTGAGTCCATCTAGTATCAGTTCATCATTTTCAAGTAAATTATTCATATTTAAATCAAGATCTCCGCTAACTCCTTCTAAATCTCCTTCTCCATTCCTATTATTACTATTTCCTGATCCTCCATTAATACTACCAACATTATCATCTAAAATACCACTTGGTGGTGCATTCGTATTAATATTACTTCCACTATTTGAAGGTTCAACTCCTAAAGCAACTCCAGTTAAATCTCCTAAATCCATATTAAAATCATTATTACCATTATTACCACCAACTGATGTTAATGGAGGATCATTAGAAAATCCCATACTTGATAAAAGATCTTTACCACTATTCATATTAATATCACCAAGGAAATCAAAATCATTAGTTGACATTAAATCACCGAAATCTTGATTCAGTTGCTCTTCTCTCTTTTTATTCTCTTCTTCTAGTTTCTTTCGTTGTGCTTCTTCTTCTTTAGCCTTTTTAATTTGTTCTTCCATCTTTCTCTTTAATTCAGCAGCTTCAGCTGCCTTCTGCTTTTCAGCTGCTTCCTTTTCAGCTTTCAATTTAGCTGCTGCTTCTTCTTCTTTCTTTTTCGCTTCTTGAATTCTTCTCTCTTCTTCTTCAAGTCGTTGTCTTTCTTCTTCTCGTTTCCTTCTCTCCAACTCTTCTTTTAATTTCAATTCTTCTTGTTTCTGCTTATTTTCTATAATTTGATCAATACACCATCGTGCATCATTAAACTTTGATATAGTTTCATCTAAAATATCATCAAATTTAGAAATGCTATTTGCTAATTGAGCAGTTATGGCTGGACTTATAAGTTGATTATTTGTTCCTGTTATTAAATTACTTTGCTTCTTATTATTCCCGATTATTTCAAATATATACCCCGACGTCTTAAGAACATCGTTCAAGGAATTATTAAGTTTGGTTTGTAAATTCATTTTCTTTCTACTATACTGTTGTGTATATAGTGATATTTATCTTATTATATTGTCATGTACTATGTCTTGAACTTATAACTCCTACTGCTTAGCTTCTTGTTCAGTTCGTCTGTTCCGCTAGTATGGCTTTAAATATTTCGTTTCTACTAAAGCACGGGTTTGGTCACGTGCACAATTTCAAAGCCTAAACAGTGGTTTATATCGTTTTGTAGAATCGAACTTGATCAATAAAGAAGAAGTTCTATTAAAGTTGAATTGAGAAACGGAATTACAAGTTCAGGTTCATTTCATACATCTCTAATTACTCTTAAGCTGAGTGCATATATTCGTCTTAATTTTGCAATCAATTTGAAAAAACTTGGTACTTGCATAAATAGTAACTATAAACCTATATAAAATAAAAACCATATCAATCGACTTATAGGCAATATTACTGACGTTAATCCCCATATATATATACCAGAAGTATGGGTAATTAAATAAATGATCTACTTGGAGTTAATTAAATAGATATCATAATAAGAAACAACATTGCCTAGTATTTATAAAATTTATAAAAATTTTAAATAAATTTAATTTATTTTTAAATTTTATTAGTCGCTTGCTTTCAAACATGTTACAACTCAATTGAGCAATCTTATAAGCTACATCCCCTGAGTAACTATTCCCTATTGTGACCCAGTTTTGCAATCTAATTAACTACTACCAATTAAAGTCGTGCGAATACCACCCACATAAAGTAACACAAACACGCATACTCCAATATCAAAATCGCGTAAACAAAGACATTTACAAAATTCACCCTAAGCTAAGTAACTGAAATATATTAAGAAATCTCTTCTTTTGGTACCATTAGATTAAGTATATACCATTAAACTAAACAGCCTGAAGACTATAATGATTAACGATACACTTATATCCAAACAAGGACCTTTAGGATATGTATGGCTTGCGGCTAATTATGATAAGAAATTAACTAAACATCAATTATTGAATGCCAATATTCAAGATTCAACTGAATTCTTAGTCAACCTGTCCATAAGTTATCAAGGTAATAATATTCCAACTAATCAATTGTCAGAAACACCAACAACAATACCAACAACTACCACTACCATAACATTAAGATTATCAGGACAATTACTTTTAGGAATAGTTCGAATTTATTCTAGAAAGACCAAATATTTATTAGATGATGTTAATGATATTTTATTAAAATTAAAAACTTCGTTTAAATACGCTAGTGGAATAAGCCTAGGAGGAATAGATAGATCCACATTAAACAATCAAATAACTTTAAATCCTAAAGATACAATAATTTCAAACGTTAAAAGTATTACATTACAAGATCAAGTTACTCATTTTGATTTATTATATCAAGATGATTTAAATTTAGATGATGATATATCAGTACCAAATTCTAATACAACCGTTGAAAATATAGGTCAATTATTTAGTCAAGCCTTAAGTCAAAGTCAAAATCAGAATCAAAATCAACGTCAACAAGATGATTCTACTACTTTTGAATTTGATGATGATTCTATAGAATATGGAAGATATGCTGAACCAACCACACCAGGAGGTCATGCAATTGATCTTGAATTAGATTTCGAACTTAATGATGATGATTATGGAGATGCCTTAAATTATGATGACCATTCAATTGAAGTAGGAAGAAATGCTTCACAACTTGATATCGATGATAATGAAATTTCAACTTTATCAATTAATGATAAAGAAAATACATTTGATTTAGGAAATCCTCTTGAAACAATTGATGAACCTGGACTTGAAGTCGATGATGGTTCATCTACTCCACAACCAGAAGAAGCCAATACACCACCTCCAATACCCACTATAACTAGACCAAGACAAAAGAGAACTGGTATAACGTCAGAAGGAGAAATAATAACCAATAAAAGAAAATTAAAAATTGATACACTTGAAGATTTAGATGGAGGAATTTCAATCCAAACTCTTAAAGATAATCAAGAAAGATTATTAGCATCAAATCCTGATTATTTAACAATAAATTTATCTGAATCAGAGAAAATGCAATTAATTTATGAATTATCAGCACCACCTATTCCAAATAAAAGAAGAAAATTATGGAATATTGATGAACAACTTCAACAAAGATGTTTAGAATTATCCAGACAAGAAGAACAACGATTAGAAGAACAACATAATTTACAATTTGATAATGGAGATTATGATGATTTTAATCAAGATTTGGATTTTGATATTTCCTTACCTGATTTTGGAGATAATGATGATATTGATGGAGATAATAATCAATTTGCATCTCAAGATGATATTGAAGATGATAACAACAACAACAATAATAATAATTCAAGTACTATTAAGGGTACAACTCAAGTAGCTGAAGGTATTCGTGGACTTCTAAATGATAAACCAATAATTCAATTAACTGATATAATTGAAAAAGATTTAAAAATCTCCGAAACAGATTCGGAAAAGAATCCTTTAGGAACAATTTACAAGCATGGAGTTAAAGAAATCAATATGAAGAGAGAAGCTACTAAATGTTTCTTTGAATTACTTGTATTAGCAACCAATGATTGTATAGAAATGAACCAAGACAATAATACTAATACCATTGGAGGTTCAATAGATATTAGATCAAGAGATAAACTTTACCAAAACTTTATATAGACTAATATATATGTATTATAATTATATTAATTTCTTTCTACTTAAATAACCTGGTAATCCATTATCTAATTCGTCAATCGTATTTCTATTGTGATGAATATAATCCTGCTCTACATTCCAAACTTCTGTTCTACCACTACTGAATCCTAAGAGTACAACCATACCATCTTTGGCAAATGTTATGCTTGTAATTATATCACCTTGATCACCAACTTCCTTTTCAAATTGGGGAGAAAATAATTTAACATTTAAGTCCCAGAATTGGATCTGAGAACTTCCATTAATATTAGTAGTCGTTATAATCTGGGATGAATTTGTGGGTGATACCGCAAGATCAGATATGAAGCTTTTAGTAGGGATTTCAATCACAGGTTTATTAAAATTATTGAAATCCCAGATCTTTAAACTCCAGTCTGAATACGAAGAAATGATATATTTAGATCCATTACTTCCACATGATATAATACTCGTTTTTAATACTGTTATAGGCAAAACCCCTTGAGGAGTATTGAATGGAATTGCCGTTATAAATTTGGTATCCGATGCATCTATTCGATAGTTTCTACTATGATTAGATATAATCAAACTATTTAAAAATGGTAATGTCTTTGAATCACCTAATAAATAATTGGCATCTCCACCTACAAGATCTACATCTGAAATTGGTATGGGTAATTTTGAATTAGTTTGAAATTCATCATCATTGGAAGGTTTGAATACTTGAATAGTATCAAATTTTGGAGTAGCTAATAAATTTGATGACCAAATATTAATTAATCCATCTTCAGAAAATGTAAGAATACAATCATTAGTATCAATCTTTAATTGAAGAATTTTAGTAACTGGTAATTTATGAGGACGAAATTTAACTTGATCGGGTATTTTCTGATTTGTTAATATGATATTAGAATATGCTGGACTTGATAATTGTGGAGTTAAGATAAGTTTAGAGGTACTTGTTGAATAATCCCAAATAACTATTTTACCATCAGCTAAACCTCCAATAATTCTATCACGCTTCATTTTATCAAATTCAATATATGATATAGGAGATGAACAACTAAGATAATATTCAGGAAATACATTTGTAGAATTTATTGAATATATAATGGCTTGGCCAGTAGGAATAGAACTAGTTTCATTAGCATAAGCTACTACAACTAAATTTGAATCATGAGGACTAACATTTATACATGTAATTCTTCTATTATCTTTATTATTAAATTCTAATATCTTTATTATAGGAACATTTGCAGTTGTTAGTTGTGGTGAAGAATCTTGAGTAGTTGATCTACGATAAGAAAATTGATTAACATCGAAACTTCCAGATACATGAATCTTATTAATTAACTTTAATGATTCAATCAACAGACTGTTTAAGTCCAGTTCTAGAACTGGTTCTACTTCATGCTTTTTAGAAGATTCTTCTTGAACAGCTTTATCTTCATCTTTATCTTCAACTTGAACTACCTCCTCTTCCTCTTCCTCTTCTTCTTTGTTCGCATGCTCAATGTCATTGGTTTGAACTGCTTTATCATAAGTTGCGAGTTCTTTTTCGGTACTTGTCTTGATCTGTACATAACCATTCGCACTCTGTTCCACACTATTAGTATTTACTTGAATTCCTATACTTACTTGATTCTTAGATTGTGAAGGTTTAAGAATCAGTCCAAGAATATGATCCACTGATGTAGTATCATTTAAGGAATTATTAAGTTTCCGTTGCTTTAATTCCTGAACCCGTCGCCTTTTCTCCTCTAACAATGCCTGTCTATCCATTTTGTCTATGCTCTAGTGACGGTTGGTTAATTGTCTTTCTTTTCCCATAAGGTAAATACAAAAACATTGTCCGATCTGTTGATGCTTTACGCGTCAACCAGTGAAATTTTCCCCCACTATTAATACCTTTTAATCAATACTTTATTATAACCATCTATATATATATCTTAACCGCAGTAAATATTATGAGTGGAATAGATGTTAATGATATCTTAGAAGAGTTTGAAACCACCAGTAGAAATGAAATTTCCAAATCATTATATAGTGAGAATCTTTATGAGGAATTAATAACGGCGATGATCAATGAACGAATGTCGCCCGAGTTATTACCCTATAAGAAAGAACTACTAAATCAAGTATTAAGAAGAATTTCTAATCAACAACAAGATTTGTTAGATTCTCATGAATATGGAGAAATCAATGCGGAATCAGGAGTAGTTTCAACTGATTTTAAATTACAATTAATGATTATAGAGACAGATATAGAACGATTTAATTATTTGGTAAGACTATACCTTAGAACTAGATTAACAAAATTAGATAAATATACTATACATTATATTAATGAAACAGTTGGTAATGGGAAAATTCTACTATCTCCTGAAGAAGAAGAATATATAGATCAACATTTTAAAATCCTTACTAAATTATATAATAATTGTTTCTTAAAGAAGATGCCATCTTCTTTAACACTTTTGGATGATACGACCGGAGGTCAAAGTATGATAGAAATTCCTGATACAGAAAGTCATGTATTTATTAAATCTATAACAAAATCAACTATATTTGTTACTCTTGATGATGGAGAAGAACTTAATATTGAGAATGAAGGGATATATGTTGTCAAGTATAGTTCCATTAAGAGATATATAGAAATTGGAGATATAGTATTAATATAGTATTAATAAACTATTAATATAGATTACTTATATATATTTAATTCTATAATATATTATAGTCACAGCCTCCAGGGCATATTATATTCTCTTCTTCAACAAACCATTCCTTTAAACATCCAAAATGTCCTCTATGACCACACTTTAAACTTACCACAATAGTTAACCCTTTACATGGTTCATGACAATATATACAATTCAGTTGCTTTTTACAACATTCATCACAATACCAATAACCAAATTCTTCTTTGTTATTATTCTTTTGAAATTTCATTTTACTTTGTTCATTAACTAAAAGCTTTTCACACCAACAACAATAAAATCGAAGATCAACATCTTTTATAGTTAATTCTTTAATTTTACTTCGTAAATTTCTTGGAGTACAATTAATAACATTTGCACTTATAACATCAAGTTTCTTTCTTTGAAGGATTTCTATATATAAAGAAATCCAATCAAGAGCAATATCTTCACTTATTATATCGGAGAATTGTTCATGGAAAAGTAATGCCACGGTAGAACAAAATACAATATCACCTTGTTGAGATGAATAATCTAATGCTTCCTTTAATAAATTCTTTAATTTCCATGCTTTAAATAAAGTATTGGTATCTTCAGTACCAGTAGCAGTAGCAGTACCTTTACCTTTAGCTTCTAAAGCTCGAGTAAGTTCTGATTTTACAGTATTTTTCTCACTTAACACTTCTTCTTCAACTTCATTTAATACCAGTTTCGACAGAAATTCATCTCTCATAATTTGAGTACCACTACCTGGTGATGGTCTCATTCTTCCAAATCCATATGATTGAATAATAGAACTTCTTCTGGACAGAAATGACGCATGCAGGTGATGATGCATTTGATTAAAATAATTCGGACTACCCCCCAGTTGCAAAAATGCGACATTAGATGTCGGACTAGAATTATTATTTGCAGCATTATTTAAAATATTTAAATTCTCATTATCTAAATCTTCTGACAGAGTAAAGGTTGGTCTTCTTTGAGAAGTAAAGGAATATTTATGAGAACTTCTGGAATTGGAATTGGAATTGGAATTGGAATCTTTAGGTTGGGATTGTGGTTGAATACTAATGGGAGCTGAATGTTCGGACTTATTCAAATTTATTAGTGATGGAACTTTAGATCCTTGTAAACTTGCACTAACTGTAGATGGTTCGTCATCATCCACTACGGCACTTTCAGTTTTATCTTCATCACCAATATCTGAATCCTTTCTTAAAAATGAACTAGCTATATCAGGACTAATTCCTAGTATATTAGAAAAACTATTACCTCTACTTTTATTAAGTAAATTAGTTAAGGATGGTTTAGATGATATACTACCTGAACGGATTGGAATCTTCTCTTGAGATTGTTTATTTAAATTTAACGATTCTACACTCTGACTCTTCCCACTATGACCACCATAATTAGTTGTTTGAGTTGAATTAGAATTATAAGATCCTACAAAATTGCCAAGATCAGACAGAATGGATTTATTATCTTTATTATTATATTGTTCATCTGGTGTTTGTTCATTAATTAATGCTCCTTCTTCATTACCTTCAATTGAAGGAGAATAGATATGTTCTTCTTCAAGGGCTACTGCCAACATTCTCCATACTTGACATTCACGTAGTCTTCGAACTGTAGCTGCTATACTAGCATTTAATAGACATACATCAATTAAATTAAAACCTTCAGGTATTGATATTAAATAATTATTAGCTAAAGCATTAAATACAGATGAATCATTACTTGGAATAGGTAAACTTATAGGTACAATAAATGGAGATAAATAAGTTGAAGTTGAACCATAAGAAATTCTTTTGCCCTTTCTAGTAGGAGTCATATTGGAATGAACTGTTGAACCAAATGATAAATTTGAATCTTGAGTATTAGTCGATGCATTTCTTTGTAATTTTGGTCTTGTTATAGATGATGGAGGATCTTGTAAACTATTAAAAGTTCCTGATCGTGGAACTGGAGATGGAGATTTTGTAAAATTTATTGAATAATGAGTATTTGATCTAAATAACCCTGGTTTTTCAAAGGATGATGAAGTAACAGAATTACTACCAGAATTTATAATTGGAGTTGGCAAAGATCCTAATTTAATTTCAATATCTTCATATGAATTATAATCATCTTCTTCTACAACACTATTATTATTACTTCGATCTATATGATTAGTAGATAATTCATCTAATTCATCATTTTCACTAGTATATGATGATTCATTATCTGTCATTTCATATTCATACTTATCTTGATTAACAAAACAAAAATCCCCTATACCATTATTCCAAGTTAATGTACTAGTACTTAATTCATCTAATGGTCGAGATATTTCATGATCAGCTGATCCATCTTGATTATCAAGATCATAAGTTGTAAATACATTAGATTTAGTAACTGTCCATAATTTTCTTGATGGGGTTGAAGTAGTTGGCCAAATAAAATTTTGAAAAGGTTTAGTGGTGGCTGAAGTTATAACTTCTTTGGGAATATACTTTCTATTAAGATTGTATACAGTAATGGTTGGATCATCATTTAAATACAGACATGCAAAATCATAATTGTATAGTGGATTACCTCCTAAATGATTAGAATTGGCATTGGAATTGGAGTTGGAATTGGAAGTAGAATAGAATGCTTCTCGTTCTTCATAGGTTAATTTATCATCAAGTTGTTGAGAATTCTCATACATTCCATCATTAACTTTAAGCGATGGATATTGACTCCATCTAACTTTCATTACTGGACCATAAGTATTAATGATATGTTCAGGAGTTACTCTATTTGATGAAGGATTTGAATCACTATAATTCCAAATACATAATTTTTGATCTCTACCTCCTGTTAAAACATATTGTTTTTCCGGATGAATATGTAATGATAATGCTGGACCAGTATGAAGATTCCATTTGCGTTCTGGTGTAAATACATTTTGACCTCCACCAGATCTTACGTCAAATTTACATAATGAACCAGAATCATGAACAGATAATATAGTAATTCTATTACGACTTGAAGAATGAGGAGAATATTGACAAGATCTAATAGGATCAGAATGAGAACTTGACATAATAGTTACCACTGGACGAGGAGTTGAAGATCTTAAATCCCATAATTTTATTGAACCATCTTGAGAACCTGAAATTAATAAATTAGATGGTTCATAAGGTGAACCAGAAGTTATAAAATCTAAAGAATTTATACAACGTTTATGATCAGAAAATTTATTAATTAATCGAGATTTCCCATTAGGACTAATTTTAAATACATTAATTAATCCATTAGATAATCCACTAGCTATAATATCATGATGACTTTTAATAGTATTTATATTATTTAATTTATTCCCACTAGTAACCCTTGAACTATATTGAGAAGTATTGGGTTCTAATATATTAATATCTTGAATAATTCTAGATTGATCTTCATTTAATGCTAATAATCTTAAATAATTTCTACCTCCAACAATTACATGATGAGATATTGCATGATCAGAGGGAAATGTATTTGATAAATTATTTAATGGATAATTTAATTGAGATAATGTTATAACTTCTCGTTCACAATTATATATTAATTTATTCGATCGATAATCAAAAGTTTCAGGGATTTTTGAATTAGATCTATTAGAACTAAATGATGAAGCTGGTGATGTACTACTTTCATAAGAATTAGAATTAGAATGATTTAATGTTCCATAGATATTGAACGCAAACTTCGCCAAGCTCAGATGGTTGGAGTTGGGGTTGGCTCCATTGGAATTGGCTCCGTTGGACATCTATATTTAGTCCACTACGGCGTTTGGTGGAATAATTCCGAATTGATCTATTTTATTTTATTATATTGAGTATTGATAATATTTCAATATTACTCTTTTTTTTTTTTATCTTTTTTTACTTTTACTTTTATTTTTATTTTTATTTTGGCTTTTGCGCTTGCGCTTTTTCGGGATTCGAGTTGTCTCCTTTACTCGTTTAATATTACTGCTAACTAGTACTAAAAAAGGAACACAGTATCATCATGTTCAATTTTGGAACAGGGATTATAGGACTGCTATTCAAGATAATTAAGATGATTGCTGAAGTTGGAGTATCAGTTGGTGCATTAGCATTATTGGGGATTTATACTTATCAAAATAAGCTTATCTATCCTGCATCAATGAATGATGGACATGGATATTGTGCAACACCTGATGAATATGAAATGCCAAATTATGAATCAATTAATTTAATTACTGAAGATGGTGAAACTCTTCAATGTTATCTGATTAAACATGATATTAATAGTATAAATTATAGTAATAAAACGGTATTAATTTTATCACCAAATGCTGGTAATATAGGTCATGCATTACCTATTGTATCAATATTTTATAATCAATTTGGTTATAATGTATTTATTTATTCCTATAGAGGTTATGGTCGTTCAACAGGGACTGCTTCTGAACATGGATTAAAAATTGATGCACAAAGAGTAATTAAATATTTAACAGAAGAAGATGAACAATATCAACAATCATCAATTGTATTATATGGTAGATCATTAGGTGGTGCAGTAGCAATTTATATAGCAGCAACAATGTCTCAAGCTATAAGTGGTCTTATATTAGAAAATACTTTTTTATCTATAAGAAAAACTGTACCTCATGTATTCCCATTATTAAAGTATTTTACAAGTTTTGTTCATCAAAATTGGGATCTGGAAAAATTAGTACCATTAATTCCTGCTAAGATACCTGTAATTTTATTAAGTGCAAGAAATGATGAAATTGTACCTCCATCTCATATGGATGCAATATATTCTCGATTAAAGAGTGAAGATAAAGTTATATATAAATTTGAAAATTCTAATCATAATGATACGGTTATTCAACCTCAATATTGGGAAAGAATTCAACAATTTATTCAAGATAAAGTTAATCCTGTTGGTTATTAGAATAATGACGTAAGATTTATAAAGTAGAAAACTTAATATACTAATATAACAGTAAAAGGAAAGTAGATAATAATAAAAAATAGTTAAAGATCATTAAACAAACAAAACAACCATTTGTAGTAGACTATATATAAGAGGTTTGAATGTGTAGCTAAAATTACAATACAATTTGAGGTTCTGAACCTTTCTTGTTAGAAGCATCATGAGACATAAATTCAACTTTTTGTTCATCTTTTAATTGTAAGATTTTCTTTAATCTTTCTCCAATAATTGTTAATTTTGTTTCATCACAATCTTTAGTCCAAATACCAACTCTAAATGCTTGCTTTCTAATATTTAAGACAATACCATTAACTTCTTCTTCTTCATCTTCAATAGTTTCACCAATAACAGCTAATAAACCACGTAACCATAATTCATTAATGTTACCACTAACATCTCTTTTATTATTAAATGAATATGACCATTTACCACCTTTAGAATTTTGTTCATCTTCCCATTCTGGTCTAATACCTTCTTTAAATAAATGATAATCTGATTTTAAAGGTAATTGATTGGCAACTGGAATGGAATTATAAATACCCCAGAATTCTTCAACTGATGAAAAAGTAATAACTGGTTTTAATAAATCATGCCAGTTTTCATTCTTATGAACTTGAGGTTTAGTATACCATAAAGTCCATCTACTATTTAATGGATGTTTGGCTGTAAATTCTTCTTTAGTATCAAAAACAGTCTTGGAATCTAAAGATAATTCTTCAGTTTGTTTAGTTAATTCTTCAGACATCTATAATATATATATAATGTTAGTATTTATGAATTGAAATTGAATCTTTAAAAGTCATTGATCATATTGACACGGCGGTTAGTGAAGTATTATTGATGATTTTTCTAATGAAAAACTTTCACAACTTTTCATTCACCAACTACACATGACTTTTTCAGTTGTTTCACAATTTTAACATACCTTTTCGTAATAATGGCTCCGGTAATTAAATCTATAAACTGCTCGGTAGTCTTTTTGAATTTTGTTAAGCTTTACCCAAACAGCTATCGCAGTAGAAAAATTTTTTTTGGTTGTAGAAATTGGGACATGCACGTAAATTTGAAAATAGTATTAAAGCTATATAGTTAAAGGGAAGGGAAGGGGTCAAGTTAAAGAAAGATATGATAATTGTTATCTATTTATTTGTAGATATACAAGATAGTAGTAATATACATGGAATGTTAAAGTAAAATAATTGGTGATAATATATATGTTTTTTTTTAAAATGGATTAAAATTCATTTTTAGTTATTTCATTTTAGGTATCATTACATATTTTTGTTTTCGTTAAAGTAAGTAAAATAAAGTTAAGTATGGAGGATTAGATTAATCCAAAGAATAAAAGAATTACTCCTACTATGGAAGAATAAATAGCCGTAATAGAATTAAATCTTTCAGGAGATCCTCCTCCTACTGTACTTTGTTCATATGTTCTTAAACCTCCAACACTTCCCAGAAGTGAACCTAATCCAGCAACCCCAGATTCAACACCAGTAGTTTCTGCTTCTGTATATGTTTTCATAAATTCTTGAGAATAAAGTGATTGAATAGTAACTGGATGTCCATTAGTAGTCACAGTAATCCAAACAGTAGTTGGAGGTGGAGGACCAGAAGTAGTCTCTGGATCCATATCTTGATCAGCAAGACCCTGTACTATTATGAAATAACAAAATAAACTTATTATAATATTAAACAACTTCATTGATGATGATGAACTCTATAATATATTGGAGAATAGTAATACTGTAAAACGAAGGAATGAAATAGCGATATATTTAAAATAATTAACTGAATACTCTAATAGAAATATCCTGAGCAATCAATATAACTAACTATGACTTGACTTTTCACAATAGAATGTTATTATCAATGGTAGTTTTATAGCCTCTGAGTTGCCTTTATTGTTTTCGTTTTTTTGTACTGCTTTCTCATTTTTTTCTTTCGTGTTTTGTCGCATATGGCAGTCGGTTGCTTGTCGCAGATTTACGACATACTCTGACGCAGACTTAAACAGTTGCGACTTAAAAAATTTATTTTAGATGAGCAGGTTAAATAATAATAATTTTTCAATATATCGATTAACCATAAAGTCATAATTTTAAGTAGTATTCACCAAATATGGCAAGAAAGACGTTGGCTGAGCAATTGGCAGAACTCACTAAACCTCAGACAGACTTTGATATTGAAAATAGTGAACTTAAAGACGATGTGTTTGAAGATGGGAGTGATAATGAAGTCCAATCCGACTCAGATGATGAAACCTTAAGACAACAACATTATGTTGCTAGTTCTAGATCTAAGTTGAGGAAAGAAAATGAAACCATTGCATTAGGAGGAAAGTACTCAGGAAGTGTCGCCAGCAGAAAGAATCTATATGATGATGAAGATGAAGAGGAAGACGGAGAGGAAGAGGAAGAAGAAGATGATGATGATGAGGAAGTTGATGAAGAAGAAGAAGAAGAAATAGAAGAAGAAGTAGACCTCAGTGAAGTTGACCTGGATTCTGATGCATCCCTTGAAGGAAACTCTGATGAAGAATCCGAACAAGAAGATGAGGAATTAGAATTAAAGAGAAACAAGATCAAGGAACTCATGGCTAAAGAAAGAGTTCATATTGTAAATAGATTATCACAATCTGCCACAACTGATGCATTAAAAGGGTTTGCCGTTTCCCAACAGCATAAATTCTTTGATAAAATAATAGATAGTCGTTTAAAGATTCAAAAATCATTACTTAACTCAAATCTTCTTCCTCCAAATCATGACATATTAGTGTCACAAGACTTAGCCACTGAAAATACAAAAGAGTATGTTGAACAAGCTAAAGAACAATGTTTTGATCTTTTAGATACCATATTTGCATTGAGGAAAGCATTATACAAAAAGGATGGAGTTAGTTCAGATCCAATTAATAAAAAGCCAAATAAAAGAACATTCCAAGAATACAGTAAACTTTCAAATCAATATGATTCCAAATTAAATCTGTACCGTTCCAATGTTCTTGTGAAATGGTCAGCTAAAGTTCAAAACTCTTCTGGTTCATCTGCTATAAATGCTAGTAAATTTAAATTCATTAATCAATCATTTGAAGAACAAGTTAAAAATAATTTGAGTGATATGGATAGATTAATTAAAAGAACTAAATTAAACAGACGTAATATAGTACCGTTAGGTTATGATGCTTATCAATTACAAAAGAAAGAAAATGAAGAAGAGCAAGATGAAGAAGAACAAGATAAGAATGGAAATGATAATCCTGATATACCACAAGAGAATGATCACAATAAAGATCAATCTAGTATGGAAATAGATGAAATATTTGATGATGAAGATTTTTATAGAGTATTACTTAATGATTTAGTGGATAAAAAGATTCAATCTAGTAATCCAGCTGCTGGATTAACCTTAACTATTAGAAGTGCACAAAAGGCTCAAAAATTTAAAAAGAATGTTGATACTAAAGCATCCAAAGGTCGTAAATTAAAATATCAAGTTCAAGAGCCTATTTCTAATTTTGAAAGTTCCAAAGGTAATTGGAAATGGGATGATAATCAAATTGATGAATTCTTTGCATCTTTATTAGGACAGAAAGTTAATATGAATGAATTCGATGAGACTGAAGAAAATGTCGCAGATGAGGATGAGATAGTTAGTGGAGAAAATTCCATTAAATTGTTTGGTTAATAGAGATAAATATATATATATATATATACATATACTAAAAAATCTACAAAATCTACAAAATCTACATTACATGGGTAAAATTCAATCATTGACATTATCATTATTTATTCATAGCTATATATAGAAACTTAAACTCAAACTTAAGCTTAAGCTTAAACTAAGTGAAACTTAAAGTAACTCTAATAAACTGTTAGTACTAAATACTTTTAATCTAGTAGTTAAGGATATCATATCATCACTGGATTGGAACACATAACAATTTCAGACAAAATAAAGTAAGGTAGCGTGAGTTTTTCCACATCGACAAAAAGTCTCGAGCCAAATGCACTCAAGTCATCATTTAAATGTTCTTCAATCCTGTGATAAAGTTTCCTAATTCATAATATTAATATTACTTACACTTTTAGCTAATGAATAGTCTCATTAATGAGCAGCTGCTAAAGAAGAAGTAGTGAATAAAGAAAATTTTTTGTCACTAAGATTCTCTACGACAATTTATGTCGCGCCAGATTTCCAGATTTACCCGGACAGGTGCGGTAGTGAGGTATAGTAAATAGTGAGATAGACATCCACTACTCAGTAAGGTATAGCACTCAGTAAAGATATAGTTATACTGTAGTTATAGTAGTAATAGTAGTAATACAATGGCAGATAACAAATATAAGTATAGGATTGAAATCCAACAAATGATGTTTGTCCTGGGAGAATCCAATGATTCACCAGTTGAAACTACTTCATTAATTGAAGATATTGTACGAGGACAAGTAATTGAAATATTACTTCAAGCTACTAAAACTGCTGCATCAAGAGGTACTAAATCAATAGCTCCAGAAGATGTAATCTTTCTTATAAGACATGATAAAGCTAAAGTTAATCGATTAAGAACTTATTTATCTTGGAAAGATGTTCGGAAGAATGCCAGAGATCAAGAAGGTGGTGGAACAGAATCTTTAATTGAAGGTGATGCAGCAAGTGGAGGAGCTGGAGGAGGAGCTCAAGCCAATGATTCATCAAAAATGTTATCTCGATATAAGAAATCCAAAATTAGATTACCATGGGAATTACAATTTATGTTTAGTGAACAACATTTAGAAACTGCTGAAGAATCTGAACAAGTTGATGATGAAGAAAAAGCAGCAACAATTGCTTCATTAAAACGATTAAAAATGGCCGATGATAGAACTAGAAATATGACGAGAGAAGAGTATGTTCATTGGTCAGAATGTAGACAAGCATCATTTACATTTAGAAAGGCTAAAAGATTTAGAGAATGGGCACAAATGGCACAATTATGTGATTCAAGACCAAATGATGATGTTATAGATATTCTTGGATTCCTAACATTTGAAATTGTATGTTCATTAACTGAAGAAGCCATGCAAATTAAGAATTCAGAAGAAAAGCTTAATCAAATTAAATCTGAAAAGGAAAAATCTCAGAATCCTGGTCAACAACAGAAGAAAAGAAAGTATTTATTTGATAAACCTGATGAATTAGCTAATCCCTTAATGCCATATCATGTAGAAGAGGCATGGAGACGATTACAATCCATGGATTTTAAGCATAAGGCAGCTAGATCCTTTGGAGGAGGTATGATAAGAAGTCGAACCAGATTAATTTAGGTAATTAGTTGGTTATATCTATATGTATTTATTAATGACATGAAATGACATGAAATGATATGAAATGACTGTATGTATATACTTATGGTAATGACTGGGGAAATGTCTTCCGAATAGCTGGACTGTTAATTTGGAAATCTCGATAATTGAGAAATCGTTTGACACTACTATAACCCTGAGATAATTGTTCTAATTCCTTTTCATCTAGAATCAATTGGAATTGAGATAAATATCTACAATATGGTAATAAATCCACCACTAAACTATTAGGAGTTATGTAGTTTAAAAATGAAGTATCTGAGATTCTTGAAATAGGTTCAGGACTTGTAGTATCTCTATCATCATAAGGACTATTTCTTGATCTTAACGATCTTCTCGTGGTTTGTAAATCTTGCATAAGTTTAGGAAGTCTCTTAGATCTTGATCCTATAAATTCCACAACTATATCTCTTAAGTAATTATAGGAGAATTTGGGGGTAGGTGAAGATAAATCTAAATCTAGATTAGAATTAGAATTATTTAAATTTAAATTTAAACTAGTGCTTAAATGGTTACCTATATTTAATTCTGTCGGTAATGCTGGATGCCGTAAATAACGAGTCTCATCAATATCACAAATCTCCGGCAATTCATTATCGACAACTCTATGATTGAATACAGAAAATGAATTGGAAGATATGGTATCACCAGCTGATGCACAATCGATTTGATTGGCTATAGATATTAAATCTTCATCATCATTGAATTCTATTGATTCAGAATCATTCGGACTTATATGAATTATCCCCGTTTCACATGGAGAATGAATCTCACACATAAATTGACATTCCATAAGACACTTTCGAAGATCATAATTAATTCCATTATAACTATTATTCATTATACTAATAATTAATTCATTGTCGATATCATACCCTTGAGATAAACAACATAACCATAGATAATTCTGAATTAATTGGGGGTTCACTTGATTATCATTAATTCGAATTATTGAATCATCTTCTAAGGTATAATCAAGAATATTCTTAGGAATTGATTGAATACTTTCACAAGTAAGTACTAAAGGTTTTCTTGAAATATTTAGAATATCCCCCACGGTTTGCCAAAAATTCTTATCTTGTTCAAATAATATATCTACATCTTCTAGTAATACTAAACCTAATTGAAATTCCTTTTGACTCTTTTGTTGATGAACTAATTGGGTAGTACAGAATTCTTTTAAACTATTATAGATATCTTTTCTACCTCGATGAACTCCACTATTAATTTCATGAACATAACCTCCAATTTCTTTCATAGCAGTATAAATAGAAGTGGATTTCCCACTCCCACTGGATCCTTCAAGAATTAATAATGGTACAAAGATATCTTCATCAGTTTCTTCATCGTCATCATAGAACAAATTATCATCAATGATAAAGTTATTACTAAGTTTATCTTTCCTTTTCCTTTGCTTTAATAAGACATTTCGAGGATTCTTTAAATTCTGATTTTTCAATCGAATAAAGGAATTATTAATCCAATGCTTAATATGATTTTGATTGGTTTGGCTCATGATTAAATCCGTAAGCTTTTCAGGTTGAAACAAGTCTATCCATAATTGGCTTATATTGTTTAGAACTTTATGGGTTATGAATCGGTCAACTACTGAAAGTAATGCTTGTTCTTCTTCATAATTCGGGATTGTATCATTGATTAGTTGACTTATGTCTGCTTGAGTATCGATAGAATACTTATACTGATACTTCGTTGTATTAATGACGGTTGAATTGAATATACTGTCCATAGCGGAATGTTCATGTTCATGTTCATGTTCAGTTGTAACTAGACAGTGTTTCAAATTCCAGGGAGTCTGGAAATCGTGGACTCTGGGTAAGTCATCATCACAGTATATATGCATGAGATCTTTGGATATAACAAGAGGTTCTAACTCTCGTAACTTCTGTAATGGACTAAGCTTCTTTGATGCTTGCATCATAGAATCAAATAATGATGCAGATTTTGGTGGAGGAGTGAAGAAATCACTTGAACCTGTTCCTGTTCCTGTTCCTGAATGAATCCCCTTAGTAATTAATGGATTACTATACTTTTGAATATCTTTTAATGCTTGTGAATTCACTTTTAACGTTACAAAATAACTCGATGAACGCTTATCTTGACCTTTAAATGATTTGAATGATTTGAATATATCTCTGGCTGAGGTTCGTTTGGAATTGCCATATATTTTAGCTTCTAAATCAATAGTACTACTTATTTCTGTAATTTCTGGTTCAGTGGTTTCTATATCTATAATTTCTACAGCAACTGGAGTAGGTGTAGGTGTAGGTGTAGGTGGATCTTTCTTTTTCAATCTGGCAAACAAGTCCTTGGCAGAAACGGACTTGACATTGTCTTTATACATTTTTCTTTCGAGTTCTCGGACGTCGTGTTCTCGTTGTAGTTGCAAGGTCTTAGAGTCGGAGACTGAGAGTTCGAAATCGTCTTCGATTATGTGTGCTTCTGTTTCTGGGAGTACTGGCACTGGTTCTGGTTGTGGTTCTGGTTGTGGTTCTGGTTCAGATTGTGGCTGTGGCACTGGTTCTGGTTCTTTCTTCGTCTTCTTGTTTCCTGTCAATATAGACATTAAGCTGCTCGTATGTCGTATCTTCGTATCATTATGGATCGGTATAGATGCAACTGATGATTGTGATGGTGATTGTGGTTTTGGTTGTGGTACTGGTACTGGTACTGTTTCTGGTACTGGCTTCTTAAGCAATTCAAATATACTGACAGGTGCTGGAGGGTCTCGTGAGTCCTGTGTCTGACTTAGAGCAAATAGTTCAGGATCTATATCAATATCAGTAACCTCACTATCATAAGTCTGAGATGTAAACGACATTAGTGGAGATGTTGATGATGTACAGGATGACTCGTCGGCACTATCGTTCTGTAACTTACACCTATTCTTATACTTACTGTTACTCGTACTGTTACTCCGATTGTCCGTTAGCTTCCCATCCATTCCTCAGTCATTAAGTAGTGTTAGTGATTCTCGGGGTTAGTGATAAATGGAGAACGCGTAGCCAAACCAAAACAGTGAGTGCGAGTGCGAGTGCGCGCAGACATGGCGATGGGTTGAAAAATGTCGCATAGTGGGGCAGCTAACTAAGTGTCTGTCTGTAGTGATGACTTCTATAGTGGTTGGTAGTGTAGTGTAGTGTGACCAATAGGAGGATCATGTCGGGGATCAAGTTCAGTATTAAGAAGAAAAGTGGGGGCATAGACAAGTTGAAGTTGACGTCAAAGTCAAAGTCAAAGTCAGACAAATCGAAGGTGAGTATACAGACTGTTAAGAAAGTTAATCCTTTAGCTTCTACGACATACAAGGCCTTTGCAGATGAAGAAGATGATAATGATAATGATGGAAAGACTATTGAAATCGAGACCTTTGACTCGCATACTTTGAAGACTGCATCGGGAGATAACACACAAGAACCATTGATCATAATACCGAAACAACTCCATAGTCAAATAAGTCAACAGGCGAGAGAAGAGCAAGTGCGACAGCAGGAAGAGGACGAGTCTAAAGCTCGATTAGACTATGGAATAACTAATTATAGTAATAACAGTAATGATAAAGAAAATGATAACAATAACAATGTACTGTCTGTATCTGTGCTACATCGTCAGAGAGCTGAAGATCCCGATGAAGACTCTGATGAGGAGTATGCTAAAGTACCAGTAGACCAATTTGGTGAAGCCCTATTAAGAGGAATGGGTTGGACTCCAGATCCACAACCAAATAGTAATACACCCCAACCTATGAATCAACAAAAGAGTCCATTATTAGGTATAGGTGCCCAGCCTATAGATTCAGAATTGTATGATGATATCAAAGGAAAGAAGCCAGTAGTGCCACTACTTAAAGTAGATAAAATTACAGGAGAGCGAGTATCTGAAGAATAAATAAAGTATATATATAAATAAATAAAGTATATATATAAATAAATAAAGTATATATATAAATAAATAAAGTATATATATAAATAAATAAAGTATATACAGTGCTTGTCTATACAATAACTCCTAAACCCAATAGAAGTAATTGACTAGCAAGTGAATGAGACCACATGGTGGACTTTTGATTAATAATTCTCTTTTCATCTAATTTAACTAATTTCAACATATCTTCATAAATATCACTAATTATAGCATCAAATATTTTAGTTTGTGATAAATTATGAATGTGGTATAAATCAGACACTTTTTCAATAACGGTTGTTTTAATAACTATTGGTGAATATGCAGACACTGATGATGAAGATGATGTAGACTCAGATGAATGTAAATCATTAGACAATGATTTCTGTTTGGATTCCATTTCATCAGTATAATTATTTATAAAACTAATTAATGATCGTAAATCATGTAATGACACAAATGGAACATTATTGGAATTTGACATGGGTAAATTCTTAGGTAAACTTGCCTTTAAATCATAGAATTTAACCTTTACATTGACTACCACATATTCATTAGTTGTAGTATTGGAAAATTCATTCTCGGGTTTGGTGAAAGTATGATAGATGGCTGCCAATGCTCCCTTTAATAAAGTCTTATCATCATTATCATTATCATTATCATTGATAACTGGCTCAGAATTACTTGCAGTTATCTCACTAGTCTTGGTTATCTTTAAGAATTCACTAAACATATCTGATACAAACTTAAACGATTCTGAATCATTCTCAAGTTTATCAATGTTAGGTAATTTTATATCGGCAATGATTTCTGCTTTCCCATTAACTATCCAATTAAATTTCAGCAATGGATTCGATTGACTTAATGAACCTAAATCAACAGAATCCAATTTAAATCGAATTAATTTGTCTTCATTATCATCATTATTATTATTGTTATTGTACGGATTAAATTCACCTAAAAGGTCTTGACGTTTATGAATAGTAAACATTGAATCATTAATTAATCCACTAGAATTATTGGCATTAAAGAAATCAATTAATAACTTATCACCAGATAATCTTGGAAGATCACAATTGAATATAGTAATTCTTAAAGGTGAAGTTTCTTTATTATTAAATATTTCAATATATGAATCATGAATCTTAACATGATCAAGTTTATAATTGGAATCCATTAATTTACCAGAAGATACAGATTGAACTTGAAAGCTTTCTTCTTCATCTTCATGCATAAGATCATATTGATAATGAATATTTTCAAAATGATTTCTAAATATCATGGTTTGAGAATTATCATTGTTACGAAGATGTTGATTATGAGTTTGTGGTTGATCTTCATCTGATTTAAAAATCTTACCATTCATACCAAAAATCTCTAAATCATATATAATTCCATTACCTTCATACCATTTATTGAAAGATAATGTTAAATCTGCGGCTTCTATTGTAGCAAGAAATGATTGATCATCTCTTGATATTATTTTAAAATTTTTAAATCTTAATTTACCGTCTTTTAATTCGGGTAATATATTCCCCTTTTGAAATTGAATTCTAACTCCAAGTCCATAAGAAAGAATTGAACTGGTTATTCTTCCAAGAATACTGTTATCGTGATTATTTTTAAATTCATTATTTTCATCATTATCATCATTATTATTATTATTATTATCATTAATATTGTTAAGTAATATAGAAGCTATCTTTTCATAGGCATTATCAAAATAATGAATAGAATGCATAACTACTAATCCAAAAGTAGTGGTTCCAAGAATAATCCAAAGAATATTCCCCATAACCAACCATGATATAAACGCTGATATAATATCAAATGATGAATGTTGATTAATTTTACCTCTAATCAATGGCCACTTTAAATGAATTAATAATCGACTTAAGGAAGAATTGGCTTTAGATAATAATGCTGCTTTAGTAATAGATGATTTTAATATAGTATCTTTTATATCTTGTATTTTAGATTTACTCTCATTTCGATTTTGATTTGGAGGGTTAGTATTGAAAAGTCTTGATGAAGTTGATATATTCCGGAATTGTGGTGTTGTTGATATAGTATGGGGCTTGAAATTAGTCAATAAATTGGTATGTTGATATGGCTTTATACTTATGCCAGATCTGATAGGTAGTGTCTTGTTTTGATTCTGTTTCTGGGTCTGGGTCTGGGTCTGACAAGTTGTCATAGTCCGTATGATATATCGTAAGGCCGGATATCGCATTATACTATTACTATTAGTACTCATGGTGCGGCTCATCGCCACTACCCATGGTCCAACCAACCGACTTGAACTTACAGTCATCCCACTAGATATCTGTTGAAGAGACATATGGACTGGTTAGTTGTTTGTATATATGAAACAGACTGTGTTTATATGAGTTTTAATTATAACGGTACTTGTGGTTATGGTTGTATAAATTTTTTAAAACCATTTCATTCGCTCACAATTTTTTTTTTGCTTTCTCTTTTTTTTTTTCCGTTAATTTTATAATTTTATTTTCTCAATTATGCGGAAATTTCTTTTTATCTGGGGTAGTCTGCAAAAAAATGCTGAACGAAATCAACTGGTAAACCTTAATTCAACCAGAGATAAAGCCTAATTCTGTGAAGAAAGGAAGAAAGAAAGATAAATTGGTTTAATTACATAATCATTTATAAAAATATAGAAAACAAAAATCTCAAGTATAACTATAACTATATCAATAACTATATCAAACAGCAGGCTTCTCTTCAGAATCTTGAACAAAATTCTTAATGTTTTGTTCACCAACTTGTCTAATCAATTTATCGGCATTGAAAACTTCAACTTCGGTGCTTGCAAAATCTCTTGCCTTAACACCTTGTTCAAATAGTAAATCTAATTCGGCAAATGTTCTATCCTTAGTCTCGGGTAATTCAAACCAGCACCAAACTGCTGCTGCCATAGAAAATCCAGCCCAAAAAAGTCCCGTCTTAGCCTTCCAGTTCAATTCAGTTGGATTTAACATATATGGAGTTATTATACCAACAATTATACCAGAAACATTATATAAGTTTCTTGAAAGCATAACCGTCATGGTTCTTAATTTGGCAGAAGGTATCTCCGCAACAATACAATAACAAAGTGGACCGACAGTTAAATCATATACAAAAGTATGAATTAAAAGTAAGGATCCGGCTCCCCATTTAGCATTATTAGAAGTTGAAAATCCCAAGCCACCAACAATAATTAAAATAATAGTTTGAAATACAATGCCACCAAAATACATTTTGAATCTTCCCACTCTTGTGGCTAAAAACCATGAACCAACAGTACCAACAATACCGAACATATATTGAATAATTGAGAAGGTGAATGCCATACTTGTTGGCAAACCAGCCTGTTTAAAGAAATAAGTGGAGTTTCTCATTAAGGCAGCACCAGTACAAGATTGAAACAACCAAGTTAAAGCTGCAATTCTTGTTCTTCTGAAATTTACACCTTTAAAACAATCAGAAAATGTAGCATCCTTATTTCCCAGAGCTTCTTCTTCTTTCACAGTTAACTGAATCTTTCTTAACATTGCACTAGCAAGAACTTCTTTATCTGGTAAATCTTTATTTTCGGTTAATAACCTCTTCAAAGAATGCTTGGCTTCAGCGTATCTGCCCCTTTTTACTAAATACCATGGTGACTCAGGGGCAAGATAAACACCTATCATGATAGGAATTGGCCAAATCCATTGAATAGCAAAAGGAATTCTATACGAAGATGGAAAATCTCCAAGATCAACGACTGCCTTAAGAACACCTGAAGAAATTAACTGACCAATAACCCAACAAAGATTAACGTAAGTAGTAAGATAAACACGCAATGTTGTGGGGGCAACTTCGGAAGCGTACGTTACCGTAATAGTTTGAACTGATCCCCACATAAGACCAATGAGAACATAGGAAGTTAATAATACTTCCTTATTGGGGGCAAAGAATTGGATAAATATAAAGCCAATAGATGAGGCTAAGGAACATATCATTGTCATTCTATAACCAATAATATCAGTCACAAACCCGGCAATTGCAAGACCAATGATACAAGAACAAGTATATGCCATATTAAGACCTGTTTGCCATTTTGCAGAAATTTGATATTGCCCTAACTCAGGATAGTAATCTCCAAACTTTCTATTGAAAGCAGGGAAGGCATAAAATGCACTTAATAAATGAGTATCATAACCTTCCATAATTAAAGCAGTTGAAAGGATAAGTGACCACATGATAGCTTTGGGGAACGTTCTGAGACCTTCACTAAGAGACATATGTTTTTCCTTTTGTTCATTGGATTTAGCTTCATCAGAAATGTCCAAGAATTTAGCAACAAAGTCATCAACAGTGGAGTTGGTCAGCGAAGCATCAGTGCCGACTTCAATCCTCTCGATGATCTTTTCAGGACCTTTATTATCACCGGCCATCTTTTTAGAGTAGTAGCAACGATCTCAGCAAAAATAACAGCAACCTTAGTTGTAACTATTTTGATCAGCTTTGGCCTTTAGCTTTAGTTAAAGAATCTAAAATAGTTACTCACTGATTAGGGTTCGATGATCATCTTTATATATTTGTTGGAATATCATTACAGTGGCAGAAATTTGTATTGTGTTGACATTATTAATGAGATGATACGTAACTCATATTGACTAATAAATTTCACTATAAACTAATTTGCATCTACTTTACATAACCAGATAATCATACCAAAATAGTTACATGATATTTGCCAAGAATGTCATGTTGCTTATTATATTTAATAACCCCCGTGTTTGGTTATGCAAAAACGGGAAGCATGATGTATCATAGATTTAATAGACTTTTTACCGTTATTATTTTCGTTTACACACTTGGCATGCCCATCATTTCGGTCTTCAAATTAAAATAGAGTACTGTCATTAAAGTACTTTCATTATTTTTTTCACAAAAATCACCAATCCAATACATAGTGAGGAAATTGTGCATCATATTCTATTACATCTTATCCTATGAATAGAATCCACACAAGGTATTTTAATGAAATGCATAAAGAATGTGCCTGAGCACAATTATAATTAGGTTTATTTTTTATTACTCGCTTGCTCGCTCGCTTACACCAACCATAAAATCATCTAATTTGAAGTAGATCTAGAAGAAATATGTATTGAATGTATTCAACACGTTTGTATATAGATTATGGAAACAATAGATTATACCAGTCATTTGCTTTTATTTTGGTATATTCTCTACTAGTTAACATTTAGAGTTTTGAAGTAGGGGGTCTCCTCAAGGTCGTTGCGTTTATTTTTTTTGATTTGCTTTTTTTGCAACAAAGTGGCACCTGCATAACCATCAATTAACTTTTTAATTCATCCAAAGTAATGTGCTATCAGAGTATTCCTTTCAACAATGACTATTAAGTGGTCTACAATTGATAAAATGAAACTTATTTAATGAAATAAGACGAGTTTACTTCTGTTCTTTACAATGATTAGACATTTAAGCTTTGAAATTGTACCCCTAATTAACAAAACCAAGAAATTCTTTATAATTTTGAATTATTCCTTAAACTGATTACTATGAGACGGACCTCGCAATATCTTAGATCCAAATTATTGCGAAATTAGATTCTGAAAACGTTGCAATTTTTATAATAAAATTTCTGGTTCAATTTGGAAAGGTGCCACATGGGGATAATCGTCTTGACTTCTGAGCAGTCACTTGCAACACTCAGACATATATATACAAATTAGTAACTTTTAACTTACCCCATCAGTATAGGAATCTAAGATAGAATTTTTCAAAGATTATACATGTCATACAACAAAAAAAATATGTACCGGATAAATAATGTATTGCATTGTTATGCTTTGTAAGTAATTTAGGATTAAACTTACTTTTTGCATTTGTTACCACAAGGATTTTCTTGGCCAAAATTTCAATTATATAAAATAACTGCAAGATCCAAACATATATACTTCTTTGTGGGACAGGACAATTGGCAATGACGATTACTTACAATTGGTGGAAAGACGCTACCATCTATCAAATCTGGCCAGCTTCATATAAAGATTCAAATGGAGATGGTATTGGAGATATTCCTGGAATTATTTCCACTTTGGACTACCTTAAAGACTTGGGTATTGATATAATATGGTTAAGTCCAATGTACAACTCTCCTCAAGATGATATGGGATATGATATTAGTGACTATGAAGCGGTCTATCCAAAGTATGGTACCATGGAAGATATGGAAGAATTGATTGGAGGATTACATTCCAGAGGTATGAAGTTGATTTTAGATCTAGTTATTAATCACACATCAAGTGAACACAAATGGTTCAAAGAATCAAGATCATCAAAATCAAATCCAAAAAGAAATTGGTATATTTGGAAACCACCGAAGTATGATGAAAATGGAAAAAGACAGCCTCCAAATAATTGGGGATCACATTTCTCTGGATCTGCTTGGGAGTATGATGAAGTTACTGGTGAATATTATTTGAGACTTTACGCTAAATCTCAACCAGATTTAAATTGGGAAAATCCTGAAGTCAGATCTGCACTTTATGAGTCAGCTTTACGATTTTGGTTTAATAAAGGAGTTGATGGGTTTAGAATAGACACTGCTGGGTTATATTCCAAAGATCAAAAATTCCCTGATGTACCAATTGTATTCCCAGACAAAGCTTTTCAGCCATGTGATCTATATACTTTAAATGGTTCCAGAATTCATGAATTTCATAAGGAAATGTACTCTGAAGTTATTTCAAAATATGACGTTATGACTGTTGGAGAAGTTGGCCGCTGCTCTCGAGAGGCTGCCTTAAAGTATGTAAGTGCCAAAGAAGGAGAGATGAATATGATCTTTTTATTTAATATTTTTAATGTTGGGACAATCAGAGGGGATAGATTCAAACTCAACCCTTACAAACTAATTGATTTCAAAAAAGCTGTTGAAGAACAATGTGAATTCATTGAAGGAACAGATGCTTGGTCCACTGTATTTTTAGAAAATCATGATCTGGCAAGGTCAGTTACTAGGTTTGGTAATCCTAAGTATTATGAAACCTCGGCTAAATTACTATCGTTATTGCAAATCACCCTTACAGGTACTTTATTCATCTATCAAGGTCAGGAAATTGCTATGAGTAATCTTCCAAGATCCTGGTCTATAGATGAATACAAAGACATCAACACTGTCAACTATTATAAATATTTCCAAGAAAGATTTGGAGAAGATAAGGATTTTGATGAAAAGAAGAAAGAATTGATGGATGCAGTTAATTTGGTTGCTAGAGATCATGCAAGGTCGCCTGTTCAATGGAATGATTCACCTTATGGTGGATTTTCCACTGTGGAACCTTGGACAAGAGTCAACGACAATTATAAAACAATTAATGTTGCATCTCAAGTCGAAGAATCCAATTCTGTCTTAAATTTTTGGAAAAGATCTTTAAAATTGAGGAAACAATTCAAAGATTTATTAATTTATGGATCTTTTAAAATCTTAGATTATGATAATCAGAAAGTCTTTACTTACGTAAAGTATAATTCACAATTTGACTCTACATCTGCAAATGCTTATGTTGTGATGAATTTCTCAACTGATTCCATAAAGTTTGAAAAGTTAATAGAAGGGGATTTTCAATTAGTCCATTCCAATGTGGATAATTTAACTGAAGAGATATTAACTCCGTATGAAGGCCGAGTTTACATAGTTTCATAGAGTAAAGAAATGTAATAAAATTATGGCTTACTTCTATATCTTCCAAAGACGTATATATAATATTACTGACAAGGAAATAATTGTTACGTAGTACTCTTCTTTTACGTGATTGGTAGCGCGTGTCTCATCAAAATTTAAAATTTCGTAATTCGTCAATTTATATAATAGTTCCTTAAATATTTTACTACTAATTGGGGGGTTCAGTATACAGCCGTTTAATACAGTATGTGAAATATGTCTGACTAATATTAACATGTGTATTAGACTATGGGGAATTGTAAAGATAACTTTAATTATTGCAGTGTGGATGTTTGAGTCTCTCATAGTTAAAATAAATTTCTGAGATGAGAATAAATTTTTTTTAAAGATAGCGTATAACCAAATATACATTTTACAACTAAACCATCAACACTAGCATATAACTTAATAGAAATCATGGCAGCTCCAACCGCTATTAAGAATTTAAGAGATCATACCCCTACAAATATATCATCGGAAATACAGCATAACATTGGTAATGTTAATAATGATGAAGATGAAGATGAAATGTTAATAGATGCAAATGTAGTTCCAAGTACAGAAGAAACTCCAGAAAGTTCAAAAGATGAAAGTAAAGGAGTGGTATTAGATGTTACTGGTAAACCTAAATTTTCAGCTGCTTCTAAAGCAGGTATGAAAGTTAAATTGGAATCTAGAAAAGTTGCAGTTCCACCTCATAGAATGACTCCACTTAAGGGAGTTTGGCCAAAGATATATCCACCATTAGTTGATCATTTAAAATTACAAGTTAGAATGAATTTAAAAACTAAAACTGTTGAATTAAGAACGAATAAATTCACTGTTGATGATGGAGCATTACAAAAAGGTGCTGATTTTATTAAAGCTTTTACTTTAGGTTTTGATGTTGATGATGCCATTGCATTATTAAGATTAGACGATTTATATATAGAAACATTTGAAATTAAAGATGTTAAAACTTTACAAGGTGATCATTTATCAAGAGCAATTGGTAGAATTGCTGGTAAAGATGGTAAAACTAAATTTGCCATTGAAAATGCAACTAGAACTAGAATTGTATTGGCTGATTCAAAGATTCATATTTTAGGTGGATTTACTCATATTAGAATGGCAAGAGAAGCAGTAGTATCATTAATTTTAGGTTCTCCACCAGGAAAAGTTTATGGTAATTTACGTACAGTTGCATCAAGAATGAAAGAACGTTATTAATTAAGGGGTCGTTATTATCTTCAAATTCTTATTCTTATTATTATTAGTAGTAGTATTAATATATGTACATTAGTTAATTTTCAGACGTATTCTATGCTATGCTATTCTATTAGATTCTATTCTCTTATGAGCTGAATTCATATTGAAAAATTATGCTAATAAATCACAAGTAAAATCATCTACTTCACCCTTTTGAGCTTTGGATGGTAATAAAGCATCTAAATCCAACATTAATTTCATAGCGTATGCATCTTCACCATCTTGATAATAAGATTTCTCTATTGAAGTAACTTCAAAATTTAATGAATCTCTATATAAATGGATAGCAGCTCTATTAGATTTTCTAACATTTAATGAAACATATTCGGCTTTGAAACTTTCAGTCATAGCATATAATGATTGTCTCATTAATTTCTCAGCAAGACCCATTCTTCTATAAGTTCTCATAACAGATAAAGATGTAATATGTCCATGAGGTGTCTTATCTGCTGCTTCTGGATCATCTTCCATCTTCCCCAATACATACCCAATGATTTTTTCACCTTTCGCTATATATGCTGGATCTCCTTTAGGATCTTCTACTTCTTGTACTTTATCTTCAAATTTATTATCACCATTTTCACTATCTACATAATTATCTACTTCATGTTCTTCATCATCTTCAATATCAATAGTATCATAAGTAGTGGCTACAAAACTTGCTTGTGGCCATGATAATATATGATACATATAATATTTCAATAAATAATTCTCAGGAAGATTTTGTAGATTGGCATTTTGCATAGCTTGTATATCATTTATGGTGGCTTGCCTTATAGTTATACCCATCTTTTCTAATATAGAATGATCTTCTTGTCTTGTCTTTTTACTTTATTACTAGCTCAACTGGGGTAAACTTAGCAAAATGTCAAAGTAAGTTTTAGTTCGTCAATCAAATTTTTTTTTCAACCTCAGTGAGATTTACACAAAAGATCCATCTTTACTAGTGGGGTGTTATAATGTATGTACGAAATGATGCTATGCTATGGATTGAATTACTATATAGGAATTAACTACGTAAACTTTCTCTAATAGATAACAGGTCATCGAATTTAATTAAAAATACTGTTCTTAATGGATAACCAGTTATAGGAACAGAATGAGCTGTAACATTAGCAAAGAAAGCCAGAGAATCTAATGCACCTTCAATTATACCTGCCATAAATGCAGAACAATTTAATTCACCATATTCTTTCGGTATACTAATAAATTTTGACATTAATGGAACATTATCAGTAATCATATATTCATTTAAAACATCTTGAGACTTCTCTAATTCATTGGCAGTTTTCCCAAATATAGCTTTCCAAAACGTTCCATGTATGAATTGAAGTATTTCAACAATCTTAACCTCTCGTTTATTAGTCTTAAATCCTTCTCTTAATTTAATTAATTCAATATATCTTTGTCCAACTTGATATCCTAATCCATTTAATCTAGTTTCAAGGTCTTGAATCCCCTTAGAATTACTATGGCACCAATTAACCATTTCACAAAAGAGAAATGCTAAAGAACTTAGACTTATCTCTAAATTCTTCTTATTAATAATATTCTTATCATAGATGGAATTAGGATTATTGGTGATGATTGATTTCTTACTAGAAAGTAAAAAGGTTGATGCTTCTGGTGTAATGATATTTGACTGTGGTCCAACAGATGGATTATATCCAAACCCATCTTTTGAAACTTCATTGATAGTTAATGTCGACATAGATGTCGCTGATGAAAGTATTATATCATTGTCGTTCGACATATTGTATTGTGCGTAAATGTCTTATATCTACTTATAATGCTATATCACTTTTATTTGGATTAGACATTTTATATATTTTTTTGGTTCATATAAAAAGATCGCGACCCCTACATAGTTTTTTGTATAGGCGGCATTATAGTAATGATAAGAGCTACTAATTGATTACTAGGACATAATATGAAGAAAAGTCCTACTAACAGAAGTAGGTGGCTATATACCTATACTAAGATAAAATTAGCATAGTTTTGATGAACAAAATACTACATTAAACTTGATATCCGCACTTTGTTGGGGTACTAGTCGAATTTTACTGTACACTTTTTTTGCAGCACTAACAAATTATAGAATCTAAACTAAGACTTGAACTGTCACAAGTTAAAACGAAATCAGGAAATGGATTAACAGAAGAGCTTGAAAGTATATTTGAGAAGAATGTCTTGCCAAAGAGCAGTAATACGCAAGTAAATAAGAATAAGAAAAGTAGAAAATATCGTAAGAAAGAACCATTTAAAGCAACTTCTACCCCTTCTAATTCGTTTATCATTGAACCTTTACAATCAGAAAAAGTAGATGAGGTCCAAAGAAAGATTGTTTTAAGTGAAGAAATTAATCAGATCCATTTTACAATACATAAAAAGGGGAGCCCAATAGTGAATGATAAAGAAAATAGTGCTGAATTAAATCAATATGATTCACCAGAACAAGAATTGCAACTTGCTAGTAGCAAGCATGCCCAAATTAACGGGAAAGATGAAAAGAAAGAGGCTAAACTAAAGAAACCCACTAAGGTGAAATCTAAGAAAGTTGAGCAGACTGAAAGGGCCAAAGGGCCCAAAATTTCAGTTCAGAAAAAGAATAAACAACTACTAAGAGACGAATCTGGCTTAAATGAGGAAAAGTCTACACATCCTTCAGATTCTAGCGTCATATTAATTCCAACAATAGAAAATAAAAGTACTGAATTAGATTTAAAATCTAAAGTTAAGAAGAAGAATAGAAAAGTAAGGATTCAAAGAAAAGCGGTAGCTCATAAGTTACAAGGAATTAAGAAGAGGAGCATGTCTCGAAAACAGTTAATCGCCAAAGAAGCCAAAGGAGCTGATCCTATAAACCTTCTAGGTCCATTAAAATACAAAGTAATCCTTCGAAAGATTCTATAAATTATAATCTATGCATTAAAGTTATAAATATTATAATCAATAAAAAATTAAAAAAAAGCCAACTGATATTAATACCGTAATGTAACAGAAAGTCAACCTGAAACAACCAAATGTGAAAGTGAAATAAATTAGATAAGAAAAAGATCTATTTATGAAGTAAGAAAGGGAATAATGCTATCTTTAATTACATGAAATCATCATCACCAAAGTCATCAAAGTCATCTTCAATTCCATCCTTTTTGAATCCTCCAACATTTGGTCTGGCAGCAGGCTTAGCCTTTTTCTTACCAGCACCACCAGAAGCAGTTCCACCAGTTTTCTTTAATCTTGCTTGTCTTTCTTCTCTTTCCTTATCTTTAACTAAAACATTTAAAGTAGATACAAGTTTTCTAACATTTTCAAGAGATAAAGGTTGAGCCAAATCTCTAATTAAATCAATAGCTAAAGATGAACTATAATTCAATAAAGAATCGTCAGCTAATTTGGTCAATGTAGTTCCTAAAGTTTTTCTTAATTTTTCAAATTCAGCTTTAGTTGCAGGTTGAAATAATGGGTGAACTTCTAATGGAGTATCTTTAGTAATGACGGGTCTTTTGGCTTGGGCAGCAGCGATAGCAGCCTTGGTGATTGCTTCTCTTGGGTGTTCATTCAACTTATTGAAATCGAGTCCATCATCTACAGATAATTCTCCGAATAAATCTTGAGTATTTTTTAAGTCTGAATGCTTTTCGGCTTCCTTTAAAACTTCTCTTCTGGTATGTTCATCAAGGGTATCAATTTCTAACAAAACTTGTTCACCTGATTTAGAAGCAGCCTTTTTAGCTTTAGCTTCATCTTGTTTTCTCTTTAATTCAGCTCTTTCTTTAGCCTTTTGAGCTTCAGCTTCTTTCTTCTTTCTTTCTTCTTCTTCTTCATCAATATCCCATGATTCTAATACAGCTGCATCTTCTTCTTCATCTTCCCATGAACCAAGAGTGGCCTTGGTATTTGATGAGGTGGTGGGAACATCAAAATCTTCGTCGTCCCAAGACATATTTTCACTATTATATTTATTAACTAAAACGGTTATTAGGAATATTGAAGATCTTTAACTTTCTTCTTTCCATTTTTTTTCTCTACGTTTCTGATGTCTCCATATGCAGGCCCAGCTCAACCAAGGAATGGCTTTTACCTTGCAGCATTAATCTTGTGACTATTAAGCTAGACTAGTGCTTATATTGAGTTCAGGTGAAGAATAGAAATACATGTTGAGAATGTTAATAGTCACTCCGGTTTTTCAAGAGATTCCTTAACTTGCAGATCAAAAAGATAAAAAAATCAATCTTTTCCACTAGTTCTACGGTGCTGTGCAACCAATTTGAAGTTTAAGCTGGGTGCCCATTTATTTAAATATGAACTGAATCTTAGAACTAAGTTTTCCTGAATTTTAAATGGTTGGTCATTGGCTTTATGATACGTCTCTATTCTCTTTTCAAAACCTGGCTTCTCTTAATTCTTACTAATAATTATATACATCTTATCAACTGATTGCATCTTTGTTTAATATATTGCAGTATGGATGTTTCTCTCCAAAAATCCCAACCGTACGATGATCTGTAGGTAATAATTGATTAATTAACCCACGAGCTTAATATTTGAGTAACTGTAAAGAAGTCAATGGGTAGTTGGAAAGCTGTAATATCTTAGTAGTTACTTTTTATTCATTGTTTCTTTTCTTATTAATAATTAGAGGAAGGGAATGACCGGGTCAATAACAACCTCATTTTTACATAAGGGAATCAATATCCCTGGAGTTAAGAATAATACTAAATTTATAAAATGGATTGAAGAGAGTGAAATTAATTTACATAATAACTTATCAGTTAATATAAGTGAATTAGGAGGAATAGGATTATTTTTCAAGAATGAAGATAATATTCAAGAAAATGAAGAGAATGAAGATGTGGATTTAATAATATTAAGAATCCCAGAAAGTTCAACTTTCGATTATAAAAATCTTCTAATTGTTTTAGAAGTTTTGAAAGTTAGAGATAAAACATTTGTTGATGAAGAATGTAAAGATAGTGAATTAATAGTTAATGTGTTGGAAATTTTTGAACCCAGTACTGAAACTCAAATTGTAACATGTTATTTTATTGCTTTCAAAATGTTACAAGAAATTCAAACTCATTCAAGTGATTATTATAAAACATCACCATTAAGGAAATTTGATATTTATCTTGAAATATTGTTGCATACTCTGACATTGGCATTTCCAAGTATTGAATCAAGTGATGATCCATTTATATCTAGTCATATACAAAATAGTAATCAAGTTAAATTTGAATTTGATTCCTTTATTCAAGAATTAAATATATTATATGATCATGGTATCGATTTTGAGGGAAGTATTTTACCTTTTAGAACCTTTTATCAATTAACACAAGCTATCAAATCAAGAACATTAGAGATTCCACATGAACATAATGAAGAAGATGATGATGATGAAGATGGGGATGATGAGGAAAATGATGAGAATGAAAAAAGTACATTAATAGGTCAACAATATGACCTTAATGGTAATACTCTGGAGTTGGAGAATTTGGTCAATAGTTTGGACTTTAGTGATACTGAACAACTGGAAGAATATGAACTTAATGGAATAACTAGTGATAATAATCTTAATAGTCATAAAACTAATTCAAATACTGATGGTAGTACCATCAGCAAAAGAAATAATAATGGTGATTATTATACTAATGTCACGTTAGTACCTATATTAGACTTTGCCAATCATAAACATAATAGTAATTCATATTTTGATATTGATAGATCAAATAAAGATATAGTATTGAAATTAAGAAGAGAAATAATTAATGAATTAAATGATAATGATGAAATTGAAATTACTATTAGTTATTCACCAACCGAGAGTATTCAACACTTTATTACAACTTATGGATTCATTCCTGAATTAGTTAAGAACCCATCCATAAAAGAATATTACCAATTATTTGAATATAAATTAATCCACTTAGATAAATATTATCCGCATGCTACACAAATATGTAAATGGTTAAGGATTATGCCACAAGTTCAAATTGTCTTAAGTAACAAAGGTGATGATCAAATTTATTTCAATATTTATGGTAATAAATTACCGTTATTATTTTTAGAAGGATTAGAATATAATGAAGATTGGAAAAAAGGAGCAGTAGATAATTTTAAAGAATATAATGAAATTCCTAATGATTATGAGATTGAAGATAATAAAATTTTAGAAATTTTACATCTGCAAGAATCACAATATGATGTAATTAATGGAGTTGAACCAATTGGATTAAAATATAAGGGAGAAATAGTTCGTCATTTAAGTGAAATTAGAGTTAATAATCCAGTTGAAGAAGATAATTTAATATTAAAATCTATTGATTATATTATAAAACATATTAGAGATAAATTACAAACTTTAAGGAATATTAAAGATGGCCCTAATGAAAATGAAGAACAAGAAGAAGAATATGATGATGATGATGATGATGATGATGACAATTATAAGATTATGATTAATAATTACTATCGGTTGCAAAAACGCATGTTAGAAATTATCGTTGCGAAATATGATGAAGACCCTCGCTCGGTTGTACTACCAGAACATTTAGCTCATCATGATTGGGAAATTAATTATCGGTCATTACCCCGGGAAATGGAATTAGATTAGCCGTACTTAAATTATATGACGGTAAAGTCATACACTTGAACGTGTTTATTAACCGATAATAATTTAGGTCATTTCTTTTGTATATAAAATACGGCACTATAATTAGTATATATTTATTTTAACCTAATACATTATTAATAGACTTTTACAGTTTTAAGTTAAAGCTTAGTCATACTGAGGGTCGATCACGTGCGCATTACAAATGAAAATTTAAAAAAAGAAATTCTCTGCTCTAGAACAAGTTCGAACATTACCAAGCGGCGAGAAAAAAACTGATAAGTATAAAATGGAGGAAGAATCCCTGATTAGTTTTGGCAGCAAATATATTTTAATTATATTGTAATCAATTGATTTCATTCATAAATACTTATACATATCACACATAAATAACAATGGTTGCCACTATTGCCTCTAAACAAGAATTTACTGAAGCTTTACAACACGATGGTTTAGTCGTTGTTGATTTTTTTGCTACTTGGTGTGGACCTTGTAAGATGATTGCTCCATTATTAGATAAATTTTCTAAAGAATATACTACTGCTAAATTCATTAAAGTTGATGTTGATCAATTTGGTGAAATTGCTCAAGAATATGAAGTTTCATCTATGCCAACTGTTATTTTCTTTAAAGATGGTAAGATTGTTAACAAAATTATTGGTGCTAACCCAGGTGCTTTAAAGCAAGTTTTAGCTGCTAATGCTTAAATTTCTTTAAATAATTGAAATTTTTAAATTTGATATAATTAGTATCATTAGTGTTATTATTATAAATCCTATTTTGAACACATATAGGTTTAGTATATAAATTTATTTATGTTATTTTAATAGACATATACGCGTAAGAAGTTGATATATTTTTTGATTTGTAAGCTACAATCAATAATCCTCAAAATGAAGATTTTGATTTTTTGCAACTTGTAGTATATAAGCACAGATGATAGATTTGTAATGTATATAAGAATTGAAAAGCAGTATAAATAGTACAGTAAATGAATATATAAAATATATAGAAATAGAAATAGAAATAGAAATCCCTTATTGAATTAATTGAGAATTATTAAATTCTCTAATAAAATCTGATATAATTGGTAAATGAATTAATTCATTTCTTAAATTAATTTGATTAATATCTTCTTCTGATACGAAATTTAATAATACTTCATAAATTAAATAATATTGTCTTAAATTTTGTACCATTGATATTCTTTGTTTACGGAAATTATTAACTATTGCATAAACTGGATCATACTTTAAATTATAACCATCATTATTAATATTTAAAAGTTTAATCATTGTATCTATTGTACAAAGTGTACCTGTTCTACCACATCCTGCTGAACAATGAATTGCTGTAGGATATGATACTCTTGTTAAATTTATTGATGATAATACATAATGCTTTAATTTAATTACTTGAATTAAATCAAGTGGTGCAAGCATTGTCCCCATATCTGGCCAATTTAAAACATGAACTTGTAAAACATAATGATGTCTTGTTTCATCTTTATTAGTATTCATGGAAATTTGAAAACTTCTAATTATAAGATATGACAGAAATGTAAATTCTTCTTCAAGTTTAACATTAATTGTATCTTTATCACTAATATATACTCCACTTTTCCAAAATGGTGAACACTTTAATAACCCATTTTCAACTTCATCAGTAAGTGAAAGAATTAATGGAACATTTTGATTAATAATACATTTCCAAAAATCTCCCATTGTTTCTTCAAGAGGTCCTTGAGTTGCAATATATTTTAATTGTGTTAAATCTAATTCACTCAATGATTCTTTAGTTGGTGATGATGATGAAATTGATAATGCTTCATCAATATTACCAAGAGGATTTAAATATGAAGCATTAATATAATCTTCAATACATGGACTTTGACTAGCCTTTAATTTAACTCTTGAATGTTCATATAAGAATATATCCTTATATCTATTCTTATGACCATATTCAATTCCACAACTAATAGTTGGAGGAATATCATCTTGCTCATCTAATGGACTTAAACCTAAATCATTAGGTCCAATTGTACTTTTAGTAGAACTTGATGATGTAGAAGATAATGGTTTATTTAATGATAAAGCATGAAGTAATCTTCTTTGTTCAAATCTTTCTAAACTTGAGAAATCTTCATTTATTTTCCTAGTAGATTCAATCATATTTTCATCTAAAACACTGGTTTTTAACCAATCGGGTAATTTAGATTTATCACTAGGAATATTTGATAATTTAAAAAGATTATTATGATTGGTTTGAAGAGTTTTAGACACTTCAAATGGATTATTATTATTACCATTCCCACTTCCCCGATCACTTAAATTATAACTATCAGTACTTGAAAGTAATTCTTCATTATGTCTAATTTTAAAATTAGTTTTAAGCTTAGGTAATGAAAAATTAGTAGCTAAAATAGGAGTACTAGCAGTAATTGAAGAATTATAAGGATTTGGAGTTGATAAAGTAGTACTATTCAGATATTCATTAGTTGGAGTTATACCTGATGATCGATGATAAGAAGAAAATTCAGCTAAAGATTGAGATCTTGATCTTTCAGTAACAATAATTGGTGGTAAATAATTATTTAAATTTGAAGGAGGTGAATTTACTGTTGATAATTCTGGTATTGAATCTTGTATAGTATTAATTCTAGTAGGAGAAGTTGTTAATGAAGATGAAGAATTTAATGAATCCTTTAATGTTGTACCTGATCCAGATTCAATTAATTCAGGATAATTAATTTGAAATTGATTAAAATTTGAATCTAATAAATATACATTATCTTTAATATTAGCAATAAATGTAGGACTAGTAACAAATTTATTAAGGAAATGAAATAAATTTGATGAATTATTAACAGAATCATAAACTATTAATACTCCACCATTTGGATCATTAATAAAATCATTAAATCGAGATTTTTCATAATCTGGTAAAGAATTAATACATCTTGTAAGGGTAAAATTAGCTCGTTTAAGTAAAGTTGATGGAAGACATATGTTTAAAGCTCCAGTTATATGAGATTTAACAAAATCAGTAAAGGGACGAATATCAACAATTAAATTATTAGAACCACCACCAGTAGTATTATTGTTATTATTATTATTATTTAATGAATCCAATTGAATTTGTTGAGATATTAATTCTAGAGTATGATAATTTATTCTAGTTGGTAATAAATTTTCAATCAGAGGTTTGAAATTTTGAGTAGGTAAATAATTCAAACGTTTTAGTTGTTCATTTTTAACTATGGAATCAAAAGCTGCAATGTCATTAGAAGTTGTTGGGGCGTTAGATACAGATTGAGTTCTATTCATTATATTATTATCGTTATTTTTTATACTACCATCATTAGTAGTATCTAAAGATAAAGCTGGTAAAGTAATTTGCTTTTTTAAAGTGAAAATTGGATTTGTTGCACTTACAGATCGAATACGACTATTAAAGGGAAAATTTGATTCTATTGCTGATGTAGCTTTCGGTATTTGATGAATTGTAGGTATGGGAAAAGATCCAGTCTTTGGAGGTGGAGATGATGTAATAATATTAGAAGCATTGCCCGTGGCTGAGTCTATCGATCCTTCTTCTTTACAAGAAACCAAATGTGCCAGACGATCTGAATTTGCAGACAATGAAGTATTATACTTATGTTTGTAAGAATTGAAGAATGGATTAGTATGAGAATTTGAATTTATACTTGGAGGTTCTACTAAAGTATCTGTTGAAATTAATGAAGAATCTGTTCTTACTTTAGAATTAATTGATGTTGAAGTATGACCATGTTCATATATAGTTAAATCTGATAAATTTGAAGATAGTGATGATATAGAATCATTATATGATTTATGTTGAGCTTGTGGATGTACTGGTGGTTGAACTGATGGTTGAACTTGTGATGATGGTAGTGAATGCTTTATCTTAGGACTAAAGAAATAATCGGTAGTTTCATTCTTATTAGTGGTGGAGACACTGCCATTATTTGTACTTGTCTTGGCATTTACATTTACGTTCCCATTTGTAGATGATGAATTATTGGGAAATGTGAAGTTTGGAGTACATAGCGAAGGTGAAGAACACATGGCTAATTTGGGATTTGATAATTGTCTGTTTCTGATCTCTGACTATGTAAAAGGTATTATTTTCTATATGGTAATGGAACTATATGATAAGATAATTATAATAAATTCAAATTATTGTCATATATTATGAAATAAATACTTTTATATTCAAATTTCAAATAAGGAGATTGGTGACAAGTCGATAGTAAAAGTCAAAGTTATACGTTGGTACGGCTTGAATGAGTGAAAGCCGGTTACAAAACAAGGGTGAAAGATATGGATATATGATGACAATATTTGACTTCTAATTTGTTATTGATAAGTAGGAAATTTAGTAAATGTGGTCTATAATAGGAACAAGAACACAATACTATCTTTAGATAAATAAAGATAATCAGTGTTTTGACAGATTAGTTGGTTGTGAATAATCAGTCAGTAAACCGTTATATAGGGTAAATTTTTCTTAACAGTGAGTGCGATTTTTTTATGTCTGATTGTATCAATTTTGTCTGATTTTTTGTTTGTGGGTTTCTATTAATAAAGGCTGGCTTACTTAATGAAGATTATAATTATTAAGAGCCACGGTATTAGGGCTTATAGTTTGAACAATTAAATAATTATAAATTACTTAGAGTATGAGGGGGGGTTCTTGCAGATTTTACTTTAAGTTAACTTTAAATTCATCAAAGGATGGCAAGATCACCTAGGATAATTTCATTCATTGTATTTAAGTATGGGAAACGCACGTGACTTGTTCTCTCTCTTTCTCTCTCTCCTTCTTTAATCTTACATGTCGTATAATTTGTTCGCTGTCTTCATTTTTGTTTTTTGTCTGTCTGATAGTTTGTGTTCTAAGTTCTAGAACCCTTTTTAGTTGTTCTACATAACCTTGCAAAGAAACTACTAAATATAGCAAACACTCATAAATAAATCATTATAAAAGTAAATATTGATACTATTGCTCATAAAGTGTATGTGTATAACATAATAAGGGGTTTAAAGAAATAAACACAGGAAGGTAAGCCCTTCTCTGAAATGTTATGATATTTGATATTCGGTTCTAGAACTTACTTTAGACCATCCTTTCGGTTCTTTGTCGGCGACTGACATTTTGTTTTAGTCTTTATTTTTTTTCATTCAAAATATTTTTTGGCCCTTAAAGTGTGTATGACATCATACTTCTATTTAGTTAACTAGTCCTCTATTATATACTAACTATCAAAAAAATGGTAGCTTCATTGAACAATCTATATGATACGAATTGAGATACAACTTGTCATATATCTCTTATATCATATCTTCTAGTTATTTGTCTGACTTTTCCTGTGCAATCTCTAGAATGCACAGTTCGATATGTCAGATAATGAAAATTTCATTTTTTATAGTTGAGGAAAAGAAATAAAACGAAAACAGTAACTAAATATAAACCACACCATAATCCTGGTTGCATTTACAACTAATCGTAAGAAATTTCATATCTGCTCGTATCTCTTAACTTGCATTGACATACATTGTTTTATATGTAAGTTTTACATTTTATTAGTTTTGCAGTCAAACCTTCCATTTACACCTATATTTTTATATTATACACAATAAATATCATTTATAAACTTTCTCTTAATTACTGGGACAATAATCCTCAAATGTCTTCCATGGTTTATTTAATTTATAAGTTTTCCCACCTTTTGTCCAATCAATCCCAATTACAACTGGAATCATTGATCCAGTAGGTAATTTCCATTTTTTATGTCCAATAACTTTTAATATAGAACTAATTGTTCCTGAATGTGATACTAAACTTATAACAATATCGTCATCTTCATGAGTCTCTTCAAAAATTTCAATTAACAATTGCTGAACTCTCCAATTTCTATGTTGTGAACTTTCATGTTCAGCAGAACTCCATAATTCATCTTGTTCACTAAATCCTGCTTCAAATTCAACATATGGATATTTATCTATAATATAAGTTTTATTATGACGTTTACTTTCAGTACCAATACCATAAGTTTCTCTTGCTTTTTCTTTAACTACAGGAATAACTGAATTTTCCTTACTATTTCTCCACATTCTTTCCCATGTTTCTAAAGTTCTTCTTAATGGGCTCACAAAATATTTCGAAGGTTTTGGAATACCTTCGAGACTAAATTGTTTGGATAAATCATCTACTTGTTGTTTTCCTTTTGGAGTTAATTCTGCATCATCCCATTCAATTGTACCATCAAAATCTCCCGATTGTAATTGCCAATAACATTTCCATTCAGTACTGTTATATTTTTCTTCCATAGCATAATTATGCCATCCTTCTCCGTGTCTTTGAAGAAAGAATAATTTAAATTGATGTTTCTTATGTTTCTTATTAAGATGACGAATATCATCAAGAATTTTATCCCAGGTATAATGGGGCTTTAAACCAATATTGTTGATATCGGAGATTTCGGCATCTTCGTTCACTTGTTCTTCTTCGTTTGAATGTTCATGTTGTTGAAAATAATGGTCAATCGAATATAAATATGGTGGTTTAACTACCTTAAAGCTATGGTAATTTTCTAACTGTTGTACTTGTTGAGTTGGTAAATATAAACCAGTTACATTTACTATTAACTCAAAAAATACAACAGCAACAACCCATCTAATTTCTAGCATCTTCATCAACATCTTCTATTCTAACTTTCGACTTTTACAGTTCATTTACTACATTCTACGAATTTCTGTATTTTGCTGATTTTAATGTTTATTTATATGTATACGCAAAATTTAATTTGCATACATAAATTTCTGTTTATACACGTGTGACATCAAAAATTAATGGGTCTCATCTCTGAAAATTTTTAAAGTATGGCTTGGCCTAGCATTTAGTATGTCTACAATATAAGGCTTGACATTCCTCGAATTGTTCATAACTACTATGGTATGTTGCGAATAACTACTACAGTTGAAGTGGTTATACATGACAACCGCAAAATCTAAACATACAACAAAAGGAACCCCAAAACAAATATAACGCAAAGTAGATCTAAATCTTTTGTGGTACTGTATAAGTGTGCGGTATGGGTGCAAAAAGTATACCTAGTATAAGATTTCTATATTGATTCAGTGTGACTTTACAACTTTAATTATGATACTTCTTTGAAGTGAATGAATTGGTAACTCATCAACTGATTAACAAGATTGTATTTTATAATAGTTTTTGTAGCAAAATTAAAAATTGCGTATGGTAGTAAAGTTGTGTAGAGAAAGTTGCTAAATTTTCTTAAAAAGGAAAACCAGAAAACCAAAACCCGAAAGGCGTAATCACTTTTAATTTGTTTAGAACCCTTAAACATCAACAAAGCATTTTAGTTAGTATAATTACAATGAGTTCAAATGATCCAATAAGTAAAGCAGAACTTGAACCTATTGCTTGTCTTCTCTCTGACTACAAGTGTCATATCAAAAGAATAGAATCGGAAATTAAAACACTACTCAGACTTCTTAATATTGATCCTGTAGTAGCAAGCCATAATACTCCAACAATTTCTAATATTGTTACCAACTTATCGACAATGCATATCATTAAAATCAAGTTATGTAGTCAGATTGATATTCTTGGAGAAAAATATAAGTATTTTAAAGTAGCCAAAGAAGTATCAAAAGCTGTTCATGCAATTGTTGATAGATCAACCATTATCCGTCAGTATGATGAACTCCTTGATAAATCCTTACCTAAAGATGGTAAGCTTTTAAATCTTTTAGATCCAATTACTGAAAATCCTTATTTAATGATTACAAATATTAAGAATTTGTACTTAGAATTTCATAAGAATTGTAGATTAAATATTTACAAAAAGATTTCAATAGGTTCTGAAGCATTTTATAAGAATTTACCATCATTCTCTAATAGTAGAGGAAAATATTTACCTCAATCACTTCTTATTTATAATTTATCTACTATTAATTTGATGGATGAGGCTCGTTTAGATCGATATTTAGAGTTTTATGAAATTGGTGGATTAGATCTTCCCTTGGAGTTTAAACAAGAATATTTATGTAGTTATTTAAAGCTTAGAATGATCCTGGGAGTAGGTAAATCTACTAATCCTAAGAAGAATAATTCAAATCGTAGTAATTAGTTATATAGAAGTATATAGAATTATATTGTAGTAATCTACGTTGGCTGTAAAAGTCTTATCAGTAATATCAACACTTTTTTTTACACCTAATTATGACGGTCAAACTAATAAATCATACTAACTACGCCACCAACATAGATTATGAAACAAGAAGCTAATAAATCATTTCTCAAATCCAAGGGCATTAAGTCCATGGTTGATTTTGTTAAAAAAACTCCTCTGTCTTCTAGTTCATCAAGTACTTCAAATAGCACTGGTTGTAGGATTGATCCATCAAAATTAGATAAAGAAGCACTAGAACAACAATTCATCACTCTTCAGATGAGGTTAGCAAGTGCCCAAACTCTTAAAAATCAAATCCTTACAAGATTTCACGAAATTGGTTTATTAACTCAATATAATATTGATTCATCAATTTATGAATCTATTCCAACATTAGATGATTTGGTTAAAGTTATTAATAAGAAATTGGTATCTAAATTAGAATATTTAATTCATTTAAACATTCAATATGAGAAGAAAATATTGACAAATCAATCAACAGCTTTATTTACTACTTTACAACGTCATATATTAGATCAGAATAAGTTATTAGAGAAATTTGATAAACAAACAACAAAATATAATTCACATTCTTTAAAGAGATATACCAGTGCTGTTGATGATATTAAGAAAACTATTTCGGAAAATTCAACAAAACTTACTACAATTGATTCTATATCTACTACAGAAGCTGTTAAATTTTGTCTTGATTCTGGTTTAGATGCATCTTCTTCATCTCTGAAGAAGAATTCGATGAAATACAAACTTACTCCTGTTGAACAATTCCAATTGATTATGTTAGAAGAAATGTTTAAGAGTACTATGTTACAAAACTTGAGAGCTAAGAATCAAAATCAAACGACAAGTCTTGAACCAATTGCTAATAGTGCCAATAAATTTCCTTCAGAAGAAAATTTAGAAGCATTATCATCATTAGAACAAATTGAAAAAATATCAAAGGATCAACTTATGAAATATTTTAATTTTTATAATTTAAATAATAAGAGTCTTTCCTTTCAAGAAATGAAAGAATACTTAATTCAATTCTTAGGAGTTGGAGTATTAGATTGAAGAATGAATAATGATGATTGATGATTAAGATTAAGTTGTTGGTGCTACTATATGGCTTCCACTTTGGGTAAAGGTATTTTTTTTCAATGACATCACAATGTCAAATATCGATTAACGCGGTTAAAATATTTATTTATATTTATATTTATATTTCTATTTCTATAAAGTTTGCTTATATAATAATAGCTAGATTTCAATGTCATGACATATATCTATAATGATTCCAATATATATAGTTCATCTCATATAGTTCGAGATCCTAATGATTTAGATCTTAGTAATATATATCCATTGGCTGATCTCTATTTCTGTCCTACATGTCAACAACCAAAATCTATTCAACAATGTCAATATCATATAATATCTAAATATTGTTCTAATTGTTTAGTGGATTATACTGAAAAGATTCATTTAAAAAGATGTACAAAAACTTGCTTTGAATGTCCAAGATGTGAAGCAATTATATCAATAAATATTGTAAATCATGCCCTTAATGGTAAATCATTTATTTTTACTTGTAATTATTGTCCTTTCCAATTTGAAACTTCAGTTATTGAAAAACCTAAATCATTACATTCAATTATAAATCAAGAAAGATCAGAAAGAGAAGATTTTCATGATAAATTATTTAATCAATTAAAGAAAACTTTTGAGAATCAATATGATAATAACAATGAAACTGATACTAATACTAATTCTCCATTAGATGAATTAAAATTAAAGAATTTAAATCTCACAACTTTATCTTCACCAACACCAATTGTAACTACTGGTGAAACCAATTTTAAAATTGATCAGAAAACTGATGATATTACTCCAAGATTAAATTCCATTAAATTTGATTCTTCTAGTCCCTTACATCATTCAAATACTTATTCTTCATGGCAAGTTAATCGTAGAAGATTCCCCCTTGCTAAACAACTCTCAATAAAATATTCTTTGAGATGTTTAACTTGTAATACTAAATTATTACAACCTACAATAATTCGAGATAGTCCATCATTACATAAATTTACAATTAAATTATCAGCTGTGGATTATTTACCAATTATAAAAGTTACAAAGTATAAAACAAATGTTTATTTATTAAATTTTATAAATCCATTACCATCTAAATGTGTTATAACATTATCAACAACTGCACAAATTCCTTCACAATTTATAAATCCACCAACTTCTAATAAATCTATTGATGTTACAATTCCAATAAATAAATTTATTATTGGTCCTAATATTAATAAATCATTTATAAAGAATATTCCAACTGCTTTATTAACTAAAAATACTTCAGCTTCACTTGCTGAATTAGTAAGTAGAAAAAAATCCTTACAAAATTCTAATGTAAGAATGTCAACTACTTCAAGTCAATTACAACAATTTGAAGAGGAAGAAGAAGAAGAAATAGATTTTCCAAAATTAGAAGATAAAGGTAGTAATTGGTATACAATACCAATTCATATAGCAATTTCTCAATTAAGAAATGCTACAATAAAGCTTCCTCTACATATTAAGATAAAAACAGAATTACCTTCTTCATTTAAAAGTAAAGAAATAACGGCTGCTTCAATTACTCCCCCACAAAAATTATCATTTAAGTATTGGAATATAATTGAATTAGATTCAGCTATATAATTATATAATTATATAACTATATAATAATCAGAATTATAGACATATGAAGAGACTAATACGCAATTGTATTCGTTCTTGTAGGCACCTATTTTCTCTGGGATTCCCATACATTTTGTATGTTTCAACTGGGTCAATAATATAGACCCATAATCAGACTAAGCTTAAAGCATGTAGTCATTCATTAAATTAGTATGGTACTTCTAATTGTAATACATTATTTATTAAAAATCAAGAATTAATACTCCAGCTATCTTTGATAAATGATGAGAATCAAGTGATTCACTAAGTTTAACATGTTCTTGATCTACCCCAAATTGGGTTTGACTTTCTGGTGGATCAATTACATCTTCATCACCTATATCATCTAATTCTTGTTCATCTCTATCAACTTGATGAGTTTGACGTTGATTCTCTTCAATTCCATCAATTCCATCCACTTTATCTAATTCATCTCCCTCTACTATTCTTTCTTCATTAGATCGTAATATTGCTTCATTTATAAATAAACTAATATATTGACTTGATAATTCAAGAGCAGTTTGAGTAATTCGGGTATTATCATTTTTAAAACTTATTTCTCGAAATATTCGGGCTATAGTTGCAATCGGTATATTTGGTTGATTTCCATTATCTATTGATTCTGGTTCCATAGTTAGTGGTTTATGTATGGGATTGCTTAATATCTCACTGTTAGTATTTACTAAGTAAATAAATATATATGCGCGTATTGAAAAATTTACTGAGAGTTCATTATAGTTAGCACACTATAGTTAGTGAACATGTCTTGTGTTAGTGCTGTTTTTTATTTATTATGTATTATATATTTTCCCCTGTACTATATACATGATTACCTATTTACTTTTTCTTCTCTTTGGATCCGGTTCTTCAGTTGGTGTAGAATGTTTCTTTTCATCTTCTTGCTTAACTATTACTTCTGGTTGTTCCTCCTCTCGGTCTTGTTGTTGTTGCTCTCTCTCTTCTTCTTCTTCTTCATCCTCTCCCTCATCATCTCCTTCAATCTCTAATCCACTATCTCCTCGAGTTATAGTAATATTAATACCCCCTCTCGATTTTCTACGCTTAATCTTTGATCTAGCATTGGCAATAGACAGAGCTTTTGTAAGATTGGTTGATGAATTCCCCGATTCAATGGCCTCAGAATCTTCTTCAAATTCATCATCAAATAAATGGGCATTTGTAAGAGGTTTTCTTGTATCATCTATTAACTTTTCATATTCTTCCTTTTTCATTTTCCCTTCTTTAACAATCTTTCTTAAAAGTTCACCATCCAGGTATTTGGTTTCAAAATGAGGAGTTGGTGTCAGAAGAGATTCAGAAGAACTTGTTTTTATTAAATTACTAGTTGATTCAATACTACTATTTCTAGTATTTGAATTGGATATAGAATTCCTAACATTAGAATTATTCAATACTCCAACATCCAGAATTATTGAATTCACTCCATTATTATTAATTCCATTAAATTGAACTTCATTTACATTTAAATTTCGATTTGGATCAATTCCCTTTTCTATTAATCTTTGAATACTATGTTCTCCAGTAGGATCTTGTCTTATTTCAGGAATTATAGATCCACATTTTAAAGCAGCTGCATCTTGTGATGTATATTCTTTAGAATGAGCAATTCTACTATGATTTAAAAATCCTTGTGCTGATGAAAAATTACTTCTTTGACAATCTGGACAAGTTAATTTAACTATAACTCCATCAGTACGTCTATATAAACAACCTAAATTTTGATTATTATACCTTATGGCTGCAAGATTTTGTTGAGAAGCATTTGGAGTTATTGTTGGAGTATTTGAAGATTGTGATATTGATTGTTGAGGTGTAATGCTTAATGGTTGGGGTTGTAAAGGAAGATTATATTGTAAAGGTCTTAAAGATGAAGTAGTTGATCTTGTTCTATAAGAATGACTAACTGAATATGGATTATAATCTATAGATGAATGATCATAACCATCAAGATAATCAGAATTAAACAAACTGCCTGCACTTTGTTGACGTTGATTTTGTCTAGTAATATCATTATAAGTTAATGTTAATGATTTATTTAATAAATCAAAATATTTTAATGTGAATTCATTTGGTTCATTATCAATTTTTACATCATTCGGTACTTCAAAGAACTTTCTTAGTATTAACATTTGTGATTCAATTTTTCCAACTTCCATTTCTGTCAATTTCAATTCTTTATGTTTTAATCTTATTTCTAAATCAATTTGATTAGTTATTACTTCTTTAAGTTTATCTAATGGTATTGCTTTTAATTTTTGAATTATAGCATCTTGATTTAAAGTTTGTGGTAAGGTATCTGATGAAGAAGGTACTGTCAGTGAAGTATCCACTTCAAGTTCATTTGATACTGAATCTTTTGACAATTCATCATTCGATGTCGGTCCTATTGGATTGCTCATATTGATGGTTGTGATTATAAATATACGACATTAGTATGTCTAATCATTTAACTTGTAGAGACAAATATCTGATCCTACTATTTTGTTGTGTGCGACATTCTACTGCAATATTATGTCGCAGATAATGAATGTCGTGTATCCCAATAACTAATATGGGCATTTTACTAACTAACCATATTATGGAAGTGTATAGTTCTAAGTATGTTGTTATATATAACTGTAATTAAGCACATGCAGCTGGTGAAGGCTGCAAAATGTCAAATTTGTAAACAATGTGATTACGAAAATGGTTGCAGCATAGATGACTTTAATTACAGTGATGTCATTTAGTGAGAATCGCAAAAAATGACTATGAGCATCACCACAATCAATACCACCAATAAGTATATAAGCCAGCATATTTCTTTGTAATTTTTGATTTTGAATTACAATAATGCAATAACATCATCTGCTTAAACAAAGTCAACCACTAATTTTAAGCATAATTATTTACATACATACTACAACCCAACCACAACCACGTTAACATCTACCTTCATTACCTTAATTTTTCGCACTCACCCCACAGACAAAAGGTATATGTCCATTTAATTTCGTCAAGTTTACTGGTAAGATCCTATTAAATTATTCATATATTCAAAATGGTACTACGTTCAATATCTATAAAAAGAGTAGTATCCAATATTAGACCATTTGGTAAACGGATTTCTCAAAGAAATTTTTCAACCAGCAACAATTCGCTCAAAACTAGATCCTGGAGTACTCCTTTAGTATTCATAGGTGGAGCATCTATCGGTGGATTTGCAACTTATCAATATTATAATTCTCAAATTAATGATAAACTCAATTCCACTAATCCAATTTCAGTATTATCAACTTTACCACTTGATCAATTAAAATCTCCAAATTATGCATCCAGTGAAGAAATTGAACTGGCCATAAAAGAAATTAGAGCTGTATTTTATAAATCGACTCCTAAAATTGAAGATGAATCTATTTTAATTAATAATTCAAGAGAAGAAATTGATTCTCATGCTGATACTTATTTCAATTCTCATCATGCATCAAGAGAAGAAAGACCTCAATATGTTGTATATCCTCGACTGACTCAAGAAGTATCTGATATTATGAAAATTTGTCATAAATATAGAATTCCTGTTGTTCCAACAACAGGTAGATCATCATTAGAGGGACATTTTATTCCTACTCGAGGTGGTATAGTTATTGATATATCTAATATGAATAAAGTTTTAAAATTAAATAAAACAGATTTAGATATTACAGTTCAAGGAGGACTTGGATTTGAAGAATTAGCTGATTACCTTGAAGAATATAAACTTTTATTTGGTCCAGATCCTGGTCCAGGTGCTGGAATTGCAGGAATAGTTGGAACTAATGCTTCAGGTACTAATGCTACTCGGTATGGTGAAACTTATAAAAATATTATTAATTTAACCGTAGTTTTGGCTGATGGAACAATTATTAAAACTAAACAACGTCCAAGAAAATCTAGTGCTGGATATAATTTAAATTCTTTATTCATTGGAAGTGAAGGTACTTTAGGTATAGTTACAGAAGCAACATTAAGATTATATGTTAAACCAGCTTTAGAATCGGTTGCAGTAGTTCCATTCCCAACTATAAAGGATGCAGCCGATTGTGTAAATGGAATGTTACTTGAAGGAATTATTCCTAATGCTACTGAACTTTTAGATGATAAAATGATGAAAGTTATTAATTTAACAGGAGAAACTACAAGAAAATGGCAAGAACGTCCAACATTATTTTTAAAATTAGGTGGATCTAATGTTACAGTATTAGAATCATTAATTGGACAAATTAAAGATATTGCAGCTAAGAATAATAGTAAAGATTTTCAATTTGCAATTGATCAAGATGAAAAAGAAGAACTTTGGTCTGCTAGAAAAGTTGCATTATGGTCTACGATTAATCATGGTAAAGAAATTGATCCTACCATGCAATTATGGACAACCGATGCAGTTGTTCCAATATCTCATTTACCTGAATTTTTAACTCAAACTAAACAAGATATAGATAATCATGGATTAAAAAATACATTAGTGGCTCATATTGGAGATGGTAATGCTCATAGTTTTATTTTATATACTGAAAAGGATAGAGAAATTGCTGAAAAAGTAGTTAATAATATGGTTAAAAGAGCTATTGAATTTGAAGGTACATGTACTGGAGAACATGGCATTGGATTTGGGAAACGAGATTTCCTTCTTGAAGAAGTAGGTCCATTACCAATAGATCTTATGAGAAAGATTAAATTAGCTATTGATCCATTAAGAATCTTAAATCCTGATAAAGTATTTAAAATTGATCCTAATGAAAAGCCTCAGTTTCATGGAGCTTTTATTGCCTCTACAGCCGATGAATAATCGTGTGAATTTCTATTTTGTATCTATTCTAAGTAAAAGTTTTAAATTTTATTTTTAAAAGTTTAATATTGTTATTATTAATATATCTATATATCTATATAAATCATGATTTTGATTGTTTCTGGAGGTCCTATTATCTCTAAAACTGAAGTAACAAATGAAGTATTTGGATGTTGTGATTCCATATATTTAGTCGAGGCATACAATGGAGTAAGAGATGTTTTTCCAGTTCTACATCCTCTATCATAATCTGGAACTTGTAAAACTAGACCCTACAGAAGATTTTGCAGCCTCGACTAATATCTTTGAGTTCATAGTAGCTTGACTCTTAGTTGACCTTTGCAAGCCCCACAAAAAACTCCTTCCGGTAACTGATCCACAACAAGTGATAAACCTTATCATACTTGATTTAAAAGAAGTAATATCAAAAAGTTTTCAAGGTGGTGATAAATCATTTATCGCGTTTTATATTATTTGGTTATAGATCTGAAAAGTTTCCTTTTGGGTTGCACCGCACTGTGTTTAGGTGATGAATGTCTGTCTATACTTAATCCTTTTAAGTTTTATTATATTTTATAGGTGTGTCTAGTCTATCTATTATTATTTACATATATACATAATACTTTTCTATTTTCTATTTTTTATTTTCTATACATTCAATTCTAATATTCATAATCAAGTTTCCTCCATATACGTGCTATTAATTCGTTATCAGCAAAATCAGCAAGTTCACTAAGTTTTTTCTTTCCATCCATGAAGGACCACTTTGGAAAATATGTTTCATGATGTGAATGATAGGAGACATTGGCGAAATAAGAAATACATGTATATTCTGGAGTTGGGCAAGATAAAGATAAAGATAAAATTGCCAAGTTATCTGGAGTAATACACTGAAGTACTTGTTGGAGCACATTACAAGGACCACTAATCTTAAGTTTTTTTAATCCATTAAAAGTTGAAAATTTAATTGGTGGTAAATGTTTATAACCAATTAGTTCGAGTTCCTCGATGTTACTCCTATATAAAAGTATTTGTGATATCATAATTTGATTTCTTAATCTGGCTTTCTTAATGCCCTTAAAATAAAATCTCCTTAACCATAGAAGTGCGACTAAATGAACAGTTTCAAAGGACACATATTTAAGTCCAATATGCCTATTACTGGTCCCTGATCTTTCCTTTATCCTTAGCTTTTCTCCAATATGCAACTCCTCTAAATTTTTACTCAAGGCATCGATATCAAGGACTGGAAAACCTTTTATAAGCTTGATATAGGGTACTGTTATTTCAGATGTTAAATAATCAGTATAGAACCTGAAATAAGTTAAATCAAGCTTAGAAAGCAAATCATATGGTAGATTGAAGTTTGTTGGTTCTCCATCATTTAAAAACTTTCTGTAAATACTCACACCAAGATTCAAGTTATATCCAATATAAGGGATTACCGACTCAATCAATGAGGACATTCCTGATCCATTATCATCTATTCCTAAGTTAAAATGTAATATTACCTTTCTAGATTTCCAATTTTTTAAATATGGTACACATTTGAGGAATGCTTCCAGTGATTGTGGAAATGATATAGTAAATGCCTTATGCCTTTTGTAATGGGTAAAGACAACTGCTTTTATTTGCAGGTCCGAGAAGGCCATTCCTTCTATAGGAGGTCGAGGTGCATCATCTACAAACTCATGCTCGTCCATAGTGTCTACCATTAATATTACTGGCTGATTAGCTCCAATACATTTGTAGGTCAGAAATATATCTTCATGTAAGGTTTCAAGAATGTCATCACAACTAAGTTGAATATTTGAAATGTTATGATACATGTCGTGATTGTTTGATCTGATGAATAAGATATTCATAGAAAGCAAAATTAATTCTATGTAACAAAGTCATTTTATCATTTTGCAGCAGCAATACTTTTTAGGAAAGTGGTAGATTCTAACAATAATCTCAATTATATATGCGACAATAAATTTGAGACATACTGAGAAGATTCGACAAATCTTTTCTTGCAGCCAAACAAAAGGGCAATTTTTTCTATAGCGCTTTTCCGGTTTTACAGCGCCTATTCTTTTTATAAAGTTATAACTATAAACCACTCCATTGATCATACATCGTTAGCTAATTAACACATTATCTTTTATTATCATTTAATTATGTCCAACAGCAGTCCTGATAGCCCTGCCAGCTTTAAAATTCATAGAAATGAAGAGATTAATCAAGCATTAAGTATGGGTTCTAAAGAAGATCTTCTTCATGATAAATTTATAAGAACCAAGTTGATTTTGTATTCCAAAATTGTAAAGCACATGTTGAATTTAGATGAAATAAATAATTTCAGAAATATCAATTTAAATATAAGTGCTGGTAAATCCTCCATCATCAAGGAATTTACCCATATTAATGAGAATTTTATCGAAGAGAAATATATGTCACAATTAATTTTATATTTCGACACTTGCAAACTTTATCAGTTGTTTAAGACTCGAGATTCATCTATAATGCCACTATTTGACGGTTTCCAATATCTTGATGAGATAACTACCTATCATGAAAAAGTAGATTACTTTTTTGAATTCTTTTATCAAATTGGTCATTATATAGAATCCAATTATATCCAATATGGTCCACATGATTTTAATACTCTTCTGGTATTTATTAAAAGTGATTTCAATGCTAGAAGAACAAGGTATTTTAATAAATACCATAGAAATGACTTTATCCTTCAAGATATTGAAGAATTTCTTCTTGATTAAGATTCATAGGATAATTAATGATAAATGGTAATAATGCTTAAATATATACATGTGTATTTAATGCTTTCTTTTTATACATGTGCATATAATTTGTCTTTAACTAATATATATATTATAAATTACAAGTAAATACTGTAGTTATTAAATAAAGAAGAATTAAACCTATTCCAGCTCTTCTATCTAAAACCCAGTTATTAAAGGGTATATATAATGGCATACATACTTTCAGGAGATTTATTTGGTGATAATCCTAGCATTATATCAGATGACCTAACACGGGGTATAAAAATTGGGGGAGAAGAAGGAGATAGATGAGTGTCATAGTAGTGTAAAGTATTGAACTATCTATCTTGTAGCATATACTTAAGGAAATAAGTATAACAGTTAAAAAACTACTTATTGCACCCATCGGGAAATTGCTGCTAAATGAAAGCCGCAACCCTGCACACAGCTCAGCTCACAGACAAAATTTTTTTGTGATGGTATCCAGAATTTTTCACCTGTACCGATAACTGTAACAGACTAAGTCATCTCAAAGTTTTATTAAGTACTATAGAGGATAATTTATAATAGATAATATTATGACATCTGTAGGACCGGTAATATGTGCAAAGTTTGACCCTACCATAAGTTATTTGGCCAGTGGTGTAATTGCATTAGATACTCATCAAATTAAAGTTAAATCTATTAACTCATCTCAAACATCATTAAATACATCATTTTCATTAGAAAAATCCAATAAATTAACTAATTTATCATGGATATCTATTAATAAATCACATTCTATTTTAGCTATTAATTTAACTAAAGGTTCTACATTAATATATTCTGCTCAAACTAATGAAATAATAGCAGAATTATCTAGTACAAAGAATTTAAGTATAGTAGATTTTCATTATTCAAAATTAACTCATTCAGGTTGGTCTTGTGATATAGAGGGGAATATTTATGAATGGGATTTAAATAATTTTTCATTAATTCAACATTTTAATTTAAATGATCTTTTAGAAACGGCTGAAAATGTTAATAGAATATCAACTGTATTATATAATAATGAACCTCATTTATTAGTAGGATCACATTCAATTTATTTAATTAATATTAATCAAAAGGAAATTATAAAGACATTCCCGGGTCATATTCAACCAATTAATAATATATTCCCTCTTTCTGATAATAAAGATCTTTTCTTAACTAGTGCAAAAGGTGATAGATTTATAAATTTATATTCTATTGAAAAGGGTTCAACAAAATCAGTATTTGTATCTCAATCTTCAGTATCTGATATAGCTTATGGAGTTCAAGATAATAAATCTATTTTAATAGTAATTAATGAAAATAATAATTTAGAAATATTCAATGATATATTTGGAACTTCAACAAAATCTCAATCTCAATCTCAACCATCAACTCCATCATCTAAAAAGAAGAGAAGACAACAATTATCTAATGTTCAATCTCATTCATCAAATGCATTATTAAAATTATCTAGACCAGATACAGAAATTAAAAGTCCAAAGGATTCAAATTTAGCTATTGATTCTATTTCAGTAAATGAAGATTTTATAATATTTTCATGGTTAGAACATTCAAATATACCTTATTTTGAAACTATTAAATGGTTAGATGATTCTGGTAATTATAGTCTTATTACTGAAAAAGTAGTATTCAAATCTAAACCTGATTTGAAAGTTGTTAATCATTCAACTTATGGTCATGATATTGCTGCTCCAAAACTTTATAGTGAAGGTCATGCTATTATAAGTGATGGAACTAATTTAGGAGATGTTTTAAATGAAGTTGAAGGAGAAGATGAAGATGAAGAAGAAGAAGAATCATTAGCAGAAAAATTTGAAAAACTTTCACAAGAGAAATCTTTAAATCAATCAACTAAGAGTAAGAAGAAACTTGGAGGTGATAAAACTGGTACATTAGCCGTTATATTATCTCAATCATTAAGAAATAATGATCATTCATTATTAGAAACTGTTTTAAGTAATCGTGATTCTCAAGTAATTCAAAATACAATTGAAAGATTAGATCCTGCATTATCAGTTATTTTACTTGATAGATTAAGTGAAAGAATTCAACGTCAAGCTTCAAGATTTGATCAATTAACTTATTGGTTAAAATGGATTGTATTAATTCATGGATCAATTATATCTTCATTACCAAATTTAAGTATTAAATTATCAAATTTACATTCTGCATTAATTAAAAAGGCTGATACTTTACCTAGATTATTAGAATTACAAGGTAGATTAAATATGTTATATGATCAAAATCGGTTAAGAAAGGAAATTTTAAACTTAAATACTGGTTATGATAATGAAGATGAAGAAATTGATAGTGATATTGAATATATTGAAGAAATTGATGATGCTGAAGCTTTAGGTATCTTAAGTGAAGATGAAGATGATTTTGATGTTGATTTAGAAGGTGGACATGATGATTATGAAGAAGAAGAAGAAGAAGAAGAACCACAAGTGGAAGATGGTGATGACGGTGATATCGATGGATCAGTTGAAGATGAAGAAAACTATAGTGATCTTGAAATTGATGTTAACAATGATGACAGAATGGAAGATGATGATGAATAGTAATTTCTGTATTTATAGATCTTTTACATAGTTAACAATTACAAATACAAGTACAAATACAAATAAGTGTTTAATCAATATTTTTATTGCGCCCAGTACTGATTGCTATTAACGAATGGATAACAACAGCATATACAACTTAACATTTAAAAAAGAATAAAAGTGCTAGTTACCTAAAATTTATGAAGTACTGGCTGCTGGCTTTATAAGTCAATGACAGCTCTAATACAATCACCATGATGCATATCATCAAAAGCAGTATTGATATTTTCTAATGGATGTCTGTGAGTAATAAAATCATCAACTTTTAATTTACCTTGCATATAATCTTCAACTATACCTGGTAATTGAGATCTACCTTTAACACCACCAAAAGCTGCACCTTTCCATACTCTACCAGTAACTAATTGGAATGGTCTAGTAGAAATTTCTTTACCAGCAGCTGCAACTCCAATAATAATAGATGTACCCCAACCTTTATGACAAGCTTCAAGAGCATTTCTCATGACATTAACATTACCAGTACAATCAAAAGTATAATCACATCCACCATCAGTTAATTCAATTAATTTATCAACAATAGTTGTACCTTCTGGTAAAGTTGATGGATTAACAAATTTAGTTGCTCCAAATTTAGCTGCCCATTCTTTCTTTTTATCATTAATATCAACAACAATAATTTGACCAGCTTTTCTTTCAGCGGCACCTTGAACAACAGATAAACCAACACAACCAGCACCAAATACAGCAACATTATCACCTTCTTGAACATTGGCAGTAATTGTAGCAGCACCATAACCAGTTGTAATACCACAACCTAATAAACAAGTTCTATCTGGTTTAGCTTCTGGATTAACAGCAACAACAGAAATATCAGCAACAACAGTATATTGAGAAAAAGTTGAACAACCCATAAAATGTAATAAATCTTGACCTTTACATTTAAATCTTGATGTACCATCTGGCATAACACCTTTACCTTGAGTTGCTCTAATTTTTCCACATAAATTAGTCTTTCCAGATTTACAAAATTTACATTCTTTACATTCTGGAGTATATAAAGCAATTACAGAATCTCCAACTTTAACATTAGTAACTCCTTCACCAATTGATTCAACAATACCAGCACCTTCATGTCCTAAAATAACAGGGAAAGCACCTTCTGGATCAACACCAGATAATGTATAAGCATCAGTATGACATACACCAGTATGTAAAATTTTTATACGAACTTCATGAGCTCTTGGAGGTAAAACTTCAATTTCTTCAATTGATAATGGTTTACCAGCTTCCCAAGCAACAGCAGCTTTACAAGTAATAGTCTATAATAATTAATTAGTTAGTAATAGTTCTATTTCTACTTTCTGAATAGTATAGCAATTGAATTCATTACTCAATCCATCAATAACTAAAGTAGTTATATAACTACAAAGGTAAATTTTTTTTGGTATAATAATAATTCAATTGTAGCTTCGGCAATTTTTCAAACATACTTTTCCAACAGTAGACATGATATTTATAGAGTAAAATTATCAGATTGGTAATATGAATTATTTCTTAAATAAATACAAATTTATCAATAATTTTAAATTGCTAATTTGGTTAATTTTTCATATATATACTGACTTGCTTCCTCCAATATCTCATCATCCTCCACTGGAGATTTGATTCATCGGGTTCTTTCATCCTAATTAGGAAAAAGCATCCGGCACGTGACAAATTCGACAATCGTTTATTACTATATTTTTATTTACGCGGGATTGTCAGATTAACCGGAAATGTAGACAAGCGGAAAAAAATTTAATTAAGCCTAATTTTGCAGTTTATGAATATTAACCTTATTACAAATCGACCGTTGAATGATTCTTCACTATGTGTATGACTCAAGGTACTGATGAGAATTTGTAATCAAAGCGTTTATTTAAGTTACATATATTGTACGCATTTATCGGATATTTCAAATCTATATATATATATATTCTAGTATATTCTACTTTCTATCATCTCAGAGCTCGGCCGGGTATTGACAATTAATGATTTATAATTATTAATGATCATTCATAATACAGCTCCAAATCCAAATGTAATCTTAATGGATCTAATGTAATAATCTTCAAAATTACCTCTAACACGATCTTCTTCTCCAATAGGAACTCCAGTAAATTTAACTAACATCTTTGTTTCTCCGGCTCCTTCCTTTAATTCAATATCAAGAGTAGCATAATGTCCCTGTTTCCAATCTTCTAATCTCCAAGATTCTACAATATGTTGATCAGGTATAAGTTTAATAATTTTACCACTTACAGCTCCTCCAAATAATTTATATTCACTACCTTCCTTTGGTGGGAATGATTCAATTAATGGTGGTGCACGAGTCCAAGCTCCGATTCTATTGGCATCTAATAATGTTATATATAATTGATTAGCAGTTGTATTGAAAACAGGTTCAAGGTATAAACTAGAAGTATTATACTTTGGAATTGAGGATGATGTGGATGATGAAGAAGTAGATTTAGAAGTTGTAGTATTTGACTTTTCATTAGTTGATGATTTACTAGATACTACAACATTAGATACATTGACATGTTTAACAGTACCATCTGGATTACTAGCAGTTTGATTAGCCTTTGTATAAGTAGAATTAACTTTATCTTGAGATAATTGAATTTCTGATCCATGAGTAGAAATTAAATCTTTACCAAATTGAATAAGAATAGTTCTTAATTTGGGAAGTAATTTTGACTTTATGAATGAAATAATTTCATCATTCTTATTAGAATCTTGATGAGCACTAATATCAAATTGTAAATCACTTTCTTCTGAATCATAAGCTAATTCTGGAATAGTTATAGATCCATTAACTTCATGTTCAGGATTAGATTTTGTATGACCTTTAAAATTCAAAATTAATCTTAAATCAAATAATGATATAACTTTCCCTTTTCTTTGACATACTTCAACATCACCTTCAACTGATGAAACTTTAGAAATTTTTACTTGATTTAAATCACTATCTACTGATAATTCAAGTAATTTCTCATTGAAATATTCTCGAGTCCAGTCAATACAATTCTTATCCACCCAGTGCCAGTTATTTGGATTATTAACTACCATGTTTATCTTAAAGGTTTTAGCGTAATGATTAAAGTAATTACTATTGCTAATGTCTAATGTCTTTAAGTAATGGTTGAAAAATTGGAATTGGTGATATTTGCGGCATGGAACAATCTAGAAAAATTTGGGTGGTGAGTTGAGTCGGTATTTCTACATCCATGCATCAATAGTTAAACAATTATACAGTTATACAGGTATACAGTTAAATAGAGTCATAAGTATATTAAATTAATTTGAAACCTATAAACTTACTAAGCATCTACTTCCATGGCATCATTAGAATTAAAAGTAATTACAGTTTCTTCAACATCTAAGATATTTCTAACACTTTCTCTTAAAACTGCCGTAGTACCTCTAGCAAATTTATATGATCTTGCCTTTTCAGCTCTAACATTTGGTGTTAAATAATTTCTATATAATTCAGCATCTTTTCCAACTTCCATTACACATATATCAACGTTTGAACCTGAACCTAAATCATTCCAAATACCCAGTTGAATTGCATCAGCACATAATTTAATAGCTTCTTCTTTAGTCATATCTTCTTTAAAATTAGTTTCTAAAACAGCCATAGCAGCTAATGAACCAGAACCTAATGATTGATATTTACCTATATCAGTTGAACCATGAGCTTGAACTGATAATAAATGTGCCCCAGTTGGATCAACACCTGCTACAATTAAATATGCTCCTAAATGACCTTGATATTGAAATAAATGTTGTTTTAACATAGTTAAAGCAGTAATAACTCTTGGTTGTCTATTTTGAGCAAGTGAATGTAATTCTAAATTAGAAGCAATCAATTGAGTTACCATTTCAGTATCAGCAGCTGTACCTGCACCAGCACACCAAATTTTTGGAGCTAATCTATGTAATTTTTCACAATTCTTATCAGCAACTATACTTCCAGCAGTTGCTCTTGTATCAGCCGCTATAACTACTCCACCTTTAAACTTACATCCAACAATAGTTGTACCAGTAGAAGTAGCCATAGGTTGACCAAATCCTTTAGCTGATAAGAATTGATTTCTTTGATAATAATCGAAATTTAATCCTGGCATTATATTGGTATGGTATGATATGAAATAAAATTAATTTAATTTAATTTAAAATAAATGATATGAAAGGTATCACTAATATAATTCTACACTATACTTAAATTCCTATAACGACAATTGCACAATTGTATTGTATTGTATTGTATAAATTAATTGTATACTCTTTAGGTATACTCTCATTGATTGATTCTGATATTTGCCTTCGGTGTGAGAGAGAGTGAGAACTTACTACCTACTAACAATAAATAGGGCTGCACACACGACCTGCGCACCACTAGTAATTTTCTTTTTTTCGGTGTCCTCGAGAATCGGTACGTAACTATGATTCAGTAATAAAGTTGCAAACAATACGGTACTTGTTTATCTCTAGTGTACATCATAAGATATTGAGGATTCAGTAACATATTAGTGGAATTGAAGTAGTGTACTAGTATCGAATTTTCATATTAGAAATTATTTAAGTTGTGTTGTCTTATAGTTTAATGCATCAATATCAATATCAATATGACTGATAGATATAGTTACATAACACCTGCTAAGGTGAAAACTCTAATAGTTCCAATTAATAATTGTTCACAGAAAGATTTTCAAAGGTATATAGGCATAATTCAAGCAGGTATGAATGAAATACGACTAATGGATATAAGTCCTAATTCTCAACTCCAATTTTTCAATCCTCAAACATTCCCTAATGGAAGAATCTTTCTTGATTTTCATACTTCAAGTCCTGATAATGAATCAATATTTTTACATGATTTTGAACCCTTTAGAAAGACTTTTATTATATTAGGAGTTGGAAAGTATAGTGAAGAATTTAATGAAGATATTATAATTGAAGAATTAAAAAAATCATTTCCAGCATCAATTGTTCATAATTGTTTAATATTTGATAGTCCTAATGATAAATTAAAATTAAAACAATTAAATGAAAAACTGATTTCAAGTTTTTATCATAATGGATTAATTCAAAATAATATAACGGCATTGGAAACATTAATGTGTGATATAAGTCAAAATTTTTTAATTGCTTTAGATACTTATGCTTCTTCATATTCAAATATAACTTTAAGATCTCCTGTATTAATAACTGATGGTAGTATACTTACAAGAACTATAAGTAATGCTCAAAAGAGATTAAGTTCAGGTTCTACATCTTTTAAAGTATCATTTTCAGGTTCTTCACCATCATCTTCAAATATAAGTCCTGCTGAAGCAAAATCTAAAAGTCAACAACGTCATAATGCTCGTCAATTAAAACTTATGGGAAGTTTTTATTTATTAGCTGGTAAATATCAAGATGCATTAAATTGTTTTACTGATTCAATATTAAACTTACGTAAATGTGATGATTATTTATGGCTTGGAAATGCCCTTGAAGGTCTTGGAATAACAATATTATTATTAAGATTTATTGATTCACCATTTAAATTACCAAATCAAATATTAAATAATGTCCTTCAAGCATCAACTAGAGCTAAATTTCCTGATTTATTATCACCTAAAAGAAATTCAGTAGATTCATCAACAAATTCTGGACCTATTAATAATATTAATAATAATAATAATGGACATTCAAAGACATCTTCAATTAGTACTATAAATGGAAAGAATTCAACTTATTCTCCAAGAAATTCTTCTAGTAGTAATAATATTAATTTTAATTTCCCTAGTCTGTCACCATCAACATTATCATCATCATCACCTGATTTTACATCCATGCCAACTCCAGAATTAATTGGATTAATTTCATTAAAATCATTAAATTTTTATCAAGTAAGTACAAATGATTTTGAAAATATAGTTCCTGATATTGTTTATGTTGAATCATTATTAAGAATTATTAAATTTAAAATTGGTATATATCTTGGAGGTAATGAATCAAAGGGGAATTTATTAGATAATATAGTTCGATCTACTAAATTATCTTCAAAATTAAATTTAATTGATACAAATTATTTTACAAAATCTGATATTTTAATTAATATTGATAATATATTTAAATTACAATTAGTTGATTTACCAATTCTTGATCAATGTCGAATTTATTGTACATTAGCAACTATGTATACAGATTTAGGAATGCTAAGAAAGAGAGCATTTATACTTCGATTCTTATTAGTTGCACTTTTACCAAAACTTGAACAAACATTTTTAAATGAAAATCCTGATATTCAAAATAATCTTTCCCTTATAACAGGAATTAGAGATGAAGTTCAAAGTATTCGAGATATTTTTGAATATTTATTTTTAATTTATGGAATTAATTTACAATCAGAAAGTTCAGCTGAAGATTCATCAAAACATTCAGAAAAGAGTTGGTTATCTTTACAAATTCAAGTTTTAAGATTATGTTTACAAATTGCTGAATCTATGAAAGATTATCAATTTTTATTACAATTAGGTACAATTTTATTAACAAGATATAGTCATTGTTTACCACCTGATGATCAAATTAAATTGAAAAATAAAATTGATTCATTAATTTATTTATCTAATAGAAATAATTTAAATTTAACTACTCCATATTGGGATCCATTTTTAGTTAGAAGAGTTCAATTTATTAATCCTCGAGATAAAGATGAAATAGTTCCATTTCCTGAATATGACAAGAATTCATCTCAAATTGGTGGATTAGTTAGTGAAGTAAAAATTAATGGTAATGGACATTCTAATAGTAATGGTAATGGTAATGGTAATGGAAATGGAAATGGAAATTCTAATACTAATACTAATACTAATTCTTTCTTATTTGATCCTTATAATAAAGTTGATGAAAAATCAGTATTCAATAAAGATAAATTATTATTAAAAGATGAAGTATATCAATTGAAAGTTCACGTTCAAAATCCCTTTGCATTTGAAATTGAACTTGTTGATATTGAAATCATTACTGAATCTGATTTTAAAGTTCAAACTTTAAAGAATCATATTAGATCATATTCTAAAGGGATAAATAATAAATCTAGAAGTGTAACTAATACTAATTTAAAGAAAATCACTTCATCAACAGCTTCTACAACTTCAGTAGTAGTACCTCCACCATCAACTATGTCGACTACTAATTCTGCATCAAATATAATTCCTGCTAGTTTAACAGTTTCTGGTTCATCAACTGAAATATTTTTAATTGCCTTTAAACCATTACAAGTAGGTGATTTAAAGATAATTGGATTTAATATTCAAGTTGGAACTTGTAGTCCGCAATTATTTAAAATAATTGATCAAGAATTATTTAGTTCATCATTTAAAGTTAAATCTATTGGTATAAATGAGAATTTATTTGTTAATAATCAAAAACACAATACTTTAGAAATGGTTGAAACTAATTTAAAGAACGGGAATATTAATGACCGATCAAGTGTAAGACAATTAAATCTTCAAGTTATTCCACCTCAACCATCATTATCATTAACTAAACTGCTGATTAGTAATGGATGGTTAATGTTATTAGAAGGAGAAATATATAAATTTTCAATTACATTAACTAATCATTCTGAAGTTTTAATTAATTATTTATCATTTTCATTTTGGGATTCATGTATTGAACCATTAAATAAAAAATTATCTGGTAGTACTGGGAATCAATCATTACCAGCATCTGATATATATGAAATTGAATGGAATTTATTAAAAGTTAAACCATTTAGAATTTTAAATAAAGAAGCAATTAGTGAACATCATAGAACTATTCAACCAGGTACAGAAATTAAAATTGATTATGAAGTTATTGGTAAAAGAGGTATGAAAGAACTGAAATTAATTCTTGAATATTCTCATAAAAGATCTGATGAATTAACTAATAGTTTTATTAAACATATTCATGTTCCATTAAATTTAACTATATTATCATCAGTTGATATTGTTGGTTGTGATATAATTCCATTATTTTCTTCATCTTTACAAGGATTTGAAGGAGAATATATTAATGATGGTAAAGAAGAAAATTTAAAGGATGTATTAAAATTTATAACTAATATAATTGATTCAAATGATAAAGAAATTGGAGATTATTGTTTATTTATTTTAGATGTTCGAAATTTTTGGAATGAAAAATTAGCTTGTCATTTTGATTATCATATAAGTTGTGATGAAAAGTTTTCAGTTAATGAAATTATTGAACCTGGTAAAACATCTAGATTATTAATTCCTATTAAAAGAATTGGAGTAGATGTAGATCTTACAAAAGATATTCCATCTTTAAGAAATAAACAATTTATTAAGAATTATTTAATGTCAGAAGCTGAAGATTTACAAATGAAAGAATTATTTTGGTTAAGATATTATATCTTAGAAAGCTTACTGGGTTATTGGGAAACTATAGATAATAAACGTAAGGGTAAAATTGAATTAAGAACTATTAGATTAACTCCTAAAATGGCTAATGTACTTGAATTTAGTAAAATTCGTTTATTAACATCTATTATAGGAGAAATTAATAAATCTACTGTTAAAAAGGAAAGTAGTCATTATTTATTAAAAGTAGATGAATTTTATACCCTTAAAACAATTATTACTAATGAAGTTAATCATCAAATTAAAGGAATATTAAGGCATTTACCAATCTCAATGAATTTAATAACTCCTGGTAATAATATTAATTTAATAAAGAGTCAATTATCTATTGATAAAAAGATATTAATTAATGGAGTATTACAAAGATCAATACCTACACTTAATTCAGGAGATACTATAGAAATTGAGTTAAGCTTTTTAGTATTAGAAAAGGGAGAATATGAATGGGGGACAGTATTAGATGTTTTAAATAAAGAAGGGTTACAAATCGTTGGTCGTGAACCCATCTACATTACAGCATCATAATATTTTATCATCTACTATTACAGTAGTTATATATCGCATTAAAGTATTCGCATACAATACAAAATAATCTATAGTTATTTATTAAACTAAGTAAATTTTGAAAAAAAATCATTTTTCTGTAAACTCTCTATGTACAAGGAATAGTTATTGGTAAAATTATATTCATGATGTGGTTATTACCTTTTACTATTATCTAACTTAAATGGTAATTGTTGAGCTCCTTCAGCTTCTAATTTATCAATATACCTTTGTCTAGTTAAATCATTAAATCTTTTCTCTTGGAAATATTTAACCCAAGTCTTAACACAATTATTTTCAAACTCGGACTTATAATTTCCACATTTATCTTCAACATTACCTAATTGATTTGGATCTAGTGAATTATCAATATTATTATCTGTTAAACATGCAAAGAATTTGTCTCGAGAATCCCAACATGCCTGACGCTTGGCTTTATTGGGAGGTGGAGCATTTCCTTCATTGTCTGATTTTGAAAAGAATCCCATAATGATTGCTTACAATTTGCTTCTACAGTATTGTTGCCTATGGGTTTACCCTTTAAATCCAATTCATTTTTGTTTGGTGAGACTCATTGGAAAATACACGTGAGTGGGCCCGTGACTTACAGAGTCAATGAAAATTCTACATAGTATACATTGTATACTTAGTATATTATTTAGTATTTATTATTTATTATTTAAGTATTGAAATATATATTATTTATTAAATTATTGGTCTACTTCAATAACGCACTACTCATTAACATTTTACAAACTAACTCACCCCCACTCAATAAATAGTCATGTCCATGACCATACGGCAAATTGCAAAATAAAGGTTGCGCAAACGGGGAATAAAAAATGATTGTGCGGCGCATCACTATATAAAGCAATATATATATAATTAAAGAATTCCCAATTCCCGCCCATGATAATTATAGTAGAGTAGAGTATATAGTTATAGTTACTAAAGTGTAGAAGATGTCTATTTCATCATCGTCTAGTTATTATCAATTACAACCTCATTCTGAAGAAATGGAGGAGGGAGAACAATCTCAAACTCAATCTCAATCTCATCATGACCATCATGATCTTTTACCTACAACATATGAAATTGAAGAACAAAATAATTTAGATAGAACATTCTTTAAGATTAGATATAGATCTAACTCTGTGGTAAGTCATACATCATCTACTACTGAATTATCAACCAATGTTCAATTACCTACTATAAAAGTATTAGGAACTGGAGGTACTATAGCATCAAAAGGTACAACATCTCATCAAACTGCTGGTTATGAAGTTGATTTAACTATTGAACAATTAATTGAAAGTATTCCTGATATTTCAACTACTTGTCTTTTAGAATATGAACAAATCTTTAATATTGATTCAAAAGAATTTGATATTCGACAATTATTACAACTTTATGCAAAAATTGTTGAAGATTTAAATAATTATGATGGAATTGTTATAACTCATGGTACAGATACTATGGAAGAAACTGCATTCTTTTTACAATCAACAATTAATACGTTTAAACCAATAGTTATTTGTGGTTCAATGCGTCCTTCAACTGCTATTTCATCAGATGGACCAATGAACCTTTATCAAGCTATTGTTATTGCTTCAAGTCGTGAATCAAGAGGTAGAGGAGTACTTATTGCTCTTAATGATAGAATAGGTTCTGGTTATTATATAACCAAATCAAATGCTAATTCTCTTGATACTTTTAAATCTATTGGTCAAGGTTATGTAGGGAATTTTGTTAATAATGAAATTCATTATTATTTCCCTCCTGCAAAACCTCTTGGTTTAACTTATTTTAATATTACAGTAAATGATCCAATTACTGATCAACTTCCTCAAGTTCCAATTATATATGCTCATCAAGGACTTGATAATCGGATATTTAAATTAACTATTGAAGGTTTAAATGCAGCTGGATTAGTTATAGCTACTATGGGAGCTGGTTCACTTAGTGATAATACAAATACTTATTTATCTGAATTAGTTTCTCAAACTGAATTTCCAATTGTTTATGCAAAACGTTCAATGGATGGTATGGTCCCAATTGGGGCACTTCCAAGAGTTCCAATTATTAATGAAGATTATGAAATTAATAAAGGATCAATAATATTTAATAATGCAATTGCTGGTGGATATCTTAATCCTCAAAAGGCAAGAATTTTACTTCAATTATGTTTAAAGCAAAATATGAATTTAAAGGAAATTAAGAAAGTGTTTAAAGGGGTTTAATAATATATAGATAGATACTTAGATACATAGATAGATAGATAGATTAATATAACATGAAATATGTTGATTATGAATGCCAAATGAATGCCCGAAGCAATCAAAGATGAGATAACAATAGTACTAAATAAAAATAGAAAAAAAGACTAAAGACTAAAGACTAAACTAAATTAAATTAAACAAAACAAAACAAAACAATAAAACGAAAGTAAGAAAGAATACAACGACGTAATCATAGAATAGAATAGAATAGAAGAAAAGTCAATAACTTAAGACTTTGCATAAGCAGCATCAACTTGATCTTTACAGGATGCTAAAATCTTTTTACGTTGTAACTTTTGAGCTGAGGTAACTAAACCATTTTGTGGAGTCCATTCATCATCTAATAATACAACGGTTTGAATTAATTCTATTCCTCTTAAACCTTGACTTTTACCAGTTTGTAATAAATATTTATGAACTGATTTAATAACTCGTTGATCATGAACTAAATGTCCTATATCTAATCTTTCAACTTCTTCTTTACTAAAGATTTTTTCATCAACAAGATGTTGTTTTAAATGTTGTTCATTTGGTAAAATAATTGCAATTGGTTTAACTTTAGATTGATCAGCATAAACACAAAGATTAAGAACAGTTGGATTAGATCTATAAATAGATTCCAATTTTTCCAAGGCAATATATTCCCCATTTAATGTTTTAACTAAATTCTTTTTACGATCAATAATTCTTAATCCACCATTATGAGTCCATTCACCAATATCACCAGTTCTAAACCAACCATCTTCAGTAAAAGCTGCAGCAGTTTCCTTTTCATTTTTATAATATTCAGAAGTAATTGATTTACCTTTTAAAAGAATTTCTCCTTGATTATTCTTGGCAAAATATCCAGCATCAGGAACGTCAACTAATTTACAAGTGGTTGAACCAAGAATAGTTCCTAAACAATCATATTCAAAATTATGATGATCAACAACAGTTGTATTGGCAGTGGTTTCAGTTAATCCATAACCTAATAACATTGGAGCAATTAAAGTTGAAATAAAGATTTGAGCATCTTTTGAAATTGGAGATCCACCATTAAGAATCCATCTTAATTCACCACCAGTTGCTGCTTTAACTTTTTTGAAAATTATATCAAAGAAATCAGCTCCTGGAAGACCATAATGAGTAAAAGTTGATTTTGCTTTAAAAGCAGTCCAAAATATCTTTTGAGTAATAAATGGTAATTGTTTAACTTTAGCAAGAACACCCTTTCTAACTGATTCCCAAACAGCAGCAACTCCGACCATAATAGTTGGTTTAAATTCCAAAAGATCAGATTGACAATTTCTACACAGAACATCAGTTAAAGTTTTAACATTTGCATAACCTAAAGTTGAACCCCACCAAAAATTAACAATTTCAAAAGCTAATTCGAAAATATGAGCTAAAGGTAAGAAAGCAATAACTCTATCCTTTGGAGTAACTAAATCACGATCAGCAACAGAAGAAATACCACCAACACCAGCAACTAAATTTTCATGAGTAAGTACAACCCCCTTTGGATCACCAGTTGAACCAGAAGTATACATAATACAAGCTAAATCTTCAGGTTTTGGATAATGTAAAGGTAAAGAAGATTTTTTACCTAATGCAATTACATCATCATAACTAATAAATTTAATATCAGGTCTAACTTCTAAAATCTTTTCTCTACCTAATTTTGCTTCTTCATAAATTTTACCCTTAGATCTTTTATCATTTGGATCAATTTGTTCAGAATGAATAATATATTTAACATTTTTAGCCTTTTGTAAAGGATTAACTAATGATTGTAATAAATTATTATCAGTAAAAATGAGATCAGATTCAGTTTGAACTAAAGAATGAGTTAAACCAGATTCACCTAAAGTATCATAAGCTGTAACAATTGGAACATTTTGATAAGCAGAAGCTAAAAATGTTTGCATCCATTTAGGAGATGTTGAAGCATAAACAAATACTTTAGCTTCTTGATTTGGTTTTAAACCTAATTCAATAAGTCCCTTAGAATAATCTTGAACTAAAGTTAATAATTCACGATAAGTTATATAATTATAAGGAGATAATTCATAATAAATCCATTCTTTATCAACTTTAGTTTCTTTACCATCAATAAATTTAGTAACTTGTTTAACTTCAACATGAGTATCAATTAAATTTCTCCAACCCATAGCTTTATTTGAAGGATTTCTTTCAACACATTCTTCAATAAATTCAGGAATATTTGTAGCTTTAGAATCTTGAGGTCTTACTAATGGTGCATCTTTATAAGCAGCTTTTCTTCTTGGAGCTGTTTCACCTGGTTTAGCTTCACCAACTGGTAAAGTAAGAGGAGCCATTGTTAATGATTTATGTTATAATTTATAATATATAATCAATAATTATATATGAATTCGAAATCAATTTCAAATTTCAATTTCAAATTCAATTCCAATTCCAATTCAGTTTTTATACAACTGGTCGGTCCTTAATTGGAAATATAAGAAATTTTATATCCGTAAGTCAGCCTAAAAAAAGGTTTAAGTAATTTTTTTTCTTAGTGATTTAATGGAGGGAGAGGGCAAAAAAAAAAGTAATCCCTGCAGTTTCCGTTTAAAATAATAATAGTAAATTTGAGAGGGGTGATGTCACTAACTAAGTTAGAAGTTGAAGTAGGTATAGAAAAGAAGAAAAAGAAGATAAAAAGTAAAGAAACTATAAATTAAATTTAAATTTAAATGCTTATACGTTAATGGCAAAGTTACTCATTGTAAAGTAAATCCTTTACGGAGGCAATCAATGAATAAGGAACCGAGCCCCAAATATCTAATAATGGATAAAATATTTGTTATTCGTATGTGTCTAAGTGCTTGTGACGTAGGTACATTTTAATCACAAAATTGTAAATTGTAAATTGTTGATAAAATGTAGATAATGAACAATTGGGGTAGACGAGTGATTCCGATAGAGGTGCATGTACATTTACTTAAATGGCTTTTTTATATATTTTGCTATACTGTATAATTAACTATGAATCCGGTTATACTTTTACTAATTAAATGACGTTAAGTTTGAGACTGTCTGCATTATTAGTTAATAATAATGCATTAGGCTAAATATACTGTACATCATTGCCACAAATATACACTCATATAAAATACATTCTTATCAATCAGTCCACTTGATTTCAATTTCAATCTTTACCTTTAACTTTTTTTAAGTTCAATTTCTAATTCAATTGCAAATCTACTCTACTAAAATAATTTCCTAAACTCTACAAACTTTTGCTTTTCTTGTCTTGTACTGTTTTACCCTTTATGGTAATTTAACCAAAATGTTAGTTATCTTGGACCTTTTACTCTATCTTTGCCACACGTGATCCTGCTGCGTATTTCTAACGTCTTTGTTGGGTTGCGAAATTTTGTTGGGCTGATATAGTTCTTGGTAACTGGGCACGACGTGTGCTAGTGTACTGCAAGTTATATCAGTATAATTGTCTACATGCTAAGGTACATAAGCACTGAAATAAAAGCTTATCTAAATATATAATTACTAGAACGAGATATCAATAATCCCACTTTTAGATTATATCACATTTCATTCAATTATTTTGCCAAGTGGATTTATTATTCCATATACAGGTATAATCTTATCAATGTTATCAGGATATATGCAGGTAGGTGTCCTATTCAAGCTTTGTCGTAAATCGAATCAATTCACGCTTTTGTCGTAAATTTGATCTATTCTGGCAATATAAATTGAAGATAATGTACGATATATTTTTCTATTTTTCTTGTAATCTCCTTAAATTCATATTTTAGAGTAAAACTTTTTATCTTAATTACTAATTACAAGTAAGAGTCATATGATTCCCCACAACTATTTAACTTCTATATACTGCTGATAATAATAACTTTATACCTTGCGATCGGCGAAAAGGCACTTGTCATGTGTGTCATGTGTGAAGGATCATGTGTCTCATGACATAAATTCCTTTGTTTTGGTTCCTTTTTTGATCAGTGTCGTGCGACATAGCCATTTGTTCTCTGCCATGTATTTGCAAATAATCTTTAGTGTTTATAATTTGATATAACAAAGCATGCATAGTAACATTGCACTATCATGTCAGCATCATTTCTTTATCTTTCGTTTCGAATACCTTTGTATTTGTGTATTCTAAATTTTCATGAATTATCCATTGTATATGGATGATTTTCTTCGTATTTTAACCATCTCAATATCTCTAGTTCCTATTCTATTTATTGTTCATTCTAATCAGTTTGGATCAGTTTCAGTTATTTATTCCCTTTCATGGATAAATAGATTTATAGTGTATAATACACATCTGATACTTGCCTAATTAAAATAATTTGCACCCATGATGTGGAGACTGTGTGCAGGAACTTCCAATCTCATCTAAAATTTTTTTAAGAAGAGCTACTAACAAAAAAAATTTATACTATAATAACCTCATGCATTAAGTCTAATACATAAACATAACACAACAGATATGGCCGTATTAAACTCAAATCCAGAGATTCTCTTACGTAAGAGAAAGAACGCTGATAGAAAGAGAATCGAGAAACAAGAAGCAGCTCATGAAAAGTTATTAAAGCAAAAGAGACAAAGAAAATTAAATCAAAAGAAGAAATTCATAAGAGCAGAAACATTAGTTAGTAATTTCAAATCTAATGAATTAGAAAAGAAAAGAATCAGAAATTTAACTAAGAAGCAACAAAAGGATAAGCTTTCTCAAGAAGATGATGTAGAAGCAACCGAAGGTGATGCTAAATTATTATTTATTATTAGAATTCCAAATCATACTAAGGGATTAAAAATTCCAAATAAAGCATCTAAGATCTTAAATGTTCTTAAATTAACTCAAACTAATACGGGTGTGTTTGTCAAGGCCACTCCTTCTACATTTGCATTATTAAATTTGATTGCTCCTTATATTATAATTGGTAAACCTTCATTAGCTCTGATTCGTCAATTATTTCAAAAGAGAGCATGTATATTAACTCCATCAGAAGATGAAAATGAACCAGCTAAAGTTACTAAATTAGATAATAATCAATTAGTTGAAGATAAATTTGAAGATTTAGGTTTAATCTGTATAGAAGATTTAGTTCATGAAATCATTAATTTAACTGAAAATTTCATTTCAATTACTTCATGGTTATTACCCTTTAAATTAAATCCTCCAGTTAATGGTTGGGGTCCACAAGCAAAATTAGCTAAATTAATTTATAGTGAAGAAAATTCAAAGAAATCAATTAGTTTAAGTCAAGATTTTATACTTAGTGAAGTTGAAGATATTGATAAAATTATTGATCAACAAAATTAATGAAAGAGTTAATTATATATATTGTATATTAGATAGGAATAGACGATCCTTATGAGAATGATAGTTTTTACATAAATTTTGTAATTAAATTCATTTCAATATTAGATATTTTCTATATTAGATATTATATTAAGTTAAAATCAATCAATGATTTTTTACAAAAACAGGTATTTAAATTAACTAAGTACGTACACGATTTCCTTCCTTCTAAACCAATAATCTTTCTTCGAATCTTAATTCGTTATTAACAGGTAACCCAACCAATAATCTTAACAAGTTTTCTAAAGCTTGTCTTTGTTTATTTAAACCATTAATAGCTTGATAACCTGGTTTAGATAATGGAGCCTTTAACCAATAAGATAATAAAGTTAAAACAGCATAGAAATCTTGGTATTTTTCATCACTTTCTTCAACCTTCTTATATTGAACTCTTTGTAAGAATTCAGTAACAACAACTAAATCAATAATTAATGGAGTAGCTAAAAGAGAATCTTCACAAACATTATGAATAGAAATCTTATTGTGACCACCTAACATTAATTCAGAATAATATTCATCCATAGCAACTTTAGAGTCTCCAACAGCTGGGACATATTTAATAACAATACAATGATCAACGGTAGTACCCTTTTCTTTGTTGTATAAGATTTGATTAGATTCAATCATATCATCAACAACAGATTGTTTAGAGATTTCCTTAGATCTGAATTGTTTTGGAGCAGATAAGTTGTAACCATCATTGTTACCTAAATGGTTGTAAGAAGCAATAGAAACTGGTCTAATACCGGCATCAACTAAGAATTGAGCTAAGACAGATTTAATCTTGGTTTGACCAGATTTGAAATCATCACCACCAATGAAAGAGTTGTATTTTTCAGCTAATTCAATAACACCTGGAACAAAAGTGTTTTGTGGAGAACCATTAATATAAGGAACATTTTCTAAGATAGAAGCAACAGCGAAAATGGTTGATGGAGCAATTTCATCATGGTTTTCCTTAATAGATTTCAACAAGTTTTCAGAGTTGTCATTAACGTTGGCTAAAACATCAGCATATCTTTCAGTGTTAGCAGTCCATAAAACAATGACTTTATCTAAATCGTTGTTCTTTTTGAAATCTCTAATATCTTGTCTAATTCTTTCAACATCAGCCCATTTATTGTTAGTAACAACATTACCTTCTTTGTCAACATTGAAAATGTTATCAGCTCTTTCCTTTTGGTTTAAAGCAATAAAATCTGGGTAGTAAACAGATTTTAATGGTTTATATTCCTTTAAGTGTGGGATTAATTGTCTTTGTAAATCATAATCTAAGACTTTAGCTCTTTCCATAGCCTTGTCTAAAGTTAAAGAATTAATATCCCAACCACTGACAACAAAATCATTTGGATTAACTAAAGGAACAATGGAGTTGAAAGGAGTGTAAACATCCTTACCAGTGTCCTTATCAATACCAATTTTAATAGTAGAAGATTGAGTAACTGAACCATAATAATTTGGTTTAACAACACCTTCCTTGTTTTGGAAACTGATATTATGTTTGTTAGCAGTGATAGCAGAAACTAAAGTAGAACCATTATTACCACCTAAACCGACTAAAAGTAAACCAGTCTTTGGAGCTTTTAAGTCTAATTTAAATTCATAATCAATAGCAGTTGGAGTAACAGTTTGTTTACCATTAGCATCAGTTTCAACAACAGAATTTTCATAAGTAAATTTAGTATATAAATTATCACCATCAGATCTGATTTTATCAGAATTGAATTGGATTGGGGAGAATTTGGTTTCTAATTTAGGTTGTTGTTGAATTGGAGCCATCTTGTGATGTGATGTGTTATTTCTTACACGTGTGTGATGAGATACAATACAAGAGTAAAATAATTAAGTTTAGATTAAATTTTATAAAGGGAATTTTATTCAGCTTATATACTTTTTCATAACAAACTACAATTACGGTGAAAATCCCTCATCCAATTAAATTTACGTGCCCAATTCATTTAACCCCTATACTATTTTGGAAAAAGGGGGGAGCCGCCGAATTTTCGGCGAAATTGGATCTGGGACACGTACGATTATGTGTGGTCTCCAATTTTTATTGGGTAGTGTGGTCGTGTACATGTCAACCATTTCGTCTATTTTTTTTTGTTTGTTTACCTATCATGTGATTATTTATCGTCCATTTTACCGTATATGGAAGTCAAAATAAAACACATTTATTGGGGTCCATAGATAGAAAAATTTTAGGGTCGCTTCTGGATAGAAGGATTAGCAACTTATATTCGGATCCTGATTAAGTAAGCATTATTCACAATCAATATATATTTATATCAATCATTAATGAACAGTTTATACTCAAATCAAACACGGAATCTTACCATCGTCAACTTTGAGTTCTAAGCCTTGCTGCTGTTTAGTTGTGCTATTTTACTAATGAATACTTGAAGCTCTTTGCATGTTTTCATTTGCTGAAATTAAGGTGCACACGACTCCAATTTTCGCCGAAACAATTTACGTCCCCGACGGTTTCTCGGGTTTCGGAGAACTTCTTGCGGCCGCAAGAAGAATTCTCACCAAATTTCAATGTTGTTGGGCTCTTCATGATAATTTGGCATACGAAAATAGGAGGTATGGTCTTTATCTACATTTAATTATCTTTAAAATCAGTATGATCTTAGTACTCTTAAACGCTATAGAAGCATTTTGCTTGATTCTTATTAATTAACTCTAGCTTCGCTAACCTATAAGCAAGTGCTTAACGCTTTTCTTGATAATACATAATATAAGCTCAAGTAATATGTTTTGATCAATTCATTGTAAAATGTAGTTGAAATATGAATTGCGTTTCTTTAGTTTTTCAACGGAAATTTAGTCAAATTTATAAATTTATGTTTAAAAATGTTCTTCACCTTTATTAGCATAATTTTATTCTGAGGATTATAAAATAAGTTTGAGTTCTTCACAATCAGACATCCATTGGCACAATCTAGCAGGAGTGCTAGGTAGGATAATAAATTTGGCTTGAAAATAAGCTATTTTATCAAAAATATAGGTGGCTGGCATATTTTTTATGCAGTCTATAGACTTTCGCACCGTTCGGGTTAAGCCAGCAGCATTTTGCCAAATTAGGTAGTCACCCCTACTGAATAGGTGTACTTTATAGAAGCTCCTTTGCTAAACATATCTCTCTAATATAAGAAAATCAGGGATGAAAGCTATATACTGGCCTTAGAAGTTTCATGAACCTATTGATCACAATGATATTCAAACTGTATCTGTTGTGTTGCATTACTGTGCTTCCGCGCACTTAAAAAAGATTCTTCAGCAATCTTATACATGTATGTTAACAAGACAATGATATAATCGGTACTAGAACATGATAAACCTTCTTTGCAATTGTAAGGTGTGCTTCTGCTTGCAAGTAACAACTGTTATGTTACAGAAGAAGTTTAAGTTTATTATTAGACGTTTTCACTCTATTGTACTTACTGTTTCGGTTCGCCTTGTGCATAATGAGGTGGGAGACCGACTGTGCTTTTATTTTTGTACTTTCTGCATTGTACAACAATTTGCACATATCCAGTATTTTTTTAAATAGTCTAAGAAATACTTCAGCACGGTGTTTTAAATATCCAACTAGTTAAGATGGCTGGCTAGCTGGTTGCAAAAGTCTTATTTTTCTCGGTTCTTCTTGACCTTATTTTTTAGAGTGCGAAATTTTTTAGATTTGAAGGAGGCGTATATGTGTCTAAAATGGAAATATGGGTGTGAAAAAAGATAGTTTTTAGTAAGAGATCACCTTACCTCCACCTGACTTTTAAATCCTAAACTAAAGAAACAAGGAGTTGCTATGTCTACCATACCACTTGTCCAACTTAAAAAGTATATTAATGCAATATTACTATACTCTATAAAACTGACAATGTTACAACTGTAATTATGATGTAAAAGAATAAGTAACAATAAAGTTAACAATCTAACCACTTTTCTATGCAGATGTAATAATTGAATTAGCCAGCAAAGGAGTGAACTCTAAGTACAAGAGAAGATGCATCACATATGTTTGAAGTATCCACGTCACATAGAATGTACCATTTAACCTATTTTGATCATCTTGTAACTATTTTGGGATAATTCTTACTTCTGGATATAAACTTAGAAGTTAATATACCTGCGTTGTCATCTCAAACATGTACTGATATTCACTTGACCGTTGACAAATTTGCTTATACTCTAGACATCCAAATAACCACAAAGTGAATTCTAAAATCTTGCCAGTATTTTTTAAAAACGCCGTTAGAAGGTATTCCTGGTTAACTCCTTCATAACTTTCCACTTACAAATATAAAGTATTGGCTATTCCCATGAACCCTTTAGCTCTTTTAAAATATCATAAACTTAATCTAACTCCCAGCCGCTCCTTTTTATCTTTTAATATATCCAAATAGATCTTACTATCAGAATGAAGTTAACTTCATTAATATCGTTAACGTTAGCTCTTATGAGTTCAACCGTAATGGCTTTTGACCCGTTATCTAACACTAACGTAGCAGTATATTGGGGACAAAACTCTGGATTGTCTCAACAAAGATTATCTACTTACTGTCAAGATCCAAACGTTGATATAGTAGTCCTTTCATTTATGGATGTGTTCCCTAACACTTTAGACATTAATTTTGCTAATGCATGTGGGGGTCCAACCAATTCGGAAGGTTTATTAATTTGTGATCAAATTGCTACAGATATTGGTACTTGTCAAAGTTTAGGTATAAAAGTCTTACTTTCATTAGGTGGTGCTTCCGGTGCTTATGGTTTCACTTCTGACCAACAAGCTACTGATTTTGCAACTACCTTATGGGATTTTTTTGGAAATTCTGATGCTCAACCACCAACCAATAGACCATTTGGTACAGCTGTTCTTGATGGTTTTGATTTTGATATTGAAGATAATAATCCTACTGGATACGCTGCCTTAGCCACAGCTTTGAGAACTCTTTATGCTACAGATAATTCCAAACAATATTTCATATCCGCAGCCCCTCAATGTCCTTACCCTGATGCTTCTACCGGTGACTTGTTAGCTAATGCAGATGTAGATTTTGCTTTTATTCAATTCTACAATAATTACTGTAATTTAAATTCAGGAGCCAATTTTAATTGGGATACTTGGGTAAACTTTGCTGAAAATGTTTCTCCAAACAAAAATATTAGACTTTATGTTGGTTTACCAGCTGATACTACTGCTGCTGGATCAGGTTATACCCCATCTGCTCAAGTAGAGCAATATTTGGCCGCAGCTAGTGTATTCTCCAGTCCTTACTTGGGTGGTATCTCCTTATGGGATGCTTCTCAGGCTTGGAATAATGTTGTTAATGGTGAAAACTTTGTTGATCAAGTCAAGAATATATTGGTTGAAAATGTACCAGTAGCTGAACCTACTACTACCACCCCAACTACTACTCCAACAACTACTACTCCAACAACTACCACCACTAGTACTCCAACTACAACCAGTACCACTACTACCAGTACTCCAACTACTACTTCTCCAACTACTACTTCAACTACCAGTCCTACTACCACAAGTACTCCAACTACTACTAGCACTACTAGCACTCCAACTACCACAAGAGCCACTACCACAAGTACTCCAACCACTACTAGCTCTACTTCTACTACTACTACTAGTACTCCAACCACTACTATTGTTCCAACCACTACTAGTATTCCAACCACTACTAGTATTCCAACCACTACTAGTACTCCAACCACTACTATTGCTCCAACCACTACTAGTATTCCAACCACTACTAGTACCCCAACCACTACTAGTACTCCAACCACTACTAGTACTCCAACCACTACTAGTACTCCAACCACTACTAGTACTACTTCTACCACTACTAGTACTACTTCTACCACTAGTACTTCAGCTACCACTAACACTCTCAAAACGGTTACTACGAGTGCAACTAAGATATTTACAGTATACCAAATACATACCACTCTTACCGAAGTTATTTCTTGCCCTTTGGCCACAACTACAAAGCTTACCACAGTTAGTGCCCCTCCATCCTGGTGGCCATAAAGAAAAGACATGTTGATACCTTTTATTTAAAAAACAAAAATGTAATGCTAAAGAATATATATATACTAATTTAGAAGAGATTGTTGATGTATTAATGCTTGTAATTGTAATTCTAGTTTAAACCCCAGTAATAGTTTTCTTGCCATTATATTTAAGTATACTGAATGTAGTTTACCACCTTCATTCCAATTTTGAAGAAGATACCTATCGGTATCAGCATCTACTTGGTTAAGAACAAGTGGATCTAATCTCATATGAATAATTGGAATCGGTGATTGATCTAATTGCTTAATAGCTTGAGGAGTTAATCTTGTAGGACTTGCTAAAAATAGATAATGAGTTGCAATAGCTCTTTTCAAATTCTTTTGAGAACCTATATGATAATGATAAATACCAGATAACTCTCTTATTATTTTAGCTGTCATTTTTTGAACTGAATTTTTACATTGTACAAGAATTGTTATATCATTTTTCAAAGAAATTGAGCCGTCAAATACATTTGATTGTTTTAAAAGACTTGTTGATGGGATTTTAATTAATTTATCCTTTTCAGATTGACTTACTTTATCATAAAAAGCTTGTAAATCCCATTTTCCTAAAATATCTATACCATTATCATATGCACCACCGACTTTAATTAGATTTCGACCATTAAGATGATTTTGTAAAACTTTTAATGAAAATAATTCATAAAGGGTACCCCTAAATACAGCTGAATTCAAATCAATCTCATTATTTTTGCAATAATTTAAATAATCTTGACAATCTTGAATTGAAGACACAGAAATTTCAGAATACTTTCGTTTAAATAATTTCGCTATGACCGTAACATTAACATTTTCATATCCATATCTTATTAAACATCTTGATTGAGATGTCAATCTTACCATAGACATTAATTACTATAGATCACTGCAAACAAACCACCAACGTATAATTTTCACGCACTCATTAAATAAGTTTTAAATTTTTAGTTGGCGATAGTCGGACTTACAGTAATTAAAGCATAGTAACTATAGCAGTCTACACACATCAAGTAATCAAGCATCCATGAAGTTAACTCAATTCATAGTAGCAGGTTTATGCTCATTAGTAATGATTCGAGCTGATGAGTCTGTTACAGATAATTCTGTTCATTCCATTAAAGTATTTGTAAAATCACTACAAGATAATACAATTGAAACGGTAGGATCAATTCAATATAACACCAATAAAAAGAGAGCAGAATTCGTATACAATGACGATAAAGAAATTCAATTAAATAAAGGTTCTGGTTACTGTTTTGGAACTGAGGATATACCCAATCATGAATGTTTTGCCTATGTGGAAGGAAATAATAAATCTATAAAGAGTAAGAACTTTCATTTATTTACTAATGAACAAGATGAAATTTCTCAATTATCGATCAGTAACGAGGATGGCGACAAGCCAAAAGTTATAATTCATAATGTAGTCAAATCACCTGTACCAAACTTAAATGCTGAATCAATTAAGGGTCAAAAGCAAAATCAAAAGGCAGGACCAAAGATTGAAAAAGTAGTACAGAAGAAAGTTGTCAAATATATTAATGATGAAGGTATAGAATCAGAAAAGGAAATAGAAGAAGAAGTTGAAGTAGAGGTTGATGACAGATCCTGGATCCAAAAGAATTGGATGTATATTGTGCCAACATTGATCCTTTTCTTATTGATGGGTGATGAAAAGAAGGAATAATCATAAAGCTTAGCTCACCATAAATAAATAAATAAATAAATAAAAATATATAATTTTAATTTATTGTAATTAATTATGAAGCAGCTGTAATTAATCATAAATAATCATAATTAATTATAAACTAGTTATAATTGAAATTGAATTAGAATTAGACTTAGTAGTATATAAGGTTTATATTCTATAGACTATATTTTAGTATACGGTCAATCACGTGCACATTTAATGTCTCGTCTATATAAAATCTATATAATGTCTCAGTCCTCGCTTGCTTACTCACAAACAAAATGTCGCATTATCTCTACAACGAATCAGAATTTAAATATTGTAATGGACTGCACACAGTACCATAGTTAACAAGATTTGTTAGGGAAATTTTTTTTTGGTGTAAGGCAGTTTTGCACCATCAGAAAATTGACAAAATCCGAAAACCAATAGCCATTGAGTCCATTTATATACGGAGTTTGGTTATATATATCCAAGTGTGTTAGTTAAAAGTGGAATATTTATCCAAAGATTTATCTAGCCACTAAGTCATTTTATTGTTTCCCGGTTTTTGGAATTAAGTAAATCACATTAGTATCTCTATTAGTGTTGTTGACTATTGATATCACCAATAATTTATAAAATATTAATAATATTCAATAAAAGTTAATATTAATATTAAATATTGATTTATAAAAAAGCCATTGCATTGGAAAAAAAGTTTAATATACTATTAGTTTTTTCAAAATTATCATAATATACTAATAAACATGCTTAGATCACATATATTAAGAAACTCAAGACGTTTAATATCATCATCTTCAAGAAGATTAGCTGATGTTGAAGTTACCATTGATGGTAGAAAAGTTTCAATTGAAGCTGGTTCTTCTATTATTCAAGCTGCTGATTTAGCTGGTGTGACAATTCCTCGTTATTGTTTCCATGATAAATTAGCTATTGCTGGAAATTGTAGAATGTGTTTAGTTGATGTTGAAAGAATGCCAAAATTAATTGCATCATGTGCTATGCCTGTTCAAAATGGTATGGTAGTTCATACTGATTCAGAAAGAATTAAAAAGGCAAGAGAAGGTGTCACTGAAATGTTATTAGAAAATCATCCTTTAGATTGTCCAGTTTGTGATCAAGGTGGTGAATGTGATTTACAAGAACAATCTCAAAGATATGGTTCTGATCGTGGTAGATTTAAAGAATTAGTTGGTAAAAGAGCCGTTGAAAATAAAGCCATTGGTCCATTGGTTAAAACTTCTATGAACAGATGTATTCATTGTACTAGATGTGTTAGATTTATGAATGATGTAGCTGGTGCACCAGAATTTGGTACTGCTGGAAGAGGTAATGATATGCAAATTGGTACTTATATAGAAAGAAATATTAATTCTGAAATGTCAGGTAATATTATTGATTTATGTCCTGTTGGAGCTTTAACTTCAAAACCTTATGCTTTTAGAGCAAGACCATGGGAATTAAAGAGAACTGAAACTATTGATGTTTTAGATGCTGTTGGATCTAATGTCAGAGTTGATACTAGAGGTATTGAAGTTATGAGAGTTTTACCAAGATTAAATGATGAAGTTAATGAAGAATGGATTTCTGATAAAACTAGATTTGCTTGTGATGGTTTAAAGACTCAAAGATTAACTACTCCATTAATCAGAAATGGTAATTCATTTGAAGTTGCTACTTGGGATGAAGCTTTATCAACCATTGCATCAGCTTATGCTAAGATTCAACCAAAGGATAATGAAGTAAAAGCTATTGCTGGTGCTTTAACTGATGCAGAATCATTAGTTGCCTTAAAGGATTTAGTTAATAAATTAGGTTCTGAAAATGTTACAACTGATGTTAAACAAGCTACTGAAGCTCATGGATTTGATGTCAGATCTAATTATATCTTTAATTCTACTATTGATGGTATTGAAGAAGCTGATCAAATTTTATTAATTGGTACTAATCCAAGACATGAAGCTGCTGTATTAAATACTAGAATTAGAAAAGTATGGTTAAGACAAGCAGTTGATATTTATTCAGTTGGTCAAGAATTTGAATCAACCTTTAATTTAAAGCATTTAGGTGTTGATGCTAAAGCTTTACAAACTGCTCTTACAGGTGAAGTTGGTAAAAAATTAGCTGGTGCATCTAAACCATTAATTATTGTTGGTTCAGGTATTGCTGATTCAGCTGATGCTCAATCTATTTATAAATTAGTTGGAGAATTTGCTGATAAGAATACTAATTTCAATAATGAAGAATGGAATGGTGTTAACTTATTACATAGAGAAGCTTCAAGAGTTGGTGCATTAGATATTGGATTCCAAACATTATCTAGTGAAGTTGCTAATACTAAACCTAAATTTGTTTACTTATTAGGTGCTGATGAAATTAAAAATAAGGATGTTCCAAAGGATGCCTTTGTAGTTTATCAAGGTCATCATGGTGATATTGGTGCTTCATTTGCTGATGTTATCTTACCAGGTTCAGCTTATACTGAAAAATCAGGTACTTATGTTAATACTGAAGGTAGAACTCAAATAACTCGTGCTGCAACTAATGCTCCAGGATCTGCTCGTGAAGATTGGAAAATTCTTAGAGCATTATCAGAATATTTGAATGTTACTTTACCATATGATGATATAGTTGCTGTAAGAACTAGATTAGGAGAAATTGCTCCTCATTTAGTAAGACATGAAGTAATAGAACCAGTTTCAACTGATATAGTTAAAGTTGGTTTATCAGGATTATCATCATTTAATAAATCTAGTAAAATTACTGGTCAACCATTAAAGAATCCAATTGATAATTTCTACTTTACCGACGTCATATCTAGATCTTCTCCAACCATGGCCAAATGTATAGCTTCATTTGGTGCTAAAGTTGATAAAATAACTGATGCTAAAGCTCAAATAGACTTTTAGATATTAACAGAAACAAAAAAAAAGAAAAAACAATTGCATTATCATTGTCATATTTTTTTATAATTTCCCTTCCATTTCTTTTCACTCATATTGTCCAATCATGACTCTCTTATCTTTTTGATACATTATATATATTCATTTTTCAGTAATTTATTATTAGTAGTATTATTTTTTTATATAAAAATATTTTTGCAGTTTTGTATGCAGCCGCTTCGTAAAAAAAATCCCCCTATCCCGCGGAGCTGAGTTACTCGGTGATCTCCATGGGGACTAAATAAATTATCATCTCATCTCTAAATTATTATAACTTATTGCAACAATACATAATATAATTATAAGGCTATGGTATAGAGGTTAAATCATTTTTGTGTTTATATATCATCAGGTTAATTAAAAATTAAAAATTCAATGCCATCGAATAGTAATAAAGCTATAAAGGAAGAAGTTCATAATAATACTAATAATACTACTAATAGTAATAATGATGGTGTAGATGATACTAGTGAATTTGCATTAAAATGGAGACAAAATCGTGCATGTGCTCGATGTAGACGATTGAAAATGAAATGTTCTTATGATGATCCTCTGCATAAGTCATGTAAAAGATGTTTTACTTATGGAGTTGAATGTTCAATTGATAATGATCCTACAGCCAAGTATGCTAAGAAAAAGAAACGCAAAGTTACAACTGAAGTTTCAAGTTTAATTAATTCTTTAATAAATGATTCACAATCTTCATTAAATAAATTACCATCAGATTTATCTGATTTTCCTCAAGAAGGTCTTCAAAGTTTACTTAATAATTATAAAGCAATTATTTCAAAAATATCCGATGCAATTCCAGTATCAATTCCAAATGAATTAGAATCAATACCGTCATCGATAAAATCAACAGAATATCCATATCCATTTATATCATTTCAAAAAAATTTAATAAAGGAACTTGTAGAATATTATCAATATTTTACTATAGATGAAGCAAAAATTAGATTTGATTTCTTTATTCATCATATGTTACCATATTTCCCAGCAGTTGCTTTATCAAATAATCTTAAAGATTTTCAAAATTTATATGATAATTATCCTTTACTTTTAATAGCATGTATATCAGTTACGGCTGTAAATGATAATAAATTATCGAGTTCAAAAATTTCTAATTCAAAATTATATGAATTATTAAATCATTATTTATATAATTTTATTGCTTATTATGTTCATGTTAAATGTGATGATTTTTCAATAGATTTAATTTATGTTTGTTTAATATTATCATCTTGGTGTTTACCTCCTAATAAATTAGGACATTTTAGAAATCAATTAAATTCTTTAACAGCTTTTAATATTTCATTATGTATTGATTTAGGTGAAATTTCAAAATTTAAAGATAAACAACAATTAGATGATATTTCTGATCAAAGGAATAGTTTAAGAGCTTTATTAAGTGTATATTGTTGTTGTGGTTCTTTAGAATTATCTTTAAGAAGATTTAAATTAGTTACTTGGACAAAAAATCATGAAATTGCTACAAGATTATTAATGAAACCAGGATTCGAAAATTTACCTAGTTCAGAAGATAAATATTTATGTTATTATTCTAAAATCATAGCTACAGCTCAAGAAATTTTAGAATTTATATCTCCTATTGGTATAAATAATTCATCATTAATTCCAAAGAGTTTTATTGATAATATTGATGAAAAGGCCAGTGATCATGCAACTTATTTATCTCCTACTCAAGTTAAATATGTATTAAATACCTATGAAAGAAAATTAGATCAAATTCTTGATGAAAGTGGATTTATGAAATCAATTTCAAAAAATCAAGAACCTAAAGAAAAATATGTTTTATGTATAATGTATTATCAATTACTTATAATTATTTATGATAATTTAATTAGTGGATTTCTTAATGGTCATGAAGTTCCTACTTCTAAACCATTATCATTATTTCAAAATAATGAAAGAGAATTATGTTTACAACATATAATTAAATTAATTAAAATTTGTGAAAATTTAATTGATTTCTTTGTTAAATTAAATTCAGAACAAACTGTAAATTATCCAACAGTATTATATTATAGACCAATGCATGCATTAATATTATTGGTAAGATTAAGGTTAGTATTAAAATCACAAAGATTTCAAAGTATGCATGTAAATATTCTTGAAATTGATGTAGAAGATTATTTTAGTAAAGTAGCTGAAATAATTATTGAGAATGAAAAGACTTATAAATCTGAAGTTTGTGCTAAAATGAAAATTATTCTTAATAAGATTGAACGATGGATGAAAGTTTCAAATGCTTATAAAATTAGAGATAATGGTTCGAATAATGATATTAATTTAGATTTAGTCAAGTTAATTAGTATGAGTAAAGATCAAGAGATTGAAAGTTTAAGTATGCCTAAAGATTTTGAGGTATCTACCAAAAGAATCGATAGTATTTCACCAGCAGCTAAAGGTCAGACTCCTGTAACTATTATTAGTGCCGGCACTAATTTAGGTCAAGGTTCTTCTGGTACTACCAATGATAATAATGAACCACCTGCATTTGCATTGGAGAAGATCTTTCAAGAAATTGATGCAGATATTATGCACTTTCTTAATCCCTTAGAATCGGATTTCAATTATTTGACTGAGCTTAATGGTGGAAATTTTAATTTACTTGGAAATGGTATGGATATTGTAGATTCTTCTAATAACTACTCTAATATATAATTAATATATCTATAGCTTATATACATTAAAATTTAAAATTTTTAGCTAAATCTTCTTCTGTCATTTCTTGCTTTTTGGCTTCCCCTGTCTTTGAACCCTTATCTGATTTATCACCTTTGGCTGGTAGTTCATAGCCTTCACCTCTACCCAATTCGTTTAATACAGTATATAATGACTTTGGTTGAGTGTTTTCTGATGTACTTTCATCAACTGTTGTGGTTGTGAACTTTGTGTTGAAACCACCATATTCACTAATTTCTTTTTTAGTCCCATCATCATCAACAACTTCTTCACTTTCTTCAGAGTAATTAACTTCTGCATCTTCTTCATTACTTTCATCTTCTTGTTCATCCTCTTCTTCTTCAGATTCTTCATAATCAGCCAATGCCCCCCAATGATCTTCTCTGTTAATTTCAACTGTATCTTTATCTCGATACCCTGAATTATCATATTCTTTATCTAGTCCAGGGATAATCAATCCTTTATAGGCTGGAGGTCTTCCAATTTGGGTCATTAGTTGAATCCAAGGCGGTGGAGTATTTAAATTATCAGACATTCCAAGGGCTTTTCTTAATTCTTTTGATACTATTCCTGGTTTTAATTTCAAAACATCATCGGAATATTCATCATTAGCTTCTCTTCCTTCAAAGTAAACATCTCCAAATCCTGACATTTTAGGTTTCTTTTGATGTTTAAAGAAGGCATCATATAACTTCTGATAATCAATATCAAGTCTCCCCATTTTGGGTTGAACTTTTTCTCTTTGTTGCTGTCGTATAGATTGATCATCTGTATTTCTCATATCCATGATACCTGTATCACGAATAAATTTTGGTAATTGAAATGGGGCTCTTTCTAATCCTCTTTTACTTGATAAATATTCACGTTTAGATGACCAATGACCTGGAACAGGAATTATATTTGTTTGAGATTTTAATGCAACGAGTAAGTATGGATCTGCTGCATCGGCATCATACCAATCAACAATTTGTGGTCTAGAAGCAGATGCTTTAAGTAATGCTAATGGTACTTTATTCTTGATTCGAAGTTGTCTTCTAGACCACTCTTTTTCTTCATCTTCATCTTCATCTTCGCTTTCTGAACTAGAATCCTTTCCTTCTTCTACATCTCTATCAGAACCACTACTATAGAATACTTCACCCTTTTCATCATCATATTGAGAACCATTAGAACCATTAGAACCATTAGAACCATTAGATTCGTCTTTGGTTTCTTGAACTCCATTAAATCTATCGAATATCCCAGCAAATTGCTTCAATAGAGTTTCATCAGTAGAAAGTGTATGATCTACTCCATCCTCTTCATGAATAGGTTCCTTTTCAAGCGGTATTTCCTCATGCTTTACCTCTTTCTCTTGTGATGGTTTAACCTCTTCGCTAGATATGGATTGCGACTGATGAGATGTATCATTAGGATTCAATTTCCTTTGTTTTGCCTTCTCCCTTCTCAAGGCATTTTTTGATCTTTTTTCTTTAGCCATTACTGGCAATACTTATACACTACTATTATTTAGAGCGGTTTGAATAGGTGTTAGTTACTATCTAACTAACAAAAAAAAAACTAACTAACTATTTTTGAGACACTATCTACAGATCCATCACCACAATTGGTAAAATTGGTAAAATTGGTAAAATCATTAAATCGTATATTATATGAAGGTCTATGTTAATGCACTATTATAAATAATGACAATTGAATTTAATTTAATTGAATTTAATTGAATTGTCTTCTAACATCACTTATCATTAGTTATGTTATTTTCTAATTTAGTTATTTGTTTAAGTAATTTGTCTATTCTATCATTAATTTCAGAATCTTGCTTATCGAGCAATTGTACTACATTACCTAATTTCTCTTGCATAGTTTGAGCTATATCAAATACTGAAGTTATTTTACTAACATTTATACTACCATCTGTTTCATCTATATTTAAATTTTGACCACTTGAACTACTTGGTACAGTAGATAAAGATACATTTTCTCCTTCATTTAAATGAGGAGTTGAGAGTCCAATGGTAGTTTCTGAACTAGAACTAGATGTATTACTGGAAGGTATACTTAAAGTGGATGACATCTTCTACAACTGGTGCTATCTATCTATTATTATTATTATTAGTAGTAGTAGTATACTCTTAGTTAAGGTTAGTATCGTAGATAAGCAGTGAATCCCACTCACCGAAAAAGAATAAATTTGTGGATTGCGTGTTGATTACTTATTTGACAACCGATCAGAACCCCACTATAAAATCCAATGAAATTGTATCGACTAATCTTATTCCTAATCCAATTGGTATTTGTAATTGCTGAAGATAATACTAAATATAAAGTTAAATATCATTATGCTGAAATTCCTTGGAATATAGCTGATGAATTAGTTGGATTAAATAATAATTTAACTTCACAAGGACAATTTGAAATAATTAATATACGAAGTTCAACAGTTAATGATAAATATATTTGTTATATTCCATCAATTTCATCATCATTAGAAGAAGAATTAATAAGTCTTCCACCTAATAATATTCTGGAAATTACATTAAATAGACAAAATTTAAAGAAACAAGCTGTTAAAGAAATATCTAAATCATTAAGTACTCAAGGTTGTAATATTGCCTTTGGAGTTAATGGAGGTTATTGGACATTTGGTTATTGTTATGGAGATAAAGTAATTCAATTCCATTCAGATATTAAATATTTTGTAAGTACTGGTAATCATCGAGCTGAAGAACCTGATTTTGTATATTTATTAGGTAAATTTCCTGGTTCACCAAGTATTACAAATAAAACTGATTTTCAAAATAATGTATCTAATTTAGATTTTAAATTAAATCCTCAAGATTTCTTATTAAATGATGAAATTAATAAATTTAATGATCCAATTAATCAATTAGATTCTGATACTCCAAAACAAACTTTTATTCAACATACACTTTTTGATGGAACAAAATGTGAAGAAACTGGAAATTCAAGACAAATAGATATAATTTATAAATGTGATCCAAATAAAGGAATGGTTGAAATTGCTGATGTTCATGAAATTAATATTTGTAAATATCAAATGGTAATTAATATACCAAGACTTTGTTCAATTGAAGAATTTAGAGTTAATACAATTGAAACAAAAACAGTTGATATTGATTGTAAATTAGTTAATAGATTTGGAAGTGTATCTATTGGTAAACCAATTGAATTTCAGAATTTTTTTGATTATCCTGATAAATTAGCTAAAAATCAATATTTCCCAGTTCATAAGGATAATAGAATTAATACAAATGATTATATTTTTAAACCATTAGGTTCTAATTTATTTTTTGGATTTAGAAAGGAAAAACTTCATACTGAAAGTCCTTATTGGAATAATCGAAATATATTATTATTTAATGGTAAATATAATACTACTAATCAATTACTTCAAAATATCGGTAAAACTTATGTTAGAGCTCTTGATTATAAAATTCCATCTCCCATTGTTTTAGATGAAAATAAATATTCTACATTATCATTAAAGGATACATTTACTGTATGGTATGAATTATATGATGTATTTGGAAAATTAATTGGATTAATAAGAATTAAAAGAGATAGAAATCATGAAGATGGTAGAATAGTTTTACATATAATTAATCCAGAATTAATGACTGATCAATATGGTCAAAAAGTTATAATTGAAAAATTCGATGCTCCAAATAATCAATGGAATTTTGAGAATTTCTATAGACCTAGAAAAGATGTTATAGAACGAGAAAAGCAAATGGAAACTTTTAAACCAACAGAAGAACAAATTCAAGAACAAGTAGCCGAAGCACTTGAAAGTTTAATTAATTCAGGTCAATTAGGTGAAGGATTTGAAGCAGTAATTGTTGGTACTGAAGCAGATGAAGAGAATGGTGAGATGCATGCGGTAATAGAGTTTCAACCTAATGATGAGGGTACTCAACAAGTATTACCGATGGATAATAAGCCTGAAGAACAACAACCAGTACAACAGGTGAAGACAGAGAAAAAGGAACAACAGCAACAGGCACAACAAAAAGAACATAAACCAGAACAGACTGTTAATAATAATAATAATAAATAGAATAGTTATGGTTGCAAATATATTTGGTATAGGTAGGTAAGTAAGTAAGGGGGGTGGGTCGTGTACTGTGATTTACGCGTACATCGTGTAATTCTCAATACTGAACGGAACGGAATTTGATTGAAAAAAAATGAGCTGTTGGTTATAGTGGTAATGACCGAAAATTCTACTGTAGATTGGGTTTTAGCTTAATTTAATAGTCACTAATCTTTCACTAACTCTATCAATCAATTAGAGAAATACTGGAGACTTTTTTTAAACAAACAGTCAATCTAGAGGCGTAAAAAAGGTAGTGATGTTAAGCGTAAGTGGATTAACACCATGGGTAATTAGATCAAGTAAAACTTGTTCAATTACTAAGGTAAGAAATCTTTCATTTTTTTGGAAACTTTTAGCATTAGATAAACCTGAATCTAAAGAAACAGAAAGACATTTATATAATTGGGATGATTCACCTTATGAAACAATTAGGACTAGAGCTGCATATATAAGAACAAAAGCTCTTTGTCCTGTAACTCATAAACCAGTTAATTTTGTATGTCCAATTAGTGGAATTCCAACTCATTATAATGAAGAAGCATGGAGAAATGATACTGAATATCATAAAAAGAAAACTTATGAATTATTAAAAAAAGTTAATCTTTATGAACATGATATAAGATCTGGTAGAGTATTTGAAGAATTTACATTTCCAAATGAACAAACTCATGAATTTATGATTAATTTATCAAATTGGGATACATTCTTTTATACAAGAGATTTCCCTCCAATGAATACAGAATTTAATTTAGCAGCAGCAACTAAAATTTTAACTTATCCAATTTCTATAGGAGCAGTATTATATAAATCTTCACCTTATGGTCAAGTACCAAAAGGTCCAGTTACAATTGAAGGGTTAAGATCTTTAGCTGCTTTAAAATATATTTTATATCCTCCATATACAAGACATTCTGAAAATGGAGTTACATTTAAAGAAAGAGCTATGAGAATATTTATACTTGGTGCAAAACTGGAATCTTTAGTACCAGGATTTGTTTGGAAACAATTTGGTTATTTATTTCCTGAAAATAAATTTGAAATTCATTTTATAGGTCCAGAAGCTTATTTTGATAGAGAATCAAAAACTTTTGGACCAACTAATGTACCTCATGGTCGTCCATTAGTTGAAAGAGTTGATGAACAAATTACTTTACATTATCATACAAGATATTTTCATGAAGTTTATGAAATGGGAGATTTATTCCCCTTTGATCCATATTTAGATATATTCTTTTTATTTCATCCAGGATTTACTACTGCTGATAAAATATATTGGGATAAAGCTATGAAAGGTTTATTAGATTCTAAATGTCCAATATATATAACTGCTTATCATGAAAAGGATATGGCAAGAGAAATTCAATATTTAGAAAATCATGAATTACATGATGAAATGGATGTATTAATGAATCCAACTAATAATTTATTTCCATGTACAAAGATTGAATTAGTCGATACTAATCCAACAGAAACTTTTAATATGAATAGTCAAATCTATGCCTTTAGAGGTAAAAGATATCATGCTATTAAAACATGATATATGTACATAATAGTCTAAGACACTTGTATATACTCAAACCATTGGTAATAAACATTTACTTCTGTCATTAATTGTTAATTGTTAATTTTTAATTGTTAATTCTTTTTTCTTAATTGCTAATTCTTTTTTCGGAGCGCGCATAGATTAAATTATATAAAACTGGTGCGCACAGTTCAAAGTGACGTGGTGATATCTGATTGTATTAGTAACTAACTCAGTAGATGAATTATTATAGTTAAACTATAAGTATAATTATGAGTATGAGTCAACCATTTGAATTAAGGCTTCGAGTGATTCATACAGATTTGGTGGAATCACATGATCCTCAGATTGAATTATTAGTAGATGTACGTTTAGTTAATACCATTAAGGAAATTAAACGTAAAATATGGAGTAAACGATCTGATTATGATGTTAATAATCAAGAAATAAAATATAAGGGAATCACTTTAACTGATGATGCGATACTAAGTGATGTTTTAGGAATCACTTCAGCACCTGAATCTCCATTAAGAGATGATTTTACTTTAGTAATTACTATGAATAGTATCCCTAAAGAAATACCAATTCCTTCCTCAATTTCAATCCCAATTCCATCAATTCCAATTAATTCAATTGATGTTGATGATGATGATTCTACTAAATTCGAATTCACAATACGTAAAGGTGACACTTCTGAAGAAATTTCATTATCTGATCAAGATTGTATATTGGTTGAAGGAGATCATGAACCATACTTATTGATTAGTAAAGCAGGAAAATCCAAATTAAATACTGTACTTGAAAGAGTAAAGAATGTCCGAATTGATCAAGTAAAGATTGAATATGATGGGTCTGATGCTACTGTAACTCATAATTCCTCAACCAGTGGCATTCCTGTTCATATCCATGATCAACATGTTCACGATAATAACGATCATAATAATATCAATAATATAGAGGGAAATCATATTAACATTAATAATAACATTAATAATAACATTAATAATAGAAACCCAGATAACGTACCCGTTCAACAAGTAGTAGTAAATATCCTAAGACAATTGGGGGAAACAGGAGCTTTAGTTGTTAGTTATGCTTTCAGATTATTTATAGTACTACAGATATTAGGTATAAGAATTCCAGATCATTTTTTACTGAATTGGTATAAATATTTCGTATACGCCATGGTAGCTCATGCAGTCTATGTTGCTGCAATTGCTCCTAATAGATTACGAGGTATAAACGGACCTCATGGGGTGGGTAATCTTAACCCTAATGATAACCTTAATAATGAAAATAATGATAATAATGACAACAACAATAATAATAATAATGTACTTAATAATGTCTTAGGCCCTAATATTCTTAATAATCGGATCTTTAATTTACCAAGACAAGCTTATAATAAGGCTCAAGAAGTCGTGATAAGTGTACGAGATGAAATAATTAAAATGGCTGTAAGACGAACTCGAGATTATGAATATATTTTAGATGGTAAAAGTGTTTTAATAGGAGAAATTGAAAATTTCGTAAAGGATTTAACGTTATTAAATCTTTCATTAATACCAACATTACAAGATAACATAGAAACAGAAATCAAGATTTGGAAAAGTATTGAACTTGATGAATTAGAATATAAGGTTAAATCTCATGTTACGTTAGTAGAGACATTAATTGAGTTTTATAATTCTAAATTTACCCCTGATTTTGATTTTGAAGAAGAGATATCATTTGAAACCATTAAATCGGTTTTACAGTCTATTAATAGTGCATTAGCAAATAATGCTGGCCATGAAGGAACAATTACTTTAAAAGAGGATAAATATAAATTATTAATAGAGTACTATAAAAGGTTACATAAAGGTTATATTGTTCTAAATAAGAGTTTTGTTAGTAATAGTCCTTATAAAGATGGTAAAAGGAAGGGAGATATTGCAACATCACTACCCAATGAAGAACTTGGAGAAGATTTTGAAGAGATTGAGTCACCTACTGAAGTTATTGAAATAATTAATGATAATTCTGAACCAGTTCAAGATAGGGGTATAGCTACAGGTGTAGAACAATTTGAACGAGACAATTGAGTTAAGTATATAGATAATTGCTTTAGTATATAGATAATTCAGACAATATTGTAAATACTGATAACATAATATAATATATAGTATAATATAAGATATATTATTATTATCAATATTATATTCTACTACAGGATTTAACCGATACACCTGCATTTGTATAACCACAAAGTGGTACGGTAAGGCGATCCATGAGTCGTCTGTTCGTGTTTGCGGCATTGTTATTTGTTTACAGGAAGAGGAAGTCGCAAAATACATCTGCTTTTGTTTGCGACACGAGTAACGAGACCATACAAAAAAGACGCAAATGCACAAATAAAGAACCGCAAAATTCACACAAACAAATAAACACTCGGGTCAATTGCCAAGTAAACACTCATCGATACTCTGTCAGGTCAAAATAAGGTTTTGGTAAGAGACATGTTTTGTGAAACTAGGGCGTTAAGGTGTCATAATTGTTCCAACCAAGATCCGTCTGGCAGTCTACGATTAAGTAATTATTTATTTATTTGTTTATTTGTTTTGTAGTTATTCTCGTAACCGTGATAGTATGTATAGAGATAGTAACGGTTGTTTAGATAACGACAAAGCCAAAGCCAAACACAAAAAAACAAACACAAGATAACCCATAGATTACGAGCCATCTAGTGGGATCTGGCTACCGACCGCCTTGCCGTGCGTTGCGTAGCATACAGTAGCATTGCGCAAAAACGATTACGATTGCTCACAATAGTGAGCTAGTGTTGTATGATTTGTGATAAAAATTACTCATTTCATGTGTAAAACCTAAACTTGACGATTTAGTGATATTCTATAACCTAGTATTTTTATACTTAGCGTACTATTTGCTAGCCCACGATGTATGGGTATTGTTCGGTTTTTGAATAAATAATTTTTTTTATAGCCATTATAATAATAACAATAATAATAATAATAGTAAACCTGAAATAATCGCACTTGATCTTGCCTGTTTAAGACATGGCACTAACTATTTGCTTGTTGCTAAATGAATTAGTGAATTAGTAGTTAACCAGATTTGACCCTTTAATTTATTACCTTGATTTTGTCCTCTTGATTTCATGTTCTTTAAGGAAAGATCCAAGGAACGATCAATTCTGGATAATGATCCAGGGTTGTTTGACCAGTAACCATCAAATTAGTCTGGCAAATAACCTTAAACGGGTAGTATTATCTGGCTCACTAACTGCATTCGAAAATTTATTTTGTGGTGTGGTGAAAAATTGCAGCGACACATTACTCAATTAGGAACAAACCAAAACAAATGCTGGTTCGGCATTATCAATTTTGCATGCAATGAAGCCAGAAATATGGTTTAATTAATAGAATCATAGGCAATCATACAGTCGACTTTGTACTTGTACTGTACTGTAGATTGTTTTGATTTTGGTTTGTTTTGATAAGTTAGTCGATGGGCTATTCCCACAGTAAAAAGTTTTTTTTTTAATTAATATTAATCCAGCCAGATTCAATTGTATAAATATGAGTCCAAGTTCTTATTAAATTTAGGTTTATCAATTCTAATTCCTTTTTCTTATTTCTTTCTTTTCTTTATCATCATAGATCCTTAGTTTAATACTACCCATATATTACCAACTACTTACTTTCGTTAATTTTTAAAATGCAATTCTCCGTCGTCGCTTTAATCGCCACTTCCGCTGCTTTAGTTTCTGCTGCTGCTAACGCCACCGTTACTGCTTTATCTACCACTTTAGTTACCTTAGATGAATGTCCAGAAACCGTTACCAACTGTCCATACAGATCAACTTCTGTTCTTCCATCTAACTACACTGCTTCTAATGTTTCCACTTACGAAGGTGCTGGTGTTAGAGTCCAATTCGCTGCTGGTGCCGCTGCTTTAGCTGCTGGTGCTTTATTAGCTTTATAAGTTAATTAAGAACTTAAATTATATAATTATAATTATTTTGATTGATTGATTCATCATCAACGTCACAAAACATCATCCTCATTGTTATTGGATTAGTATCAACTACAAAAATTAATTTAAATGGCCTGGTTTGCCAACTTGAACTCGACAATTGATGTTTGATATTAATCTATTATATATAGTGTATATTAGGTTTTTAATTAATAAGGTTAATAAATAAACAGTTAGAATAGAAAATACTAATTGTAATAATTTGGAGCAAAATATCTCTTTTTAGCAGCAATACCATTGGAGGTTATATACAGTCACTGGTAAAAGTTGCCAATATGATAGACTTTGTTGTAATTAGTTAACTAAGAATTATTAAAATTCTTAAGTAGTTGTAAATGGTTTCATTAACTGATGAAAGTAAGAACTTTCACCATGCAGTATATACTGTAGTATCCAAAATACCTTATGGTAAAGTTACTAGTTATGGTAAGTAATAAGTCATAATTGTTGGACGCGTATATCTATAGTTTATCTATAGTTTATCTATACTTTACTAACATTATTTAACTATATATATAGGTCATATAGCATATTTATTAGGTAAACCACAGAATTCAAGACAAGTAGGATCTTCATTAAAACATTGTCATCTTATACTAAAATCTTTAAGAGATGAATTAACTCCCAATGAACGTGAAGATTATTTTAATCTTGATACTTTACCATGGTATAGAGTTATACTGAGTGTAGGGAAAATCTCTCCTCGATCAAATTCTAGTGGACAATTTTTACAAGCGGATAGACTTCGACTGGAAGGGGTAATTGTTCTGGCAGGTCATAAGATAGATTTAGATGAATTCGGATGGTTTCCCGATGAAATTGACTTGTAGAACAAATTAAATTCATATAATAAATATAATACATTTAGTCATTAAATAGTTTAGTTTAGTTTAGTTTATATATAATAAATTATCAGCATGAAACTGATTCTGTAGCAGGTTTCTTATCTTTTTTAGTTGTATGAGATTTAGATTTCTTACCATGACTTTCATTACCATTCTTTGACAGAGTAGTGTTATTAGAATTTGATTTCTTTCGATTAGAAGATTTAGGTTTATTATTATTGTCTTCTTTATTTAATCCCATTTGTTTTTGAACTTTCTTAGACTCTTCAGCCCACCATTTAGCAAATTCTTCTTCTTGTTGAATTTCCAGTAAAGTTTTCCGTTGAGATTCTTCTAATTTAACTCTTTCAAGTCTTAATGATTCTTGAATCATAACTTCAGTTAATGATGGAGTAGAATAAACTTTATTAAATTCTGCATCAAGTCTTACATTCCCATTCACTGATGCCACAGATGAAAATTGAATAGAACTTCCCACTCCTCCAGTACTAGAAGATGAACCCTTTCTTGACATCATTGAACTAGAATTAGATGATTTTCCATTATTAATTGGTTTTAATTTAGGTGCAATTGGTGTAGAACTTGAACTACTTCCTAATACTGGAAGATCATTTAAATTAGTACCAACATTAATTGTTTGAGTTACTTGTTTAGCCCAGGGATTTCCTGATATTTTACTGGATTCTGATTGTGATTGTGATTGAGGATCTTCTAATGATGATGCAGCCAATCTTTTTCTTTCCTTTTGAGATAATTTAACCACTGGCCCAATTTTTGCCTTTAATGTCTTTTTATTCCAATCTCCATTGGTTGTAATTTCAGCAGGTTTACCTAATATAGGTTGGAACTTTTCATTAAGTATGGGAGAACCTGAAGAATTCTTAGAAGCCCAATTTGAAAATGGACTGAGACCAGATACTTTAATTGGTTTTGTAATTGGTATTGGATCTAATGGAGGTTTAGTTGAAATTGAAGAATTCATACCATTTACAACTGAAGAACTTCTTGAAGGAGGAATTGAATTTGGTGGAGTTGGAGAAGGACTTGAAACAATAGAAGTAGCAGTAGAAGTAGCAGTACTAGTAGAAGCCTTTGATTTTCTTCTTTGTTTATTCAGAACAACTTCAAATCCATCATTATCATCAATAGCTATTGGACTAATAATTTGAGGACCTTTTTGTTTTGAAATAGTTTCTCTAAAATTTAATATATCATTAGTAAGATTAGAACTCTTTCGAGATTTTTTCTTTTTAATAGGATCTTTAGAAACCTTTTTAATTTCAAATTTACAATCAATTAATGGTTCAAATGCTAAACAACCTTTTCTATCACTTATAAAATATTCATTAAATGAATTTATATCATTTAAGAAAGTAGTTAATAAACCATTTGAATCAATTTCAAATGAATTAATTAACATTTCTTGATTAAGTTCACCCTTTTCATTAGCAAAATCAAGAATTTTACAATTTTGAAAATAATTTATTTGATGTTCTAATTTTTTTAAAACATCAAGAGATAAATCTTTTATAGATGAATCAAATAATAATATTTCTAAATTATTATAAATATACCAACAACAATTCATAAATAATTTAGGAGCTGATAAATAATCTGCATGAATTAATAATACCATAACATTATCTAATGATATAAAATCAATTATTGCAAGTTGACATAAAGATTTTAATTGAAATAATAATAATTCATCAGAAATTTCAATTAATTCTAAAATATCATTAATAAATTCATCTTGATCATAAAAATCATAACCAAAACAATCAAATAATTCAAAATCATTATAACCATATAAATGTCTTAAAATTATATTAAATTGAAATTTTGTTAATCCAGTAAAATCTAATTGTTTAGATTCTAATTCATTATCCCATCTAGTTGATAAAACCGTTTCAAAAAAGGCTGATCGAGCTTTTAAAATATATGAATGACATCTAATAAATCCATCATTTAATTTAACTATTACATCTCCAGAATCTTTATCTAATATACTTTTAAATGATTCCATATATTGTTCAATAGTAAATTCACTTCCAAATGAATTAGATATTTGAAAAATACTTAATAAATCAGAATATTCTTGAAAGATTTGTTTTAAATGTGGAGGATAAGTTTGTCTTGAAGTAAATCCTGACCATATATCAATTTTTTTACTTGTATATACGGCATATACTAATAATAAAATTGATTCAAATCTTAAATCATTATGAAATTCGATTATATTATTAATTGAATCATAAGTTACTTTATAAGATTCACTAATAAAATAATCACCTTCATGTTCAGGATTTAAAATTTTAAAAAATATTCGAGATCTAACTTCTAAAATATGTTTATGAACCCCAATAATTGTATCGGGATAATGTTTAAGTTTTATATAACAATCATAAGATTTACCACTATCATTAATTAAATGATTATTCTTATTAAATTTCTGAAGTAAATAAGGTAAATCAGATTGTAAAAGTCCAATAAGTGATTCAGATTCAGATTCAGTATCAAGGGTATTAATTAATTTTTCTCGTTTCATTCGATTTCTATCGAATTTATCATCATATTGAACCTTTAATAAATCAAATTGAATAATATCCGATTCATTATCTATTAAAGTATCTTCATTATCATCATCATCAATAAGTTCATTAATTAATGAATCATTAGGATATAAAAAATTAGATATATAAGTATGAAATTTATGATTAACTTGAAGTAATTGATGTTGTTTTCTAATTGAACTTGAATCAATTAATGGACATAAATATTCAATATCTTTAAAAAAATCATTCTTTTGTAATTTTAATGGTAAAATATCTATATCATCTCTTATAAATCCAAATGATAAAAAGTTTATATCACATGAAACTTTAACGATTTTATTTAAATTATCAATTCTTTTAAATTTACTTTGAGTTGAAGGTAAATAAGAAGCTGAAGACATTGAATTTTTTCTTTGAGATGATACCGATGATTTTAAAAATACTGATCCATTTCTTGTACATAAAACAATAGATCCATCACTTGAAACATCTATATCTGTAGCTAACATATCATGATCATAACCTTTCCAAACCGATGAATATTTTATATTTTTAATATCATTAATATTATTAATTGAAAAACTTAATACACTACCATTTTCTAATAATAAAGCACAATAATTTATACTACGAGTTACAACTTTTTTAATTCCAACAGCTTGAGTTAATTTTGTAGGAATAAATATATCAAAATGTTTATCAGAATTTGAACTAGTTGGAATTTTTGGTAATTTAAAATGTTGATAATTATAATAAATATGTATATCATTTTTAATTGTTACCACACAAGTACATAATTCATTAGTATCAATACTTTTAATTTCATCTCGAAGTTGAACTAATTTTGGAAAATTTTGAATTTCTCCTTTAAAAGTTTGATCAGATAATTTAACTTCAACATTGCCCTTAATTGATGGTATACCCATTTGTCCAATATTTAAACCCCAAAAGAATATTTCATTTTTGGTATATGCCACTGAATGAACTTTTGATACACAAATTCCAATTATATGATTATAATTTTTTTTTAAATCTCCTTGAACAAGTGTTGGAATTGATTCAAAAGTTTCTAAAAATCCTTTAGTTTGATTATATTTAATTGAAGTTTCTGATTCAATTCCTAATTGATGGAAACTATTTAATCCCCACGCATATACTTTATTATCAGTTGTTAAAGCAATTGAATGATTATTTGATATGGCCACTTCTCGAATTGATAAATTTGCATTATTAAAAAATTCAATTTTTTTAAATTTAAATGAATCATTTACATCATTAAATCCATGACCTAATCGACCTCTAGATCCTATTCCACTAGAATATAATTCACCTTCATGAGTTATAATTAATGAATGATTTTTAGAAATTGAAAATTGTTTATATCGAGGCTTTTTAAGAGCTCCTTGAATTGAATCAGTTTCATTGGTTTTAAATTTAAAAATATCATGACTTATCTTTGTAGGTAAAGATCTATCTCTTGAATCTCCTACTCCAAGTTGATTATTAGAATTAGATCCAAACAGATAAATTTCCGATCCACCTCTTTTAGGATTCCAAGATATTTGTGATATTCTATTAGAATCTCTTTTCTTATTAGGAATATTTTCATTATTATTATTATTATTATTATTATTATTGGTATTATTGGTATTAACTATTACATCATTTTTTATATCATTAGATCCCTCAATTGGTGTCCCAAATCTATAAGCTATATGAAATTCATTCTTTTCATTTATATATTGAGGTATCCATTTTAAATCTTTAAAATCATTACCTAATAATTGAATTGGTGCAACTCCATTTCTATCTTTATATCTTAAACATTCCATTAATAAATTATTATTTGAAATACTTAAATTAATTTTTGAACAATTCTTATAAAATTCAATTAAAATATTAAAACATATTAATCTTTTAAAATAAATACAATAATGTAAGCAATTCCATCCATTTTCATAATCTACAAGATTAAGTAAAGATTTAATTTCATTATTTTTTAATAAATTTCTTAAAAGATCATATCTATTACATAAAATTAATAAATGAAGTATTGTTCTACCAAATATATCTCGTTTAATAATATCATCTTTTGATAATTTTGATAAATTTTGATTAAAAGATAGCGAAGGTGATGGTGAATAATTAGGACTGGACTCTCTACTCATAATGTTTACCACATTTGTTATTAGTATTGACTTATAAAAGGTTATTGCTTATAGCTTATTGAATATGAATTATGAATATGGAATAGTTTATCCTGGTTGCTTTGCTTTCTTTGCTTTCTTTGCTTTCTTTACTTTGCTTGACTCATACGTGGTTTCCTTGATATCTGCTTTAGACCGACCCGATCTTTTTTCTGGTCAGAACCGGTCTAAGATGGCCGAGGTGGGACATATTGTGGGCGAGCGTGCGAGCATAGTTAAAGTTAAACGTGGTTAACTATGGCGATTGTGTTTGCGTGGTATATGAACGTGTATTATGGTATATGAGGGTTATACGTGTTTATGTATATACGTGTGTATGTATATATTATATATGTTATATACATACATATGTTATATATGATATATGTATTTATATATTTATACGTATATATGGTATGTCGTGTATATCGTAGTGTCTATATAGTATGATTAAGCTTCCGATTTAACGGTCGGATGAGATTTCATAGGCGATCTAATATCGGTCCCCAGCAATTCCGGGGTACTAAAATCTCCTAAATCATTTAATCTATCATCTACAGGTACAATTCCTTCCAGATCTTCATCCAGATCCGGTAAAAAGAATGAATTTGCAATAATTTTCTTTTTAATAGCAGTAATTTTACCAGTAGGTGGTAATCTTGGTCGAATATTTCTTTGCTTTTGAGGTAATTCTTCATCTTCAATTAATAATAATGAATTATCATCAGGTAAATCTGCTGGTTCACCTTTCTTTTTCTGTAATTTAATATAATGAGCTTTAGATTTCTCATTTAATTTACTATAAAATGGTCTTAATAATTTAATTTGTTTATCAACATCTGCTGCCGTTAAATATGATGGAATATATTCTTGTAAATCTTCATATTTATAACGTTTACTTGCTCCACCATTTGAACTATAAGAATTATTCAATCTTGCATGTAATAAATAAATTGGAATTGATGTACTAAGCATATTAAATTCTTTATCTAATCCTAATTCTTTGAATCCAAAAAAATCATCACCTAAATCATTTGAAAAATCTCCAGTCATAAATTGTTCACTATTATCTTCAAAACTTCTTTCATTAAAATTTTCTAATCCTGGTCTTAATAATTCTTTTAAAAAATTAGATAATTTATTTCGAAGATCTTTAAGTTTTTCTTGCAGTCGAATTATTCTTTCTTGAACATAAGTATATAAATCATCAGGTTTATTAACTCCATTTTCTAATAATGATAATAATAAAATTGAAGTATCATCAAGTTTATTTGAAGAATTTGATTCAGTATGTAATTTAAGTGATTTAATTAAATTACTCATATAAGTTTCAGCTAATTGAGTAAGTGTATTAACTGCAAATGGTTCAGTCTTTTCAAATCCGGTTTGCATGGCAATCTTACTAACATTTCTTCTTAATACAGCAAATTGAATTTGATTATTATAAGAATCATGATTAGGTAATTTAGATGCATTATCAACATCAACTTCTCTTATAGATTCAATTTCTGGTTGCTTCATTTGTGTATGATGAACAAATTGTTGAGTTTGCATTTGACGTATAAGTGATATTTTAAAACAAATCTTTCTAATTTCTTGAATTTCATGAATATTTTGAAAATATACTTTATTTAATCCTTTATCAGTTGGTAATACAAATGAAGATTTTAATTTAGATGCATCTCCATTAACTTGTTGTAATAATACATCAGCAAGTTTTTGTTCATTCTTTTCTTCTGTTTCTTTATCAATTCCACTATATTTAAATCCCGGAATTCCTCCAGTTAAATCATATTCTAATAAATAAGGTTCATCATTTTCTAAAAGACTTTGAGTTTTTGAAATTACTTCTTTATTACTTAAATATTGATTAAAATTTTTCATTTCATTTGATTGCCTTATAATAGCAGCTGCTTCAGGTTTAAGATGATAATTTTCATCAAATAATTCTGCTCGTTGTGAACAATAATTAGCTCTTGATTTGGCAGTTAATGATCTCCATGCTAATAATTCAGGATCAAATTCATCTTCTTCTTCAGTTACTCCATTTGCATCACCATTTAAATTATCATTATCCTCTTCATCTTCATCTTCATCTTCTGCATTAGTAGTATTCCCAGTTGCAGAAGGTAAAATTTCAGTACCAGGAGTTTCAGAACCTCCAACATTAGGAGAATCAACTACAGATGGTGCTAATGACATTGGAGTTCCTGGTTCAGTAGCTTCTGATTTAACTTGATCAGGTCGTGATCTTTTTCTACCCTTTTTCATTGATTTCCCACTTGCACTTGGAGTACTACCACCATTTTTTTCTTCTTCTAATTCTTCTTCCTTTTCAATATCACTACGATTTCTAATAGTTATATTGGGAATTGTAGGAATTAATTTTAAAGTTTTCTTTTGCATTGCAACCGCATGAGTTCTCATAAAATGTTTTGGATCTGCATTATAAGTTAAACAATTAGACCAAATTAATAATAAATCATCAACAAATTCTTGTTTAGAATTATATGAAAATCCTTTTAATTTCTTCATAACTGTATTAAGATCCATTGGCTTTTTAATTATAAGTCCATAATTTGGAGCTTCTCTTTTAGAAACTTTATTTAAAAATGGTGTTGAATGTTCAGTATAACCTCTTAATTCCAGAACAACTTTTTCACAAGCTTCATATAATTCTTCTTGACCAACTCTTTCATTGCTTGCCCATTTACCTCGATTTTTTCTTACATCCATAAAAAGTGATCTTAATTCATGATCATTTAATGGAACATCATCTCTTTTCAGTTTAATTGTATTTAATAAATGTTGAAGACTTGTGCTACCTGCGCCTAAATTTATGCCTGCCATTGGTTCATCTAAACTAGATGAATTTCCATTATTATTATTATTTTCATTATCACCTTGATTATTCTTAGAATCTTCAAGTTGTAAATCTGATTTCTCTAATTTTCTACGTTTAATTAATGTTTCTCGATCATATTCAAAATTATGATATACTTTGTTAAATTCTCGAATCAATTTATCTTGATCTTCTATGGCTGTAATATCTTTAATATTATTATTGGAATTATTAGAATTATTAGAATTATTATGATTTATATGAGAATTTTCTGGAGTTGTTTGTGAATCATTACTGGAAGAATCTTGTGAGTTATTATTATTGTTATTATTGTTGTTTGAAGTGACAGATTTAAATATTCCTATCGGTATTTCTAAAATGACTTGATTTTCATCATTATATTGTAAGTCAGGCTTATCTTCTCCATCAATCATATCCACATCTTTGGTTTCTTCTTCCTTCTTCTTGTTTTCTTCTCCTTCCTTTTCTCCGTCTTCATCGTCATCATCATCATCATCATAATCATCCTCTTCTTCTCTTACTTTAACAGGAGCAGATTCTTTCTCTGTGACTTCTGTCTTATCATTATTTTTCTCACCATCATCTAGAGGTAGTTCATCAAGATTATCTATCAATTCAAAGTCATCGGATACTTCTTCTATATTATCAATAGATTCATCTAAATCCTTTGCATTATAATAATAATCAATAGCCTTTTCCCATAGTAAATACCGTATATGTAAAGCCAACATCTTAATATTTTTTGACCCTTCCTCAAATTGAATCTCCGGTTCTTCAACTTCATTTTCTTTCTCATCTTGACTACCATTTTTCTCTTTTGTCTCTTCGTCTTCCTCATGAGTTTCATTTATAGATTGGTGATCTTCACTATTATTATTATTATTATTTTTAATAAATTTTACAAAACAATCACCTTCAAGGAAATGTGACCAAAGTTTAAAATCATTTCTTGTTAGTATTTGATCTAAGATTTTATATTGATATTCATTAAGAAATACTTCAAAGAATTTCGATTCATGTAATTTTTTAGCTAATTCAAATAATCTCCGATTATTATTGAATTGGAATGTTGTTAATTTATTCATGATATATTTTTATAAATTTATTTTTACAGCAATTAAAATCACTAATTATAACTCGAGTAAATTTTTTTATGAGTATATGTGTACAAATTTAACTTAATTCGTTTTTATAAAATTGAACTGGTGATAATTATTACTTACGTATATAGTATATATACACACACATATATTTTATTTATATATATATTATGGGTATTATACTTATACTATTAGTTACAAATATCTTTATTAGTTTGAATTGGATATTGTAACAAATTAATATTAATGGATTCAGAATGTTTATTGGAATAGATCCCCACAATTTATTTGATGGATTCTATCACCTGGAGATAGATTATACTGTGAATAATTATAATGCTTTAGTATTAACTATGATTTTTTAATATGGTTGAGATTTTTTTAGGTCTCGAAAAATTCACGTCGCTTTGGGTGCGATTTGCATTTTTCACTACTGCTAATAAATGTTTTTTCTACAATCTACAATTACTTAGTTCTACAACATAATCATAATTATAATAAAATATGGTTTATCATTAGCCATTCATTGTTTCTATTATTCAAAATATTTAATGATAAAATTAAACATAGAGATGTTCAATTTAACATAACATAATATAACTTTAAGTTGATATAACATAATGCAAACCTGTCTTCTTATTATATAAATTCTTTTGTTAAATAGTAGGTTGATTAATTAATTTATTCATTAAAAAATGTTACTAAAATTGATAACTCTATAGTTCGTTATATTAAAATTAAAATTAAAATTGGACAATAAAAAATTTCATACGTAAAGAATTTGAACCAAAAGGAAAATTAGTCTAGTTTAGTCTAATATAGTCTAAACAGCATATTTCTTTGTCCATTCTTTAGCAGTGGCTTCATATTTGGCTCTATCTTGTTTATAAATATGGGCTATTTCAGGTACCAACGGATCATCAGGATTAGCATCTGTTAAAAGAGAACAAATAGATAATAATACTTTTGAGATAGTTAATGCCGGAGACCATTGATCTTTTAATATATCCAAACAGATATTACCATTACCATTAATATTCGGATGATAAATTTTGGTGGTGAAGGCAATCTTAGGTGGTTTAAATGGATAGTCAGTTGGGAAATGAATTGATAAAAAGAATACACCACCGGCATATGGAGAATCTGGAGGACCCATGATAGATGCTTGCCAATGATATAAATCGTCACCAACTGGACCAGCGGAACATGAAGATGGTGGATCTCTATAATAATTATTTGTTAGTAAATTAAATCTTTATATAAATATATAGATATCCCTTTCATTATTAAATCATTCTCATATTATGATATATCCTTTTGAAATAGTGGTGATTTATACTCGTCAGACCTCTTACTGGGAAAAAATACACGAACTAAAAAATGAACGTCCAGTGGATGAAGGATGAGCGAGCGAGCGAGTGAGTGATCAAATGATTCAACTATTAAACCACTATAGAATGATATGATATATTGATCATATGATTAGTAGTATATTACTAATATTAACTTTAACGCTGAGTCTCAACTATTGATTATAAAAGTGGGTGGAGTGACAAGTGCGGTAAATCAGACAAATTATGAGACTGAGACTGACACTGAGAATTAGTGAAACTGAGAATGAGATAAGCTCTAAAAGGGTAAATGATAGGGGCAAAAAAATTATAGTACATACCTTCCTAAGTCGGCTAACTCTTTGTTAATACGCTTTAACGACATGGTTTAGATAATGATGATTGTATGTAGATTATATGGAAGTAGATAATGTGAAGTATCTTATAAATCAAAGAAAAGGAAAGGAAAGGAAAGGAAAGGGAAGGAAAAGAAAAGAAAGGTGTTATAATTGGAAGTGCGTAGAAAAAATCCGTAACTCTATGGGTAACCTGTAAACCGTTAGCGCTGGATTTCGTAAGCATTTACAGGTTTTTTCTAATGGATTTATAGTGATCTCACAATGGAATTCAGTAGAACCTTAAGGAAAATCAGTCTGGTTTTTACTGCGACTCTCAGTAACTGGTAGTATGACATGCAAGGTAAGCAAGTCATGTGATTCATAGCCCCAAAATATCATGTATGTATATAAATTCTATAATACAGTAACTTACATGATTGCAAATTATTGTAATGTTGTTTACCTGATTTGTTTACATTCTATTATCAGTACTATAATTAGTTGCGTATTAAAATAACCACTTGACCCTCCACCAACCCTCGCTACCATATGTACAATGTACAATATACAATATACAATATACAATATACAAGTGTAACTGTACAAGTATTTATATTTACTTGACTTAACTTTACTTTACTATTCTTTACTTTACTAATGGGAAAATACTTTAACCCATTCGATATTACATTAGATCAGTTATATACTTGTCTACTGTGATCTCAATATATATATTGTAGACCAACATTAATATGAATCTAACCTAAGGTCCCGGCTAGCCCAAAAAAAAATATTACTCGCTAAGGGAAATATTTGCCCTTTACGACTCAACTCACTAAGTAAAGGTTAGCGAAGTATGGGGATAATCCTGTAAAGTGGATGAGACAGTGTAATATTTTTCAATTCTATCTTATAATAACATCAAGTGAATTTGGTCTTAATTCTACTAGTCACTATATAACTTACGTTAGGGTCAATAACAATCAATAATCTTAATCCACTACATAGTTTTAGGTTTAACTCAAGCGATAATATTTTTTTTTAAAGCTAACTTTTTCATCAATTGATTGTTAATAATTACATCTAATTATAATTATAATTACAATTACAATACTAATACTAATACTAATATTAATACTACAGAACTATAACCTTCCGCAAATACATATATAGCTCGAATGTTAGTGACTTTCAGTTCAAAGTCAAAGAAGCAAAATATAAATAAGGATATAGTACGATCAGACTCACATCTGAAAATTAATTCAACTTCAACTACAACTACAACTTCAACTGCAACTTCATCTTCATCACCATTAGAAAATTCATCCTTACCATCTTCTGATATTAAATCTAATACTAATAGAATATCAAAACCAACTACCAAAAATAATAATAATAATGTTAATATTAAAAAAAGAGAATTTCCTATAGAATCAGTGTTTGACCCCGCAAACTCACCTTCATCATCAATTAATTCATCATTTAAAGTAATTAATAGTTCAACTGATTTATTTTCATTTAAAAATTCAAAACGATCACGGGATGGTTGTTTAACGTGTAAAATTAGAAAGAAGAAATGTGATGAAATTAAACCAATATGTTCAGCATGTTTAAGACTTAAAAAGGAATGTTTTTGGATTGATTCTCAAATGTCCGAAGATCAAATTCGTCAACTTAAAAGTAAAGTCATAGCTGAAGAGAGTAATAATAAATTGAGAAAGAGAAAATCAAAGTCATCATCAAATAATATATATAATAATGATATTGTAAGAGAATCTATATCTTCTTACTCACCAGCTCCAGTTCCAGTTCCAGTTCATGATTCAACAAACATACAACATCCGATTCCATTATCAAATTCAAATTCAGATACACGACAACATCATCCAATGATAGTGTCTACCTCCTCAATATCATCCGTAGAATCAAAGTCTCCTGATGATTTATATTCTTCAGTTAGAATAAATCCATCTCCGTCCAATTATATAACGTCAAACAATTCTCCTGGGAATATCGATCATTTATATCAATTTGAAACTCATATTCATGATAGAGGTATTCTGATAACTAAAGTGCCTCCCTCTAGTAGTAATGTGAATTCTCCATCTGTTATTCCTGAAAGTCCGAAATTGTTTCAATACAACAGTTCAGATTTAAGATCAACAATATCACCAACTGCCAGGCATATAAATGGTACTACTCGTAGACCAAGCAATATCATTAGTACTAGTAATAACAACAATAACAACAATAACAACACCAATAATAATAATACTAACAATTTACTTGGTAATTATGCATTGCTGCCTAATTCTCCAACTATCAAAAGTTTAATGAATCCATTAATTCAACAAGAAAGGAAGATTGAAAATGAAGCAAAGGCTCAAGAACATAATAATCAACATAAAGATTGTTCTCCTCCTCCCTTAGACTTAGATTCTAGTCGATCACCTCCTCCATTATCACCAACTGGTTTCTTAAATTTTATTCGTGATTTAAGTGGAAACAATCATATCAGTATCCCAAATGATGATCCTTCCAATAAGATAACGTTACTTAATGATGAAAACAGTAACAATAATGATGATAATGAAAATAACGATAACGATAACAATGATAATAATAATGATGATGATGATGATAATAATGTAAGAGATATTAATTCCACAACTCCTTCTGAATTTAAAGATTTGATAATAAATTCTCTGAATTTTTCATCTGTAATGGAATCAATGGGATTTGGAGGTATGAATAATGATACTTATGGATTAAGTCCATCTCAAAGTAGTACTAATCTTCATGGACTTTCACCTTCTAATTACAGTAATTTAATATCGAATTTAGCTTCAATATTAACTCCAAGTCCAAAATATAATCCCTCTCATTTACCTGAATTATCAGATGCAAGTAGTTCATATCTATATAATTATTATGTTGATGTATTATCACGTAAGATTTCAATAGCTCCAGTTTCTCAAAATGATTCTAATTCATATCAAAAAGTATTTTTACCTTTAGCTCATAAAGATAAAGGAGTTCTTTATGGAATTTTAGCATGGGCTGGATTTTATTTAGGAGGTTCATGGGCAGAAGAAGGAGTTAAATATGTTAATCTTGCTTTAGAACATCTTAGTGGATCATTAGATAAAGAAGAAAAATCATCACTTATAAGACATTATCATGATGATAGACAATCAATAATAAATAAATTAGCAACATTATTAATTTTATGTGGAGCAGAAATTTGTAAAGGAGATGTTAAATATTGGTCAGTTTATTTAAGATGGGGATGGAAAATTTTAAGTTCAAATGGAGGAATTTTAAATTTTAATAATCTGAAGGAAGAACATTGGTTAATTTCAAATTTTGCTTATCATGATTTATTGGCTAGTTCATCAAGTGAAAGAGGTACATATTTTACTTCAAAAGAATATGATACAATTTTTCTTGATAAAGAAGGTCATTCAAGAGGTAATTTAAATCCTTTATTAGGAGTTTCTAAAAAGCTTTATCGAATTATTGGTGATATTAGTACATTAGTATATGAAACTAAAAAGACATTAAATCTGTATTATAAACGAGATTCACCAAATGAATTTGATATTTCTGATTCACCTGCTAGTCCAACATTACTGCTTGATATTGATAATGATTCTGATACTAGTGAACATGGAAAAGTTAGTATAATGCTTCATACAATTGTAGAAAAGGCTCATAATTTAGAACAAGAAATTGATAATGCTAGACCAACAACTACTGATTTAGAAGGTTTAACTGATGAAGAATTAGAATTACAATTAACATTATTTGAAGCATTTCAATTAAGTGCTAAATTATTTCTTAAACAAGCCATTATGAAATGCAATCCATCAATGCTTGAATGTCAAATTCTTAATAATGATTTATTAAAATGTATTGATATATTATTAGATTCTCCTGTACAAGCATCACTTGTATTTCCTATTTTTATTTCAGGAATTCATTGTGTTTCTAAACTTGATCGAGATATTATGAAGGAAAGAGTTGAAAATTTTATTAAATTATATGGTCCTTGGAATGTTAGAAGAGCTAAATATTTAATGGAGAAGGTATGGCAAAATAATAAAGATGGTAATATGGTAGTAGATTGGCATTCTATTTTACGAGAATTAGATTGGGATATTAATTTTGCTTAGACTACAATTGATTAGTTTAGTTAACTAATTAAATAATTATTTATTATATATGTATAGTTTAATTAAATTAATAATTTATACTAATTGGTATATTGTTATTCACGTGACTCTGCATATGATCCTGTGGTCGTGTAAAATGGCAAACTATCCTCGAAAAATTTCCGATGGTACACTAAAAAAAAATTGCTAGAGATGAGGAAAGAAATTTTCAACCTGAGTACATATAATAATTAAAAATACCTGAAGTATCTAAATTACTAAGTCACTTATAAAACCCAAAGATGGCTGGATTGGATTATCTTCTATTTGAAGAAGCTACCGGGTACGGTATCTTCAAGGTTTTAATTCAACAAGATGATATTGCTTCCAGACTGAAAGAAGTTCAAGAAGCTTCTAATGATTTAGGGAAATTTTCAAAGATGATTGAATTAGTATCTTTTGCTCCATTTAAAGGTGCTGCTCAAGCTTTAGAAAATGCCAATGATATTTCTGAAGGTTTAGTATCTGATTATTTAAAATCAATTTTAGAACTCAATTTACCAAAGGGTTCAGAAAAGAATAAAATTAGTCTTGGTGTATCCGATAAAAATTTAGGTCCATCAATTAAAGAAGTTTTCCCATATGTTGATTGTTTATCAAATGAAATTGTTCAAGATTTCTTAAGAGGTATAAGAGTTCATGGTTCTAAATTATTTAAAGATTTACAAGATGGTGATATTGAAAGAGCTCAATTAGGTTTAGGTCATGCCTTTTCAAGAGCTAAAGTTAAGTTTTCAGTTCAAAAGAATGATAATCATATTATTCAAGCTATTGCTTTATTGGATCAATTAGATAAAGATATTAATACTTTCTCCATGAGAGTTAAAGAATGGTACGGATGGCACTTTCCTGAATTGGCCAAGATTGTTCCTGATAATTATACATATGCTAAATTAGCTTTAACTATTAAAGATAAAGCTTCATTATCGGATGAATCTTTACATGATGTTGCTGCATTAGTTAATGAAGATTCAGGTCTTGCTCAAAGAATTATTGATAATGCTAGAATCTCTATGGGTCAAGATATTAGTGAACAAGATATGGAAAATGTTTCTACTTTTGCTGAAAGAGTTGTTAATATTTCTGATTATCGTTCTAAATTATTCCAATATTTAACTGATAAGATGCATACTGTTGCTCCAAATTTATCAACTTTAATTGGTGAAGTTGTTGGTGCTAGATTAATTTCTCATGCTGGTTCTTTAACTAACTTGTCTAAACAAGCTGCTTCTACTGTTCAAATCTTAGGAGCTGAAAAAGCTTTATTCAGAGCTTTAAAGACTAAAGGTAATACTCCAAAGTATGGTTTAATTTATCATTCATCCTTCATTGGTAAGGCTTCTGCTAAGAATAAGGGTAGAATTTCAAGATATTTAGCTAACAAGTGTTCTATTGCATCAAGAATTGATAATTATTCCGATGAACCATCAACTGCTTTTGGTGAAGTATTAAAGAAACAAGTTGAAGAAAGATTAAACTTTTACGATACTGGTGCTCCACCAATGAAAAACTCAGATGCCATTAAAGCTGCTTTAGCATTAACTGGAACTAGTGATTTAATTGATGAACCAGTAGTTGAAGAAAAGAAGGAAAAGAAGGAAAAGAAAGACAAATCCGAGAAGAAGGAAAAGAAAGAAAAGAAAGACAAGAAAGAAAAATCTGAAAAGAAAGATAAGAAAGAAAAGAAGAGAAAATCAGATGATAATGAAGAATCCCCAAAGAAGAAGAAGAAGAAGTCAAAGGATTAAATCATCACTCATATCTAATGAAACAGTCAGCATTTATTTCTTAAACACTTGTTTTATTCTTAGTTTTTGACATTACGAGTCTTAAGCTTTGTTTTTTGTAAAATATAGCCATTTTTTATATTGCATGTTAATATATCTATTTAGAACGGAAATCACTGTAAATTACATATCTCTTTTAATCCTTCATAAAATCACAGACCACTCTATAGGGGGCTTAGAGTATTAGAGACGAAGCAACATAATAGAATATATTCGTAAACAGGAAATGGTTTATATATTATTACATACAAAAACTAGAGAATAGAGGATTAATCATATTGAAGAAAGTCAATATCAAAAACAAGTAAAAAATAGGATGCAAGACAACCAGCTTTATTTCATGCAGAATTCCTATAAGTTTGAAGTAATTTCTGTTGAAGCAATTGGTTCCGCGATAGGTTTCTCTTCATCTAATTCGCCGCTCTTATCTTTATTACCAGAAACGACATTAGCAACAATTTTGACAGTACGAGATAATTCACTACTTCCATCAACTTTGCTTACTTTTGCTGTCTTTGGGAAATGATTATCAATAAACTTTTCCAAAGTTTCATTAAAAGGTCCGACTAAAGCATCAGCTTGTGTAGTAATAATTGATTTACCAGTAGCATCGTCATAAACTGTATGATGAATCTTTTCCTTTATATCTTCAGCGGCTTTAGAAACAGGTTCAACTAAAGTTTTATTAACTTTATCATTAACAGTGGTATTAACTGAGTTGACAACATTATGAACTTCTTCCACGGCACCATTGATGGGTCTAGTTATTGGACCAGTCAAATGATTCACTTCTAGAGTCTTTAAACTTGGAACAAATTTATCAACTTGATTCAAAACAGAATCGGCAAGGCTATCGCCAGTATCTACCGCCAATTTAATTGGTTGAATTTCTCTCAAAGTTTTCAAAGTAGGAGATACAGCGTGAACTACCGTTTTGGTATAAGGAATTGAATAAATAGCCGATTTAGTTGAATTTACAATTGGATATTGTTGAACATGCTTAAGAAATAATGATCTTCCTTTATCGTTTTCTTCACTAGAAGCTGGTTCTGTAATAGGCAAGTTGCCAATAACTTGAGTTTGAGCAGACATTGATTCTCGCTAGCTATTTGATGTTATGATATAGATGAATAACAAATAAGAAGAAGAAGAAGTATATATAAAATTACATTTCGATAAGCGCTGTTAACCCTCTTTTTTATACTCTCAAAATTGTTGCGAAAAGAAAAATGTATTTTTTAACTATGAAAATCAATAGATCCATCAGAACTACCGGTCGAATAGTGATCTATATGAAACAATATATCCTCTGAAGCATTCTCATAAAAATGTGGATCATGTGTAGTCTCTTGAATTTCATTGGTTGAAGAGATATTTAAATGATTTTCTTGGTCAAATTCTAATTTCACACTAGTATAGGGAGATTCTTCACGGGTCTGTTGGTCTCCCTGATCTTGTAAGAAATAAGGATTGTCAAAATCATAACTTGGGGACTTTTGGAATTCTGGCAATTGAAAATTATTTTCTTTTTTGATTTTTGGTGAATGAAGAGAGGGGGTTGGAGATGGTTCTAATTCTCTGGTTCTTTTTCTTTTTCTATTTCTATTTCTATTTCTATCTCTTCTCTCTCTTTCACTTGCTTCCAAGATTGGTCCTTGATCAAGAGTGTTTTCTGGAGAAACTGATCTGGATAACAGTTCCGGAGTTGTCAACACACTGGAATGTTCACTTTTTAAAGCAAAAACTTTATTATTTATATCAGTTAACTTAATTTTACTTGCCATGATAGTTCCATGACATACAGAATCCCTGAGTTTACTGACTGGAAGTATAATGGAATAATTTGTTATCTGAACCTTATCTTTTTGTTTTAATTCCTTGAATATTGGGTCAAGATGTCTATCTTTATTGAAAAATAATCTTTCATATGCGGCAATGTAGTAAACCTCGTCTAAAATTCGTTGGCTGATTTCTCTTTTGAATTTCATGGATGATGTAGAGCTTCTTAAACTCTCTAAATAAAACTTGTTATTTCTTATTATTTGGATTAATAACTCAACTCTTCCACGTTTGTCTAAATGATCTGGTTCAATATGATCAGTAGTTTCCGGCCACCAGGGAGGTCTGGATGAATTTTGATCTCTATATGGAAATCGTGCTTGTTTATTAGGTTCAGCAACCTTTATCCATCTTTTTGCAATTTCCTTACAAGTATTTTGATTTATACAATGGAATAAATCTTGATATTGTCTTATTAAATTGGAGGTAGTTTTCTTATCAATGTATAATTCTTCAACATGAACTAGTACGGGTCGAATAGTGACAATACGAATGCGTTCCGTTGATAATAATTTGTGAACTTCAGATATTTGAGCGTCTGTAAAATGGGAAGAGTAAGAAATTCTTAGTTCTGATTCTTCATGGTTGGATTGTGTAATTAAAACGAACTTTGTCTTCTTTTGTGTTGATATTTCCTCAAGATACTTAACAATTTTCGTTAAATTGAGATGTGATTTGGGCACCATATTTAACTCTGAAATTTCCGAAGGAAGTCAGTGACATGTCGTTGTTATTTATCATGACTTGTGAGGGTACTCGTATTTATAAATACAGATTCATGAGAGTAAATGTTTCAAATTTGTCGCACATCAAATTTATTTTGCAGTCATTTTTTTCATGCGACTATATATAGACGAATAGATATATATTGAGAGTTGTTTGAGAATAGTTTCAAGCTAATCAAATAAAACTGTATAAACTTTACTCCATATTGGAGCTTTTCTGAATTTCTCTTTCTGTTCGAGGTTTTCTAATTCCAAAATCTCTGGGTCATAAATTACTCTACCTTCGTCAAGTTCAATTTGATCGATCTTTTTATACCATTTCCAATTTTTAGTGTATAATTTATGGCCAATATAACAAACCAAGAACATTGGAACAGCCAAGTAATTTTCAAAGAAGGAATTAACGCTTGGTTTTCCATCTCCTCCAACTGGCCAAAGAGCGACCCAAAATTGACCTATAAGAATAAGTGTGTTAATAATTATAGAAACCCACGATCCGATAACACCAGTAGGTGAAACATATGCCAAAGTATTTAAAGAAATTCCTTTATGTTTTAAACAAGCTCTGAATCTTAAATGGCAAATACAAATAGATAACCAAACAAAAACAAAACTTAAGGCAGAAAGTGATAATAACCAGGTGAAGACTGTTTCCTCTTGATCATAGGCTGCAATATAAGCAAAGAATGTGCATAAAACAGTGAGCAACCAGGCACGTAAAGGTCTACCATTTCTATCTATATAGTTCAACCATTTAGGTCCCAATCCCTGTTCTGATAAAGACTGGATTAAACGTGGACTACTATACATGGCAGCAGTAGCAACTGATGTAACCGAAACTAAGATGACAGCATTAATAATATGGGGTAAAACCTTAACCCCATGCATTTCTGCTGCAATTACATAAGGAGATGCATGAGTGGCACTTCCACCTGAACCCAATAATCTATCTGAAGTATATGGTACCAATAAACCAACCATACATAATGATCCTAAAAACAAAACTATTACCTTATAGTAAACGAATTTAGAAGCACACTTAATAGCAACTCTAGGATTCTTGACTTCAGCACAAGACAAAGAGATGAATTCAGAACCTCCTAACGAAAATGCACCAGTTACAAAGACTGAAACTACACCTTTGAAATCAGTAATAGCACCTGGGTCATGATAGTATCTACCACCAATGAATCCTTCAGGGCCACCACCTAAATTAATGACTAGACCAAAAATAACAAATCCTGTTAACATAAGTACTTTAATGGAATTCATTATAAATTCAGCTTCAGCATAACCTTTAGAACCTGCTAAATTAATAGAAACTATAATAATGAAGAATATAGTTACAAAGATATCAGGATTAATAGATGTAGTCCAGAACTTAATTGTCATGGAAGCGGTGACTAATTCTAATGAGATAACTGTAATCCATTGGAAGGCATAGTTCCATCCCAAAGCAAATCCAATCGAATCATCTATGAATTTAGCATAATATGACTGAAACCCACCAGGTAAACCACTGTAAGCAATACTTAACTCACTTACTGAATTAACAGTAGGAACCAACATAATAAATCCAACTATGGCATATCCAATCAAAGTACCAGCGGGTCCTGCTGCTCTGAGTCTAGCACCTGCACCCACAAGTAATCCTGTCCCCAAACCAGTGGAGAGAGACATCAAACGTAAGTGCCTTTTTGTAATCGATTTATCTAGTGAATCTTCAGTCTTCTCTGTAGGAGTAGCTCTTTTGAATGAGTCTTTAAAATTTTGCCATCTTGAAGTAGTCGAATCATTTGTTCTATTGAAAGATGACAGAGATTCTAATTCCAGGATAGAAGCTTTTTCAAAATTAGAATTTTTGTTTTCATGATTACTTGATATTACAGTAGCTTGATTTTCGTGAATACTTGACATTACTTTTGTTTAAGAGAACGATGTAATAAATAAATAAATAAGATAAAATGCAACGGAAATTCTTGATAAGTATATGCTTGATGAAAAATATGGGGTAAAATGAGGAAACTGGAGCTTATAAAAGAGAAATATTTTACGAGAATAAAAGGAATTAAACTAGTCCGGAAAGCGATGAGTTTAAGATAATATAAAATTAGTTATTGTATCATTCCGTTATAATTTAAATATTATTAGTCCTTGATTCCTGGACACTATTTTTTACCTGCAGTGTACTTTGTTAGTGAAAGATTTCTTCTTGGATAAGTTGCGTTTCCTATGACGCTTTGGATTTTGCACCAATTTTTTTCTTTTTCTTATTGTGCTCTGCGCGGCAATTTCAAAGAATTCTTATGAGGTAAAACCAAGCGAGAAGAATAAAGAAAGAAGACTTCATAATATTAATAGAAAAATTTTCCTATATTAATATGCCCCACTCCAGCCGAAGCTAATGGGCAGTGTAATGTGTAATGTATAATGCAAAAAATAACTTCGCAAGAATCACAATATCGAGGTACTTTGCCAAGATAGATCTTGGGGCCCTTGAATGATGACCACTAAGGAATCGGGAGATATTCATGTCGAGGTTAAAGTGAACCGAACCGATATATTTAAATATAATGACAGGGTGATGCCTATGTCAAATATAAGAATGGTAATTAAATAGTATTGGTTATTGTTAAAACGCAAATTAGCTAAGCAAACGCCGCAGACAAATTCTTAGTTTTGCGCTTTAATTTGCGGCCGATTTGCGGTTACGGCATTTTAGGTTGAACTGAAAATTCTCCTAAATTTTCTTAGTATAGCGTGATTGACATAGTGGGGCAGCAATTTATTCTTCATTGTGAAACCTGTTCTAAAATAATTAACGGACTCTTGCGGAGTCCAATTGGATCAGCTTTATCGTACTGATTGTTTAAGGAATGTAGTAGGAGATACAATACAAAGTGAAAAAATTGTTAGTTGAACTACATTAATATAATTGGGTTGAGGTGCCTGAAACTCGGAGAATCATTTTAGTAACAGTTTAACGGGATTAATAAAACTAAGAGATCCAAAAATTGTTGAGATAAGCCTGCTAAATTCTAACTAGATAATTAAGCAGTTGCATTTGATGGCTAGAGTATAAATAATGTCAATAAATAGATGCAAATATATACAGTAATTAGTTTGCGAAATTTTACTAGTGCCTCCTGGTCCCTTTTTTATGGGGAAGAATCTCGATTTATTTTATTTATCCTCTTTAATAAGGTACTTTTGGGTTCCTCTAAAATATAAGAGAAGGGACAATGGTTTGAGAAATACCACATATAAGCATCCTCTACTTCCGGAGTACCCCACAAAACCCGTAATTTAAGAACCGTACAATTCCTAATACCGAACTGGTAATAAATTCCTTCGCACTGATCATCAGACCAAAAATGGTCGGGGCTATCGTCTGAAAAAATTAAATCCGTATAGTCCTCCAAATTTTAGCGAACTGTACACGACTGAACTGACAAAAAAGTTTTCAAAATTATTAAGCAATCTCCAGTAATTGGCTAAGTTCACAATTTATTAAATACCTTTTCATTTGTAAGGGATTTCACTTTCAAGTAAGTGATCATTAGTAGGTAATTTGCAATAGTTTAAACCATTAAATTTTTGCTTTGCAATAAATTACTGCTAATTTTAAGATAATTGACGAATAATACTTGACAACCTTATCGAACCCTAAATATCAATTATAAATATGGTGTTATTTTATGAAACCACTCATGAATATAATCATGACTTCCAAACAGCTAGTTTGGCTTATTTCAATAGGTATCCCAACCCATATGCTAAACATGTTTTAAGTACTGATACTATCGAACAATATATTGATAAAGATGGATGTTTAAGAGTTACTAGACTTGTTGTAAAAAGAGGAAGATTACCCCAATTTATTAAACCATTCTTAGGATCAAATCTTGACTCATGGATTATTGAGAAATCAGTTACTAATCCTAAATCCAATACACTTCTCACCTATAGTGCCAATGTTGATCATAGGAAATTCATAAAGGTTGAAGAATACTTGAAATACTCGTCTTCGGAAGGAAGTAAAACTTTGGTAGAAGGGAAAGTTAAGTTTTCATCAAATTTAATTGGATTCAAACAAAGAATTGAAGAATGGAGTCATAGAAGATTTTCATCCAATATTAATAATACAAGAGAGGGCTTAAAATATGTTATGAATAGGTTACAACAAGCCAAAGGTTGGAAAGTTGAAAATAGCTAATAATCTAAGGTTTAACTGATTTTGTCCTCCTGATATTAATTAATTTATTTACTTCATTTTGCTATAATTCACTATAGCGAATTTACAGAATTGCATTATTTTACGACTTTACGAGAATTAGTAGTTTTTTTAAAAAAAATTACTATTGTTTCCACTTAGCTTATTACTTATAGTGACTGATTATACTAATGGGATTAGTTTTCAGCCTTCATACTACAGAATGATGGTATTTAACCATCTCTTTTATTGTAAATAGATTTACGAAATGAACGAATTTGAAACATAATTGAAACGCATTGTAGTGTTTAACATTTATTATTTATAGTTCTGATATCTATACTAGTTAATGCCCAGCTGGATCAATAATACTTATTTATATATATATATATATACATTCATAAATTCTTATACTATGTACTAATTATCAACTAGTTATCAGCAGTTCCAGCCTCTCTAATTGTGGCACCCTCTTCCCCAAAGTTCGTGTGCAAGTTCCCAATTACGTATGCAGGAAAGTGTCTCTCTTTTAGTCATATCACTTGCCAACCCAAAAATAGGATTTCATCTGGTTATCACAAGAGAGCTAGCAGAAATAATTAATTAACTACTATATCATTACTCAAGTAATATTATATATATTACATATATATATATTATATATAAATTTCATATTGATACCCAATAAGTTTATAACTATACTTCATTAGTAATTCAGTGTAAAGCTGTGATTGCTCCACGCTCAGATTGTTCCCCCTTTTTGCGTCCGCTGGCATAACTACTATTGATAGAATTAATAACAAAAGGCATAACAACTTTATAGCATACCAAAATAATTAGGGAATTTATTATTATTATTAAAAAGATGGAAGTTTCGCGGCCTTATTATAGCCCTAAAATAAGAAGTAGAAAGTCTTCATCTTCATCAAGTTCAACTACATCCACTACTTCCATGTCTCCTAAGCTAAGATCTCCTCTGCAAGTTAAGGAAGATTCCGCTTCATCCCGACCTGAACCTACCATAGTTAAAAGAAGGAATTCTCATTTTGTTTCTACTTCATCCCCCTGGTTTAGAAGAAATTCATTCTTATCACAATCTATGATTCAAAATGAAAACTTTTCTGTTTACGAAGCTCCAAATTTTTATAGTGATTCAGCTAGTTCATATAATATTATTTCATTACGAGAGTGTCAAGGATTCCTATTTAATCAAGATTTATTTGCAACACCTTATCAACAATCTAAATCATTAGCTCAAGAACGTAAAGTTCGAGAAATGTCCTTTTCTAAATCTAGGTCACGGTCTATTTCTAAATCTAAATCAATAACTCCTTCTGATTCATCCAATTGCATTAGTCAACAACAAATACCACTGAACAATAATTCTGTAAGAAGACATACTTCATATCATCCTCCAAGGCCTAATTTCCTTAGACCTGGAAGTGATAGCGCTATAATTGATGATGATGAAGAAGAAGAAGATAAGGCTACTCGTCAAACAAATGAAGATATCGATATGGATATTATAAATAATCGTAACACTATAGGCAATGAATATGATGAAGATCATATGGATGACGAATTGAGTGATGATGATGATGATGAAGATGATTATGAAGAAATGCAAGCTTATGGTGGTGATTCCAATAATAGAAGGTATAAAGTTCATGTCACTGAAATTATAGTAAATGAAGAAGATGAGGATATTTTCCCTAAATAACGTCCATCGGTGATTCTTTAACTGCATTATACGGTTCCATACTCCATTCATTCACTCATTCACTCATTCATTCATTCACTGCATCACATTTAGGATTGGTTGGTTTTAATTTTCTCTTTCATGTTTGGTTTATTGGTTTACTCTATTTTTTGGTAATTTCTCTTTGGTTTGTTTTCTTTTGTTCGGCTTGTATAGGTATGCATGTTTTTATTAATCCTTCTCAAACTCTATTCTCTTAATTATGTTTATTTATATAGATAATAATATTTAATTATCATTAATTTCTGTATTCCCTTTCCATCTGTTAGCGATTGCGACTCGCACCGATCTCTACCAAAAAAAAAAAATCTGATCAACACTTTAACAAATACCTTTAACAGTGTCACATTCAGTTCAGTTAATTATAAGAACCACATAAGATGTCTGATCCAAAGAAACAGTTTGAAGAGTTATCATTGGCATTCAATGAACAACAACAAAATGTAAATGAATATATAGCTGTGAGGTCTAAACTTGAAACCCAATTTCAAGAGAATAAAATAGTATTAACAGAATTTGAAAATTTAAATGATGAATCTAAAATATATAAGTTAACTGGACCTATTTTAATACCTCAAGAATATGCAGAAGCTAAGTTAAATGTCAGTAAGAGAATTGAATTTATTCAAGATGAAATTAAGAGAGTAGAGACAAAGATTACTGAAGAAGAAAAGGCAATGGAAGCTACCAGAGATAAATTATTAGCTTTGAGAGCTCAAATTGAACAATAATAATTGGGCATATCCCTCATTGTATCGTTCCTATCAGTGTATTATAGAGTTTAATATGTACAAAGTATCTTTATTCATTAATATATATCTATATGTATATATATGTATGTATCTTGAGTTTAATTTTTGCAGTAATCATCCTCTAACTAATTGAGATTTAATCAAATTTATTAAACTAATGGCATTGAAAGCACTCCATTGTTCTACATCATTATAAGCAGAACCTAAACCTTGGAAGTGAGAAACTTTTTCATCAACAAATTTCTTAGTATTTTTAAAATTAGAACTTGTATCTGTTAATTGATATAATTCAGAAGTAACATAAATTGTTGAAATTCCCATACGTTTACTATACCATGCAAAATCATTAGATTCATCACCAGCATAAAAGGCAATATCATCACTTAAATTATGTAATTCTTCCATTGATTTAGTAATATTATATGGTACAATTAATTGAGAAATACCATATGTTAAATGTTTAATTATAGGTTCATTTAATTCTAATCTCTTTTTAATTAAATATCCAACTCTTTCATATTGATTAGTTAATGAATGAAATTCTTTACTTTGAGGATCCTTTGCATGATCTTCTAAAATCTTTCTCAGATGACTTAACCAATAAGAAACTAATTTAAATTCAGGACTTGAACCATCAGTATTAATTATTGACAGTAATGAATCAGGATAATTTAATTCTCTTATTGCTTTAGTAATACATGTACTATTAAATCCATAAGTTGGAACAAATTCTAATGATTTAGTTAATATCTTCAGTTCTAATGATTCTCCATTGGAAATGGTATGATCTTTAGATTGATATGACCTTACAAACGTCAATGGTCTTGATACAACACTTCTACTTGCCCTAATTCCTGTTCTTATCATTATTAATATGGTTGATACTTAGTTCTTTACCATTGTATCGTATAGATTAATTAGAATGATACGATATATTTTTTCTTTTAACTGCGAGTGCAAAAAAAAATTACTTGGTAGGATTTTGAATTTTCACAGTGGCAATAATCTATACGATTGCAATAACCACCATTAAGGAGTATTAGTATTGTATAATGTTGGTAAGTATATCATTGAGTAACTATTATTGATTATTGTAATGAATACTAACAAGTTTTGCTTTTAGATAAAACCATTGGGGGAGTATAAGGCTCCTCGTCATACGTTGGATGCAGAAGAAGATACAATTACAAAGCCATTTCCTAAACCTATAATTGTTGTAGAATTGGTGGAAGATATTAAATCAATTGATTATGTAGTGATATCTCCATCAACTCTTTCTGTATTACTGGATTCATTTGAATCTACTAAAATTGTGGGTTCTATACAAATCATATATGACCTTTCAGTAACTCAATCACCATCAAGAGAAGGTTTAGATGAAGAAGATGCTGAAGATTATAATATTATTGAACAATTATATTCTGCTAATAGAGTCAATCGATTTGAAACTAATATCCTTGGAAAAATTGATATTAAACTTCATACTTCAGGAACTAATTCAGTTATTAGTATTGTTATACCTCGCTTTAGTAATATAATTACTTTTAATTTAATTGCAAAGGCAATTACAGAAAAATTTATTCCTTTAATTAAAAATCAATGGATAGTATTGGCTCCATGTAGTTTGAATAATAATAGTACAATTAATAAATTGATTGTTAATTCACATAAGAGTACTGATAAAAGTGATGAAGAACAATCACAAATCCTCGAGGCAATCCCATATCTTAAACCTCCACATTTTATAACAGGTATATCGGGTGCAATTGTATCACAATTGAATAAACTTGAACAAGTTTCAGTATTAACTTTGGTGTTAGATCTGGAAGGTCATTCAGGATTTGAAAAATCTAGTAGTGATTCAATTGTTGATAGTGCATTTGTTCTTGGTTCAATATTGTTACCAGATTCTATTAAACAGCATGAATATGTTAAGGCAGTTAGTGAAAAAGTTAGAAAATTAAATGGATTTTCTAATTCGGGAATGTATATATAGAAAATAAAATTAATACTTTAATGGATTTATCTTTGTTTTATTACCTACCCTAAATAAATATGTAAAATGTCTAACTGTTTGAATTTCTCATAGATAAGAAACAATTCCAAAGAACTGATACTGAAGAACTAAAAGGTACTTGAAAATTACGTGGAACAATTAAAAAATTAAAGAATTGAACTGGAAACCATACTGAATAATTAATTAAAAGAGTTTTTAAATATATCTTAGATAATTTGATTTTTGCTTGATCCCAAGTACCATTTTCTAAAACAATTGTACCATAAGTGAAAAATGAAAATAAAGATATTGGAGAGAAGCATAATTGATCAGTTAATACTTTTCGTAAAACTTCAATAAATTTAGGATCAGTTGAATATATTTGGAGAAATTTATACCACCAACATTGAATAAATGCCATTATAAACCCCCAACACATAAATCCTGCTAATCTATTAAATTGATAATAAGTTAATTCCACTATAGGAGATGGTAAATCTCCAAAATTATTAAAATTATTATCTTCTATTGATTCATTATCATTCTGTAAGTATTCAATAAATCGTTCAACGCCTTCTTCATCAATACTAATATTATCAGTGGCGTTCCTTGAATTTACTTCCACGTTACCAAGATCAACAGCTTCTTCCTCATCTCTATAAACATTAAATCCTGTAGATCCAATATCTCTTGTATCTAATTGATTAAGATTACCTCTATTTATTAAATCATTAGAATTAAATGAAAGTCCAACTGATGGTGCATTAGGATTAAATCGAAAGCTTATACCAGGTTGATTTGGTTTATAACTTAAAATACTTTGAGCTAAACTTTCACTTATACCATATAATACTAAATTAGTTACTATTATAGTAATTAATGAACTTTTCATATATAAATTAGTATATTTGGTCATTAATTTAATTAAGAATGATCCTAATATACTAATGATAATAAAATTTAAAAGGGGAATATTATAAATTCTAATACAATTAATTAACCTCACAAACCAATGACGTTGTTCCCTTATGTCATTTTCAGATTCTAGAGCAATTGGCATTCTGGTTGGTAATTTCGAGATACCCTAACCTGTTCCCTTTAGCTTGATCCTTTAGGCTTTATGGGGTCTAATCTTACTTAAGGCCGGATTTACAGTTTTGATTATTTTTGCAGGTTATGGCAATTGCCGAATAAGTTGCAACTGCAATCTATTTTACTTCTACTACTTCTATACGAATTTGTATATATGACTTTATTCAAAACTTTATTTCAATATCGTACAGGCGTCTTGGTCTAATAGGGAAATACAATGTTTGAATTTTATAATTTTGTAGGTTTTGCTATATATCTAAATAAGGACTTCTAGTTAAATATCACACGTTAAAGACATACTAAATAACAGAGATTGTCAAATACTTCCAAGATTTATAAACTATTATTTCATAGGTTAATTATATTAGCCTTAAATTATGGTACTCTTAGTAATATTCCTCTCAATATCAATACTCAATCTTAAATTATTACCCGTAGTTTTCACTACACCCTTATCGCACATTCTTTCATAATATAAATGATACATTGGCATATATCTATCCACAAACTTTACAATTTTATCATCAGTCATTCCTCTTCCTGTTAATTTAATCAATGCATGTTCTTGTTGAATTCTCCAAGTATAGACATTATTAATATCAGTGGTATGAATGAAGATGAATTTGTCAAATAATTTCCATATGGCTTGGTATTGTTTCAATGATTCATTAATCTGTTCCAAATGATATAATTTGTGATGTTGAACTATTCCACTAGGTTCTGATGTTAAGTAGCTTAATCTCAATTGATCTTCATCGAGAGGTTCAAATCCATTAAACCATCCTTCAAAGATTATTACATCTACTGGTTTATCAATTATTTTCCAATTGGATGAATCAAATCTATCTCCTTCACCATTAAAAGCAGATTTATCATAAGTAGGTATTATTATAGGAAAATCTTCATTATTATTATGCGAATTAATTAATTGATCAAATATCTTTACCCCAATATTAATATCATGAGTTCCTGGTAAACCTCTACCTCGAAGTAAAAGATTATCAGAATCATTCAATTTAACTTGATCTACATGTTTAAGATATAAGTCATCCATCAGAAATTGTACAAAATTAAGGTGTTCATAAGTAGTTTGCAATTGCTTAGTGAGATGTTCAGCCAAATATGATTTCCCCGAACCTTGAGGACCAGATAATCCTATGATAATTGGTTTCTTCTGCTTTTTAAAGTCATATTCATCTATACTACTTTTTAAATACTCGATTGATATAGATATTGAACTCATAATATAATGTGCAATTTTTCACTATTATCTGTATATGTCTATATAAATTTCCGGGGAAGCACTATGACTAAAATTTTTAAAGTGCGTAGTGAAAAATTACTAGTTCTTGATTATATATATATACTTAATTATATATACTTAATTATATAGATTTAAATATTAGAGATTGATTGTCATTAGTTCATATAGCCTTTAAATCCTTTAACTTTGAAATCAATTCATCGACAGATTCTACTTTAACACCGGCTTGTCTAACTGGAGGTTCTTCGACTTTTAAAGTTTCTAATCTTTTAGTAATTTCTATACCTAAATCACTAGCTGATAATTTTTCCAAGGGTTTTTTCTTTGCTTTCATAACATTTGGTAATGAAGCATATCTTGGATCATTTAATCTTAAATCAGTAGTAATTACTAATGGTAATTTAGCTCTTAAAGTATCTGAACCTCCATCAACTTCACGAGTTACTGTAACATTATCACCATCTATTTCAACTTTAGATGCATTTGTTGCTTGAGGCCAATTTAATAATCCGGCAAGCATTTGTCCTGTTTGATTTGAATCATCATCAATGGCTTGTTTACCTAATATAATCAAATTTGAATTCTCTTTTTCAACCACTTTTTGTAATAATTTTGCAACGCTTAATGGTTCAACTTCTTCTTCTCCAACATCAATTAAAGTACTTGTATCAGCACCTTTTGCTAAAGCTACTCGTAAAACATCTTGAGCTTTAGTTGGTCCAATAGAAACAGCATGAATCTTTTCTACTAAATCTTTATTACCTTCTCTAATTCTTATAGATTCTTCAAGAGCAATATCACAGAATGGATTAATACTAAATTTAACTCCTTTAGTTTCAACTCCTGTTTGAGTCTTATTAATTCTAGGTTTAATGGCAAAGTCAATTACCCTTTTCACTGGAACAAGAATTCTTAGTTTAGATGTTGACATCGTTATATAGTTATTGTTACTGCTATAGTTCCTGTTACTTATATTACTATTGCTATTAGCTGCTCAATGACTCTTACTAGTCAAGTTTTTCAGCCTAATGATTTTTCACCATAGCTTTTTTTTTTTTTCTTTCATCCGTAAACGGCGATCGCGCACCGGGCTTTTGCATTGGGTGTAAAAAAAAATGGGTGTAAATAATTAAATCAGTGAAGAAGTAAATGTTAAATATATAATTATATATGGTATAGTACAGGAACTGAAGTAAGAAAGAGATATCTAAGTAATTTCATTAGTAGGGGTATTATTATTATTACGATTTCTTGCTTTCATTTTTTCAATTCTAGCCTTTAATTGAGATGTTACTTCTGCTGCTCGCTTCCAATCAGCTTCAATTTCCATAGGAGAATCTATTGAACTTGTATAACCAAAAGGTTGAGAAGATGAAATTCTATTAAAATTATTTGATCTAGTAAGATAGGAATTTTCTCTACTGGTATTTATATTTGTATTAGAAGTTTCTCCTCCATCAAGTGATAATCTTTTAACTTCTGAACTTAATTCTCCTGATGTTATTCTTGTTTTTTCAGGTGAAATATACGATATTGGTCTTGAAGTGGTTGATGGTGATGAAAATGTCATTTGACTAGTTCCTGAATATAATCCTCCTGAAAATGTTGATTGCTTATTTGTTTGTTGAAGTTTTATTATTTCAATTTTTTGTTCCAGATCTCGTATCTTTAATTTTGCATCTTCAAGATCATGATTCAATCGAGTAATTTGTTGATCCTTCTGCTTTAACATTCGATTATTATTAGCTAAATCCTTTTGTAAACTATCTAATTTTGATTGAAGATTTAATATTTCTTGTTTTAATACATAATTATCTTCTTCTCCTTGTTTAATTCTTTTGGCATCTCTTTCTCTTTGAATAATGGATTCTTCCTTCTCCTTTCGAAGATTTATTAATTCTTCTTTATCTTGATTACTAAAAGTTTCAAAGGTTTGTTTAGGTAAAGGAGGATTTACATGAGATTGAGGGTGTGGTAAATTACTTATAGATGAAGATGCTAATGATCTTCCAGTTAATCCTCTTCCAATAGTAGATGATTTAGGTGTATCATCAACTCTTTTAACAGGTGAACTTGCCCCTCTTTTGGCAGGTATAGATGTTGGAGCAGATACTGGTGGTCTTGTTCTTTTAATTGTACCAGAATTAAGAGGCGGTATTTGAGATCTTTTTGAAATAGTTGAATTGGAATTAGAAGATGTTGAACTTTTTGATGTGGCATTAACTTGAACAGATTCATAAAAGGCAGTTATTTTTGATTTTCTATTATCATCAACTTTCTCAAGGAATCCTGCAAGTTCTCTTTGACCAGTTATTTTCATTAAAGTACCTATCATTTCGGTTGATGCTTGTCTTATAGGTTCTTGAGATTCACTTAATAATTTTACACCAACTTGCATAATTGAATCTATTTCATTACTTGTTGGAGGTACAGTAGTAGCAGCTAAACATCTTTGTAAATAATTAGCTGAAGAAATTTTATTTTGAGGAATCTTCAGTTTTAAACCATTAAGTGTATCATCTAAAATATCACTTAAACTAGATGATCTAAAGATAGAATCCAAAGCATTTGCTAAGGCAGTTGCAACTGATGCTTTCTTTTCTTTTAATCTATCAATTATTGGAGGTAATACTAAATGTTGATATCTGTGGAAATTCTTTTTAAGACCATTACTTATATATTCTATACAATTAGCTGCTAATTGTACAACTTGAATATTAGCATCTTTCATACATTTGGCAAATAATCGGATAATTTGAGAATAATCATCATTAGTAACTAATTTGACTGCTTTATCTAAAATTATATGAACTTCTTCAAGTACTTCAACTCTATCTTTCCATTTAGAAGATGATAATCGGGATTCAAAATCATTAGGTAATTTGGATAATATTTCAACAGGTTCGACTAAATCAAAAGGATCAAAGGAAGATGTAGAATGATTAGATATAGTTGGAAGATCAGCATCTGTCATAATAATATCAGTAGCACCATTAGCTGATTGAGCAGCTGCTGCAGCAGCTGCTGCTTCTTCTAATCTTCTTCTTTCTAATTCTTGTTCTCTAGTCAATCTTTTTTGTTCTGGTACAGTTCCAGTTACAGCTTCAAATGCTTTTGTAAGATCCTTTTGTTGTATAGGTTTTAAATCGGGGAATAATATTGTTGATAAATTATCTCCCATCCATTTATATAATTCTACTGTTAATTGAGTAGTTTCTGATCTTACATTTCTATCAGCATGAGCAAATAATTTAGGTAAAGCAGGAATAATTAATCTAGGCAGAATAATTTGACAACCAAAATTACTAATTATTGTATTTAAACCTTGAACTGAACCAGAAACTAATTTTGGTAATCTATTTGAAAAAGTTGGAATAAAATCTTCAATTAAACTATTTGGATCTTTTGAAATTTCAATCATTAATAATAATGATTCAATTGAATATTCTTTAGTATTTTTACGATTTGAACTTAAACCCTTTTCAATAATTGAAGTTATAATACCAATTGATTTTAATCTTGCCACATTATTAATGGTTCCACCATATTTTAAATAATTAACAAGTGAATTAATAGCATTTTCTTGAGCTACAACATTACTATCAGTTATAAATTGTTTTAAAAGTTCTGGTCTATTATTAAATTCTTGAAAAATTTCATCATTTTCATTACGAGAATTTTCAAATAATTTACTTAGTTCATCATATGCTTCTAATCTTACTTTCCATACTTTATGAACCAACCGTTGGTCTAATGGTAAGGATGAGTAATCAGGTTCTTCTGACATTAGTAACCTATTTAATCTTTAATTCTTAGTATGTTTATTGTGGATAGTATTTTTGTTTTGGTTTGGGGTTTAAATTTTTTGGTGTTTGTAAACAAACCAAGTTCCAAATGTATTGCGGTGTGGGTCTACAATAAATTAAAGAAATAAAACGATGCAATGGATTTTATTATAATAAGTATATGAAACCTTACGTAAATAGTATTTAGAGAATAAATATTGAGTCTGTAATAGCTTAGGCATAATAGCATATTCTAACTCTAATATGAAATAGAAGGAAAATGTAAATGGAAATGTAAATGAATGGTTGTTATTGATATTGTTTGTTTGTCTATGGGAAAATGCAAGGGTCATCATATTATTCATATTCATATTCATATTAAAAAGAATACCTGGTAAATATAATAACCGTCGTACCTTCGTTAATTTATATTACATGGAATTGTGTCAATTGGACTTTTCATTAGTTTTGATTATTCAATTTTCTTAGCATATTTAGCTTTAATTTCTTCATATGGTTTTAAATTGAATCCCCATTCTTCTTCACCTGGTCTATTAACATAATATTTTTGAATGCTAACTCCATGATATGGATGATGAGCAATATTAAACCATGGAAAAATAGCTAAAAGTGTAAAAGAATATTGAGAATTTCTATTAGCAACATCCTTTAATCTATCATCTAATACAGATTCATTTTCATGATATGGTAATTTTCCTTGTGATAATAATTTTTTTATTTCATATCTATCCTTTTTAACTTCTCTAGCATTTTCTGACCATCCAAGGAATCTTTGTGATGATCTTGAATAAGCTAAATAAAATCCCCCTAAAAATCCTAATAAAGTAGCAGTTCTTAAGGCTCCAGCTGGAACTTTACCTGGAGCTTTAAGAGATCCTGCAGCAGGTTCTAATCTTTCCCAAGCTTGTAAAGCTAATGGCATACCAACAGTAGCTGCACCCCAAGCTGCATAATCAGAACCTCTAAAGTATCCAACAACTCTTTTAAAATGAGGATCCACATCAATTAATTCATAATCTCCTTGTGGTGGATCGGATCTCACCGGTAATGTACTATCCGTATATGACATACTTGGTATAATTCAATTAATATCAGTTATCTCTCAGTTTAAAATCTTTCGTTTCTTCATTAACAATTCTCACACTTTGATTGGAAAACTAAAATTCGAAAAAGGTAGTGCGAAGGGGCATAATTGTCTGGTTGGTACACGCCTTATCCACTACCTCCTCTACTTCTACCTTTACCTCCTTGCTTGGAAGTTTTACATTAAATCCAACTTTTGAGTAATTCGTATATTATGACATTCTAACTGTTTGGTAATTTGACTAATTTCACTAACTTGACTAATTTCACTAACTTGACTAATTTGACTTATCAATAGTGTTGCTTCTTTTGTACAAGTTTTTTGTGTACAACTTGAACAGAATAGGCTTTCTTTCAGTTCATATAGGTTGTCTTTTATAGTTATTTTTTGTAACTTCTAAGTTAAGTATCTAATCTGTGTTTATTAAAATAACTCATATACCCATTTGGGCCTTAGACTGACTTGTACGTTAATTAAGTAATATGACTTTAGGGTGTTCTTTTTTGTTTCGCAACCATTGGAATTTATATGTATTGGGTGCAATGTGTATTGGAATAGTTCAGCAGTTTAGTAATTGATCACTATACAAGTGGAATATGAGTACATTTACAGCCTGATAGTGTTTTGTATCACTTCATTCATCACCCTTCACTGTGAGATAAAACAACTCGAGTCGCTCAGCATTAATTCTGAACTAGAATACGTTAAATAATAACTAAATGATTAAACAATCTGGAAATTATTCTTTCTTAATTGTTTGTCTATGCTTTTGAGTGGTACTACTCTGTGTCCAATATTATCCTCCTATATATTCTTCCTTAAGTATAGAGTCTTGCATCTATTTGTTACAATGAAGACATACAGCATTGCGCACCGAAAAATATGAAAAATCAATACACCAAGTGGACTATTTCAGTTAACCACTTTGTATATGAACAAGTAGAAATTAACTAGTAATTCTGAGAAGCAATGACTACTGGTATTGATGAGACATTAACGGCTGGTATGTATTGAAACATCTATAAGGAAGTTATGTCATAATTATGGTATTGAATATATTACTAACTTAATATGTTTGTAGAGGAAATCGCCTTATATGATAGACAAATACGTCTTTGGGGTATGGCTACTCAATTAAGATTACGATCAGCTAAAATCTTATTAATAAATTTAGGAGCAATTGGTGGAGAGATTATAAAGAATTTAGTATTAGGAGGATTAAATTCAATTACAATTCTTGATGATTCTAAAGTTAAAGAAGAAGATTTTGGTGCACAATTCTTTTTACCAAATGATGAATCTATAGTTAATCAATTGAAATTACCTTTAGTTATTGAAAAGATTAAAGAATTAAATAATCGAGTTAATTTAACAATCGATACATCTTCATTAACTAAAGTTATTTCCGATTCTCAATATCTTAAACAATTTGATTTAATAATTGCTACTGAACTTGATAAATCTCAATTATTTGAATTAAATTCTAAAACTAGAGAATTAAATATCCCATTATATGCTACAGGTGGTCATGGATTAAATGGATATATTATAACAGATCTAATAAAGCATACTGCCACATCAGAAAAGGATGTTGGTAATATTCCAAGAAAACCAGATACTAAAATAAATAGAGTTAAAACCATAACAAATGTATCATATAATGAAACAGATAAAAAGGAAATAATAACAATTCTTGATGAATATAATCCTATTCTGGAAATATTCAAATCTAAACAATTGCCTAATCAATTGAATAAACGACAAATGAAAAGGTTATCAGCAGCTTTGCCATTAATATTTGCCTTGTTTGAAATACCTAAACCTATAAATGTAGAAGATGATATTGACATAAATTTATTAAAATCTACTGCAATTTCAGTATGTGAATCATTTGGAATTCCTTCTACTATTATAACTGAAGAATATCTCAATATATTTAGTAAACAAGCATTTACTGAATTTTCTCCTGTAGCTGCAATAATTGGAGGAACTTTAGCTCAAGATGTAATTCAATTTTTAAGTCAGAAGGAAAGTCCTATAAATAATGTGTTAATTTTAGATTCCATTAAATCTGAAATGCCAATATATTCTTTATAGTTTGTAAATAACTAAATAATAATACAAATAGAAGTTAATTTACCTAGAATTTGGTGTAAGTCCTCTACCTTTTCTTTTCTTTAAATGAGAAGTATCTCTTAAGAATCGTAATGAACTATTTAATTTAATTTTTAATGCTTCATTTCGTATTCTTTCTTCTTTAGTTTGTTCAATTAATGCTTGCTTTTTCTCTTCAAAAGTTTTATCTTCAATATCTCCTTCATCAATAGCTGTATCATATTTTCTTTTATTTTCTTTTATTTCAATTTTTATCTCTTCAATTTTTTTCTCTGAATCTTCAATAGATTGTTTAGAATTATTATATTCTTTTAATATGAAATTCTTTTCTTCATTTTTAGAACTTATTTTATGAATTAATTCCTTTGTTTTTCTTTGAAGATCCCATATTTCTAATTGATTCTTTATAAAATTTAAAGTTTTTTCATCTTTAATTTCATTTTTATCACTAAATTTTTCAAGTAATTCTTCAATTTCATTTATCCTTAATTTAACTTTATCAATTTCTTCTAATTTTTTTAAAACTCGTTTGTTAGCTGAATTTATACGAGCTTCTGCATGATCTATATCATCATATATATTAGATATGGTTTTCTTTAGAGGATCTTCTCTTCGTCCTAATCTAGCTTGAGATTCTTGTTCATTAAATTTAATATATCCATTATATTCTTCTTCACATCTTTGCATAGCTAAATAAGCATAACTTAAATGCATAATTAATTTATGAGTTAATATAGATGTATTATTAACACCAGCTGTATCACTAGTAGAATGAATACCAATTAATTGATTATATGAATTTTTTAAAGGATTAGTTACATAATCCAGTTGTAATCTTTTTGAATCATAATATGATGGTTTAATATCTCTTGCTTTTTCTTCTCCATTTATATTAATTAAATCTGTAGAATCATAAGGAGTATAATGATAATGAACTTCAGTTAGTAAAGAACTTTCAACATCAATTGCAGAAAATTTAGGAATTTTTGGTAAATCAGGTAATGGCCAAGGTGGGAAATTACTTCTTGTACTTGTTCTAAATACTTCATCAAAGAATTTTGATGATAAAAATGTAAGTTTTTGATTATAAATTGGGAAAATATCTGGTGGTAAATTTCCAATATAATCTCTTAAACATACAATAGATGAAATTAATTTATATAAATAATCTTTCTTATCAGAATCTTTTGAATAATAAACTTTACAATGTTCTATTGTTTTCATAGGAACTAATCTTATTATTATAGCTTCACCTCTTCGATTTTGAGATCTTATTTGTTTTATAAATTCATGTTCTGTATCAACATAACCATCAAATACAATAATAGTATCAAATTTTATAGTTGATAATTGTTCTGAATCTCTTTGAACTAATCCATCATGAGGTAATAAATGAATTGTTGTATTACTATCACTATTTTTATTTTGCTTTTTAGATTCTCTTTGAACATTATTACCAGAATATCTTTTAACATTTTTATTACCATTACATCCTAATAATAAAGCATCAACTAAATCTAAAAATTTCATATTATTATTCATAACAATAGCTATATTTTTTGTTTTTGATGGACTATTCAGAATAATTACATTAATTAAATCTTTAAGAACATTAAATTTACCACTTGTATCAGCTAATTTATTTGGCATATCCTTTTGAGTTAAATTTTTTGGCATATAATGATTAATTAATAAATATGGATGAGTACTAACAAGCATACAATTGTTAATACAAATTTCTAATGATTTAACAATTAAATCTTTACTATCATTGGTTTCACAATATTTTAATATATCAGGATAATGTAATGAAACAATTTGATCTGTTAATTCCTTTTGAAATTCATACATTGGAGTTGGTAAATGATAATCACCACTTTCATTAATTGTTTCTAAATCCAACTCTATAATTGGAGGTTCAGGAGTTCCATCTAAAATCTTTAAGAGATTCATATTTATTAATTTCAATTTCAATTTCAATTTCAATTTCGTATGCTTAAACCTATTACTAATAAAAGTCGTTACTTAAGATATTCAGATATCTTCGAAATACATTTACTCGTATATTTTGTTCGGGAATTATTTTGCGCTCTCTATTAGTACATTTTGTTTTTTTTCTATAAACTCCATAATTTTACAGATCTATCCCATCCACTACTAACGATTTTATTACCATCTCCACTTATATCACAACTCATTACTTTATCATTATGTCCTAAAAGAGTTTTAACTCTTACCCAGTTATCACATGATACTATAGCAAGAGTTCCATCATAAGATGATGTTACTAAGAATGTACCATTAGAATCTAATACTTGAGGATTCTCATTAAATTCTCCACTAACTTCTTTACTTAAGGTATCAATTTGTCTTCTATTAAAAAATCTAATATCACTTACTATTTTTTTATGAATAGGAACAGAAAATAATTCGGAATTCAGATGATCAAGTTTTCGAATATCCCAAATCTTAATTGAGAAATCTCCACTACCAGTAGCAAGATGATATCCATTCCATGACCAGTCCATTGCATAGATACCTTTTATGTGTCCTTGAATTGTAGCAATAGATCTACCAGATCTTAAATCCCAAAGTCTACCGATAGCATCTAAACCTCCTGTAGCTAATAAACTACCATCAGGATGAAAAGATCCTGCAAAAACTTCTTGAGAATGACCTTCTTGTTGAATTAATTCTGTCTCTGGTCTATTGATATCCCATAATTTCCATGTTTGATCAAATGATAATGATGCAAAATATTTTGCATTAGGATGAAATAAAGTCTTTGTTATTCTATTATCATGAGCATGACTGATTGAAATCTGAGGTATTAGTTTACTACCACCTTTTTCATCATCATCATCAACTATTTTCCATGCATAGATATTTCCTTCTCCACCTCCAGAAAGCAATAAATTACTGTCAGAATAAATATCCCAATCTAGACCACTAATCTTATCTGTATGATATTTCACATCATGTGAAGCTTTTATTGATAAATCTGAACTGTTAAGAACTGTAATAGATCCATCCCATGAACCTGTAGCAATATAATTGTTATCCTTTGAAAATCTAACTGATGATAATGCTCTTGTATTTCTTGGGATTGTTTGAGTTCCAAATAATTCAATTTTTTCTAGAGTTTCATTAATTTGTCTTCTATGTTTTAATACTTTAATTAAATCTTGATTTCTTGCTTGAACTTTTAAATCTGTATTCCTCTTAGCTGCCTTATTTAATGAAAATTTAAGAATATCTATTCTGGCTTCATATAAATCTTGAGTTCCTGGTGTAAAATAATCTTCTTCATCTTCATCTTCTTCATCTTCAATGTCATCTATTTCTTCATTTCCTTCAATCTCGTAATCGAATGCCGTTACTTCTCTTGGTAATTCACGTACAATCTTAATTAATCTTTGTCTTCTGTCTGATGCCTTCTCTCCAAAGTATGTTATTGGCTCACCTAATTTCCTTAATTGAACCCTCACATCTTCATCAGATGTCGGTATATTATTTATATCTATATCATTCTGAAAGTTTCGGGGATCATTGACTACTGGTATACTATCAGTATCCATAATTTGATAGTAATTCTTGTGTGTCTTTAACGTATGTGGTGAAATCTTCCAACTAGTTTTTTTTTATTTTCCGCTATATTTATTTTTCAGCCTTATATTTATTTTGCATACGAACTTTGACGGATAAACTTGTACTACGTTAAATTGTACATTAATAAAATAATATATAAGTAATAAATAATAATATATAAGTAATAAATCTAACTAATGGTTTCCTTTAAGAATTCTATTTGAATATTCAGCAAAATTCTCATTTTCATTGACTGGTTCATCCAAATCCGGTTGGCAAAACACAGCCAATGTATTCCTGGCTATACTAGGTAAAGAAGTTCCTTTAACATAATGAGGAACTGCCTTAAATCCACCTTTAGAAACTTCTTGTAATGTTGATCCACTTTGAAATGCAAGACAATCGGGAGGAATATTGACTTTAACAACATTATTATTTCTATCACGAATATATAATCCCAGTAATTCATCAGGAGATTTATCTAAGTTATATGTGAGACCCTTAGATTCATCAATAAACAATGCAGATGTTAGGCCAGTCAAACATGAATGATCTAGATGTTCTCCACACCAATCATCTTCTCCTTTAATTGAATTAGATTGAGCTTGTTTTGATGGGAAATAATGCAATAGTCTAGCTTTAGTACACGTTGAATCTCTCACTACTCTTTGTAAAAAATCACTTGAATAGCTCTCATAAACCAGTTTGATGTATTTATCACAATTGGCTGCTACTGACCCAGCAACATCAATTATAAAGTTACAAAGCTCTTTTAAATTACTTTCAAATGATTCCAACCCTGCATTCGCTTTAGGCCATAGATTTGGAGTTGTATATGCCTTATAATCTTGAAATCTTTCCACTAATTCTGGTAATGGGCCCTCTAATGAGGAATCATTATGAAATGCACAATTAACATAAAATGATCCTTTATTAAAATCTGGTTTACCACTAGATGCTAATTTCTCCTTTCCACATGACCAACCAGTTAACCATATGGATTCCTCTGATTCTAAAATATTTAGATCTTCCTCAGGTAAATTAGCCAATACAGAAGCACTCTGTAAAACTTCTAATCTCAACTTATGAAAATGCTGGGGTAAATCTTTTACTAAAATAATTCCTAGTGAGTCGGGACCAAATGCTTTTTGTAATATGTCATAATCAATTCCATTTTGTAATTCATCTAATCCAACCACAATCGGATTGTGTTCGCTATCTTGGGTCATGTTAATAGTAGCTTGTTTTATAATCTGAATAAATAAAATACGGCTGAAGACATTTTTGAAAATAAATTGGAGCCCTTTCAAACAAACAAACAAAAAGTAAAAAAATAAAGCCCGACGCGGGGGTCGAACCCGCAACCTTTTGATACCTTAAGTATGCTTGAAACAACTTTCTTAAAAGTCAAACGCTCTAGCCATTGAGCTAGCCAGGCTAATTTTTAAACAAGCAGTTTTGCTATATTTCTGAAAGCTGTTCATCACTATAGTTGAAAATTTTTAGCAAAATTTTCGATTTTGATACTTAAATTACCATTTAATGAATTGAGAATTTAATAATATCAATATTTATAGAAGAATACAAGTGTCTGCAAAGTTTCAGGTATGTTTGTCTAGAAAAGATATTCGAAATTTGAGGGAGAGTAAAATACATTGATTTTTTGAAACTTTTTTGCAACACTTTTCCGAAATCTGACTTAATTGCTGACGCAAACTCTATTTGTCTTCAACTTTATAAATCCATATATGTTAATCTCTACATTAAATATCTAATAATTTTGCTTAGATGATAGGTTTTACTAGTTGCTAGTTTCTCTCAAATGTTTTTGCAATTATTTATTCACTCTATATATAATTTTATATCGTGTAAAACGTGAATACAAACTTCCATTTGACACCAGATATTTCTCTAGTCCTGTACTATTGAACTTCAATAATGCTAGATCAATAGATCAATATTGTCAATTGATTATAGTAGTCTTCAAAAGTCTGTTGTTGATTCAATCAAGCAAATTATCGATCTTTAAGCTTAGTGACTAATTAGAAGAGATCTTTTTCAAATATTTAATATAGATTTTTATATTAATTTACAAATTTATATATAATAATGCAATGGGGGAATAATTTAATTATTTAATTAAAAATTACCAGTATTAATTCTGTAGCTAAGCACCTCCTAATTCGATACCATCATCTTCCTCAACATTTCTACAAGGAAACATGGAAATAAAAGTAAGTATAATACCAAATAATCCTCTTATGATAAAAGTAAATGAATCTTTAATTATATTGAAGAATCTTCCAATTTCTGTTAAAATTCTTTGAATATTTGTTGCCAAATTTTGAATTGGCGTTGTTGGAACTTCTCCTTCCATAGGAGGTTGATTATCACCCTCTAATCTTCTTAGTCGGTTGTGTAATACGAAAACTAATTTTCTCAACTTATTATCATCAGATAAGTCGACATAGATGTCTTTATAGAGAAGACCCAAGACAGTGATAACAGATGTAACTATGAAAGTATTGCCTAAGGCTTCACTTGGTAGTTTCATATAAAGTGCCCCAGTTAAAAGAGACCCACATGCCGCTAAGGTAATAATGATGGCAATCACGTATTTAGAGATAGGCGTACCTAAAGATGGATATTGTGTTGTTGTTACAAAATTATCCATTTTTCATTTTTCTTTAGGTACCTTTAAACTCTATTATGATAGTGAAGATAAATATTGTAGAAGTTGTATTCAAAATTAAAATGTGCTGTAAAAATATTTATTTATATATGATCTTAGACGCTGCTATACTATTCTCAGAACTTCTTAAAAAATAAATTTATATATTATATAAATTATTGTAATGGACAAATTCAAGTAGAAGTATCTAAAAATTGTCATGAACTAATTCGATCTACTTAAATGAACTTCAATTAATTGATTCATCAGTAAGGCCTCAATCTTTCTTTGTAGGAAGGCGCTACCATACAAAACATACAAACTCAACCTGTTTTCTCAGTATAAAATAAGAAGTAATCAGAATTAGATATGTATGTAAATGTAAATAATATATAATTTGATTAGGGAATTTAAAGCCCAAATATATCTAGGTAGGTAAAGGCAGGTGATGGTATATATAATCCTAGAGATGATGCTTCCTATAAACTATCAAATCAAACTAATTCTACAAATGAATTATACAAGCAGTTATCAAATATACCTAAACTTTTCTCTGTTCCTTAAACGAACTAAAAGGTCGGGATCCAAAAGCTCACGGTGAAGCGCAACGTAATATTGAAGAGTCTTCAAACGATGATCATGATGACTATCTAGCATTATTTTTTCTCTAACTATTCCTAATTTAGGAGATAATCTGGCTGTCAATCTATAACTGAATTCTTTATAAAATGTATGCCTTTGTCTCTCACCGTTGTAATTTATAGGCAGTCCCATTATGTGTATTGCTCTTTCAAGGCCATCTGCTTCATCGTAAACTTTATTCAAAGCCCTTTGCCAGGCATTGATGGTTGATTTATCATAAGCAAAGTCATCAAGATCAGCAAAATATAATGCACATTTTCGTGCCAATTCTTTGCCATCATTAGCTGCGGTAACTAAGATGTTTTCTTCCTCAGCATCATAATTCTTATCAAATTCATCCTCCTCACTTTCTGAAAGAATCCGTGGTGGTGGTTTAGGTTTCTCAGTAACATTCGCTGATTGAGTATTATCCTTTTCGGTAGAAGAATATTTTGGCACCTTGTCTTTCTTCTCACTAGCAAGATCCTTACCCAAGGCTTCTTTGTAAGATGGAGGATTACCACCAGAACTTTTTAACCATTTCCAAAATGCCATTTTTGATAAATAGTAAAAGAGAGAAGTGGTTGCCTTAATGTCTTTCTCCCTTTTTCATCTAACTTATATACAGAGACAGAGTAACTGCGAGATAAGGAAATCATAGTTCTTTTTTCCACCACGCTACAATTTTAAAATATACAAAGTAACTACTATTTGACAACGTAAGTATATATAAATTACATAAGTAAATTAACATTTGTATTCCCAATTTAATTTGGTAAAGAAACTCTGAGTTTTAATCAGCTGTCAAATATAATTACTTAACACTTTATATAATGATATAGTTATAATCAGAAATAGATATGTATGTAAATGTAAATAATATATAATTTGATTAGGGAATTCAAAGCCCAAATATATCTAGGAAGGTAAAGGCAAGTGAGGGTATATATAATCCTAGAGATGATGCTTCCTATAAACTATCAAATCAAACTAATTCTACAAATGAATTATACAAGCAGTTATCAAATATACATATACATGGGGTTTCCACTGTTCTTTAAACGAACTATAAGGTCGGGATCCAAAAAGCGATGATGCAGCACAATGTAATATTGAAGATTCTTCAAACGATGATCATGATGTCTATCTAGCATTATTTTTTCTCTAGCTATTCCTAATTTAGGAGATAACCTGGCTGTCAATCTATAACTGAATTCTTCATAAAATGGATAACTGTGAGTTTTACCGTTGTAGTTTATAGTCAGTCCCATTCTGTATTGTAATATTTCAAGGCCCTCTACTTCATCGTAGGATTTATTCAAAGCCCTTTGCCAGGCATTGATGGTTGATTTATCAACAGCAAGGTCATCAAGATCAGCGAAATATAATGCACATTTTCGTGCCAATTCTTTGCCATCATTAGCTGCGGTAACTAAGATGTTTTCTTCCTCAGCATCATAATTCTTATCAAATTCATCCTCTTCACTTTCTGAAGGAATCCGTGGTGGTGGTTTAGGTTTCTCAGTAACATTCGCTGATTGAGTATTATTTTCGGTAGAAGAATATTTTGGCACCTTGTCTTTCTTCTCACTAGCAAGATCCTTACCCAAGGCTTCTTTATAAGATGGAGGATTACCACTAGAACTTTTTAACCATTTCCAAAATGTCATTTTATAGTAAAGGAGAGAAGTGGTTGTGTTTATAGTCTTACTCCCATTTTCACCTAATTTATATATTTCCCTATACACAAACATATATACAGACTGAGAAACTACAAAGACAAGGAAATTATAGCTGCAAAATCAGAATTCTTTTTTCCGTGGCAACGATATAACCTTCAAGTATGACCTACTATTATCGCTAACCACACACTCAACATTTCCCAGCTTCTCTTGCTCATTCGATACCTATACATCATCCACCAATTTTACAGTCGACGACGACATGCATATAAGGAGGGCTATGCACTCTATCCATTAACTCTCCTACATATCAAAAATTGGTATTTGTCTTCATCTTTATAAATCAATCTATCTTAATCTCTACATTTTATATCTAATAGTTTCTCCTAATTATTTTTGTGATTATGATACATTAATTAAGAAAGTACAATTAATTGCTGTAAAATACTTTCTATGTATACGTATATAAATCACTTGCAATACCATCATAATCTTCGTAAGTATTATTATAAATCTTTTCCAATTTCCTATATGGCAGTAAATCATCATCGTTCTGAGCAAGCTTACTTTTAGATTGAAGAGCAGGTAAGAATTTGATATGTGTTGGAATAATTACTGAATTAGGGGACAAATATCTCTCCCCAAATCGGTTTATACAATTTTTCTTTAAAGTCTTCATATCTTTCATTAAATCACGACCAGATTTTTTATCAGTTGAACTTGCGAGACTTGCGTTCTTTCCTATGCTTTTGACCATAGAAAATATCATTTTAAGCTTATTTTCTTTAATATTATATATCTTGAATATATATGTCATAATATTATTAAAATCATAATTGCAGGTTTCAAGAATATTGATAACATCTTCTTTACATAAATTTACACCTTTACTTTCAAGATAAGAAGAGAGGTGACTCTCCATCATATTATGCTTGATTTGATTTTCACTCATGGACGATTTGATAAGTATACTTAGTGTGGTTCTTGTATGAGATTTAATAGATATAAACTTTTGATAATAATTTATTAATATTTCTTTAGTTGTTGATTTTATTAATTCTAAATCAATTTCTTCTTTACCACCTAAAGACAGAAACCTGTAAGTCCTGCTTAAAATCTTTTCAAACAGATTCCAATGATGTCGATAAGATTGAGTATCAGATACAAAATTTGAACTATTTATAGATGGTGTAATAGCATATACTAAATTTGATGGCATACCACAATCTTCTAAATTTTCATTCTGACTTTCAAGAAACTTGCTGATGATTTTGTTTTGAAAATCGACTGAAGACAATGACTGTAAGACAAGTTCCCAATTGAAAATATACTTTTCAACTTCTTCTTTTAATTTATCTGGACTATGGTCACCACTTATAATACATATATAAATTCCTATGGAAGCTCTTGATATCTTTAAACCACTGAATAGAGCATACCCTAATTGATGTTTAGTCCTCAATTCATACTCAAGATTACTTCCTAAGATATAACTTACTAATGAGCCCATAGTTCTACATTCTAGATCATCTCTAGTTCCTAATTGAATATGATAGTAAAGTGTATGCAACGGATCTTCGTTGTTTGGATTGGTTACTTCTATAATATAATCACTACCTTCCAGAAACAAATAACTACTCGGTTCCTTAAGATTCGGACATTGGAGGAGTAATACTTCATGTTTGGTTAGTTTATTAATGATTTTGCCAATGTTTGTCACATAATTTTCATCACAATCTCCATTGACAAATGTTCTGGTGTACGTTACAGTCAGTATTAGTTGAGAGCATATTTGATTCAAGGTTGTTTGGTCAATGAGTTCAAGTGCATCAACTCTTTCTTCGATAGACCATACATCCTTTTCAAGCAACATTGCTGCACCAGCAAGAGCTTGTTTTATGCCATTGCTTACTCTTAATTCTTCATATTCTTTCCTTAAATTGATTCGAACTTTTAGAAGTTTCTTATATTCTAGTTGTCTAACTTCAATAGTTAAGAAATTGACAAATTCAGAAATGACATATTTTAAAACAGATAAGAAATCTCTAGTTGGACCTCTTATGTGAATGCATATTGAAGGTGTACCTGTAAGATTTGCGTACAATCCCCATGAATAACCAAGCAATTCGGCAGGGTAAAGTTTATAACGAAGTTCATTACCTATCAAATCACACAAAAGTTCCATGGCAACATGGGTCAAAGCAGTAGATGGCATTTCAATGGCTTGAATTTGGAATGAAGTAGTAACTTGTTTCTTATACACAAGGTCAAATTCTCTCTTATGCCAAATCTCAAATCGATGAGAATAATCAAGAAGTCGAGGGTGCTTGTTAATTGAAATAGGCTTGGTTTGAAACAAATAATTAAGTTCATTATCAGTTGTGCATAGTTCTTGTAATAATTTAGTTAATTGAGATAATTTGAAAGAAAGGAATAAGTTAGAAGTTGGAATTGAGAATATTGGGAAGTTCAGTAAATGAGTGAATTTATACAAGTCCAATGGATTCATTGAAATGGTAAAATGTTTGAAATGATAAAATTTATCCTTTTCTAATATAATATTTTGAAGAACCTCTCGTGTGTTCACCAAAGAATTCAAATATTGAATTTGCTTGGAAACAACTATCAAGTTGAAATTATTCATTGCTAGAAGATTTTCTGTAACTTTACAGAATTCATTAATCAACTTGTTCCAAAAAGGTTTATTCTCACTTGAAGTATCTAAGGTTTTATAATTCTGGAGAAAATTCTCTATCCCTAAGTTATTCAAATCTCCTTGTAATAGCTGGGAGAGATGGGATACTTCATCCATGATTGATGTTGATGATGATTGATAGTAAAATGCATGACTTCTTATGGTCTGTAATTCTATAAAATACCTAATCAATTGATGTCTATTTATTGTTATCACATCAGCAATGTATTTGAAGATAATTGCCATGATTGACTTGATATTCTTTTCACCATCTTTAGTGAGCTCCAATTCAATAAGGAGAACTTTCTCATGCTCTGTTAAACGTTGTGTGAATACCATTATTGAACTTATAAAAGTTTTGGTGGTTCTTAAATAATAGCAAAGTGAAGATTGTGATTCATCACCTAATAAATTGCACCAAACATATTCATAAAAGTCAAAGTTCTCAATTTCATCTGAGTCTTTTATAGGAAATACTAGTTGAATTATTGAATTATTATGGTTTTCTATAAACAAGACTTTATTAATGTTTTCAGATCCAAAAGCGTATGGGATATGAGAATAAGATGAAGAATAGGCATCATTCAAGATATTCAAGGGGTGATTAGGGGTATTATTTGTGTTTGAATTATATGAAGAGGTTGAATTTCTAGATGAAGAAAATTTTAAGTCTAAGGAATTATAGACTACCTTAGAATGTTTTGTATTCGTGATATTTATTGGTTTTTCGCAACCAATGGTATTGAAATTTGAAATAGCTAATCTTTGTAAATGATTTAAGGACTGTGGACCCTCTATTACCAATGACATTTTATCTGGAGTATAGTTTGTTTGGAAGTAATTGATTAAATTATTTCTAACATCTATTTTATGAATTTTTGGGGCTTCAGTTAAAGTAAATAAATTTCCCGTACCAAATTTACTGAATGGATTCCCTTTATTTGCTAATAATTTTAATCCATGATAGAATATCTTATTAATATTGGATTTATTTGCATCATGTTCATTATTTATAGATGATACTTCTCTTTTTGATAATTCATAATGAAATAATGGATGTTTAAAAAATGATGAAAAATTTCGTAAGGAATAATTAAATACCAACTCATTATTGTATTCCGAAGAATTGACAGGAATTTCATAGTAAAAACAAGTTTGTTCTCCAGTGGTAAAAGCATTTGTATTACCACCATTTGAAGTTATTAATCCTACAAATTCATCAGGATTAGGGAATTCCTTTGATCCAAGGAATAACATATGTTCACAAAAATGAGCAAGACCTGGTAATTGGGGTGGATCTAAATGGGAACCAGAAGCAACACAAAGACCACAGGCAGCAGCATTGGTAACTGGATTAGATATCAATAGGGTTAGTATACCATTTGTTAATTGTATTAATCGATATGATTTATTTGAATTATAGAGTGAATTTTTAATATCGATTGGGAATGTTTTGATTGATTGATAACCTCCGGACATTATTCAACATTACTCAAATCATAACATTGCAAAAATATAACCTATTAAAATTTATAATTATCTTATATAAATAATTATATATAAATATACCTGTAATGTATTAAAATGACATTGATGTTTCACAGTCAATCTCGCATAAATTCCTCTTTTGGCAACCACAATGAAAGATCAGAGTTGGATATGGTAGCACCACAAACGGTAGTCACACGCCTTTTGGCTTTGTTTGAAAAAGACTTTATTAGATTTATTTTATAAGGTTATGATATAGTAACGAATGTTATGATTCCTACGATTATTCCTTTAAGGAACTACACAATAATGATGCTTATAGAAATATTGTAGAAACTGTGTGTACCCTGAGAAATGTGTGATTCAGAGGAAAAGTATAGTGCATACAAAAAAGAATAATATGCTCTCATAACAATGGTAATAAGTCCCAACGCATATGCATATGTTCGATTTTGAATCTACTCTTTTCTATATAACTATTAAAGTGTCAAATAGAATTTCCGGTAAAGAAAGATCGGTTAGGTTGTATAATTCGTTCTATTATTATAACCATTATTACTAGCTCGCTATCTTGACTTCTTCTCTTTTTAGATATCTAAAGGGGGGAAGGCTGGATTTAAAGAAGTCGTGTACTTTTATTCAAATGCATGACTAAAAGCGTAAAACAAAGGAAAACTATGAAGAGTCGTGTCCAAACAACAACAAAAAAAGAAATTTAAATTATCACAATAATAGGAGATGTCCTAATTAGGAAAGTACAGCACTCAACTTTCTTGTAGTTAAGTCATTCGATCCCCAACTGATTAAATACTGCTTGTACTGATTAGGTCGCTTACATAAGCAACATCATACTTCTATGCAGTGTAGAAATCACTTCATAACAATTAAATAATGAAACTCATTTCCTCGACCCTCGCAAGCTTCCGAAATCCTTACACCCTTAATCTTTTCGATATAACCTTTATTATAAATCTTGGATTTATTTCATTCAAATACTATTAATCGTTATATTTTATTAAATAATAATAACAACAACAACAACTACTACTACCACTTATACTCAACAAATATTGTCCTAACTCAAAAAAGCGCAATTCACAGTGACCCACATGGAAAGCATATAATTAGTTTAATTAAGAATCTACAAATTTAAATTAATAATTATAATCTATTATGTCTAACCAATATATTTATAATAACTATCAACAATATTCACCTAATTTGCCTCATCCTGTCATCAACTCAAATGGTGGCGGTGTTGGCCCTTCTATAAATCCCAACACCTCACCCACTGCTGCAAGTCTAACATATATTTCTCCTCCTCAATCATCAAATAATAGTCTTTTATCTAGTTCTACAACATCTTCAACTACTTCAGGTAGTTCCATTACTAGTTTAAATCAACAACAACAAGCAGGTCTTAATAGTGGTTTACCATCCTCAAATTATTCATTCCATACTCCTCGTCTTAGATATTATTTATCTAAATCATTTGATATTGAAGATGATTTAGAATTCTGTCCTGAAATATCGGAATCATATAATACAAGTCCAACCATTAAAAAATTTAATCCTTATACTGCCACAGTCTTTTCACCATCTCAAGAAATTCATGGATCTTCTGGTCAACATTCATCGAATTCTTCAACATCATCTCAACAATCTTCGTCATTGCCAACAAGTGCAATGAGTACATCTCCAAGAGTTCATACACCAAGAATTAAAAAGCCTTTGGAAATAATTAACCCTCAGACTAAAATGAGAGTTGGATCTCCCGCTATTCAAAATAAGTAAATCATAAATGAATATTATAAATTTATTAATGTTGTGTTACTAATATTCTATTTTGTTTTGATTTAATTTGGGAATAATTTCAATTATCATTTTTAATTCTTGGTGGTGATGAATACGTGAACTCTTAGTTATATACATTGTTTTGTTATATATTATGAATCTATTGATGATGAGAAGGAAGACTTTAATACTATTGCATTATAAAATTGTTATCATCATAGTTTGAGGAAAGAATATAGAGTTTAGATTTTTATTTTATCATCAGACTACTTAATTCATCATAACTTTACAATTAAAAATTAATTATTAGAAGGAACATTATAATACATCATGTCATCATATTTTATCATTATCACTGTACTTATTATTTTCATATTTGAAACATTTCCAATTCAGGTCTTATACATATATATATTAGATTGTCTTGTCATACATTTTTCACAGCATATTAAATTATTATATTAACATTTACATACATTTATTCAGTCAGTTTGGGGGGGTTTTTATTAAATATTTTTCAATTTCTCAGTTTGTTTTTAATGAAGGAGGTTAGTTTTTTTATTTGTTTAGTATCTTACTTGTTATTTCTTATTTTTGTCATTGTTCTAAAGGTGGTATAATTATATTCATTTTTTGATATTCTTTCTTATTTACGGTTTAATTAGGTATGTGTTGTTTTGTGGTTGGTATGGATATTGAATTTTCATTGCCTATTATTTCTGTTGTTGATGATGGGTTGAGATTTCTTCTATATTTACTGCTAACTGATATACTTAATTATTCCATGTTCCAACATTCTATTCATACTTTGCAGTCTATTCTTAGTTTAGTTTAGGTCGAAAGGAGAAGGGTGAACTGTGGACATAATAAGACATATTATTATTATTATTATTATGTTAAGTGTATTATTCTAAACTTTATATTTTGATCTATTGATCATTTACGCAACTTTACGATCATATTGCTCAGACCATAAGTTCAAACTTATAGTTTTGACTCTATTTTACCACATAGAACTAAATGCATGCATTTCCAGTATTATTTTGTTTATTACCAATAATGTAGAATTAAATCTAGACGATCATGATGAGGTATATAACTATCATTTTGTGGTTGCAACTAAGATTAAATTAATCAACTATAAAAAGGTTGCGCACCCAAACTAGGCCAAAGCAGAAATTTCCTAATTAGGAAATGGAACATTCGGCGAGCCAAATTTCCCCCAGATTTAGTAGTTGGATGACGAGAAGGAAACTCTTATAAAAGCCCATAAATTTATCTGATTTGATTTTATTTTCGTTTTTATATATGTTATTATCATATAGACTGAACTATACTCTATAAAAAGCTGCATTCTGGAAGAAGATTAAAAATTAGAAATATGCAATTCATCAGCCTTATCATCGTTAGCATATCCTTTATTTTGCAGTTTAGCTCGGCTGCGGATTTGGACTCATCTGAATTAGCCTTTCTTACTAGATTCGTAGGTGATGCTAAGTCTCATTTACCAGATTATATAGGTTATCTTCAAACTGCTACTGTTTCTGTTCCTACTGGTCTTACAGCATTAGCTATTCAAGTTCAAACTTATACAAACGATGCATACACTACATTATTAAGCGAAGCTGGAATAAATGTTAGTCAATTAGAATCATTTGCAACTGGTTTACCTTGGTATAGCCTGAGATTAGCTGGAAATGGTAATAATGTTGCAACTACTTCTGCAACTACCACCTCTAATACTTCTAGTACTGTATCGTCAACATCATCATCTTCAATAAAAACTTCATCCTCATCTAAGTCCAGTTCTTCAATAACTACAGTCAAAACATCCAAAACATCCAAAACATCCAAAACTACTACTACTACTACTAATTCTGACTCTGCATCAAGCGTTAATTCAGCTTCTATTGTTGCTCCTCCAACAACTTCCTCGAAAGCTGGAGGTTCTTCTGGATTTGCTCAAGGTTCCTTTTTGGCTTCAGTTGCTGGAATAGTTGTTCTTTTACTTTAGCTTTAGCTTATATATTAGAAGATACAATGAAATATTTGTAACTATAGACGTTTATAAACTAAAAATATACTACTGTAATACGTATGATTGTGTACTTGTAAGCAGCTTTAACTACTATAGAACAATGCGGTTATTCACAAATTCTCTAGAAAAAAAGTTTAATTTGAAATTCTTATTCTTACAAAAAGGGGAGATTATATTACTTGATTGATTCTTAACCATAATAAGAGGAGAAGGTAACTTATAATGTCTACTTATACTAATGCAAATGGTCAACATCAACTGTTAAATGTGAATAGTACTGTAACTACTGCTTCTCAACCAAGCGCACCTGTTTCAGGTAAGTATTACGCTATATTGCTCTTTTGCTTCTAGAGTTATTTACTAACATTTAAATACTAGGTAACAACAATAGCAACTATAATAGTTCTAACAATACCAACACTACTACATCCAATACTATTAACATCAATAATACAAATAATATTGGAAATAGAGGGAATAATTTGGCGGGAAATAATGGTAATATAGTACCACAAGGGCACCCAAATTCAATTGATAGGAGACAACCAAAGCAAAGATTTGGATGGGTAAGAAGATTAATGCAACTGCCAAACAAGCCATCTCCTCAACATACTTGGAATTCTACAGCCGAATCGGGTTCGAATTCTAAACCAAGACGCCCTCATCATAATATCAATTCCAATAAAGGACAATCTAGTAATATACCTAATCCAGATACGACACTTAGTAGTCATGATACATATTATCCCAGTAATTCCAATGGTAATAGTTATAATACAAATTTGGATAATAGGCATTTAAGAGTAGATGCTAACGCGGAATCAGGATCATTTGTATCTCTTGATAGTACTAGTACTTCAGGAAGTAATGGCATGGCTTATAGAGGACTTAGTGATCAAGTATCTGATAATATTAGTACTATTCCATTAAAATCTATAACTTCAGGTCAATCTACTAAAGCGCCATCTATTCTTAGTGGTAATATTCATGATGAAAGTTCAATTGATGCTTCGACTGCTCAAACATCTTTGGCACCTAGTAATTCAACTTCTAATGGTGCATCTTTTACACCTATTATGAATAATAATCATCATCATAATCATAATAATACTGTAGTTATTGTTCCTCCTACAAGTGCAAGTACACTGCAACAACTCAGTCCCAATATTGATAGAGATAGTGAATCGATAGTTACATTGGCAAGTTCTTCTAGAAGAATTAGAAGAAGAAGTATTGATACTAATTGTAGTACGAATGGTATTCCACCCGCTTCAATTATGGAAAGATTAACTGTACATCCAACTACTGCCAATAGTTTATATGCAGTGAGTATTCGAACAAATGATCGAGCTAGTCAAGTTGATGCTTCACTTTATGATTCAACTGATCAAACTAGTTCATTAAGAAGTGAACATAATGTAATTGAGGTTTAGGCTTAGGTTAAATAATTTTTTTATGGTTTCTTTTTCTTTTTCTTTTTCTAGTAAGTAGTATGTAATTTAATTATACATGTACATACATTACATATTATTTGGTCTATGACATAATGTACTACGCTAGATGATGGTTGCCAAACGGCCGTAGAGAAAATCATAACAAACCCAAAACAATTAGCCAGAAAAATAAAAATAAGATAAAATAATACATCTAAAAAATAAATAAAAAAAGTTAAAAAAAAAAAATTAAACAGAAATTAAACAAAATATTCCAAATCAAAACAATCTATTAATAATAATAATAAAATAATAATAATAATCAATCAGAAAGCCAATATCTGGTTGAGCATCTTCAAATATAGGTGAATAAGGGAATAGCTAGCTGTGGTATATCATAGACGACTTCTAACCAATTGATTGCCCTTGACACATTAGTGTGGCTTCCTCTCCTTAGTTAGTTCGTAACAACAAATAAATTCATCATCATCATCATCATCATCATTACTCATTCATTCATTCATTCCTTTAATTCCTTTAATTCTTTTATAAAACTAAAGTAACAGCTCATATCACTATCCATTATCAATAGACAATCCTTAAATATCATTATTAACCTTTATTTATTATTATATAATATCAAACTTCTATTCATTAATATATTATAGAAATAACAATGGGGACATTTAATTATAATGATAATTCTATTGAAGGTGATGTCTATATACAGAGATTAGCTACCTATATTCGAAGAAATGAAGAAGCATTGGCTAATGGTCTACTATGTTTTTCAAAAAATAAGAATTCTAATTTAAAAGTTAAACCATTACGACTTAATTTTACTATTCATCATTTGTATTATATTACAGAAAGAATTGAGAATTCAAATTTAGGAGTTGACGTTGGTCCATTAAATGTTAAATTAGATAATCCAAATCATGAACCAACTTTTATTTCTTTTATGGCTAATAATGCTCGATCATCAAAACATTTTGATAGTGATACTCGATCAATTTCTTCCATAAATTCTATGAAATCAATTGTTTCTAGCGCTTCTGTTTATTGGCGTTCATTTGCATTTAGTAAAGATCCAAAAATTATTAATAAAGATATCAAATATTTGTATTCATCATTTACTAAAATACCTTGTTTGATATTAACTCCTAAAACTAAAATAAATAGCATTAGTTCTTATGAAGAATATCCATGTGATACATCAGTTCCAGTAAAAATGTTTAAAAATTTACAAGTTCTTGAAATAGTTGATTATGAACCTAATGAAATATTCGGTTGGCATATTCTCAGTGAACAATTAAGAATATTAATTGTAAAAAATTCTAAAATTGCAACTATTGAAGAAATCTTATTTAATTTAGTAATTGATGATGATTTAGGTAGAAGTAGTTTTAGTACTCATAAACCAGCAACAAGAAAATATACTGATATATTTTCAAATGGTACATCTACAGCAGATGATAGTTTTAGTACTATTAACGAAGTTAATGAATTCCCACCTTTCAATAATAATGCATTCAGATATCCAAAACGTGAAAGAGCAACAACAACATCTGGTGTTACTGGAAGTGGAGCTGGCTCTAGTTCTTTACCTAAAGATCTGTTCTTTCATGACAATAATCAATTTATTGCAAACATTAATGAGACTTTACCACATTCAAACAATTTAAGTCGTGATTATATGAAATTACCTGATTCAAAATGGTCATTTTTGAAACAATTAACAGTATGTGAAACTTCAATAATCACAATTCCATCATTTATATTTAGACCTCTTGGAAATCTAGTTAAATTAAATTTATCAAATAATTTATTGCAAGATTTACCTGATGGATTAGATCAATTGGTAAGTATAAAATATATTAATTTCTCCGATAATTATATTACTAGTTTAAAGAAATTACCTAGTAATTTAAAATATTTATCAACTTTAAATTTCAATAATAATAAAATTGTTGATTTACTGGGATTAGATTCTCTTTATACTTTAGAAAAGATTGATCTAAGAAGAAATGATTTAGTAGATTTGAAAAGTTTAAAACCAATAGTATTGCATTTTATTAAAAAATCTGGAAAATTCGATAATGTATATTTATCAGGAAACAAATTACCAAAGACTTATAGAAGTGATCTTTTTAATTTATTTAATGGGGTCAAATATAAAAATAATATGAAGATTGATGATTCAAGACCAGGATATTTTGAGAGTGCCTTGTTATTGGATGCTGAATCCGCTTTTAAGAATTTAGAGAAGTTTTTCTCGGATCCAACTGATTCTGAATCTACTAAAGGACCCACCACTCCGGCCAATAATCAATTGAATTCATCAAACAAAATAGAAAGAACTGATGAAGATCCTATAGTTGATGATGAGAATCTTAAATCTGCCGATGCTACTGCAGTTCCATCACCAAATTCTACTTCAACCATTTCGCAGCCAAATTCTCATACACATGTTCATGCACATGTTCGTTCAAGTACTTTAGATACATTATTAGAGCCATTTACTGGATTAACCATCTCAACAGATACAAGTCGTGATGAAAATTCGGATATTAAAAAGAGATTTGAATTATCTCATAATACTATAACAACTTCACCAACTATAATACATTCTGATTCAGCTAGTATTAATTCAATTCAAAAATCAAGTTCACCATTAAGTACCAATAATAATCTAACTAATAAACCTACTGAAATGGGGAAACCTCTTAATATAACTGTTCATTTAGGTAATCCAAATTCTGGCCCTAATAGTCCATCAACAATAAAGAAATCATCAACATTAGCTCAATTAGATATAGAAAGTTCAACAGCAAATACAACTGCACCTAGTATAGTTACACCAGTTCAAGTTACTGCAAGAATGAGTACTTGATATCTTGATATATCTATACTATCTCGATCTCGCATTAAAGTATATATACTTTGACATTTAGATAATTAATATACGTTAGTACAAACCTTTTTTTTTTTTGCACCCTTTTCGCGCACTTGGAAGATCATTTGGCTAATTTTTGGCTGCCATTTTGACTGCCCATTTTATCTGCCACTATACTAATTGAGCAGTCTTTCACATCAAGTTAGAGTGAGTTTAAGGAAGAATGTCAGTTAAAAAGTTAGTGCCTATAACGATCACCTTGCTTTACTTAATTAAAGAAGTCATACCCCATTCCGATTTAAGTGGAGTCGAAGTGATTAACAATGAGACTATAATAAATAAACGAGGATATCACGAAGAATCACCATTGTTTCAGTATGTAGAAGATGAAAGCTTAAGTGATTATTTCAAATCTCCTCCTCATTACCCTTCACGTTAGTAATACCTTTTTTAAATTGTTTGTTGAAGTTTAATCTCGTGTTAGCGCCTTTGAAATGGCAGCCAATTTTACTAACTATAAATATTTTTAATAGCTCTCGGAGGTAGAATAGATCATGTTTGGCAGAAGGCTTACGATAAAGCAAGAAAGTTAGTTGATAAGATGTCGATTACTGAAAAGGTTAATTTAACTACTGGAACAGGTTGGGGATCTGGTCCTTGTGTTGGAAATACAGGATCTGTTCCAAGATTAGGTATTCCAAATCTTTGTCTACAAGATGGACCTAATGGTGTTAGATTTACTGATTTTGTTACAGATTTCCCTTCAGGTTTGGCAACTGCAGCTACTTTCAATAAAGGGTTGGCCTATTTAAGAGGTAAAGCTATAGGAAGAGAACATAAGCTTAAGGGAGTCCATATTGCTTTGGGTCCAGCTATCGGTCCAATTGGCTTAAAAGCTGCTGGTGGAAGAAATTGGGAAACTTTTGGCTCAGATCCTTATTTACAAGGAGTTCTTGGTGCTGCAACTGTAGAAGGAATGCAAGATGAAGGTGTTGTAGCTACCGCTAGACACTTAATAGGATACGAACAAGAGCATTTTAGACAAGTAGGAGAGTGGGAAGAAAATGGCTGGGATTGTCTTGAATCTGCTATAAGTTCTAATATAGGGGATCGAGCTATGCATGAAATTTATCTATGGCCATTCGCTGATTTAGTACGTGCTGGTGTTGGATCAGTAATGTGTTCCTTCAATAAAGTTAATAATACTTATGCCTGCCAAAATTCATATCTTATAAACTATCTTTTAAAAGAAGAACTAGGCTTTCAAGGATTTGTGCTTTCTGATTGGGGTGCTCAACATTCCGGAGTTTATTCAGCATTGGCAGGTTTGGATATGACTATGCCTGGAGAAATATCAGATGAATGGTTGACTGGAAAATCGTACTGGGGACCATTATTAACAAGAGCTGTATACAATGGAACCTTAAGTCAAGATAGGCTTAATGATATGGCTATGAGAATATTAGCTCCGTTTTTTTCTATTGATACAATATCTTTACCTACGGAAGAAGATGAACCTAATTTCAGTTCCTGTACTTTCCATACATATGGCCAAGAATTTGCTTATCAACATTTTGGACCAATTGTACAAAAAAATTGGCATCAAGATTCCCGGTCAGAATTTAGTGATATAACTGCTTTGAGTGTTGCTAGAGAATCTATAGTTTTACTTAAAAATGATGGGCACAATCTACCAATAGCTAAAATAGATGGTGTTAGAAGAATATTTATTGCGGGTATTGCTGCAGGTCCTGATCCGAAGGGATTTAACTGTAAAGATAAAAGATGTGTTGATGGTGTTTTAACATCTGGTTGGGGATCATCTGCTGTTAATGATCCATTCGTGATAACTCCTTACGAAGCTATCTCCAAATTGGCTAGAGAGCAAGGTATGGTAGTTGATTATAGCAATGACGCTTGGGAGTTGGATCACGTTCAAGAATTAGCTGATTATGCAGATTTGTCTATTGTAGTTGTCAGTGCAGATTCCGGTGAAGGTTACATCGAAGTAGATGAGAATTTTGGCGATCGCAAAAACTTGTCTTTATGGCATAATGGCGATAAGCTAATAGAAACAGTTGCAGAAAAATGCCGCAAAACGATTGTCGTGGTAAATTCAGTTGGTCCTGTGAATATGGAAAAATGGATAGAAAATGAAAACGTAGTTGGTGTATTATATGCGCCACCATTGGGTCAATTTGTTGGTCAAGCAATTGCCGAAATCTTGTTCGGAGTTATTAATCCTTCCGGTAAATTGCCATTTACAATAGCAAGAAAAAAGCAACACTATGTACCTATAATTGATGAATTAAATGGTGAAAAGCATCCACAAGATAACTTTGATAGAGATATTTACTTGGATTACAGATTTTTTGATAAGCATAATATCAAACCACGTTTCGAATTTGGATTTGGGTTATCTTATTCAAAATTTAAGTTATGCAATTTAAGAATAGATGAAATCAATTCTCCTACGGAGTATTTACCTTATCCTGAAGAATATTTACCCATTTATAAAACAGTAGAAGATGATGTTTGCGATCCTGAAGATGCATTATTCCCTCATGATGAATTTGAAGCAGTTCCAGGATACATATACCCCTATTTATACAATGAAAATGTTCGATCTATCGATGATGGTGAGACATTTGAATACCCAGCTGGATATAATCCAGATCAGCCAATTGCACCTCCATTGTCAGGAGGAGGTTTGGGAGGGAATCCAGATTTATGGCAAGTTTATTATAATGTTAGTGTCGAAGTTAAGAATGAAGGCAAACACAAAGGTGGCTATGTTGGCCAGTTATACATTGAATTACCGAGTACTATTGTTCCTTCACCCCCTAAAATATTACGTGGATTTGAAAAAGTATTTCTTGAACCTGGTGAATCTGCAATTTTATCATTTAGTATAACTCATAGAGATTTAAGTATTTGGGATACTTATTCACAACAATGGATTATCCAAACAGGTACTTACAAGATTTATGTATCAAATTCCAGTAGAAAAGTAGACCTTAGCGGTGAAATTGATATCGGATGCTAATGCCGCTAAAAAAAAAGCTATTGTTTGTATATGTAAACTTAAATCTTTAATATAAAGTAGCCCCCTTTTTCAATTACGAATAAGGCTCAAATTTTAAGTATACAGTAAAAGTAATGTATCCTAGTTACCTCGTATTCAACTACATAAACTTACTTCTATTTAAAAGCCATTCAAGAACAAAAGATGCAAGTAATTAGAGTGGGCTGAGAAGTATTTTTAGTAAGTTACAAAATTTGACCAATAAAGAAGTACCTTTAGATTTAATAACTAAGAGCTAGAATCAGTTTCTAAGCAATACTCCTTATTTTGAAAGCGCAATTTTTAGAAATTTTCTGCGACCTAGAATTATTATTATTTTATTCTTACTGGAATTTTTGATGCCATGAGATTTTCTTGATTTGCGATCACCGTAATGGACTATTTAAGCAAGAAACGGAAGTAAGCTTTCACATTTGACATATGCTGTTTTGTTGATAAAAGATAACTTATCAACATTCACTTATAGCTATCTACATTTTATCTAGTAAGGATAATTAAAAAGTATTCAGCTACTATAAGTATTAAGAATTATTTAAACAAGGATTCTAAGAAAAGCTTATAGGTTCAAAGCTCTTTTCGAATCTGCTTTTATCCAAAAGTGAGATTTCCGCCGCTTGATGCGCAATTTTTCTTCATTCCTTCTATTTGTGCATAGAGGGGCACACCGGATAATTCGATGTGGAAAAAGAAAATCTGTCTCGGCATTTGTTTTCTTGATTGGGCGCAATTAATGTTTGTGGCTACTTTAATTTCAGGTTATACAATACAACTAAAAAACCCGGTTCAGGTAAATCATTTTAATGCATTCATCAAAAATACTAAGTTTCCTTCTCTAATAATATCGGCTTATCATGTAGAATCCTGTACCTTCTATACTAAACTGTTATTAAGTAAGCATATTATGTTGCAACAATGGCTGTTTACGGGAATTTACAAATTCGGATATGCAACATCTACCCACTTAGCGGCTAGGTGAAACCTTATATTGCCTATGTAACACCTTGAATTAATATTGGAGCCAAAACCTTACACCCATTTAGTTTGTAGAAATTGCGCAAACTGCAAAATAAATTGTAGCAAATTAACGGGTGCATTTCATTAACTACACAAATTCATAATATATTTGATTGTCTATTGCAGTTTAATAATTTTATTATGTATTACATCATTATGAGCTATCTATCGGTGTATCTTCCCAAACCCCTGAGAAACAGACCGATTTAATATATTTATAGTTGAAACATATAAGTAATGGAAAATATTCTACTTTGTAGTTCTTGTATTTCTAAAATAATATCATTGAAAAGAATAAAATCGACATGAAAGAAAAAAGTAATATTGTTATAGTACTGGAAAGAGTTATTCCTGAAAAAGATTCTTTAGCTGACAAACTAGGGGACACTCATTATAATGTTCTTCCAACTAGAAAGATTATTATCATTTTATTAACTCTTTCGTTTGGTCAACTTGTCTCATTTATGGATCAAACTTCCATCACAGTGGCTCTACCTTACATCGCAAAAGATTTAAATGCCCAAGAAACCATAAATTGGGCTGGATCAGCTTCCTTGCTAGCAAATTGTGTTTGCCAAGTTTTATTTGGAAGGATGTCAGATATTTTTGGAAGGAAAAATGTTCTCATGTCTTGTCTTTTAATTTTGGTCATTGGAGATATAGCATGTGGTCTTTCTCAAACTGGAGTTCAATTCTATATTTTCCGAGCTTTTGCTGGTATTGGAAATGGTGGTGTTTCGTCTTTGGGAATGGTAATTTTGAGTGATATCGTAACATTGGAACAGAGAGGTAGATTTCAGGGTATTCTCGGTGCAAGTGTGGGAATTGCTAATGCTATTGGACCATTCATCATGTCTGCATTTATTACACATTCAAGTTGGAGAAGCTTTTACTATTTCTTAGCTCCATTTGGAGTTGTGGTGATAATTGCTGTCTTCTTTTTAATAGAGAGTCCTCATAAACAACTCAATGAAGTTCTTTCCAAAACAGAAAAGTTCAAAAAGATTGATTATCTAGGTATACTTACAGCTACAGCTGCGTTGACTTTCATACTTGTACCATTAAGTGGAGGTGGATCTGCTTATGCCTGGAATAGCCCAATTGTTATTGTCCTTTTTGTCCTTGGAGGTTGTTTCCTAATTATATTTTTGTTGATTGAGTGGAAAATCCCAGAGCTCCCCATGGTACCATTGCATATTTTTAAGAATCCAACATTATGTATATTGATGATATGCAATATCCTCTTTGGAGGTGCATACTACAGTTTTATGTACTACTTACCTTACTTCTGTCAGATTGTGAAAGATTTTGATGTAACTCAAACTTCAATTTTATATTTACCACTTGTGTTAAGCCAAGCAACCATGTCTGCAGTTGCTGGACAACTTATAACATATTCAGGCCATTATGGGTACATTGTTGGCACCGGATATTTCCTTTGGTGTTTGTCTTGTATTTTGTTGGTATTTTGGAATGAAAAAATCAAAACAGTATATTGCGTATTAATATTATTGGTTATGGGTACGGGTGTTGGGTTTTCATTCCAACCATCTATGGTTGCTGTTCAAGCCAATTGTAAGAGAGCTGAAAGAGCAGTTGTTATTTCTGTTAGAAACGTTCTGAGATCATTTGGAGGGGCAATTGCTATTACTATGGGATCAAGTATTATAAGTAATTCCTTGTTAAATCAAATTGAGGAGATTAGAAAATCTGGGGAATTACCTCAATCATTCTTAGATCATTTATCGAAACATATTTATGAGAAGACTAATACAAGTGGCCTTTCACTGGAAGAAGTTTTAATGGTGAAGAGGATGTACGTTTCAGCTTTGAGGAAATATTACTATGTTTTGATTGCATTTATGAGCTTATGTTTTGTGGGTTCATTGTTTGTCAAAGATAGAGGGTTACAATGTCTTGATGAAGAGCCTACAAATAAGAGCCAGGCAAAAGGTCAACAACCGTATGAAAGTTCTTCTAGTTCTAGTTCATCGGTTTAATTTTATTTTATTTTATTTTAGTTTATTTTAGTTCATTTTATTTTATTTTTGCTTTTAGTTGAGTTATGGTTTCTTTTAATTGGTTATATAATTTAATAAACTTTAGAATTTATTTATTTAGGAGACCCCTTAGCGTTTTAATCTCATGCAAGCACTACTAAGCAGGCCAATGCACGAATTTGCATCAATTTCTTTTCGCGGCTGCACAAAGCTGTTTATTCTCCAAATCGGGAAATACTGGGGGGCCATTATGTCGTTGGACAATTTTGCATTAATTTTCACTTTTTTTTGCGACATTTAGAAATGGTAAACATTGAAAATAAATTTAATTTAAATAATAGGCGCGTTGCTCTCAACCACCTAATTACATCAAAGTCTCAGACAAGAATCATCAATGGGTCTTCAGGACGAGTATGAACGTTACAAGGCATCCGAGAGGGGGAATGTACCGTTTGATGAAGTGAATCGATACAGAAATCCCAACCCCAATCCAAATCGAGACCGACTTGAGGATCGTACTAATACTCAGAAGCTTTATGATCATGTAGATATTGATAGACTAACAAGAAAGTCACCAGCAAAATATGCATCTTATGAGCCTACCAATTATTTATCACATGAGTACAATACTAATTATAAGTATAAGAGAAATGATTATGGTAAGGATAGCTATCAACTGCGATTTTCTAACCTCGGAGACAAGTATTCGAGGAATTCTAAGCAACCATTATTTAATGATAGATATGATAAAGTAGAAACAAGACAAAGATTAGCATCTCCAATCAGGTCTCTTCGAACACCATTGACTCCGTCGCGGATTAAAGTACCAAAGTTGTATAAAGTTTTGAATGAACCATCGGAAGTCAGGAACCAATTCTATCCCATTTCATCTGGACCAGTTCTACATAATTCCAAGATCTCCAAGAGTAGAAAGGATATTGAAAATCAGCATCAAGATGGAATATTCTCTCGATTACGGGGGTATCTAAACAAGCTCAATGTGGTTGACCACCACTCAGACAATCATTTGAATCTTTTACGACAATCAACAAAAGAAAGATTATATCCTAATGGTGTAGGAGTAGATAATAAACGAGTTACTTTTGAAGAACCTAAATCATATAAATATCAAAGAAATGATTCTAAAATAGATCTCGATAATGATATAGTGGATGATACAATACAAAATACTAAAGAATTAGATTATTTATTAAAACAGCAAAGAAAAGTCGAATTGAATGGTGAAATTCGAAGATTAAATGAAAGACTAAAATTTGAACAAGAGAAATTTACTAAAGAAAATGAAAACTTTGAAAAGAAAATCAACTCGTTGCATAATTCATATCAAGAAAAAATTGATCATTTGAATGGTAGAATTGAAGATTATCGTCGAGAAGTTGAGAAACATATCGATAATGACACCATAAAGCAGGATTTTGAATTACTCAGAATAGAAAATCATGAGAAAGATCGCATAATTAGTGAACTTCGAAATGAAGTCGAAGCAGCTCAACGACAGTTGAATGAAAAGGATAAAGAAATACAGGTATTAAAGTATGATAATAAATTAACTATGAAATTAACCGATATTAAAAGGAAAAGACAACTAATAGCTGATTCGCTTGCGTTTGAAACTAAACAAATTCAATTGAAAATTGATAATGTTGAGAATCAATACTTGAAGTTACGCCTTGATTCAGGTACTGTTTTACCCTCACTTATTGAAGAAAACCCTACGGAATATGATAAGACCAAGTTAGGTATTGATAAGGGAATCTCTACTCTTAAGACGTTGCGTGGAGTTATCAATTCTCCAGAGTTAGATCAAATTGATTCCTTCATAAATAGTTTACAAACGTATTTGACTAATTCAAAATCTAAGAATGAACAGAAATTACATACCATAGACCAAAAACTAAGTCATGTCAATATTGACAATTCATCAGTTATCACAATCGCCAAATTGATAAGAAGGAAATTTATAATTCTCACTAAATTGAAATCGCTCATAAACTTGTCTACAAATGCCAATATACTAGGAGAACATTATGATGATATAAGGTGCTTACAATCATTTGATGCCACTCCACACATCGATCTCTATGAGATCTATACTAAGATTAAGTTTGACTTAAATAGCAGTAACTTATGATGACATACTTAAGTAATGTATAGTACCAGTAATGTATAGTACGTAACATTTTTATACTACGTAACATTTTTTTTTCTAAAATGTCTCCGAACGCGTACATGTCAATATTTATTTTTATTCAATAAAATATTCAAAGAACAGCTAATTACGAACAACCAAAGATGGATAGAAGTGTGACCAGTGTGACTAGTGGAAATGGGTCGTTACCTGTAAAGCTTCTGCCTTCTAACTTACGGCCCATAGCATATCGAATTTTATCTAAAAAGCATGGACTTAATATTAAGACCGATGCGTTAAGTCTTCTTACTGAAGTGATTAGTTTTAAGTATGGATTTGATTGGAAAGGTGTCCATTCTCAACAATTCATAGAAGAGATTGCCAAGATATGGAAACTCGAAGATCGAGGGATATTTATCGATGGACCGGGTTTAAAACAAGTGATTCGAGAGATTAATAATAAAACAGAAAGTTCAACGGCTAGTCGATCTTCAAGTACAGAAACTGAAGGAATAGTGGCAGGAAGATCAGATACTATAGTTGATAATAATGAATCAGAAGAACAAAGTTTAAATTGGGAAGACTTTTTCAAATTCATAAATCCAAGTGATCAAACTCCATGTAAATTCGATAAACAAAGAAAACAATTTACTCTTACGCCTCATGGAAGACATGATAAAAAGACATTGACAGATTCCTTAAATAATTATCTTCAAAGTTCGATTGAATTATTTAACAATAGATATAATTTGTTATATGATAGACTATCTAGAAATGAGAATTTTCAAAAGACTTCCTATTCTAGTATTTCATCTATTAGTAGAACTATGAATCATCTTACTAGTGAGATTACTTTAATTAAAAATGTCTTAGGTAGAGATGGTTCAAAATTTATATTATTTGGTTTATTAAGTAAAGGAGCAAATGATGAATATGTTTTAGAAGATTCAAGTGATTATATTGAACTTAATTTATCACAAGCATATAAAACACAAGGTTCATTTTATTTTCCGGGAATGTTTGTTATTGTAGAAGGTATTTATTCAGCATCAGGAGGTCTTTCAAGTAATAGAAGTGATTATATAGGAGGTTGCTTTCATGTAAGTAATATTGGTCATCCACCGGCTGAAAGACGTGAGATAAGTAATGAGAATTATGGATATCCTGACTTTCTTGGTATTCATAAGCAAAGTGGAGATATGGTATTGAAAGTTAATAAAGCTTTAAGAAAAAAATTGGTTTCTTTAGAAAGATCTTTACACCATCATAAATTTATATTTTTAGGATCGGAATGTAATTTAGATAATTTTAAAATTCTTGATGGTTTGAAAAAGTTCTTTAACCGATTAGAAAATTCAATAATAGAGTCAAATGATGAAGATATTCCATTGGCATTAGTTTTGACGGGATCATTCCTGTCTAAACCATTAACAGGAACTTCATCTACCATTGCATCAGTCACAAACTCCGAACTATATAAAGGTTATTTTGATGATTTATCGACTTTAGTGAGTCAATTCCCCAATGTGGTACAAAAAGTTAAATTTGTTTTAATACCAGGCAAGAATGATCCATGGCAATCATCTTATTCTTTAGGTAGTTCAAATTCAAACTATTTCCCTCAAACTTCTATTCCTCGATTATTTGTCAATAGGTTAGAGAGATTACTACCAAAGGGTCACTTAATACTAAGCTGGAATCCTACCAGAATTAATTATTTATCACAAGAAATAGTGATATTAAAGGATGAATTAATAAGCAAATTTAAAAGAAATGATATTATATTTGAGAGTGATTTACAATTAGAAAAGGAATTAGTAAAACTAGACGAATCTCCCGAGAGAATCAATCATTTAATTCTGCAGGAGCAAACAGAACATATATCTCCCAAAATCAAACAGGCTCGTAAATTGGTTAAAACCTTATTAGATCAAGGACATTTACAACCTTTCTTGAAAGAGTTAAAATTAGTCAATCCTGACTATGACTACGCCTTAAGAATAGAACCATTACCTACAGTTCTAATACTTCATGATGAAAATTTTGATAATTTCGAAATTACTTACAACGGCTGCAAAGTGATAAATATTACTAAACTCGTTAGCCCAACGAATCGAAAGTTAAACTTTGTAGAATACACTCCGTGCCATAAAAAGTTTGACTTCAAGGAACTCTATTTCTAAATCACAAATATATTTTCGCAGTATACTGTACGGTAAGTGCACGACAAAGTGCGCACTTGAATTACATTGTAGAAAAACAAAATTAATAATGAACTAGTCCGGATGTAAATGGTACCGATAAGAGGTGGAGAAGTAAGACATGTCGGAGGAATCGAAAGTAGAATCAGTTGAGTTTATTGAGGATAAACATGTTCAATATGTCATTGACCAAGATTCTCATAGATCTTTTGAATATTGGTTATCTGAACATTTGAGATTGAATGGATTATATTGGGGTGTTACAACCTTAATCACTATGAATAAATTAGATGTACTACCTGAAAATGAAGTAATTGAATTTGTTATATCGTGTTGGGATGAAAAACTGGGAGGGTTTGGAGCATTTCCTAATCACGATGGTCATTTGTTGTCTACCCATTCTGCATTGCAAATTCTTAAGATATACGACAATGATTTAAAGATTCTCGATACTAAACGTTCAAAAATTATTTCTTTTGTTAAGAACTTGCAATTGGAAGATGGTAGTTTCCAAGGTGATAGATTCGGAGAAGTAGATACTAGATTTATTTATAATGCAGTTTCTTGTTTTGCATTGTTAGGAGAATTGACTCCAGATATAACTGAACCTGCAACTAAGTACATTTTAAAGTGTCAAAATTTTGATGGCGGGTTTGGATTAGTTCCTGGCGCCGAAAGTCACGCTGCACAAGTCTTCACGTGTTTGGCAGCATTGGCTGTTGTTGATAGTTTACATATAGTACAGGAAGATACAAGACTTATTGATTGGCTTAGTGAAAGACAAGTTTTACCTAGCGGTGGATTTAATGGAAGGCCTGAGAAATTACCAGATGTTTGCTACAGTTGGTGGGTTTTGTCTAGTTTAGCAATGTTGGGTAAACAACATTATGTAGATTTAAAAAAATTAGAGAATTTCATATTGACATGCCAGGATTTTCAAGAAGGGGGTATAAGTGATAGACCAGATAATCAAACAGATATATATCATACGTGCTTTGGAATTACAGGCTTAAGTCTAATAGATTATAAGAAATACAATTTTAAAGAGATTGATCCAATATACTGTATGCCTGTTGAAGTTACAATGAAATTTAAAAAGTGGAAATATAACGATATACCTGTATAGCAATATTTATTCTAATAATATAACGACCATTGCATTGAGTAATTCTTTTTATAATGTATCTTGAATCGCATATCATCAATATCAAGGGCTCATATTTGGAACGAACCAATTTGAGCCACTCATTCATAACTCTTTCATAACTCTTTCATAACTCTTTCATAACTCTTTCATAATGCTAATCAAACAGAAACAATAACTCCGTATTGAAAACAATAAAATGGAAGATCTTCAGTGATCATAACTTCGGAATTCCGGTGGTTAGTTCTATCCCTTCAGCGAACTCTTTCATACAATGGGTAGAGCTCCAAAAAACTGCAAAAAATATTGACGATCTTCATTGATAAGCCCTTTCTTCGTAAATTTATATTTGATCCTACCAATATTGTCTTCTCCAATCAAATTATTTTAAATACACATAGTCTACTTCCTTTGGACCAGATTCCATGTATTTCCGAAACCAGTATATATTATCAGTTAAAACAATTAAATCGATCGTATGTCATCTCTTAAATTTTTGATTATTTTTGATTTTTTGAATTTTTGATTTTGATTTTGCAACAATTCAAGTAGGCAAAATCGTAAAACATAATTTTAACAAACGTCTTAAAAAAATTGATGCAATTTACTTTATCTGAAATATTTAGTTCGGAAATAAATTGAATCAAATTCTATTGATAGGCTAATCATGTTCAATTTAATTTTATGAAGTAATTTAATTTCCACAAGCGAAGAAGTTCATCAAGTAGCCCCAAGTAGCATTAATATCACTTCATTGCTGCAAAAATTTTGTAAAAACATATTATATCTAACATTTAACATTCTTCATTGAAATAGCATAAATAGTTGTTTAATGTTTGCAGTAATTTCAGTAAATGGAATCGAAAATGTGCTTCTTTGACGATGATAATGAGCTATTAATAGGTCCTAATAAGATCTAAAATAGTATTATATGAACATCTTGATTTTATCATGTAGTACATATCTTAATGGTCTAATAGAAGTACTTGATATACTCTTCCATTGTGGTTTATAACCTTTTTCTGTTGTGGTTTATAGCCTTTTTCAGTTGTTGGTAATTCATTCATACTGATTTTGGATCTTGAAGATAGACATCAAATATATAAACGAATAACGTTAAAAAGAAAATCAACAGTCTTATTCAATCAACAGGAAAGCAGAAAAAGTGCTATAACATTGCTTATTTAATTTTAGCTTGCTTTTATTGCTCTTTGAGTCCTTTTGTCTTTTTCTATTTATTCATTGGTCGATTGCTCTTGCTCGTCAATACTTCCCACCAGTATTAAATTGAATTTACTAGAAATCGCTGGGCCAAAAGTAGGCTAGTGCACTTGTGCCAATCTTCACTTCTTAAACAAGATGATTTATTTCAAGTTCAAGCTCTAAACACATATTGAAATATGTTTTCTAAACCAGTTAGACCACTAAGAGAATATATATAATAAGGGCTTTAAAAAATAAAGATATTATTTATTTAAACCCAATAAACTGGTAATTAAAAATGTAAGACAATATAAGGCCGGCGCTATTAATATTTGTAATTATAATCACAATTATTATTTTCTATCGGAATATTCAATTAGGCTAGGCCTTCGCCTCCATCCTTTCCGAGGATACTCTGGATTCAGTACTTTATTCTTTTCCGATTATCCAACTACAACACAAAATCATAGTAGAGTGATCATGGGATCAAATACTTGTTTTTAAATAATGATACTATTGTAGATTAGACTAATACTACTGAAGGATTGCTGGTTTTGGAAATTATAAAATCTCTTGGTGGCAGCATGGCAGTAATTACCCCCTAACTAGAAACTAGTCAACCCCGAAGTACAACAAATTTTTTCTGGTGCATTAAAAAACCACAACGGAAACGATGATGCATAATTACTCAATTGCTAAAAAGTAATTGGGTAAAGAGATCCTTAGGTTAAAGTAGAAGATTTTAATTAAAAGGATTGAAAATGGTAATACTGGAAGATTACACGGGAATTGTGAACCCAAACAATGGAAAAAAATATTTAACAAGATCGAAAAATAAGTGTAATTACATTTAAAACTTTTTAACTTTCATGGGGTCATTGTATTGATCCAATATAAGTCTAACGATACTACAAAATAAAGAGATTAGAATTTTTAATATTATATATAATTTAATAAATAGTTCTGAGCTAGTAAGACATAAGAAATGAAAATAAATAGGGAAAATAAACGTTAGAACTTCAAGCAAGCTCATAGATCAATTCTTCTGAAATATGACGGTTACCGTCGAAGTCTTGACCATATGCCACTCTGACGATATAACATTTAAAAAGATATAGTGTACTAAAAATACAACGAAATGATTGAAAACTGGCTCTTTTTATGATTAAATAATTTAATAATTGAATGAATGTTTGCATAACGTTGAAATAGAATAATGAACTGAAATTGGAAAACTTTAGATATCCCACCTAATAATACAATAGTAGAATTTATTTATGTACATGTTTCTTATATTCCATTGAAAGCCTTTCCTAGGCACTAGTACGCTTGTGCAAATTTAAATGGCATTAATTTAATAAAAAGTCAATGGAATAGTGATTATTATTCTTTTTATCCTCAGCATCCATGATTGTTTCTGGGACTGATAGGTCTTGCAGCATTGGTTGCTCTTCTTTTATTTTGAGTAATCCAGTCTGACTTTCATCAACATTGCCTACTGGCTCGTCATCTTCACTTTCTTCCAAACGCTTTTCAACGTTTTCTTTGCTAGTAATCCCGCTGATGATTCTTCTCCACCTGAATTGACAAGCATTTGGAGTTCTGTCTTCAAAGAAAGTTGATATTTCTCTCCACCCCAATTTCTGAACTTCTTTAAGGTTTCGCAATAATTTATCTTCAGAAGATGACCAAGTAGTAGATTGTTTAGATTTTCTACGAGGTGGAGCTTGAAGCATTTGCTGTTGATATAGATAATGAGAAGGATAATAGTTTTGATTTGAAAGTTCATTGCTATAAGGAATGAAATATTGTTGTCCGTTACCAGAATAATACAATTGTTGCTGTGGTTGTTGTGTATGTTCTATTTGGTTCGATGCCAGTTGATGTAACTGTGGTAGCAGCTGCAGCTGATTTTGGTCATGATGTTGGTAAAATGCAGGCAGTTGTTGTTGATGTTGAGATTGATAAAAGTAATATTGTTGAGGAATATTCTCAGAAGGATAGGAATTTGACCTTGCTATTGATTGTGAATTATCGTAGTAGTATAAAGTCGACTGTTGATGAATCGGATGTTGCGATGAAGAATGATGCATTTGCTGTTGCATGGGAGGGGGTAACGATGGTGTTGAACTTGATATTGAACTAGAATTAATTATTGGAGAGTCATATGAAGTTAATGATTTTGGCGAAGGATCTGTTATATAATTACCCGAGCTAGTAGTCGCATTCGAGTTTGAATTTGAGTTCGAGTTTGAGTTCGGGTTCGGGTTCGAGTTTGGATTCGAGTTCGAGAATGAATTTGAATTGCTCCATCTATCAAGATTATAATGAGGGTTATTCGTACTTCTGCTAGTGTTATTGCTATTATTAGTAGTATTACCCATAGGAGATATTAACGTAGTCATATTTGATAAAGTTTTTTAGCAATTCAACCTGGGACGAAATTGGATTAATTTATTTATTAACGTAAATAATTGTAATTAATATATAATTGGGACAATATCACAAAATGAAAATACCCATTAAAAAGGATAAGCAACAAAGACAAAAAAATTTAATTTAAATATTTGAATTTTTATTTTAATTTTGTTATTTTTGTTTTTCTAATAAGTCATATGATGTGAGTTATATAGTCTTATTTATCTACACAAACGCACGAAAACGTATTTATTTATATATTGCAATTTCGTGATTATAACTCGTTTGAAAATTAGAAGCACAAAAAATAAATTACTACTTTTATCTAATATGGGGAGGCAAATGTAATTTTAGTCTATTCAACGTAAAAGAGAAAAAGAAAAATGTCAAAAAATACAATTTCTTTTTCCCCTTTATACTCCATTAGCAAAGAATTTAATTTGTTACAATTGTTATTCCAATTTAAAGTTTAAGTATGAAATAATAAACCACTTCTGTATTTAGATTGTTTCAAAAAGCTTTTTTTTTTAACTTTTTTTTTTAAACAAAATATTTTTTGTATTTATTTATTTTTAATATTTTTATGCATATTTAAGAAAAATTTTCATTTTAACCGCTAACAAAGCTCCAAAAAGTGTATAATTAGTTATTTCTTCGCTCAGCACCGGCTTCACAATTATATGATCTCGGCATAGAATTGAAAGTAGGATAAGAATATTTGAGTTACGGAGTAATATGCTAGACTCTAATGGAAATAAAAGCGCAATTTATTTGCTTCTTCTTAAAATTTTCAAGTATATTACGAGATTAGTTGTAGAATCTTAGCGATTAATATACCGTAAATGTAAGAATCGACTAAATCAATAGACTTTTTTAGATGATCCTATTTTCTATTTCTTTTCGGTCAATTTGCAGAATATACTATGAACCGAGAGCTGGTACCGGTAACCATAAATCAAACACTAAAGTATATTTTTGTCAATTGCTTACTTTGCAACACAATATAATAAAGATCTTATAGACCAACTTCAAAGGGGTACTAAACCATAAAAGCTTTATAAATTGCGAAAGTAAGTACTGAGGTACAAGTAATCTTTGTTGAATGGCCCTTAATTGATTAATAGATACTGTCATAATAATAATACCGAACAATAGTAATATATAGCAATCATCAGCTTTGTGTTTCGCTAACTGTTTTGGATACTATTAGTAGTTAGCCTTGAAATGGTTATTCCATACGGAAAAGAGCTTTCTCTATGCAACATTGAAGCTATTTTCGTAGGCATTAGACTCTTTGGAACAATGAGAACCTCTACAACGGCAAAAGTTAAAAATTTACCCTCCGTTGTAGGAGCTGGAGACGTTGTAATATTTGCGTGCAGCTATAGGAGTCCAGTTTCGATAGATGACCAATCCCCGCTTGCTTTTTCTGCAATCCACATGATGCTTTAAAAATAAACATACATGTGAGTCAATCAAAACAAAAAAAAATAAGATAAAAAAGACGTAAATTTTATTTATCCCCCTCTAGAAAAAAAAGCTTACCATAATAAAGCCACTTCTGTGCTACTCTGTAATTAATGAAAAAAAAAATAATCGAAGATGATCATTGAGCCTAACAATCTTGGGAAATGAAGACCACCTATTGTCAATGCATTGTTGAGCTTTTGGGTTATTTCTACAATTGCTGTCACTGATATTATATTTCATTTATATATATTTCCTCCTTTCATAGATCCTTCATCCACAGGATCATTAGAGTACGCGGCATAATAGATGATACTGACTCAACAATAAATAAAAACGAGATTTAGTTATTGTTCTCTTTTTTGCTCTGTGATTAGGGGTTATTTATGTAAGAAGTAGAGACAAAAATAATGCCAAGGTGACTTGTGTACCTGCAAAATTGGAAATATGCAATCGGAGGGGTAGAGCCTCCAAACTGGACAAACGATTTAAATTTGGTACGCACGAGAATCTACCGACTGTTACAAAGGCTTATTGTTTCTATTTTACAGGACAAGAATGGTTTTACAAGGCGATTACATGAAAATATACATACTTTTAAATTCAAAGAAGCTATTTTACCTTTTCTTGCCACTTCATGTAGACAACAGGCTAAATTGAATACCAAACAATTAAGATTCTGTGACATTGCCATAAGATTTTTTAAAGACGTTTCCAATGACACCTGACATAACTAAAATTAGCACAAGTGCGCGGTTAATTTACCGCTTCAAGTAAAAATGGAGAGGAAAAAAAAAGAAACCTTGCCGTACATATACGGACCAAACTCAGGCTGCTTTCTTTACATTTGTGCTTACATCTCTTTGTATGAAATCCTAACTTCTAGAAACATCAAGGAACAATACCTCCCTTATATGGAGTATATATCTTGATAAATGTAAATTCATGTTTGTAATACATAAACACTATTGTTATCTTCCTAAATCATGTCATTATATATTTTTCATGTTGAGGCGCCTAGAAACGTTTTGAGGCATCGTTCTCGAACCAAGGAATCTCACCTAATGCAATAGAATCTTTTTTCTTGTTTCTATCACACACTCCGCTTTCATTATTAAGTTCGTATTAAGAAGTCTCTAACCGTTAAAGATTTACAATATTTTTTACTTGTTGTCGTTGTTTTCATATATTTTATAATTTATCTACATATATTTTTTAAATCTATTCCCTCCTCGTCTTGTTGTTCTTTTTCTTTCGTCTTCATCAACATCATCATCGTTTCCTTCTTTTTCCATTTTCCAGAATTTCAAGTTTTCTTTCTCCCCTCCCTTCCGTGCCTAAATCATACAATTTGAAAAGTTCCCTAAATTTTTTGTTTCTTGGTCAATTTAGTTTTCTTCGCTGACGTTTATCTAACTCATCATTAACTTTTGCTGAGAGTTTAAAAGCGCTATTTGTTGTATTTATCATTGAGTTGTTCCATGTCACTTTTGTAAAGACTTACTTTTGATTTGTTCATAGAACTAATTATTCGGCAACAAATGTTGTTATTTTATTAACCATTTCATATTTTATTAGCTTACTTGTTAAGTTATTTTTTGCTAACAAGCAAAAAAATGGACTGATTCCAATGCTCTTTCATCTAAAAATAAATTGATGTACCAAAAATATCTTGCGCTTTTTCTGCTCTGATCATTTTCATAAAATTTTCTAAATAGATCGCAGCGGTGTTGCTCGCCAATCAAATCATACTTCAAACACCATTATGAAAAGAAAGGGAATACATAACTTATGGCCAAAAGCTCGCAAACGATCTCAACTCGTCATAATTAATAAAAACTAACAGGAAACGCTCGAGGTTCTAGGTTGTCTAATGTAACACTTCGTAAGTGTGACACAGCGGCTGGCGCACCAATGCGTAATTTTCAAACCAAAATGGCGAAAAATAGCGAGACCAACTCTAAAGGCAAATATAATCGGGCTCGCGAAACCCAGGCGGAGAAGTACAGTTTGTGCGAAAATCAATATTCTTTCTGCTCCTCATCATTATATCATCAACCTAAGATTTAGTAAACTATAACCCTGAACTTGAAATTTTATTATTTGAAATGGAAATTCTCTGTTGAAGCATGTTTACGTATTGATCATAGACGCACTTTTCTTCTTAGTGTAGGGTAAAACAATAAAATACGGCGAAACAAAAGATGGTGCTATAAACGCGTGACGAATTACATTTAGTCTAAATCGTAATTATAATTGAGAAGTAACTAGCTAAAATAATAAGGCGTTTAGTACCGCTAAAATTCTTTCTTAGTTATTTCTGGTTTACTCCCTCTGATACATTCTATTGTGAATACTTCTCAATTTTATCTTCTTAATGAAAATTTATAGCCTTTTCAGTTCGTCGTTGTTAACCAGCAATAGACGGGTAGACCAAAAAATGCAAAGAATACGAACAGAAGCAACGATTGTTCTCATTTTAAGGGCGTGCGACATTGGGGACTCCTATTTAAACTTAAATTGCTGTTGTCCCCGCCACTTTTATTATTTGCCCTTCTACCAGCCTATCAAATTGTTTAGCTATCTAATTGTTTAGCTAGATGTCATATCTTTGCGCAACAGTTTCCCAGAATAATAAACCAAAAAATAATTATATGTGTGAAATAGGTGAGATTTTTCTGTATACTTTTTGTAATTTAAATTCGCTGATATTTTTTTATTATTTGAGAAACCAAAAAAAAAATTACATCTCAAAAAAAAAAACCCCTAATTTCAAAAATAACGACCGTAAATCTTATTTATAATTAATTTTGAGTCAAACTTTATTTCAAAAACTAATGTGTTCATCGTTTAATATTTTACCCGTCAACAATTTCACTTGATTTCTACTTCTGCTTTACAATTCCGTTTAAACCTAAATCTTAGCCCATATCAAATTAAAGTTAAACTACGAGAAAAGTTTTTCTTGGTCGGTTCGTTCCGCTCCTTGCAATGATCGCACGGACCCTGATATGTAGCACCTAATTTGTGAAACACAATATCATCTCATTGCAGATTGCATCCCACAAATGATCATCAAGCGGAATTCCTTGATCTCTTGATAAAGATAAATGATCAGCAATGGTTATGGATCACAGCAAAAAGAAGTTCAAATATACATAACGTAAAGACAACAATGAGTCAATCAATGCCCCACCCCACTATTTTCCATACGCTATACCCCTTTTATACATGACGTACACGATGAAATTGCGATGAAAAATAAAAAATTGGTTGTCTCTCAGGAATGCTTTTCTTTTGCATTGGGAAGTCAAAGTTGCGCTGTATTCGTTTATGCTTCAATGTAACATTTATTTACAAGATGAAACCTCGTTGAGCAAAACAACATTGTTTCTTCCTCGCCAAACGTTTGCGCTTTATTAGACTATTCTATCTTATAACAGGTTATTCGACGATTAAACTTAAAACACTTAAATGCTAAGAATTATTGCTAATTATGATCAAATATTAAACTTTTGCATTTTTTTTCTAGACACTTAAAGACGACACTAAACTTAGCCCACCTTCCACTACAGCTATATACTATAAACTTTATAAATTACTTCTCTTCACACACAAATTGCGCTGTAGCACAAAATCTTCTTCTATTACAAATTTAACGACCATTGAAAAGATCACCAAAATCGAAATCTTCAAAGCTGAAGTCAGAATTTTTCAAATAATCAAAACCAGCTTTGATCAAGTGTTCATAGTCATCGCCATTTCCCTTAGTCTTTTTATCTTTGAATTGAGTCTGGAAGTAATTGACATACTCGTTGATATCTTCCTCATTTAAATCATCTAATAATGAATTTGCCCTTAATCCCAAAAAGGTCTGGATAGGTTTTGGTAACGGCAATTTATTCAACAACCGTCCAGCAATAAAAGCAACATAGGTTCCTGAAGATGATATAAACGAGCCAAACGATCTCTTTTGTTGACCATTTACAAAGACTTTGTGATTAGTACTTAAGAATAACTCCTTTAATAAAGGCAAATCATGCGCTATTAATCGATCCCAGCCTCTTATATAAATGCTGAAAGCAATGGCTATCAAAGTTAGAGTAAATAATACTTTGACAGTAGTTAGGAACATATTTATCCAAAAGGTGACTATTCTTTTGATGAACTTGTAAGCAACATATACAACTATAAGAAGTATGATAAATGAAGTTATTTCAGGATAAGTCAGATATGAGTAGTTAAGTAGGATAAATAACAACCGAAGAGTGTAAACAATCAATGACACTATTATGGATGCAATTGTATGTAGTATATCCGAGCCTTGATCGTTGGATGAGCTTTGCTCGTGTTGCCTTTGCTTCAACTTTTCCGATGTGAAACTGTACTGTGTCATGTCTATGTGCGTGTGCCTAATCTAATGAGTGCTTGATATGTATGAACCTCAAATTGTATGAAGAATCACCTATAACACAGATAATATGATGATAATAGTTTATCTTGTGCACTTAAAAGCTGATCTTATCAAACCCCATAATCTACTCTCCCATTTTAATTAAATTTGACACGTGACTTGCCCAATCGGGAAATTTCATAATTGCCCTGTCTCTTTTCTGTTCATGGCTTACCCGCTTTCTATCCCATTTAGGATATTGTGTATATCGTGATCAACGTCGCGTGACTGAATGGTAGCAAGCCTCACACATCGAGTTGAAAATTTTTTTGAATAGACATTTACAATTGTTTAGCTGTTACTTTCTTTTTCTCTCTATCGAAAGTTTTACCTCCGGATATATAGAAATTTGGCAATTGATCAATAGTGTATTGAAGAAATGTCTATTACTTGACGATTATTTCGCTCGACTACTTTAGGGTAGTTGAAAGCTTTGTTCTCTTCTTTGATCTTGCCTATTAAGTTAGGAAGATTGAAATTATGGAGAGGGCCTTGTTAGAGATTTTAAGATGGTTTTAGATGAAGAAACAATATTACTCCCGTTGGTTTATTGTTGATATAAGCTCCGGACAGAATATATGTGGTTAAATAGAATATTCTTATAAGATTAGAAACTTTGGAGTATCCCGTTATATCACGACATGCTTATCAGTAGATGTAGACATTTCTGTAATACAATTCTCTCGTACACGTACATACAATGAATCTGACCTGACCGTCTGTCTGACCATCTATCTGACCATCTATCTATATCTAACTAACTATCTAATCAGCCAGACTCATGATAAAGCCAGGCGAAGCATCCCACAAGCTGTGCTCCACAGCCAAAAAAAAAAAAAAAGTCAAATAAAATAGAATTGAAAAAGAACAATCCAAAACGGAAACAAAAACAAGGGGAACGCAAACGCAACGTAAAATTCAGGATTGTCAAAATTCAGATGGTTCACAGTCATCACCACAATTAACACCGCCCACCATTACGTAGTACTGTTGAGTTGACTGTTAGTGGATATAATTGTACTCTAAGGAACAGTACCAGCAATTGACTTACAATATCAAACTATACATACATACTATACTATACTATATTCATATAATTATACACACTATCCTCATACTATACTCATATATTTATACACACTATACTGTACTATACATATAAAAGACTATGTTTCTAAGAAAAAAACCTCCGCAGTTATCATTACTAGAAGAATTGCAACAGACATACAATGACTGTTGTGAAACGTCTATTAAGAATCTCTATTTAGAAGAAGATAGAAATGACATTGAACTGGCTTTAAAAGGTTGGAAATCTCTTCATACATCTTTACTATATAAACTAGAATTATTTGATAAGAAGAAAGTAACAGCCCCTGAAGAATGGGAACTCCTTCAAGATTTAAAGAATATAAGAGATCAAAATGTTAAACATCTTATTCGAGTTCAATTGAGAATGGATGAAATTAATCGAAAGAAGAAAATAGATCCATCTCGTGAAGCTGCTATACTTTCTGTGGCCAATAGTGCCAATACAAGAACATCCATTCCTTCACTTCGAACTACTCAATCGAATCAATCATCTAATTCTCGCTCAATGTTGAAATCTTTACGTCCCCAAAATAGTTCGTCATTATCTTCTGCATCTATAAATACGCTGTCTAATTCCAGCATTAATGGTCATAATACTGTCACTAATAGTAATAATAATAGCATTAATTCTTATCATCATGCATCCTCAAAAGTTGCAGCAAACTTAACTTATCAACCAAAGAGACCTCAAATCCAAGTTCAACATCCGTCCCTGTATCAACTGTCTACTTATACAAATACCAACATTAATTCAAAACCATTATCTCGATCTGAAGATGATCTATTTGAAGATTTCGATGAAGAAGAAGGTTTTGATTTTGTATCTAATGATTATCATGGAAATACTACTAGTAATTGGGAAAAGTTGAATGGTTCAAGATCATCATCTGGAATTTCAGAGATATCTTCCAATGAGAAGAATTCGAATAATTTAATCGATCTTGATGATGATGATATATACAGTCATAGTAATAACCATAATTATAATCATAATAATCACAATCATAACCATAATCATAATGGTAATGGAGGTTATTCTCGAGATTTTGATAAATCATTTGAAGATTTACTAACTATTAAGAAAGTAGCTCCACCGGTTCCGCCTAAACGTCATGGTAGAACTTCCCATAGCATCTCAGGTCCACCATCTTCAGAAAAGCAAAAGAGTAATTCTTTTGATCAAACATCTAATAATTCCAATGACAATTTAGTTACCAGTATGGGCTCTTCACATGCCAAAAGTACTGGAGATATAACAATAAAGCCAGTATCTGAAAGTCCACCAAAGGAAATAAAAGTTCAAGAAGTTCCTAAGAAAAAGCCCTATGTGTACACCAAGCCTAAACCCATTAATGTAAATCAAATCATGAAGAAGACATCACAATCTCGATTGAAACAACAACAGTTGCAACAGCAAGCACTGCAACAACAGCAGCAACAACAACAGCACGCAAAGCCTAAATCCAATATTACTTATCAGTATGTAAAGAAGCAAGTTCCAGCAGCCAAGAAGATATCACCTCCTCCACAGAGTCATTCTGCTCCACCACAAGCTAAGAAAGAAGTGATTCCTCCAACAAGTCCTACAATGGATGACTTACTTAGCGGATATGAAGAAGGTGAAGGTGAAGAAGATTATGGCAATGAAGATGTACCATCTTACCTTAAGAATGAAGTTGAACAAGAAAAATTGATAGCATCCATAAGAGGAATAGATGCAAATTTGGCTAAGCAAATATTGAATGATATTGTCATCCAAGGTGATGAAGTCTATTGGGATGATATAGTTGGCTTAGAGGCCGCCAAGAACTCATTGAAAGAAGCAGTGGTGTATCCCTTCTTAAGACCCGACTTATTTCAAGGCTTGAGAGAACCAGTTCGAGGAATGTTATTATTCGGACCTCCAGGGACAGGTAAAACCATGTTGGCGAGAGCTGTGGCAACAGAATCGAAATCGACTTTTTTCCAAATGAATTCGAGTTCTTTAACATCCAAGTATTTGGGTGAAAGTGAAAAGTTGGTTAAGGCACTTTTCCTTCTTGCTAAGAAATTATCTCCTTCTATTATCTTTATGGATGAAATTGATTCATTATTAGGGTCTAGAACTGAAGGAGAATTAGAAAGTATTCGAAGAATCAAAAATGAATTTTTAATTTCATGGTCAGAGTTATCTTCAGCCACTGCTAATTCTAATTCAAAAGAAGATAATCGAGTTTTAATTTTAGGAGCTACAAATTTACCATGGTCAATTGATGAAGCTGCTAGACGGAGATTTGTAAGAAGACAATATATTCCATTACCTGAAGGAGAAACAAGAATTAGTCAAATTAAACGATTATTAAAGTATCAAAATAATACATTAAGTGATGAAGATTATAATGATTTAATTAAATTAACAGAAGGATTTAGTGGTAGTGATATTACTGCTTTAGCTAAAGATAGTGCCATGGGACCATTACGTGAATTAGGAGAGAAATTATTACTTACCCCTACCGAACAAATTCGTCCCATTAATAGGAAAGATTTTGAAAACAGTTTGAAATATATAAGGCCTAGTGTTTCTAAAGAAGGTTTAAAGGAATACGAAGATTGGTCTGAGAAATTCGGTTCTTCCGGAATATAAGAAATGCATATAGTTCTAAATACATATACATATTTAGAATGTACACAATTCATTTTAATAATAATAATAATAATAATGACTAATTAATTGATTAATAAATAACTCTATAAACTAAAGATAAACTATACTTTTGAAGCCTTTTCTGATTCCTTCTTTTCATCAGGAAGCTCATCTATACAATGTAAACCATGATCTTTAACAAATAAGGAACTTATGAAACATAACCCAATTAAAGGAATACATAAATAGAAGAAATCCTTTATGGATTTCATATACATGGCTCTAATGATTTTAATTTGGGTAGCATCTAATCCACTAATATCAATTTTAGTATAAATATGAGTTTTTAAATAAGTTAAATAACTTATTGGAATAGTATCGAGCTTCTGTTGTTGATTAATTTCCTTTAATAAAGAATTAGAAACAATTAATGAAGCAATTGCAATTCCTATAGAACCTCCAAAAGATCTTAAAACATTTCTAGCACTAATTACTACGGCTCTTTCAGCTTTCTTAGCTTGACTTTGAGCTGCCACCATAGTTGGTTGGAAAGTCCAACCCACCCCAATTCCCATAAGAATTAAGACAATACAAATAACTCCCCAATTAGTACCTAAATTAAATAATAAACATAATCCACAACTTATGGTCCAAATTCCATAACCAGCCATAATAATATATTTATAATGACCAGTAAAACTCATCAATTGTCCAGCCATGATAGATGTTATAGATTGAGTTAAAACTAAAGGTAATAACAATATAGATGAATGAATTGTATCTAAACCTCTTACGATTTGGAAATAGTATGGTAAGTAATATGTGAAAGCATAATAAGCCATTCCATAAAAGAAATTTGAACCTAATATAAGTGATAATGATAATCTAGTAAATAATGATAATGGAATCATTGGTAATTTAGGAATTTTCCATTCAACTAATAAGAAACTAATAAAACATAATGCACCAACAACAAACATTGCAATAACTAAGGCAGAATCCCAAGCATAAGTTGAACCTCCACCACTAATAGGAATTAAAAGAAGGGTTAAACCAGCAGTACTGAAAAACATACCTAAATAGTCAATCTTCTTAAATTTTTCTCTTCTAGATAAGACATCATTTAATTGCTTAGCATTTCTCTTGGAATCTATCAAATACCATACTGCACCCATAACTAAAACAATTAAGGGAGGCATCATATGATAGAAATTTCTCCAACTATTATGTTCAATAAAACCTGCCATTATAAAGGGTCCCATAGCATTACCTAATCCAACTTGTGCTCCTAAGATTCCTTGATATTTTCCTCTTTGCTTCAAGGTACAAATATCACTCAACATTACCATAGTCAATGATTGTATTCCTCCTTGACCAATTCCAGCAAATGCTCTGAAAATATAGAATTGAACACCAGTTTGAGCAAATCCACATGCTAAATCAGCAACGGCTAACACTGCAAGTGAAAATAACAATATATTCTTTCGTCCGAAAATATCTGCCAATCTTCCAAATAACACTTGACATACACAATTTGCTAATAATGAAGCAGTTCCTGCCCAATTTATAGTTGTTTCTGCATTTAAATCTCGACTTATATCAGCTAAAGCAATAACTATACTAGTTTGGTCAGCAAATGCAGTGAATAATCCTAAAGACAAAGCTCCCAAACATATAACAAGCTTCCTGGTAGGCAATATATTGAGATGGGCATCTCCTAATTTATCAGCAAGATCTTTCTTCTCCTGCAATGGCTGTTGTTCGTCATCGGATAAATCTGTTCCAGCTCTCCCCATATGGGTAGTGGTCTCATTAGACGTAACCTGCTTTAATTTTTTATCATCTTCTGATTGTACCTCTGAATTTGAATGTGTAGCGATAATCGCTATGCTCTCTTGAGATGTCATGGATTATATAATGCTGTTTGGAAATTGATGCAAAAGTTATTTTTTTTCTGGTATCACAAAATATTATTCTTACTATATGAACATGTAATACAAAATATAAGTACTTAAGTAAAGATCAATTTCTTATTGAATACAGGGCTTTTGCAGTAATTTGTTATCTGATCAATCACTATGGCTCGTGTGATATTATTGTGACATATTTTTTAGAGATTTGAGAGGATTAGCAACACCTTTTATAAAAGAGCGGAAAGAAGTTTTTTTTCTTCGGACCGCCAAATGCATCTGACCGGACTTTGTTCCCGAATAAGACAAATATTCGGAAACGCGATTACTAAGCCGAAGAATCCAATTAAGCATTATAAGAAAAGGAAGATTGTCACACTAATTATATGACCAATAAGGTATCAAGGGTCATCAATTTAAGTTTACTGACATCAAAATATTCACTAAGGGTTTAAAAGTTTGCGGGGATGTTCAAAGATACTTAGGTAGGTAGTGGGGGGAGTTCAGTAACATCTACTTTTAAGATGCATATATAATGAAAGGTCGGTTCCGAACTCGAATAATCCTTTTTTCTCAGCCTACAAGATCTCGGTCGAAGCTCTATTTTAATAGATACACAAATATAATTTTTATCTGTTATCTATTTCTTCATAATTTTTCTATCTAATGTGTTCTCCCGAAGGAGTAAATTAAACGCATACAAAGAAGAATAAAAAAATAAAAAAAGAAGGAAAAGAATGAAATGTCCATAACATTTTGGGTCGTGTGACCCTTATCAATCTCTATTATGTGTGCATGGATTTTGGAAATGCTGCTTACCTTAGATTGCGAAATTTCGTAATCTTTTGTGAGAATGATGAACGTAAGTTCGGCTTAACATTTTGAGAACACGTTGACTGAGAGTGTCACATAGTGAAAGACTGTTGTTGCGAGAATGGTTCAATAGTGTAAACCCGATATACAAATGTCGTACCAATTCCTGTACTTAAGGCTAGAATAAAACGGTAAGACTCAAAATTATCCATTTTATAAAGAATTCAGTTATATATTGACAGCCAGAATATCTCCTAAGTTAGGAATAGTTAGAGAACAAATAATGCTCTATACTACTTATCATCTTCGTTTGAGTAATCTTCAATATTGCGTTGTGCGGCACACTGACCTTTTGGAGCCCGAGCTTAAGGTCCGTTTAAAGAACAATGGAAACTCCAGGTTTAGGTATATTTGTTAACTACTTGTATAATTCATTCGTGGGATTAATTTGATTTGATAGTTTATAGGAAGCATGCTCTCTAGGATTATATATACCCTGATCTAACCTTTTCAGGTCAGTTTTACGATCTTTTACCGTATCATCTTCAATTTAAGTGAAATATCCTCCATGATTGATTATGGCACATGTTCTCAACATCACTGGTATTCAGAGGATATCATCTGTGAAGAATTCAAAGAGCGTTACCTGGTCAGGATCATGGTTCGTATTGGTAAATTAGTACGAAGGCTTGACAATCTACCGTACCGTATTCTTCTAAGCCGCAATTTGAGGAACTAAGCACGTTCATAAGGTATGCTTTGTAATACGAACAGAACAAATTCAAATTGAACAACATACGATTTAACAATAAAGAATGCGGTCCAGTTTTGTATTAATAATCCTAATATGACAAAAAAACTGAAGATTTTACGGACGATCCATACGTATCCTCCAATATGAAGCTAATATAGCGTCAATTTGATCTAGTGAGCTCAAACTTTTTTCCGAATGCCTCACCTTCATTGTGATTATAATGACAATTGTTGCAAAATTTAGCTATTGGTTACCCATGGTATACCCGTTTTATGTAGGACAATTATAGAATGCAGATACGGTTCGGATTATAACTTTGTTACTTAATTGCCGATGTTATCATGAACATCTTAAAACCGCACTGCTTATAAATTTTGTTGGCTTATCAACTACGAACCGATTCCACATTTTCACAATTTCACTATTTACATATAAATAAGTAGATTTTACCAAATTTCTACATACTGATTCTTAAGTAACATTTATCGCTACCTTATATAAAGAAACTTCTAAACAAAAATAGTTATGACTACTTCTAATAATACTACCGTTCTTATTTCTGGAGCAACTGGTTTCATTGCCCAACATATTATTTCTCAGCTTCTTGCTAAGGGTTACAAGGTTGTTGGTTCAGTTAGATCAACTCAAAAGGGTGAAGATTTAGCTAAGATCTTTGAAAATTCAAACTTCTCTTATGAAGTTGTTCCAATTCTTGAAAAGGAAGGTGCCTTTGATGAAGTCTTGAAGAAGCATCCTTCTGCTACTGTCTTCTTACATACTGCTTCTCCAGCTACTAGTCAAGTTGAGAATAATGAAAAAGATATCATCATTCCAGCTCTTGAAGGTACTAAATTCGTTCTTAAATCAATAAAGGAACATGCCCCACAAATTACTAGAGTTGTTTACACCAGTTCAATTGTTGCTACTGGTACCGCCGCTCAAATCTTAGGTGGAGAATTCAAAGGTGGTGAAGATACCTGGAATAGCATCACTTATGAACAATCCAAAGAAAATGGGTTTAATGCTTACTGTGGCTCAAAGACATTTGCTGAAAAGGCTGCATGGGATTTTGTTGAACAAGAGAAACCAAACTTCACTCTTAGTACCATCAATCCTGTTTTCGTTTTTGGTCCTCAAAATGCTGCTCCTAAGACAAGAGAATTAAATTCTTCAGCACAAATGGTAGCAAGTGTGTTATATGCCACAGATTCAGTCCCCCCAATTGGTGGTGCTTTCGTTGATGTGAGAGATACTGCAAAAGCACATATTTTAGCTTTTGAAACTGAGAAGGCTCAAGGTAAGAGATTTGTCCTTACAAACAGTGTTTTCAATGGTCAAACCATCTTAGACATTATTGTTGCTAACTTCCCTCAATTGAAAGACAAACTTCCAACTGGTACACCTGGTGTTTCAATCTCTGGTCCTACCGCATTTAATGACAAGAACGCTAAATCAATATTGTCGATTGATTATATTAGTCTTGAAAAGTCTGTTGTTGATTCAATCAAACAAATTATTGATCTTTAAGCTTAGTGACTATAGAACAATTAATATTTTTTTAAGCAGACTTTTATGTATTAACAAATTATATATCTTCTTGTATATGAATCTTCTAATAATTTGACAACGTAACTTATATAGATTACATAAATAAATCAACATTTCTATTCCCAATTTAGTTAGGTAAAGAAACTTTGAGTTTTAATCAGCTACTGACCAAACACTTTATATAATGATATAGTTATATATTTATAATCAGAATTAGATATGTATGTTAATAAAATAATATATAATTTTGTCAGGGAATTTAAAGCCCAGATATATCTAGGTAGATAAAGTTAGGTGAGGGAGAGCATACTTCCTATAAACTATCAAATCAAACTAATTCCACAAATGAATGATACAAGCAGTTAACGAATATATCTAAACAAGCTGTTTTTTTCTTTGCTCGTGCCATAAGCTTGGGCTCCAAAAGGTGATGATATTGGACAATACAACCTTGAAGTAAACTAAAACGAGCAACCTTGCGAGTACATAGCATTACTCGGTCTGTAGCTATTCCTAATTTAGGAGATATTCTGGCTGTCAATCTATAACTGAATTCTTCATAAAATGGACGACCGTGAGTCTTACCGTTGTATTTTATATATATAAGGTCTAATCTGTGTAGTGCTCTTTCAAGGCCATCTGCTTCATCGTAGACTTTGTTCAAAGCCCTTTGCCAGGCATTGATGGTTGATTTATCAACAGCAAAGTCATCAAGATCAGCAAAATATAATGCGCATTTTCTTGCCAATTCCTTGCCTTCGTTAACTGCGGTAATAATGCGGTTTTCATCCTCAGCATCAAGATTCTTATCAAATTCATCTTCCTCACTTTCAGAAGGAATCCGTGGTGTTGGTTAACGCTTCTTCATTCCTTGATTGAGTATTATTCTTTTTTTTGGCTTCTTGCCTTTCTTCTCAGCAAGATCTTTACCCAAGGCTTCTTTATAAGATGGAGGATTACCTCTAAAATTTGTTAACCGTTTCCAAAATGACATTTTTAATAATCAGTAAAGGAGAGAAGTGGTTGCGTTTATAGTCTTTCTCCCATTTTCACCTAATTTATATTTTGAATAAACATATATATAGAGACCGGGTAACTGCAAAGATAAGGAAATTATAGCTGCAAAAATCAGAACTCTTTTTTCCACTATACCATATAATTTTCCCTCCTTTAAGTATGGCCTACTATTATCGTTAACCACACACTCAACATTTCCCAGCTTCTCTTGCTCATTCGATACCTATACATTCACCAATTGTACACTCGACGACGACTAGAGTATAAAGAGGGTAATGTGCTTGAACCATTAACTCTCCCATTTATCAAAAATTGGGTATCGTATTTGTCTTCATTTTTATAAATCAATCAATCTTAATCTCTACAACACAGATCTGCTAATTTTGCTTAGATAAGAGTTTTTACTTGTTACAAATTTCTTTCAATTGGTTTTGCAATTATTTATTTACTCTATACCGAGCACGTAAGGTGTCGCGGAAAAAAGAATTGAAGCTAAACAAATTTAAGCTCTTTGTAATTTCCTGATCTTCACCTGACAGCCAGAATATCTCCTAAATTTGGAAAAGCTAGAGAACAATTAATGTGCAATACTTTTAAAGCTGATCGTTTGCATAAACTTCAATATTACATTGCACAGTATTCTCACCCAAGCTCTTAAAGCTCGTATAAATAATAATAAAATCTCCATGTTTGGGTTTATTCCTTAACTGGTTTTATAATTCATTTGTGGGATTTGATAATTACATGCTCTCCAGGAAGATATAAACCCTACTGTAACCTTTTGGGGTCAGATTTACGATCCTTTACTGTCTATCATCTTCAATTTAAGTGAAATATACTCCATGATTGATTACGGTGAATCAGATGTTCTCAACATCACTAGTATTCAGTGGACATCATATCAGAAGAATCAAAAACGGTTAACTGTATCAAGTTTGTACGAAGGTTTGAAAATCTACTAAAGAAATGTTATCATAGTCCGCATAATTTCTTCGCCGCAGTTTGAGGTGCGGAACTAAGCAGGCGGATGTAAAACATGCTTTGTAATACTAACAGCACAAATTCAAAATGAACAAAATACACTTTATTAATAAAGGATACGGTCCAGTTTTGTACTGATAATCCTAATGTGACAAAACTGAAGAGTTTACAGACGTCCGTACATACCCTTCAAAACCTCCAATGTAATAAAGTATCTATTTGATATAGTGAGCTTAATTTTTTTCCAAGTGCCCCACTTTGGATATTTTCTATCACGCTTTCGTTATAATTACAATTGTTGCAAAATTTAGCTATTGGTTACTCATTGTATAGAGTCCGTTTCAAGTAGAACAATTATAGGCTGCAGATGCGATTCGGATTATAACTTTGTTACTTAATTGCCGATGTTATCATGAACATCTTAAAACCGCACTAATTATAAATTTTGTTGGCTTATTAACTCCGAACCGATTCCACATTTTCACAATTTCACTATTTACATATAAATAAGTAGATTTTACCAAATTTCTACATACTGATTCTTAAGTAACATTTATCGCTACCTTATATAAAGAAACTTCTAAACAAAAATAGTTATGACTACTTCTAATAATACTACCGTTCTTATTTCTGGTGCAACTGGTTTCATTGCCCAACATATTATTTCTCAGCTTCTTGCTAAGGGTTACAAGGTTGTTGGTTCAGTTAGATCAACTCAAAAGGGTGAAGGTTTAGTTAAGATCTTTGAAAATTCAAACTTCTCTTATGAAGTTGTTCCAATTCTTGAAAAGGAAGGTGCCTTTGATGAAGTCTTGAAGAAGCATCCTTCTGCTACTGTCTTCTTACATACTGCTTCTCCAGTTACATTTGAAGTTGAGGATAATGAAAAAGATATCATCATTCCAGCTCTTGAAGGTACTAAATTCGTTCTTAAATCAATAAAGGAACATGCCCCACAAATTACTAGAGTTGTTTACACCAGTTCAATTGTTGCTACTGGTACCCCCGCTCAAATCTCAAGTCCAGAATTCAAAGGTGGTGAAGATACCTGGGACAGCATTTCTTATGAGGAAGCCAAAGAAAATGGTGTAAATGCTTACTTTGGCTCAAAGACATTTGCTGAAAAGGCTGCATGGGATTTTGTTGAACAAGAGAAACCAAACTTCACTCTTAGTACCATCAATCCTGTTTACGTTTTTGGTCCTCAAAATGCTGCTCCTAAGACAAGAGAACTAAATTCTTCAGCACAAATAGTAGCAAGTGTGTTAAACGCCACAGATTCAGTCCCCTCAATTGGTGGTGCTTTCATTGATGTGCGAGACGTTGCAAAAGCGCATATTTTAGCTTTTGAAACTGAGAAGGCTCAAGGTAAGAGATTTGTCCTTACAAACAGTGTTTTCAATGGTCAAACCATCTTAGACATTATTGTTGCTAACTTCCCTCAATTGAAAGACAAACTTCCAACTGGTACACCTGGTGTTTCAATCTCTGGTCCTACCGCATTTAATGACAAGAACGCTAAATCAATATTGTCGATTGATTATATTAGTCTTGAAAAGTCTGTTGTCGATTCAATCAAGCAAATTATAGATATTTAAGCTTAGTGATTAATTAGAAAAGATATTCTTTCAAATATTTAATATAGATTTTTTTATGTATTAATTATTTTACAAACTATTTATCAGTATCAATAATGGCATAGTTTTATCATTTTAACCAAAATTATCAATTGCAACATTATCACCATATTAGTTCTGTTCGTCTTCATTGCCTGATTCTCTTCCTTCTTGTTCATCGTGAGAATCTCTTTGTTGCACTTGGAGGGGAATAGCTTCAACCTCACCATTTCTATTAAATAACCAATTTGTAAACAGCGTGAACCAACTATTATCGACCGGGTCGGGTAATATCTCCTGTGACTCCAAAAAATGTAATCTACGGTCTGTTTCATAAAGTAGTCCGTTTATATAAGAATTGTTATAGGTTTCTATAATACAATCTTTGAAGACTATAGCAATGACTGCTAAAAATGACGTTATCATTAATGCTATGGCTAAGGGCTTTTTAGGATGGAAATAAAGAAACCCTCCTATTGTCACTGGGACACAAACCACTAATGTAATTATACCGCTGATAATGTGGGTGGAGATTGGTGTGGTGAATGGTGGGTAAGAGACTGAATGTATTTGTGCCTCAGCCATCTTAATTTTGATTGAAACTTTAAACTATAGTTATTATCAAAGTGTAGTATAGTTATTATGAAGGTGTAGTAAAGATAATTAAAATATGCTGTAAAAATATTTATATATATATATGATATTAGACGCTGCCATAATCTTCTCAGAAATTTTTAAAAAATAATTTTATTTATTATATAAATTATTGTAATTAACAAATTCAAGTAGAATTATCAACAAATTAATATGAACTAATTCAATCTACTTAAATGAACTTCAATTAATTGATTCATTAGTAAGTATTCAATCTTTCTTTGTAGAAAGCGCTACCATATACTTATACAAGTAACCACTATTTGACAACGTAACTTATATAGATTACTAAATAAATGAACCTTGTTATTTCCAATTTAGTTTGGTAAAGAAACTTTGAGTTTTAATCAGCTACTGACCAAACACTTTATATAATGATATAGTTATATATTTATAATCAGAATTAGATATGTATGTTAATGTAAATAATATATAATTTGATTAGAGAATTTAAAGCCCAGCTATATCTAGGTAGATAAAGTTAGGTGAGGGTATATATAATCCTAGAGATCATGCTTCCTATAAACTATCAAATCAAACTAATACCACAAATGAATTATACAAGCAGTTAACGAATATGCGAAAAGTGGTAGTTATTCTTTTTCTTTGCACGTGCTATAAGCTTGGGCTCCAAAAGGTGATGATATTTGACAATACAACCTTGAAGTAAACTAAAACGAGCAACCTTACGAGTACATAGCATTACTCGGTCTGTAGCTATTCCTAATTTAGGAGATATTCTGGCTGTCAATCTATAACTGAATTCTTCATAAAATGGACGACCGTGAGTCTTACCGTTGTATTTTATATATATAAGGTCTAATCTGTGTAGTGCTCTTTCAAGGCCATCTGCTTCATCGTAAACTTTGTTCAAAGCCCTTTGCCAGGCATTGATGGTTGATTTATCAACAGCAAAGTCATCAAGATCAGCAAAATATAATGCGCATTTTCTTGCCAATTCCTTGCCTTCGTTAACTGCGGTAATAATGCGGTTTTCATCCTCAGCATCAAGATTCTTATCAAATTCATCTTCCTCACTTTCAGAAGGAATCCGTGGTGGTGGTTTACGCTTCTTCTGAGTAACATTCCTTGATTGAGTATTATTACCCAAGGCTTCTTTATAAGATGGAGGATTACCTCTAAAATTTGTTAACCGTTTCCAAAATGACATTTTTCATAATCAGTAAAGGAGAGAAGTGGTTGGGTTTATTGTCTTTCTGCCATTTTCACCTAATTTATATATTTCCCTATGCCGAACAAACATAAGAGACCGAGAAACTGCAGAGATAAGGAAATTATAAAGAGCCTCAATTTTTTAGCTGCAAAATCTTTTTTTTTTCCGTAGCAAAATATCAATATACACGATATAAAATTATATATAGAGTGAATAAATACTTGCAAAATTTTTGAGAGAAACTAGAAACTAGTGAAAACTCTCAGCGAGATATTCTGATTGGACATAGTATGTAGATAATATAGTAGATAGATTTATAAGGATGAAGACAAATATGATACCCAATTTTTAATAAGTGGGAGAGTTAATGGATCGAGCACATTACCCTCCTTATACGCTAGTCGTCGTCGACTGTTTTTTTTTTTCCGTAGCAATATATGTATTCTCACTATACACGATATACAATTATATATAGAGTGAATAAATACTTGCAAAATTTTTGAGAGAAACTAGTAACTGTACAAAATCTTTTTTTCCGTATAAATACGCTATAAAATTATGTACAGATTTTAAGTGAATAATTGCAAGAAAATTACAAGAACAATTGAGAGAAACTTTAAAAATTCTCATTTAAAACGAAGAGATTAATATGGATATATAAAGATGAAGACAAATATGATACCCAATTTTTGATAAGTGGGACTGAAATGTATTATTTTCAATTTTTTTGGAGCACGTGATATTCACGTGATAATAACTTTATGCAAAAAAGATATGACTTTGGGAAAATCAGAAAATGACTCCGTGGCCAAGCTGGCTAAGGCGTAAGACTGTTAATCTTAAGATCGTGAGTTCGATCCTCACCGGGGTCGTTTATTTTTTTGCTGATTTTTTTGAACCAACTTGATTAATTAGTTCACAAATTGTCATAAATTTTTATCAGAAGTTAAAATTATCATACTTTATAGATGTTTTATGTATTCATAGTATATATTGTTGTAAAATTTATAACTACAAATTTGTATGAAACTTATTTATGGTGTAAACTCATGTTGGACTTGATTAACTCCTTGTAAACAATCTCTCTACTTATCTACTTCTTGGTACTCTTTTTGATACCACCTCCAAGTAATGGACCACCTTTCTTTGCCTTTTCAGCCATAGCTTTTCTGGCATCAGCATCAGCCTTTTGTTTAGCTTTGAAAGCTACATCATCTTCATCTAAATCTTGTTGCTTCTTCTTAGGAGCCTTTAATGGCTTAGCTTTACCACCTTGACGTCCGGACATTATTACTTAATCGAGAATGATAGACACTTTTAGTTAATGAATGAGATGAATTAAAATAATCATTAGATGAAAGGGTACAAACAGAAAAAAATTTGAACATCTACACTTCTCCAGAGATTTGATATTTTCCTGTACACAGCACACAGTACACAGTATCGAGTCCATCATTTTTCAAAGGGCCTCCCCTATCCAAACCCACTGTCAAAGGGTAAAAGTTAGTACTGATTAGGCAATTGATTCCATAATTCACAATTGTTATATAGAAACTATATAGTGAATAATGACGGTGTTGACTACAAATGATAAAGAGAAAATTAAGCGTGCCATTCCTAAGGTTAATAATAAGATCATTGATGCTACTGTTGCCAGACTATACATAGCCTACCCAGATCCTAATAAATGGATATTTACTGGATTAGTAGGAGCAGTAGCTATAGTTGATGATTTAGTGGGTCATACGTTTTTTATAAAAATGGTAGATATTATAGGTAATCGAGGAGTTATATGGGATCAAGAATTATATGTAAATTTCGAATATAACCAAGATAGGAAATTCTTTCATTCCTTTGAAATTGAAGAATGTTTAGTCGGATTATTATTCGAAGATTCTACTGAAGCTGCTCATTTTTATAAGAGAGTTACTACTCGTCAAAAACATGGATCTAAACAAACTATTAATAATAAAAATGCTATAGCATTAAAGGCTAGAGCGGGCCCTACCGGTAATAATAAATCTGGCCCAAGAGGTGAAGTTAATGATATTAGTTCTGGTCAAAGACTTAGATTAAGTAAAGGAGCTTTATACTATGATGATGTTCCACCCCCCGAATGGAGATCCTTATATGCTGAATTAGAATCAGCTGGTATTTCTGAAGATATGATTGCAGATAACAGAGAGTTTATAAAAGATTATATTGCTAAACAAGGTGGTCCTTTAGTTGGTCTTGAACCACCTATTCCTAGAAGGTTCCAAAGAAAGAATGATCCTGCTCCAGCCATTGAACAAAGTATTTCAAGATCATCAAAGACTAAAAAAGCTCCACCACCTCCACCTCCACCTCCTCCAAAACAAGATTATGGAGATGATAATTCAATTGCAGAATCAAGAGGTTCGACTCCTGCACCTCCTGCACCTCCTGCACCTCCTGCTTCAATTCCTCAACCACCTTCACCTCCAGCTGCACTTGATTCTACCCCTGTTTCTGCCACTCCTTCAGTAGAAACTCCACCTACTCCAGTAGTTGAAAAATCAAGATTTCGTCTCCCACCTTCTAACGCATTTATTCCTCCTGTTAAAAACTCATCACTTCCACCTCCACCACCTCCAGGTTCTACTAACGCTGCTCCTCCTGCATTACCTCCTTCAAACTCACGACCATTACCACCTCCAGGAGTTGGATACAATAATAATGCACCTGGGTTACCTCAACAAGAAAGGCCCGTTCCTCAACCTTATGGCCAACAACATGCACCTGTTCCACCTGGCACTCCAAATAGACTTGTACCACCACCACCTCCAGTAAGAGGAGTACCACCACCCCCACCTCAAAGAGGTGGTGTCCCACCCCCACCCCCACAACGAGGTGGTTTTCAACCAGTACCACCTCAGAGAACAGGAGCTCCACCTCCACCACCTCCTCCAAGGGCTGCAAGAGGGGCTGCACCACCACCGCCACCTCCAAGATCATCAAGAACTAACCCTAATATGCAATTACCCCCTCCACAACAAGGTTATGGAATCCCACAACCTCCTCCTATCAATAATCAAGTTCCAATGCCACCACCCTTACCACCAACAAATGCTTATCCACCACAAGTTCAACAGCAACAGCCTCCTCTCCATTCATTTCCAACCAATAATGGTTCGGGTCCGCCACCACCGCCACCATTACCTCCAATATCTAACGGAGGTGGTCCACCACCACCACCACCACCTCCTGCTGGGTTTGGTGGTCCTTCTGCTGGTATACCACCACCACCACCACCTCCTGCTGGATTTGGTGGTCCTTCTGCTGGTATACCACCACCACCACCACCTCCTCCTGCTGGATTTGGAGCCCCTTCAGCAGGTGGACCACCACCACCACCACCACCACCAATGCCTTCGATGAATGCTCCGGCTCCCGTAGAAGCTCCTACAGGAGATGCTGGACGTGATGCTCTTTTAGCCTCAATTAGGGGTGCAGGAGTAGGATCATTAAAGAAAATCGACAAGTCTCAATTGGACAGACCTAGTGTATTATTGGCTGAAGCTAGAGGTGAAACACCACCACCCTCTGGTTCTTCATCAACTCCTGCTCCACCTGGTCAGCCAGCTAGTTTAGCAGATGCCTTGACTGCTGCACTTAGTAAGAGAAAGGGTAAAGTCGCTCAAAGTGATGATGAAGATGATGATGATTGGTAGTAGTATAACGTAATATATAAAATATAACATTACATGACATAACTTTTTGTTCAACCTATATTTATTATAAATGACTGTATTAGTAGTTTAGTATATCAATAAATATATTGTTTAGAAAAACCAATGTAAAAATATACCATTTAACCAAATGGATGAATCAAAAAGTATATTATAACTAATATACTTGTGAGTTAGAAGAAGAGTTTAATGTCTCAAAAATAGATTTGGAACATATAACATAACACATAAAAGAAAATTATATGTAATATAAGTAATATAACGTATAGCAAAACCTGTATATAGTATATATATGTATTGACATACAGAACACATAGATTACAAATCAATGTATATTTATAAGTATAGGAATGTGTAGCTAGTAAGCCATTTTGTGCTTTGTAGCGTTTGAGCATTTTGCGGCAAGATCTCTATCGCTAATTTTTTTTCTGGCTCTGTGAAAAAAATTTGATGGAGTTCCAGTACGTACTTAAGACCAGGGCAAAGTTAGAAGAGTATCACCAGCTATGTCAAAAACACGTGAAGAACTTAAGAAGTTGCTTGATTCATTTAGTGAGGCTATAGTATTCTGGAAGAATTCTTTAGTCAATCAAAGCTCGTTGGAAGGGTCAGAAATTCAATCTGCAACTGTTGATGATCCTGTAAAAGAACTTGAAAAATTAGTTAAATTAACTAAAGCTCATACTACTAAAGTTGGAATTATATTCAAACCTGAAAATCTCAAGAAGGACGTGACTCCTGCCTATAACACATTGCTGAAATTATCTGAATCATTAATCTTACTTATATCTATAATAGCGCAATTAAAACCTAATGTCATATCTCAATTATTCTACGATGAGATCCTATTACAAGTGAAGAACTTACTAGATAGTAATGCAGGATTTGTAAAAGAATTAAAAGTAGTGGTGGATGAAGAAATCAAGTCTGATATAACTGAAACTGTAACTAAAAAGGATGAAGTAGATGGAAGATTAGTATCTGTGGGGAAGATATGGTCTATCTGTGATACTTTCTTACAATTGGTTCAAGATGGAAAACTTGGACTTCTTACTTCAAAAATAAAACAAACAGTAGCATTAATCGAAGATGGATATGAAGAATTTGAAGAGTGGGCAAAAAATCCGACCGAATTTGATGACGAAGACCCTTTTGGTTTCAGTGATGACGATGAAGAGGAAGAAGAAGAAGAAGAACAAAATGATGCAATTCCACCTAGTGTACCTTCAGAAGATAAAGAGGATTTAAAGATATTTGCTACCAAATGGGTGAAGAAAATCGATCTTGTCAAACTATTAATAGCGTCCTTCAAGAAATCATTACCAATAAGTACCAATGGTGAAGTAGTTGATGAAATCTACAATTTACAAAATGGGTTAGTCTCTCTAATCGATAAATTTATTGTTGATTTGATGTTAGATCAAACAATTGATGAAGAAATTGAACACTATACTAAATCAATTACAAAAGAATCACACAAATTAACTAAAGTTGCTCGAGAAGTACATAAAAATAATGATAAAAAATCCAAATGGTATGAAGCTTGGAATACTAAATTTGATTCGAATTAAATAGATATATTTTAGTACTTACTTGCAAATTCTTTAATTACTAGTTATTCAATTAATCCTAAATATTTTGCATGATGTTTAGCATGATCTTCAATGAATGAACTAATGAAGAAGTAAGAATGATCGTAACCTTCGGCAACTCTTAAATCAACACCGCCTTTATAACCTGATTCTTCGGCAGCTTTCACAAAGATTTCTGGTTGTAATTGATGATCTTTGTAGTAGAAACCGTCTTTAGATCCCTGATGAATTAAAATCTTAGGTTGATTTTCATGTTTGTAATCAGCGATCAAATGAGTTGGATCGTATTTATACCAATCTTCTTTATTGTTTCCTAAATAATTAGTAAAGTTTTTTTCACCCCATTGACAAGTAGATGGATTTGAAATTGGTGCAAAAGCTGATACTGATCTATATTTACCGGGATTCTTTAAGAAGCCTGATAAAGCACCAAATCCACCCATAGAATGACCAGTTATAGAGATATTTTCAAAATCTAATTGAAGGAATTCTTTGGCCAATGCCTTAGGTAATTCATCATGAACATATGAATACATATTATAATTTTTACTCCATGGATCAGTTGTAGCGTCAACATAGAAACCAGCCCCAGTACCAAAATCCCAAGAATCATCTTCTCCTTCTATCTTAGCACCACGAGGAGATGTATCAGGGAATACTACCGCAAATCCATACTTAGTAGCAAAATATTGTAAGAATGACTTTTCTGTAGCATTATTTGGTGTACAAGTCAAACCAGATAAATATACTAATACTGGAATTTTGGAGTTAGAGGAAGGTGGTACGAATACATTAACATCCATTGGAGTCTTCGTGGAAGTAGATTCATGAGACAATTTGTATAATTTCCCTTGAAATTGGGATATTTCAGCATTGATGGTGAATGTCATTTTTTATTTATATGATATGGTTCCTAAAGAAATGTAATTACTAGTTAAAGCAACTGAGATCTTAAAGCAATTGAGATTTCAAAGCATTTGAGATTTAAATGCTTCTCTCCGATATTTATCTACATTGCCGTCTTTTTTTTTTTCAGTGCTATTGCTGTATGGAAACAGTTACCTAATTGGGAAAACTTATACGTAATATTTGAACATATATATATAGAATCAATCTATAGAGCAGATGAAAACTATAAACTAGCCTTACCTCTTGGCTCATAAGGAAACAATAAGACCAAGAAACCAGAGGCAATAAATAAGGCTCCACTGACAAAAATTGGTGCTGACGTCGTTAAATCAGCATAAATTGCAATAATAGGTGCAAAAACACCTAACACTCGATTAAAAGATGCTGCTAAACCAATACCAGTTCCTCTAATTTTTGCAAAAAAGACTTCCGGAGTGTATGCATATAATACTCCATACATAATATTAGAGAAGAATGTAAAAGCACAGTTCCAACCTAAATTGGCATTACTTGTCTTTGCTGTAGTGGATGCAAATAAGAAAACTCCAGTTAGAATCAAAGAACCACATAAAGTTCCCTTTCTACCTATTTTCAATTCAACCAAGAAACCAGCAACTATGGCACCAGGCACACCGACGGCAGAAACAATTAAAGAATTTCTATATGTATCATGGACACTTAATGGAGCATTGGCATTCCCCCTAGTTTCTAAATAATAAGGTAAGAAAGCGTTATAAAGAGGGAATGCAAGTCCAATTAAACCCCAAGTGAAAATAACCAATGAAGAAGAAATTGCCAACTTTTTGGTTCCGAAACACTCTCTAATATGTGTGAGATTGAATCTGGCCAACCTTTCTTTGAGTAAAATATTACCCAGTACTTTCTCTTCTCCATCTAAATGCAATTCATCAATAGCCTGCAAATCTTCAATAGAAAGATCTAATTCTTTACCATTGATTTTTGCAATCTTATGAACTGTTTCAACAGCTTTTACATCATCACCTCTAGCCAAATGGAACTTGGGTGATTCAAAAACACGGAAAGCAAATCTTGCCAAGAACATCAACAAAGTGAATCCACCCATGGTGAATAAAAAGTATCTCCAACCTTTATTATTATTTTTGAGACATATAGTACTACTATCATCACAAGAATAATTTGCAATAAGACCCCATGATACAAGATTAGCAATAATTTGACCAAATGCCCACCAGACAGACATAACAGTTAAAAGCCATTGATGTCTACTTGGCAATGCCTCTAAAAAGATAGCAGAGTCAACAGGTAAATTACCACCAACACCAAAACTCCAAAGTGCATTAAAAACCCCTATAGCAGCAAAATTTGGTGATGCACCAGCTATGACAGCAAATATACCAGTAATTAAAAATGTTAAATTAAAAGCCCACCTTCTACCAATAATATCTGAAGAAAGAGACCAAAATAAGGCACCCGCTAATAACCCTAAATTTTGAGCTAAAGTTAAATATGGAGCCCTACCAACTGGAGCATGAACCCCATTTTCTTCGTTTAATCTTGCCAAAATCAAACCAGTAGCAACAGGCCAGGCATTATCCGATAACCATCCAAATCCAGCTACAAAAAATAATCCAGTTTGATATCTTCCAAATCCAATTTCATCGATAGCATCAGAAAGAATTTTCGATTTTGCAAGATAAGTTTTGTTTGTATCCGTAATATCGTATAACTCTCCCTGTAATAAACTACCTAATTCGACGGAAGTATCCTTTACTTTTACTTTTTCATTTTCAGCAAGAGACTCTGTCTTCGATGGGGGTAATTGCTGCTCTGCAGATTCGGTTGACATTGTGAACCACTCTAGTTATCAACTGATTGAAAGATAGATAGCGCAATTAGCGATAAAATATTGAGAATGTTAAACTTCAAAATTAAATAATTAAAGTTTAATATGTCATAGAGTTATCTATCCAAAACTGAAGTTATCTATCCAAAACTGAAAATAAGGTTACTTTTTTATATCTATATATTAACTAGGGAGTGGGGGGTTAAGTGATAAAAATTAAGCACCTGAAGATCTAATTGCTAAAGTTAGGCACATCGAGATTTTCCTGAACAATAGACAAAAACTTCGAAAATACAAATTAACAAATTAACAAATTAGCAATTATGGCAATCATGGCAACGAAAGTTATTGTTTCAGAAATCTTAATTCCGCTTCATTTAATTACTGCGTAGCGCATAGAAGCCAATCTATTTTTTTAGATAGAAGAATGGAAAAATGTCTAAGTCGCTGTGGCTCCTTGCACCGCGCAACGCGGCGGTAGAGAAAACGGCATTAGTAGAGTTTCAGGAGATTGTCATGAAGATGGAACTTGGGCTACGTTAAACGTTGACATTCCGTAAGTTATAGTTACAAAATTGAATCCTAGGTATTTTAATGTTAATCAGAGTATGAGCACGTCATTCGGGTCAGATTTATCGTATTCTTATCCCCTTTGGATATGGGGGTTCATTTAGAAATTAAATTGAATGGCCTGCTTTTTTAATATTTTTACATAATTAACATAGTGCAAAATCTCCCTATATTATTTTTTCAAAAGTATATGAGGTAACATTTTCGTGAATGGTGAGCTTGTACTCTTCCACTTTCCAATATTTGTACCATCCTTTCACTTTTGACATTCCTTGTCTATGGCTTGGACCACCACCGCCTCTTTTTGCATGTTCCCTGGTAGTCCACCAACATGTAGCTAAATTTTGACCGGTACTATCATCTGGAACTCCAAACCAGTATTTGATTAAACCTCCTGATTCATTAGCTTCTAAGTGTGATTCTTTGTCAATTTTACCGAGGAATTCTCTATTTTCGACAGACTTTTGGACAGGTTCATGTAAAATGGATCTGAAAGCTATAACGTAAGCTTCCGTTGTAGGAAAATCGTAATTCAAGTCAAGTGAATATTGTTTGATGAGATCAATAATGACATCTATATTAAATGAATCCTGATATGGTTGAAAAGCATAATCTTCAACTATAGGTTGGAAAGACTGTAAAGCTAGAGCGATGACTTTATAATTTTCCTCTAAAGTATTTAATTGAAGCCAATGATCTTTATCATGATATGGAGACGACCTAATCTCTGTAATGTCTTTAAGATTTAATCTTTTTACGGCAGGATCATGAACTGGAGTAAATAGCCCATTATCAACATCAATCTTAGCAGTTCCTTGTACTTTGTCTTGAGTCATAATTTAAGACTTTGATAATGAAATTGAAAAAAAAAGATATAAGCGATTCCTTACGATGATTTTTATTTACTTTAGAAACAATTTTACACCTTATCTCAAAGACCCCTCCAACTCTTTTTAACAGCCACAGATTTCTCACCCAACTGGGAAAAGATTCCCTTCCCATTCCGAAACCGCTGCAAGCCTCGCGCTACCAACGAGAAAAAAGGCTGCGCATCACTCTTTAAGCCCCTCGGATACCAATGAGTTCGGGCCGACCGAAGCATCGATGCCACAAAGCCGTATCTAATGATGATATAACAATAGCGTAATATTTTTTTTTTCCGTAGCAAAATATGTATTCTCAATATAATAACGACATCAACTAATTTATATACTTATATGCATTATACATGTGGTTTACACTTTTATAAATTAATAGCAAAAACTGCAAAAGTAATTATACCAATTCCCATTATTTGATATAAAGAGAATTTATTTTCTTTCAGTAACAAAGTAGAACTAGCACTAATAGTTCTATTACCACTTTCTTCTGCACCATCTGTTAAACCTGTTTCTGTGAAGTTGAGTGGAGGAATTTGTGAATCATCAATTTGTCCATTCCAACAGTATCTTTGGAAACATTGTTGACATTGTTCAGACTGATCAATTCCTAACCTTTCTTGACTTCTTCTAATAATAGCACATCCTACACATGCAGGCCATTCTGGATCTAAAGTATTGTTTAATCTAGAAGCTACTTCGAAACCATTTTGAATCATACCATCTCTTTCCCAATCTTCATAACTTAATTTGAATGTCGATTCATTGGACCAGAAAGAAAATGGACGATTGGCAGTGTATACAACTAATGGAGTATCATAAATATCACCTTTAGAAGTAGCAAGACTGGAATTTAATAACAGGGTCAAGTTCTGAATATCACAACCAAAAAATGTAGGTTTTGCAGTTAAATTCAAGTTTCTTAAACTTTCTTCATCTGGTACGTATGGGAATAAAGTACCATTACCAATAGGTAAGAATTGTCTCTCAAAAGTAGCAACAATGGAGGTACCATTTGGCCATGATTGATCTGTATCAGCCGAGTTATCAAATGCAAAAATAACGTCAACTTCTCTTTCTGGATGAATCAATGGTTGTAAAGGAATATTTTGTAAATCTTCTCCACCATCACATAAGAATAAGGTATCATTATTGGTGATTGATGTAGATCCAATTTCTGTATCATAGAATGGGTTTGGTTCATAAATAGCAATATCCACTTCATGTTCACTTGCCTTTTCTAAGATATCGCTAACAATATCTTTGATGGCTGACGATAAAGAAGTTGTATTAATTTGTAAGATAAATTGGTTAAACAATGATGAAGAAGTACCCATTATAAATCCGGCATTATCAAAACCTCCAATACATTTACCATCAACTGGTTTACCATCGGTAGTATTTGTTCCTAAATATTTAACTTGAGTAAATTGATATAATGAAGGATCCCATGAACCTAATTCAAAGGGATTAACTTCAAATATGGTTGAATTTCCACTTATAATAGTTGAACCAGGTGTTCTACCATCAGTGACTACAATAGGGAATGGCATTTCAAAATTTTGAAAGACTGGAGATTCTTGTAATGTAGACCAAGTTAATGCAGCACCTGTATCATTTAATCCTGCAAAAAATTGATGACTTAAAGCTCTACCCCAAACATCAGTAAATGAAATTTTAAATCCAGCATTCTCTTTATCATTTATATCATCATCAATACTTGAATAATAATCGTAAGTTTTAAATATATTAATTCCACCAAAATTAGCTATAGAATGTGTTAAATCCCAAAGTATACCTTCATCTAGAATGGTTTGAACATCAGTAAAATTATTCATTGCAATAGTACCAACTAACCAATTACCACCCGATAACCCTACTAAATATGTTGAAGCTTGTAATAAACCACCTAAACCAGCTTCAGTGGCATTAGTTGTTCTATTATCTAAAGCTGATAATTGTCCAGCACCACTTAACATAGCTCTATAACCACCACCAGAAAATGCAATTCCAATTCTAATTGTTTCATTAGAAGCTGTATTTGTAATATACTCTTCTGGATCGAAATCAGTCATATTAACTTGTTTTAAAAATGAAATCAAATTTTGGTTTGTAATTTTATCACGACCTTGCAACCAGGACAACTCCGACTGAGATAACCCGTCGGCCGATCTGGTTAATTGTAAGTCCAGAGGACAATCTATGGGACCAGGAGCATAAGAATCTGTAGGAGACCAAGCACTAACTAGAGATGTATATGACAAGATCAAAGTAAGAAATTGTATTGATTTATATGATACTTTCATACTTATTATCTAAATTGAAAAATTAATAATCTCTAAATCAAAAACAATAACAATAACAATAATAAATAATAAATAATAAATAATAAATAATTTAAATGAGTCAATAAGCAAACTAACAAATAGATATATATATATATAGATAAATATATAACGGAACAAATAAATAAGAAGATACCTTAACACGCTAAAATCTTTTCAAGTTCATCAGAAATTTCAGAAGTTATATATATATTTATTTATATATATTGCATTTTACGTGACTGACGATGAGGTTTTGAAACTAGTTACCTGCCAGTTTCCAGTATAATTACGTTATTGTCTTCGCTGCGGTACACAAAAAATAAAATTGTTAGTGAAGTCTAAGTTTTACGAAAACTATAGCGGAACTTCTCGCTAATCCAAAAAAGAAATAATTAATCCGTTGCCGAGCTTCATAGGGTTCTCTGCAATAAATGAAGTCCATAGTAGTTATAAGCACTTGTGAATAACTAGTAATTACTGAAATGATATACATGTACGCTATAAATAATACGTTATGGGAAACACAGGAACATTATCCTTTGTTAATTTTGTGGATTGAAGCGTTGTGAGCCAGTCTTCGGAAAGAAGAGCGAATTGCTGCGCATTGGTTTGGTCTGCGAATTGTAGCCGATTTAAAACTAACTTTTAGCATTACACTATGTAAACTTCTAGAAATGGCTTCGGATCAAGTGGAAACTGTTGTTACATAACCTTAGTCACCGTTAATTACTTTGCTTCTAAAAAAAGATAATATTCCACCCATTAATAGGTATTTTTTATCATATTGATCGATTCTCTTGGAGGCTGTGTTCCAGGTGCAAAAATATTGCGAGTATCACCGAGTGGATATTACTTCGCCGTATCTATTAATACATTTTGTTTAAAGTTGAAGTTAAAAGATTATAATTCTGATTCTAATTCTAATCTAAGTAGTTGGATTCTACTGCTAAACAATGGTTGAAAGGATATCCGAACATGATTACTTTTTTGTGTATTGCAGTTAGAACATGATAGTTGCCTGTTTATGGATTTACAAGAGAAAGTGTAGGACATAGTTTATGTTTTGCAGGTCTATTGGAATCTAGTCTGCGAGATGATGATCAAGATGAGGATGAGGATATCGTGAGAAGAGGTAATTATGAGAAGTACTATATTTATTTAGCTATTAAACAAATATTTCCGGATACATAATCATTTAGCTTCTTTATTTAGACTTCCGCTCTTTATTCAGACCACTATTTATAGGAAGTACATATGATATTAGTTTTTTTTCAGAAGTTATATATTGTGTCAGTCAATCTAGGAGAAGCTGTGAAACTTGACAGCAAACTTTAGAACGTGATCCTAATCTACTTAGAAATATACAACTCAATCTATTATTTCAATTTATCTTATAGTTTAGTTTGCTTCGATATAGCTTGGTTAGTGTTTTCTCAATTTTGTTTTGCACCTTTTAATGGAGGCGTGCCTATCCAGAAGAGACTTTATCCTCTTAATAACAAAGCTATGCTATTACCAATGCTGCTGTATAATGGGAATCATTGAAATTAATTATTGTTGTTCTGCACCGTATGGCTTTGAGATTAGGACTTAATGACTCTGGATCAATCAGCAATTTTATTTCCAGAACTAAAATGTTCTGGAAATCAACAATAAACCCGAACCCAGATTCACCAAACAACGTTTGGTAAGTTATTTGGCTGAATAGGTCAATAATCCTTCTTGGTCTCTTGAACTGGCGTTCAGGTGGGATGTTATATCTAGTCCATGTGAGGACATTTTTTTAAACTCTATATTATTTCTCTCATTTTGCACCTGGATATAGCTATCTGGTTTTACTGAAATCTTCGTTTCAATATCTTGTACCAATTGTTCAAAAAATATCGTAGCATTATACCCTGTAAAGAGGATGTTGCGAAATTTTTTTGCTACAATGGGTTATATACTCTCGCACTCGGTGTATTAATGTCTCTAATTGTATTAATACTGGAGTATGGGGGTTTGGTTTTGTAACAAGAGTGAAGACAGAGGTTGAGTAAGTTAGTAATACTCTACGGAGGGGTTTGGTTAAGGTAGTTGATTTGACCAAATAGCATAGAGCTTTAGAATCGATTGTGAATTAATAGTATAATTGATAGCTTATATATTTGATAGAGTATAAAAACCTAACTATTTCATAAAGGAGGAGGAGGAGGAGGAATCCACCTTACTTAAATAGTTAGCGGAAATCAAGGAGTAGTGTATCGTATCGATACACACATAATTGATATGAGGGAATATAAATGGTATAAAGATTAGTGACAATAAAGAGTATCAGTAGTAGTGTAACTAGATACGACATTATTGGAATGTCGGAGATGAACCGTGCGTGAAAGTAACGGCTTATCCACGACAATTCTTGCAGCTCTGAAACATCATAAAAGCAGCATATTTTGAATATCGAAAATAAGGGATTAAACCTTACAATCACTTAGACAGTTAAATACAAATGTCATACTTCGAATATCAAATAGAACGATCAGTTGAGTTCTTCTTAAAATTCATAGATGATTCAATTCTAGACTATAACATTATGGAAGACGAGGCAAGATTGGAGGGCATGTTAACTGAATATGATAATTTAAGCAACGATGAAAAAAACAATATATCTGAAGGCCGTCCCAAAGATCCTTATGAAGAAGAGTTTCAAAAGTTATGCTTTATGTTAGGTGATTTCACAGTGCTTAAGAATAAAAGCTTATATTTTCACATTGATGAGGATTATGCTAGCTCTAAGCAATTTACTGGTGATTTGGATCACATTGCCCAAAATGCATATACAATCATCGTTTGGAAAGTCGAAAAGCATTACAACAGTTCACACAGTGAAAATTATAGAAGTAATCTTTATGATTTATTGAAAAATATTTTTAGAATGTCGGTTACTTTTAATATCGGTTTATCAACAAAACAAGAAATTGATTCTACAAGCTTCCCACGGAGAAGAGAGATGCCAAAAGATAGAGGGGGGGATTTCACAGGTGGAAGTTTGTATGAGAAATATGCCGAAGTTTACCCTTTCATAAAGAAAGTTGATTCCAATAATATTATCGAATCGTCACTCAATAATATGTTTATCTCCATTTCTGATCTGTTAAATATGGGTAGAACATATAATATGTTCGTTCAAATGAATAGTTTTCATTCGTGGCTCTTATTCATTGGTGCTGCATATGGACTTTATTTGCACAATCTTTCTTGTTTGTTCCAATGTTATGACAGTAAACTGGATTTAACTATATTTAAAAATTTAGTTGATAACAGTAATAAAAGGTATATGCAATATGTTGATGCATATTTTGAGTTTGCAACCAATACGAAGATATCTGTTATGTATACAGCTGATCCATTGAGTAACATTTTAAAACAAGTTGAGACGTTTGATGAGCCATATGAGTCAAATGTCCATTTCCGAAAGATGATAAATGGAACTACTTATACATGCTTATTTGGAAATGTTGACATTGCATTTATCATTAGTAATGATTCAATGATTATTTTCGAATTGGATGTGAACGTCGAGCCCAAGACTGTCAAGTATGATGACAGAGTCATTCGATTCATTAGTTGTACAATACATCATGTGTATGCAAAAGATTATAATTTTGCTTTAATTATTGCGGCGTTTGTCCTTACTAGAATCAAGGGTTTTGCAAACGAAGATGACAGAATTTATACGTATAAGAAATCACTACTAATTACGGAAGTAGAGAATAAAAAGATTATGAAATTTAGATATGATCTTGTTGAGGATTTATGGAAAGATAAATTTTCAATGTTTAATAAAAAGGACAGTGATTATGTCCACAATAAATGGGACGACTTAAAGATCAGTTCGAAGAACTTTAAATTTCTAACGACTTTCAGTCAATTTGAAGATCTTGATCCGAATGATTTCGAGGACTTACAAGAACTAGGAGAAGAATTTGGCGGCTTTTCGAGGATGTTCAGAGTTCGACACACGGGAGCTAATAACACAATGTTGTTGAGAGTTTACGACATCAATCATTGTAAGCGGGTTCAAGGAGATACTGCAGACATCGAATTTCGAGTTAGTCTTTCTAAGCTAATAGAATGTTTCTGTCGTGCAGTGCGGGCGTATGTGCATGTTGGCAATGGTCCTACAGGGAAGTATGCCAGATATAATTTAAGATCACACCGATTTCCTTATCTTCCGATATTATTTAAGTGTGGGTTTCTTAAATTTGACGATTTATCAAATGTGCCAGGTTTCTATTGCCTTGAAGAGGACTTCGAGAATTTAATATTAGAATCTAGAAATAGGAAAGGCAAAATTCAACAATTAGCAGACGAATCGTTGGATAAATTGCATGAAGTCGGTCTTGTGATAGGCTCTCTCGATAAATCCAATATTATATATGATGGAAGTAAGATTATTTTTAATGATTTAAGTTTTGCAGGTATATTGGAATCTAGCCTGAGAGATGAGGATCAAGATGAGGATGAGGATGAGGATGAGGATGAGGATGAGGATATCGTGAGAAGAGGTAGTTATTCGGTATATGACGAGGCGTCCTATATTTATGAAGCTATTGAACAAATATTTCTGGAAGCATAATTTGTATAGTTTTAATTAAGTTATTTATTGTGCAGGGTAAATTAAGAGAAGTTGTGATAGTTGTAAACTTGAGGACGTGATAATCTATTATTTCAATTTATCTTATAGTTATAGTTAGCTTCAATATAGTTGAATTTTTTATTTTAAAACATGGTAATTTTCCATAATTTCATGTATATACGATATTGTTAACCGTTACTTACACACAACACGGTTCATCTACGCGAAGGCTCCGATATTTCAATAATGTCTCATTAAGTTATACTACTACTGATACTCTTTGTATTCCCTCATATCAATTATATGTCGTTACACTACTCCTTGATTTCCGCTAACTATTTAAGTAAGGTGGATTCCTCCTCCTCCTCCTTTATGAAATAGTTAGGTTTTTATACTCTATCAAATATATAAGCTATCAATTATACTATTAATTCACAATCGATTCTAAAGCTCTATGCTATTTGGTCAAATCAACTACCTTAACCAAACCCCTCCGTAGAGTATTACTAACTTACTCAACCTCTGTCTTCACTCTTGTTACAAAACCAAACCCCCATACTCCAGTATTAATACAATTAGAGACATTAATACACCGAGTGCGACAGAATTTTACCTGCACCCAAATAGGTAAACAAACATTTTGTGCGCGTGAGCCATAAACAGTGTCAATACCGAGTCCACTGTGAGTGATAAACCAGTATAATTAGATCAGTAAGTAAACTTTAGATAATATAATACCATTAAAGTTTACTGACAGTATATTAAAGAAGATTACTCTTGTGAAAAATGTCACTGGTATCATTAAATTTTGCTGATGAATTATTTCGACGTATGACTTCAAGAGATGAGCCAGCATCTACTAAACTTGATCTAGTGACTTAAGACTCATGTTAAGAAAGAAGTTGTAGATTTAAATCAAGTACCTAAATATATTGAAGCATTATCTATTGCAGCAGATATACCAGATTTAGGAATTCTGTCTCATAGTTTTAGTTCGATTGGAGCAGATAACCAATACGCTTCAAGAGCCTTTCTAGCAGATGCAACAGTACTTGATCTTGAATCACCTAATCGATTTATAATTATTGGTAATACAAGAAAACTTTGACTTTTTAAACTTGTACCTGATTTATCTTGCATACTAACTCGTTTAATTAAATGGGATGTAGCCTTTAAACATCGAAATACAAGAATTTTAATTGAATCAATAAATTGGTTACATCATATAATTTTAAATTTAAATCCTCATTTTAACCTTGATAAATTTATTACTCATATAACTAAAATCCTAGCAACGAATAATTCAATAGATGTTATTCATAGTATTAAAGAATTATGATTATTATAATATGAGACATAATAAATTATATAAATCTGATTTAGCTTGAGAATTAGAAATTCTGAATGTACCTCAAAATGTTAAAGATTCAATTATGGATGATATAATTGGAGATTCTATAAGTAGAATTTCAGAAGATACAGTTATTTATAATCCTCAATCACAACCACAACCACACCCACTACAGCATATTCCTCGAATTCAGAAACCAACATATTCTCAACCTCCTCCAAAACGAAATATGATAAGAAGTGAAAGTCCTAAATTCCAAAATGTTCCTCAACTTTCTCATACAAGATCACCTACTCCTGTAATAGTTAATGATAATGAATTTAGTGGTTCTCATCAATCGGAAGAATCTCAAGATTCTGATTTAGATCCAAAGTTAAATCAATTATTAAGTAAAGTTAATTATCAAGTAGATACATCCATTAAACCAATAAATTATGATAATCAAGAATCATTTTTTTCAATAATTCATGAAATGAATCCAATATTTGCTAGTAAAGAAACTGAATTTAATTGGTCTAATCGAGAGAAATATATAATTAAATTACGATCAATTAATCGAGGTAATAATGGATCTATTGAGAATATAATCTTATGTTTAAAAGATTGTTCTGAAGGGATTTGTAAAGCTATTAATTCTTTAAGAACAACATTAAGTGCTCATGGATGTTAATTAATTAAAGAAGCAGCTATAATATTAGAAAATAATTTTGATTCATTAATTGAATTATATTTACCAAGTCTTATAAGACTTAGTTCAAGTACAAAACATATAGCATCAATGAATGCCAATATGGCAATATGTGCAATATTTACTAATGCAACTTATACTTCAAGATTATTACAAAGAATTTATACTAGTTCAATTGATAAAAATTTTCAACCTCGTTCATATGCTAGTATTTGGTTACAAATTATAATTTTAAGATTTTTTAATAATAATTCATTTATAACTGGATTAGATACTTGTAATAAAATTCTTAATAAACTTTTAACTGATCCTAATCCAAATGTTAGACTGTCAGCTAAAGAATTATTTTGGTGTTATTGGGATAAATTTCCTGAAGAAGCTGAAGGTTTATTACATAAATTTGAACCAAATATAGTTAAAGCTATTGAAAGATCTAAACCTAAACCATCTATAATTATTAATACTCCTAGTATTAATATAAAGAGATCAAGACCTTCATTAAAGGAATCTATTATTGAAAGAAATAAAGAACTTAAATTAAAGCAAAAGCAAACATCTCGTCCATCTTCAAGAGCTAATTCTGGTGGCACTGAACCTCGAAGAATTGAAGTTAATCGATCTAAATCTAATTCAATGGCTTCTAAACCTTTACCTATAGTTAATCCTGTGGTAAATCCAATTTCAAATCCAATTTCAAATCCAATTTCAAATCCAATTTCAAATCCAATTCCACCATCTCCACCATCTCCAGTAATTGTTAAACCTATAATTCCATCAATATTACCTATATTAGATTCTAATGAATCAATTATTATTCCTACCAATAATATAAATTCATTTGATAAACAAAGTGATCCTATTCTAAAATTCTTATCATCTAATCAATTAGATCTTATAAGTGAAGGTATAAATTTATTAAAGTATGCAATTATGGGAGAAGAAGATCTTTCAACTGAAGTTAATCAATTATTACAAAAAATTTCATTACGTCAACCTAAATTATTACAACCACTTATACTTTCAAATGATGATTTATTTAAAAAAGTATTTCAATTCTTTAGTTGTGAAGATTTCTTAAGAATTTGTGGATTAATTATTAATAAAGTTGATGATAAATTAGTTAATTTAATTCTTGGAATTATTGATATTGATCCAATTTATGAATCAATTATAAAATTATTATCTTATATTATTAGTACTACTAATATTTTAGGAGATGATGAACTTATGATGCAAATTATTCAATATAAATCTCAATTAACTAAATTTTTACTTGAATTTTTATTTAAAGCTCTTGATAAAATTCCTATAAGTGATAGTTATTATCTGAAACTTATAACTAATTTACTTGATTTAATAATTATATTAAAATCTACTGAATCTTATGAATTATTTTCAAAATTTATTAATTAAAGTTCATACAATTAATCCAGTATTATTTGATTCAGAATTAGATCTTTTTAATACTGATACTAATATTAAAGATGAAGTTGAATATATTATTGGAATTGATAATTTAAAACCATTTATTAGAGAAATTCCTGATTCAGTATTTGAATTAACTGAAGTTGCCCCAGAGTAATCTTGATAAATTCTCACCCGTCAAAGTTTCTAGTGATTTTACTGAAACTAAAGATCCAATTCAATCATTTATTGATAAAGTTGATCCACTTCGAAATATATCTACTAAGAATAAACAAATAGATATATATGAAGATTTTAAAGGTTCACCTCAAAAGGTTCGAGATTATGATTATTCTGAATTGAATTGGTTTAATTTACAATTATCAAAGATTGATATTGAAAAACAACAACTTGAAGAACCTCATGATTTTGAACTGTTATGTCAAAGTTTAAAGACTAGAACTATTAGTAGAAGAGGTATATCTCATGCCTTAGATTATTTACAAATTCAAAATCCTCAACAAGAAGAAGATATAAGGGATTCATTAATTGAATTCTTTACAGAGATTGAATTACTTTCATTAACTGATATTTCTAATGGATTAATTCTTTTACATCAATTATTAATTTATTGAATTAAAATTGATATTAATTGTTTATGGAAAATATTAATTAATCTTTGTAATGCAGATGAAGTAATTTTAGGAGAAATCTTTGATGAATGTTTAACCGGGATATATCATAGTCAAGAAATAATTGAAATAATTCTTCTAGGACATAGTATATATATTCATATTTAAACTCTAAACTTTCGTACAGAGTTTAGTGAACTTCTATAATGGTATAATATGTAATATTAACTATTCAAGAAATTCTATTAATTTGTAGCTCTATTGTTTGTCGCTTAACCGGCAGTCGGCCAAAGTTACTCCATGTGATATGCAGATGTATTTTTTTTCTTATTCTCCACATTTTCTCGAATAAATTCTTGTAATCAGTGCCTCATCGTATACTTAGATCTTTAATTTTCACTAGAGAATTATACTAATTCTGTAGAGATTATGGGTCAGGAGACTGAAGAGAAATATCTAAAGAACATTAGATCTTATGCCTCGAAACATTATCAGAATCAGCCATTATCTATTTGGCATAGACTCCCAATTTCAAGACGTTCTTCAGTATTTATTCTCCTCTTTATGGGTCAATTGGGTGAATTAAGAGTACTCTTAACCAAAAGATCATCTAAATTGAGGAATTTTCCTGGACATATCTCTTTACCAGGTGGAAAAGCCGATACAGGGTTAGAATCAGAATGGCAAGTGGCAAGACGAGAAATGGAAGAAGAGATCGGAATTAGTATCAATAATGAATTCTTATTAAAAAATTATGGATTTGAAATTGAACACCTTAATATTTTACCAAGTTATTTGAGTAGAACATTTTCATCAGTCAGACCATGTATTGGATTTATGAAATTCACTGATGCTGATGCAATCAATAAACAAAATATTATCAATTTGAATCCTGGTGAAAGTTCAAGCGTATTTAGTTGCCCATTAAGAGATTTCTTATATCCATTGATTAAGGATGAACCTTTAGAAAGTTTAGAAAGAAATAGTTATAAAGTGAAATGGGGAGGAATTCCATGGGATTTGAGGACTTATACATTTTTACAATCTAATGATAGAGAAGTTCCATGGTTAAAGAAGATTGTAGATTTATCCGCATCGGAAATTGAGTCAGATGAAGATCAATTGGAATTGGAAGAACAATTATCTGGAGATGATGTAAAAGAGGTTACTTCTGAATCAATTGGATCTAATATAAAAACCAGACAACGGAAATCAACTTCAAAGCCCAAGACCAAAAGAGTCAAGAAAGATTTATCATCATGGGGTAGATTAGGTTCGAGAAGGCATGAAGTGACAAATGAAAAGATCTATGATGTTTGGGGATTAACAGCAAACATCTTACATGATTTAGCTACTATAGCATATATATCTGAAGGTGATGGATCATCAATAAAGAGAGAAATTGGAGAAGAAGAACTCATTTATAGTATATTTGAACATGGTAAACAAATGAGAGTAAAACAACGATCAGAAGAAGAAACTAAATTAATTCAAGCTGAAAGTTTACAAGAACCTTTTGGATTTAATGATATCTTACCAAGAACCGAATTTAATAGATTGAAAAATTTATATAAGCTTTAATAGTAGTTAGGACATACTTAATATATTTATTATACGGAGTTCCTCATCTGCGCACAGGAAAATAGAAAATAGATCAAAACCTCAATACAATTACTGTATAAGTGCTTATATGACTGATGAACTACCCTTAGTCTTAGTAAAGATTATGACTAGTACTAAACAGTTAGAGAAGATAGTTGATGCTTTAGAGGATATCTCCATTAACATCAACACAAATCCGGATTTAAAACAGTTGGAGTCGGATTCACACATACAATATATACCGAAGAACCCTCAACTAAAGTCGGATTCAGATATATCTCCTATAGATTTAAAGACAATAGAATTACTAGATTTAATAGAACAGTATGAAAAACTAGTTAATGACCAATATAGATTAAACTATATCAATGGATTTTTAAATCTAAGTAGAGCCAATTATAATTATACATCAAGACGATTTGGATCAAATAGTTTTGATTATAGACCCTATGATGCATGTAAGGAAATTACTATTAATGATAATACTGGAGAAATTAATCTAATCAATAAATTAGCCATTCATCAAAGTAAGTTACTGCAACAGAAAAAGAATAAGCATGAAAAGAAAGAAAATGATGATGAATATGAGATTATAGACGTAATATCCGAAAAGGGTATATCATCATCTTCATCAAGTACTAAGGACTCTATCCTGATTTCAACTAGAAGTTTAAAAAATAGAAAAGAGAATTTATCAGAAAAGCTTTCAAGTACAATTACAGTTGAAGAAGATCCATTACCTTCTAATTCAAGATTACAAGATCCAATTAATCAATTCGGAGGGTTAGTACCTTACCAATTAAGACAATCACAAGGATATTTCAATAAAGCTCTCACTGATAGTGTGGATATTATTAACTTAAGAAGTAGAATAAATGGTTTGATTAACGAGATAGAGAAATTAAAGACTTAAAGACTTAAGTAATTCATTAATTAATGTAATATGCTAAATTTATTTATTAGAATTATTAATATACAAGTTTTATGTAATAATGCTATCAGATTACTTTTCAATGTCACTGAAAAGATCACTATCATTTTCATAATCATCAGGATTAAGCTCTGGTCCATCACTGTCACTGTCACTGTCATTTTCATCCATAGACACATCATCATCTTCATTAGCTTCTTGAGTTTCACCATTTTCTCTAGCTTTTCTTCTTGCCTTCTTTTCTTCCTTTTTAGCATTCTTGGCTGTAACATTTTCCAATTGTTTGGCTCGTCTTTCATTCCTTAATTTTTGTTTAATAGCATGAGATCTTTCCAAATTAGCAATATCTGTTTTGGATTTAGTAACAAGAGAATGATAGAGAGTCTTAGATGATCCAGTTAATCCTTCTTCAATTTTAACTAATGACATACTTATACGAGGACCTAATTCAGTTAATTTAATAGCTCTCTTTCTAGTTGGAGTTCCAATAGGACCAGATTCTTCTTCTTCACCTTCTCCCTCTTTTTTATTATTATTCGATAATGATCTCTTATTAGGAATATTATTATTTTCATTCTTAATTTCAACAATAGCATCATCTTCAACTTCAGAATCTGAAGTTATTCCACCAACTGAATATGGATCTAATAATAAATCAGAGATATCAGCATTATTAGATAAATTTGGTAAATTTTTCTTTAAATTATGATGACTATTAATTAACTTTTTAACATTTCTATTTTCTTCAACTAATTTTGTATTAATGGCATAATGTCTAATTTCAATTTGTTGAGTTTCTGGATCTTTATTTATCATTAATACTCTTTTAATTGAACTTACTCTTGTCAGTTGTGGTTGAATTGGTGGGAACATATTTTGAAACATGGTGATCATTAATTTTTCATGATTTTCTACTTCATTTAATTTATTGGAAAATCCATTAAGTACTAATAATGGAGGAGTTAAGAATTCTTTTGAATCTTTACCTATTGATTTTGGATGTTTTAATATTCTTCTAACATCTTTAACTAAAGAATATGAATTAATTCTGAATTGTAAAGTTGGACCTCGAGGTAATTTTCCAACTCTTAAAGATATATTACCAGTTTGTTCAGATTGATTAAATATAAATAAATCAGATACTCCAAGTGGACCAGCCATAACAATAAAATCTTTTAACTTATTTGATTTACGTTCTCGTAAGTTAATAGCAGTATGAGGTTGCATAACATTTCTAAAATCTTTAACTAATTGACTTAAGGAATGATTCTTTAAACTTGATCCAAGTCTTATTACCATTGATCTGGGGATCTTGGCTAATTCCTCTTCCGAGATCTTCTTATGAGTTCTGGTCTTTTGTCTTCTTTTAGCCATTTCTATTAATTATCTCTTAAGTATTAACCTTATTCACCTCCTAATAAACCACCTATATTCTGAAAAATTTAAAATTTTGGAAAATATATTCTCATCCTCATCTCTATATATTTTTTGTATGTACAGGAAAGAAAAAAAAATTTGTATGGAGATGATGGCCCATACAAAAAAGCTATTACTATACACCTTTGAATAACTCGATAACTGTATATAATAACTCTGCAACATGTCTACTAAAGCTGGAAGTGTGATTAAGAAAAAGAGTAAGAAGCAGGACGTTAAGGACTTAGCAGAAAAGATCAAAAGAAACGCCTTGTTGAAGCAGAAACAGCAACAGAAACAAGTAGAACAAGACGAAGAAGACGAAGAAGATGATCATGATAAGATAGAAGAAACTACTAAGGAAACCGTTATAAATCCTGATGATGAATTGAAATTTAAGACTTTTCATGAATTGAAGTTAGTTCCTGAATTACTTGAATCGATTCAACAAATGAAATTTACTAAACCAACTCCTATTCAATCTGAAGCTATACCATATGCTTTAGAAGGTAAAGATATTATTGGATTAGCCGTGACTGGATCTGGTAAAACTGCTGCTTTTGCAATTCCTATATTACAAGCTCTTTGGAGTGCGCAAATTCCATATTATGGATTGGTTTTAGCTCCAACTAGAGAATTAGCATATCAAATAAAAGAAACTTTTGATGCATTAGGTTCATCAATGGGATTAAGATCGGTATGTATTGTAGGAGGAATGGATATGATGGATCAAGCTAGAGATTTAATGCGTAAACCTCATATAATTGTGGCAACTCCTGGTAGAATTATGGATCATTTAGAACATACTAAAGGATTTTCATTAAAAAATTTACAATATTTAGTAATGGATGAAGCTGATAGATTATTAGATATGGATTTTGGGCCTGCATTAGATAAAATTTTAAAGATTATACCATCTAAGAGAACAACTTATTTATTTTCTGCTACAATGACTAATAAGATTGAAAAATTACAAAGAGCTTCTTTACATAATCCTGTAAGAGTTGCTGTATCATCTAAATATCAAACGGCTGATAATTTAATTCAATCAATGATGTTAGTTAGTGATGGTTATAAAAATACTTTCCTTATCCATTTATTAAATGAATTTATGGGGAAATCAATTATAATATTTACAAGAACTGTTGCTCATGCTCATAGAACTGCATTATTAGCTAGAATTTTAGGATTTTCAGCTGTACCATTACATGGACAATTAACTCAAGCTCAAAGATTAGGATCTTTAAATAAATTTAAATCTGGTGTAGCTAATATTTTAGTGGCTACTGATGTTGCATCTAGAGGTTTAGATATTCCATCAGTTGATGTAGTAATAAATTATGATATTCCAACTGATTCAAAAGCTTATATTCATAGAGTTGGTAGAACTGCTAGAGCAGGAAGATCAGGTAAATCAATATCTTTAGTTACTCAATATGATTTAGAAATGTATTTAAGAATTGAAAGTGTTTTAGGTAAAAGATTACCAAAGGATCCATCACCTTCAAAGGAAGTATTACAAGCTTTACATTTCCATGTTGATAAGGCAACAGCTGAAGCAATTAGACAAACTAAAGATTTTCATGAAAAGAATAAAAGAAAAGGTAGTAGAGGTAGAGATGATAAAGATCGTGAAGAACGTTGAACGTTGAACATTAATTGGTTCTTGACAGTAAATATTAATTATTGGGTAATTATAGTTTTATAGGAGTTAATGACAAAAATATTGTAATATTAAACAAAGTATAACCAAAAGTAACAAATAATAAACCAACACAGAAAATAAAATAAAATAATATACTATAATATAAAATAAAATAACATGAAATAAATAATCAAATTAACCAGAACATTATCCAATAGTTCCACCTTAGAAATAAAAACATATCAATGATATTAAGAAATTGACCAACCAATATTAAAGAAGAATAATGCCAAATAAAAATCTATTTATGCAAGAAATGAACAGGACATTCTCCATAACCTTTTTTATTAAACCAGTCCTTAATACAACTATAATGGAATACACAAAGACATTCTAATCTTCCCACTTTATCACCAGGTTTAAGTTCTTCTAAACAAATCACACATTCATTATCTAATCCATCATCAAGATATTCTTTATCCTTTTCTGCTGATGGTTCAATAGTAGCATTTGAAGTTACAGATCCAACAACTACATCAAGAACATTTGTAATTGAAGATTGAGATAATGTTATAGATTCATTATCACTTCTACCTTCTGATTGTCTTATTGTATCAACTGATGATGCAGCTTGTAAATTAGGTATACTCTCAAATTTTGGTTTAGGAATTGGTGGTATATTATAAACAAGCATTTTATTCCGAGGATGAGGTCTATCAGGAGAATTAAATCGTTGATTTTCTGCATTAAAATCAAAATCAGTTAGACAGTCATTAATATGACCTTCTTTAAATTTTTCAAAATCTTCATTAGTAATTTCTTCAATATGTTTCTTATGTTGACTTATATATGACTTTAATAAATCTGTGGCGCAGACAGGGCACAAATTCATATCACTAGTATCATCTCTACGATGATGACTATGACGACTATGATTTATAGATGAATGAGTAGATGATCTTATAAGTCTTGTATGAGTTCTAGCACTATATTTGGTAGTACTATCATTATCATTATCATGATCATGACGATTATGTCCACTAAGAAGTTCACTCCCCACATTAAAATGACTGAGAACATTATTATGATGAGCACTATTATGGTTATTATTATTATTATGGTTATTATTATTACCATTCGTAAAAGAAGATGCCACACTACTACTTATACTACTACCTCTAGAACCAGTATAATCTACTGGATCATCATCACCTTGAGATGATGAAGATGAAGGATTCACTTCGAATAATGCTCGTCTTATCATTTTGATCTCATCCACACATTCATCACATGTCTTATAAGTCTCATAAGGATTATGAAGAGTTCTAACCCCATTTGGATGAATTACTAATGTATTAGGGAAATATTTAATTGACTTTTCTGAACAATTCCCACATACAACTCTTCCACATTTTCTACAATGATGCCTTCTATTAAAAAACGTATAAGCTGAATGACATAAGAAGCAACAAGTAACTTCTGAATCTTCCTGCCAAGTAGGAGTTTCCAGTATATAACTACTCATAGTGAATTAATTTGATTTCCATTAAATACACTCTATAACACTATCCAATGGATAATACTACTAAACTTAAATCACTAAATAGTGGAGTATTGTACTTCTTAGTAATCTACTGATTTAGGCAGGGGAAAAAATATTGGGGCACATCCACACGTCCACTAATTGACTATGCTACGAGCATTTCCTAAAACAGACATCCATCCATACTTAAGAATCTATGGACATCAACCAGCACTTAGTAGAACAACTAATTAAGCACTACTGATACTTAAGTAACCGGTTCTAAGTACTTATCACACATAACTAAGACCTTATAACTAACAAATATACTAAGTACTACAAAAATGGCGGACAGATTAACTCAGTTACAGATCTGTCTTGACCAGTTGGTGGAACAATTCAATGCGACAGTCAATTATGTTAATTCCAATAGTGAGCCAGCATTACTTGATGATGAACCCAATTCTATAATCAATATAGCTGCTAATGCTCCCTTGCCTGGCCAACAACAACCACAATCACAACAAAAGCAACTGCCTGATAGTCAACTTCAACAAAGTGCTAATGGTAGTGGTAAACAAACAGCTACAAATTCAAATCATGTATCAGTGGCTGCTCAAGCAGATAATGAAGCTAATTTTGAAAATACTTTAAATGAATTAGCAACAGATATAATACTAAAATCTCGACAAATTACTATGTTAATTGATTCTTTACCCGGTATAGGAGTATCACCAGCTAGTCAATTAAAAATTATAGATGGGTTAACTCAAGAATTAAGAGATATAGAACAAGAACGGATAAGGAAAATACAAGAAAAGGATAAATTACTTAAATGGTGTGAATCTTTAATAACAGAGGTGGCTACAGGTATAGCGGAATCTAGACGATAAAAATAAAATATAATATAATGTCAATTTTGTTTTATTTTGCATTCTGAATCAATAAGTCATACAATCAATATCCCAACTTGATAACCATTTGGCATGATTACATTGCAGTTTTGTCCAATTTAAACCATAAATTATTGGCATAAAACTCCAGAAACAATATAAGGCACTAATCAGAATAATTATAATTAAGAAAATCCCCCATTGTCTCCGCTTAGATAATTGATATTCTATAAATTGTGCTGTTAATAAGATGGAGAAAAATAATGCCGGTAAATAATGATGTAAAAATAATTCTCGATTCATATAAAAGAAGGGAATGTAGTGGAATGCCCAACCGAGAAGATATTCAAAACTATTTTGATAGTATGAAGATATCAGTAATGATTCATAAGGGATTGTAAATGGATTTAAATGTTTAAACATGTAGAAGGATAATTTTATAAATGTAATAAGAATGATTAAATTGGCAGTATAATAAATAGCTCCATTTCCTAATAGATAAATATGAGATGGATCTTCATTAATATATTTTGTCATACCTTCATTACTAAAATAATTAATTCCTCTTAATACAAATGGCCAAGTTTCTGGTTTAGAAGAATATCTATGATGAGTTGTAAAGCTCAGATTTATTCTGAACATAGTTTTATGTAATTCCCATAATTTTCTAAAGAAATTATACTGGGGAAATTTAACTCTAGCATAATTCTTATCATCATCTATTAATGGATGATGATTTTCTTCAATATACCATAAGGTATTTGGAATGGTTGGTTCATCAACACATAAAACTTCAAATTGTCCAAACCCCCAATCAGGTAATCTTACTGGATGACTCATAAGTATACACTTAGAATCAGCATGAATTAATTGGAAAATTGATCTAGTTGCTTGAAGTTTCCGTAATGGTAATTCATTGTCAGAATAATAAGTCTTGGAAACAATTCTAACTTTGAATTCATAATTAATATTACCCAATAACTCTTCTCGATTACTATTACAACTTACTTCTTTTGTATAATCATGATCTGACATTGGTGGTCTAACTTCATTATTTACATGTAAATATTTACCAGTTGATTTATGAAATAATCTTATTGTATCACCATCTTTTATTGGACGAAATTTCTTTTGTAATTGACCTTCTCTATTCTTATTTCTAGTTTCAAGAATCCATTCATTATTATCATCAGGCATAAATTCGTAAAGGGAAACTTGTTGTTCACCAGTTCCTGACCAATAAGTGAAATTATGAGAATGTAAATATGCTTCTGTACCTAAATGTTTTAAAGTTACTGTACTTCCATATGAAACATCAATAGGTTGATTGGTTAAATATTCATAATCTCCTAAACCAGATTTAAAAATAGGTGACATAATTCCTGAACCTTCACCACTGAATGGTAGAGTTTCAAAATGTACCATAAATATGGATAAATAAATAGTTATTGGTAATACTACAAGACATAGTAATCTAGCAAATATTTGACCAAACCAAGTACTTACTTTAATATCAAGGTCACCTAATTGTCTCCATATTTGTTGAATTGTAAGTATACCACACCAAGCTATGGTGAAAAGACCAACTAATTTAATTGAAGTTAATAAACCCAAAGCCCAACCAATTACTACCAAGAATTTAATTCCTTTAATCAGAAATGGATTAGATTGTAATTGAAGTCTCTTCATACCAAATACAACAAGTGCAATACATAACAAGAATGGAGAATCTAAAAGAATCAATCGAGAATGAGTTATCAATGAATTTTCAATAAGAACTAATCCAGCTCCAAAGAATGCTACTGATGATCGACAAGCTGAATAACGTAATATCAAATATGTTAATAGGACAGTAAGAATTCCACATGATGCTGAAAACAATCGAAGCATTACATAAGGAAATTCATGATCAGGATCAGCATGATAGAGTTGACCAATCTTACTAAATTCCATATTACCATTCCAATCAAATAATAATGCTATCCAAAAGTAAATTAACTTCATTAATGGAGGATGTACATCGATAAAGAATTCCCCTCTAAAATAAAATCGAAGAAAAGTACCTATATGTACTTCATCAAATACAATACGTGCTGGTAACCATAACTTTGCCAATCTAATTATGAAACCTAGACATGTTAATAATATTATGAAAAATCGATCAGTAGAAGTGATGAGGGTTTGTTGAAGGAGTTGAGGAGAAATCTGTGTCGATAAATACGACCTCCATTTACCCTGCTTATATCCAGGTGGTAAACTGGGTGGTTTCTCTATCATTGAAAAAGGTATGGCTATTCAACAGCTTCTACTATATATAGACATAGACTGAAAAATTCAATAACAGAAATTTAATTTAAGCGTGTTTTTCCGTGTCGCGACCATCTACACAATGTACAGAAAAATAGACATTGATTTTATGGATGCAAAAAATGAATTTCTATTAAATAAATATTTAATGCTGCTAAATTTATACCATATCTATAGTGTTCTTTCTAAATAAACCCTTGACCAATTTGATGCAAGTATAAATAATTCCAATGAGACATGCAATAGTGACTGCAAATAAAGCTACGGAATATATACAACCCAAGACTCTAAAGAATTTGAGTGGATATATCACTTTACCAAATAATCCTTTACCTAATTCATTATTGGAAAGTGCCATAGTTCCTAAGGGGAAAGTCATTGACCAAAATGCTTTATTAAATTTCATAATATAACCTTTCTTGATGTGGGGATGAATTAGTTCTGCTTTAGCAAATGGTCTAATCTTTGATAAAGTCGAGATGACAGCCAAGAAAGTGTTAAAGTAACCAAATGATAATAAAAACACTCCAATCATTGTAGAGCATACAATGAATATATTTCCCACAGATTTATCTTCTATTAAATCATACATATTTTTACCGAACATCATAATACTGAATGAAGATTGACCTAAAAATCCGACTGGTAACCAACTTGTAAAGATTAATTGTGTACTGGGGATTTTATGGAGTATAAGTCTTTGATAATATATAGTTATTATTATGAAAGCCAATGCAATGGAAATACACCATAATATGAGACTCAATATTTCTGTAATTAAAGTCTGATTGAGTGTCTTCAATGATGGGGAAATTATATGCCCTGAAGATGACACCACAGTAATTGCAACAATTGGCAATAATAAAGTCGAATTTAATTCATTCATATTAATCTTTTCACTAGATAATTTTGATAAAATTGAAAAGAATACAGTTATGAAAGCTGTATAAACTGATACAATGATAGCTATCCACCATAAAACCCAGACAAATATTATATCTACTTTGTCCAAATAAAAAATAAAATTAATTAAAGTTATATAGCCCATAGCATAACAGCCCATGAAAACAGCAATATTAGGATTTAAATTGTATTGCATGATTCTCTTGGGATAATAATAGTAACAAGAAAGTAAAAACATCAACGATGTTATTAAAAATAGTATGACAGCAATCACAAACATTATAATACCACATACTCTTAACCAATGAGCAGGGTAGCCAAAATTATATAAGATATTAGATGAAATACCCGTTCCCATAATAGATACAAAGTAAACAGGAGTGAACTTTTCAACAAATTCTTCAAAGAGTAAATTCTTGAGCCTTGTAGCAAAAGGTTTTGAAGAATGTGCACAATCTTCTGAGCTTAGGGTTATACTATCATTGTCATGATTGTCCTGACTATTATTGGCATTGGTATTGTCTTTATCTTCAGGTAAGCTTTTCCCATTATTATTACAGCTATCGCTATCATCATTATTAGTAGTATCATCGGATAAACTAAGTTGTGGTGGAGCCACAGTTTGTGCATTAGAATCCGTTTTTTTTATATTTTCGCTAATGTCTGACATATTATATATGCTAGGTTATATTATTTTTTCATATCTGTATAATTCACGTTAGGAATGTGTAATTACAATTGTGATTACAATTGATATTTATAATTATTAGAGGTTGATAACAAAATCTTTGACTTCTACATGTTTCTTACTAATGACTCTTAAAAATAATGATTTGGTGGGAACGGAATTAGAAGCTCAAACGAAAGGCCGCTGAAAAGGGTCACTATTTTCTTCTTTGGGGGAAGCGGCTTTTAGGGTCCGGGAATGAAGAAAATTATTCAAACCCCGCACCCTCGTAGTTAAGAATTTTACCTAATGTAGAAAGTGCCGATTATATATTAGCGGCCCTTAGTTTTACTAGTACATATTTCATTTTATATTTTGTGTTAAACAACGGGCACTGAGTCCCGTCATGTGGTGTTGATTGAATTTAGATCCTTTATTTGTTGATATGCCTTTACCAGTCTCTTATCTTTCCTCGTTGTAGTACTATTTTTATCCCACATTATCACGTTCTAATAAAAGTAATATGCAATTATAACTACAATTCTGAAGGAGGTGTAAACATGAAAATAAATAATGAGTAAATCGTCAGTCTTATCTTGGATTGGAATAACACGTAGCCTTTTTACAAGGGGGTACAAAAAATCAGTCGTGTCTTACGTTGTATTAACTACTAAGGTGTTTCAAATTATCCCAAATAGGAAGGTTGTCGTCATTTATTGCCGCTCACCTCTTAACGACCGCCTGATAAATTTGCTCAAAGAATGGGCCGCTCGTTTGTAGTCCGCCCACCTGCCTATTTAGGAACTTTACTTCTAGTTTTAAGCGTGCGATTAGACAATTTTTTAAAAGTATAAAGTCATCTTAAAATGTCCCTAATTATTCTTCTAGTGGGGTTTTTAACTACTACAATAAAAGCAAATTTCGGTTTATACTCATAACATTTACGTAGTTATCAGTACTGACTATCTACTTTCATTCACACATAATAAAGTCAACTAGGAAAGCTCTTTAGAATCCACAACTACAACCACAACCACAAAAAAAAATATTCAAAATGTTAACTGTAAACAATACTCCAGGTGTATTTGAAAGATCAAATAACGCCAATTCTGTTGGTAATGCTTGTGGAAGCATACAGGATAGAATCCAACATCTTGCCATCGATACTGCCTCCAAAACTATTGATAGTTTACCTAAGGACTCTCAATTCTATAAATTAATTGAAGATTTGAAAAAGGTGTTAGATGGTAAAGGACTTCACTCAGAGGATATAGATGTAGAAACTATTAAATCATTGATGGATAATTACACTTCTGATGAAGCTGATTGGTTGAAATATGCTCTTTATGATCCTTCTAGGAATTATTCCCGTAATGGTATAATTAATATCAATGATAATGCTAATTTATTAATATTAGTATGGTCTCCAGGAAAGTCATCAGCAATTCATGATCATGCGAATGCTCATTGTTGTATGAAAATTTTACTGGGTGAATTAGTTGAATCCCTTTATGATATCCCAGATCAAGATGAACCAAAAAAGTTATCATGTAAACAAGAAACTTTAATGACAAGAGATCAAGTTGGTTATATCTCGGATAAAATTGGATTACATAAAATATCTAATCCATTGATGGATCAAGCATCTGTGTCATTGCATTTATATACACCACCATATGCATATATTTATGGTTGTTCAATGTATGAACAAAATAGTGGAAAGAAACATCATGTTGATATGAATAAGTATTACAGTTGGCAAGGAAAATTGATTAATCCATCAGATAGTCATACTTGTTAATTTCTATTCTATTCTATTCTACTCTATTATTGTACATAGTTACATTGAATTATTTATTTACATATTCACTTTAATGATTCCGACGAAATATAAAATTTTATTTATAATACCTAATACCTAATATAATCTTGTAAACTGTGTACCCCCTTCTGGTCCTGGAGGAACCTGTAACCAATTCAAATGGTCATATTTAGCAGTACCATCAATTACATGGAACGCATAGGCAAATCTTGACTTCTTCGAACGGTTATTCTCTGATTTATGTAACACTGAATTATTAATTAGAATCAAAGAACCTGCTTTACATTCAACTGTCTTATAACCTTCAGTGGGGATTTCTTTTACGCTTTCATTTTCACCTACACTTTTGAAATTACATCCGTCCTTACCTTGATTAATCTTAACGAAACGTTTCGTTATAGGATATACCTTATGAGAACCTGGCAAATATGACAAACATCCATTATCAATAGTACAATCCTCTAAAGCAAACCAGAATCCAATGGCAGTCTGAGGTTCAGTAAATAAGAAGGTGCCATCAGTATGTGGAGGCACTGCATTCGATCTTTCATTGGCCACTTTATCATCAATAGGCTGTTTAAAGATAAGCATACTTTGTAATACTCTAGGGTCAACATATTTTAATGATTTGATTATGGCTTTAACCTTATCACTAAGAGTAATGTCAGCAAATGTTGGTTCGATCATATGTAGACCATGACCAATTTTGTTAATTGCTTGAGAAACAGGAAATTTCAATTGTTTAGAGTCATCAAAGGCATCAACATCAAAGAAAAACCCTATTTTATCACTTGAGTTAAAGAAATATTCATCACCTACATGATCATTATCATTTGTTTTAAATTGAGTTAATGGATGATTAGATATATCAAATTCATCTAATAATTCATGAGATCTCTTCAACATTGTGCTTATCTCACCCGGTGAAAGAAATCCAGGTAAACAAAGCATCCCCTCTCTATCGAAAGTATCTATTTGTTCATTACTTAATCCACTCATTGTTTTAGTTAATGTCATATATTAATGTCATATGTCTGTATTAATATTTTCTAAAAAGCTACAGCTTACATATCTATAAATTCGCATATGTTTGTACGGCGGACACTGCCAGATTCGGTTTCCGAGTTCCGATGCCGAGTGTTATCTTTTTTTTTTGCAACTTTACTTTACTTCCACAATTAACGTCCGAATTTTCTTAACTCCAAGTACCTAAACACAGGGTATGTAATACCTGTGAATGCTCCTGCTAACCAGAATCCAATATCTCCACCATAATCACCAATTTTTATGGCCAAAGGTCCTTGGTAATATACTTGATTCATACCCATGACTGCACCAACTACACCAAAACAGAATGCAAGTGCAGCAGCTAATCCCATAGTTCTACCTCTTGGTTTATCCCAATTAGCCCAATTATAATTCCAATTGGAATCATCTGTTCCATCGAATTCCTTGTAATGAAGACTTCTCACTTTAACAGATGATCTAAATAAAAGATTTTCTTCTAATAAAATGACAATATAAATAGAAATCCAATATCCCAACATAGGTAAGAAATTACTAAGAATTGTTGAGAAATGCTCCTTACCAGCAATACTTAAAACAATGTAAATAATTGTGACTAATATAGCCCAACACCAACGAGGAACTATAGCTAATTTGACATCAATTAATTGAAATTCAAAAGCAATAGAATATGTATTCATGATATTATTACAAATCAATGAAATGTAAAGAATAATCACCACAAAAGAGCCAAACCTCCCCCATGGTTTGAATACTTCATTAATCAATCCACCTACACCAAATGAATTATAAGCATCTTGCCATGGTGGATATGCGTATGCAATGACTCCACATAATGTACCAGGAACCGCAACAAATGTAGATGGGATAGTAATACCTAAGAAAGTAACAATAAATACTTGATAACCAGGAGTTTCTTCAGGAAATAAAATATAATAATCAGAAGCTCCTGAACCCCATGTAGCAGTCACTGAATAACCAAGAGTAAAAAATGATAACCAATTACCTCTAGTAGTTATAGAGGAATAATTTGCTTCTTTGATAAGCTCATTTGCAGCATGAATATAGTCAGTTCTTTTACAAACAACTACATAAAATAAGATAGTAGCCACGAATAAAGGAATTGCCATAATGGTTTGGAACTTCAACACAACTTTAATACCAAAGATTGCTATAATCAAACTAATAACAGAAATAAGAACAATCCCAACAGACAATGGAATATTATGGTTAATTGAAATTAAAATTTGTCCTCCAAGTACACAATTAACAACTGACCAACCTATTCCACCAACGATACAAATTAAGGAAACAAATTTGACACCCCATTGTCCAAATAAAAATCTAGCACCAACCATCTGTCTACAACCTGATTTAGGACCCATGGTGGAACAGTAGGCAGGAACTAAGCAACCAATAATCATTCCTATTAATCCACTTACCATACTATCTCTCATATTTAATCCAAATAGAAAACTTGACAAGAAGAATGATGACATCGATGTCAACCCACCACAAGCAGAAAACCATAACCCAATAACATGAACAAATTGATAATAACGAGGTTTTGAAGAAGCCAATTGTCTTCTTTCTTCACTGCTGACTCTTTCAATACCTCTAGTTTCAATACCAAAGTCATCTAATTTATATATCCAAGAGACATATTTTGATTGTAAATGAGTTGTGTCTGAGTGAGATTCCTCACTACCTACTTCAACTGAAGGTACCTTTTCAGGATAACTTTCTTCACCTTTAATACTGACCATTAGGACTAGTTCTGATACTCTTGTAACCATCCAAGCATCAAAATGGTGATATTTCGGATCCTTTTTATATCATGAACTCATTTTGTTAAATATCTCAGGCCTTAGACATGTAAGCGCATATAATTTTCCAAAGCAATAAACTTTAGACAACATTTAACTAGATCCAATTGGGCCCATTTTGTATAAATAGACATGTTAATATCACATCAACAGGTGTGTTTTATAATCAACATTCAAATTAGAATTAAAGCCTAACACAATATGTCTACTAATATCGTTGACACACTTATTGCTAAATATGAAGAGAAATTTACTGAATCAATTTCTCACCCATTAACAAATGAACTTTGTCAAGGAACTTTACCAGACTATAAGTTGTTTACTTACTTAGTTCAAGATTTGAAGTTCTTTAATATAGGTTTGAACTTATTTGGTAAAGTATTAGCTTTATGTGATGATCCTCAACCTTCAATTGTCTTAGGAAAACAAATTGGTTTTGTATCAAATGATGAAAATGATTACTTCTATAAGTGTTTATCGGAATTAAAAGAAGAGAGCTTAGATGATATTAAGACTAAGGTATCACCAATGTTAGAGGAGCCTGCTCTTACCTTGCCAGCAGTTCAGAAATACCTTGATTTCCTTAATTATTTGATTTTTGATTGTCAATCGTATGTAGAATTAATTACTACCATGTATGTATTAGAAAAGGTTTACTTGGGTTGGGTAGAGTATAACGAACATAGAATTCCCTCAGACTTACCATATAAACATCTGGAATGGATAAAATTACATGGTGGTCCAGACTTCACCAAATGGGTGCAATTTTTAAAAGATGAAGTCATTAGAGTTACCAAGACTGATGAAGATAGAAAAATCAGTGAACAAGCCTTCGTAGCCGCCTTACAGCATGAGATTGAATTCTTCAATGCCTGTTATGAGTATTCTACCTAATTATATAGACACAATAAACGGATAATAATATTTGTAATATTGTTTCAATTCGAGTCAAAATAAATTTTTGTATGAGCATGCGCTTACGGGGAAGCTCCTGTATAATTTAAGCTAGGCTTATACTAATATTCTTTTACACAACTTAATGGGGGATTGTTATCACTACCATTAAGTTAAGTTGCTAATTAAATTATTTGTAAATGGTTACATTTATACTTATATTTTCTAGGGTTCTGACTATGTACATGGAAAAATCCCCCAAGAATGCATTTATAAAATGTCTAATTACATAACGCATAAAATTTAATGTCAAGAAAACTTAATTACTTGTAAAGGAATCCAAACCAAGATTCCTTTCTCCTTTGAATTTCAGATTCAGGAATGAATGCATCCACATGTTTCCTGATTTTCTCAGCCCCTTCTTGAGCAGTAACTTCTCTACCAATAACATCAACGAAAGCTCCTTCAGAATTCATCAAGTAAAAGAAAATCGAATGATCAACTAAATAATCTTGTCCTGGCTTAACATCGGGTGGAGTGGAAAAATAGACTCTATATTGTTTACAAGCTTTTTTAACATTCTCATATGTTCCAGTCAATCCCTTTATTGAAGGATGGAAATCTGACAAGTATTGTTTAACAATTTCTGGAGAATCACGAGCTGGATCACAAGTAATGAAAAGTGGTAATAATTCAATATTATCCTTAGATTTCAATTCATCTAACATTTCACCTAATTTATCTAATTCATCAGGACATACATCTGGACAATGAGTGAAACCAAAGTATATAATGGAAAATCTCTTATCATCATTCTTCAAGTCTTGTTCAGTGAATTCCTTACCATTCTCATCAACTAAGTTAAAAGGTCCCCCAATCAATGGTCTACCATAACTTTTCTTCGATTCAACATCTTTTTGTAACCTTAACCTTTCCTTTTCTTTAGTAAAATAATATGAAGCTGCACCTCCAAGAACAAGTAATAACATAACTGCTTTCCACGATGCAAATTCAGCACTATTTGAAACAAATTTCTTCTTTGAAGCTGTACCTCCAATAGCCACTCTACTTAATGGTCTCTTCTTAGGACTTGAGGTTTCATTCAGCTTGTTAGTCGAAGGTTTACTATCATTAGCTTGATTGAATCTTACTAAGGATGAACCTATAAATCTTCTTGATACACAAGTAGCTCCAAGGTTCAAATCCCTGGTTATTCTTAATGTACTTCTACTGATCTTTAACATTATTGCTTAGTTAGTACAATAATGATCTACTACTAAACAATTAGGGCCTTTGAATATCCAAAGTCCATATGGTCCAAAAAAATCATCTCACCATGGGGCTGTATGCAGGTCACTGAAATTTTTCAGATAGCCTAAAGGACAATTTGAGCTTATGGACTAAATAAATGATTGCTTCTGTTTAATAAACTGTATGTATCTGGGGTTATAATGAGTGTTAGTGATAGAGTTACCAAATTGGTGGAATGGTCCACTTTAAACGGGGCAAAACTTTCTTCAAATTTAGAAATTAAGCCAGTAGCAGATGGTAATATTGGAGTCTTCTACCATGATGTACAAGCTGCAAATGAAGAAGAAGATGATGATGGTCAAATAAAATTACCATTAAATTTAGTAATAACTTTACAAACAGCTATTGAATCCTTTTCCAAACTTGATAATTTAACTTCGTACCAAGAAATTACTCAAAAGACTTCGAATATCAATTCATTACTCAAATTGTATCTTGCAAGAGAGAGGCAAATTAATGATTCATTTTTCTCACCATATATACAATTATTACCAACATTATTTCAAATCAACTCACCATACACTTGGAAGTCTAGTGATAAAGAATTATTGAAAGGTACTAATTTAGGTAATTCATTGCCTGAAAATATTCAACAATTAGTTGAAGAATGGTGGCAGATTATAAATTTAATTCCTGATACAGTTGCTAAACCAACTGAACATTTCATAAATATGAAATTCTATTATGAATATAAATTTTATAAGAATGAAGATTTTGATAAATATTTTGAACAAGAAGCTTCTAAAGTTGAAAATTGGACTAGTTTCCCTAATTACTTATGGGCATCATTAATATTAAAATCTAGATCATTTCCAACATACCTTTTAAAGGAATCAATAAAAAGAGACATAAAACAAGATGAAGCAATGTTATTACCATTGGTTGATCTTTTAAATCATGATCCTAAGGCAAAAGTAAATTGGTTAGTTGATTCTAATTCATTTACATTCAAACTGGACAATCCTACTTTTGGAGATCAATTATATAATAATTATGGTATGAAGGGAAATGAAGAATTATTATTGGCTTATGGATTTGCACTTGAAAATAATATTGCTGATTCAGTAGCTTTAAAAATAAAAGTTCCTTTGGAAATGGTACAAGAAATTAAAGACTTTGGAATCACTTTACCATCTATTCATGATTATACAACTTCTATTGTTAGAATCAGTTCAGAATCTGACATTCAATCCAATGATATTAAGCAATACACTGATGGTATTTTATATTTCATTAGTAAAGATAATTTACCTTCTAATTTAATTGAATTGTTTCAATTCTTAGTGAAAAATAGATGGGAGAATAATGGAGTTAGTTTAAGAATGAAGTTAGCTGGTTATAATCATTTACGAGCTGCCTTAGAAAATAAAATGGCATTATTAAATAATAAAATACCCAAATCAAGTGCTAATCACGATTCAATACTTACCTATATTAATTCACAAACTAAGATTTATCAAGAGGCCATCAAGAAAATTAAACATTTAGAAAAGGATTTAATTGCTGAAAATAAATCAAAACTTATAAGTTTGAAATCAGTTTATAAGAAGGATAAGAAATTCCAACAATCATTATTAATTCATTTTGGATTTCTGAGTTATGAATCAATTCTTGAAGCTCAATTTCAAGATCAAGCTTGGTTATTATACTTGATACGATGCGTTAATCGTGAAGAATATATCCCAAATGCTCAAGATAATTTAGAAGGAGATGAAAATAATTATTTACCAAAATGGATTCATGATGATTTTAAAAAATTACAACAACAAGTAGATATTTCTAATGAAGAAGTTTTACAATATCAACAAATTTATCAAAACTTAATTCCTGAACTTAATACTCATATACCAGAAATATATAATAAGGGTAATTGGACAGTTGAGAATTTAGTATATAGTGCCAAACTTCTTGATATATTAGGATTTGTAAGAGGGAAAGATCAAGAGTGTATATTAGTTAAACATTAAAAAAGGTTAAGTATATGAATGTGTATGTGTTATATAGAATTAATTAGCAATATATATGTATGTTTCTAAAATTATGAACAATAACAACAAGAATTGAAAATGTATACAAAATAATATATCAATTAATCTTCTTTAATACCACCTCTACCACTAATTTCAGCATTTTCAACTGATTGTTTATCAGTTAAAACATCAGCACCACCAGTTAAAGCTTGTAAGAAACCTGGAGCAGCTTTAAATGGTCTCTTTAAGTCACCAGTGGCAGGAGAACCAAAAAGATGAATCTTAACAATATTAGATTCTAAAGCAGATTTAATACCAGAAATAGATTGCATAAATAATGGATTAGTATATTTTAAATAAATATGCATAAATCCCATCATAGCTAATCCACTAAAGATACCTTTAATTTGAGTATTAACTTGTTGTAAATCATATTCTTTAACAGTGGTAACGACAGCTTTTGGTTCTGGTTCTCCACCAAAGGCATTAGCAGGTTCAACATATTTTAAAGTAGTTAAATCATTCTTAGCATTAATTTTAGCTCTAACAAATAAATAAATAGCTAAGGCAAGTGCTTGACATGAACCATAAGCGACTCTAACATAGAATAAAATAGTTGGATCTTCTAAATCTAAACGACGAGAAACTTGCATCATGACAAGCATGATAACAATGTTGGTAACAGCGGGATTCATCTTGTTAAACTTAACTTAGCTATACTAAACCTACAAGAAGGATAACCAACAAGTCTTTAGTTTTTTTTGTTTTAGTATAACTTTTAGTTTTTTTATCCGTTGTTGAATTTTTCAGCTTGGCCGGCCGCAATGCAAAAAAAAAAAAAAAAGAAACTAAGAAACAACTACTAAATTTTTTCCTGCTTGGCTCCGCAATATCAAATGGCGGCAAAATATTACTTAAGTCTTTTTCTGTTTTTTCTATGGAAGCGAATGGAACAATTAGTGACCATCCTGCGAGCCAGTCCATTGGCTGGAGATATGGGCTGCAAACAGATTTTTATTTTGCAATCACTACCTACAGTAATAATTTAGTACGTTTAATTATGTATATTTTTATTTTAATTTTTATTTAAACTGTATATGCTATTTTATATTTTTAACAGAAAACCTAACTAATAAAACTCGGCAGCCCTATAAGCCAGTATCTTCATCATCAAATGAGACATCACCAAATTCCCAACATCCTAAATGTTGAGATTTGGCGTGTGATTGTTCAGAAAGTAATGATTTAACATAGTCCTTAACTTGATCCTTAACGATCTTATTATTAACAATGGCCCATCCTTCTTTAACTAATTGTTTATTAATAGTATAATCTGGATCTTTTAATGATTGTTCAGAATCATATAATATACCATCATATTCAATACCAAATGTACTTGAAGGTAAAGCACTAAGAACCAACTTTTTATCAAAAGTTAAATCTTCTAATGCATAAATTGCATCTGTTAAATAATCAGTTGGCTTAGAAGGTGGTAAAGAAATATTTTGTAAAACTGTAGTATGAGCAAATTGAGGATAATTAATTAAATTATATTTAGCTGGTAAAGTTCTTAATGATCCAATTGAAACTTTATCAACATTTCCAAAATCTAAATGTTTAACTTCATATTTACCACTAATCTTATCATGACCAATAACTTTAGCACGATAATATTTACCATTCTCATTAAATTTAGCTGAAACTAAATCATTTTTCTTTGGAGCTCTTTTCAAATTAAATGGTAAATCAATAGAAACTTCACTAGCTGATGGAGCTTGAGCATGGAACAGATTAAATGAATTTTTAAATTCATTGAATTTCTTAACTGTTTCGGAATCTAAGTATTGGAATGAAATAACTCCTGATTCTTTATCAACATCAACTACTTCAATATCAAAGAATTTAGGTTTAATTTCAACATTAAGTGCTGAAAGTTTGGCTTCAGCTTGGGCAACTTCGGCAGAAGCATCATAATTAGCCCAAATACCTTTCTTGGCTTCTTTAGCTGAATCTTCAGCTTTAATTAAATCACTTGCAAATGGATTAGAATTAACAGCTAAATTATGAACTTTAATTAAACCTTGCTCTAATAATGATACTTGAATAGGAACTAATGCATTTGCATTAACGTATAAATTACCAATAAATGATCCTAATTTATCAAGATCATAAATTTCAAATTCAACTCCACCTCTTTGTAAAAATCTCTTATTTAAAAATTTAAGACCCTTTTCACCTAAAGCTTCTGATTTTTCATTAGTTAAACCTCCTAAAATTAAAGTTAATTTAGTACCTTCCTTTGGATTAAATAATTTAACTCTATTAATAGATGGAATGAATTCAATATAATAACCACCAGAAATTCTACCCTTTTGTTTGAATCCATTAAAGAAAGTTTTGGCTTTAGTAGCATTTTCAGAAGCATCAATAATTCTATTACTAACAGTTAAAACTTTATCCAAATTGGATGCATATAACCCATTCTTAGCTAATTTCTTTTGATTTTCTTCAATTTCTACTAATTTATCCCAATTATGAGATCTTTCATGATTTGTAGCTTTGTTATGTTTAATTACAGTGGCCCATCCATTTTCAACAATTAATTCACTCAAATCGGTAGATCCAAATTTAAAACTAACTAAGAATCTTGAATCAAATCCTAATTCTTTATTTTCTTGTCTAAGTCCATCTACAAATATTGAACCAGTTTTACCTATAGCTTTTGCTCTAACAAATTCACGAGCTGAAGATGCTAAAGCCTGTCTCTTTAATGAATCTGTAGTTATAGTAGTATCATTTGGTTTTGGAGCTCTAATAGATGCTAATTGAACTGTTATTTCTTCATCATTACCTAATCTAATAACCAAAGTATCAGCACTTACAACTTTAGCAATTGTAACATTATCAACAGTAAGACCTGGTTTTAAAGATTTAATTGGAGATACTGCTGTTGAAGCAGTTGGGGTACTAACATTGGCATATAAACCTTTACCTAAAGCTTTGGCAGTTTGTTCAGCCTTTCTGTATTTAACCATATTAGTAGAACCAATTAAAGTAGATTGCCAATCAACAATTTCACCATAACCTAATTCTAAAGATTTTTCAATGATATCATTACCAGAAGGATGATGAACAATAGCAATTGGTAAACCAGATTGTTGATTTTCTCCAATAATACTAATAGTTAATTCTGCTTTAGTAGTTAATAATTTTTCTTCAACAAAGACTTTAGCTTGTTGAGCAACTTTGGTAACAGATGATGATTGAGTAGCATCATCAGTTCTTGGAGTTTTAATACCAGCCAATAAAATTGGAGTTACAACATGTTGAGATTTATTAGCCACAATTCTACCAACAATTCTATCACCACTAATAACTCTTTCAACAATTACCTTTAATGGATATTTCTGAGATTTATTAATGATATTTTCATTTAAAGTATCAATTACAGAAATTTCAGATGATTCAGAAGCCCAAACACCCAAATCTTTTAATTTAGCACCATTTTCAACTTCTTTTAATTCATAATAAATATCACCTTCATGGTCATTAAAGTTATCCTTTAATTTAACTAAACCCTTTTCTAATAAGTAAGCAATTAAAGATTTAAAAATTGGAGCTTGAATATCTCCGAATTCTCTATTAGTAGTAGGATTCTTATAATTAACTTTAAATTTAATATCCTTTCCAATAAGTAATTCTCGAAGATATTCTTTTGATTCAAAAGTATCTGGAGCTCTAACATAAGATAATGTAAGAATTCTTTCTGGAGGAGGGAATTGACTTGTCTTAGTTGGAACTAAAACTACAGTATCACCACTAAGAACATTCTTAACTTTGGCAACGAAGTAAGACATGCTTAATAAGTCTTATTATATGTTTACCTCAATTAATTGTTAATTATTATCTCACTAGTGATCTGTCAAGTTCGGGGAACTTTTCACAATTTTTCAGTCCACCCACTGACTGCGACGTTCGCGACACTGCGGCGTCTCCAGCTTTTTTGTTCTTAGAGATTCTACTCGGTACTAATTTTAATTACCGAGCATTTTAATCACAAGACCTATTATATTTATCGGAAGACATTGGTAACTATTAGTTATTTATATATATCGATGGCACCTCGTTCAACAGCTCAAAGAAGACTCTTGAAGGAGTATCAACAACTCTCAAGAGATCCTCCACCAGGAATTATAGCAGGACCCTTATCAGAAGATGATTTATTTAATTGGGAATGTCTTTTAGAAGGTCCAACGGATACTCCATATGAAAATGGTGTATTCCCTGCTATATTACATTTCCCAAAGGATTATCCTTTGAGTCCTCCAAATTTGAAATTTGATCCTCCTTTATTACATCCTAATGTATACGCTGATGGTAATGTTTGTATATCTATATTACATCCTCCTGGTGAGGATCCAAATCAATATGAAAGACCTGAAGAAAGATGGTCACCAGTTCAAAGTATTGAAAAAATCTTATTAAGTGTCATATCTATGTTGGCTGAACCAAATCCAGAAAGTGGAGCTAATATTGATGCTTGTAAATTATGGAGAGATGACAGAGAAGAATACAATAGACAAATAAGGGAACACGTCAGGAAAACTTTAGGATTTTAGGTTGGCTAATCATAGTAAAAGTATATATGTAATATATTTATGGCCAATAGATAATTAATTATTTATAGAACGAATAATTAAAACTAGTGAATAGTAATCGTAGATATCAAATCGAAATCGAGATCGAACAATAAGTAATGAGTATCGCGAAATTTGAGAGTATGGTCGTATATTTGTAGTTTATCGTAACACCAGTATGTCGAATGCGGATATTAAGATCGTTGAAGTGGCTATTGTTGGAGCGGGAGTAGCCGGATTAAAGGCTGCGCAAACTATTTTATGTGATTCTCGGTCAAAGGTTAAGGCTAAGGATGTTTTAGTATTGGAAGCTCAAAATAGAGTAGGCGGAAGAATTCTCACTGATAGAACTCTGTCTAAATTCGCGTACAATTATGATCTCGGAGCTGCATGGTTTCATGATTCCCTTACCAATGTTGTATTGAAAGAAGCAACTAAGTTGGATAACTTCAATCGCGAACAGGATACTTATTACGATGACAAAGATGCCAAAGTTTACTCACAGGATGGACCTGTTGATTTGGTAGAAACTAAGATTAATCGAGTTTATGATGATCTTGAGAAATTCATTGAATTGTATTTTTATAATGATATTGAGGTAGAGGATATGTCATTAAAAGAAATAACTAATAAATATTTAGATGAGTATCGAAATATTCTTACTGATGAACAACAGAAATATTGCCGATTACTAGTACGACACTATGAATCTTGGTACGGAATTTCTTGGGATATCATCAGTGCAAAATATGTTCTTATGGATCACCATGGAAGAGATTTATTAAACAAGAATGGTTATGACTTCATAATTGATAAGCTTAAAAGTGATATTCCAAATGAAAGTATCTTACTTAATGCCCAAGTCAAGGTAATTGATCGTTCCAATAAGGCGCATAGCCGTAAGATTTTACTTGAATTATCCAGTGGTATTAAAGTATATTGTAACTATGTTGTTGTTACTGTACCTCAAAGTATTTTGCAATTGCCTCAAAGTGATCCTTATGGAATAACCTGGGAACCTGCCTTACCATCTAACTTTCAAGAAGCGTTATCCCTGATCCATTTCGGTTCATTGGGAAAAGTCATATTTGAATTTGATTCAATATGGTGGGATAAGAATGAAGATAGATTTACTGTTCTTGCTTCAGAAACTCAAGACAAGCCCGCCTCAGAACCAATTACTTCTCATCCGAAGCCTTTTGATTATCATACATTCATCGTTAATTTCGCTTCAGTTCATAAAGAAAACATTTTGAGAGGAAGTGGTTTAGTGATTCTTACTCAATCACCATTAACTGAATACTTGGAATCACATTCTAAGGAAGATGCATGGAGATACTACAAGCCAATTTTAGAGAAGTTGGTAGTACCTGGCAGTACTATAAGCAATCCTATCAATACAATAATTACTGATTGGACACAAAATCCATATATTAGAGGTTCATATGCTGCTTTACATACTCATGATGATCCTTCACTGTTAGTAATACAACTCTCTGGAGAAATTGATAATACAGGAATTGTAGGACACCCAAATATAAGATTTGCTGGAGAGCATGCTATTCTGGATGGAGCAGGCTGTGTTCATGGAGCCTATTCAAGCGGACAACGGGAAGGTGAATGGGTCATCCAAGATATGAATTAACATATATATTAACTTTATATGGATACATAGAAATATCTAGAATATTCCAGAATATTCCAGATTAGTATTTTGCAATCGTATTATTATTATATTATATTTAGCACGTGATCTCGCCCATAGTAATTTTTTTTTATCGATCAGCATCTCTGCTTAAGATTTTTTTTTATTTTAGCAGTATATAAAAGGACTAGATATTACATTAGAGCAAGCTAGCACTCCAATAGTTGTTAATATTGTCAAGAAAATAGAAATAGAAAAAGAAAAAGAAACTAAAGATGGCTACCAAATTCGATGCTGAAACAGCAGAAAACTTAGAAGATATGGAAAAGCAATTTGCTGTTAAGGCTGTTATGCAAGCTGAAACATTCTGGAGTTTATTAGAAAAGATTCCAGGATCTAAGTTGAAATTAACTAAGCATGATGATGAAATCTTTGAACAATTTTTACAAGACTTTCCTGAATATAAGGAACCAAGTCAAGTTGCCATAATATCTGAAGATGATATGAAGAGTAAGGAAGGTAAAGCTAGATGGAGAACTTTCTGTGAAAAGTTCAATGAAATTGAAGATTACAATTTCGGAACTTTATTAAGAACCAGTGCTGCTGATGAATACAGTCAAGAAGGTACTATTTTTGTGGTTAGAATTCAATTCTATGCTATTGAAATTGCTAGAAATAGATATGGTTTAAACGACTGGATGTCCAAGAAATAAACAAGTCTGGTCCATTCATAATTTGTTGATTCTGTATATTTTCCCCTAGTATCATCAATGGTTATCTTGTATATTTAGTTCTGTTTAGAAATGTATGTTCAATACATGGTATATAATTAGAATGTCTTATGCGACATTGTAAGGTATAACAAATTTATAAAAATGAGACAATGAACACTTCCTCTCTATTAACTGGTGCTTAAGTTAGAACTGAAACCAGAGCTCAAGCTAGAACTCAAGCTAGAACTCAAACTAGAACTTAAACTAGAATTCAAACCAGAACACAAACTAGAACCAGAAGTGAACGGACTATTTGTGTTTTGTAACTAAGTGGTAGGACTAACAATAATAGTCCACAAACTCAAAACCTCACCCGAAAAAAACACAACAATCACACGAAAGCAATAATTGGGGAATAAATCGTTAAGGAGACTCGGATACCATTGACTATTGTAGTAATATAAGCATTAATAATTATTCAGGTAAATTAGTGGGAATTAAGTGGACTGTGGTGGAATTTACTTTTAGTGAATGAATTTTAAGTCTATGGCATAGAATATATCATTGAATTAACAATGAGTATAAAGAATTATTCACAGAATGGGAGTCAGACGAATCAGTCATGGCAAACAGCACTGGGAGTACAACAACTGCCATTACAAGTTCTGCAACTGCAACTGCAACTGCAACTGCAACAACAGAATCAAATGAATAATAATTCGGGAGGAATCAATTCGGCTCCTGCAAATACTTCATCGTATACTTTGCCGGGAGTTATTAATTATCTAACTTCAGAATTTACTAATCTTGAACGATTTAAAATTATGACTAATTTAGAGAAATCTGAAATGAAATATAAGATAGTACAACTTCAAGGAGAATTGAATGCTTTAAAGTTTGTCAATGGTAAACAAAAATCAAGAATAGAACAATTGGAGCAAGAAGTCAAAGCATTGAAAGCATCTAATAAAGATCATAATGGTAATGGTAATGGTAATGGTAATGGTAATGGTAATGGTAATGATAATAAATCTTCAGAAATTTCCAATGAATCAAACAAACCAGCATCATCATCTGTAAGTCTACCTCAAGTTGATTTACGATTGATCAAAGACTCGCGTGAGCATTTTACTAAGAGCATGACTGAGATTATAAGATTATTTAAGATACCCAATAGTCATAATGGATTGAATTATCTTGATATTCCTGAGTTAGATGATAATTATAATGAATTCGAAGTATTATTGGATGAGACTGATTCAAACAAGTCTGTAAATAAGTCCATTAAAGTACCTTCACATAGAAATAAGAGTTCAATAACTGCAAAATATTTTGATGGGATTGATAATCATACACCTCCTATAAAATTCAATAATAAATCTAATTCAAATTCAAATTCAAATTCAAATTCAAATTCAAATTCAAAGGCTCCAAAATCAAAACTTCCTGAACCTGTTCAAGATCAAATTCCTAAGGAATCTGAAGATTCCAAACCTGTTAATGATGTATACTTTAGATCATTGGATCCCCATACAAAACAAGATTTTTCAGGAGAAAGTGATGTAGAAACAGTAATTTATGATGATGATCATCCAAGTCAATTTGATTTACTGGCACTGTATAAATCTATATATCATGATGATTATGAAATTACATATCAAAAATTATTAGATAAAAAGAATGGAATATTACTTGAAATAATTGATAAATCCAAATTATCACGAAAATATGAAGTTATTATAAGTAATACGATTTATGATCGAATAATTGATATTTATCATGTATTTATTAATCAACAAGATTTAATTATTATAGTTGATAATCAAGGGATTATAATATCATATGATTTAAATAGTAAAGAAGAAAAAATTATTTATAATTTAACAAAACAAGTTTCAGAAATTCATTCATGTGAATGGATAGAATTTGAGCATAAAGCTACTACAAATAGTAAGAGTTATGGATTAGCATTACTTGGATTAAGTTCAGGTAATTCACCTCAATTTATTATTAAAGTACTTCGAATAATTATTGATACATCAACTAATCAATTAGATTCCAAAACTATTGGAAGTTTTAATAAAAGTTTTATTGCCTCTAAATTAGGTAATAAAGGATCAGATATAACATTTCAAGGATGGTATGTATCTAATTCAAATATTAGTAATAATACCAAAATTCCTCAATCTCCTAAAGTTAAAAAAAATGATAATACTGTTAAATGTGATGATCCAACATTAGCACCTTATCTTCTTACATTTAAAATGGACAATAAGTTGATAAAGTTAAATCTTGTGCTGAAACATATTAGTCAAGATGATGAAGCCTAAGTGCGACTAGAAAGTATGGAACATACAGTACATGAACATGAACATAAATCATACACAGCATACACAACAGATACTACATCCATAAATAATATACACTATATGTATTCATATAGTCAGACTTAACCACACTTAGTCATAGTCACACTTAGTCATAGTCACACTTATATAGTCTTACAGTATATAGCTCATTCGTTAATTATATACCCATATTCATATCTACTGTACTGTACATTTTCTCACTCGCACTAAAGCTTCAGCTTCAGCTTCAGCTTTATCGCTACACGTTCTGTTCTCATTGCAGAAATTCCGCTGCGGCTCGGTCTTCCCAAGTCTGAAAATTTTTTAATCAGTAATATCTTATCAGCTTGTTAATTTATATCTCTAGTTATATCTGTTGTTATAGTTCTAGTTCCAGATTCAGTACCATGTCTAACTTCGACGATTTTATTAAGAAGCAGCAGGCATTGAATAAGCCTAAGAGTTTTGGCTATAAAAATGCCAATATAACTCCTAGTAGTTATCAGAATCTGCAACCATTTGTACCTCAAGGAGGTTACAATGCTAATGCTAATTATAATAACAATAATAACTATAATAATCAAAGTTATAATAAGTACAATAATGCTAATACTAACAATTACAATAATAGAAACTTTAATAGAAGTAATAATCTTCAACAATCTTCTTCAATTAATAGTCCTATTGAATCTTTACCAACTAGTGGTACTGCCACTCCTGATCCAAATGCATCTACTACTTCTTTAACTTCACTTAATACTGCTTTAAGTAAATTAAATGTATCCAATGTACCATTCCAAGAGAATTTATTTAATATTGAAAGAGCCACTAAAATTAGTGAAGTAAGATCTGAAGTTGAAATTATTATTGATATTATTGCTAAAGAATCTTCACTTGAAGTTATTGATGAATGGAAATTATTAAGTATTATTAAATCATTTATTAAACCAAAGAATTCTCCATTAGTTAGAGAAGCTGCTTTATTAATAATTCAACAATTAGCAATTAATTTTGGAGGTCAAAGTCCAAAGGAAGCTTATCTTATTCAATTTTTTTCAGTAGCTTATGATATGTTTGCTGATAAAGATAAAAATGTTATTAAAGCTGCTAAATCGGCTATTGATACTTTATATGGTATTTATCCAGTTGAAGCTTTAGGTTCAATTATTCTTGATAATTTTTTAAATTATTTAAAATCTTCTGCAAAATGGAATTCTAAATTAGCTGCTTTAGTAACTTTTGATAAATTAATTGAAGAAGTTCCTGCTGATTTATTAGAATTAACTTTTGTTAGAACTGTACCAGTTTTAACTGATTTAGCCACTGATTTTAAACCAGAATTAGCAAAACATGGTTTAATAACTTTAAAATCTTTTGTTAAAGTATTAGATAATTTGGATTTACAAAATAAATATGATTTAATTGTTGAAACTTTAGCTGATCCAACTAAAGTTCCTGAATGTATTAAAAATTTATCATCAGTTACATTTGTTGCAGAAGTTACTGAACCAGCTTTATCATTATTAGTACCAATTTTAGATAAATCTTTAAAAATGTCTTCATCATCAAATGAACAATTAAGACAAACTGTTACGGTTACTGAAAATTTAACTAGATTAGTTAATAATAAAAGAGAAATTGAAACATTTATTCCAATCTTATTACCTGGTGTTGAAAAGGTTGTTAATAATGCTTCATTACCAGAAGTTAGAGAATTAGCTACTAAAGCATTAAATGTATTAAAAGATGCAGAAAATGAACAAACTGATGGGAAATTCCATGGAAGATTAACTTTAGAACAATCTAAAGAATTCTTTATTGTTTCTGAATATCCAATCATTGTTAGTAATTTAAATCTTAATAATGAAATTGAAAGTAATTATTTATCTCATGTATTACAAGCTGATGCTCATGTTAATGATTGGAAACGTTTAGAAGAATATTTAATTTCTCTTGTTAATACTGAAAATGATAAATCTGAATATGCTAAATCAGTTATTCATAATTTAAGAAAATTATATGATCCAGATACTGGAAATTCCAATACTAATGAAGATGGATCTATTGAAATTGTTAATGCTGATTTTTCTTTAGCTTATGGATCTCGTATGTTATTAAATAAAACCAATTTAAGATTATTAAAGGGTCATAGATATGGTTTATGTGGTAGAAATGGTGCCGGTAAATCTACTTTAATGAGAGCTATTTCTAAAGGTCAATTAGAAGGATTCCCAAGTGCTGATGAATTAAGAACTTGTTTTGTAGAACATAAATTACAAGGTTCAGAAGCTGATATGGATTTAGTAGCATTTATTGCATCTGATCCAGAATTAGCTGGAGTTGGAAGAAATGAAATTCAAAATGCATTATTAGAAGTTGGATTTCCTCAAGAAAGATTAGAACAACAAGTTGGATCCTTATCAGGAGGTTGGAAAATGAAATTAGAATTAGCCAGAGCCATGTTAATGAAAGCTGATGTATTATTATTAGATGAACCAACTAATCATTTAGATGTAACTAATGTTAAATGGTTAGAAGATTATTTAGTTGAACATACTGAAATTACTTCATTAATTGTATCTCATGATTCTGGATTTTTAGATGCTGTTTGTACTGATATTATTCATTATGAAAATAAAAAATTAGCTTATTATAAGGGAAATTTATCAGAATTTGTTAAAGTTAAACCAGAAGGTAAATCTTATTATACTTTAACTGATTCACTTGTTCAAATGCATTTCCCACCTCCAGGTATTTTAACTGGAGTTAAATCTAATACTCGTGCCGTTGCTCGTATGAGTCATGTTACTTTTGCTTATCCAGGAGCTCCAAAACCATCTTTAAAAGATGTATCATGTTCTTTATCATTATCTTCAAGAGTTGCTATTGTTGGACCAAATGGTGCAGGTAAATCTACATTAATTAAACTTTTAACTGCTGAATTAGTTCCAAATGAAGGTACGGTTGAAAAGCATCCAAATTTAAGAATTGGTTATATTGCTCAACATGCTTTACAACATGTTGAACAACATAAAGAAAAAACTGCTAATCAATATTTACAATGGCGTTATAAATTTGGTGATGATAGAGAAGTATTATTAAAGGATTCTCGTAAAATATCTGAAGAAGAAAAAGAACAAATGGCAAAAGAATTTGCAATTGATGATGGTAGAGGTCCAAGAGCAATTGAAGCAATTGTTGGTAGACAAAAATTAAAGAAATCATTTCAATATGAAATTAAATGGAAATTTTGGTTACCAAAATATAATTCATGGGTTCCAAGAGAAGTATTATTAGAACATGGATTTGATAAATTAGTTCAAAAATTTGATGATCATGAAGCATCAAGAGAAGGTTTAGGTTATAGAGAATTAACTCCATCAGTTATTAGAAAACATTTTGAAGATGTTGGATTAGATGGAGATATTGCTGATCATACTCCAATGGGCTCACTTTCTGGAGGTCAATTAGTTAAGGTTGTTATTGCTGGTGCTATGTGGAATAATCCTCATTTATTAGTATTAGATGAACCAACAAATTATTTAGATCGTGATTCTTTAGGTGGTTTAGCCGTTGCTATTAGAGAATGGTCAGGAGGTGTTGTTATGATTTCTCATAATAATGAATTTGTTGGAGCTTTATGTCCTGAACAATGGCATGTTGAAAATGGTGAAGTTATTCAAAAGGGTACTGTTGATGTTGATAATTCAAGATTTGAAGATCAAGGAGATTCAACTGATGGATCAGCTGTACCATCACGTTCATCAACTCCTCAACCAAAGAGACCAGATGATGATGATTCACCAGCCAATATTAAAGTTAGAATTAGAAAGAAGAAGTTGACTAGAAATGATAAGAAACTTCAACAAGAAAGAAGAAGATTACGTCATATTGAATGGTTAAGTTCTCCAAAGGGTACACCTAAACCAGTTGATACTGATGAAGAAGATGAATAAACTCTATAGTATATGAATAATTTATAGTGTATAATAGCAATTTATTTATTGTAATATGAATATTGTAGCAGGTTAGATAGAATGCTACAAGAGTTGTTAGAGTAGTAGTAATAGTGCTAGTAGTAATTTACGATAGTATGTTGTAGTACAGCAGGTACAACATAGTAGCTCGTACAGTGTATTACAGTGTAGTACAGTGTAGTATAGTGTTATAGTATAGTAGTATAGTACAGTAGTAGTATGTAGTGTACTATGTAGTGTACTATGGTAGAGTATAGTTAATATAGTACAGTACAGTAGTAGTATAGTAGTACATTGTAGTACAGTATAATATAGTATAGTATAGTATAGTATAGTATAGTATTGTATAGTATGGTTTGGTATACTACAGTATAGTACAGTAGTATGTATTGTGGTACTCTAGTTAGACTATGTCGCATTACTTATGTCGCACACTCACTGTTCCGCGACATCACCAACATCCAAATGCTCGAAGGCAAAATATGAAAAACCACTAACCAACTCAGTCATAGTGCTACACATTACTATTACTACATTATTATTTACAGTTATCTACAGCTTTAACAGATTCCCATAGTGGTATAATATATCAATTGAATAATGGCTGATAGATATTCCTTCTCGTTAACTACTTTCTCACCAAGGTAAGTACTATTGCATTAATTGAATATATATTGAATAATTATTGAATAATCAATTAATGAGTATTGAATAATTATTGAATAATTATTGAATTAACACTACGGATTACTAACGTTTATATTTATAGTGGTAAGTTAGTTCAAATTGAATATGCATTAAATGCTGTCAAACAAGGTGTAACCACCATTGGTATTAAATCAGCAAATGGAGTTGTTCTTGCGACTGAACGTAAAGCTAATTCTCCACTTATAAAGAGTGAAACTAATTCAAAAGTAGAATTAATAACTCCAGATATTGGAATTACATATTCTGGTATGGGACCAGATTTCAGGGTACTTGTTGATAGAGCTCGTAAATTGGCTCATACAAACTATAAAAGAATTTATAATGAATATCCACCAGTAAGAATTCTAGTACAAGAAATTGCTAAAGTTATGCAAGAATCTACTCAATCAGGAGGTATTAGACCCTTTGGTGTATCATTATTAGTTGGAGGTTATGATCAACATTCTAATCAATTTCAATTATATCAAGTAGATCCAAGTGGAAGTTATTTCCCATGGAAAGCCACTGCTATTGGTAAAACTTCAAATTCTGCTAAAACATTTTTAGAAAAAAGATGGAATGAAAATTTAGAATTAGAAGATGCAATTCATGTAGCCTTATTAGCATTAAAGGAATCAGTTGATGGAGAATTAACTGGAGAAAATTTGGATATAGCAATTATTAGTGATCCTCAAGAACATTTATTAGGATTTAAAGGTACTAAAGATGAAGGTCCAAGATATAAGAAATTATCAGCCGAAGAAATAAATGATAGATTAGAATCTTTATAGTTAGATTATTTACGATCTCAGCATAATGCAATTGCTTACAGATAAGGAGAGTTTTACTTAGTGTAGATTGTAGAGAGTTTAGTAACAGGGATCACTAACTGTTACTAACACTAATAGTAGACATTAAAGGATGGGTATGAAAATAGATCTATAACAAGTCATATATCTATCTATTATCTATCTATCTATTATCTATATATCTATTATCATGATTATCTTATATTCCTACATAGTTAATAAGAGTACTAACTCCATAGGGCTATATAGAGGATATAGATAACTACATATAATTTAAATGGCTGCGTTACTGTCCAAAAGCAAAGGGTCGTGTCCACTACCAAATCAATAATTTTTTTGGTGAATATTTTAGCGAAGAGCATCTCCAGAAATTTGCATCAATTCGAAATAACTCGATAGAACATTCCAAATCTCAGGCAATATAAACATGGCTCGTAAGGGTAAAAAGTCCAGTATCAAAAGGAGTAGTTCTAGGAAAATCCTAAATGCTTTTGAAATTGCCGAAAGAGCAGAAAATAAGTCAGATGGATCCGATAATGATTCTCAAGATGAGCATAAAGTTCAAGGAGGAGTTATGTTTGCTGGGAAATTCTTAAAGAAAACTCGAAGAAATGATGATGAAAGTGATGAAGATGATGAAGAAGAAGAATTTGAAGATGAAGAAATCGATTCAGATGAAGCCTTAGGATCAGATGATGATTATGATGTATTAAATTCTAAATTTTCTCAAACTTTAAGAGATAAATCAAAGAGAAGAAAATTACGAGAAAAGAATATGAGGAATGGTCAAGGATATGAAGAAAGTTCTGAAGATGAAGATGATGGATATTCAAGTATAGATGAAAATCAATTAGTTACATTATCTGAAGCTTGGGATATGGATGATAAAGATTTAAACACTTATGAAAAATCAACTTCAAAGAACAATGATATAGTATTGAATGAAGATGATGATAAATGGGAATCTGAATCTGAACCTGAATCTGAATCTGAAGAGGATGATGATGAAGATGATGATAATAGTGATCAAGAAGATGACTCTGAAGAAGATATTTTTCAAAATGATTCTGATGATATTGAAGATGAAGATGATATAAATTTAGCATCTACAGTATCTAAACTTCAATCAAGTTTAAGAAAACCAGAAAAGGAAAGAAGAAAATTAATAGCAGAAACTACCGAAGAAAATGAATTTAATTTACCAACCAATGGAAATAAACTTAGTTTAACTGATATGCTTGCAGCTGTTGATTCATCTATTTCAAAAGATGCTATATTAATTGATGAAGATTCTAAAGCTATAGCAGCTCCATTACCTAAAAGAATTCAACAAAGACATGATAGAGCAGTAGCCTATGAAATGACTAAAGAAGAAATTAGTAAATGGGAAGATACTGTACAAAAGAATAGACAAGCCGAAGTATTAAAATTCCCATTAAATCCCAAAATTAAACATAATGATAGTGCTACAACTTTTAAATCTGATAATATTCCAACTACAGAATTAGAAACAAAAATTAATAATGTATTAAAGGAATCAGCATTAATAGATGAAAAGAAAGAAGCCACATTTGAAGAAATAGCTATAGCTAAAATGTCAAGTGAAGAAATGCAAAGGAGAACCAATGAATTAAGATTAATGAGAGAATTAATGTTTCGAGATGAAAAGAGAGCTAAAAGAATTAAAAAGATTAAATCTAAACAATATCATAAAATTAAAAAGAAGGAAAGATTAAGAAATCAAGAATTAGTTGAAGGAAGTGATAATGAAAGTGAAGGAGAAGATCATGATATGAAGAGAGCTCAAGAAAGAATGTCATTAAAACATAAGACTCAATCTAATTGGGCTAAATCTATGATTAAAAGTGGATTATCAAAGGATGCATCCAATAGATCGGAATTAGAAGAAATGTTAAGACAAGGAGAAAGATTAAGAGCTAAACAATTAGGTCATGAAGATGGTGAACAAAGTGATGATAATATTAGTGATATTGAAAATGATTATAATCGAGATCGAGATAATAATGAAGCTGATGAAGCCATTAAAAATAAATTAGGTAAAGGAGTATTAGCTATGGATTTTATGAAGAAAGCTGAAGAAAGAAGTAAACAAGAAAATTTACAAGAACTTGAAGAATTAAGACGTCTCGAACAGGAAGGAGATTTACAATCATTTGAAGATTCAACTAGTAATGTTAATATTACTATAAATCAAGGTAGAAGGGTTTATACACCTTCAGCATCAGCTATTAGAGAAGATATTGATCAAGTAAATCAACAAGTATTAGCTGAAATTAATGATGATCAAGCTAATAGTTTAACTAGCAAATTAGGAAAGAAATTCAATGTTGTAGCTAATTCAGAAAGGAAAGATAAGACTGAATTATCTAAAGATATTATTGTTGAAGAAGATGTTAATCCTTGGTTAACTGAAAGTTCTGAACCATCTCAAAAGTCTAATAAAGTTACCACTATTGATAAAGAGTCTTCTAAATTGTCTAAAGCAGCAGCTAAGATAGCTAAGAAGGTATCTAAAAAGCATAATAATAATAATAATAAGAGGAAGAATGATGAAGATCAATTGATCGATATTGAAGAAACATTAAAAGTAATAACTACAAGTAGAGGAGGAGAAGAAGATGAAGAAGAAGAAGAAGGTGAAGGAATTGGATCTAATGAAAATAAAATGTTTAAACAAAAGGATTTAATTAAAGAAGCCTTTGCCGGAGATGATGTAGTTGAAGAATTTGAAATTGAAAAGAAAAGAACCATTCGAGATGAAGATGATAAACAAGAAGATTTAACCTTACCAGGATGGGGAGATTGGGCTGGAGGCTCTAAAAAGAATAAAAAGAGGAAAGTTATTAAAAAGATTGATGGAGTTGTTCAAAAGGATAAAAGAAAAGATAAGAATTTAAAGAATGTTATTATTAATGAAAAAGTTAATAAAAAGAATTTGAAATATCAATCAAGTGGTGTACCATTCCCATTTGAATCAAGAGAACAATATGAAAGATCTTTAAGAATGCCTGTTGGACAAGAATGGACATCTAGAGATACTCATCAAAAGATGACCATGCCTAGAATTGTTACTAAACAAGGTACAGTTATAGATCCATTGAAGGCACCTTTTAAATAGATTTTAAAACTTGTACAATTGCATAATATATATATAATTAATAAATTTTAATATAAATCTTTATCTTTATCTTTATCTTTACCTTAATTTATTCTAATAATATACCATTTCTATCGAGCCAATTCTTCCCACTAAGGAAAACTCCATCAGGATCAGTCTTATTTCTAATCTCATTATATTTAATTAAACGTTCACCAAACCAATCTTTCATTACTGGTTTAAACCCTATCATAGTATAAAATTCCTTACCACCATAATTTAATTGAGTTTCAAGATCTTGTGGGGTCTTTTGTTCACCATCTAATCCAATAAAATTCTTAGCCCAATGAGGTTTACCACCAGCTTTTGTTAAAATATTTTCAAATATTTGAAACCATTCATGAGTTTCAACATTAGTTCCAAAGGGTCTATACATTGTTGCATTAATAAATAATGTTAATTGTTCATTGGTAATATCTTCTTGTTTTGCATAAGGTCTATCGGGTGAATTATCTAAATAAGGACGTAAATTATTTCCAGGAATTGGTCCTGCACTTGTTTTAGTACGTTTAGATAACCATAATTTTGAAGGATATAATGAAGGTTCACCAGTATTATCATCAATAAATGGTTTCTCGGTATAAGTAACATTTGAACATCTAACTTCAATTGGAGCATGAACATAAAATCTATTTTGTTTTGCAGCGGCTTGAATAACATCATTTAATTCATTTAAAACTTCAATCCCAGTAATTAATGGAGCTGACCATTCATTAACAAATTGACTGAAAAGACAATCCATATTTAAACCTTCAACAGAATTTTGTACAGCAATATCTCCCTTACCTAAAGTTTCAACATCACCATATTGTTGTTTAAATACAAATTTTTCAATCCAAGGAGTTAAAGATGGTAAAATATGAACAGATATCCAAAGTAATGATTGATAAAAAAATCTACCAAATTTAGTACCATACCATGAAGATCTTGGATCACTTAAAGGATCTAAAGATTTAGAAGCTCTCCATAATACACAATTGCCACTATAAGGAAACCACCAAATTCTAATAAATTCAGAATCAAGCCAAATATTATTCCAATTCTTTAATAAAGTATCAAATTTAATAATTTCTTGTTTTGATTTAATTGTATAAGCAGGACAAGTTCTTAAAGTAACTTTTGTAATTATACCAATTTTACCTAAAGATAATAAAATAGCTTTAAAATATTCTGAATTTTCAATTGATGAAGTTTTAATTAATTCACCTTTAGAATTTAAAAATTCAATACTTACAATTTGTTGAGATACTAATCCATGATATTGAGTTGAACCATGAGTACCAGTTGAAATTAATCCAGCAATAGATTGATCACTAATTGATCCTAAATTTTGAATAGCTAATTTATGATGTTTTACATATTCATTTAATTCAAATATTCTAATTCCAGCTTCAACCGTTAAATCAACAAATTTAACTTCTCCATCAACTTTGAATTCTTCTTTATTTAATACTCGATTAAATAAATCTAAATTACATAACCATTCTTTAGTCATAGTCAAATCACTTGGTGAATGACCTGACCCAACAGTCATAATGGTTTTACCATTAAGTCTTGCTTGATTAATTAATTCTTTAATTTCTTCTAAATTTCGTGGTTGAAAATATGCTTGTGGTTGACAATAAAACGTTCCTGCCCAAGTTTGATGAAAAAATTTGGTGGCCGTAAACGGCTTCAAAGATTCAGGGATCGACATATTACTTAGTCAATTGAAATTTTTCAATAGTTAAGATGTCTAACCCGTTTAACTTTGATTTTTCAAATTGACTTGTCATGATGTATTTATAAGCTGGCTTTGTGTCGGTCGATTTTTTTTCAGCAAAATGGCGCTGCTGTGTCGCAATCTTTTTGCTATATTTGCTAAATTAGTTTTTATAGGTGAATGCCTATTGGGTGCAAATTAGTAGGTAGTGGTGTGAGGGTAGTGTAGCACGCTTATTTAGGGCTAAACTAGTAGTAGATATCTTTAAAAAAAGGTTGTATAGTTATTGGAATTATGGGTTGTGTGAATAGTCGGAGGTATACTGAAGTGTGGCTCATTAAAGTCCGAAGCATTGATGTCAATATTGTTTGGGCTCGTAATTGTTAAGTCTCACTATAGAAGACAGTAGATCTACTGTACTGTAGTCTTCTCTATTAGTACCGACAGTTTGGGGTTCAGTCAGCAGGGTTATGTGAATTGTAATGATTCTATTGGCCATGCTCCGATGCCGGACTGGTTGCATCGGAAAATCGCAATTACGACCGAAACATTTACTTCAATGGTCAAACGAGTGATATATATAGAAGAATACATAATGAGGAAATAATGGTAATACAAAAGAAATAGTAAGTTATTCACTTTTACGTATTAAGTGGGAGTGGAAGTAGAAGTGGTACGTTGATGATAGATAGTACATTTTTCATTTTCCTATATAATGGTTGCTGTATCTGGTAGCGCATGCGTTCTATTCATTGAACACGTACACCATTAGACAAATATATATTTATAATAAGTGAAGTCATAGAACTTACTTACTTACTATTTTCTTAATTAAGGTTTAAATAATTAAACGTTGTAATAAGATAAAAAGAAATTTTGAATGTTACTTGAAACATTTTAACTTACAGTATATTGTACTATAGTTTATATACAGTATGTTACAGCCTCATCGGTCACGTGCATTTCTAAAACAGAACAATTTCCTATTTCGATAAATTGAATCTCCTCTCTCTCACTCTCTTGTGCGCGTCGTCGTATCCCAACAAGTTTGCTCGCCAAACTCGTCGTATAATCATCAGATCTAGTCGCGAAGAAAAAAATGCACTATAAGTGGAAGAGTTTTGGCAGCAGATTTAATTCTTAATTTTATACTACAATTCTAAGGATTCTTAATTTATAAATTTGATTCATTCGTTAGTATCTGTAGATAGTAAGAAATAAGTCAAAAACAAATTAGTCTTATTGCTATTTCAATTATAATCTTTATAAAACTAAAACTATCTCATCAACTGAATTAATCTTTAACTATTCATCTAGTTTAAGTAAAGTTATAAAATCATAAAAGAAGTAAATTTCAATTTCAATTTCAATTTCAATTAATAATTAATAATAATTAGTATTTCATCATGACTAGACCATCTAATATCGGTATTAAAGGGATCGAAATTTATATTCCATCACAAGCTGTTAATCAAAGTGATTTAGAAAAATTTGATAATATTCCAGCTGGTAAATATACCATTGGACTTGGTCAAACTAATATGGCTTTTGTTAATGATAGAGAAGATATTTATTCTTTATCTTTAACTGTATTATCTAATTTAATTAAGCATTATAATATTGATACTAATAATATTGGTAGATTAGAAGTTGGTACTGAAACTTTATTAGATAAATCTAAATCTGTTAAATCAGTTTTAATGCAATTATTCCCAGGTAATAGTGATATTGAAGGTATTGATACTGTTAATGCTTGTTATGGTGGTACATCTGCTATCTTAAATGCTGTTAATTGGTTAGAATCTTCAAGTTGGGATGGTAGAGATGCTATTGTCGTTGCTGGTGATATTGCCATTTATGATAAAGGTGCTGCTAGACCAACTGGTGGTGCTGGTGCCGTTGCCATTTTAATTGGTCCAGATGCTCCAATTGTTTTTGAATCAACTAGAGGTTCTTTCATGGAACATGCTTATGATTTCTATAAACCAAATTTTACTAGTGAATATCCAGTAGTTGATGGTCACTTTTCTTTAGCTTGTTATGTTAAGGCTGTTGATCAATGTTACAGAGCTTATTCTAAAAAGGTTACTAAATCAACTGATAAAACTGTTGGTCTTTTCGATCATTTCGATTATCATGCATTCCATGTTCCAACTTGTAAATTAGTTACCAAATCTTATGCTAGATTATTATATAACGATTTCCAAGCAAATCCAGCTAAATTTGAAGGATTAATTGATAAAGAAACTAGTGAAAAAATTCAAGCTTTATCTTATGAAGAATCTTTAGTAGATAAAAGTTTGGAAAAGATTTTCCTTGGTTTAGTTAAAGAACAATCAAAGATTAGAGTTGATCCTTCATTAAAAGTTCCAACCAATACTGGTAATATGTATACTGCTTCTGCTTGGGCTTCACTTGCTTCTTTATTATATTATGTTGGTTCTGAATCTTTACAAAATAAGAGAATTGGTATTTTCTCTTATGGTTCTGGTTTAGCTTCAACTTTATTATCAGTTAAAGTTATTGATGATATCACTGATATTACTTCAAACTTAAACTTAGATTATAAATTAGGTAAAGGTAGAAAGATTGAATCTCCTGAACAATACTTGGAAGCTATTGCTTTAAGAGAAAAGGCTCATTTACAACATTCTTTCGTACCTACTGGTTCAATTGAAAATTTAGTTCCTGGAACTTATTATTTAACAGAAATTGATGATAAATATAGAAGAAAATATTCCGTTAAGGAATAAATTAATTAAATCTCATTCTTAATAAAAATTGGTTGAATTTGATTATTCATGGTATTTGCTTTTCCACTTTTGCTATTGGTTTGAATTTAAATCCTCACGTTCATTATTTGCTACTTATCCCTCCTGTTATTAATTTCTAGTTAACTTATTAGAAGTTTTGTATATGTATGTATTTATCTATTGTAAGCTTGGAATATAGCAGAAGTAATATAGTAACTTATTTATAATATACATATAAAAATAATATATCTATTATTATTAACAATCAAATAATCAATTTAGAGTATAAATTTAATTGGTGCAATGATAGTAGCTCATTATTTACAAAACATGGCTAATTGCATCCATCATCGAAATATTATCGATACTCATTAATTTCACAGTATGTGATGTGTTCTTATCATATCTCATCTTTCCTCGTAAGTTGTAAGCAAATGACGGACGAAATTAAGGTTGCTCCGCTTATTGACATCACTATTAACCACAAATGAATGTTTCAGGTATATTAACCATACACCCCCTTTACTAAACGTGGTAAACAAATGCCATATATAAACGTCATACCTAAATACAGCAACATAGCAATCGTGACTTTAGCCATAAATGACAATTGCAGCAACTCTGAATAATTTTTTTTCTCACGTGAGGCTTTTATCTACAGTGCAGCCAAGTTTTTCACAACCATTAGGAGAAAAAGAGTGGGGTAATAAGGTAGAGAGAGCAAAGATATGATTGTGACTTTTATTTTGTATTTAAGAAGTCAAAGATGTCCTTAATTGACCATTATTATTTTTTAATTGTAGTAAGTTATTCTTTCGTTCAATAAATTTAGAGAAATCAATATGAAATCATTAAAATTATTACTTACCTTATTAGCTACATCTACTACTATAGTAATCAGTGATACTTCAACAACTAATAGTATTACTGATTATTTTAGTAGTTGGTCTGTAGAAGATATTAAAGAATTTTTAAAGGATAGAAATATTGCTGTTCCATTACTTGAAAATGATAAGAAAGAAGATGATACTTATTATACTCAATTGAAAGAATTGGCTAACGACCAATATGAAACTTTAAAATCTCAATATGATTCAATTGTAGACAAAGTTACGGATTATTCAAATGCGAAACAAGCAGATGCTGAAAAGCAAAAAGTATTGAATTGGGATTGGAATTTAGAAGATTCAGTCCCAGAACAAATTAAAAATTATGGTTATTTATTTAAAAGTTCAGATGATAAACAAGAAGATTCCTTTGTAAAAGATTGGATATTTGAAAGTTGGCCAATCAGGAATTTGATATATTTCAGTTACAATAACAAACTTATTGACTCCTTAGATTATAGTACCAAGAATTCAATTAGTGAAGAATTCATTGATACAATTAAACAAAAGTATGACGATATTGTTAAAACCAAAAACCTCCCTAGTCGTTATCCTGGAGATTGGTTATATGAACTTTGGTCACTTGAAGACCTTCAAGAATGGTTAAAGAAATATGAAATCCCATTCAATGAAGAATCAGATACTAGACGTGATTTATTGAAGAAAGTTAAGGAATATAGTTACTTAGTCTCTCAATCGATCAGAGATTCTAAGGATTCCTTATATGAATCATTGAATTTAGGTACTCTTGATGATTATGCTAAATACAGTAATAAAAAAGTTAATCAATATAGTGATGAATTTTGGAAACTTTGGTCCTATTCACAATTAAGAGAATGGCTCTATTATAATGGTATTATTGATAAGAGTCCTTCAGTTTATGATGAAAGTTTGACAAGAGATAAATTATTGAAATTAATGAAATCAAAGCAGAATTACTTAAGAATTGATCTTGAGAAATATTTGGATAAAATTAAAGGTCAAGTACCAAAAGATATTGATATCAAAGATGATACTTTTTTACAAAGAATCAATAAGTGGTCTAAGGATAGATTAAGAAAATTTTTAGAAATTAGAGGAATTAAGACATCATCTTTAACTCCTAAGAAAGATTTGATAACTTATGTTAAAGTGAATCGTGACAAGCCAGTTATTGATGATTCATTTTCTTGGTTATATGATACATTTTCAACTGAATCAATTATTAATTGGTTAAAAGAAGAAGGGGCCAGTGTTGATGGTACTAGGAAAGATTTACTTAAGCTGTTTGAAAGTACAATCTCTGATACTTTCCAAAGTAGTAAGCAAAGAGTTCAAAATGCAAAAGAGAATTTACCAAGTTTGGCTCAATATCAAGAATACCTAAAGAAAAAGTATCCAAATAAGAAATTTAATCAAAAATCTATTGATGCTACTTATGAATTAGTTTCTTCTTATTATGATACAGCTTCAAATTCTGTTTTAGATGGTTTCCAAGATACTCGAGTTTCACTTGATGATACTTGGAAAACTTTACAAGGCCAAGCATTTGATTATGCCGGAGAAGTTATTTCAACTCAAAAAAATATTAAGAATATTGTAGCTGATCAGTATACAGCAGCCAAAGAAAAAGCTCAAAGTTCTTCTGAAGCTATTGCAGCAGCTTTAACTAAAAAGTACAGAGCTTCGAAATTAAAACAATATTTCAATAAATTAACTCAACATTTCCAAAATGAGAAGGATAATTTAAGTACATTAGTTAAGAGTAATCAAAAAGAAACACCAGGATTTTTTACTTCAGCTTATAATTATATATTAGGTATTACAGATTCAGCTAAGGAAAAAGTTCATAAAAAGGTTAATTATGGGAAGAAACAAAGTGAATTCCCCGTTTCTCAATACAAATATATTATTAATTCATTTTCTGTAAATGATTTATCATCATATTTACAGAATTTTGGATACGATGTAAGTTGGTTAGTTAAACTTTCTAAGGATCAATTGGTTAGATTAGCTAATGAACAAACAGATATATTTTTTTCTAGTTCAAAGGATACTAGTATATGGGATAAGTCTATAGTAGAAATTTTGCAAGAGACAAGTGATAGTATTCAAGAACAAATTGGGTTAAAGCCTACTAAGAAGAAAGGTTGGTTTAGTTAATTACATTAAAAAACTATCCAAGTACTCTTTTTAAACTATATATAAATAAATAAATAAATAAGTAAATAAATAAATAAATAAGTAAATAAATGATGATTTAAAAGATAAGACTAATGATCTATGATCTATATTGGACTAGTATTGCTGCAAAAACTTTACTAGGTAGTAACGTAGTAATGTAGCCATGATATACATGATAGACGCGTCTCTGAAGACATCCTACCCAAATAGGCAGTCTAGCTCGTCATGCAATAAATATGTTTTGAAAATGTACTAAAATGGAAAATTAAGTGCACAAAATAAATAGTAAACAATCGAGAAAAAAAAAGACGAACAAAATCAAAACAAAAATCAAACAACAGCAACTTGAACAGAAGACAAATACAAATTCAAATTGATCACGCTACAAGCATATCATCATAGTGATAAGAGTTAGCGAACATGAGAGAAGTTATCAGTATCAATGGTACGTAGAGATTAGTTGTGATGGGTAATCGTTATCACGATCCAGTGGTATCATTACTATATATATATATATATATGTATATAATATATGATGTATCATAATTACTAACATAAATATTCTTTTAGTCGGTCAAGCCGGTTGTCAAATAGGTAATGCTTGTTGGGAATTATACTCACAAGAACATGGAATTAGACCAGATGGTTTTTTACAAGAAGGATTAGATAGACCAAAAGGTGGAGAAGAAGGATTTTCAACTTTCTTTAGTGAAACAGGTTCAGGTAAATATGTTCCTCGTGCTTTATATGTTGATTTAGAACCAAATGTTATTGATGAAGTTAGAACTGGTATTTATAAAGATTTATTTCATCCAGAACAATTAATTGCTGGTAAAGAAGATGCCGCCAATAATTATGCTAGAGGTCATTATACTGTTGGTAGAGAAATTTTAGATGATGTATTAGATAGAGTTAGAAGAATGAGTGATCAATGTGATGGATTACAAGGATTTCTTTTCACTCATTCTTTAGGTGGTGGTACTGGTTCTGGTTTAGGATCCCTTTTATTAGAACAATTATCAATTGATTATGGTAAAAAATCAAAATTAGAATTTGCTGTATATCCAGCTCCTCAAGTTTCAACATCTGTTGTTGAACCTTATAATACTGTTTTAACTACTCATACTACTTTAGAACATGCTGATTGTACTTTTATGGTTGATAATGAAGCTATTTATGATATGTGTCGTAGAAATTTAGATATTTCAAGACCAAATTTTGATTCATTAAATAGTTTAATTGCTCAAGTTGTTTCATCAGTTACTGCTTCTTTAAGATTTGATGGTTCATTAAATGTTGATTTAAATGAATTTCAAACTAATTTAGTTCCATATCCAAGAATTCATTTCCCATTAGTTTCTTATGCTCCAGTATTTTCTAAAGCAAGAGCTAGTCATGAAGCAAATTCTGTTGCAGAAATTACTGCTGCATGTTTTGAACCAGGTAATCAATTAGTTAAATGTGATCCAAGAACTGGTAAATATATGGCTACTTGTTTATTATATCGTGGTGATGTTGTTACAAGAGATGTTCAAAATGCTGTTGCTCAAGCTAAAGCTAAAAAGACTGTTCAATTAGTTGATTGGTGTCCAACTGGTTTTAAGATTGGTATTTGTTATCAACCTCCAACTGCTATTAAAGGTACTGAATTAGCTGCTGCCAATAGAGCTGTTTGTATGTTATCTAATACCACTGCTATTGCTGAAGCTTGGAGAAGAATTGATAGAAAATTCGATTTAATGTATTCAAAGAGAGCTTTCGTTCATTGGTATGTTGGTGAAGGTATGGAAGAAGGTGAATTTACTGAAGCAAGAGAAGATTTAGCTGCTTTAGAAAGAGATTATATTGAAGTAGGTACTGATTCTTTCCCAGAAGAAGAAGAAGAATATTAAATTTGGTAATGGCTATATATAATTTTTTTCTAATTCATTTATTAATACCCTTTTATATCTTATTTTATTTTCTTCATTCCTTCCTTCCATTCTCTTCTTATCTATATTCAAATTTAGTGTTGGTTTAATTATTATTATTCTTATTTACTAGTATAATATATGCTAATAATATTGCTGTAGTATCAATAGTAATACTAGTAGTACAAGTATTTTTTTAATATAAGTTATATATATTAAATGTATATAATTTAATATTATTTAACAATTCCGTTTTCCCCCTAGATACCATTCACTAAAAAGCTGTTTTCAAGGAACCATATGGTATCCCTTCACCAGACTTTTTCTTTTAGAAAATTTGTGGATAGACCATTGCTCTGATAAAAAGTTTCCTAAAATTTTTGAATCAATTTACCTATTATAAATAAGTCTCTAAAAGATACAATTAGTAATAAAAACCTAAATTTAATTGAAATGTTAATAGTAAAAGATCTAAAGTTAGTAAATAAAAGCCTAGATTTAATTGAAATATTATTATTTCATTTGATAAAGCTCTGTATGTGACTAATAGATCAAATAGACCAAAAACTAGCCTGTTCTATTATGAACCAAATCAAATGCAATTTCACGATCAAGATATTAACTTCTTTACGAATCAACCAATATCTTTTCAGAAAGAATTCTTAACATCAACGAATCACTTTTTAACAAAGTCAATATTACTATTACTTTAAGGCTTGTTCGGCAAATAGTGCGGGAATAGATGTGGGCATGCACGAAGTGACAGTGCGAAGTGCGAAGTGCAGTGGTTGGATTTTTTTTTTCAGTTGAGTAAGCAGGGCATTTAATAAAGTTAGATGTTTCTTCAGTGACTATACAACTTACAGTAGGATCGATTTCAGTAGAACTATGGAAGATAAGAGAGAGCTTTTGAAGCAACCTTTACATGGGATATATATTCCTATTCTTCTTATTCTCGGAGGTACATTAATCTTTGGGGTTGAATACTTACCATATAGTATAGCATTCATAGTTATAGTTGGAAGTTCAAAAATTTATCAAGCATGGAGTAGAAGAAGTTCATTAGATAAAACTGTTTGGAGAGATTTTGAATTAATCGATAAAACTATTATTGGTCCAATGACATCTATTTATAGATTTAAATTAAATAGAGAAGATGAAATTTTAGATATTCCAACGGGTCATCATGTAGCTTGTTGTTTTACAATTGATGGTAAAGATGAAGTTAGATATTATAGTCCAATTTCAAATCAATTTGATGCAGGATTCTTTGATATTCTTGTTAAACATTATGAAAAGGGTAAAGTTACAAAAAGATTAGCTCAATTACATGAAGGTCAAACTGTTAAATTTAGGGGTCCATTTGGTAAATTAAACTATGAATCAAATGTTGCAAAACATTTAGGTTTAATTGCTGGTGGTTCAGGTATAACTCCTATTTTACAAGTAATTACAAAGATTATTACAACTCCTGAAGATAATACTAAAATAACTTTATTATTTGCTAATGAAACTGAAAAGGATATTTTATTAAAAAATGAAATTGATGAAATTGCTAAAAAGTATCCTGATTTTGAAGTTCATTATACTTTAACTTATCCACCTAAATCTGATTGGAATGGTGAAACAGGTTATGTTTCTAAAGAAATGATTACAAAGTATATGCCTCAAGTTCTGCTTGAAAATAGAATTTATATTTGTGGACCTCCAAATATGAAAATATCTGTTCGTCAACAAGCTGAAGAATTAGGTTGGGAAAAGGAAAATATTTTCTGCTTTTAAATATAATTATTTCTTTGTATAGATAGCTTATAAAGACAGTCAACTATATTATTAAATCTCATAATACTTGTATATGTTTCGAATTTTGAGGCTATATTGTAATCTAATAATTCCAAATATTTTTTACTTCCTATACATGTTATTTCTTTATAATAATTGTTTGATAAAGATATATACTAAACTAAAGTTTTCAGCTATTGTCAATTCAAGTTGTGGTAGAGCTTCTGTTACCTAAAATGAGATCAAATAGTTACAATAAAGTTATCTTAAGCACTAGTCTTAGTTAGAAAATTTAGTAATTAACTTCCCATTTGATTTTTCTTCAGTAAAGATCTTACTCCAGATCAATGGAACTAATTCATATTTGTTAGCTTTATCGCTGATATCTTCAATACCAAAAGCATTTTCTGTAACTAATTTCTTTTCATCAATGGCTTGTTCCAAAACTTTAAGAGCTTCAAGATACTCAGGGACGTAGTCATGAACTGTGAATCCTAAAATTTGTAATCTACTTGTGGTAATCTTGTACCAGTTTGAAACTAATGATTTGGATGGATCATTGTATCCTGCAATACTACCACAAGCAGCAACTTTACCATATGGATTTAATAATGAAAGAATGAAACTCAAAATTTCACCACCAACATTATCAAAATAATAGTCTGCACGCCCATTAGCAGATACATATTCTGCTAAATCTGTTTGGAAAGTCTTACTCTTGTAATTGAAGGCTTTGTCTGCACCAATTGATTCAACCCATTGAGCTTTTTCATCACTACCAGTAATACCGACAACAGTAGAGATACCAAATAAATGTTTTGATAATTGAACTGCAGCTGATCCAACAGCACCAGAAGCAGCAGAAATAATAATTAAATTCTTCTTAGTAAAATTGTCACTGTCTTTCTCGAGTTTGAAATTAAATTGTTTAACTAATCCAAAGTAAGCAGTTAATGGACCAATACCTAATAAAGTAAGATAATAAGTTAATGGATATTTACTGTTTGGATCAATTGCAAAATAGATAATATGTTCATTTACAATGGCATATTCGGACCAACTCCAAACACCTGTAATAATATCTCCCTGTTTGTATTTTGTTGATTTTGATTTTAAAACCTCACCTAAGCCAACAGCGATAACAGGTGCACCCTTTGGGTATTGTTGATTTTCAACTTTTTGAATTGTACTTCTGGTAAAAGGATCATTTGAAAAATAAATTGTTCTAACTAAAACTTCACCATCTTTTAAATCCTCCGGATTAATCGTAGTTTTAGTTATTTCAAATGTTGAATCGGGTTTATTCCATTCAAAATTAACGGCAGTAACTGGAGCATTTGCTACAATGATTTGAGTTGATTCAATTGACATATTTTCCTAATCGATATCAGTTAGATAAGAAGAATAAGTTATATATTTATTAGTTTATGGGAATTGTCAATTTCTTTGATTTATATTACTAATTTCCTAAACTCCGACATACAGGATTGTTTACCAAAAAAAGAAGTTTGCAGCCACCACTGTTGAACATACTAATCAATTATATTTCTTTTACTATTCATTAAGTTATTTCAATAAGTAATTTGGTTAGTAATAATCCAACGGTGTTTACCTAGTATCAGGAAATATAGTCATAGTTATTGCAAGAAATTTAAATGTTTGGGTCGGAAAGGCCGACTAATCGGCTTTGTAAAATTAAATCCGAGTCTTACTTAATTAGTGTGTAAGATTGAGTTAGTGAGAGATTAGCCGACTAGTTTCTTTTAGGACTTACCATCAATAATCAACTGTTCAAAGAGTTTACATCTAATTCTATAGGTATTGGTTCAATCTCCTTTCCTTCAAGCATCGATTACCTGTTCTAAATGAGAAATTCTGACTTCTCAAGCTAAATTGTTCAAAATTATTCAATTCTCATATACAGTAGAAAATAGACCGCATTCGACCTTCCGTATGTAATATCCCATTCCTACTTATATCTGTTTCACTAATTATTAGTGTGTATCGTATGTTATTTCTCTGTTAGCAATGTTAGGAGCTTCATAGTAAAGTATACAACAATTATCTATATCAATACAAAAAATCAAATACATTTTAAAACGGAAGAAAAATTTTAGGGCTCTCTAAGATTAGTGTAAATTCAAATTATGAATTAATATCCACGGAATATCCCTTCAGTTGAACTTTTTATTGTTAATTTAGAATCTGGCAGCATTAAAGAACATATTGGTTTAACTACCACACCAGCAATAATCTCGTATATCCGCCCGTATACGGTATTACGGTAGCATGTGCAAAAAATACACAGAACCTTTTTACTCTCTTACAAATTACATATGGATACAACACCGAGACTTAAGAAAACTTTACGCTGAATGCTGCACAGACACCAATTAAATAATTGGTCTGAGGCTAAAATGTTAAACCTACGGATGATAAAATCCGTAGGATCGTTCCTCTATAACTTCCGAAGAAAATTAAAAGTAACATTATTAAGCATAAATAATTTAACTCCATCTCTCTATTTGATAAATTTTTGCAGCAGCGACATAAGAAATATAAAGATTCCGCCACCAGGTACTTGTTTTGTGAGTTCTGCTTATGAAAGTGCGGGTTTATACCCCATTGAGAAAATGGTCCGAGATGGCTAATTTCACGGTGGCATGCGGGTTTTAGAAATATTTTTTCGTGTAAATGTACCAGATCTAATAATTTGCAGACATTGCTCTAAAGAGGAGAGATATCTAACACGAGTTGATCTGGATCAAAATGAGGTATAAATAGAGATGTAAAGATGTGTTAAATTCAGTTAACAAAAATAATTAATAACACACAATCATTAAGATTACAATCAATCACCTTAAAGCTACTATACTAAAAAGAATGTCTGGATTAAAACCTGTTGAATTAACTGGAAGATTTGGTTTCGGTACCATGTCAATGACTTGGAAACCAGTTCCACCTCCAACTGAACAATCTTTAGAATCACTTAGATTTATTACTTCTCATGAAGAATTTGGTACTCATTTATTAAATGGTGGTGAATTTTATGGTCCAAATAGTGCAAACTTGAAATTATTAAAGCAATTTGTTGATTCTAATCCTCAAGAAATTAATGAAAAATTAATCATTTCAATTAAAGGTGCTAGTAATCTTACCACTTTAGCTCCAGATGGATCAAAAGATTCAATTACTAGATCAATTGAAAATATTATCTCTCATTTCCCAGCTGAGAAATCAAAAAGACCAAAATTAATCTTTGAAATTTCTAGAGTTGATCCTAACGTTCCTTATGTTGAAACTCTTGGTTATATTGCTGATTACGTTAAGACTGGTAAGATTGACGGTATCTCACTTTCCGAAGTTGGTATTGAAAGTATTAAAAAGGCTGTTAACTCAGGTTATCCAATCTCTTGTATTGAAGTTGAATTATCTTTATTAACATTAGATATCTTAAACAATGGTATTTTAGCTGAAGCTGCTGAACATCAAATTCCAATTATTGCTTATTCTCCATTATGTCGTGGTTTATTAACTGATCAAGCTGCTGAAAGTCCTGATTTCTTAAAGGAAATCCCAGAAAAAGATATGAGACATTATTTTGAAAAATTCTATCCAGAAAACTTTGCTCAAAATATCAAAGTAGTCAAGTTATTATATAAATTTGCTCATGAAGTTAAGAAGACTAGTTTAGAATCTTTAGCCTTATCATGGATTCTTAAGATATCTGGTGCTAAGGAATACAGAGGTATTAAGAATCTTCCAAAGATTTTACCAATTCCTTCTGGTTCTACTACTGCTAAGATTGAAAGTAACTTTGGTAATATTGTTGAATTATCTGAAGAAGACTTAGCTGCTATCAATAAGATTCTTGATGAAAATCCAATTGTTGGTGGTAGATACAACAAGCGTGCTGAAGCTCACTTAAACGGTTAAATTCAATTAGTTTTTTTAATAGTTTATATATACGATGTGAATAGTTAATAAAAATAGTTGCAATATTTCTTTTTTCAGTTACACATTTCCAAATTAGGCAACGGAACCATCAGATGCAGAATCGTAAATTTTTGGCACAGGCTTCTGTGTGCAGAATCTCTTACATAGTTCTTGTGACCAGCACATACAATGGAGATGAACGATTTACATAATAAAATGAAATGCCTCAATTGAGTCAATTGAGTTAAATCAATCCTTTAAATATTGAAAATTTAACTCACTGTTAGCCCAACATTACTATTAACTATTCTTTTTGAGATTCTCAATTCCGAATTATAATTCTGAGGAAAAAGTGGGGGACCTATTAGCAGTCAAATTTCACCTTTACCAATAGTGAGAAATAATTGACGAAACGATTACAGTACTATAAACAATATTAAGACAATTATAAACCATTTATATTTTTTATAACTCATCATGAAAGTTACTAATAGAGTGTTTTATGTCATTGGATTATTCCTTGCAACTCAATTGTCATGGACTATGGCACTTACTCATCGGAAGTTGGAATTATCATCCCGTAATAATGCTGCATGTATTTTAATCAATTCCACTTCAGATGATACTAGTATTTCATTTGACTTTAAGAATGTTAAACAATTTGAAGTTCCTCTCGTGGTATTTGAGTATAGGGATATTGTTCGTTTTAGAAACTTACCTAATTTCAATTTTTTTTCTAATCATTCTTATGTATTATGGGAAGGTCATGATATTGTGAAATTAAATAATAAATCTGTTGAATTTGAACTTCAATTAAGAAAAAAGGACGAACCACTTCCAGATTCTTTCTTTAATACCACTGTTACTGATGATTCAAAATTTGAATATCCTGTTGAAAAGAATGGAGTTTACTGTACTTATTTACCACTTTATAAATATGGTCCGAATGCTTATTTACCAATCAATTATTATGTTGATATTGAAGTAGTCAATGAAACTTTCCCAATTAATATTTTTAATGATATATCATCACATGTTACTTTATCAATTATATTTGCAGTTTCCCTTTTATTTATAAATTTCTTTCATCCTGCCATAAGTCGTGGTCAATTAACTTCACTTCCAATTATTACTAAAACGGTTGTGTATATTTTGATTGTTAATTTTATCTATAATTCCATTTTCTTTATTTTGGAAATCTTATGTGCTTATTATCCATCTGATGCTCTTTACCATTTCACGGAAATTACTTATGCTAATTTGCAAAGAGGATTGGTGGATAAGTTGCAGGTCTATATTTCTTCATTAGTCTATCTTGGATACGGATTTTCTAATTTACCTGTTAAAGTTTACCTTGCACCCGTTAATCTACTTTTCTTTATCCATGTTGCAACATCGCTTTTTGGAGATTTTGTTGTTGGTAACATTTCATCATTGCAAGATATATTATTCCTTCAAAGACCTTTTACAGTTCTTTATAATACTATATTGGTGTCTCCAGTATACAGAGCTGCTGTTCTCAATCATAAATCCGCCAATGAAAAGACTTTATTATATTTTTCATCTATTGGACAGGTTGGATCTGAAATTTTACTCTTTTTGGTTTCTTTGATTTTCGCCATTGTAATTTGGTTTAAGATTAGAAAAGAACATCCGAAATCTGCCAGAAGATTATTGACTTCTCTTTTGGTTCATTACTTTGGATATAAATTAATCATTAAGCAGCTTTTGGTTATTGCAATTAAAATTTCATTTGCTGGGTTTTTCGATGTTGGAGAAGGGTTAAGAGTGTTTGGTAATTTAATTGAAGCAAGACTACTGAAATTAGTTTTAATTAATTTAGTAGAACTCTTTATTATTTGGCTCTTCTGGGGTACAAATAATCCAATTGATGTCAGAATTGGAACTGATATATCTGAAAAGAAAGCTGCTGGTGTTAAAAAGACAGTTGAAGAAGTCAAGAAACAAGTCAAAGATAAGGGTACAGAAAAAATCAATGCTGAAGAAGATACTGAATCTAAGAAGACCAGATGAATATAACTTCATTACCTTATGTTTGTAATAGTATATACATAAATTGCTCTATTAATTTTATCATATAACGTTTAAAAAAAATGACAATTGAGTATTAAAAAATAACGACAACTGCAGGACTCGAACCTGCGCGGGCATAGCCCAAAAGATTTCAAGTCTTTCTCCTTAACCGCTCGGACAAGTTGCCATATTCTCAAAGCAAAAATTGTTGAAAAGCCACGCAACTATGACGACGATCCCCAAAAACATTTTTGATAAGAAAAAAAAAAAAACGAGGAAGATGAAGAAGAACTCTCCTCCTCCGATTCCGACTCCACTTCAACTGTTACTGCTTTATTACACCAAAATCAAAAACAAAAAAAAAATAAAAAAACTTCTGAAAAAACCTCCGAAAAAAATACTGAAAAATCCAAAAACTCCAAAAAAAATGATAATCAAGAAACCCAACCAGCAATTGCTGCAAAAAATATCACTGAATCAGAAACTTCTGAAAACCTTTATTCAGAAACTATTACCCCTGCCAATAGTTTCATAGACACACAAATTGATATTGATTTGAGCCGTTCTGACGAGCCATCGTTAGAACCAACTCAAATTGATACCGATTTAACTATGGCAGAGGAACCAAATCATCCATTTAGTTCCACCAACTCAACCCCCACGAAGTCGCCAAGTTCCACTACGAGACGACTTCCTTCGCTAAATCAGGGTCTTCTCAGGCCACTGATTGGCAAACTCCGCTCTCCAAGTAAACCAAAAGGAGACTTGCCAAAAGAGCGAATTCTACATCAACGAAAATTAAACGCTGTCATGAAAGCATCCAACCGTATGGAGGAGCAGTTATCTGACAGCCAACATTCAAACACTCTGCTTGCTACAGAGTCTTTTGATGACAATCTCCCTTCCAGCTTAAATAACAATCAGTTATGAATAAATCAAATGACATACTATCATTTCGTAACCGAAAAATAAGATTACGACCACAATCTCGTCAAGAACTCAAATTCACAACAATAAATATACAACAAACCCAAAATCATCAAAACGTTTTCAAGTATCTTAAACGCCATGACCTAAGTCTCTTAACAGAGATCAAGGCGGGTGATGCAGATAACTTATCGACAACCCTTTCCAAAAATAGTAGTACTTTAGCCTACACCAGACCATCCTCAAGAACGGGAATTGCTTTTCAAAACAATTCCCAAAAATTCAAAATAATATCAACTTCGCTTCTATCAAATCAACTAGAACAACAATACCAACCATATGTAGCAGACATTATTATCCAATCATTAGAAAATAATCGTCACTACTTAATAGTATCCATATACGCGCCCACAGGAAAAAAATTCAAATTACAAAAATATCTATTTTACCAAATAGACAAAGCTATCTCAACTATTAAAGCTAACCACTACCACAATCTCATCATTGTAATTGGTGGGGATTTTAATAATGTAATACCTCACTCAGACGAATCATCCAAGCCCCGAGATATTCAGGCCACTCAATATCTTATCAGACTTATTAACAAAAACAGTCTAATAGATACGTTCAAATACCTCCGTCCTAACACTATAGCTCCTACCAACCGAAACCATAAAGCATCACGTAGAATCGACCGGTTTTACATCTCCAATCCTGAAAATGAAAAAATCTTAAAATTTTTCATGCAAAAACCATCCCAAATATCAACCACTCACTTAGCTATAGGTTTTCATCTATTAGTAACTGAGAATCTACGTATCACGGCGGGAAGAAAACGTTTTATAGTTCCCGAGAAATACTTAGATGACGATGACTTCATAAACTTAATCAAAGACCAACCCTTCCATTCTTTGGCGGATATGGTCAACCTAATTCAACCAATTACCAACAAATATCGTCAACTCACCCAGATCAGAGGGGTAAATGTATTTGAAACCCAAAATAATAACATAACTACGCCATATACTGCTTCATATTTTAAAGACTTAAAAGAAGCTTTTAATGGTAGTAACTACTCAAATAACTTAATCACTGTGATTCGTTCAGGGTCACAAAAATTCTCCACCACTCCAGACATACTTAATGCCATCTCCCAATACTATAAAAGTATGTTCACTCCAAGAGATACTTATCCAACGGCTATGAATCAATATATTCAGAGCTTCAATAAGAAATTCTCGACTGATCAACAACGTCAACTCAATCAAACCTTTGACTTAGATGAGTTTACATTGGCCTTAAAGAATACAAGCAATCAAAGTGCACCAGGACCTGATGGTCTTACTTTCAGATTTTTGAAAAAGACATGGGATAAAACAGGTCCATTAGTGGTCTCTGCCGCCAACAACCTTTTTACCTCATCATCCTTACCTACAATCTTAAAAGAAGTCATTATCAAAATCATTCCCAAACGGGAAAAATCCATACAAGTGGAGGATTTCAGACCAATATCATTAATCAATACAACTACTAGACTAATTGCCTCGGTATTAAATCGCCGATTACTTACACATATCGACACTATCATCGGTAAAAACCAAACTGGGTTTATGCCAGAAAGACAAATGGATCAACAAATAATGCGTTTCAGAGCATTAGTTAACCATATACTCAAACAACAACCACAAGAATATCAATCGGTTATACTTCTTGATTTTACTAAAGCGTTCGACAGATTCCATCATGACTATTTGAGAGAATTACTCCTCCACATCAACTGTGGACTAAAGTTCACCAATATAATCATGCTACTTACACAACAACAAGAAGCTAAAGTCATAGTCAATGATTTCCTCAGTCCCCCCTTCTCTTTGGGTACCGGAACCCGTCAAGGATCTGCAATATCTCCATTATTATTCAACATAGCTTTGGAGCCTTTCTTGACTAGGCTAGAAAACAAATTATCAGGAATTGAACTTCCACTTAGGTGTGGCCAGACAATTGAGCAAAAGTATTTAGCCTTTGCCGATGACGTAACACTCTTCACTGGTAGCAGACAAGATTTGCTTACGATACAATCGGAAATAGCACTTTTTGAACAAGCTTCAGGTTCACTAATCAACCAAAAGAAATCCAAGATCTACCATTTCACGGATGAACCAATGGAAGAAGTCCTCCCTTTTCCACAATCTCCCATTCGAGATCAAAACTTCAAATATTTAGGAATCAGTATAAATAATTTTCTGTGGCCCACATATATTGAAAGCCTCAGAGTAGGACTAGTTACAACAACGGTTCGAACTCTATCAATCCATCAAAAAGCTGAAGGAATCAACTCCTTGGTTTTTTCCAAACTTTATTTCAGAGACTTACATCATCCTATGCTGTCATCAGACATCAAACAAATAAATGATATGATCAAAAACTTCTTTCCTTCTCACATTGGTGTAACTAATCTTTATGCTCTTAAGGCCCAAGGAGGATTTGGTCTTCTTGATCTAGAAGAACAAGTCAAAGGACGTCGAGCCAGATTTATACACAATATCTTAATCAACGACGAACAATCTCATCAGATATTGCTTCGAGATAAAATTCAACAGTATATCAATGATAATGCTTATGTTCCTCCAGAAATCCCACTCCAACCAAATAAACGTTTAACATATCCTTGGTTTCGTCTCCTTGCGGGTACCCCCATCAGGCATAAGACTGACCCTTCTGTCTTTCTTAAAGATTCCATGTGTGTCGCCAATTTTTTTACTAATGCTGAACAAAGCTATTTCTCAGCATGGTTTGATATAGCTGAGAGTAAAAATCCTTATCGGTTTGAACTACCTCAAAATTATTCAGAAGAAGAAATACAACAACTCATCCTCCAAACGCCCCGTAATTTCCAATGGGCTAACGACATGTATGAGCTCACACCGAGTTCTTTCAAAAGCAGAAGCAAGGCTAAACAGACCAAGCAAAGAGTATGCCTTGAACCAAATGGTTGGTCAGTTGACTTGAGTATATCACAAGCTCAATGGATCAAATTCTGGACAAGATTGAATCATCTAAAATTTAATGCTCCTAACAATTTCGATGAACTACATCGCTACAATTTAGGCTACAGACGCCACTACAATCCCATCGCAGACAATACCTGTGATATATGCAAAACTACGGTATCAAACTCCGAACTAGCTAGCCACATCTACTTGTCTTGTACAGTAGCTGTCAAACTCTGGGAAAAACTCGGACCTCCACTTCCGCTTAACTTCACTGCTTTAGTTGCAAATCCAAATCTTTCAATCACAAATGCTACACGCATCAACAGATACCTACAAGCTATTGATTCCCTCCGGAAGAAACGACGAACTGAGCCGGTTAGTGACAAACTAACCGACAAAGTTCTTTATCGATGGGTATCATACTTCACCTTGGCTGAATAAATAGAGCCAAGACGCTAACTGGATAACTCCAGTACCTCTTTCTTTTCAACAAGACTACAATCTTTATCAATGTCCTTAACCAACAAGAGTTTTTTACTATCTACATAGTTTCTCTAAATTTTTTACCATTTATGACTCTCTATTTACATAGAACTTAATAAATGTTGTATTGAAAAAAAAAAAAATCACCCAAAATCCATTAATTTTGTTTTAATTTACCTCAATATGATTCTTATTGTAAAGTTCTCCTATATTAGTACTTATTTCTCTTGTTTTAATGGTTTGTTTCTGTAAATTCTTCGTTGTTTTATTGCAAAAAGAAAACAAATTCACTTTTGCCGCAAATTTGAGACAAAATTAAATTTTCCTTCATAAAAATAATATACCAGTTTAACATTCCTCTACTACTAATGAAAAACTTAAATAATTAATTAATTTATGTATTTATATGTATAATCTATTTAAATATATGTTGATTATAAAAAATTTATATTATTTAATAAATATTAAAATAGCTTTGATTGTGACCCGATCATAACATGATTTCATTATGTACAATAAAAAATTAAAGGAAAACGTTAGATAAGTATAAATAGTAGTAAATTATGGATAATTATAATGGTTAATTAGCATATCTTGATCTAGCTCTTAATTGAGGACCATGGAAATAGAAGTAAACTGGAATCAGGATCATTGCAACAGCAATAAAACCTAAGATGGAAGAACCCCAACCAACGGGGAATTTTTCTGAACCAATATTTGTGAATAAAGGCTTTCCGAATAATGGAAATACACCAGCAATAACGGATCTAAATAATGCATTACTAGCAAATACCGAAGCCAAATATCTATAGAATGAAGCACCCAAGTAATTAAATAAGGTTTGGAAAATAATGAATGCACCACATGCAAAGATTGCACCTCCAATTAATGGAGGGAACCAATGAATATCAGGAGATGAAGTCCATCCAAAGATGAAGATACCAATAGGCATCATGATGGCACCAAATATGGCCATTGGCATAAAAAGTTCAGGGCTAACACCCTCACCACGAAGAACACGTTTGGTGAATTTATTATACATATATGGAACATAAATAGCAGCACCAATAGCAATTCCGATCATAATAGAGACATAAGTGACACCCATTTCAACTAAAGTAAAATGATGAATTCCAACAAATACAATAGGAAAACCTTCAAACCAAAGATACATGACTGAATATACTAAAGCAATGTAAAGATTGACAGACAAAACAACAGGTTCAATGATGGTAATTTCAAATGGTCTGTATAATAAATCGATAGCTAATTCCTTTGGAGTAAGCTTTGAATTTTCAATGTGACCTTCAGAAGTAATATTTTGATTACCTGTAATTCTTCTTAATCTATTAGCTTTCCTATAAAGTAAAGTTTTACCGTAAGTTTCAGGTAAAGTCCATCCCAAGACTAAGAAACAAGTACCACTAATGATTGCCATGAACCAGAATGGCCATCTCCAAGATTCATAACCATCATGACCGCCTCTTACCACAAGAACAGCTCCAATCAATGGACCTAATGATGGACCCATAACACCACCAATTGCCCAAGAAGCAAGACCAACAGGCATATAAGGCATAGTAATGATGTCTCCAATAGTTGCACCACCAGTAGCTAAAGCAGGTGAAGCAAAGAATCCAGAAATAAATCTAAGGACACATAAACCGGCAAGACTTGTAGATAATGCAGTTGGAATTTGAAGAATGAAGAAAATGAATAATGTTATAATATAAACTGAAGTTCTACCTATAGCAGCATTTTCAGTCATTGGAGATAAGAACATTGGACCAAAACCATAACCAATAACGAACATAGTTAAAGGTAAAGTTGCTTTTGTTTGATCAATATTAAATTTTGCCATAATTTGATCAACACCTGGAGTATAAATAGCAGAAGCCATATAGACCGATACAGTCAAGAAAGCAACTTCAGCTAAAAGGAAAATTTTACGACGAAGTGGCCAATTATAAGGATTTTCAGGATCATTTTCACCATCCCAAGAAACTATTATTTCACTTGAAGCTTCTTCCTTAGCATCTACAACAGAACCATCCGAACTTTCGATAGCATCTTCAAGATCGGCCAGTTCCTTTTGAGCCTTTAATGAATCACCTTCATTAGTATTGACTTCTACTTCATCAATTTGTTTATAGCCAGGTAAGTACTTATCAGGTATCACGTAGCTCTTCTCATCTTCTTTATGAGTAAAAGTTTTATGACTTGTAAGGTAGTTTATAATTGTCCCCCAAAAGGAATCTCTCAAAAATGTATGTGTCATACTTACTCTACGAAAGTAATAATTAGATTAAATAAATGCAAGTTGATCTGCTGCAAATGTATCAAGAAGAATTGCAAAACATGAAGGCCAATTCTCTCTTATTTATAATCTTTTGAGAGGCTGTATTAGGAAGCAAATAAGAAATAAAAAAATGTAAAAAAAAAAAAAAAAAAGGTTAAAAATGATAAATGATACCGTCGGGGAAGACCCAAATAGGAAAGAGGAATTTGAATTATTCAATATCTCACTCAATAAGATCCGTAACCACATCGGTGTTAGAATTTAGTATCAATTAATGTATAAATTTCAGGAGAACGTATTTGTCAATCAACTTGAAAAGACAGTATAATATTTTTTCCGGATTCTATTGTTAGTACAGTTGGTTGCTGAAGGATTACTCATAATTTTCCTTAAGGGTGTGAATGTTGCGAAAAAACTACTAGACAACGTTAGAAAAGAAATTAGAGGTGACAGTTATGGTCTGTATGCAGGATCGGAATTAAGCCACTGACGAGGTTTAGCCGCTCGCACTGTATATAGAGCATTTTCGGTGGTAGTAGTGCACATACGCCACTCGGTGTTAGTATATACAGGATATTCGGATTTTATACTATATAACAAGTTCGCTCATCCCTCAATCTAAGGCCGAACTTTTGAAATTGATACTGCCAATGTTTGTGGTTTGCCCTAATTTATGGATGTTTTTAGTGTCTTAGTAAGATTGAGCAGATTGAATACACCGAATTCCGCATTTATTTGTATGGCACATATTCGGTAATAATATCAAGTAAGTTCTAGTTTAACGTAATGTTTTATTACTAAGTAGTCGATTGAGCATACTATGCGCAATTAATCAAGATCATTTTCGGTTGCATAGGTAGATTAGATAAATAAATATGGGTCTGGATAACCACCCCTTGATTGACTTAAACAAGAGATTGATTAAGGCAAAGAAAGTGCTCAATGGTTATCTAGATCCTAAATTGTACTGTATAGAATGAAGATACACAAGGGAATAATACCGTATATGTGGTCAGCCAAGGCAGATGCGTAACGCCGTTCTAGAAAACTTGAAAAAATAATCAATTCCTTCATCTGGAATGATTTAACCCGAGCTCCGTATTGCCTCTCCTTACCACACTTTTATGATCATTCGGATATAATATACTATTATTCCAATGGCATAATCAATAACCATTAGATTATAATTTTGAATTGATTTGAAATGACCAATTCATATATCCTTATCGTGCATATAGAGAAATCTAATCGTTTTACAAGGAAGAATCGGGACTAAAGGTAAAAGAGACAGAAAAACAGAAAAGTACTAGTAATTTTAGTTTTTATAGTTTTTACTTAGCAAACAGGACATGTTCTCCAAATTGAAGGCTATAATGTCCTAAAGATTTGTCTCATATAAAATGCAGGACGTTTAAAACGCGTCAAAACGTCTCATCGGATTAGACGATGCGACACGCTGGTGTTTATGTCAATTACGTAGTTATTTATTTACAGGTTAGGCCGCTTTTCTTCGTCTATAAATCAGTTTACGACAATGCCAGTGGATAGTGACACGGGTTATAGCCTTGTCTTAGTGAATGAAACCATTTCTTTACAGACAATGTGTATCTAATTAGTATGCAACATCGTGTATGCAGTACCATCGTTTAATTAAACCTAAAAATAGAATCATCAATTTGCATCTCTCATAGCCTGCTTGTTCCCCTGAAATCATTCATATCCAATTTTTTTTGAAGTAAGTTCATCTCCACAATCAAACTTAATACTGTAGTCACTAAAGTTTTTACATATGATCACCTATTTTTAGATTTTCTTGGTGTGAAACTACTACTATCATAGCCCGTAGCATGTTTGTTGCCCCATACGTACATTATTCTTTCCCCAACATGAATCAGAGATGTTTCAAAATATTAAATTAAGCCAAATGAAAAGTTGTAAATTAATTTATCAATTAAATTCTTTGTCCCTTACACAACCTAACATATATATATATATATATAAAATTCATTTTCTTTACCCTTTAACCCTTAAGACACTTTATAGTTACCAAAAGTAAACAGGTGGCTGTGAAAAAAATTACTCGTGTTGGTACTATCTGCAGGCCACCACTTCCCGATTAGGCAATAAATACACGAAAAAAGTGCCAGATCAAAGGCTCCATAATTAACATTAATTACTGGAAAGACGAAGAACTACTGGTTAACTTTTGAAAGGTTAAGTAATTAACTGAAAAGTGCATAGACTGACTGTTAAGTGAGTAACTGGCGCATTCAAATCAATGAGTTATCAGAATCTGCCGTATGGCAATGGTCATAATAATGGCAATAATCCTAATAGATACCGTCGAGACAATTCAGACTCCTCCATAACTGAATTCTTAAACCCTAATGATAACCATAATCAACAACAAGGTACTTATGGATATCATAATAATGGTAGTTCATCATCTATAAATTTTCAACAACCTCCAGAACCTACTTATAATCATAGAGTAAGCTCATCATCGGTACTACATGATTATTATACTGATCCAAGATTAGATTCCCCACATATTCAACAACATCATTTACAACAACCTCATTCACCTCAGAATTATATCCAACCTCCAAATATGAGTCCTTTACCAACTAATTCAAATGATGATCCTTTTAATAATCGATATGAGATGAATCAACTTGGTGCAGGTGGTAATCTTCCTCAATATCAATATGAAAGTTCTCCTCAACCATATGATCCTAATCAGCAATATTATCAAACTCCAAATCAAGCTTTTGAACAAGCTTTTGTTCCCAATGTTTATGATGATGAAGATGAGGATGAAAGAGAATATGATCAACAAATTCAATATAATCAATTCCAGGGTGATCATTATGATTTACTTCCAGTTCGATTACCAGAACCTGAACCAGAGCCTTCATTAATAGATGCTCCTTCTACAAGAGATATTAATGATGATGAAGTTCCTCAATCTCCATTTGGTGATAGTATGATGTTTGAAGAACCTCCTGAAGAAGAACCAATTAGATCAAAACCTCAAATTGGGATTGCTCCTGGTTTAAATGGTCATTTGGTTCTTGATTGTCCAGTTGCCACAGAATTATTAACTAAATTTCCAGATTATAATCCTGAATTAAGAGATGGTGGTCTTTCTCGTGAATTCTCTTATATGAGATATACAGCAGTTACTTGTGGTCCATCTAATTTTTATCGTGATGGTTATATTTTACGTCCTAATCATTATCCTATTCAAAGACAAACTGAATTAATGATTGTAGTTACCATGTATAATGAAGATGATATACTTTTAGCAAGAACTTTAAAGGGTATTTTTAAAAACATTAAACATTTAGAATCAAGAACAAGATCAAATGTTTGGGGTAAAGATTCTTGGAAAAAAGTTGTCGTTTGTATTGTTAGTGACGGTCGTACAAAAATTAATGAGAGATCTCAAGCATTATTGGCTTCTTTAGGAGTTTATCAAGAAGGATTAGCTAAATCTATGGTTGATGATAAACATGTGCAAGCTCATATTTATGAATATACTACAAGAGTTGGGATTTCAAGTGTTACTGATACAGTTAAATTAACTACTGAAAAAATTGTTCCTGTTCAATTATTATTTTGTTTAAAGGAAAAGAATGCTAAAAAGATTAATTCTCATAGATGGTGTTTTCAAGCTTTAGGACAATTATTAAATCCTGAAATTGTTATACTTTTGGATTGTGGAACTCAACCAAGTGGTAAGGCTCTTTATCATTTATGGAAAGAATTTGATCGTGATCATCGTGTAGCAGGTGCTTGTGGAGAAATTAAAGCTTCATTGAAAAAACGTCAAATGTTAACTAATCCAATTGTCTATGGACAAAATTTTGAATATAAAATTTCTAATATATTAGATAAACCGATGGAATCAGTATTTGGATTTATTAGTGTTTTACCAGGGGCATTTTCAGCTTATAGATATATTGCATTACAAAATGATATTAATGGTAAGGGACCATTAGAAAAATATTTTAAGGGTGAGTTTTTACATAGTTCAGGAGAATTAGATCCTAAGGATGATGAATATGAATTGAAAAAGATGCAAATGAAAGAAGAAGCAGGAATTTTCACTTCAAATATGTACTTGGCTGAAGATAGAATTTTATGTTATGAATTAGTTGCTAAAAGAGGTTGTAATTGGTTATTAAGATACTGTAGAGCTGCCAGTGCAGAAACAGATGTTCCAGAGAAATTAGCGGAATTCATTCTCCAAAGAAGAAGATGGTTAAATGGTTCATTTTTCGCAGCCATTTATGCTTTAGTTCATTTCCCTAAGATTTGGCATTCTTCTCATTCATTTGGAAGAAAATTTTTCATTCATATTGAATTTATTTATCAATTTTTAAGTTTAATTGTTTCTTGGTTTTCAATTGGTTCTTATTTCCTTGTATTTAGAATTTTAACTACTTCATTAGGTGATGCTGATTTAGGATTTGCTCCTGGAAATATCCTTTCTGTTATATTCCTATGGTTATATCTTGCTTCAATTGTGACAACTTTTGTTTTAAGTTTTGGTAATAAACCAAAGGGAACTGAGAAATTTTATATTGTTATTGTTGTATTCTTTGCTATTTTAATGGCTTATATGATTTTTGCTGCTATTTATATGGCAGTTCATTCAATTCAACAAATTTATGATGAACATACAAAGATTACCGTTCAATTATTTCTTCAAAATGCAGAATTTAGAGATTTGGTAGTGGCTACTTCATCAACTTATGCATTATATTTCCTTGCTTCATTCCTTTATTTTGAACCATGGCATATGTTCACATCATTTGTTCAATATATTCTTTTATCACCATCATATATTAATGTATTAAACATATATGCATTCTGTAATATTGATGATGTTTCATGGGGTACAAAAGGTGATACTGGTGGTAAATCATTAGGTGCAGCTAAATTAAGAGAAGATGGTACTTTCGATGTTAGTATTCCAATTTTGAAAGAAGAAATTAATCAATCTTATTTAGATCAATTAGAAAAAATTAAGAAACCAGCTCCACCTGATGAAGGTAAAGGTGAAACTTCTAATGAAGATTATTATGCATTTATTAGATCAATGACAGTATTAGTATGGATGTTTTCAAATTTTGTTATTGTTGCATTAGTATTAGAAACTGGAGGATTTAATCAATTTGAAAGTGCAGAAAGTTTAATAAGTGTTAAACAACAAAGAGCTAAAATTTATTTGACAGTAGTATTATGGATGGTTGCCTTTATGGCATTATTTAGATTTGTTGGATGTGTATTCTATTTGATCCAAAGATTAGCCAATAGAATGAGATCATCTGATCATGCCACCATGCATACTAAACTTAGACAATAATTCAAATTTATTCTTACTTGTATAGTGTATATTAGTAATACCCTAATTCTAATTAAAATATAAAAACAATTCAATTTACTTAGTATTTGCAACCATTAATTTTTGACACTTTTTGTACGACATTGATTAGTCATAAAATTGCGCGAAATCCACACTTTTGACATATACCGGTGCGGTATTGGCCAATGCAATAAACTTAACGATAAGGCCACTTGGTATTGATACAGAAGTGTCAGTGTCAATTGTATAAACTATTTAATAGAGTGTACTTAAATAAACCTGTATAGATTGATATATAACCTGTAATTTAATAATATCACATTAATATAATAACAAATATGGCAGGTAATTCAACTAATTTAATTCATGGGGCAGATCATATCGTTCGGGTAAAGGATGTTGTACCCCCAATTAATATTTCTACCACTTACAGATATGATTCTGATCCTTCGAAATTAATTAAAGTTGCTGATAAAGGTGGTTATGAAATTCTTAATAATTATTGGTATTCAAGATTATCACATCCTAATTCAGAACAAATTGAACAAGCAGTCTCCAAAGTCACTGGTGGTTATGTTGTTGCTTATTCTTCAGGTCTTTCTGCCTTTTATGCTCTTATGACTCACTATAATCCTAAGGTTTTAGCCATTGGTGAAGGTTATCATGGAATTCATGGAATTGCTGATATTTTTACTAGAAATCAAGGATTAAAACAAATTAAATTAGATGAAGATTTCAGTCAATTAAACAAGGGAGATATTGTCCATTTAGAAACACCAGTTAATCCAGAAGGTATAACTTTTGATATTAAATATTATGCTGATAAAGCTCATGAAAGAGGAGCTTATTTACTGGTGGATGCGACTTTTGCACCACCTCCATTACTGGATCCATTCAAATTTGGTGCTGATATTATCTTACATTCAGCTACTAAATTCTTTGGTGGTCATAGTGATTTATTAGCTGGTTTCTTAATCACAAAGTCACAAGAAATTAGAGATGCTTTGTTATATGATAGACTTTTATTGGGGACTAATATTGCCAATTTAGAAAGTTCTCTTTTAATCAGAGGTATTAGAACTTTAGATTTAAGAGTGCGTAAACAATCTGATTCTGCAACAAAGATTGTTGATTATCTCTCCAAGAATAAATCGAAGATACCTGGGTTAGTTGAGATTTATCATGGATCTTTACAAACAGATGCTTATATTAAAGATCAAATGCCCAATGGTCATTCTCCAGTATTTTCTATTAAAGTTGAATCTGAAAACTTTGCTAAATATCTTCCATCTAAATTACAATATTTCTATCATGCAACTTCTTTAGGTGGTGTTGAAAGTTTAATTGAATGGAGAGCCTTGAGTGATCCTAAGGCTCATCCAGGTCTTTTAAGAGTTAGTATTGGAGTTGAAGACTATGAAGATTTACTTGAAGATTTACTTCAAGCCTTTTCTGCTACTCAGCTTGAAGTAGCCTCTTTAAACTAAACTAGAAATTTTGTAGAATGTTAGTAGAATTACCCATTCGGAGTCTCCGCGGAGATAGCGAAGATCAAAATATACGCAAAAAGGGTGATAAATTCCTGTAAAAAAGAGGCATATACAAATCAATATACTGTTATTATTACTCTATCCACTTAAATATGATATTGTATAAGTGAACTAATGCCAATGATTGAATCAATAGCTTTCTACCACTACAAATTTTAATTCATATAGCAGCGTTCTTACTTTAAAAAAATTCAAAAAAAAAAGAAATAAAATTTTTAGAAAGATGAGCCGCCCCTCACTAATCGGGATTTTGCAGATTTTTCAGGATTTTCATTAATTTATAAATTGGAAGTAATATCCAGTTAATGCAAATTATAGACTGAAGCAACTGACATTATAAAAAATCAAGAAATCAAGCAAGATGGCCAAATACGAATGCTCTGAACATATGCATAACTTCTTAAAGGAGTTACCAAAATGTGAACATCATGTTCATTTAGAAGGTACTTTAGAACCATCATTATTATTTAATTTAGCTAAGAGAAATAATATTGAATTACCAAGTCATTTCCCGCCAACTGTTGAAGCTTGTAATGATAGATATAATAGATTTGCAGATTTACAAGATTTCTTAGATCATTATTATATTGGTATGAGTGTTTTAATTAAAGAAGCTGATTTCTATGATTTAGCTATGGAATATTTTGCTAAAGCTCATGCTGATGGTTGTTTACATTCTGAAGTATTTTTTGATCCTCAAGGTCATGTTGAAAGAGGTATTTCAATTGATACTGTTGTTGAAGGTTTTGATAGAGCTTGTAAAGAAGCTAATACTAAATTCGGTACTACTAATAAATTAATTATGTGTTTATTAAGACATTTACCAGCATCTTCTGGTTTAGAAACCATTCAAGGTGCTCATAAGTATTATGAATCTGGTATTATTCATGGTTTAGGTCTTGATTCTAGTGAAAAACCTTTCCCACCTCATTTATTCACTGAATGTTATAAAACTCTTAAGGATAAATTTCCTCAAGTTGGTTTAACTGCTCACGCTGGTGAAGAAGGTGATCATACTTTTGTTACTAATTCTCTTGACTTATTGAATGTTACTAGAATTGATCATGGGGTTAACTCTCAACACAGTGAAGAATTATTAGAAAGATTATCAGCCAATAAGACATTATTATCCTTATGTCCATTATCTAATGTTAAATTACAAGTTGTTAAGGATGTATCTGAATTACCAATTGACTTATTCTTCAACAAGAATGTTCCATTTTCAATTAATTCAGATGATCCAGCATACTTTGGTGGTTATATCTTAGATAACTATCTTACTGTCCACACTAGATTTGGTTTCAATGGTCATCAATGGAAACAAATTGCTTTAAATGGTATTAATGGTTCCTGGTGTGACGAAGATAGAAAAACTGAATTGAGAAGATTAGTAGATGAAGTCCACAACAAATACAAGCACTTAATCTAATCATTCAATTAGCATATTCAACATAGCATTATAGATATTTATATAGAAATTTTTTTTAGCATTTGCCATTGGCTGTTTTTTTACATTGGGAGTTCATTATTCAACTATAGGATCTAATATACATTTAATTTGAAATTAACTACTCGTACCAGTACTAAAGTTTATAAACGTTCTAATTATGCTAAACTTATGGTATTAGCCTTACCTTTTATCATATCTTTCCAACGATTATTTAAGCAATTCAAATCTTTTTCCTTCCATACACTTTCTACTACTCTTCTAGTGATTTTAACACTAGCTAATTCCCTAATTTTTTCCATTTCAATTAATCGGCTAAGAACAAACCATCTTTGTTCATCATTTTCTACTCCAACAATTCCCATAACAAATAATGGCCAAAGTAAAGACATTGAAACTGGTAATGATTTTATCATTATCATTAATTGCTTAGTAATTTCTTTAACTCCCTTTATTCTTTCCATATACTTTTTAGGAAGTTTACTAGGTTCCTCCATAAATCTATTACCATTATTATCTATTTTACTATGATTCAAATACAAATATTCTAAGTCAACTCTTGCATGAAGATACAATAAAGTTGTCAACTTCTTAATTTCTGATATTTTTAAGATACTTTCTTGAGTATGATTATCCAATTCACTTATACCTAAAAATTGACGCATAGTATTTAATTGAACTTCTAATTTATCACGTTGTTGAGTAACAAATTTATGAATTTCAAGAAATTCTTTATCATGAACATTATTGAATTCAAAACTTTCATAAGTTTCTCCAAGCCTAGAAATTTGATTTATTATAGAAAGTAAATGAGGTGAAGCACCAATAATTAAATCAATTTGTTCATTTGTATCACTCTTTAAACCCTTTAAATAATCATCATCTTCAATGATTTTATTTTGAAACCAAGCTGTCTCTCCCATGACTTCATGAGCAATAAAATATCGTATAAAAAATTTGGCAACTGGAGTTAAATTTGATCTTATGGTTGAATCTTTTAAAAATTCTTTGGCTCCATTTAAATGAATTAACCAAGAATTCCCACAACTAGAAGATATATCAGTAAAACATAACATAAGAACAGTTGCAAGTACTTCATCCCAATCACTTGATCTTGATAATTGCTTTTCCTTTATTAACATAGGTAATTTTTGTAAAATCTCGGAAGTATAATTTCTAGCGAGATATTCAAATTTTGTATTACCTAAAAGTGATAATTGTTTTGAAGCTACCGCCACAAGGGCTTTATATACAATGGGAGAAACTTGAGCTAATGGTACTACCAAATAAAGATAAGGATTTAGATCGGGATTTACTCCAATGCTAGGTACTGGGAGCAACCCACTTCTACCATCGGCTCGACGAGGATAGCATATACAACCGGGACAAATAGTATCCACAAAATAATTGAATACTTCACTTTCTAATTTGAAATTATTTTGATAAAATTCTGGATTAAATATATTAACATTATTGTTTGTAAATGTCTTGCTAAAATATTCATCATAATTAATTACAAACTCTAAATTTGAAAATGTCGAATTTGGGCCAGCCGGTATCGAAGTATTTGAATTAATTATTGGAATTGGTGGTGTAGAAGATAATAACAATTGGGCATTATTATCCTCATTTTCAATTTTGACATAAGGTATGGGTTGATTAAATTCAGTGGGTATATGCAATTCTGGATTTTGAATGACTAAATTGTTATCTCCATTCATAAATACTTTATTATATTCATTATCATTAACAGATATTATGATTTTTCTATCTATTTCATTAGGTTCTTGTTTTATATTAGTATTAGTATTAGTATTAGTATTAGTATTAGTATTAGAATTTGCATTATATTTCTTTAATTGTAAATCATCTTTAGTGACCATATGAAATATTTTAGTGAAATCTTTATAAGTTGTATTAAGGAATAAATGTCCATCATTTGAATTTTTAACCCATTCAACAGATTCATTACTTAGTATCATTTGAGATAATGTTAGTAGTTTGGTTTCATTTTCTTTAAGATTAGATTTTAATTGTTGCTGTCTAATCAATTTATTTTGTTTAGATCTTCCAAATGATATACCTTTAGCAATAGCTTCATCTTCCCATAATAATTTAATTCCATAATTACATTCTAATTTTAGTCGAACACAATTATTACATCTAGGATGAAATTCATCACATTTAACTCTTCTTCTTTTACAAGTTAAACATCCATTTCTACTTCTTTTATCAAATTTTCTTGTTCTTTTTGGTTTACTTGGATCTATTTCTGATTTCACTATTGACATCCCCCCAAGTAATCTATATAATTAGTAACCAATAACAATAATGAACAATTATATAAATAATAATAATAATAAATAATTAAATCAATAATTAGATAATAAAATCAAAACAACAATATGTCTCGGAACAACTAAGGCTAATAAAGAAATAAAGTTATCAAAAATTATACTTTAAGTTAAGGCTTAAAAACGAAAAATTAATTAATTGCGGATCAGGCTGTTAATTATTGTGATGTGATGTGTCGCTGAAAATAAATTATAATTGGTCGGAATAACTTGGCTAAGGTGATGCCTTGAATACAATATTAGTGGGGATTTATTGAAGGTAGGGATAGATGAATAATTTTATAATGACTAGTTAAGGTATTTTCAATATTCATATGATAATATTTGAACTTATATCACTAATTTTATTAACTATATCGTATTACTGATACCTGTAATTACAATTAATGCACGGCAGTTTTACTATATTTTCCCTTCTCTTTGTTCTCTATCACAATGCCATTATTATGAGAAGTATTTCCCTTCCCCCCTAATAATTCATTTTTTCGAAGCGAGACATTTCCCCCAATTTGTTGCCTAAACTAGTAATCAAACCTTCAGTGGCAGCAAATATGTCGCACGCCTCATACATAACTAATATAGTACATACCAAGCACATGGTTAATTATTAGTATGATCTTATTGAGGTTTAAATAATTTGTTCCTTCTCATGACTCCATTGCTTAATCTCACAAAGATTTCTGACCTTATCTGACCCTCCAGATCTATTTTGTAGACAGTAAATATCGCGATTTTGTCCTTGATCAGGACGCCATTTCCAACAGTTTCTAATTTCTGGTGGTACTAGAGAATTACTTGAACCGATAATATACGATGTAATATACTTACCAATGATTGGCATATACTTAAATCCTTGACCAGAATCTCCAGTTCCAAGTATTAAATTAGATAATTGAGGATGCGTCGTAATTAAGAAATGTCGATCAGGTGTATCAGTACACCAGCATAGTTTACATGATTCAAATTTTCTTGTAGCTATTGCTGGGAATACCTGTTTTAAGAAATCTCTAATTTGAACTTCTGCTTCATAAGGTATATTGTTAACATATAGTGGAATAGAATTATTAATTGAATCATTAATGCCATTGTCGGCATTGGGTGTATTATTCAGTTGGCTGAAATTAATGTAGCCAGGAAATTCATTACAGACTTTTATGATACCATTTTCATCTGGTTCAAATAAGAAACCTTCATTCAAATTTAAAATCACAGGCATAGATTTCAATTTGGCTGCTTCTTCTGAATTTACTTTAATATGAGCTAAAGTAAAACATTTAGCCAATAACTGGTTTTTAAAATCCAAGAATTTGTAGGATTGAGCACCAGCACAAAGAACTACTCTATCTCCATAGATCAGTTCTAAAGAAGTAGTAATACCAGTAACAATACCATTATCAACAATCAATGATTTGGCCTCTTGGCAAATAAATTTCCCACCTAACTTAATAATTTCATGAAATGCTGTTTCAAGGGTATGTCTAGCATTAACCCATCCACAGTTAGAAGATTGAAAATATCCATACCAGTTTTTGAAGCGACTTCCAAGTTCGTTAGTTATTCCATTTTCTGGAGTCTCTAATGCAATCAAATTTGAAAAATCTTGATGATTGTATAGCTTACGAAATTCAATTCCTCTGGATTGCAAAAGTTTCATTCTATTATCTAAATCGATCTTCTTTTCCGATGTACTAGCAGCATAAATTATACCTGATTCATAAAAAGAATCTTTATAAACAGGATCTGTTTTCCATAAGTCATACGACTCCCAAGCTAATTGAGAATAAAATAGCGAGTCCACATTATACTGGAATATCTTATTAATATCATTACCGGCACTTAAAGGTGACGGTGGAGGATATGGGTCTACTAATGTAACATCTACAAACCCACCTCTTAGTAATTCCAAGGCTGTAGACAAACCAAAAGTACCCGCACCAACAATTACAATAGGTGAGCTTTTATCCAATTGATTGTATAAATCTGCCATAATATATCCCTGAAGCAAAACTAGCCGTTCGTCGCAAGCTAACTTTTTTTTGCTGCTAAATACAACTCCATTATTTTTTGAAGGGAAATCTTAGGGAGAGACCAGCACGTCAAAATAATTTTCAGAATGCCGAGCCAAGGAAAGCCGATTCAATATATACCGCAATTGAAAATGATCATTAATTGAGCGAGATTGGATTTTGGAAGTGGACACGAGCATATAACTATTGACTCATATGCAAGTGATACAGAGGTTGATCTACCTATTTGTAATGGTTTATGGTTATGTTGGTTCTATTTCCAATCAGGTAGAATAGCAGTACTACCGTTTACACGCTGCTATATACCGACTTAGTTCTAGTAACTCTACTTAAAGTACTATAAAGAGGAAAGTTTATTAGCATGTAATTATATTTAAGCGCTAGGTGTGTATGCATTAATGATCCGATACTGATAGAGATTCAGATTCTTTTAAACTTTTAGAATTATGGCACTCGAATTATTCGTAAATAAAGGGGGTACAATTACGGGTATAATTTCAGTTTTTAAGTCAGTTGTAATCGATCTTCAAAAAAATAGGGATTTTAGTGGGATTAGCGAGCCTACGCACCATAACAAATTTCAATCGCCAGAAAATGGATCCTTTAGCAGTGAAATCAGCTGCGTTCGGCATCCCGAGCATGCATTTTGTGAGTATTATGAGTGAGTATTCAACCTATCTCCCGTAAAGAAAAATAGCCGTTGATGAATTATTCAACATGGCTAATGCAATTACATTCGAGATGCGTGCGTTATGCATGAAATTGTGTTAGTGTTATCCCTATATAATTCAATAAAATACGGAATATATAATTAAACTCCGTGGGAGTAAGTAGGGGCTTAATTAACACATAATACACAACACTCAATACGCCAGTCTTGTCGTATACGCTATACTCGAGAATCATTAGGTTATTGTCAGTTGCTGTTGTGTTACAAAGCGCTCAGTATTTTTTTTGCAATTTCTCCCTACGCTCTTTATTTGCTCCCTGCAAGCTGTCGAGCTGAAAAATAGGCAGGCCGTGCCTGCCAAGTCCAGCAATTAATTTGCTATGATTACCGAATTCAAATTAGTTACTCTATTGTTATTTTCGTAGGTCGAGTATTATTGTTTTGTAAATTTTTGGGAGACCGTTCTCATTCCACTGTCAAATTAAACTTTGTGTCAAAGGAATCCTGTTCACCGTAGTTTATTATTCTTTGAACATAGATTGTTATATATATATATATATATATATAAGACATATAAGAGTTTTAATTCATTCAACTGCATTACGTTTGTCTTTAAAACTAATTTCTGTACAAAGTTTAATCCGACCTAATCAAATCTTTCTGAAAAATTCTGAAATTTTATATGCAATTTGTGGAGAATAACAACATAAAACTTTGCATGTCAAATTCAGAACTAGTTTGGAACAAGCTAGATTAATAATATCATTAATCCCATTAAGTCTATGTCAAATAATATATATAAGAATTTAAAATAGGTCTCAGTATTAATTTCGTGCTGGTATATATTCTATACCCCATATTTTCAACCAACCTGCATTATGACTATTAATCCTGAACCAATAACTATAGCAATAGATCGAGGTGGAACTTTCACAGATATTCTATATAGGGTAGGACTGATAGAAGAATCCTTTAAATTATTGTCCGTAGATCCAACTAATTATAAAGATGCAAACATTGAAGGAATACGAAGAGTTCTTGAAATTGTTCATGGAATTTCCATTCCCAGAGGTATTCCCTTAGATACTTCCTCAATATCTTCAATCAGATTAGGTACTACTGTTGCCACAAATGCATTACTCGAAAGAAAAGGTGCTAAAATAGCCCTTGTCACCACAAAAGGATTTAAGGATTTACTTCATATTGGAGATCAATCTCGTCCAGAATTATTTGCATTAAACATCGTTAAGCCTGGAGTGTTATTTGAAGAAGTTGTAGAGGCAGATGAAAGAGTCACCTTACCAGCATTCACTGTAGATCCAACTGGTTATGATGCTCAAGAGTTGATAGATGATATCCGATACGTTAGAGGAGAGACAAACGAAGTATTCGAGATTATAAAACCATTAGATATTGAAAAGCTAAGGACAGATTTGGTTCAACTCAAAAATAAAGGAATTAAATCGATTGCTATAGTATTCATCCATGGCTTTAATTTTCAACTTCATGAAAAATTAGCTGGAGAACTTGCTAAACAAGTAGGATTCACGAATGTCTCTTTATCACATGAGATTTTACCAGTAATAAAAGCTGTACCAAGGGGTCAATCAACTACTTTGGATGCTTACTTAACGCCCATAGTCAAGGAGTATATATCTGCATTCTTGAAGGGGTTCAAACCGGGATTTGAAAAGTATACTCGTATAGAATTCATGCAATCAGATGGTGGTTTATGCTCCTACACCAAATTTTCAGGCTTGAAGTCATTATTATCTGGTCCTGCTGGAGGTATTGTAGGTGCTGCAAAGACATGTTATGACTCAAATAGAAAATTCCCCATAATAGGTTTTGATATGGGAGGAACTTCAACAGATGTCTCTCGATTTGCTGGTGACTATGAATTTTCATTCGAAAGTATTATTGCTGGGATTAAAATTGCTGCTCCTCAATTGGATATTAATACAGTTGCCGCTGGAGGTGGATCTATATTGACTTATCAAAATGGGGTTTTTCATGTTGGACCTGAATCAGCAGGTGCGTACCCAGGTCCAGCTTGTTATAGAAAGAATGGCCCCTTAACTATCACTGATGCTAACCTTTTCACCGGACGACTCTTGCCTAACTATTTCCCTCAAGTGTTTGGACCTGACGAGAATCAACCTATAGATATGGAAATCACTAAACAGAAATTTGAAGAGCTAACTAAAATTATTAATGCAGATAATCCTAAATTTCCAAAAACAGCTTATGAAATTGCAGAAGGATTTATTGATGTTGCTAATTATCAAATGGCTAAGCCTATAAGGAACTTAACTGAATCCAAAGGTCATGATGTTTCCAAACATATTCTTTCATCTTTTGGAGGTGCAGGTGGTCAACATGCTTGTTCTCTTGCTAAACTTCTAAAGATTAACAAGGTTATTATCCACAAACATTCCTCAATTTTATCAGCTTATGGAATATATTTGGCACCTAATGTTGTAGAAATTCAAGAACCTGTGTCTGAAACATATTCTTCTTATACCAGAATCAACTTATTGAAGAATTGTCAGAGGCTTCAATCCATTTGTCGGAAGAATCTTATATCTCAAGGTGTAAAGCAAGATTCGGTGGTTTACAATATTTACTTAAACATGGGTTATAAAGGTTCCGATACAAGAATAATGGTTCCTCAACCAAATGATGATGATTTCTTATCATTATTTTATAGTATGCATGCCAAAGAATTTGCCTTTAATGATGAAGATAGACCGATAATAGTTTCTGACATAAGAGTTAGAGCAAGTGGAGATGTTCTGTCATACGATAAATCCATTAAATCACCTTATGATGAGTATGATGATATTGGGAAATTGGCTGCAAAATCCTCAATTATTCGTGAAACTAGAAATTCAGTTTATGTAGATGGGAACCATTATCAAACAGATGTTTTCTTACTTAAGAAATTACCTACAGGTGCAATAGTTGAAGGACCAGCATTAATAGTAGATGCAAATCAAACTATATTTATAACTCCTTCTTCAGTAGCTACAATATTATCTAATCATATAATTATTGATTTAGAAACGACTTATAAATCAACAGCTACTACATCATTTGTTGACCCAGTACAACTTTCAATATTTGCTAATAGATTTATGTCTATTGCTGAAAGTATGTCTAGAACATTACAAAAGATAGCTGTTAGTGCTAATATTAAAGAAAGATTAGATTATTCATGTGCCTTATTTGATAATGAAGGGAATTTAGCTGCAAATGCTCCCAATGTACCTGTTCATCTTGGTTCAATGTCTACTGCCATAAAGTATCAATTAGATTTTTGGGGTCAAGATTTGAAAGAAGGTGATATCTTGTGTACTAATTCTCCTAGTGTTGGTGGAACTCATTTACCAGATATAACTATTATTTCACCAGTATTCTTTGAAGATAAGCTTCAATTTGTAGTTGCATCTCGAGCTCATCATTCAGAAATTGGAGGTTCAGCTCCAGGATCTTCTTCATCTTATGCAAGAGATATATATGATGAAGGTGTAAATATTGAAACCTGGAAAATTGTTTCCAAGGGTAAGTTTGATTATGATGGTTTGAAATATCATTTTGTTGATAATCCCAAATCTCATGGAGTATCAGGAACAAGAAATATTGATGATAATATTAGTGATTTAAAAGCACAAATTGCTTCTAATCAAAGAGGTATTAATTTACTTAAAGAATTATTTGAAGAATATGGTAGTGAAACAGTTTTATTTTATATGAAGAAAGTTAAGAAGGCAGCTGCATTAGCTGTAACTAAATTCTTTAAGGATTTTGCAAATAAAAATAAAGATAAATTACCCTTATCAGCTATAGATTATATGGATGATGGTAGTGAAATAAGAGTAAAAGTTGATATTAATGAACATGAAGGTATAGCTACATTTGATTTCACCGGTACATCATTAGAATCTTATTCTAATTTAAATGCACCCAAATCAATAACCTTATCTGCTGTCATCTATGTATTAAGATGTTTGATAGATTTGGATATTCCTTTAAATCAAGGATGTTTAGATCCATGTAAATTAATAATCCCCGATAATTCCCTTATTAATCCTAGTAAATTTGCTGCTGTTTGTGCTGGGAATGGTATGACATCACAAAGATTAACTGATGTTTTATTCAAAGTATTTGGTTTTACATCAGCATCTGGTGGTTGTATGAATGGTATTAACTTTGGTACAGGAGGAGAGAATGAAAAGGGAGAAATGATTAAAGGATTTGGATATACAGAAACCATTGGACAAGGTAGTTGTGCAGGGATTATTGAGAAGAATGGAGAGAGATATGGATTCCATGGATTTTCAGGAACTCAAACCAATATGACTAATACTAGGATTACTGATGCAGAAGTATTAGAAAAGAGATATCCATGTTTCTTAATAGAATATTGTATAAGAAAAGATAGTGGAGGTAAGGGGAAATGGAACGGAGGGGATGGATTAATTCGAGAGATTCAATTTAATTCACCAGTTCATGTATCATTAGTAACTCAAAGACGAGTATATAAACCATGGGGAATATATGGAGGAGAACCAGGACATGTTGGAGAGAATTACTTGGGTAGAAATAGAGGTAATGGAGTGATTCAATGGATAAGATTACCATCATTAGCAGAAATAGAAATAAAGTCTGGTGATATTTTAAAGATCTTAACTCCAGGAGGGGGAGGATTTGGAAATGTTAATGATACTGATGAATTTTGGAATATTTCTACAGATTTTAAATATGATAAAACTGGAAATCAACATATTATAGCTGGTGGTAGTTTAGGGAAACATGTAGAAGCTGCAAATACATCTCAGTAATTGTAAATATGTATTATATATATAATCTAATTACCTGTAATTTATTTAATTTGAATTTTTAGTTTAATTTAATTTAATTTAATTTAGTGGAGTATCATAATAGAAATAAAAAATCACCAACAATATCAATAATAAGAAGAAGAAGAAGAAGAAGAAGAAGAAGAAGAAGAAGAAGAAGAAGAAGAAGAAGAAGAAGAAGAATAAAAATAACCAACCAAGTAATAATCCATGATTTATAGCCGCTTAATTTTTCCAGAAATCACTAATATCTTGACCACCACCATTATAGGCAAGAACATTTGGTGAAGCAGAATCTAATCCAGTGATTATACCCTTAGAACCATATTTAATTAAATTCTTCTTTAAAGTTTCTGGAGTTAATGGAGCTTTAGAATATTCAGAGGTAGTTTCTGGGTATAATGATAAATAGTAAGATAATAAACCAGTAATATGAGGAGTTGCCATTGAAGTTCCCGACATAAGAGTAGTTTCACTCCAAATATAGGTGGATTCAATATTAACACCAGGAGCAAAAATATCTACTGAACTACCCCAATTAGAGAATTCAGCCTTTACATCATTTTCATCAGTGGCACCAACAGTGATTGGACCAGAAGCTCTAGCAGGAGAAAATTCAGATGCATCTGCATTATCATTACCAGCAGCAACAGCAACATGTAATCCAGCCTTAGTAGCAGCATTAGCAGCTAAATCTAAAGCTTCAGAAATTCCACCACCAATAGACATATTAACAGTAGAACCTTTAAATCCCTTTTTAGTTTTGACATTATTTTGATGATCAAGAACAGCAAATTCAAGACCTTTAATAATATCTGAAGTTGATCCAGCCCCTAAAAAGTTCATAACTGCAACAGCAACTAATTCAACATTCTTAGCAATACCATAAGTTTTGGAACCAATAGTACCAGCACAATGAGTTCCATGACCATGACCATCAACTTTAAGATTTGGGAATGCAACAGCAGAACCCCAAGTTGCTCTACCTTCAAATTCTTCATGTTCAATTTTGATACCAGTATCAATAACATAAGCCGTAACACCCTTTCCACCTTCATTATCATAAAGATAATCTAATTTTGGACTTAAATCACGATGACTAATTCTACTTAATCCCCAAGTTACATCCTTTTGAATATCAAATTCATTAATATTAAACACTGAATCTTGTTCAATAAATTTAACTTTTGGATCCTTTTCAATTAATTTAACTAAATCTTCAGTTAAATAACCAACATATCCACTAAATCCAGTATTAATTAAATCAAAAAAATCTAAAGTTGCTTTATTTGAAAGTCCATTAGTTTGAACCATGGTAGTAAATTGATTTTGAATCCATAATTGATGAATTTGCTTATCTTCAGTACTTAAATCATCCTTATAAACTACAATATATTTATTTGGAATAAGTTGATTTCTAATATTAGAAGCTAATTTACCTAAATTATTAACTTCATTTGAAAGTCCAACTAAAGGTTGTTGACCTCCAATTGCCTTTGCACTATTAGCTCCAGTCTTAGATAAGACATCAAAGCTAAATAAATTTTGAATATCTGGAATGACTAACCCATTTGCACCCAACAGGTATGCAGCCAATAAAGTAACTAATGTTTTAATATGCATTTTATAAGTAAATTCTATACTTTCACTTGAGCTATAAACAAATAAAAGAAATAGTTGTGAACTCTTTAATTCTGATAAGCAGATAAAAAGGTGGCTGTTCCCTACCCCCCAACTTTCCCCATCCGATGATACCTCGTGTGCGGCTTGGGGATTTTCCTGTACAGGGCCACAAATTCCAACCACAATTGCAATTAGCACCCAACATCCATATGCTGATGGTGATTGTGATTGTGATGATGATTATGATTATGATGAGTTGAAATATTCTTATATAATTATCTATTTTTTTTTTCTTTTATATATGTTTGAAGATACATAGATCTGCTGGTTTGTTTAGCTTTTTGTTTGGTAATCGTGCTGTACATAGTTAAAGTAAGTCTATTTATACTTTATTTGGCCGGAATATTAGTTGAATCTTATACGAAGAATTCGAATTCTTACAGATTTACATTTGTACATTAATGTATATACTATGACATTAAACTATTGTATAGATCAACCATAATCTTAAATACATCTAGTGATTCACTACAATTAGCAAGTCAATCTGTTAGCTATTAGCTGGTCTAGACAAAGTCGTGCGAGAAACAGATGCAATAATGATAAGCAGGCAAAAAATACTACACGAAGCTTCCCGTATAGTCAGCACAACAGCAAATACTATAATACAATAGTTGCTAAGTCTTTCTGTTATCAATAAAGTATAACACAGACCAATAATACTAAAATACTTCAATTCTTTCTTAACTCATAGAATAATATAGAATAAATAATCGTATAAATAATGTCACATTCATCAAGAAAGAAATTACTATTGATGGGCCGGTCTGGTTCCGGTAAATCCTCTATGAGATCAATGATATTCTCCAATTATAGTGCTTTTGATACAAGAAGATTAGGTGCAACTATTGATGTTGAACATAGTCATTTAAGATTCTTAGGAAATATGACTTTAAATTTATGGGATTGTGGTGGTCAAGATGTTTTTATGGATAATTATTTTACTAATCAAAAGGATCATATATTTAAAATGGTTCAAGTATTAATTCATGTTTTTGATGTTGAATCAAAATCAATTAATAAAGATATTGAAATATTTATAAAAGCATTAACAAATTTACAAAAATATAGTCCAGGAGCTAAAATCTTTGTATTATTACATAAAATGGATTTAGTTCAAATTGATAAACGTGAAGAATTATTCACTATAATGATGGATAAATTACAAAAAATTTCTAATCCATATCAATTCAAATTAATTGGATTTCCTACTTCAATATGGGATGAAAGTTTATACAAAGCATGGTCTCAAATAGTTTGTTCATTAATTCCTAATATGAACTTGTTGAATAATAATCTTTTAAAATTAAATCAAATACTTGACTCTGAAGAAATCATATTATTTGAGAAGTCTACCTTTTTGGTAATATCATCAACAGCAAGTATTCAACAAAATCAAGATGCAGTTGAAAATAATGGAGGTCAATTGGCTCCACCATTATCTACACAAGAAGAATTAGATCCTAAACGATTTGCAAAAATTTCTAGTATAATAAAGACATATAAACAATCTATATCTAAATTAAGATCTAATTTTAGTAATTTAATTATAAGAGGAAGTAATGGAGCACATTTTTATATTGATATATTAACTGATAATATGTTTATAATGATAGTTTTAAGAGATAAAGATTCAAGTCAACCAGAAGGTCAACCACAACATGAAGAATTATTGATTTTAAATAATATTAAATCGGCTAGAAAATGGTTTGAAAAGATTGAAAACTCCGGCGGGGTGTAACCATTAAATGTATGTATGTATGTATGAATAAAATAATTAATAGTTAATAATTAATAAAATAATTAATTTACTTAGTACTTAGGATTTTCGGAGATAACGTAATACTTCTAAACATAGCCGTTTGTTATTTTTCTGTTGTTTCCTCCACGTGATACGTAAACGACGCGCAATAGATCTCGTATAAATATATTTCTATACGCTGGAAAATTTTATAATAGAAAGATTAAATAGAGGTGTCACTGTCAAGTTTAATTGTATAGAACCCATTGATTGATTCAATTGATTAATTATGAGTAAGAAACTTGTGGAATTACTCACTCATCCAACTGAGTTGCAAGCTGCAATTCAATTTTTTTATTTTAAACAACCTTTACATATACCTGTACCAGGATCAGAAAATTTACAAAGATGTTATTATATATTAAATCAAACTTCTAGATCATTTGTAGCAGTTATTCAAGAATTACATCCTGAATTGAGAGATGTTATTATGATTTTCTATCTTGTATTAAGAGCTTTAGATACTATTGAAGATGATATGACTCTTGACCCATCAATTAAAATTCCTCTTTTAAGAGAATTTGATTCAAAATTAGATTTAAAAGATTGGACTTTTGATGGTAGTGGACCTAATGAAAAGGATAGAATTGTATTGGTTGAATTTGATAAAGTATTAACTGAATATCATTTATTAAAACCTCAATATCAAGAAGTAATTAAAGATATAACATATAAAATGGGAAATGGTATGGCTGATTATATTTTAGATGATAATTTTAATCTTAATGGACTTGCCACTATTAAAGATTATGATTTATATTGTCATTATGTAGCTGGTTTGGTTGGTGAAGGATTAACAAAATTAATGGTATTAGCTAAATTTTCTGATAAATCATTAGTAGAAGATAATTTTCAAAAATCGAATTCTATGGGATTATTTTTACAAAAGACTAATATTATCAGAGATTATCATGAAGATTTAGAAGATGGTAGATCCTTCTGGCCTAAGGAAGTATGGGGTAAATATACTGATAAGTTACCATCATTCCATGAAGATACTTCTCCAGAAAGTGAAATTCAAGGTTTAAATTGTATTAGTGATTTAGTTTTAAATGCTTTAAGTCATGCTAAAGAAGTATTAGAATTTCTTTCATTAGTTAAAGATCCATCAACTTTTAGTTTCTGTGCTATTCCTCAAGTTATGGCAGTTGCAACATTAGCTGAAGTATACAATAATCCAGCTGTATTTCATTCTAATGTTAAAATTAGAAGAGGTACTACATGTTCATTAATTTTACAATGTAGAAATTTCCCAGGAGTTGTTAATATCTTTAGAAAATATATTCAAAATATTAATCATAAATCATCAGTTAAAGATCCAAATTATTTAAAGATTGGAATTAAATGTGGTGAAATTGAACAATTTTGTGAAACATTATATCCAGATTTAAAATCTTTACCAAAAGGGGTAACACCAGCTTCTACTGACATTACTAAATCTTTAGAATCAAGAAAATCAATTGATCAAAGTATGCAAAGAAGAATGGATCAAGAATCTTATAATCTTAATATTTCTTTATTGATTATTTTATCAATTGCAACTGGGATTCTTTATAAATTTGTATTTTAAATATGGTTAGTCGATAAACTTATTCTATTTTATAAACATTTTATATACATTCTTTTGAAAATTTATTATAGTTTATGATTTTCCTCGTGTACTGTATTATGATTGTAACATAACCATCGTATTACGTTATTATCAACTAATAACCTGCAGATTATTTTCTGCGCCAGCCGGGCTCTCGGTATCCCACGGCATAAAATGATAAGGTTATCTATATCGTCAAAAACCATTTAACACATTAATATTAGCAGCATTAGTAGTAAAAGACTATAGATATTATATAGATATAATAATACACAGACATAATTGAAAATGTCAATTATTAATCCAGCTTCAATTGAGGAAGTAAGATTTCCTATCAGAATTATTGATTGGTCCTTAGATTATTATAATGAAAAGGGTGAAGATAAACTTAAATCTCCTATTATATTACAAGATAAAAATGGTCCATGTCCATTAATAGCTCTAATAAATTCATTAGTAATTGGATATGAAGTATCATTAAAAAAAATTGCCACTAATAATATGGGAATAACTCATGATAATGATCAAAAATTGAATGGTTTAAGGGGATTTAAAGAATTACTTTTCCAAATGGAAGCTAATAATGGATTTATTGAATTAAAGAAATTACTTGAACAATTAGGTGATCTTATTCTTATATATAATAATGAAATTCATGCTGATGATCAAGATGAAATAGATAAGATTTTAACTAATTTACCTCTTTTACATACTGGATTAAATGTGGATCCTAATTTATTAAAGGGTAATTTTGTAAAAGATGATCTTGCATCTCAATTGTTTGAATTATTTGGATTAAAATTTAAACATGGATGGGTAATAGATCCAATTGATAATGAAGATATTAAATGGAATGTATCAGCTAGACATGTACATTCTGATTCGCAAGATCATGTACCAGAAAGTGCACGCCTGCATTCTCACACCCCAGAATCAGAACAAGATAATTATGGTAAATTAGTTGAATTATTTGATAAATTACAGACATTTGATAAAATTCAAGATTATTTATTAATTGATGATGAACAGGGACTAGAAAAACTTGAAAAATTACAAAACCAACGATTAATTTCGAAATGGTTAGAATTAAATAAGACTCAATTGACCAGTATTGGTCTTAAAAAATTGAATAATGAATTACACGATGAAGAAGTTGTAATATTCTTTAGAAATAATCATTTTAATACCTTATTTAAAAAGGGTGATATGGATATGTATTTATTAATAACTGATACAGCATTTAATAACAAATCCAATAAAATCGTATGGCAATCGTTTAATTCTGTTAGTGGAAAGGATGATTTATTCTTTACAGGTGATTTTTTACCTATCCTTGAACTTGATGCTAATATTAATGATGAAGGATATAATGATTCAGATTATCTATTATTAAAACAATTACAAGAAGAAGAAGATGAAAGGTTGGCTGTACAAATGCAACATGCCTTCAGTAAGAAGTCTGATAGCAACAATGTCTCCAAAAGTAAAAAGGATAAGAAAAAGATTCCTTCAAAAAGGTTACCATTACCACCTAAAGATGAACAATCCAATGAAATTACTAGTGAACCCCAAAAGACATCAAAAAGTACTAAAGAGAAAGCGGGAAAAAAGTCAAATTGTATAATTGTATAGACAATAGACACTAGGCAAAAGACAAAAAGATACATAGTATATTAAAAATTTTATGTATGTGCATTTAACTATACTGATGGTTCAACTTCCTCTTCTTCTTCATCTTCTTCATCTTCTTCATCTTCATCACCTCCGTATTCCACTGGATCAAATTCAGATCTTATAGCATCCATCTTTTCAAGTTCATTAGTTGTTGGTTCTCTTAATTTAAAGTTAATACCATCATAAATACTTTCTCTTAAGAATCTATTAACTTCAGTATTTGCAATTGGTCTATGCTTTCTTAAATCAATTCTACCAGCAATTGGATAATAATATGCAACTTTTCTTCTTTTAGAATCATTTTCATCAGGAACTAATTTAATACTAACTTCTTCATATTCTTTAGCAAATCTATTATAAGTCATATCATAATTCTTAATATATTTAAAATCATATTTTTCTATGGCATCATCTTCTTCATCCAATAAATTAATTGGTTTTTCTCTTTCAGTTGAATGTAATTTTTTATTTAATTTAGTAGCTGAATTATTTGTTAATTGATATAATGAAATCCATTCTCCATCATCAGAAGTAATTGGTTTTAAGATACTTGTATTTGTTATATTTTTATGTAATTCTGCATCGAATTTATCACCTTTCTTTTGTTTTAAAACCTGTAATTCACGACTAAGTGAGGCTGAACCTATAAATTTAACATTTAAAAATTTAGCATCTGTCATTGAAGTATCAGGTAATAATGGCCAAGTATTAACAGCCTTTAAATTTCTCTTACGTGGATGTTTCAATTTATCTAAATTGATTAAAGTATCACGAGCAGCTTCAAAAGTATCTTCAACAGCTTTTAATTGAGCTTCAGCATCTAATTTTTCAGGTTCTTTAGTATTCTTAGATTCACTACTAGTTGAAACATCACTACCATGAGACCTTATTTGACGTTCAGCAATATATTCAGTTCTTCTCAAGAATGAAACTCCAGGCTCAGACTTGGAAATATTACCTATACCTGCATCTCTTAATAAAGCTCTATCTTTTGGATGTAATGTTACTGGCTTATTTTCATCAGTTTTATTAACCAAATTATTTATAGCTCGATCATTTCCTTCATCTAAAAATCCTTTATTATTAATCAAATTTAAATTTAAACCTAAATCTTCATCAATAGTTTCTATTAAACTAATAAAGTTTTCTTTTCTAAATAATGAACTTATTAAACTTTGAGCTTCTTGTTGATTAGATATATTTTCAGTAGTATTATATTGAATAAATTTAGGATTCAATGGTGGAGGTGGTAAGTTATTGGAATATCTTATTTTGGCAATATAGTCCTGCCTTATAGGCTTATGATGAGACTTTTCTGACATACTGAAGAACTAATAACTTAGTGTATTACGGTCTATTACGCTAACAATGACGATTTCTTTATACTGTTCGGTCAAATTTTGTTTGTTCAGAGAGTGAAAAATATCACAGCGTCGTGGAAAGTGGCCAAAAAAACTTTATCTATGGCCATACAATATGATCTACATAGTAGCTACTGACTACTTAATTACTCAGTTAATTAGTTACTTTGTAAATGCTAGTTACTTTTTAATACTTATTAATTGGTCAATACTGACGTGCATTCTAATAATTAAATACTGAAGTATTTACCAACTAACTAGTCTTATAAAAGAGTAATACTTAGTTATCTAGTTAGAACCAAACTTAGTGATGGTCTTGTAGAAATCGAGACCTTGAGTCTTGGCAATTGACTTTTCAATATCGGTAACTTGTCTAGAACCATCGTGACCGGCATAAGTACCAGCACCCCAAAGAGAACCACCTTGGATACCATTGTCAAATGAACCTTGAGCTGGGTTAGCGAAACCTAATGGGACAAATGAAATACCGTGATGGGTTAAAGTGGATAAAGCATTGATGATAGTAGCTTCTTGACCACCACCTGGAGAACCAGTGGAGACGAAAATACCGGCAAATTTACCCTTTAAGGCAGCTCTAGCCCATAATGGACCAGTACTGTCCCAGAAAGATTTCCATTGAGCTGGGAAGTTACCAAATCTGGTTGGGATACCAAATAAGAAAGAATCAAACTTTTCTAAAGTTTCTAAAGTAGCAATTGGAATTTCTGGTCTAGCTGGAGCATGTAAAATCTTTAAGATTTCTTCTGGTAAAGTTTCTGGAACTTGGAAAATTTCAGCTTCACCACCAGCTTCTTCAATACCTTTCTTTTCTTCAAGAGCTAAGGTATAGACGTGGTGGTATAAAGAGTAAATGATAATAGCAATCTTTGGACCGGCCATTTTTAACAATAATTAATTATCTTTTAAAAATATAAATTAAATTATTTGAAAAATTACGAACTACGCCATTATCTTTAATATATATAGAAAATTAGTTGCAAACCGAAACTATGGCTACCACAAAAATGGCCACATTGAAGCATAAATCGTTGGAAATTAACGGAGTTTAGTTTAGTAAGCTTAATAATTTAGATTGGAGGGGTGCAGGTGAAATCTTAATCGAACAGGCATGAGCCAGGGTACAGCTATACAATTTTATGGCCATTCGCACCCTATAAGAAATCCACAAAATGGAATTTTTCCAGTAGTTAGAGGAAAATCCTCACAATCAAAACATGCACAATAAGATACACCGACGCCATCTTTTTTAATAATTTATTACAAACTAACGCCGAATTTTCCTAAAAAAGTAGTACTGCGTTAAACCACTCTATAGTTAGTTTTACATTCTGGTTTTACTAAAGTGTCGGAGTTTATGTTATTATTTACATGTCTATATTCGGGAATATATTAACAGATGTGAAAATGGAACCGTGCCATATTTACCATTAAATCATATTATATTTCGGTTAAAATAGATTCTCATATATTTGTTATCATTTATCATTTTGTCCGTGTCCAAAAGTGGAGGAGCCTTTACTAAGTTTGATCTGGCATATTTTCTGGACATCCTCTTAGAAAAGGTTCCGCGCAAAAAGAAAAGGGAGATTAAACACCAAAATATTATTATCCATTGAGAAATTTACTCCAACAAGTGTAATAAGAAGGCTTTTACTAATATAATTATGAACAAATGCCAAAATGGAATTGTCTGTATTGTAATATGTACAACTAACGTATTGTGTTATTATAAATAGGATGATATTTTTCGTATAGGTCGTTATGTGATCTAGTTGCAAATTTGGGGGTACATTGGAGGATACAAAAATTAATTACTATATTTGGTAAGAGTCTTGAAGAAATCATGACCTTGAGTCTTGGCAATAGATTTTTCAATATCGGTAACTTGTCTAGAACCATCGTGACCAGCAAATGTACCAGCACCCCAAAGAGAACCACCTTGGATACCATTGTCAAATGAACCTTGAGCTGGGTTAGCGAAACCTAATGGGACAAATGAAATACCGTGATGGGTCAATGTAGATAATGTATTCATAACAGTAGATTCTTGACCACCACCTGGAGAACCAGTGGAGACGAAAACACCAGCAGATTTACCCTTTAATTCACCATTAGCCCATAAAGAACCAGTACTGTCCCAGAAAGATTTCCATTGAGTTGGCATGTTACCATATCTAGTTGGGATTCCGAATAAGAAAGCATCATATTCTCTTAAAGTATCTAATGTAGCAATTGGAAAATCTGGCTTTTCTGGAGCATGTAAAATCTTCAAGATATCATCATTTAAAGTTTCTGGGACTTGGAAAATGTTGGCAACACCACCAGCACTTTCAACACCAAGTTTAGCTTCTCTTGCTAAAGTTGCAATATGATGGTATAAAGAGTAAACGATAATAGCAGTTCTTGGAGCAGGAGCCATTGTTATATTAAGTTTAATGATTGAATGTAGATAGAAAAACAAATCTAGTTTAAACTTTTGCAACTTCCGGGGCAGAGCAAGATATATATATACCTATAAAGTGGAGGATTCTTGGCCCGAAGAGATGGATAAGTACGTCATGATTATCTAATACTTTCATTGCAAAAAATTACTGCGCGCATTACTGATTCTTAGTAAAGAAATATTATTCCATTACAAATGGACCTTATTATATTGGATTATTTTATAATTGGTATGAAATAACGAGCTTATCATTCTTTCCGGGGATAGCAATATTCGCCGTTGATGCTACTTCTTGATGACTTATTTGATCTATCTCATTGCATTGCATTATATTGCGGATGTGCTGATTACTGGGCTTTATTCACAATTTCTAACTGATAAATTTGAGGCTTATTAAAGAGATTTAGAACATAATACAGTACCGTAAATATTTATTCCCGTTACTTTTAAGACATTATGCTATACTATATCAGTGTTACGACTGAAAAATTTGTGCCTCTCGGTTTGTGTTTATGAGTTCGGATCGGAGCATCGGAAAAGGTTTTGATCCCCCACGCATTTTCTTATTAATTACAAGGCCTAGTCTAGAGTATGCTGGGTCAATCCTGTAGGCGTGTTTGTTTAGTCAAATCCCGTTAACTATAACACAGAGTAATAATAATGTAATTATAAGCACTCAGCCAATATATCTAATTATCATCCTGAAATTTAATTTTAATTACTAATTTATTCATCGATGAGGAAATGACAATTAAGCGACATCTCCATTGTTTTTATGGGTCATGTCGTGGAGGCTTTCTATGTTAGCGAAAGCGACATACTCAGAAATACGACATTTAGTTTTTAGTTTCTAGTTTCCAGTTTCCAGTTTCTCATAGTTGAGCATCAAATGCTAAGCTTCAATTATTATAAAGGCAAATTCACATTCAAGCTGTTACAAATTGGATTAATATGCATAAATGGCGAGAGAAGTTTTGTTTCACCGAATTTAATGATTCCTCCCTTAAATCCTGCAAACCTCCGCCACATACTTAGAATTACTTTGAAATATCAGCCGCGCAGATCCCCAATATAAGAAAAAATACCATTTAAAGGAGTATAATGGAATCATTTATGTAACGTGAAACATTCCGTTAATGCTTGTCAAGTTTTCCTTTATTTCTTTGCTTGCTGATACTTCGGTAAAATGGCTCAATGAAAGTGAAAAGCGCAAATTACTTTATATAGAATGCCATTAAGGTTATAGTTTGCATACTGTACTATGATTTGCGTACTATACTTTTCTTTACCCCCTGCAAATTACAGTTGATTCTCTATTGTCTTACCCTTTGGTGCCAAACATCTTCTTGTGACTATTGATGATCTAAAAGTTTATAAATGTACTAATTTCTCCTATTTTAAACTCATCATTTACAATGAATTATGGCCTCACTAAATAGCCAATCTATTTGAAATTCCAGAAATTCCATAAACTTTTAACCTTATTAAAGTTAAAAGAAGCCATTGTTCTGCACGTGACCTAAAATTCCAGCGCAAAAAATAGAAGAAACTTTGGAGATTATCAAACACAATGTCCACCTCAGATTCCAAATCTAGTTCTCATATAAAAGAACTGGCATTTCATATTTTTACGACTCTGAACAATAATATTAGACATAATACTAAGGAAAATGCTATAAATATGAAAGGAAGTAATCCTGGTTTTTTTGAAAATGATGGTGGAACCTCGGAGCATGGCTCAATATCTAAAGATCAACTTTTTAATAGTCATAGTAATGATAAAAAATCTCATATAATTGATATAGCAGCTGAATTTATTAGAAAAAGACTGAGTATATATCCTGATATATCTGAAGATGAAGAAAAGAAAATCATTCGAAAAGTTGATTTTATTCTTGTTCCAATGCTATTTTTCACAGCCACTATGGGGGCAGTAGATAAGGTTTCATTATCGACTGCTGCTATATATGGATTTAAAGAAGATAATAATTTAGTTGGTCAACAATATTCCTGGTTAGGATCGATTTTATTTATTGGATCCTTAGTAGGAATGTGGCCAATGTCATACATATTACTGAAATATCCCTTAGGGAAAGTATTAGCAAGTGCATCTCTTGGTTGGAGTTCATTCACACTATTATTATGTGCATGTAATGGATTTGCAGGGTTAGCTACGTTAAGATTCTTAATGGGATTCCTTGAATGTGCCATTGTACCTGGTTGTACATTGGCTGCAGGTAGATTTTACAAAAAGAAAGAACAAGGTTTAAGATTAGCCATTATATTTGCATTTGCATCTTCAGTAATTAATGGATTTTTATCTTGGTTAGTCGGATATTTTAAGCATGGAGCACTTCCAGAATGGAAATATTTATATTTATTAGTGGGGTCTATTTCATTTTTATGGAGTTGTTTAATGTTATATTTTTTACCTGATTCTCCTATGAATGCTAAATTTTTGACTGATAGAGAAAAGTATTATGTGGTTAGAAGATCCTTACTTAATAGTACTAGTGTTGAAACTAATGATTGGAAATGGTATCAAGCCAAAGAGGCAGTTTTAGATATTAAAGCATATTTAATCTTTTTGTTTAATGTTTGTATTAATATTCCCAATGGTGGTTTGTCAACCTTTTCTGCCATCATTATTACCAATTTGAATTTTGATCCTATGAGAGCATCTTTAATGGGTATTCCAACTGGAGTAATTGCTACTCTAGCTACTATTTTTTTCACTTGGCTTTGTTCAAGATTTGAAAACAGACGTTGTTTAATTGCAATAATCTCATTATTGATTCCTATAATTGGAGCTGGTATCGTTTATGGAGTCGATAGATCTAAAGTGGGACCTCAATTACTTGGACTTTACCTTTTATACTTTTACTTTGCTCCCTATGTGGTACTAATTTCTTTGGCACAAGCCAATACAGCTGGAAACACTAAGAAATCAATTACTTATTCAATCAATTACTTAGGTTATTGTGTGGGAGCATTGATTGGACCTCAAACTTTTAGAGCTAACCAATCTCCCAAGTACACAGGAGGGTTCATTGCGATGTTAGTGGCGTTATGTTTATGTATATTCTTTTCGGGGTTATATTGGTTGGTATGTATTTGGGAAAATAGAAATAAGGATCTTAAATATAATGGTAAAATATTCCTTGAGGAGGATGGAAATGTTGAAAAGGCATCAGATGATCATATTTTTGAAGATGAAAGTTTATTTGATTTAACTGATAAAGAGCAAAAACATTTTAGATATACTACATAATTCAATTCATTTATAGACATTTAATTTAATCAATTTATTTATTTAATTTATTTAATTAAGCATCACCATCCTTGTATAAGGTTGGATCAACACCTCCCCAAGTTAAAACTTCTTTAGAGGTTGGCTTATTTAAAGCTTGTAATACGTCCAAAGGTAATTTGACAACTCCTAAATTGGCAGATTCTTCAGAATCGTCTTTAGCATCAGGAAGGACATCAAAATTTTGTTTAATTCTTTCAATCTTTTCAGTCTTTGCTAACACAATAAATCCTTGCAAGTAAGACCATTTTAATAAGATTTCAATTTTTGGAATTCCAGATTCCTTTTCTAAAGCTAATAATTCAGGATCATTTAATTTATAACCTTGAGTTAATGGTGAATAAGCTTCCAATAAGATATCATGTTTGATTGAGTATTCTCTTAAATCTAATCTTGGTAACCATGGATGTAATTCAACTTGATTAACTACTGGCTTTATTTTAAAACCTTCCCAAGCAAATAATTCTTCTAAATGGGCAATACCGAAGTTAGATACACCAATAGACTTAACATGAATAATATCATTAGTTGGATTAGTTAATTCTTGTAATGCTTTCCATGATCCAATTCTCTTATCTTTAGTAGATTTTGGAGAATGGATTAAAATTAAATCAATATATTGAATATGTTTTTTAACTAATGAAGCAATTTCTTTAACTTCCTTTAAAGTATTTTCATAACCATGAGCTGGATTAGTAATTTTTGTAGTAAACCAAATATCTTCTCTTTTAACATGAGGATGATCTTTAATGAAATTTTCAATACCTTCAGCACATTCTTCTTGACTTCCATAGTAGACAGCACTATCAATATGTCTATAACCGGCAACTAAAGCAGCATAAGTTAATTCTCTTGCTTTACCCTTTGGAACTAAATAAGCACCATAACCAGCAACTGGGATATGAAGACCATTGTTCAATTTATAGGTAGACTTTTTAGTCAATTCAATTGATGAAGTAAGAATAGACATGATTGTTAATTATGTATTCAAATGATTAGTTATTATTTTAAGAATGAATTAATTCAATTGATCTCAACAGAGATACCAAACGATTTCTTCATCTATTTATACCCCAATTTTTCACCCCCATTCGTACGTTTTGCCTTCATATTACAAATTAAAATGTGGCACCTGTCACTTCGTACCGAACTACTCCACGGACTTTCCTATTTGGGATAGTTGCTATGCTGGGTACATGACACCCGTGCCGCAACACACGAGCCTCAGGGACGATTTCTATAACAGTAGTAGTTACTTACACAACCCATCTCGACTAAAAATAATTGAGCTTTATGAAAATAATTATATAGTACTAATTCATTTACTTATGATAGAATATAAGTTACGCTGACTGTAACGTGACTTTGACTTTAAAACTAATTTTAACTTTCATATCATAAACGATTATATATAAATATACTAATTCCTGCATAGAAATAAGGTTGGAGCCTGTTTCAGAGAGAAAGAGACGGGTCAAAAAACGGAAAACATCACAGCTCCAATAGATAACCGGTATTACTGACACTTTTATTTAGTAGCAGTAGCAAACAAATATATAGCATATAATATATAGTAGAATGTCAGGAAGGAAGAAGACATTGTTAAAGGTGATTATTTTGGGAGATTCGGGAGTTGGAAAGACTTCGTTGATGCAACAATTTGTGAACAACAAATTCAGTCATCAGTATAAGGCGACCATTGGAGCTGATTTTCTAACTAAAGAAATAACTATTGATAATAATAAACAAGTCAGTTTACAAATTTGGGATACTGCTGGTCAAGAAAGATTCCAAAGTTTGGGAGTAGCCTTTTATAGAGGGGCAGATTGTTGTGTATTATGTTATGATGTTACCAATGAGAAATCATTAAATAATTTAACAAGTTGGAAAGATGAATTTTTAGTACAATCTAATGTTACTAATCCTCAAGATTTTCCATTCATTATAATAGGTAATAAAATAGATGTAGATGATTCTAAAAAGATACCTTCATTACAAAAGAAATTACAAAATATTACCAATAATCAATTAGGTGGATTAAATTATCCTGTATTTGAGACTAGTGCTAAAGAAGGCATTAATGTCGAAGCTGCATTTGAAGTCATTGCCAAAATGGCATTACAACAAGAAGAATTGAATGATGCTAATGGTCATGATGTAAGTGACGACTATAATGATGCAATCAATATTCACTTAGAAAGTGAATATAGTGGTTGCGCATGTTAGACAGGGTCGTATCTGCATACACTTAATTAAATATTATATATATTATATTACTATTATTATTATTACTATTACTTTTAGAGTCATTTCATCAATTCTATTTCCACTTGCACGTTATTCAAACAAGCTTAGTCCACTTCTACTTCTACTTCTTGATTCATTTTTAAAATCTTTTTATTAGCCCTTTATTTTGTATGTCTAACTATTTAATACATAACGAATTTTAATCTAAATATTATTGTTTTATGAATGTTATAAACCTCAGTATCCAACTTCCTTGTTACTTAAGACAAGAACAAATAAGTTTAACAACCAAGTTAATGATATCATTATTTTGATTACCCTGTTGAGGTTGTTGTTGATAGTATTGAGGTTGACCATTTTGTTGATGTTGTTGGTGAGAATATTGAGGTTGCCCTGAACCTTGATAGGCTTGATGTGGTTGAGACACTGGAGCCCAGTGATTTGGAACTTGAGAAGATTGAGTATTGGTTAAATCTATAACCAATACCCCTGAATTATGAGGATCCATATGATGCTTTAAATTACATTCACTACACATTTGATCAATAGCTGGCTTTAATTTGGCAATACCATTAGCTGAATGTAATCCTTTACCTACAATAACATTTAAATGAGATTGGTTAGTTCTAATAGCACTAGCAATTCTTTGTTGTAATACATATTCGGCTTCTTTAACATATAATCCATGTAAATCGATTTCATCAGGTCCACTATCAGTATTATTTTCTCTAAATACATATTGTGCGGCTTGACGATTATAATCTTCTGCTTGAGCCAATACTTTCTTAGCTTGTTCACTCAATTCATGAGCTCGTTGTCCATCACCACTTTTATAAGCCTGCTGCGATTGCGAACTTAATTGTTTACGCTTATCATATAATTCTTCAGCCTTATTACGGAGTCTTTTATATTCACTATCAGTAGCATGATTATAATCTCTTTCATTATCATCATACCCTAATCGGATACCTCTATCTATCTCAGCCATCTCTAAATACTTACCGGTTCTACAGTAAACCGGATGTTGAGTTGGTTCGAAGTCGAATTTCAAGTTACAATATACTCGTAACTGGAAATGAGCCCCCATGCAGGAACATCAACATACTTTCAATGTCCATTCCCGGATAATTTTATTTTTACTACAATTCATTAAATTTTTAAATCAGTATATTTATTAAAAAAATTACAATGAAATATACTAAAGACTATATAAAAGCTTGACCAACAAATAATGTAAAAATAAATCTAAAAAATTTTATAGTATATTAAATAATACAAAAAGGTAATAGATTTAATCAGCTTATTTCTTAGCAGCCTTTTGAGCAGCCTTGGTGACCTTACCAGCCTTGTCGGATTTTTCGACGGATTTAATGACACCAACAGCAACAGTTTGTCTCATATCTCTAACAGCGAATCTACCTAATGGTGGGTATTCAGTGAAAGCTTCAACAGACATTGGCTTAGATGGAACCATCTTAACAATAGCAGCATCACCGGACTTGACGAATTTAGGGTTTTCTTCTAATTTCTTACCAGTTCTTCTGTCAATCTTTTCAATTAAAGTGTCAAACTTACAAGCAATGTGGGCAGTGTGACAATCTAAAACTGGAGAGTAACCAGCAGAGATTTGACCTGGATGGTTCATGACAATAACTTGAGCATTGAAAGATTCAGCAGCCTTTGGTGGATCGTTCTTGGAGTCACCACAAACGTTACCTCTTCTAATTTCCTTAACGGAAACGTTCTTAACGTTGAAACCAACATTGTCACCTGGTAAACCTTCAGTTAATTGTTCGTGATGCATTTCAACGGACTTAACTTCAGTGGTAACACCAGCTGGGGCAAAGGTAACAACCATACCTGGCTTAATGACACCGGTTTCAACTCTACCGACTGGCACCGTACCAATACCACCAATCTTGTAAACATCTTGTAATGGTAATCTTAATGGCTTTTCAGTTGGTCTTGAAGGTGGTTCAATAGCATCAATAGCTTCTAATAAAGTCTTACCAGAGGATTTACCAGCCTTGGTTTCCTTTTCCCAACCCTTGTACCATGGACAGTTAGCAGATGGTTCAATCATGTTGTCACCATTCCAACCAGAAATTGGAACGAATGGAACAGTCTTTGGGTTGAAACCAACCTTCTTGATGAAGTTAGAGGTTTCCTTGATAATTTCTTCAAATCTAGCTTTGTCCCATTTAACAGAGTCCATCTTGTTAACAGCAACAATTAATTGCTTAACACCTAAGGTGTAAGCTAATAAAGCGTGTTCTCTGGTTTGACCATCCTTGGAGATACCGGCTTCGAATTCACCAACACCACCAGCAATGATTAAAATAGCACAATCAGCTTGGGAAGTACCAGTAATCATATTCTTGATGAAATCTCTGTGACCTGGAGCATCAATAACAGTAACATGGTATTTTGGAGTTTCGAATTTCCATAAAGCGATATCAATAGTGATACCTCTTTCTCTTTCAGCCTTAAGTTTATCTAAGACCCAAGCGTATTTGAAAGAACCTTTACCTAATTCAGCAGCTTCCTTTTCAAACTTTTCGATAGTTCTCTTATCGATACCACCACACTTGAAAATTAAGTGACCGGTGGTGGTAGATTTACCAGAATCGACGTGACCAATAACAACGACGTTAACGTGAGTTTTTTCTTTACCCATTTTGTTTACTGTATGTATGAATACTAAAGAAAGAAGAAAAGAAGAGAAGAAAAGGAAAAGAGAAAAGAGGAAAGAAATGAACAAATATATAAATCATGAAAATTTTATTGAATATGGAATTTCCAATTTCGCCCATCTAAAAAATTTTCCTCGAGCATCGCACGCTGGAAAAAAAATGTCTTGTTGTTATCGTAAATATGTCTGAGTCGGCTTCTATTACCTAATTAAATTGCTTTTTTGGGGGGATGTGTTACTTGTGCGACACACACGTGGCCGCTTATATTAATGAGGGCTGGAGCCCTAGCCATTAAAATAATATATACATACATACATACATACATTTTTACATCTTACCTTTTACATTTATACTTTCTAGTATACGGTTATTTTTTATGCATATGTGGCTGCAATTTGTCGTTTATTTCTATATTGTATAACCTATTTTATCGAGTATACTTGGCTACTTTTCTAATATTACGTTGTCGTCTATTTGCTAGTGTATTATTATTATCATTATTGTCTTGTGGCTTTGGATCTCCTTCCAAGTATTTCAATAACTCTTCATTATTGGCTTGTTGATAACCTACTTGTGATTGATCTAAATCTTCATCTAGCGTTACATCATGATTTTGCATGGGTCTATCTTCTTGATGATCACCGTCTATAAATAGTACATTAACTTCACTACTGGAACTTTTTCTCTTACTCATATTATTATTATTATCGTTGGGCGTACTACTGGTACTGGTACCTCCAACTTTTAATAACTTATTAGTTAATGAATCCTCTGAATCTCTTCCAACTATTCTTCCGTATTTTTGTTTCTTTTTAGCCTTCCTAGGTGAAGGTAATCTCATAACGCTATCGCTATTCTCTTTATTCTCTTCTGATTCTTGATGATCATCATCATCGTCATCAAATCCTTTGACATCATTACCAAGAGAATCATTTCGATGTCTTTTCGATGATTGACTATCAGATGAGCTCATGCTTGTCATTTTCCTAACATAATCTAACATTGAATGAGGTCGAGCCATAGACAGTGGAGCATAAATGCACCATTTTAAATCAAGAATATCAGGCATTATCATATTTTCTTTATTATTTTGAGATAATTCCATAATTTCCCATATATAAGCAATTGATACAATTGGAATTTGCCAATTTTTAGCAGCATTAATCTTATTTTTAGAAGAAATAATTGAAACTGATGACAGTGTATTTTGGGTAGGTATTTGATATGTAGGACAGTCTATTACATCATGATATTTATACTTAAATAAACTTGGTGAATTCTTAGATAAACTATTCTTAAATAAATTGATATTAATAATTAATAATTCTTTATCATTTGTTAAAGAATCACAAAATTCAAACCCAAGATAGTTGATCAACTTTTCAATATGTAAAAGCTCAATTCCTGTAAAACCAGTCATACAAACCTTGAATTTCTTAGTTGCTTTAACCAATCCCTTTAATGGCTGACCCCATCTATCCATTGTTATTGATTTATAAAAAATTGACCGTTCTAAAAACCATTCAGTCACAATTTTGATATCTCCATTATTTATCTTAGTTTTAATATCTTTAGGAAGTATCTTTAACATTTGAATTGATTGAGTACTTCCAATTGAAGAAGGTAAAATTATATGAGATATAGATTCATCATAGGAATCATTAGTGGTTTCTCCTCCATGATTTTCAATCACTTTAATTAATTGTGGACTCTGATTGCCATTAAAACCGACAAGTAAAAAGTTGAAACCAAGAAATAATGTATCTTTCGATTGATACTCTGAAAGCTTATTAGCTCCATTGACCTCATCCTCATCATTATTATGTTGATGATGATGATGATCATCTTCTTCTTCAGTTTCATCTTCCTGATCCCAAGCAGTATCTCGCTTGGTTCTAGTGGAATGTAAACTCTTGGTATGATTCATTATAGAATTCCAAATCTGTGTATTCTTTTTCACTTTTAACGGTTTAGGTGCATTAGAATCATGAACAATGGTAGGTAGGGGTTTGAAACCAGTTAGAACTTTATTTGACTGAGCAATAACTTCTTTCCATACCCGAGATGCACCTTCGAAAGTTGAATCAAGTCCATCAGAACTCATTAAATAATAATCAGGCATAATTGGTGCTCCTCGTAGAATACAATCTATAATATATATAGGATGCAAAATTGGTTTATTCCATTCGAGAGCTTTCAGATATCGCCTTCCTTGTAATTCAGTTGAAATTATACAAGTATTAGTAAGTCTCAAAGATTCAGTTGCTTGACCACCATATTTATTTATTAATGAAATAAGTTCTTCACCATTTGATATTATAGATCCATATTGTGAAAGATATTTATATCGAAAGCTTTTCTCATTGAATAAATTATGAATCTGACTATCGGATAACAGTATTCTTGAAATACAAATATTTAAACCATGAAATACGGGAAATTTATAAGATGCTATATCATTACTTGAAAGATGTCTTTCACCATCTATCCACTTTTTATAGAGTTCACTAATGGCAGATGGCAATAAGAATTTAATATCTGCTCGATTCTCTATACAAAACTTATACTTTGGAGTATTTTTATCTCCAACAATAAGATAATTCACATCACTCATTAAATCGGCACAATGACTACCTCCTAAAGCTTTGATCTTTTGAAAGATCCCTTCCTTTTCTGGTGGAGCTATACCCGTACAACAAAAAAGTAGTCCAACTAATGGTTTGTCATTGGACATTATGCTCTATTAGATAGTTTAATTTTATCACCTATATGTAAATCATTAACAATTATATTATACACTATAATTCATCTACTAGTCATCTTACGAGTCCTTGATATTTATTCGGGCTTTGGGACGCGTACATCCACACCGCAGTACTGAAAACACCATCAACCAGATTAAACTGACCGATACCTATTTACAACTACTACAATTAAAAGTAATAATGCTACAATTCATAAATACCTCATCTGATCAAGATAATTACCGTAGTCAAATATGTTTAAAGTATTTATCATAAAGTGTAGGCTGTGACATTTGCTGGACGGATATAGATTGACAGATTTAATTTGACCGAGCTATGAACCCCACAAAAGCGGAAAAATAAATCACAGTCGGCAATATTTGCAATTACATCTAGTATATAAAGAGAATATTAATTCCGTGAAAGGTTTTGGATATCGTATATGTAAGTATAGAAATTTCCTAGTAACAACTCATAATGCCATTAAATCCAGAATCAAGTCCATATTACACCTACTCTGTAAAGGTATCTGAAGCTTCTTGGCCAAGATTTACAGGTTCGGTAGTTTTACCAACTCCAAGCTCTGATTCAAATGATTATAAATTGAGCATTGCATATAGACGGTATGAAACTACACAATCATCCAAGAAAATTGGAAATAAAAGACCCATAAACTTAGTTTTCATGCATGGAAATGGGATGAATAAAGGATTATGGCATTATCACATTGATAAAATTTATCTGCATTATCAAGATTCATTGAATGATAGCTATATTAATGTTGTTTTGGCATTGGATAATGCGAATGAAAATGATTCTGCCTATATAAATAGCAATAAATTAGGACCTGTTTACCATTGGATTGATGGTACAAAGGATATCATTGCAGTCATTAAGAATAATGAAGCCAGAACCTTTTCCCAACAAAATACAATTAATATCATAATAGGACACTCAATGGGTGGATTTCAATCGCTTATGGCCTCTATAATCGAGCCCAATTTATTTCATGCGGCTATTCTTATTAACCCTGTTCTTTATCAGACTGAAGAATATATGGCAGCATGCCAGATTCTTTATAATAAATGGATCAAACATCGTAGAGTTGTTTCACAATTTAAATTTGATGGTCCTAATAAGAATTGGAAGAAAGATGTTGAACAATGGTTTAAGACTAAATCATTTTTCAAGAATTTTCATCCCCAAGTTCTATCAAATATGATTGATGATGCTACACCTCCCAGATATGATCCTAATCAAGCTTACGATGAGATAAATTTGAAACATCCTGCAACTCAAGAATACTTAACTTACTTTTGGGGTGTTGACTCTGTATGGCAATCTATGGATAAATACAAGTTTGCTAAAGTTCCAATATACCATATATCGACAGAAAATGATCTTGCACCACCTGACCATGTTAAGCTTACAAGGGAATTACTTAAAAATGTAGTAATTCCTATAGATGTGCCTAAATTTTACCATTCTGCCAATGCAGAACAGCCAGACTGGGCATTGGGGGTGATTTATAATTCAATTGATGATGTGTTAGCAAAATCTCCAGGACATATAATAAATGATTTTAAGTATAAGGACATATTAGGAAAAGATTATAAAGATAAGTTATACCAAGAAACATTTAAAAATTTTATAGGAGACGATTTTAACCAACTTAAGAGCTTGTTGTAAACCCAAGTAACTATTTATATTTTTAGATTTATAGGTAATTTATATAACTGGTAACATTTATTTAGCACCCAACGGGCTGAAGAAACTGCAAAAAGTTACGCACGGAGATATGCTCCGCACCGTAATTTTGTGAAGAGTTCATTGAACAAATTGCAAATTATTAATAAATCTCTTTTCCCTTTTTTTTATAATTACTGTACAATTATTCAGTGAACACTAAAGGAATTAACCGGTGAGTATATTTGCTTGGTAATTGAATTTGTGATTGTTGTTGGACGTAATTGTAATTAGAGTCTTTCAAGTTAAAGAAACGATTAGTAAGATTTCATTATAGAAATATCGCATTTAATAAGTAGAAAGTTAAAAGCGAGTTCAAGAAAGCTATTCAAAACTGTTTGGTGCTGCTGGTTTAACATTAAGAAGATTGTATTTACCATCTTCAAAGCTCTCTTTGGTATTAAAACGCGTTAGTATACCCGATACTAATTTTGAAACACGTCTGATTATGGTAGCTGTAACTAGATCAAGGACTACTAAAGTAGAAGTTAAGTCAATTTTAGAGACAGATGATAAGATAGTTGTTAAAAAGGTCACCAAGAAGACTACTAGTACCAAGAAGAAGGATTCAACCCCCGCTTCACCAAAAAAGAAGGTTAAAGTCGATATAGAAGACGTTTTGTCTCAAAAGATCGTCATTCCCGAAGACTTGAAACTTCCAAAGGACTTTATTGATTTCCATACTCCCGAATTTATTGAGGGAGTCAACTTCCTTCTTGAACAAGATAGATCTCTTTATCCACTTATTGTTCACGCTCCATTCCGTCAGTATGCCAAGGAAAATGATAGCCGAAACACCTATACTATTAAAAAGGTAGAAGGTGACCAGATTAATCAATATTGGTATTCATTAGTCAGCAGTGTTATTAGTCAACAGATCAGTGGAGGAGCTGCTAGATCAATTGAAAATAAATTCCGTAACTTATTTGAAGAAGCCGGTGAAGAACTTGTACCAGCCAATGTTTTAACGAAATCCGATGAGCAATTAAGAGGGGTTGGCTTTTCCTTTCAAAAAATCAAATATGTTAAACATATAAGTGAAGTCTTTAGTGATCCAACTGCTAATTTAAGTCAGTTGAAATTTTATCAGGAGACACCATTAGAAGAAATCGTTCAAGAATTGATTCGTTTGAAGGGTATTGGAGCATGGTCTGCTAAAATGTTCGCTATTTTCACCTTACGTGAAATGGATGTTTTTGCTCATGATGATTTAGGAATTGCAAGGGGTATGTCCAAATACTTATTGCGCCGTCCTGAATTATATGCTGAGGTTAAAAAACATGTTGATTCAGATGAAGATTTGAAAGGCTTATTGAAGAAGAAGTCGTTATTTGCAAATAAAAGTGATTCGAAACGTGATTGGAATCCTTACCATGATGTATATGTTAAGCATACAGCTGAAAAATTTAGTCCTTATAGGTCCATTTTTATGTTTGTATTATGGAGGTTAAGTTCTACAAATGTCGATGTATTATTTACTTAGTTAATAGAATTGACATCATTGTTATAGAATCATTAAGAGAAGGAGAATTAAATAAATATACGAATTATAATAAACGTCTTGAGAATTAATTCCCAAGTTTTCAGCATTACCATTTGTATCGTCAGTTTCCAATGGGATTTCACCCCCTATCTTAATAAAATTAATCTCATTATTTTGTTCCAACTCCTTAAGTTTATTCAATTCTCTTTCAATCTCTTTCAAACCATAATCTAAATTGGATGACTTTAAAAATTCCAAATCATCCCTCTTGAAACCTTCGTAGTCTATTAAGTAATTTATGAATTCATCAACATCTAATTCAATTTCCTTTATTTTTGATTTTGTCATTTGACTAGCATAAAGATTATCATGAGATTGAAGATTTGTAAGCTTTTGTGAAGAGCCAAACTTCTTATAATTGACATCCTTGAATTTATTAATATCTTGTAATTGGCTATCTTGTAGGTTTGATTCTAAGTGATCCTGTTCAACAATTAATTTTGTCCATTCTTTCAAATTTCGGTTATCGGTAGACATAGTATCATGATAATTGTAAATCTTAGATTTCAATTTCCGATTCAGTAATCGAGAACTGCCTCCTACATTTTGTTGATGTATTGTCAATTGATGCTGTTGTTTTTCAAGATTCTTATTGTGCTTGAATTTCAAAAATTCCTTTACCCAAGATTTCTTCGATGCAAGTTTTGTAGAAGTTGGAGGATTACTTAAGGAAGTTCCTGATTCGGGCATTGAACTGGATGTTGTAGGTGTAGCTGGATTATCAATGGCCTCTTCTTGTTCAAAATCATCAGAACTTTCAATGCCATCATCATTAATTGAATTATCTTTACTGTTAAACATACTATTTCTCAACTTCGACAAAGTGGAATAAATTCTGGATTCACCACTTAAAACCTTTCCCACTTGCAGCTTGTGTCTATTTAACCTTAAGCCATCGTTGGGTTGTTTTTCTTTCTTCAAAATAGATTCTTGAATGGTAAACCCTTGCCTTATAGGAATAATCAAACCTCTATCAGGTTCCATCTCTAGCAAAGATGAGGGAGTATATTTCTTTAAATGTGATTTTAGTTTTTGAGCTGGCAATGGAATTTCTTCATCATTAATAGTCACGGACAAGCAGAACACAGAATTTGGAAATAGGAATGCTTGAAATACTAAAATGAAATATATAACTCTCATTATTGGCGAGATAACAATGGCGGGTAGTTTTAATATCAAATTTCAGAATAGGCAGTATAGATTTGGTAGCTATGAATATTGTTAAAGGAAATTTGAAACAATGCCAAGATGAATGTTAAGAATTACTTGTAAAAAGCATTTGTGGTTTCTTATTTTGCAACATTGGTATTTTCATTTTTTGCACCTCAAAAAAATTTAATAGTACCAATTTTCAAATATAATTGAATGAGAGTTCAGCTACAGATTTCGAGGTCAGAGTTATTGATTTAACAAGCAGTTATATAAGTTTAATAAGATTAAGATTTTCAATACAAAATTGATTACGCAAGTTTCAAATTTAGTGATCTGGTATTTCTTGAATTAAACTATAACTAACATCTATCTTATTCAATTTTCCAGTATACACTTTCCCCTCATACTGAAGATGGGAATATCCAAACTTTTGAATTGATAACCAAGTAAAACTAATGTCCCCAGGTTATTTAGAGGAATCCGAATATTTTAGAGTGTTTGATAAGAGAAGAAATTTTTTTAGAAAGATTAGAAGAATAAGTTTTTGCCATTTTGTTTTCATTACTATGGTGGCAAATGAATGAAAATGCAATTAACATTCTTTAGTTCAATTAACCAATGAGGTTACAGATTCAATTGAATTCTGTTAATCCTGTAAGTAGACTTCAGTTCTTCTTATTTTGATAAATTCAATCCAATTGATACATGAGCATTTAATCGTAGTAATTATAGAAACCTGATGTGAGTGAAACACTTAAATGATACAAACGAATAATAGTGAAAAATAACATATGTAACATAATTCATAAATAAATCCGTAAACTTAGTAATATAACTCTATAACTCTATAACTCAGTAAAATAACTGAGCCAACTTACTAACAAACTGGAAATATTACTAGTGGTATAACAAGTATAATTGCTTAGTAATATTTTAGACATTTATAAGCTAGATAAATAATGGTTATTAATTATAAACTCACACCGGTTATATAAATACTGACGATAATAATTATAAACAGGGAAGAATGGTCAATACTTATATTGTGGCCAGATGAATCTTTTTTGCGGCTGAATAAGCCAAGCAAAAAAAAGTGAAGGTATTAGCTAATTTTTATTAGATCAAGGGTCCAATTTCGATAAGCTGGGGTAAAATGGTAAGTTTTCAGCCATTATTGAATTTTTTTGATCTACAACGGAACCACTGGGATAAATAATGCCAAGATTAGGTTGTATTTAAGTTGAAGCAGCGTGGGAGCTTAAATGGGAGTTGTGGGAAGAGATCGGCATGTCTAAAAGCGCGATTTAGATAGTTTCTATTGTGTTCCAAGAGTGTGTTTTAGTATTATTGTACTGATACTGGTTCTATTATCTTATTGTGCTGGTTAGATAATCTAGGCTGAGCTTGTTGTTTAAGTATAATTGTCAAATTATTAGATGTGTTATGTGTTATGTGTTATGTATGGCATTGAATTTATCGGAATTTGAGGGCAATTGATGAGATATGCATATTGAAAAAAATATGTGGGAGTGTAAATCCCAATGCGGATGGAATTTTTCTGAAAAGGGTCGTCACATGACCGGCGATTTAAGGGGTTAGAATAGAGAAGCGAATAAGTCGATCTAGAGATAAGAATAGACGTAGTAGTAACTAGTTACAACTGGATAGTGAATGCAGTAGAATGAATTATTTGAAGAGATAAGTAAAGATATAATTAGTAATTAATCACGAGTAGATTTAATATAGTAATTAATTATTATTCGTACATAATTCTGGTAAGTGTTAGGTATTAGTATTTGTAATTGTATTTGTATTAGTACAATATTAAGCAGTGTTAGTGTTAGAATAGTATTAAAGAATCCTTAGTATAATATTAAGTAGGATAGCCCACTCACAACTGAATGACAACAATCACACAGTACCTGACAATAGACGATGTTTACCATTTTTACCATTTTAACACTGACACACTGCAACAATATGAATTTGAATTCCATACTTAAACAGGGACACCAAAAGAGAAAGCCAAAAAAAAAAAAATAAAAAAAGAATAAATAAAGAATAAATTACACAGACAAATAATAATAAAAAATAAAATAAAAACTAAAAAGAAAATCTAAAAAAAAAATAACCCCTTTTGGATCCTTTCCCTCCAGAACGGTCACAAAACACCACCCCCAAAAGGGCCATCAACAAACACAGAAATAATTCATAAAAACCTATTAACCATCACGTTAAACATCAACCAAGTCCCCTTAAATCACTTAAAAATCCTCAGAAGTATCATCATCATCATACTTACCCAAAAGAAATCATATACCCTCGCATTTTCCTGACTTTAATAGCCCTCATATTCGTCCTTATAGCATTGTTACCTGATACACTGACGAAGTTAAGTGCTTAAAACTTTTTACTTTTCCTTTTGCTACTACTTGTATATTGCATTTAAACTAAGGCCCTCGGTAAATTTAAGTAAGGCACAGCACGCTACGTTCAATTCCTATTCCAATTTGACAGTTCGCTAAGACTCTCGCTAACTCATGCTATAAATACTCATCAGCTTAGACCTTTTCTTTCATTCGCTAAATTTGTTAAAATAATCTCATCATGTCACGAAGAAACTCGTTGACATCTATTTCAACTGCTAACACCACATTAACCAGCTCAGGTTCAACTACTTCCACAGCTCGTGACTTATCTACTGATAACTTATTAGGACTCGACGATAGATTCCGGAAAAAGCATATTAAACGAGTACCCAACGGTATAAAGTCTCCCTCCATGACTTCTGGTTCAACTTTTTCTACTCCAACTTCATCACTGGCTTCAACTCCAACATCAACTGCCTCTCCAACCACCGCCTACTACTTCCCCAACGGAGAGATCTTCCGTCCTAGAACAGTACCTGCAAAGAGAAACAGACCTCATAAGATTCATCACCAGCACCAGCATCATACACAGCCTGCTCATAACCAGCACTACCACCAACAACAACAACAACCACATCATTACCATCATCAACATCAACAACAGCAACAACAACTTCATCAACAGCAACAGCAACAACAACAGTACTATCAACAAGCACAGGCTCAGCATTATAATTCAGTTCCTTACCATCTGCAACAATATCCGGTCCAACTCCAACCGGCTATGACTGTGCCCATGACCATGCAGGGTTCTGGTTCACGTTCCAACTCCCTAGTGTCAGGTGCTCCCACAGTATTTCAGCATTTACCTCCTCATCTTCAGGCTCAAGTCCAGCATTTACAACAACCTTCACCTCCGTCCCTTTCGTCATCGTCTAATTCTTCATTAACTACCGAGTCTATCAATAATATAAACTCCCTAGCATCACTAAATAATTCTTCAGCCACCACCGTAACTTCTACTTCTTCCTCATGCCCTAATTTACCGAAAAAGGCACAATTTAATCAACATTTACGTTTACCACAATCACCTCCAGATTCTAAATATAGTCGATCAGGTTCGATTACTTCCATAACTTCATCCCAGAGACAACAATCACCAATAATACCGGCTCCTCAACAACATACTCTGCCAGCCTCTTATCCTAACTTGACTCATCTTCAACCTTATCATTCTTATAATGGAGTTCAATCACCTCAACGTTCACAATTACAATCCAACAATCTTATTAGAACTTCTCCTCCCATCTCCACCAGCTCTGTATCGTCCCGTTCGAGTACCTCCATTAAGAATTCTCTGGCAGAAAACATCGGTCCCAGCACTTCGACTTCATCGATCTCAGCTCCACTTCCCCCTCCACCAACTCAGACTGCTCAAGCTCCACAGGCTCCGCAAGTACTCATACTTCCAGCCCAGAAACTTCTACTGAATTCCGATTCCAATTGTTCATCATCATCTCATAGTTATAACTCATCCACCAGTAGTAGTTCTACTATGAATAATGAATCTACTCATGATGAAGAAGATGTTAATGATGGTCATGATCATGGCATGAGATCCGGTGCTAATCCTCGGAGCTCAACCAATACTCCTACTACATCTATCAGTAATGATGAAAAGGGTACTGATTCAGATATAGAAGTAGAAGAAGAAGAATTACAACCTCAACCACAACCACAACCACAAGAACAAGAAGTAGAATTATATCGACCGGAACTAACCCGAGGTGAATCGTCAGAACAGTCGGATGCTACCGAGAAGTTACCGGAAGAAGAAGAAGAAGAAGAGCCCGACAAGGATACGGAACTGAGCTTAGAACCTATAAGTTCTAGTACCAGCACTAGTACCAGCACTAGTACTAGTACGAATTCTAGCACTGAAGCCGATGATGCATTTAAGACACCTCGGAACTCGATAGTGATCTCTACCGATAATAAGCTCAATGTCCGGAAACTCGACTTTGAAGCTTCATCCACCGAGTCCAAATGGGATGATCCTCAGGGCTCTAGTAACATGACCAACGAGACCCTTAAAGATGAAGATGAAGTTGAAGAAGAAGTTGTTGTAGTTCCGGTTCCAGAATCGGGCAAGAGTTGCAGTTCCGAGCCGTATGATATCATTGATGATTATACTTCCTTACATGAAGAAGAAGAAGATACGGTTGAAAAGACCGGAAATGCAAAGGAAACGGAAATGCAAAAGGAAAAGGATTTGACGGAATTGGCTAGTCCAGCTCATATTGAAATGGCTAATACTGAAACTGTATTTGAACAAGCTAGCATGACATCCGAGGATGATTCATACTCGTTTGAAGGACCGGAAAGACTCACCGTCAAGCCCGTAACTGAAGCCATCATGCATATGCGAACCGATAGTGGATTGGATATGCCATCCCCATCAGAATCGATTGTCAATGAACAAGTTGATCCTATAGATAAGGTGCTTGAATTGCCGGAATTGCCCTCTATTCCGGAACGTAAGGAGTCGCTTCTTCCACCTCCAGCACCAGTAACTGTACCTATAACAGCTCCGGTAGTTGCTCCGGTGGCTGTTCCAGTTCCTGAACAACCAGAACCAGAGCCAGTATCCAAACCAGAATCCAAACCGGAAGAAAAACCAAAACCAAAACCGAAATCTATGCTTGATGTGTTAGACGATGAGGTCGTAATTGGATCTAAACCAAAACCGGTACTGAAACCACTACCAAAACCACAACTGAAACCAAAACAAACTTTTACATCATCAGCTACTCCTCCTATGCCAGTTCCAAAGGATAGTCCGAGCCGAGGACTTAAGTCGAAAGCCAAATCCTTCTCGCAATTGAAACCGGAAACTTCCAACTCCAGTACTAATGCCAACTCCTGGAAGAAGATGTTGGCTCCACCCAAAAGATCCGAGTTCCGTACGGGTTTGGGTCATCATCAATCTAATTCCAGTCAGAATTCATTGATTTCTAATACTACTGCATCTTCAATTGCTACTTCTGCTAGTCAAGCCGGTCAAAAGGCTAGTCAAAAGGCTAGTCAAGCAGCTACTGCTGCTAGTACTGCAGCCACTGCTGCAGCTAGTCGATTCAAGAAATCATTTTCTATGGCTAATTTGAAGAAAGTTAAACAAGGAATGTCAAGAAATGTACCAGTACAAGTTCAAGAACCTCCTACACCTCCTCCACCAGTTCCTGAAAAACCATTACCGGTTTATGACTTAACATTACCAAGTATTGAACCGGATTCTAAAGATATGTTTGGAGAACTTATGTTAAGCTTTGATGAACAATTAGATAAAGTAGAAGATATTGTATTAAAGGAACCTTTGGTAAAACCGGTATTCCCTGGCCAAAGACCGAATGAATCTCGAATTAATGAACCATTTCTTAAAGATGATGAATTGACTTCTGCTCAAATTAAAGATGCTCAAATTAAAGATAATCTTAAGAATAGTAATGGTGATAGTACTGAATCTGTTGATCGAACTTCAGTTGTGGCCGGTGATGATATTTATATCGATGATAATATCCGGTTTTTACAGTCGGAATTCAACTGGTCAAACATTGAAGATGCTCATCATCGAAAGAGTATTTCACCGGCTTTATTAGATGAAGGTAGTGAAGATGAATTTGGTAGTGAACCAGCTTCACCTTTAAGTATTAGTACTAATAATACTCCCACAAAGGAAAAGATTGTCATAAATAAAGAACAACTTTATACTATTTTCCATAATCTAACTGACTTTCAGAAACGTAACTTACCTCCACATTTGAAATATATCAAACAGTTCAAGGACTTTAAGTTTGTAGAAATCAATTTATCACAATTTGAAGAGTTATCATCGACACCAGCATTAACATCTGGCTATTCAAATGGATCAGGAAGTGTTAGTCTTAGTCCTATTTTAAAAAGAAGAACGAGTCTACAACCATTCCCATTAGAAGAAACTTCCAATAAGAAAAAGGTATTATTCTCTCATAAGATTGAGATTAATGAAACATTTGCTGCTGATTCCTATAAACGTTATAATAAAGCCGTAACTCAGTATACACTTACTGAACCAGCTGAAATCTCCAAGATTAAAAATGAGCTTAATTACTACAAATGTAATGAAATGCTTGTTCATGAAAAGTCTCAGAACAATACCCACTTCTTCTACATATGACGCATATAACGAACACATACATAATTATATATTTATTCTAGATATATATCACATACATTATTTATACATACATATATATAAAATATATTATACTTATTTATTTATATATTACTTTAAAATTATTTATTTTTAACTGCCCCTGTATGTTGTATAACTATGATTGGATAATAATAATGGAATGTGGTAATGAGCATCGGCCGGATCCTCAATTTGGAAATGAATCTCGATCCACGGGAAGAAACTTGCCGAGCCTAAGGCTTTAAAGTATCCTGCCGTATAGAATTTAATCTTATAGAGTCCTGGTTTGGGTTGAGTCCATTGACTCTTATTACTTATACCTGCTTCACTAGTATCTCGGTAAGGATCTATTATCCACTTCTTAATTCGTCCATCCTTATCGGTCTTAGCCATGGCTATCGGATGTATATCCGATCCCGTTCCTGATCCTGACTCAACAGTGGTTTCAGCAAAAGTATCCGCATCTTGAAGGGGTCCTAAATAATAGAGCTGACAGAGTACATCGTGAGCTGGTTTACCTACCGTAGTATTTAGGATGTGGCACGTGATAGGATCTGCCATAACTACAGTTACAATTTATTTATTTACAACTACAATGATGGATATTCTTTATGTTATATATATTCTTATCAGGAGTAGAGAAGTGATTTCGGTCATGGCCGAGATACTGCACACACTCATTGATAGTCGCGGTTATGTGCGCCAGCCGCAACACAGGACCATTCTTGAGCTTTTGGATCATATTTCCAATTTTTTCGAGTATGTAATACATCTGTAAGTATATAGTCTACTACGGAGTTAATGGCCTTGTAGGGAAATGAATCTCCAATGGCAAATGTAGTACGTATGGACTCTAAGTAATGAACAACATTAAAGTTACATGCAGGATCTTGGAATTGAAGTCGACTTAAGATAACTGATAAATCATAGTAGAGTCTATGGAAATTTCTCGCCTTAACTCGTTGTGATTTTGTTACAGTAATCAAATTGTAATTCACCTGTAAATTATGTCTTATTCTGTGGAAGAGGATTTCCTGTTGGAAAGTTCGCGATTTGTGAGGACTCTTATCATCGATATGAGTTAGTGCAAGCTGTAAATGTACATAATTAGTGAGACTATCAAAGTAGGTATCATCTTTATAGAGATCCACAAGTCGGAATGGTTTGAAGTTATGATTTATAATATATTTTAAAAATTCAATAGTAAGTTGGAACTCGGTTATCACCGGTAGAGAAACCTGTCTGACATCAACTATTTCAAGCTCTTCCTCTGCTTCTTTATCTTGTGATGATATGTATATGAAGTCTGGCTCCGTATACTCATGGGAAGTACATGAATTGAATGATGCATGATCACCACTGGTTTCTTCTTCTTCTTCTCCTTCTTCTTCTTCGTCGATTTCAATGACTTCTTGTTGCATTCTTTTAAGGTTTGTAAGTCTAGAATCTTCTCTTACTAGATCAGGCATCTGGCTCATGGTCCCTTGCAACTGTAAGGCTGAACGTTCCAAACGTCGTACTAGTTCGTCTGGCTCGTAACGAGGCTCATCCGTAAAGTTATCCCCAACAATACTTTTAGTACTGGGTTCATATTCCCACGGTATACTTAATACAGACTGTCTATAGTCCAAGGTTGTCTTCCAATTAGCTATTTCCAAGTGAAAATCATTATCACCACCGAGTATATTAAGGTAATCACACTTAATTTCACGACCTCCGTATGCCACAAGACATATGCCACAAGCTTCTACTAATCGACCATAATTATGGCCATACTTTAACCCTTTAGAAATATACTTAGATTCAGGTACTTTCACGGGGATCTGCAGACTCGTTGATGATGAGTCATCTACTGTGATCAATACATAATTCAGCTTATGAGCCATCCCATAATCTTTATATACTTCTCCCACTATACGTCCGACTATACGTACTCGTCGCACAGGATGATTATTAATTATTAATACCCCTCGTAAATAAGTAGCTCGCGGACCATAAATATTTTCGAGATCAACACTCTCATTAATATCCGATATAAATAAAGGTACCAGTATAGTATATGTCATTGACATATGAAATACTTCTGGTACATAGAAACATTTGTGGGGGTACCGAAGAGCTATATGACTTTGACCGGGAGCAAAATCAACATCTAGTCGACCCTGTCCTCCAGTGTCAAGTTCTGGACTGATTGACTTCATCATTATTATCCGTTTGTTATATATATAAAGTGGTTAGCATACCTTTTACCTAGTGGTGTCAGTCACGATGTTCGAGTCACGTTTGGTTAAATCGCATTTGTAAACAAACCAAAGAAGTATCACCAAAACTTTTGTGGAGCAGACCTAATTTTTTTTTCACCCAAGCGATGCCCCGAACAAGAAGCAGAAGTCTAACCACCTACACTACCACAACTAAACACAAGCACGATTAAGCATACATTATGGCATTGTTTCAAGTAGAAGGATGGACACTTAAGGAGGATAAAGTGGCTTTAGGAGGAGTTAGTGATAAAAAGAAGAAAGCCAAGAAGGACAAGAGGAAGGAAAAGAGAGAGATTCAGACCGATGAGCAGGTGAAGGAAATCAGCGAATCGAAGCCTACGAGTAAGAAAAGAAAACACACAGAATCAGAATCAGAATCACAGCCATATTCCAAAACAAAAACTGAGAAAGTTTCAGATAATGTAGTGGAACCAGTAACCAAACAGGTAGTTCCATCTCCATTACCAATATCTACCCCAGTACAAAAGCTTAGTCCCTTACAACAGAAGATGATGGCCAAACTTTCTGGATCACGATTCAGGTGGATCAATGAACAATTATATACTATTACATCTGATGCTGCTCTTGATTTAATTAAAAACCAGCCGGTATTATTCGATGAATACCATCAGGGATTTAGATCTCAAGTAGAATCATGGCCAGAAAATCCTGTGGATGTGTTTGTAAATCAAATTAAGACAAGAGGATCTTCCAAACAGATTAATGCTCCAGGTGGTTTACCTGGATTAAGTAATAAGAAAGTAGTCATAGCAGATATGGGTTGTGGAGAAGCACAATTGTCATTAGATGTATCTAATTTTGTTAAACAATATAATACTAATGCTAGTAGGGGACCCAAGAAATTCCAAAAGGGACATAATAAGAGATTTCTTACTGGAGGTCCAAGACTGTTGGATATCGAAGTTCACAGTTTTGATCTTAAAAAGCATAATGATAGAATAACAGTAGCAGATATAAAAAATGTTCCATTACCAGATAACTCATGTACTATAGTTATATTCTGTTTAGCTTTAATGGGAACCAATTTCTTGGACTTTATTAAGGAAGCCCACAGAATCTTAGCTCCACGTGGTGAATTGTGGATAGCTGAGATTAAGTCTAGATTCCAAGAATCTGGAGATAAAGCAACTAAGAATCAGGAAGATGTGGGTAGTGAATTTGTAGATGCACTTAAATTAAGTGGATTCTTCCATAAGAATACTGATAACAGTAATAAGATGTTTACTAGATTCGAATTCTTTAAGCCTCAACAAGATATAATCAACGAAAGAAACGCAAAGTTGGAAAGGAAGAAGAAGTTTGTAGAAAGAGAAACTGAGATAGAAGAGTTTGAAACTAAGAGACAAAGAACTCCTGAGGGTAAATGGTTATTGAAGCCATGTATATATAAAAGAAGATAGTAGTATATACATATAGGAATGTAGTTACATTCATAGAAATATCATCGTTAATACAGGTGGTAATTTACAGACAGCTTGACTGCTTGATACCGAGGCTTGCGTATATTATATTTAATCTATTTTTCACCTTTTCTTTAAGTAATTATTTGATATTTACATTATTCTACTATATGATTGAGTTACGCCATAGATATATAATTATCTCATACAAATCATTAAACCCCCTAACTTCTTATAATAATCTAATAAGACGGATTGTGACATTAATTTTACCTGAAGAAATTTTAAACTCAAGATGTGCTTTGCCAACCTTAGCTATATTATTCCCAACACTAGTTTCTATATCTGTTAGCTCCTGAAAGGTAATACCATTTTTTATATATTCTTCTTTACTTTTATCGAAGGATTCTGCAGCTACAGCAAAAATTAGAGCTGCTGCCATGTAGTTGTTACGAATTTGATGAAGTTCATGAACCCCATCTTCATATTCGCGAATTAACCTTCGATATTCATTAGCATGATCTGAGTTTCTTTCGTGGGGGGGCAAGGCTACCATAATGGAGTAAAATGGCTCTTTTGTGTTTATCAATAGTTTTTTGAAACATACGAGCATACAGTTGATGAGCAACAATTCGATTCTTATAAGTGGAAATGGAAAGATCAAAATCTTTGGACTTTTCAAGACGCTTCCATCTATTAAAATTGTCCACAATTCTCTGGATTATTGAATAAAACTTAAATAAAGCTGAAATTCCCAAAAATACAAAGAGCACAACACTATAAACGGGCAACTCTTCTCTGGTATACACAATTGTGAACACATTGCAGAGCATATCGGAAACTCCGTTTACTGAAGATATGAGTAAATTAAAAGCTTCTTTCATGTTTAATATTACAAGCTAAAAGAATCTCAAATTTACAGCCAAAAGAGTACTTTTTTTACTGCCAAAAGTACTTTTTTTTATTGAAAGGCTACGAATTTTACGGCCAAAAGATTCTAGTCCCTAAAGCAAAATTCTTAAAAAGAAATCAAATAAGAGAATAGAAAACTGATCTGTGAAACCACATCTAGAGCTATATACAATGTTCAAGAGTTTTCTAACAAGACAGAAGATTTGGCAAGCTAAGGATAATTATCAAAGCAAGATAGTTTCTCTTATTGATGGGTGATCGCCGTAATCAATAACTAAAAGAGTAATTGCTTTAATTGTGCATTATAAACCAAATCAATGATATAATTAAGTTCATGTGTGTCATGGTAAGTTTATTCTTTTATAGCTATTCCATTTTACTGCAAAAAAATCAAATACACGTCGTGTGGCAACCTATTTCTGTATACACTCACTAACAGATACTGTACAAATCTGACAAAGATGATTAGTTATAATACTTGAAAGTCCTAACAGATTTGTCACAAGAAGGACGAATGTAGCAATAACATAATTCCACTAATAGAATAAGCCTGTATTTATGGTTTTATTCGGTTCGAGTATTTCATACGGTTAATCCTACGAAAGCAGGTATTTAGATTTACATAGAATTATGCAATATACAGAGCAAGAAAAGACATTACAAAAACTGTGTAGCATAGTTAGCTAAATTCGGTTAGTAGCATTACCCAGGTAACGGGTAAAGATAACCGTAACCATGCCAAATGGATTAGGCACCAATGTTGGACTAAATTAACTAAAGCTCATTTTGGAGAAATAGGTCGCCACACGACAAAATGTGTGGTAATGAGTACAAAAAAAGGAAGTTGCAAAAAAAAGAAGGCAAGAGCTTGTCCAATAACCTTCAAAGGGCTCTTTCATTAAATACCTTTATGATTAAAAGGAATGATTTGTTCGTTGGTTTATAAATTTCGTACTTACAAAGTACGGAAAAATCGAACTGCAGCATGTCTAAAGTCAGCTCTACAATCACCAAAACCAGTTAAAAATTTGGAGTCGTTACCTGATGAAATATTGGTTCAAATCATAGATCACTTGAATCAGTTGGATGTTCTAGACTTATGTCTTGTCAACTCAAAGTTTCATGAATTATGTATGAACAAGCTATTCAAGAGAGTTTTGCAATGTTGCGACAGAGGTGGGCTGCATGTCATTTTTCATCGAAAATTGAATACATCTATATATACAAATTTCACAGTATTAAGTTCTCCCTTTTGCTCATATAGAAGTTCTCCTTTTTACCCATATAGTCCCAATCTTGGGAAAGACTTTCCAGTTTTTACTGAAGAAAAGCCCTATCCGACAATAATTTTGGATGATTTTTGCATAGAAGTCATTGGCTGTAAGGATCCCCTACTTATAGATGAAAATGTTAATATAAATAGGATTACTTTGTGGAAAGACTTCTATTGTGATACCGGACTCCAATCAGAAAGTAACACTATAACAAGAAATAGAAATGACTTTTGTTTGTATAAGAAAATAGATTTGGTAATTCCAAGAATAGCAGTTTCAACCCTCGACCGCTTACAAGGGATCTTTGGTGAAGTGAGTTCTTTATGTTTGGATGCCTTTATGCTTGAAAATACCGGTTATCCTGAAGTTGACTTCTGTCCACTTTTTTCTTTATTCAGTTGTGAAAATATAAAAGAACTTCAATTAAAATTTATTCGCAGACGTCTGTTTCAATATTTTTTGAAATTAATGCCAAATATGAAGACCCTTGTTATAAATGATCCCATTTTTTGGGTTCCAGATCTGCCTTTCGAAATCTCAAAGTGTCTGCTTCAAAAGTTTTGTCTAGATGTTTCTGACTATATGATAGAAGGTGTTAAGAAAAACTGTAATTTAATCAAGGTATTACTTAATACTTATGGACTGAGTCTTGAGCTTATAAAGGTTAACATGACATGTTCACCGACAACATTAACATCAATTGATTTATTTTATTACTGTGAAGATTTTAACTGTAACGATTTTAAGCAATATACTAGGAACTTAGTTTCTTGGGCTAAGAATAATATAAACAATTTTCCAAAGCTTCATTATTTTACGTTCTACAATTACCAGTTTGTAATAGACCGACAAGTCGAACCATGTCAGTGGATTGAAGTTGGTGGTAAGGAGTTGTGAGGTACTTTCTTTTTGTTGCAATATTTAAGCTTTGAATTGCTACTAAAAACCTCCCCACCACCAAATTTCTGTATTAGTTTTACATTATGTTTAGTATAAGCCAAAAAATAGATCTAGTACTGTTTCTTTAATGTATTGAGACATTTTGCAACCCTAGCTGGGTCTAATAATTGGTGCGCGCAGCCTTCTAAGGTATTTTCCTGACTTTTCTTTTTGTCTGCTGCTGGTTCAGCCATTCAATCGGGAAATGTGTTGGTTGGTACACGACTGGTCGCAACCAGAAAATTTCACAGCCAGCCATTTTGCGCTTCATTGACCAGCCGTCGCTTGCAATAAGAAGCCATAAAGCCCTCTAACAATGTGATGGAAAGAAGTATAGAAATGAATCATTACATAGTTGCGGCATGCAAAAAGTAGCACGAGTTTTTATATAACAGAGAAAATCCACTGGTCATTAAATATAGCTAACATTCACTGTTCTTTATTAACTTGATAGTGTATAACAAGACCATGGCCGATTATTATCAACCTACGTTGTTATTCCGGAGAAACGCAAAGAGGTATAGCTCAGATTTATCACCAGTAGCTAGTATGGAGAGTTTGCATTCTAGTGAAAGTAAAGATTCCCAAGCTTCTAAAACAAGTAATAATAGCTCATGGATGTTGAATCACGACAATCCTCAAGATACAGAAATCCTTAACCAGTCATGTTCATTAAACAGGTTGAATATTAAGTCCAATTATTGGAAAATTCCAGATAATAATTTCAATTTAACGTCTATGGCCATCAATAATGATCAAAGTGATGTGCCTACTTTGGCTATTTCTAGTGGAAATAGTACATCTAATTTATTTATATATGAGTTAAATTTACTCGATAATTACTTAACTCATCACAGTACAATATCCTTACCTAATATTTATGGAATGAAATGGTTAAATTCTAAATATTTAATCACCGGTAATAGTAATGGTTATGCTCATTTAGTTAGTGTACCAACTGCTGGAAGTGATAGACATCTTATTACTGAAGAAGATGAAGATCAAGCAGAAATTATTAAAAGATTTAACCATAGAAAACATTTAAAGAATAAAGTGGATATTGTTAATAAAACCACCTATATTTCCAAATTAACCACTATACCAAAAACCGACAACTTATTATCATTATATCAAAATCATTTATTCTTTTGGGATATTAAAGATAGTGAAAGTTCTATACGGCCAAGTCCAGTTTCAATTACAACTATAAATGGTATAAATAATTTTGAAACCATTCCAACTGATTTAAATACAATTGGTATTTGTGGTAAATTTGGTATTTCATTATTTGATTTACGTCAACAACCTAAATTTAATGTCCCAACTTCATTAATTGCTGAACTGTCAAGACAAAGATTGAATACAAATTTAATTAAATGGAATCCTGATAATGAGTATAATTTTGCTGGTGCTCATGGTGATAATATTATAAGATTATGGGATATCAGAAAGCAAGATAGTAGCATTAGCTTTATTGGTCATCATAATAAAGTTACTAGTTTAGAATGGAATAATGGAGATTTATTTAGTGGAGGTAAAGATGGGAATATTATTCATTGGGATTTAACCAGTGAAATAATTAATCAAGGTAGTATTTGTTCTTTAAAGGAAGGATTTGATAGTGTTAAATTTAATCCAGATTTAAATAAGTTAGAAACTTGTATAAATCAAAGACAATGTGGAACTTTATTACCTGCCTCCAATACCAATATTATTGGAATGGCTTCAGTTAAAGGTAGTAGTGATGATAATCAAGATTTGAAAGTTTTATCCATTGATGGTTCATCATTTTTTGGAGTTCATTCAAAGATTTATGATGCAATTAATATTAATATTAATCCAAATAAAGTATATTATACTGATGAAGATATTCAATTATTAATGCAATCAGAAAATTCCGCAAGTACATTAGTAGATAATGTATCTCAAGATGATTTAGTTGAAGAAATTATTAAACCTTTAAGTATTTCAAGAAAGAGTACTACTATTACTAGTCCTATTAAGAATCAAGATAATCTGTCAAATGATACTTTATTAGGTGAACAATTTACTGAAGATTCACATAAATTAAATATTGATATGAATAAATTCAATGTACCTGAAGTTATTGAAATTAAATCAGAACAAGATGAAAATGAAGAAGAGGAGGAAGAGGAAGATATTGATGAATTTGATTTTACTCAACCAATGTACGGGATTAACGATAATTTATCAGCATATTCTATTGATTCATTAGATCCTAAAATTCCTACATTTGACTCACCTTCAAGTCATGCTTTATCAACTACATTTGATTCTTTAGATACATTTGATAATTCCGAATCAAGTGCTCCATCGTCAATCCATTCATCACCAGAGATTAAGGGACTAAACCATACCAATAATGATAATGATAAATTAATATTACCCCCAACCAACAGTCTAAGCATTAATAATTTTAAGTTGCTTGATGAATTTGAATTCGATACATTCGATGCTAATATGTTTGAAATTCAGGGTAAGAGAGCTACGACTATATATTAAACGATTATAAATATAAAGCTATTATTAGTAAATTATGTGTAATTCTTATGGTGAAACTTTATATTCAATACGAAGAATAGATTGAGTCACTCTTGAGTTAAATAAATTTAAAAGTCAATAAGCTATTATATGGAGTCTTCTCAAAGACACAGTCCTAATTTATTCTACGCCTTTTAAAAGCCTGATGATCACTTAATAAAGGTGAACTGATTATAACACTATCTATTGTAGCAATATCTACTTTGCATGCCTTGGCTAGTTTTCCTATCACTTCTCTTGTATAAGATCTTTCAAAACGTTTCATATACAGGAGGTTGTTACGTATAAAATATGCTTCTTTCTTCTCTGCTCTATAAAGCAAATCATTTCCACTACACTCATGAATTGCTTCCAATGGTTCTCTTCCTACTTTTGGTGAAGATCGGCATAAATCCTCCTCTTTATCCACAAACTGAACATGGACCAGACAAAAGTACTATTCTGCATCGCAAACCATCCAACATGATTGAATACAAGAAATGGAAATTATCGTATCTTCCAAGTTTCCATATACTTTTAAAGAATTTTGCAGACAGTCGCTTGGGAGTGTATTCTAAAGAAATTGGTATATACTGATTTCAGTAAATAAGTCTGTTAAATGATGTTGATACCATTTGAAAAATGAGTTTTTAGTTTCCAATCTTGCATCATGCCTAATCAAATAAGGTTTTTGAAAAACACTGAGGTCACGAGATACACGACATTTCTCCCTTAAAATCTGCCTTGCATTGTAAACACTTTGGGGAATAATTATTGATGGGAATAGATTATGAATATAATCTCCATTTTCATTTTGATGGTAATTGCTGTAGTTAGAATCCCAATCTAGTTCCATAACACGAATTTTCCAAAAATCGTTGCCATAAATATCGTGATCACTCAATTCTAATTCCTTGTATAGATTAGCTATGCGATGTTGGGATTGGCTCACACAAGCAAAATAATCATCCAATATCATCATTAACAAACAAAAAACATTATATTTTGATTCCGAAAATCTAAAGCATCTCATGCTACATTGTAGCTCATATGCTACTTCATCTATAGTTTCTATTCTGTTAGGTTTGTTATTGGAATTTTTATCAACATTAATATCAACAAATTAGTACACAATCCATATCAACAGCAAAACCTATCCTTGAATTTTTCTCCTTTAATTCATAGATGATTTCATCAGCTAACTTGAGAAAAGCTGTATTATTTAGTTTGTCATTTCTATTTTGAAAAGCATTATATATTCCTTTGTCTCTAAGCAAGAAGAAAGTCTCGTATCTACGCTTATTTTTTATCCCACTGACAGGAACTTCAAATGCATCAAACTTTGGATAACATGAACGTTCAACATCATTTAACCTAGTATAAAGAGTTAGAGTTAATGGATATAAAAGATAATGACACATATATTGATTGACATGTTTTATAGGGTGATAGCTTTTGTCCAAAAAAATAAATTGTTGCAATACAGCTTTATCTATTTTGAATTTACTAAACATCTTTTGTAATGATTCATCATTATACTTTTTTTTATCACATATGGGTACAATTTGAAAATGTTTCTTTGATGTCTTTGAACAATTGTTAAACTTATAATTTAAAAATTTCGACAGTGGATTGTTGGTATTAGTAAATTTTTTATCTAATTTATTATGCTTCAGTTGGACCGTAAACCTAGGTTGTGGGACTGAAATACAACAACAAAAGCCAAATAAATTTCTCACATCTCTTCTCGATAGCAAGACTGATTCTTCGTTAGCATGCTGATTTTCTTCATATAAATGCCGAATTTTATTAAACACTTCAACAATAATATCGAAACGATCATTCCTATATTCTTCACTTAAAACATAATCTTCATCCAAAATTGTATTTTCAGGAATAATAATGTGATAATTACATAACTTGAATGCTTACTTCTGACGATTTCTATCTAGTTTAGATTCTTTATCTTTTGGATCCGGCAATTGTGCAATTAATGTGTTCCAGGATTCATTAAGTATTTGTTTCTGAGTTGGATCATTGAAAAAGTTGTAGGAAGGTTCTTCGATTAACTTTGTAATAGCAAATTCAGTAGAACGTTGGACCGCATTGAGATCCACATATTCAAGGATATCCTTCATTGGTTTTGGTCATGATGTGTTTCGTAAGTGTACAAGACAGATCTAGGAGCTACTTACCATATATGTCTCTACGAAAGCGCAAGGGTAAGGGCAAGTGGAGTTATACAGATACTTGCATAGTTGAGCACAATCATCTCTGAGGCTTTTAGTTTGAGTTTTTTACGGAAATTTATCAACTGAATCCTATAATTGATATCATAGTTTGTTATACCAATATGTACATGATTTTGAGTTATGTGAGATGACTCAGTTGTTAGTAAGGGTTGACTAATGCGTGATGACTCGGTTAGTAAGGGCTGCGTAAGTGATGATCTGTGTGCGAATTTTAATTAATATAATGATCTACATTCAACTATAGACAGACATACTATGTATACCTGTACTTTCTCTACTATGACTACAACGACATCGATATCTATGTACAATATTCTTACTCTTGACAGGATAGTACGATCTCTCTCTAAAATGGCTCCACTAGCAAACTCAAACTTACACTTACACTCAAACATAAGCACAAGAATAAACCAAAACTCAAACAAATTCAAACTAAACTCAAACTCTAACTACACTATAACTACACTATAACAAACTCTAATTAAACCCTAATATTACCCTGTTCTTTCCTTTCTTGCCCTCGCTCCATTACACTTTCCTCCCGCGCCCATTTTCTTTTTTCGCTCGTTTACAGGTTTACCCACACCAATTTGCAGGTTTCTTCGAGTGAAAAAACTGAGCAATCCAAAAGGGGCTGGGACCTCAGGATGAATCATCAATTACTTTCCTCTAACTATCGATATTCTTTATCAATCCCATAATCAATATAGTGGTTGTGTTGTGTATACTCACAGTGGTACTGGTTTCGTTTATCAATCAAATTCTATTCGATTAATTCATCATTCTCATCTCATTAACTGTAAGTGCCCTTGCTTACTTTTCCTCGGTGATAACTAAACTTTTACTTATACTACCACAATTATTTTAAATCATTTTTAAAATTGATTGGTGATATTTAATTTAAAAGTCTATAATTTTCAATGATGTCATCAACTACAAGAGCACCGACTTTTATAAGTGTCAAAGTAGTGGCTGCGGAATCTCTTTACAAACGTGATGTATTTCGACATCCTGACCCCTTTGCCGTAATAACCGTTGATGGATCTCAAACTAAAACAACAAAAACTGCTAAAAAGACTTTAAATCCTTATTGGAATGAAACTTTCCAATTTAATGTTAAAGAAGATTCAATTTTAGTAATTCAAGTATTTGATCAAAAAAAATTTAAAAAGAAGGATCAAGGATTTTTAGGAGTTGTTAATATTAGAGTTGGTGATGTAATTGATTTATCGGTACCAAATTCAGAAGAAACTATAACTAGAGATTTAAAAAAATCAAATGAAACTTTAGTTGTTTCAGGAAAAATTATTGTAGTAATATCTTATTCAAAAGGTACTACTAATAATTCTTCAAGAAATGGTAATTCATCAAGTAATGGTTCAACTAATTTAAATACTAATAATTCTCATTCAATTAATCAATCAATTAGTTCTTCAACTCAAAATAATTCCGTAAATAATTCTAGTGGTAATTCAAATGCTCCTCCTGCTCTTGGTAGTACTGATCATTCTAATCAAAATAGGCAATATTCATCATTTGAAGATCAATATGGTAGATTACCACCAGGTTGGGAAAGAAGAACTGATAATTATGGTAGAACTTATTATGTTGATCATAATTCAAGAACAACAACTTGGCAAAGACCAACTTTAGATCAAACTGAAGTTGAAAGAGGTCAACAAAGACAAACAACTACTGAAGCTGAAAGAAGACAACATAGAGGTAGAACTTTACCTGGTGAAACTCCTCAATCACCAACTTTAAGTTCTGCTTCAAATAGTAGTGTTAATGTAACTGTTAATGCAACAGGAGCAAATACACCGGTAAGTCCTGCTGCTGCAGTTTCAATGGCAGCTTCAGGAGCTACAACTAGTGGATTAGGTGAATTACCATCAGGTTGGGAACAAAGATTTACTAATGAAGGTAGACCATATTTTGTTGATCATAATACGAGAACAACTACTTGGGTAGATCCAAGAAGACAACAATATATTCGAACTTTTGGTCCAAATACTACTATTCAACAACAACCAGTAAGTCAATTAGGTCCATTACCATCCGGTTGGGAAATGAGATTAACTAATACGGCTAGAGTTTATTTTGTTGATCATAATACTAAAACAACTACTTGGGATGATCCAAGATTACCATCATCATTAGATCAAAGTGTTCCACAATATAAACGTGATTTTAGGAGAAAAGTAATTTATTTTAGATCTCAACCAGCTTTAAGAATTTTACCAGGTCAATGTCATATTAAAGTTAGAAGAGATCATATATTTGAAGATTCATATCAAGAAATTATGAGACAAACTCCTGAAGATTTAAAGAAGAGATTAATGATTAAATTTGATGGTGAAGAAGGGTTAGATTATGGTGGAGTTTCAAGAGAATTTTTCTTTTTATTATCTCATGATATGTTTAATCCATTTTATTGTTTATTTGAATATTCATCTCATGATAATTATACTTTACAAATTAATCCAAATTCAGGAATTAATCCTGAACATTTAAATTATTTTAAATTTATTGGTAGAGTTGTTGGATTAGGTGTATTCCATAGAAGATTTTTAGATGCATTCTTTGTTGGAGCATTATATAAAATGATGTTACATAAAAAAGTGGTATTACAAGATATGGAAGGGGTTGATGCTGAATTTTATAGATCCTTAAAATGGATTCTTGATAATGATATTACTGATATATTAGATTTAACATTTAGTGCAGAAGATGAAAGATTTGGAGAAATTGTTGAAGTTGATTTAAAACCAGGTGGTAGAGATATTGAAGTTACAGAAACTAATAAACATGAATATGTTGAATTAATTTCAGAATGGAAAATTTCTAAACGAGTTGAAGAACAATTTAAAGCATTTATTGATGGATTTAATGATTTAATTCCTCAAGAATTAGTTAATGTATTTGATGAACGTGAATTAGAATTATTAATTGGTGGATTAGCTGAAATTGATGTTGAAGATTGGAAAAAGCATACTGATTATAGAGGTTATCAAGAAAGTGATCAAGTTATTCAATGGTTTTGGAAATGTATTAAAGAATGGGATAGTGAACAAAAAGCTCGTTTATTACAATTTACTACTGGTACTTCAAGAATTCCAGTTAATGGATTTAAAGATTTACAAGGTTCGGATGGTCCAAGAAGATTTACTATTGAAAAAGCTGGTGAATCAAATCAATTACCTAAATCTCATACATGTTTTAATAGAGTGGATTTACCACCATATGTTGATTATGAAAGTTTAAGACAAAAATTAACTTTAGCAGTTGAAGAAACTGTTGGATTTGGTCAAGAATAGGCTTTCAAATCAATTAGCTTTATTAATTTCACTTTTAATTTTAATTTTAATTTTAATTTCAAGTTTTCAATTCATTTTAATTTAATTTCAGTTCAATAATATCTTGTATAAAAATACTACTAACTCGACAACATTTAGAAGTTCATTATATCTCTTCAAAAGTTTTTTAGTCAGTCTATCTATTTATCTTTTCATGCATAAAATCTTCTATATGTATGTTAGTTAGTTTTAGTTAATTTATTTGCTTTATCTATATAACTACATTTTCATTTACTTTTACTTTTACAATTATATTTACATATAAATTTACGAACTATAATAAGTGGCGTTATATATGTAAGTGGTTAATTTTCAATTAGGGTTAACAAATCCCGTGTGCGATTCTGACATTATCAGTAACTTAAACTAACCTTATCGTAATTGTTCCTTACTTTAGCGGTACATTGTTTTCAACCACAGATTCAAAATGCCTTACCAAATTTATTTTTATGCTCGGGCTCATACCGGAAGCGGTCGCCTCGACAATTCCGTTCTTGCTGCTTTGGGTATGTTTAAGATGTAAAATTTCTCCCATTAATTTTAGAGTCACGATTCAGAAACACGCGCTGCCGTGGTGTGTGTAGTGTAGTGTGGATCTTCTAGAAGATTTCCACTGTCTGTCAGAACTAACTCGTGTATGTGTAAGTTCAGTTTAAATTATGTCAATATTAAGATTAAGTTTTATAGTACGAGTTAAAGTTAAAGCCCCTGAGTATTCCCTCCGACATTATCACAGTTATAATTATAGTTTCAGCTACAGTTATAGTTACTAGTTACAAGTTACAAGTTACAAGTTACAAGTTACAAGTTACAAGTTACAAGTTACAAGTTACAAGTTACAAGTTACAGTTGACAATGGAAGAATAATAACAATACTAGCAACTATAAGTAAAAAGCAGAGAAAAACTGTGTAAGCCGCCGTCAAAACTGTGGTTGCGAAATTTCCCAAAATCGATGAGCGGAAAGAATGTGCGAACATGCACACTCACAGTTAAGGGAAAGTGGTGGAACAGATGCTGCGTACTGATTAGGCGGCGGCCTTTGGTTTATCTAAAGAATGCAAAATTTTTATTGGATCCGGATGACAATTAGGTGAAATTTTTATGGGCTTTTTATCAGTAATGGACATCTCCATTTGGTAGTTGTATACTGATTTGATTTAATTCTGATTATACATGTTTCTATTATAATTGTGGCACCTGATTATAGTTGAATTAATAGTATGCTTAATTAATTAAATATATAAATATTTTACTCTAATTTTATTTTAATTTAAGTTAATTTAATTTAAGGTAATTGGTATTCAAATATATCGGCTACATAACTTACGGTAGCGGGATTGCAGCATCTCATTGTGTTTTTAATTGTGGTTTCTGTAAATCTAATAATTTATCCATAATTGTATAAATATCTGTATATCTTTCCATTCGTATAAGCATCAAATACCAAGACTTTTTATAATACTAAGAAATTTGAGTTTGACAGGTTTCATCTAAAATCGGAAAATAATCATGAGTGACATTCTTAAAAAGATCCTTCAACCTATTATTGGTATTGATGAAAATCAAGAACAAATTCATGCTGATATAGATTCATTTAATGAAGAAGATCATCAAAATGAAAATGGGGCTCCAGTTGAAACTCATAATCCTTTAGGTTATAATTTGGATTATGTTTCTGCTTTTTATATGGTCATTCAAGGTATTATTGGTACTGGTATTTTCTTAACTCCTGCATCAGTCTTAAATTCAATTGGATCAGTCGGTGCATCTTATGTCCTTTGGGTAGCTGGTTTTTTTATTGCCCTTTTTGAAGTTTTCGTTTATGTTGAATTCTCAACCTATTATAAAAAGAGATCTGGTGGTGATGTCGCATATCTTGAACAAGCTTATCCAAAACCTGATTTCTTAGTTCCAACCAGTTATGCTGCTGTCTCTGTGGTATTATCATTCTCTGTCTCTTCTGCTATTGCTTTTGGAGAATTTGTTTTAAATGCTTCTGGTACTGAAGTTACAACTTGGAAGGAAAGAGGTGTTGGTGTAGCTATTCTTACATTTGCTGCTATCCTCACCATTGCTAATTCAAAATGGTCTTTGAAATTAGCCAATCTTTTGGGTTTTGTTAAAATGGTAACTATTACTTTTATTATTATAACTGGCTTCGTTAACTTGGGTGGTAATACAAGGGTTGCTGAACCCCATGCAGTCTTTAAAGATGCTTGGAAAGGTTCAACTAGTGATGGTAATGCAATCGCCAATGCCATTATTAAGGTTTCTTTCTCTTATTCTGGTACTCAATATGTTTTCAGAATGGTTGGTGAATCAAATCCAAAAAAAACTAAGAACTTATTCAGATACTTCATTCCTGGTGTTGTTATCTCGATCTTCTTTATCTATATCTTATTAGTCACCACTTTTTATTCGGGTTTTGAATCTGTTGAAGCAGTTAAGAAGTCAGGTTCTTTAGTTGCTGCTCAATTCTTTTCAAATGTATTTGGTACTAAAGCTGCAACTAAGGCTTTAGATAGTTTAATTGCTTTAAGTGCTTTGGGTCATTTATTGACTGTTTTTGTTGGTAGTTCTAGAACTTTAAGAGAATGTGGTAGACAAGGTGTTTTACCATATCCAAGAGCTTGGACTTCTACCAAACCTTTTGGAACTCCAGTATTGGGTGTTTTCATCACTTGGATTGTTAATTTAATTGTCTTATTAGCACCACCAGCTGGTGACGCTTATAACTTGGTTGTTGATATCGGATCATATTCTGGTTACTTCTTCAAGATTTTATTAGCTGTCGGTTTATTATTGGTTAGAAAGCAAAGAAAGGAACAAGGTTTAGGATATCAAGGTTTCAAGTGTCCTTTGATCTTCATCATTATCACTCTTGTCTTCTACCTTTTTGTCATTGCTATGTCATTTGTTCCACCAAACAATGGTACTTTGATTGGTTCCGATGTTACCTTCTTCTACGCCACTTATGCTCTTGTTACTATCGGTCTTTTAGCATTATGTGTCTTCTACTATTATGTCTGGGCTAAAATCTTACCTAAATTCGGTGGTTACGTACACAGAACTGTTTACTACATCTTACCAAATGGTGAAAGAGGTCACACTGTCATCCAAGTTAAGAAAGATGAAGTTGCCAAATTTGATGCTGAACATGATGCTCTTGGAAGACTCATTGATGGATCAACTGAAGGTGAAATTGAAGGTGAAGGTGATGGATCTATTGAAAAACTTGCTTTCACAGTTGAATCAGAAAAGCAATTACATTAAGTTAAAAATTAACTGAAGCTGGATCCTTCTTAATTTGTCATTTCATTCATATTCTTATTCTTATTTTCACTTCTTGTTATACTAATTACTGTATCTTGAGCTATAATTCAAATGCTTATAAGGCGTCCCAACAAAATAATGTAAATTAATTAATTAATTAATATGTAAATGCTGCAAAATGCTTTAGTAGTAACGATTCTGCTCTCAATTTTGCTGTCAGGCATGAGAAAGTTATCACTAATAAGCGAAATCTGATGTACAATTTAGAGCTATCTTCTGAATTAAAAGAATTACTCCGCCTTCTACAAAAGTAAAGATCTTAAAATCAGTTACAAAAGTTACAAAAGTTTATAGTATATTTAAAGATCTCCACTCTACAAATATTTTAGTAAACTTTTTCTAATATTTTCACACCAAAGGCTACTCCGAAACCACTGTATGGAATCATTATCAAAAATAACGAGATCATTCTACGTCAACATGATTTGAAATAATATTCAGCCCGGAGAATAAGCCAACCATTATTCATCATCTGCTGGTGAAAAATGAAATGTGGGGGAGAATATTTTGTAAAGAACAAAACACGGCTTCGGAGTCCAAACTCGGAAGCCATCCACGGCGGAGATACACAAATTACAAAAAAACATGTTCTCTCTTTCTGTATTTTTGTTCCTCTCCATTGTAATCTGCATGTATCTCTCTTCTATCTTATCATTACGTAATAATTAACTAGATATTCCACCATGTTTTCTTAGAGCCTAGGCTTTATCTAAGTGTGGGTCTGCTCAGAACATCCTAACCGCAACGGAGTTTTTCTCCGTCTCCTCTTTTTGCGCTGCAAATAGTGCTTATTTACATAGTGCGCAGCGCACCCCCTACTTATCTCTCCCCTCTTCTCGATCTTTTTTTGCCATCACTTAACTGACCAGATGTCAACCCCCCATCAAGCAGATGATGATTGCTTATTTTAGTACGATAACAATTTTCAGTTTAAGGACTAGTATATGCATTCACTTACTAATCGATCATGCGATTTCAGAGAGTCCGCTAAGTACTTCTGTATCACTATTACGCAGTCTTAAACTTTGCATCGTGGGGGAAGACTTGCTTTAACTGAAAATTTATTTAACTATGTAACATAATTTACTCCTCTTCTCCTCTTTGATGGACTAGTTCTCTATTTTATTATTTATCTTGGTTTATTTTTATTATATTCTATTAGGCTCAATATATTTATTTATTAGTAATAAAAAGTAATTTGCGTGTTATTGGTCATTATTTCATAAGTCGATATTTTAAGTATAAATAGTTCAGGAATACTCCTGTTTACGTAAACGTTTTCAATTTCTGTAGCTTTGTTTTATTTTACTTATTGCTAACTATAATTAAACATTCAATTAACATACAAAAATGCCAGACTTATTCGATAACTTTTTCGGTAAAATCAACACCAAAATAAACGGTGGAAAGACAACTTATCATTACGGTGGTGCTAATCCCCCAAATACTGGTAGTTTCTATAGTTATCATTCAACTGCTAACAATAATAATTATTGGTTGCCAAAGGCTAAGCAAGACGATGACAAAATTGTAATTGAAGCTAAAGAACGTCAACTGAGTATCACTTCGATTAATTCTGAAACACTTGAAGGGGGTAGATCGAGATTTAGCAGTGTATCTTCTGAGAAGGGCACTTAGTAGCAATTACTTCTTAGTAATATAAGGAAAAATAGCATCAATAGGGATATTTCAATTCGGTTCTTAAATTATTAAATTAAATTAAATTAAACAATTAACTAATTCGTTTATTATATATTATTCTTATTATCATTTGTATTCTATATGCTTGTTGTTTGTGTATAGAAACTTAAATATAAGTGAAGTCCAAATGACTAGATAATAGTATTTATATACATAAAATATATATCGTTCGTCAATTAATTAGAAGTCAATGAAAAATTGATCCATGAAGTTAATATCTTCTTCAGTAACATTGTAAGTGAAAGTATTTGAACCTTGCATAATAGGATCATTGATGTTAAGTAAATTCATGGTATTCACATCACCTGTTGAAAACTGTGATGGTAATAGAAAATTGCAATCTAGAATATCATTTGGTGGAGATAACCATTCATCATACATAAATTTTTCAGGAAATTGTTGCAGCTGATGATGTAACCGTTGTGATTTATCATCAGTGTTTATTGAAGCAGGAGATGAAGTAGATGATGGTGAATTTATCAATTTTTCAGCCACTTGATCTAGACTTGTAGAAGATTCTATGCCTACTTTCTGATGATCATTATTATTACTTCTACTCTTATATCTCTTAGTCTTTTCAATTAATCCCTGGGATCCCAATTTAGTTAATAATTTCTTCAATGATACAATTAAATCGATAATCTGATTTAATTTACCATGAGCAATTGAATTACCATTCAACTTCATCTCATTCATTATGTCCATTGAAACTTGTAAATAGTCTTCAAATTTCCCTTTCTTCTTATCGTCTTCATTACAATTGAGTAATATACACATGAGGAACACAAGTGAGCAGCTAAATAAATAATCTAGATCTGTCATTCCGTAAATACTGAGTTTCTCTTGCCTATATAAAGCGATGAAGATATTCATAGTTAACTGACTAGATGTTATTAATGAACTGATGAGGTAATTGATTGTTTTTGGTAATTCATTCAATGTAATGGGGGTTGGATCAAGCTTCAGAAATGAATAGAAATTGATGATCCTAAATTTAACCAAATTAATTAATATAGGAATAGTCGTAAGATAAATGTGATGAATATAATTCAAGTGAAGTGAGCAAATAACTCTACTATTATTATCTAGATTATCAATATCTGATAAATCTAATTTAAGAAACTGTGGTATATTTTCAACCCAATTAACTAAAACTTCCATTATTGAAAGAATGGAAGATAGAAATTGTGAACTATTTCTTTTGGTGGTTTTATAAAGTTGATTCGTGATTTTATCACTTATCTTGGCTAATTCAATATAAAACTCCATGCATGTTTCATTGGCAAACTCATATTTGGTTGCTGGTTGTGGAGTACGAGAATTAATAGTCGATAGATTTGATATGTCATTAAGATTTAATAGCAATGGCTGACTTATTCTAGCACTGAAGAATCTATTCAAACAAAATGTTGACCACCAAATAGTGTTTAAGTATTCATCGGTTTTATAGTTATTGATTTCTCTTGATCTCAATTGTCTTTCCTTGTGGAGATTTAGTGAAATACATAATTGTAAAGATTGGATTGTAAATAAAACAGCCAATGTTTTCTTGTCAAGAAATCTAAGGTAAACTGAAACTAGACCAAGTAGTTCGATAACTTCAAAAGTATTATCTAGATTCTTGTGATCATAAAAGTAGAATGTTGATGGCAAATGATTTAAAACAATTCTAAAATATTTCAAGCCAGGAACAGCCTCCGAAACTTCTTCTTGTTGCCGAGGTCTCTTTGAATTTCCAAACTTCTTTTTGTATATTTCACCCATAGCCATAATCATTAATATTTGAACTATGAAATAATCTTCACCTTGATATAGTAAATCGATATTCAATTGTCCGTCACTGTGAAAATAGCTAGGTAGCCTCTGTTTAAATTCTACAGGATTGATGGTTAAATATCCCATATTAATAAATGAAACAACAGCATCAAATAAAGCCGATGTTTGAGTAAATGTTATACTTCTAAGGTGTTCTATTTCAGCATCACGATCTAGACGTTTGTAAGTAGAAGTGAATAAAAAATCAAAAGTCTTTTCTTCCAAGAATGTACTAAAGTCCGGACTCAAAGTTGGGGAATGACTATTAAATCCCTTGGTTGTAAACCGTTTTAAATTCCAACAAATTAATTCACTAGCGGCAGAACCTAACCAGATTGAAATATCAGCATCCTCCGTATTGGATTGGTTATTATGATGATGTTGTGTAATAGGTAATGAAACTTTAGAGAAAGTTCCACCTGCATTATTATTTTTAGTAGCCTTAGATTTTAAAGTAGCCAATTCCTTTTCTAATTTATTAATTTGAGCTTGATACTGTTCAACTTCAACATCGTATATAGATATTCTTTTGGCTTTGCGGGGGTACTCACAAGTTACTTTAGCTCTTGTACAAGTTTTACAAGGATCTTCCCCCAGACATTTTGTCTTACGTTTTCGACATCTAATACAAGCTAGTACAGATCTTCTTTCATTTAACTTAAGACGTTTTGAAGATGAAGGTGATAAACTATCGATATCAATCTCTTCATCGGTTTCAATATGTGATTCACCCACATTATCCATGGTAGTTGATCGTAGATTGGATTCTCTAGCACGATAATTTTGTGATTCATTCCTTTTGCCAATTGTCATACTTAAATATAATCCCACTTTCAATATTCCAACCTAAAATATTGAACGAACAAAAGGATTTATAAATTATTTGGGGTCAGATCGGTAAGTGGTGGTAAATTTACCGATCTTACCTAAATGGGTCGCGCAATTTTTACAGGTGATGCAAGAGTGTAAAAATATAATTATATACTTAAGAAAAGTTAACAACAGATTTAATAGAAAAGAAAAGAAAGGTAAAATAAAGAAGCTAATAATATAGACTATGAGAATGAGTTAAATTAATGAGATAAATTAATCAGAAATTATTCAGAAATTAAAAAAAAAGTTGTAAATTATATATGTACATATGACATTAATGAATTGAATTAAGAGTTTGAGTATGTGTATGAGTATGAAACCGACCTTTATGTAGATGAGAGTTCGTGATGAAATTGAAATTGAAAATGAAAGTGAACATGAAAGTGATCGTAAATATGCATAAATTGGGGAGGGGAATTCGTTATTTGAAAATTAGAAACAACAATAAAATAACCATCTAAAACATCCACCCGATTGATGTTTCCTACGTTCATTAAAACTTGAAGTATCTGAATGTAAATCGCCATCATCTCTTACAGGCAACATTCCCTGTTGATGATGTTGTTGATAAGCTTGAGCTTGACTATTATAAATAGGACCTCCACCTCCATTGTTTAAGAATTGTTGATTTCTTGAATCAGGAGAAATAGATTGATAATTTCCTATTGATAATGATTTTGGTCTTGGATTGTTATGATTAGATGATGATCTTATATTCCTTTGGGAAGATAATAACTTTGAATTAGTCAGATCATTTCTAAGATGTTGTTGTTGAACTTGTTGTTGTTGAAGTCTCAGTTGATGATGTCTTTGTTGAGGTGGATGAGGGTTACCATATCCATGTAAGTTGGCCTTTTTATTAAGAGCAGCATCCCAACCTCGTCCTCCATTTAGATCCATCCAATCATAATGATCATCTTCTTCAACCCCAAGTGATATTAAAACTTTATCCATTAAATTAATTAAATATTTATAATCTGGAGTTTCATCGAATTTTAAATTCCTTACATATGACATATATTGACTGAATTGAATTGGGAATCCATAACATAATTCATTTAAAGTGGTTGTTTGTTTTTTTAATCCAATTTTTTCATATTTTTGTTTATTAGTTGGAGCTTTTAAACCTTGCCAAGGTAATGAACCTCTAAGGAAATACATAAAAACATGACCCAAACTTTCTAAATCATCTCTTCGCAGTTGTTCTCGACCTAAATGAGTATTTATTGACATATATCTTGCAGTACCACTTAATGCTTTCTTTTCACGATATGGTATATGTTGTTTTGTCTTTGGATCTCTATATTGTTTTGCCATACCAAAATCAACAATATAAACTTGATTAGCTTGAGGAGTTCCTGGTTTACCAATTAAAAAATTATCAGGTTTAATATCACGATATATTAAATTATCTTCATGAATAGTTTCAACTCTTTCAATCATTTGTTTTGCTATTTGTACAACAGTTTTTATAGAAAATTTACGTTGACACCAATCAAATAAATCTTCTAATGAAGGTCCTAAAAGATCAATAATTAATATATTATGAACACCTTCTTGACCAAAGAAATAAGCTTGAGGAATTCCCTTACATCCATGAAGAATTCTATAAGATCGATACTCATCTCTTAATTGTGGTGCTTCACATTTTCGAGGTTCGAATTTTATAGCAACTTGTTGATTATTTAGGATATTTATACCTTCAAAGATTATACCAAATGAACCTTCTCCGATTTTTTTACCTACTTTATAATGTACTCCTACTATATTGTTAGAAGATGATGATGATTGCTGAGCCATGGCATGTATGATGTTATTATATTAATGATGGGAATAAATATATGAAAATGCAGAATTAAAAGGAATGACAGATTATGAATTGAATATGAAAATGAATATGAAAATTAATATGAATGAATGAATAAAAGAATGAATGAATTGAAATTTTTCGATAATTGAAGGAATCTCTAACTTTCTAGTATAGTACTGACCTGGAACAAGGTTTATGTTTCAGATTATATTATATTATAGGTTAAGGAATCAGTGATGATGGAAATGTAGGACAGTAACAGTGAGATGGTAAGTTTTCTGTCTCTTATAATTAATGGACTAAGTAGTACCTATTATAGACTTTAGTGATACTATGATGATATAGATGCTATTAATATTGCTATAAGCTCGGAGCGTCGAGCTGAGCAAAGTATTTCAAAAGTTTCAGGTAATTTACTGAATGAAAAACTGTTGCCTAATGCAATATAAATCTCGGTGATTCCGTCAGTGGTTTCTACGTAATACAAAATGTGCTATACCACTTGACAAATGCCGTTGATAAACCCTTGGGCCCCTAACCTGTTCAGTATGTTATTTAAAATTTTTCCAGGTGTTTGTTTTTCCTCGCTGAAGGTTTGCGGGAAAATTAAGCTTAGACGGTGTGAGACTCACTAATTGTTCATTATTGTTAACTATTGTTTAGTAATTCTCGGTATTAGGGCTCCTTACAAGTTCGCTAGAAGAATAGCTAAGATTATTTGATAAATTTATCTTATTAAACTAGTTGTTATTGAACTATTTGTATAGTAGTTAATATATATAAACAATATGTTCAATCCTAATGAAACCGTGTATGCTTATCACGGTCCTTTAATCTATGAAGCAAAAGTTGTTAAAACTTATGATGTCAGACAAGATAAAATATTTAATTCAGAATTGAAAGTAGAAAGTCCTAAGGAGAATCTTAAGTTTAATTATGAACTTTTTAAATCTAATAAAGAAGATGGATATTTATTACATTATCAAGGATGGAATTCTAAATGGGATGAATGGGTTAATCATGAAAGAGTATTGGCATTTAATGATGTTAACAAATTTAAAAAAATGGAATTGGATCAATTAAATAAACGTAGAAAAGTTAAAGCTACATTATCTGGTACGGCAACATCTCCAAGTCCAAGTAGTGGATCTAAGAGAAAGGATGATAGTAAGAGTAATGGATCTGTCAATAATAAGAAACAAAAATTAATACTTCATCAAAATGGAAGTAATGGCTCAGGTAGCTCTAATAAGGGAATCTTACTTCAACTTGAATTTAATATTCAACTTAAATATTTACTCATAAATGATTGGGAATATATTACTAAAGATAAACAAATAATAAGTTTACCATCTTCAAAACCTATAAATACAATTCTTCAAGATTATAAAACTTGGAGAAATTCACAATTAACTAGTGAAGATCAACGACGAATCCTTGATGAAATTTTATTGGGATTAGAGGTTTATTTTAATAAATCTTTAAGTCTTATGTTACTTTATAAATATGAAAATTTACAGTATCTTGAATTTTTGAAGAAAGATTTAATTAATAATTCTAAACCACAACTGAAAGTTTATGGAATAGAGCATTTATTAAGGCTATTAATATCATTACCAGGATTACTTAGTGATGTTTCTATGGATTCAATAAGTATTAGTGTATTGATCAATGAGTTGAAAGGATTATTAGATTTCTTAAAGAATAATTTAGGTGATTATGTTAATGAATATGTAAATACCAGTCCCCAATATGATAGTTTAGCTAGAGCATAAGGGTTTGTATACTATAAATAAATACTACAATCAAAAGGTAAATAAAATATTTTAAAATTTTAGTACGTAAACGTCGTAATATCGTATATTTCATAATTCATAATTATCATAAAAGATTAGGAGAAGAGAAAGTATCTAATGAAGTCTATAAGAAAAGTAAACAAGGAGACCTTCATTGGAAATAGTGAGAGAAATAGTTGTATAACTGAAAATAAACCTTCATATCAAATAAAGATAATAAATGGTACGGTGTTATTTATACAAGAATAGATTAGGGGTGGGTATATTAGACAGCTAATTCAGTGTCTAATGGAAGTGACTTATAGTCAACTTCAACCATTGCATTTTCGTTATTACAACTAATTTCCAATTCTAATTTCCAATGTCTATCATATAGATCTTCTTCTTCTTTTTCAAATCCATGATCGGATAAATCTTTAAACTTCCAAGTGACTTTATTTGGAGTTTCGGTGATTTCAGCCTTTTCCAAGTTTAATTTATAACCACAACATTTTTCAATGTCTTTAATTAAATGTTTATTAATGTGGTGTTGTAAATGTCTCTTAAATCTCTTGTTGTTTTTGTTCATGGTTGGTTTGATTTTATCTAAATTCTCACGACATTCCTTTAAAACGAATGGTGGATAGTATTGTAAATGGCCATGGAAATAATCAAATTCATTATCCCAAGTTTCATCTCTAATGAATGATTCAAAAGCAATTAAATCATCAAATTCACGCTTTGGTGGAGGCATTAATAAGGTTTTAATTTCATGAGTATCTTCGGATTCGATAGATATAATAGATGAAGATCTTGACTTTGGTTTAGGTTGTAAATGTTCTAAAGCTTGACAGTTGTCTAAATCTAAAGGTTGAACAATCTTTTTGTTCTTTTTATCAGTTCTTGTCATGGTTGCGAAAGTTTAGTGATGTATTAATATGTTATATATAATAATCAAAAGTTAAGTAAAACGTTTTGGAGGAGCTTTGTTTTTATTCAATATATATTAAATATATATGATTGAAAGTGATGAAATAAAAAAAGAATAAGAGAAATCAAAATATGAATAGAGGGGATAATTACCAGTTTATATATTATTACTGAAATAAAAATAATGTCCAGTGTGTATAATATAAAAATGCTCGTCAACAAAGGCGTATAAAATCGGAAGTACAAGTGATGCTCCTCATTGGATAAGTATTCCTGAAACTATAACTATGAAATGTAAGGCCATACCATAATTTTATTGTGAATAAATGGGTATCGTGATGAATGATGTGCCCAAAATAATAACAAGAAAAAATCTCCTCTTTAAGTCATCTTACTTACGCAAAAATTAAAATGTGGAGAGACTTTTTCATGACTGTATTTGGTATTTTGCAATCCAACAAATGAAGCCCGATAAAGCCCTTTCTAACTATTCAAGTGTGATTCGGTAAGTAGGTAAGTTGTGGACAAATATACATTATTTCGTTAGAGTTCTTACAGGTTAAAGAATAGTTTTATTTGGGGTTTAGCCCCTATTTTGTTTTGTTATTGGTTAGTTAATTTCTTTTTTATTATTTCTAGTTTATTATTTCTTATTTCTGTTGATTCATCAAAAGTATGGGGTGGAGAATATAAGTGGCTTCTTCCAAAAGCGGGTTAGACTCCATTGTTTGAAACCTGTCTCATACAGTATATATGTTCAAAGAGGAGACATTAATATCTGTGAAATTTATGAATAATTGAGCTTAATTTACTTTAATTAATTGCTAATCATCTATTTCGAATAAATGACTCAACAGTGTCCCACTTCCACTAAAGAACCTTTTTGTTTGCCTACATGCCTATGTTAATCACTATAGTATCTTATGTATCTAACAAGTACTGTTGCGTCAATTATACTGCTTTGAGTGTCACAAAGTTTCAAAAAGGTGATTAATCATTTCTGAAATGACGTGTGACAGTTGGCTCGCATTTTCTGTCCCTAATTTTCCCTGATTCCCTACATTTTGCGAGCACTCTCAGGCACTAAACTCGATTTTTACTGACAGACCTGCTTAGCGGACATATGCGGGAATTTGTCCGACTGCGGACAATTTAGTTTCAGCCAGACAGAGAATTGTGTGATGTCTTATTTTCATTATATCATTAATGCTTCATCAAAAAAGTTGGACGTTGACATTTTTGATGGAATAACTTCAAAATGTCAAATGTTCCCACTTCTTATCGTTATCTATGTATATTTTTAAAGAAGCTTCTTTAGCCTTGCTTGCGTTTCTTTTTATTCTGACAGCTTCTTATCAAACTTGCAACTGGCTATTGATGCTTAAGCCTTGAGAAATGTACGACTCACACGACTCATCTCCAACATGTCACGCATAGGGATGAATCGTTGTTATGTATTGTGGTATGGATGTTTTATGAACTCTCCTTATATACTCAGACGTATCTCTCATAAGCTACTGTTCTTTAATTATGCTTGCAGTTAATAAAACCTTATTGAGCCCAATACACACCCACTTCACTTCTGAGAATATCTGAAAATAATTGGACTCAGCTCTTACCAGTTCACACTCTACTATACTCTGGATATAAAGAACACCTTGAAGTGTTCGTAGTTACCACTGTAGATAAATATTAGGAAAATTAACTTTAGTCTTATTACTGCTAATTGTTACTCTAAGATGATTTTGAACTCAAATTAGAGTAAATAACATTTATATTGCCTCTTTGGGTGCAAAGATATCTGATCTCACAGTCAAGATGTCGCAAAGCAATATGTCGTGAGCCCCATTGCGACTTTATCAACTAGCCCAAAAACTCAACCATACAAATTTTTTCATCACCGCTAAGTAGTATCTAAAGTAAATTCTTAGTAAAGCATCTGCCATGTTTGGAGTATACACGGGACCTGGTGGGGTCGGTAATAAACCTATGGGAGAGATGACTCAAGAAGAACAAGCTGAGTTAGGTGCTCGTAAAATGGTTGAATTCATGCAATCATGTCCTGGAAAGACAGTAATATCTGGAGTAACTGGATTTGGGTTAGGTGCATTCTTTGGGTTATTTATGGCATCTATGGCATATGATGTGCCTGTAGGTAACAATGCTGTCAGTCATATAAGTCAACTTCCATTTAAACAACAAATGAAATTACAATTTACTGATATGTATCGTCGATCTGTATCTTCAGCAAAGAATTTTGGATATATTGGTATGGTATATTCTGGTGTTGAATGTTGTATTGAAAGTTTAAGAGCAAAACATGATATTTATAATGGATTAAGTGCTGGATGTATTACAGGTGCTGGACTTTCTATAAAGGCTGGACCACAAGCTGCAGCCATTGGATGTTTAGGTTTTGCTGCATTTTCAGCTGCTATTGATGTATATTTAGAAAGTGAGTCTCGTGCACCACCTGCCAATGATTATGATGAGTAGATAAAAGTGTTGGTCATATAAAAAGGTTTCAGTTCGTGTATATAATAATAGTCATTGTTTTTAGTTTATTTTAATTATTCATTAACTAAATATAAAATTTAAAAGTACAAATATAATAATACAGTGTGCTAAAAGAATTCAGCAAAAGAAATAACAATAATCATAATTCAAGTCTGAAAGTAAATATGAAGTTAACAAAAAAGTTAATATTGGAACTGTGACGCTTACGGCTATAACAATAATACTGATAGGAAAACGATGATTTGGAGTTTGATTAAATTTTGAAAGTGAGGAGAAGGTCTTATGTTGAACTTCTGCTTGTTGAAGTCGTTCTAATTCTTCAAATATATTCTTTTCCTGTTGCTTCTGTTGCGCTAAGGTTTCCTCCTCTCGCTGCTGAAGTTGCAATTGCCTTTCTAATTGAATTTGTCTTTGATTAATCAATTCATCAAATTCATTTTTAATGATTCGCAACTGATCTTCATCGTCGACTGATCGTACTAATTCTTGAAGATTAAGAATGGCGTTCTCATTGTCGTTATCATTATCATATATATCATCAGTACCATTATCTCTCAATACATTATCACTTAAAATATATGAACCTGCTGATCCTGCTGATGATTGTCTTTGAGATTGCAACTGCGATCTTGATTTTGGGATTCTGATAGGATAACTCTTGAAATTCCTTGTTTTCAATATATGATTATTAACCCTTCGTGAATCAACAGCAGTGGTATCATCCTCTACTTCATCTTGAATTGAGCCCTTCTCTCCTTCTTGTCCTCCGTCATCATCTTCTTCATCATATGATTCAGTATTTCCATCTAATGGTTGTTTATGTAAAGCATAAATTCGTCGTATTTTCTCATTATCAGTTTTTATTTTAAAGCTATTGTCTTTATCATTATAAATACTTCTATTTCGATTATGTCGTTTCGGATTATTAATTATCTTATATGGTAATGGTAATGGGTCACCCAAATTAAATGATGACGATAATGGGTTAGTTGATGGTATAGAGTGTCTTGACGACAGTTCTAATTTAAGTCTATTCATCGCTATATCGTCATATTACTGCTGTTATATAAATTATATATGAGTGTTTCTGGTTCACCCTCAATTTGTCACCTGATTAAAGGAATGATTAACTTTACTAGGTTATGTTTACATTTCTGATGATGTTGATGCTTGTATTACGTTTGTGATGTTTTGGATGTTTGGATGTTTGCCTCGTGACTTGTGAGGCTTGGGTGTCACCGAAACGCGCTTTTTGAAGTTACTAATTATAAACAAATACACACGAGATAAGAAATAGAAAGATTGGGTTATAGTTGTATTAACGAAAGAAGGACCGATCAATGAACGAATATGTCATGATAAATAATAACTATAATAGCAACAATAACAATTATAACAATTATAACCGTAAACAATGTGGTGCTTGAAACTATGATTCAATTATACATTTCTTCACAATAATTAGGCTGTACTATATAGCCAAGCTATGAACCCACATTCACTTGTACAACAAATTGATTAAAATTTTAAATTTTAAACTTGTATTAGGACATTATAATCAAGAATACATGTGTTAGATATACAACCCAATTAGGTTTAAAGTCACACGAATATATTAGACGACTAGATGAGAAAGCTAATAATTCTTAGAGTTTTGTTTATTTAAGCATATTTAAATTTTTATTTGTTCGCTGTGTTAATAAAACAATAAACGCACTGAGAGTTAATAATATTTTCCGAATTGGAGTTATTTCAATAATTTTTGAGTTTTCTTCAATTGTATTATGTTATTATACGAATCAGATGCATATGACTATATCAATTTTTCTACTTCTATTATACATATGAAATCATCTCAAGCTAATACACACTAAAGTATAATCAACTGGTTCATATGTGCTTGCTTATGTGATACTTTAATTAATCATCGTTCTGTTACTTTGTGAGCTAAATTAAAAAAAAAAACTTAAAAAAATTCTTAAATGTTTTCTTTCTCTGTGCTTTTCCGAGAGTTCTCACAGAATTACAATGAAAATGGCGCCGAAGGGATATGCAGAGACTACACTACATCATCGGTGTGCATGCTCAGCAAGCATGTTTAAAGAAATGGCGTACACACAAATGACACAACCGAAATCAATTCTAACAGTATAGTAAAAATAATTTAACTTGGTTTAACCAGCTTTAAAGAAAAGAGAAGAATACAGATCTGTTTATTTAATAAGAGAATGTATTGTAACCAGAATGAGCAGGTACGGTACAGAACATCTAACATTTAAGGTTTTGTTGTAACCAAACTTTTTCACAATAAGCACGCCTGCCAACCGTCTAATAATAAAATAAATAAAGATGAATGCTAAATGTATGAAGCTGCCTCAAAAGTTCCTTGTGAGAATCTGAGGTCTGACTCCAATTCTAGGTCCTTGCGCAAACGAAATGTATTGTAAGTTGCTGTTGCATTATGTTTGTTTTTTTAATCTAATCTTCTGCAAACTTTAACGGCTGGATTGACTCACTTTCATTCTCCTATTAGAGGCTAACATATCTCTCTCCTGAAGGTCGAAATAACGGCTTTGCGAAACCTAGAACAAATTTGTTTCCGCCTGAGCCATAAATTATTCTTGTGCTTAAAAAAAAATATTTGATATATAAACACATTACAAAGCAGATTCTAAATAATATTGGAAGACACCAACTGATTGGCACACACTCACAGTAAAAAATTAGGTAAAATAAATAAAATTTAAAATTTAAAAAAAAAAAATAAAATAAAAAATAATAAAATATGCACTGTGCGATTGCTAATAGTTTATACGTTGTGGGGGTATGAAAAGCTTAACACATTTGAGCCAACACCAGATAAATTTATAAATTTATAAATTAATAAATAAACCTAACAATTATCTGTATCATTTAAAACTAGTCTTTTTATACCACTAAGTAAGAAAGGAGGGACATCCAGACAAGACTCAAAGATAAAGAAATAGATATTTGATTTCTTTTACTTGATTCTTTGCTAGAAAGTAAATACTTGGCCCCGGTTTAGTAGGCCTTTTGGTGACTTATACTTCATAAATTTTTATATCTTTTCCTAGTAAAATCAAAACTTGTTATAATACCCTTTCATAGAATCATAATATGTCTACTCATCAAAGAAAACAAAGTAAAGCATCATTCTATATAGACCTTGAAAAGTCTCCTAAGAGTGTGACCCAATTATCACCTGAAGAATCTAATTCAGGCTCAACAACAATTAATAACGAAAAGAAAGACTCCATTCTAGATGACGATCCAATTATCATGGTAGATCCTGTCATCAAAACGAATCATTGGATGAAATTCCTTTCATTTGTTTTCATATTAATTTTCATATTCACATCTTTCCAAGTTGTTCTTTCATTTGTTAACCTCAACATGAATGAGGATAGAGAAAGTCTTGTAATTGCATCATCCGCCCCACCCTTAACACAATCGCCTCCATTATCAATTCATAAGAGTCAATTAGACAAGCAAGAAGCAGTCTTAGCAGGTCATAATTATTTCCCTTATAAGGGTGAAGATAGTGACACATCAACTTCCTCCACTAAAAATTATGGAAATGATATAAATGATAAGAATATACTTGATGTATCTTCTTCATCTTCGTCTTCATCTTCATCTTCACCTTTGCAAGCATTAAAAGAAATTTTTGCTGTCAATCCAATTATTATTATTTCTAATAATAATCCTTTGCAGCATAAGTTTGAAACGATTTTAATGAATATAAATATTCATCCTGAACCAAAAATCGTCGATTTATTAAAACACCCGGACTATTCAGAAATCATGTCATATCTTGAAGTAGAGTTTGCTGATGAACTCGAAGATGAAGATGCTATGGAAAATGACGATGATGATATCCCAAGATTATTCATTGCTGGAAAATCTTATGGGAATTATTACAAGATCTTCAAACTCTACGAATCTAATCTTTTACAATCATATTTAAGAGAACACGGTAAAGGTAAAATTACCATTGGATAGATTGTTTATTTTTGCTGATATTGTATATTAGTTTACGTGTTATGATGTTCCTGAGATTTTGTTTCGTTGCTTTCGGTTTGTTTTTCCAAATACCCAAAAGTCAAGTTGTTTTTTATTTTGTTTTATTTATTTATTTATTTATTAATTTATTAATTTGTTGTTTTAGTATAGATTGCTTTCTTTATAGGGTTTGTGTTTGTCGTACTAGTTCTTTTTATATAGTCGTAACTAATAATAATATTGCATATTAATTTTGTCAATGTAAGCATTATAATTTGGCTGTAAATATTATTGTGCTGCCAAAGTGAGAAAAAAATTTGGTTGTAAATTTTGATCATCTTAGCAATAAGGGTATAAGCGATTAATATATCACCAAGTATGTGCGGAATTTTGAGCGTTATAAGATTTAATGAGGAGTCATTAATACCGCCGCACGAGATACTGTTGTGGGAACAAACAACAGTTGATGAACAATTCCATGTTTGGGAAACTACCGACACAAATAATTTTTTAGCTCAAGATCACAAATCATCGCTTTTCCCATTGTCAGATGCAGATATAAAGAAATTAAATAATTTGGATAGATTAAGACAATTGAATGTAGAGCTCGGCAAGTTGAACAACACTATCAAGAAGAAACATAAACTGCAAGATAATGAGATCGATGACAAAATACGACTTATCAAACTAGAGATCGACCAGATAGTGGGTGAAGATGAACAAAGTACTTCTAACGAACATAATGATATTACTGAAAAAAAGAATTTATTTGAGTCATTAATATACAGAATAGCCAGTAGGGGTCCAGATTACTTAAATTATACTAATTTCGCTAATAAGGGAATCTCGTATCAACTTTTCTCATCCATATTATCCTTACGACAACCATTCACTTCACAGCCAATAATAATCAGTCATCGGTATGTTCTTCAATTCAATGGTGAACTCTATAATGATGAATGTTTACTAGGTAATGATACTAAGTTCTTCATGCAACTATTAGAGCATGCTAATGATTATAACGATATCATAAAAGCCCTTAATGACCTATATGGAGAATTTGCATTTGCATTATATGATCTCCTTAATGAAAAGATATATTTCGGTAGAGATCGAATTGGTAAAAGATCTTTGGTATATTCAATAATCCCTTCAAAAGCATTGATTTTAAGTTCTGTACCATATTCAGAAGATCCAACTGTTGAATTTATTGAATGTAAGAATAACATCTATGACTATAATCTTCAAACTCATGATTTAACGATTCACAATTATAATGGCATGGATACGATTTTTAAACCATTATCATATTCAAAAGAGGTATTCTCTGATTCTACGTACATTCAATCACAAATTGATAAAGTTTATCAAGTATTAAAATCTTCAACTTTAAAACGTCAACTATCAATCCATCCCTTACACCATGATCAAGTAGATGAAGCATCCCTAGCTATATTATTCAGTGGGGGGTTAGATTGTACTGTTATTGCTGGTTTGATAGCCGAGAATATACTTGAACAGAAGATAGACCTGGATCCGACTCATCATGTCATTGATTTATTAACAGTTGGATTTGATAACCCAAGAACTAATCAATTAGCAGATAAGAGTCCTGATCGAGTGTTGGCAAAGAAATCTTGGTTTCATCTTCAATGTAAATATCCATCAATACAAATACGATTGATTGAAATTAATGTATCCTATGAGAATTGGTTGATTCATAAACAAAGAGTAATGGATTTAATGTACCCCTGTAATACTGAGATGGATTTATCGATAGCAATTGCCTTTTATTTTGCAAGTTCTAAGAATCTAGAAAATATAGCGACCAGGATAGAATTGATAGATAAGAGTATTGACTATGAATCATTTCTTAAAGATGAATCATCGTACGTTAAAAGGACAGGTAATTATCAATCAACTACAAAAGTTTTATTTAGCGGACTAGGAGCTGATGAATTGTTTGCAGGCTATAGTCGACATGAATCCATATTTCAAAACGTTAGTCAAACCACAAGTGACGAACAATTGAGTGAGCTTTATTCTGAATTATCGACAGGGTTAATTAATGATATTGAAATTATCCATACCAGGAATTTAGGAAGAGATGATCGGGTAATTTGTTGTTGGGGGAAAGAATTAAGATACCCATATCTTGATGAAAAGGTTATCACCACAATTGTAAATGAAGTTGAACCAAGTTTGAAATTTCATTATGAGTTCGAGTTAACGAGTCGTAAAAATAAACCTGATGTTATTAGATTAAAGCCAACAAGAAAATATTTATTGCGTAGAGTTGCAAGTGATATCTTGGGTCTTGAATGGGTTAAAGATGAACTAAAAAGAGCTATTCAATTCGGAGCTAAATCAGCTAAGTTAGAAATAGGACAAAATAAAATTAAAGGTACTGCTGTATTATAGATTGTTAATAGAAGGAAAACATATAGACCTATCCTTGGTAATAAATAAAATTAGAATGATTATGTAAATATATAGATTTAGAAATAAATATAATAAATATAAACAATATATATTCATCCGAAAATATATTGTAATTAATACTGAGTCTCCTTATTCTGTAACTGATGGACCCATTTTGGTTCAATAACCAATACCTCACATTCAGTCAATAAATTATCGTTGCTTTCATGATCAAATTCATCCCTAACTTCAGAAGCTTCAGGTAATTTGAATACTTGACCTTTAATCCAACATTTTCTTCCAGACTTCTTTATCATAATACATTTTATGATCACATATTGATCTACATAAGTAGGTTTTCTATAATTAATATTTAAATTGGCAGTTACACCTTTTTTACTTTCAAAATTCTGGAATGCTAATCTACAAGTTAATTCATCTAATAATGTAGCCAATAAACCACCATGAACAATTCCATTATGACCGGATAGATTAGAACCTAAATGAAAAAAAGTTATTGAATAATTGTTATTATGAGGTTCAATTTGTTCGATGTCTGAATAGTCCCAATATGATTCATCTATAAAATATAATGAATCAGAACGATAGTTGATCTTATCTTGTCCACGTAATGTAAATCCTGTAAGATTTGGCCAAAGCTGTTCTTTTATTAAATGCAAATTTAAATGATTTTTGAGATTGAATTCGTTATATCTACTTATATATTGTTGATATATTGGATTTACTTTAATTTGCAACTCATATTCATCGATTTCAATCGTGCTCTTGGTAGTTTCTGCACCTTGCTCATCTGCCATTGTTTTCAAATCAATGACTGAATTCACAAGTGTATGAGTATCTTCAACTTCTGCCATTTTCCACCTATCACTATTATGTCAGTTTATCTATGAAATAACTTTTGAAGATTTCACCACCTTTATATGGATTTACACACCTAGTGGGTACTAGTAGTTATCGGTGAATCTTAATCGGATGACTCAAGATAAAAACTAAAAAAAAAAAAGAAATTTGACTGGAACGATGTTTCGTATAATCTTATTAAGCGTATCCGAGGAAATAGAGTTTATTTTTGTGGGGTAAGTATTGCAGTGTGGATGTTTCACCCTCCGGATCCACAGTCCGAAATTATTAAGAATAAATATATTAAAACATAGACTATTAAATAAGGTAAGGTAAGGTAAGGTAATGTAGACGGATAATTAGAAAAGTATACTAACCATGTGACCCCCTCCCCCACTTTAATCTTCCGATAATGAGTTAAGAAAGTAGATGTATAAATATAAATTAACCGATTTAACCTGTTAGTTAATAGGCATATGAACCCATACAACTATAAACTTGATTCAAATACATGTTTGAATACTTCTTTGGCATTCTTATCAATAATATTTCCATGACATAATACAATAGATTGGAAATCCAAGCCGTAAATAGCTTTTAAACCTGCCGCACTCTTAGCAGGATTTACAAACTTATTAAATAAGAATTTGCCTACCTTACTATATGGTTGCATATACCTTGTAAGAAATGACCAACCACCATGAGGATTAAATCCTTTAATATATCCAGTTGCTGGAGAGTATTGCTCTAAAGTAACTTTTCCTGATGTGGTACCTGGAATACCCAAATTAAAGATTAAATCAGCCTCAAATAAGATTTTGTGGTTAATGTCATAAACTATTAATTCTTGATTAGCATGGAAAGGTAAATACACAAATTGTAAATTATTCAAAATGACACTTTCTTTAATTCCAACCTTATCAGCTAAGACCTCTTTGGTCAATAATTGGTTACCAAGAGACTCGCCAACCTCATAGTCTACTTTAAACTTGTCGAATTTAACTGTATCCATTGCGATGATCTTTAAAGCTGGAAACTTTTCCTTAAATGAAACAGCTGCTAAAGTGTGTTCACGATCTGGAACAATCAAATGTGTCACATTGAATGTTTCTTGTTTATCATTACTCTCTAAAAGTTGTAAAGCCTTAAGAACTTCTGGCCCATAAGGTAAAGCAGACCATACGATAATGGAATCATCATACTTTATCAAAGCCATTCTACCACCAAAATTGAAATGGTTAGCTCTTGTAAATGGCAGTGAAGTTATGACAATATTGTCTGTTAACTTTCTACTAACTGCAGTTAATGGTGTAGGGTATACCATGATAATTATTATATGCCTTATATAATTGTAACCTAATTGTACATAAGTTAGATAAGATAACTTTAATTATAATTGCGGTTTTTTGTGGAGATCGCCTCGTATATATATTCTTTTTTGAGAACCTCAGATGGGCCATTTACGGCCGATAGGTTTTATTACGGCCGTCCGAGATCCCTCTTAATATCGCTTTACTTATTAATGTGTATATAAACGAAATGTAAATATAAAGTAGAAATTTATAAAATAGAATCAAATGAATTAAATAAGATAGTAGTAATAATTGTAATAGAAAATGTGTATGTATGGGGGAAGAAAACGAGAAATATGGCTTAGACTAATGAAGTGAAATTTGATTATATAGCATGCTGATAGATCAAACAATGTCTATTTCATATAATACGAATGGTTCATATTCAGTATCAACTAATGAAGCATACTCTTGTAAAGAATTAGTAGCAGTGCTAGACTTTTTATCATCAGATCCACTTCCTCCTAAATAACCAAATTTATCAATTAATTCTTTCCTTGACTTTGATAAGTTTTTAAGATTTGCTTGATCGAATTTAATTAAATAATAATTGAATTGAGGTGGTAACCCATATCTTAATACTGATTCAACATAAACTCTTATGATTTTAATATGTAACCAAGCTTGGAAAATATCTGAATATGCAGTTTTTGATAATCTAATTAAATCATTCTTTAATTTAAATTCTGTTTGTTTTGTTAAATCAAATTCTTTTCTTAAATTATTCAAGATTTCTTCATTATATTGGAAATCATTTCTAGGATGCCATTTTCTTTCCCTAGAAGCATTGATGAAATCATTTTGATATTTCTTAAATAAAGTTACTGAAAATAATGAATATTCGGAATCACTTGCTATTAACTCTGATGATCTTGGAATAACAAATTCAGTTAATGTTTCATAATGAGAATTCCAATCATCGACAAGATTCTTTGGAACAGCAATTAAAATAGTAATTAAATGTTCTGAATTTAATACAAATTGCTCAGGCTTGACAATTTCATGTAATGACTTTATAGATAAATCTCCATTTTTCTTTCTATCGGCTGCTAAGAAATTAGATTTAGCTGTTTGATAAGTTTGGTATGCAGCTCTAACATCATTATCGAAAGCCACAGCTTCATTGGAAATGATAGAGACCAATTGACTGATAGGTTTATCTAATCTATATTTAGATGAATTCCAATTAAACCTTTCAATATAATCATAAATTGATTGGTTATTAATAATTCTAGTCTTAGATTGATTAGAATCAGTAACATTATTTAAAATATCAATGACTTTGCTAACTGATGAACTCAATTGTGTATCAATCTTACTTAATTCTTCACTTTCTTGAACTAAAGAATCTAATGTTCCACTTTGAAAATCTTGTAAGTTTAACTTATACAAATTGGTCTTACCTCCATTTAATTCATTTTGTAACCATCCTTGGGCATTGGTTGATTGTGGTAATGAAAGTATTAAGTATTTTGCTATTGATGTCATTATCACTTCCTTTACTTCAATAGATATAGGCAGTCAACTCACTCAAGGTAGCACTACTCAATTCACTTCAATTGCTGAAAGTATTACTGAATGATTTCACTTTATCAAAAGATGCATCCTCGTTGACTCGGTAATTTTCGATCGAGGAACTTTTGTTAAAGATTGGCATCTAGACTTCCTAATTAGGTAGTCCATTGCCGTTAATTCTAATATTACTGTGGTTTTGTCACGTGCACCTCATTTCTTACACAAAACTCACATATAAGGTAAAAAAAATTTTTGTATGGAATATCAAAGGTATAAAAATTATAGATAGTTAAATTCGATTGAAATTTAAGTCAAAGTTTGACTTTTGTTAGTGTTATAGAGTTATAGGATTTTTGTAGCGATGAGTAACTCGTTAGAAGAGCGTCTTAAAACCCACTCGTCTGCATTCGATGGGTTATTATCATTAATACCGGCCAAATATTATTATGATGATGCAACTCAAGATCAATGGCAGCAAAAGAAGAAATCAGCTCAAGAATTAGCTGCTAATAAACGAGCCAAGTTAGATCCTGAGTCCAAAAAGAATGCTAATGAATATATTAATGGACATGCTACTGCCAAGGATGTTATGGATAATAAAGCATTAACTGCTAAACCAGTAGTATTACCTGGGAAGAGACAAATTAAATCATTACCTATACCTGCATCAGTAGAAGAACTGGAACAACTGGAAGAACTGGAAGAACAAGAAGTTGATTCTGGATCTAATTCAGACTCTTCGGAGGAATTAATAAATGAAGATTCAAGCTCCCAATTAATTTTTGATGATGATGGTAATGAAATTGATGAAAATTCGTCTTCTTCTCAAGGAGATTTTAAAAAGCAGAAAGTTCAAGAAGAAAAATCTAAATCTAAGAAAAATGGAAGATCTCTCTCTCCAGAAGAACAATTACAACGAGAAGAGAATTTAAAGAAATTACGAGAGAAATTAGCTAGTAAAATCAGTGCATTAAAGGAAAGAAGAAAAGCTCCAGGTACTAAAGTAAATGGAGTTGTCAAATCTAGAGAGCAAATATTAGAAGAACGTAAGAGGAAAGAAGAATTGAAGAAAGAATTAAAGAGGAAAAGGCAAGAAGATGAAGATCAAGATGATGATGATGATGATGAAGATATTAATGGTGAAGATTCCGAAATTGATGGAGAAGATAAAAGTAATTCTGTTTTATTTGGAAATATTGTATTTAATGATGGTTCAAGAGTTACCTCTGACTTAACAAAGCTTCGTAATACTGCTGAAAAGAGAAAACAAAAGGGACCATCAAATAATGATATAAAGGGACATTTACAAAAATTAGAAAATAAAAAACGGAAATTAGAAACCTTATCAAAAGAAGATCAACAAAAGCAAATAGAAAAAGATAAATGGCAAAGAGTCATGAGTCAAGCAGAAGGTGTTAAAGTTAAAGATGATGAAAAATTACTTAAGAAAGCTCTTAAAAGAAAAGAAAAGCAAAAATTAAAGAGTGAAATTGAATGGAAAGAAAGAAAACAAGTAGTTAAAGATACAGTTGCAGCAAGAGCTAAAAGAAGAGAAGAAAATTTGAAAGCAAGAAGAGAGAATAAAGGTAAGAAGAGTAAGAAACAACCTAAATTAAAGAAATTCACTGGTATAGTAAATAAGGCCGCTAAAAAGAGAGCTGGTTTTGAAGGCAGTGCTAAAGCTAAAAATAAGAAGAAGTAAAATAGTATGTAATATTAAGTAATTTAATTTAATGTTACTAGTGTATAATTATAAAAATTTGCTTTTTCCTAATTAGGAAATTCTGTTCCTGCATGTATACTTTTTGGAATTTTTGAATTCCAAAAGAGCAACGAGCAACCTCCCGTCAATCATAGATCTAATAACTTTCTTCTTAATTAAGTCAATTTAGCATACATTAGTGAATTGTATAATTTAATCATGTCTTTCCCATTACCTGACCAGGCCAAAAAATTCTTGTCTGATATTGACTCCGTAAGTAGTGGTAGAGTTTAGAAAGTTTGTCCTCCGATGTTGTTTAACTTCGGAGTAACATTGGTAGTCAATTGATTTGTATTACCAATTGATTATTGTTGAATAATGATTTACTAACCTTTTTTTTTATAGAAAACTAGTGGTAATCAAGTTTTACACCAATTTGAATCTCAAACTGGTTTACCAAGATCTTATGCAGTTTTAGGTTTTGTAGGTGTCTATTCTGTATTGATCTTTTTAAATGTTGGTGGTGTCGGTCAACTTTTATCTAACATTGCTGGATTTGTTGTACCAGGTTATTACTCTATAGTTGCTTTAAATACTGTTAGTAAGAATGATGATTCTCAATTGTTAACTTATTGGGTTGTTTTTGCATTTTTAAACGTTATTGAATTCTGGTCTAAGGCTATTTTATACTGGATTCCATTCTACTTTTTATTCAAAACTATCTTCTTACTTTATATTGGTATCCCATCTTTTGGTGGTGCTACCTTGGTTTACAATAATATTATCAAACCATTTTCCGAGCAATATATCTTAAAGGAAGGTGGCGCTATTGCAGAAAAGATTGATGAAGCTGCTGAAGCTGTCTCTAGTGGTGTTGAATTATAAGTGATAGTATTAACTTCATTTAGATAGGGTGGATTTATTATACATAATGGTGTTGTGAAATTATTTATATATTTTATTTAAAAAATAGCAGAATCTTCTCTTATAGCGAGATCTCCTTTGTAATCTAAATAAATAAATCTATTGAAATTCTATAACTGGCCTATTTCCATATTTTACAACTTTAACTGCTGCAGTTCTACCCCATTCAAGTGGTACATCATGAAGAGCATCTGTCCCTATCATTGCTAACCAACACCAACCAATCATAGCAAAAGTTACAGTAGTGGTTGATTTAATAGCTGTAGGTAATTGACGTTTATAACATTCAAGTAATAACCTAGCTTGATATAAAACATTCTGACCTTTAGTTCCATTTGTCAAAGTCTGGTTAGGAGCATAATTCACAGGTGCACTTTTAGCAGAGGATGCAAATCTTCTACTCAATAACTGAGCTGGCTTCAAACTAGTGATAACTTTTCTAAACATAATTTAATAACTCTAATACTTATATATTAATAGGTGGAGTATAAGTAGAGTTGATATTACAAGGATTTGTATTCGAAGGGGTTCGAGAAGGTAGGTGTATTTATATGTATTTGCCCATGCCAAACCCCTAAGTAGCTGCAACAAAATTTCGCAATCGCAAACCCCGTACCCTATACGAAATGATAGTCAAAAAAAAAAATAATAAAGTCATTTCATGACACACATGCCAACATTTCCGTATACGATATGCAGATTATGAATAATGTTAACCATCTATTATTACATAGTATAGATAGGGAGCGAATATACGATTGTACGAACGAACAAATAACATTAAAATATTATGTAACAATAAATAAGAATATCCAATTACAAGATATTGGAAAGTAGAAAAAGAATAATACAAGAAGCAATTAATAAAACTAACAAATAATATACAAAGTAAGCAGTAATCTTTCATTTCTCTCTTGATTTAGAATATTCTATAGTAAAAGTAAAAGAAAAGATAGAAAGTTGGTCTAAACTCTCAATGCTTCTTCATAAGATGGAGGAGGTCCAGTATATTCAACAGAATGCTTTTCATCAAATCCAGCATTCTCATCAGATACATCAACTCCATTTTCCAAGGCTTTATTCTTTTCAATAGTGGATAATCCCAAGTCATCTTTAGGAACCCAAATATGTGGCTCATCATCAGTAACAGCTGGATCATCATAAGCAGTCTTCAAGAATTCTGGATTGTATTCAATATAGTTGTAATAAGCATTAGGCATATCGGTACGAATGAGATCAAAAGTTTCCTTCTTTGGATGGAAGAATCTGGTTAACCAAGAAACACCCTTGGCTGGAGCCCCAACAACTGCTGCGGCAGCACTCTTGTGACCTTCAACAACTTCTTCATCACTGTGAGGCTTTTCAGAAACATCAGATTCGGCACCGCCCACTTTAGATGATTCAGCACCTGTAGCAGTAGTTTCAGAACCTTGACGATCAGTTTTGATTGTTGGAGGTAATTCTTCAACACCTAATTCATTACCACCATCCCAATAATTAATACCTTCAGTCTTAATTTCTTTACGACCTTGATCATGAATTGGGTAAGTGTATGTAGTATCTCCAGAAGCATATTTAATAGCAGAAATTGGAACAATATCAAATAATGGCAAGAATGTGTACTTGATGTAAAGATGGGACACAAGTGTAACAGCACCAATGACGGCTTCCAAAGCAACAGCAACCCAATTCTTACCAAAGACAAACATACAAATAAGACAAACTTCGGCCAAGTACAATCCAGTATAAAGTTCCAATAAGGCTCTTGGGTAATTTCTACCTCTGGCGTCATTCTTGTTTGGAGCATTGACATAAACCAAAACATAAAGAAAAGCGAAATAGAAAAGAAGGAAAGTAACTGAAGCAAATCCAATAATGACTGGAGCAATAATAGCATAAGATAAAGCAATAACAGCATAAAGTTCATAACTTGGGTAAGTTGTTGACCAAGCTGGAGAACCTAAATTATTCCATCTGTTCCATTTAGCTCTTGGGGTAGAATCCAAAATTTTACCCAAGAATTGAGCCAAGATTAAGGCAACTACTTGGAGAAGCATGGATGATGGGCCTGCCAATCCTGCCAAACAGAAATAGGAAACATAAAAGTTTGAGGCCTTTGGTAATCTAGAAGCTAATAAACTCAAGGCACTTGGAGGATCTTTGATGATTGAAGTGACTGAAGAAGCAGCAGCAGAAGTCAAAGTAATAACAATAAACGAATTAACGACAATAAATGCATAGAACCAGGATTGACAATAACCTTCAATTTGTTGGACAGTAATACATCCACTGATACTTCCCATCTTTTTAATAAAGATTGGAACAAACATCATCAAAACAGCCAAAGCAACAACAGGAAGTAAACCGGTAATAAGACCCATCAAGAAACTAGGTAATTTTAAGATGAATCTTAAAAAGTGAACTTTATCGGTCAACAAGTTAATGTTGGAAATAGCACCAACGACGGCAACAGGAATACACCAGAAGACGATCATCAAGGTTAAAATAGTTGAAGCAATAATCTTCTTAACTCTTCTCTTTCCTGCTGTTAAAGATAAGTTTTCCCAAATAACATCATCAGGTGAAAGACCAGTAAATCTCTTAACGCCTTTTAATTCAGGATTATAAGGAACTGCTTGATAAGCCTTTTGCAATTCCAATTGAGTTGGAAATTCAAGGAAAACGGCTGGAACTTGTTCATTTGTTTTGTGTTCTTCTTGAGCCTTTGCAATCTTTTCATTTAATTCACCTAATCTCTCTACACCATAGTCTAAAGTATCAACCTTTTTACCAATTAAAAACTTTAATCTATGAGTTGGTCTCTTTTTACCATCCTTCAAGTATTTATTTAACTCATTGGCTGGTTCAGGAAGTGGTTTATTCTTCTTTTGGAGCTTGTTTCTTAATTTAACTGATTTTGCAATCACTTTATTTAAAGCACCTTCATATTTACCGGCTAATTTAGTACGTTCTTTAACATCCTTTTGTAAATCCTTATAATCTCTACCATACCAGATATTTCTTGCAGGTGGGAATAATTTTCTCAATTCTTCTTCGTCATATAAATTCTTTGGAATTTCAGTTAATAACAAAGTTCTAGAAGATAATAAAGAATCATATAATGGAGTTGTTTGTAAGACATGTCTAAAAGTAGTATAGTAAACAATTTCACGATAAATTAAAAAGATAATTGAACCAAAAAATATCCAAGAAACAAAGATATGAGCTAAAAATCTCCATTTATTGTTAACATTGGAATAAGAAATCAAATTGAAACCAACTTGTCCGTTACCACCAGTGGCATTGACAGCAAATAAAATTGGCCAAGTAACTAAAATACCAAGAGCTAAAACGGCAAATAATCTGAAAAGAAAACGAAGAAAAAAGTAACCATCAGCACCAGTTTCTTGAATAATAAATGATGCAGGTTTCTTTAAAAGATGAGTTAACCATGCAAACGCACCCTTCGGAGAGTCGTCAGGTTTTAAATCTTTTGGAACAGTTTCAACTTCAACACGAGGTTGATAAACTCTCTTTTGGAATTTACGTACAGCAATAAATGCTATAAGGTAAACGGCACCAATAATTAAGGTAGGGATCAAAGTAACGATCCATTGTGACACCGATGTGTCCAGAGGAGAAGAATCACTTGGACTACTCATTTTGATATTGGATGTAGTATCAGAATTATAAACAACAAACTAATTTAGTTAGTTCAATATAGTTAAATATACAGCCAAAAAAAAAATTTGGAGGGTGTGGTTTGATTTTGATTTATGATGGAGATGATGATATAATGCAGCTGGCTGCGTAGTCGATTCGAGGGGGGTGCTATGTGGGCCTTTTTTTTTGTTAAGGGTTATAAAGCTGGAGCAACTGATAAATTTCTTAAAACAACTAATGGTTTGAAATTGATCTGTTGGCTGCAAGTAAATAGACACGACAGAGATCCTACTACAAGTAATTAGTTTTACAAAAATTAGAAAGACAAACTTGTTTATTTATACAATATCATCATTTACATCATCATCAAAACAAAAATCCGCTACTCCAATCAAAATAATATCACAATAGTAAAATTCATGTACTAAAATACATCAAAAAAAGAAAAAGAGAAACCTGAAATTCGAATTATTTTCTTTTTTTCTGATGACTTTGTTCGATAATTGCCCCCGATTATCGCATTGTCTTCATAGTTAAGGCCCCTTCCGGTCAACCAGCCCCACCCTCGGATTGCCTTTGTTATCCAGGAACAAAGATGAATTTAGATGATGAGTGATTTGCACAGAACGGTTGGGGGGTTGCAGGCAGTAGACGACAGTTTTAAATATTATTGCGCTTCGCTAGCTAGGTATCGACACGACTATGTCAAAACACGACACGATAATTGGAATAGAAATCGGCACGGTGGAATGAAATTAAGCTTTACTAACTTACTAAGAGGCATGGATCTCAACAGACACCTATCAAAGAATTTTTATTCCTTCTTTATGATGACGTGCACATTAGCACATATGCTACATTGCTAAGGGTCGTCTTTTAACTAGAGTTTCAGCAATCAACTTACCAAAATTGTAGAGCAAATTAAACTTTAAGAATGGCATTCTTGTATACCGTAATTATTGTTTATATAGAGTTAAGGGAACGGCTTGTTACTTAGAATACATCACATGGCATATATCCCTTCGTTGCTATTTATTCTTTTTATTCTATTTTCTCACTGGACTGCCCTTTAATGTCCCTTAATTTTGATATTTTTGATATTTTTGGCCAACATGAGAATTTCAATTTACAGTCACTAATTTTATGTATAAGCCATATTACATTAATTTTCTATATTTACTTCGCTTTCTAGTAGGACAGGACTTTATCTGTATGTTGGTTATGCGCCCTTACCCTCATCTCTTACACAAATCTTCTTTGAAGACTTCAAAGTCATCCTCTGATCAGCCACTTGAACCTGAACTCATGTTTTTTCCCTAAACATTTAGCTTGCTTATGCGATCGCAATCCGCAATCCGGTCCATAGGAAGTTTGTAAAATAAAACACAAATTCACTGAAACCACAACAAACCAGCACGAACTAATGCAAAAATAATGTACAGTGTCAAAAAAAAAATTCGAAATAGTGCTCACCCTCGGAAATTGTGTTTCGGAATTAAGGCAAAAAAAACATAGGTTCACTTACGTATAATATGATACATAGAGATACACCCTATATAGCAGCCAAATATACATTTAAGGATCTACCCTGATAGAGGTAGTTGTTTTTCACGGCTCGAAGAAGAAAGACATATCTATTATTGCAATTGATAATTTATAACTTCTCTGAATCTTTGCTTTTGTTTAAGAATCTTACGCTACAAGATTTTGCAACTAACTCTCAAGCAGAACAAAATTGCAACTGAACTATGTTTCCCAATTGGTGACTTTCCCTGTTAAGATGTGCACTCTTTAGCATAGTTAACTCCAAAGTTTGTTTATATATAGATGAATTGGTGTCAAAGAAATTTTGATTTCTTCTTTTCTTGTAGTTGTAAGATCAAGCGATAATGAGGGTCTCCCATGCTCTTGTCAATTTGTTAATTATTGGCTCTACATTTGCTCAACCTATATTAAATCAAAATGCTACTAAAGCTGAGATAGTTGATGATGATGAAAATGATGCTTTTGATCCTACACCTCCTGAGCTAAGGTCATCATCAAAAATCCCTATTCATGTTAGAAATCTCAAAGAAGTTCAACAAAAGTATTATCATATTATAGGTGAAAAGGATTTGAGTGATAATTATTTTTTCATCCTTGAAGACACTAATACTATATTGACCAAAGGTTACGAATTGACAGAAAACCAAAAGAAAGAGATTGAAAAAGAAAAGATGAATAGACCCATCAATATTAAACCTCCAGCTACTGATGTTGATGAGTTACTTAAGAAGAGCAAAAAGAATAAAGATAAAGCATTGGCAGCCGAAGTTGGTTATGGATTACTAAATGGTACAGTTGTTTCAGTAGTCAACTCAACTAAGAATTTTAAATATGATTTTGAAAATGATGAGAATATTAATCAGAAATTAGAACTTAGTGGAATTAAAAACCACAATAATAGGGAAGAAGAAGTTGCTATGGTACAAGTTAATTCTAATTCAGATAAGAAAGATGAAAAAATTTACGAAGATTCCGACTGGGTTGAATTTCAATTAATTGATGCTCAAGAGGTAGAATATTCTGGTTTGGTTCCTGTGAGTGCTTGTCAATCACAGCAATATGGCTATACTGGTTCTATTGGATTTGGATTTGGTCATTCAAGAAAATTCAGTGCTAATCATAATGTGTATGCTTACTTGCAAATAGGTTGGGATGCTCGTTTAATCAATGGTGGGGTTAAACCAGAACTAAAGTTGACTTTGAGTGCTGACTTGACACTCAGTATCTCTCAATCAGTTAGTGGATCTGTTACGTGCCCCCTCAAAGAGGGTCAAATGGGGCAAATATTGATGAAACCTATGTATGGGTCTGCTGTTCCTCGATCAAGAAAAGTAAGATGGAATCAAAAAGCTACTGAGTTTTATGGATTGGAAGAATTTAGATTATTTGATCGTATTTATTTGTTAGTTGATAATGGTGTCTCACAAGTTCATTGTGCTACTGATGATGTAGTTCCTTTATTATGTTATAGTCCTATTGGTCAACCAGATTTCAGAAATCCTCAAGGTGTCGATTATGCAAACAAGTTAAATGATGCAGGAGAATACTCCCAGATCGTTCCAAATTCCTATTAATTCTCAATCCTATGACACAAATTGAGACTTTTGTTCATAGGATTGTCGCTTTTTTTGCGACTTAAATTATTTTGCAACAACTTTTTATGCGGTTTAATATAATAAGTCTTCTAAGGAAACAATAATACATTCACTTATACTACTATTTAGTTGTTTCCCCTGAAATGTATATAAATTCTTCTTTTTTAAATTTCCTCTTTTTTATAATTGAAATTAACTTTCTTTTTCTTATACTTCATTGCTAATCATGAATAACAATTCAACTACAACTAATAATACTTTCAGTCACCAGTACTTCACTCAATTATATCAACCCAGAATCATTCCCACACCAAATCCGGTTTTGCTTTCAACAGTAGTTAACACTAGAAGGATACTTGAAGGTTTAGAACAAGCTAGAATTGAAAGGTCCCAACTCCGAAACAAAGTTGTTGTGGATGAAAATGGATCACTTTCATTCTACATAAATGATCCTCAAGAGGTTTCAACTTCTACAGTTGACCATAGTTACTTTTCTAGTTATTATTCTAAAACTGAAACTTATGATGCTACTGATTCTGATGTTGTTGTTGATATGAATAATATTACTTATGAAAGTAATTCAAGTGAAGAAACTCTAATTGCTACTGATTCTGATTCGGATTTTTATTCGGATAATGCTACTTCTAAAAGAACTTCAATTGAAGAGACTTCAATTGCTGTTAATAATTGTGTTACTAAAAACAGATTATATGATTCTAATCCAGATTTTGACAAAGAATCTAATCATGTTGCTAAAGACAGTAGAAAGGAAATTGTTACTAAAAACAAAAAAGAAAAATTAAAGTCTGGCAATTTCATTACACACAAAGAAGCTTCCAAAAGGTTGTTGGCAGTCACTGATACATCTCAACCCCCTGCAACATTTATTTCTAGACAAGTTCTAGAAGATAGAATGTATCATCATTTAGACGGTTGCCTCAACTACAAAAAGGTACCTTCTGAAGACTTCACATCCAAAGATGCGCAGAATCGAAAAAGGGTAGTAACCCAATTTCTCAATAGCGTTGAGCCTAAAAGAAGCTGCTTTAAGAGATTCTAACATACTGCTGTAAATACTTCAACTTTTTGAGTTCTTAAAATTACTTCAAATAGCAATATATAATTGTAAATTAATAGTATAAATATATGCATATATTCTTTTTTAAATATATACCATATATAAGAGAACGAACCTTGCTAAGTCGTTTCTAGCAAATATTAAACGTTGAAGAAATAAAAACACATTATAATACTAAAAGATGGGAACTAAAGAAAAGAAATAATATCGCATGTCTCGTTTCTTAATGAACATTAACGGTATTAGAAAGAATGAGAATTAATAAAATATTGTCTATTTTATGGAAGATTTAAAGTAAACCCGGAGCGGATGTACCAAAACCACCTGGAATTCTAGATGCTGGAGGAGATCTATACATGACATTAGTCGTAGGATCAGTTGTTGGTGGGGCTCCACTGGGCCTTCTAAATTGCGTAGCTGAAGGACGTCTGAAAAAATCGTCATGATTGTCATTAGTTTCATCGGTAATAGTTGTACTATCACTATTCTGAGGAATAGTTGAACTTACAGGTCCTCTCTCTCCAACACTTGTATTTCTTTGATGTACTGGTTGTGGTGGAGCCATGTCTGCGGCTTTGGCATTTGGATTAACATGGAAAGCTCCTTGGTTATCGTAATAACCCATATCATATTCATTAGCTCTTTCAGTATATGTTGGAACATAAGTACCAGGTAAATCAGGATCTCTTGTATGATCGGGTTGGTTATATTGATTCTGTGATTGATTATATGATGGAGGAGTTAACCATCTAGTCCCATAAATAGGTTGAATCCCTTGTTGTCCTCTCTTTTTATTGACTCTTAGGGTCCCTATTACCACAAAAAGGACAAGAAGTATAAACACGGCAAAGAAAGCCCATCTTGCACTTCCACTACTGGTCCAGTAGCTGTAATCTCTTTTAGATATTTGATCAACTGAATGCTTCAATATTGGCATATTTGATATATATTCTCTCTGTGGGTGGGAAGAGGGGATGATATTGAATAGGAATACTTAATGAAAACAAGCAACAATCTTTTCAATCGATTAATGAAGTATTACACTGGTTAACGATGAGCCGATCTCTTTTGATAAAATGCAATGACAGATGACAAATATACTTCTAGGAAAAACCCTTAAAGAATACCGTTCTAGTAAAATGCGAGATAGGGGTACAATTCTTGATTATTGAATCACTATCAAAGCAAACAAATTCAGATTCAGATTCAGATTCAAAAATATAAAAATTTGGCAGAAAATACTAACTGATCTCTGACTATATTTCTAGAGCAATTATAGTCGTTTAGTATCCTACTGTCTTGAACTAGTGCAAGGAAACTAATATGAACGGAAAAGATTGATTGAAAATCTTTGATTTAATTATCGGCTACGCAAAAAAAACCCCAAAGAAAAGCGTCACACTCTTTTACTTTTTGTAGAAGTGGCTAAGCATTTATAGTACCAAATACGTAATATATGTTATAGATATAATAAATTCACGGTGTTAAGCGGTTATTATGTAGAGTATGACCGTTGACGTTTCTTCGAAACGACGATTAAACTTTATGAGATCTACACTATATTCCGATTGAGTAATTTATATAGACTTTTTACTTATTTTAACCGTGATCTTAATTAACATTAGCATATTACGAATGACAGGAAACTCTGGATATAAGTATAACCTTATCCAATCAAGTGGTTAGCTCATAGATCAATTAGATGGCTTATAACTATTATAGCATGATTAATAGTATGGTTCTATTTTTGAGGACATTACGTAATAGAAATTTGCTTAGAAAAGAGCCGAGACCGAGACCGCGACCGATAAAGTCATAGATGATTCTTTGCTTCTTATACTTATTCTTCTTACTTAAGCAAATACATCTAAATGAAGCATAATCTAAGTCCCATAAGCTTAAATTACACCAAAGAGAGGTCAGTAAAATATATAGAATTTAGGGATGATTTCTCGGATGGGAATGACAAGTAAGATTTACTACATTTGTTTATTAAATTTGCAACATTTCTCTAACAATGTTATATCAAAGATTAGCTTCTCTTTTAAGAATTTGGGAATCCATCAAAGTAGCAATGTTGGAGTCGGATTATGAGGTGGTATTTCATCTTCTAGATAAGAATAGATCCAAATCGATTTTCATAAGCCAGTTCTCAACTACTTCAGGCACCAATTCTAAGTTTATCCTCTATGTTAAGACTCTAAAACTATTGATTCAACAGCTAAAATTGAAGTCCAACAAAACTACCATTAGGGATATTTATTACAAAGATGTAGAATTATACAATAAGAATCAACTGAATTGCAAAAATATTATGGTACTGATAGTTGAACATTCTTTGAGTTGGTCTTTAAAAGATGATTTACTTATTTCTGCCAGTCAAAAGGGTTTATTGTATGGAAATGGTATAATTATTAATGGACAAAAATTGGATTACTCAGAAGATCCATTTCTAATCCCAATTGACTTCAATATCACTTATGGTACCTGTGCTAAGTATGAGAAAACTCTAATAATAGTTGTATTTGAAAAAGAGGCTATATTCAAATCGTTTTGTAATTACATAAAAATTAAGGGGTCGTTAGATTCTTTTGAAAATTTAGTAGCGATCACTGGGAAAGGCTTTCCTGATTATCTAACAAAAGAATTCTATCAAAATCTAATAAATACTTGTTCAAAAAAGTTAAGAATAGTTAACTTAGCTTTTGTTGATTCAGATGTTTTTGGTATAAATATTATGAAGAATTATCATTCACCAATCGATTTAGTACATGCTGGTGTACATTTGCTAGAGTATACTTATGGCTGGTTAAATATAACTAATCGAGACTTCCAACTACTTCAAAATTTTCTTATAAATAATGAAAGTTCTAAATATAGCAGAGAATTAACTAGAGGTATGCTACTTTTTAAGAAATGTGAAATGAATTTACTACCAAATGATTCAATTAATGAATACATTATTGAGAAGATCGAGTTTTACATGAATCATAAATGAGTTTATTAAAAACTTGGTACCTAATATGGCATTTTGCCCAGTAATTTTGTTCTAAAGAAACAAATTAATTGAAATATCTTACAAGACTTGGCTTGCTACATTAAAAGAGTATTGACTATCTCAGATATTTGCAATTTGATCTCATTTACACTACCTATTCATCTACACATAATTACACGTGACATAATCGACGCCAAGCACGACCCCACTCCGAAACTCAATAAAACTTCTCTATAACCAAGATTTTTTCGGTTCTGATTTGTCGAAATTCAATTTCACCTATAGTTTATTTTTCAATTGTAAGAACCTATATTCATTCAATTGATATCAATATTGAACATGACTTATACTGTCCGTCAAGTTGGTGCTGCCAACACTTTAGAATACAAAGGTTACATTGAAAAAGATGGTAAACCAGTTTCTCCATTCCATGATATTCCATTATACGCCAATGAAGAAAAGACTATTTTAAATATGATTGTTGAAGTACCAAGATGGACTAATGCTAAATTAGAAATCTCTAAGGAAATCAAATTAAACCCAATCATTCAAGATACTAAAAAGGGTAAATTGAGATTTGTTCGTAATTCATTCCCTCATCATGGTTATATTCATAATTATGGTGCTTTCCCTCAAACTTGGGAAGATCCAAATCAAATTCATCCAGAAACTAAAGCCAAAGGTGACAATGATCCATTAGATGTTTGTGAAATTGGTGAAAGAGTTGCTACTGTTGGTGAAGTCAAACAAGTTAAAGTCTTAGGTGTCATGGCTTTATTGGATGAAGGTGAAACTGATTGGAAAATCATTGTTATTGATGTTAATGATCCATTTGCATCTAAATTAAACGATATCGAAGATGTTGAAACCCATTTACCAGGTTTATTAAGAGCCACTAATGAATGGTTCAGAATCTACAAGATTCCAGATGGTAAACCAGAAAACCAATTCGCTTTCAGTGGTGAATGTAAAAATAAGAAATATGCTGAAGAAGTTATTAATGAATGTTCTGAAGCTTGGAAACAATTAATCAGTGGTAAGTCTGTCGATTCAAAGGGTATTGATTTAACTAATACTACTTTAGTTGATACTCCAACTTATTCTGACGTTGCAGTTAAGGAAGTTCCAGCAGCTAACCCATTACCAGCTGCTCCAATTGATAAATCCATTGACAAATGGTTTTTCATCTCTGGTGGTGCTCATTAAATGTATTTAGCCTGATTGACTTTAGTTGAAAAGTCATCTATTAGTTTTATATTGAATATTAAATACCAAGTATCCATTGTTAAGTTCCATTTTGAGTAGATGGAATCAACAAATAACTGTTTATAATAGGTACTAAATATATTAACTCTATCATTATTTCTTACTGTAAAAATTAATCTGATTCCTTTTACTATATTCTAAATTGCCATCGCCATTACAGAATAGTATTTAATTCGGTTATAACTGTGTATTTAAGAGCAATAGGCGATAATTCGGTGTTAGGTTTAATTAATTATGGAAATTAGTAATTTACTTGTAACTTGAATCAATATATATACTACGGGTATGAGGCTGAACTTTTTTTTCATCCGATATATGTAGCTCAGCCCTAAAATGGAAGTTTTTATCAAAAATTACTAATATCAGAAAAAACAAAATCCGTGTATGTCCGCACTTGTAAATTTATATCTCACGTAATCTGTGTTGGATCCATAATTTTTTTGCAGTATAATTTCAGCCCTATATAAATAATAGACATATTCCACCAACTTTATTTATTTCTTTAATTATTTGTTATATAAAGTTGAACTTAAAATAAATTCAATATGTCTAGTAAAGAAGTTGTTATCATTGGTGGTTCATTTGCTGGTATTGCCGCCTTAAAAGCTTTAGTTAAATCTAAGGATGTTAAATTATCTATAACTGTGGTATCACCATCTGATAAAGCTTTATTTAATATCGGAACTCCAAGAGCTACTATTGAAACCGAAAAGATTGATAAAATCTTTTATGATGTTAATAAGGCTATTAAGACTCATGTTAGTGGTACTATTCATAGTGGTAAATTCATTAAGGCTTATGTTACTGAAGTTGATTTAGGTCAACAAGTTGTTTACCTTAGTAATAATGAAACTTTACATTATGAAAATTTAATTATTGCTTCTGGTACAACCACTCAACATCCAGCTTTTAAATTAGATAATGAAAGAGATTCAAGATATACCATCGATGCCATTAAAGGTTTAAATAAACAAATCAAGGATGCTAGAAAAATCGCTATTATTGGTGGTGGTCCAACTGGGGTTGAACTTGCTGGAGAAATCGGTTACGAATATGGTAGTTCAAAATCAGTTACTTTATTTACTGGTTCTACTCAACCATTACCAGTATTATCTAAGGGTCTAGGTGATAAAGCTACCCAGAAGTTACAAAATTTACATGTTAAAGTCGTTAACAACAAAAAATCTAAATCATACACTGAAACAACTGTTACTTTCAATGATGGATCTAGTGAAAGTTTCGATTTGGTTATTCCAGCATTCCAATTAATTCCAAACTCACAATTCTTACTGAATTACCCAAAAATAACCGATGCTAATGGTTTTATCATTACTGATGATTACCTTAGATTAAAAGACTATCCAAATGTTATTGCTTTTGGTGATATTGTTTCTCAAGGGGTTAAATCATTGGTTGATATTCTTTTTGGTCAAGTTGGAGTTTTACGTAATACTATTGCTTATGAAGTATTTGGTAAGAAATCTGTTACCTTAAAGGCATACAAACAACCAGGTACCACTTTAATTGTCCCAATTGGTAAAGGTGGTGGTGTAGGTACTGCCTTTGGATTAAATTTCCCTAACTTTGCTGTTTCCTTCCTTAAGTCTAAGGATTACATGATTCCAAAGGGTGGTGAAAACTTGTCTTAATACTAAATTTATCCTTATTCTTTCTTATTCTTATCCTTAATCTTAATTTAAAAGAGTACTCTTTGTAACGTATAGTACTTATTTAATATATGTAATAATTAATTTTTGTATGAGATGATGTTGTTGTTTGTTTGTAGCTTTGTGCCGCTTACGCGTATCCAGGCAAAAAATATATATGAGTAATCCGAGCCCTATGAATCATTTACCAGTATAAAACAATTGAGATTATAAATATATAAATATATAAATAGTTTAGTAGATGAATGGATGGATGATTTCAAGCAATTAAACACCAACGAGATCCATTCCACTCAAGATTTCCAGTCGTTGACGACAATTTTTAGGCAATATGGTAAAACAATTAGTGATTTAATTCTCTATGATTCAAATAAGCAGTTGATCCAATTATCCAAACTATCAGGAAGATCTATTCGAGAAATTGAAGATTACATCGAAGTATTGAAAGCAGATTTATCGAATCAAGTACCAACAACTTTTATTGCTGAAGAGTTGAATAGATATTCACCAGTCAAACAAAGTCAGTATATATCTACCGGTTTACCAACTATCGATAAACAATTGGGTGGCAATGGAATACCATTAGGAGATATTACAGAAGTATTTGGAGCAAGTGGTTGTGGTAAATCTCATTTTCTTATACAATTAGCTATTCAATGTCAACTAAGATCAGAGGTTAAAAATCAATGTATATTTATAGCTACTGAATCATTCTTAGAAACTAAACGTTTACAAGATATGTATGATTATTATAGAGAAATTGAAGTACAAGATCAAGGCTCACAAATACTGATGGATAATGTTTCATACATATATTGTCCCGATTTGGAGAGTCAAGATCATATCATATATACTCAGTTACCTATCAAGTTAGAACAACTCAAAGATAAGGTAAATATGGTGGTAATAGATAGTATAGCACAGCATTTACGTCGAGAGGGATCCATAAATAATTCAAGTTATTTAAAGGAGAAGATCGACAGACTTCATGATCAACTAAAAGATATCAGAGAATATCAGGATATTTATAAACGTCATCAACAACAGTCACAGAAGTTTCAAAAGAAATCATCCAAGTATCATAATCGATTTCTTAAGAATCATTATTTATTTTTATTAAATCGTCATCTATATCGATTAGCTACAAAGTATAACATCGCCATAGTTGTTGTGAATCAGGTTAGTGATTTCATAACTCCTGAGTTAGAATATTGGAATCAGTATAGGCTAGAAGATGTAATAAGTCCATTGAATTTAGATTTTCAAATGGGAATATCGAGTGGTTGGGATCCTAATGTCATATTCAATAGTCAACAACAACAAAAGTTTCAATTGAATAGTAAGGATTTGGAATTAACCAATTATGAATTAGAGAAATCTATAAATGGAGGTTATTCCTCCTATAAACGTCATCAGCCAGATACTGTATCTTCTATGAATGCAGATCCACGATATTTAAGGCAAAATGCTACAAAAGATGTAGATGCTGATTATAATGAACAGAAAGATTTACTTATAAAATTGCATAAATTAGGCAATGTGAGAACGAAGAAAGTTGTCCCTACTTTAGGATATCCCTGGTCGATGCGTGTACCGAATCGAATAATGTTGATGAAGACTTATAGACCACTAATGAAAGATAAAGAGGAATGGATAAAGATGAATAATAAGAATAGAGTAGTTGACCCTGATAGTGGATTAACTTATGATCAGTTAATTGCAGGATTCGATCTTCATAGAGAGAATAATACTAGTGTTAATACAGAAATTGATGGTAGTAGTGGTAGTGATTTATTGGGGTCAGCCGCATCAACTACTGATACTAATAATAAAAGAACATATTCAGAAACCATAGCAACCAACAATCAAAATCAAACTATTCAAGGTTTAATAAAAGGTTGGCAGGTTGAAAGATATGCTAAGGTTATATATTCAAGATATAATGATAATGATACCATTAACGATAAAGTTCAATTTAAAATTACAAATAATGGAGTGTTTGAAGTATAAAGTATAAGTAAATCTAATCATAATTCCATGTGTGTACAAAATATAAAAGTTTGATTCCACAATACCGTATCACACATTAAAAGTAACTGCAGAAGTTTCAGAGAAGTCGTGTATATGCGCACAATTTGACTGCTCTGTTGATAATCACCCGAACAACAAACAAAACAATGAAGCTAATTTAAAGTCTACTCATTACGCAGAACAGATTAGATATATAGCTTTAGAGTCCTTAGATAGCTATTGATATATATATATATATTCACCATAATAACTTATACGAAATTCATGAACCAATATGAAAGTAAGTATATTTCCGATTTTGTCACGATTTTTTTTTGCTCCCAAATTATGGTACCACGATGGGGCATGTAAAATGGTGGGAGACTTTGAACCAGTTTTGAGGTATACCAATACATGAAGGAGATAAAACCAAAGAAAATAAGAAAATATACTAACAGATAATTAATTTAGTTTATTGACGAAATAGATATTGAATTAGTAAATCAAGAACTTAATTTTAATTCTCAAGATAATAGTTTGGTGATAAAGGGTGGATGCGATTTATTCACAACTAAACCAATAGGTTCAGATAGAAAGTTATTTAAGACCATCGATAAACATTTGGATCAAATAATAGAAGATAATCAATTATCAAGATCTATTGAATGGGAAAGAAAGAATTCAGTTCACTCATTAATCGGTAGTAGCGCTTCACCACCCAACGTGCCCGGAGCTTTATCGGGAAGGAGAGATAGTTATTCAACCATTACGGAAAGAGATAGAAGACAAAGTAGTACTAGTAGTACTATATCAAGGCCGTCATTTTCAATATCGAATCCAGAAAATATCAACATTAGTTTGAATTTAGTCGCCGGAGATAATAATTCTAATGTTGTAAATAATGGTAATGGAACTTCATTATTAACTAATTCTTTAAAGGATCAATCATTTGAATACGATCCATATCAACAACCAATCGATGAATCACCATTTGGACCATTGAAAAATGTTACTACTAGAAAAACTTTTGCTTATTTGATTGCCATTTTAAATACTACATTCCCAGATCATGATTTTTCAAACTTACAACCAACTACTGAAAATTTCCATCGAATTCATAATCCAGAGGACTTGGTTCACAAATTCAATAATATTATGATTTCATTGGGTAAAAAAGAAGATATCTTAAATTGGATATGGGATACTATTAATGTTTATATGGATGTACAAAATGTTCGAAATTCTCCTTCTTTATCTGCCCAATCAGGAGGTCCAGTATCTACTAGCAGAAAGAATAGTTTTAACAACAATAATTTACATCCTTATTCGAGGAATGGATCTACAGTAAATGGTTCGAATAATGCTAATAACAATAATAATAGCAGTAATAATTCTCCACCTGCAAGTTTTAATCCAGAAATATGTCAAATATATCAATTTCAACCAAGTGATGAATCTATTTTAGAAGATTTGAATTACCCTTATCAAACTATGTGGTCTAACTATTGGTTTATTTATAATAAAAAGAAAAAAAGAGTTGCTTTTATATATTTAACTGCTATTAATCTGTTACATTATTCAAGTATAAATAACAGTACGATTAAAACCAATGGAAATAACAGGAATGATAAAGAGATTATACATCATGAAGATGATGAAGAAGATGTCGATGTAACGTACGATGATGAAGAAGTAATACTAGATGATGAAGGAGATGAAGATTTTGAAGTAGAGGACAATGATGTGATGGGTGATATAGAAATTTGAATGTTTTTTTAAAAAAAGGTTGCAATACAAGATAAAAAAAAATGATGCAAATATTTATATATATATATACCCTATTTATATTCTTAAAACCTTAACTATACTTTTCTTATTATTATTATTTAGCTAGACTGGTCTTAGCATATGGAATTAGCTTCTTTTTATTTCTAAATGCATTATTAAATTATTTTACAACTTTTTTGTTCCACAGTTGCTTTTGTATGTTTTGCTTTCGAGCAATGTAGCAATGAGCATTAAACTAGATCTATTGTGATTATAAACGTTTAAAAGACACAACTATTAAACTTAATATAAGCTGATAGGCTCATAAAAAAGCCATAGCAAGCAATAACCACATTTTTTTTTGGTCTAGCTTACCGAGATATAAAGCGAAGTGTCCCCCCGAAAATGGTATGCCGTAAATGTGGGGGCACTATAAATACGGGAGGAACTTCTTCAATTTTGAATACGTTTTAATTGAGCCTTGCACAAACCATTAGCGATAAAGGCGATAATAATGACTAAATTGGCAACTTCAGTAGTATTTAAATTAAATAACGGGAAAACAATTCCAGCTTTAGGTCTTGGGACTGTTCCTTCAGGAGATCCAAAACATGTCAAAGATCAAGTTATTACAGCAGTTAAAGCGGGTTATCGACACATAGATACTGCATGGTACTATGGTACAGAAGAATATATCGGTGAAGCCTTGAAAGAATTGTTTGATGAAGGTGTTGTTAAGAGAGAAGATATTTTTGTTACCACAAAAGTCTGGCCATCATTTTGGCACAATCCGGCTAAATCAGTTGATATTTCATTAGAAAGATTGGGCTTGGATTATGTTGATTTGGTTTTACAACATTGGCCAATTGCACTTCACGGTGATGAAAATGGTGAACCTCCTGCCCCAAAGGATAAGGATGGAAACTTAATTTACGAAGACGATCCAATTACTGGTGAAAAATATATACAATCTTATAATAAGCTTGAAGATCTCGTTGAAACTTCAAAGACTAAATCAATTGGTATTTCTAATTACTCCATTCCAAAGTATAAAAGATTGCTTCCTCATATAAAGAAGCATAAGCCAGTTCTCAATCAGATAGAATATCATCCTCATTTACCTCAAAGGGAACTCGTTGAATATTTCCAACATCAAGGTATTCTTATATCCGCATATTCTCCAGTGGGTAGCAATGGTGCACCAGTGATAAAGATACCATTGGTTCAAGAATTAGCTAAAAAGTATGACGTAACTCCAAATGAAATCTTGAGTGCTTACCATATTTTAGAGGGAAGAATTGTTTTACCAAGATCGTCTAATTTAGAAAGAATTAAAACTATTGTTCGTTTGCCTGAATTAAGTAAAACTGAATTAGAAGAACTCTACCAAATCGGAGTGAAAGATCCACAGAGATATATTAACGATCCTTGGGGTTATGGTTTAGGTTTCAGATGGTGGAAGGGTGACACCTTGACTAAAGTATTTGATTAAATATTTTGATAACGCTAACCCAATTTTTAGTTTATTCGAATAAATTAGTAAACTCTATACAAATTTATAAATGCAATTTTAAAAAAATGCTATTCAAACCTTGACCTTTTTGTTCGATTCTCTTTGTTCTGCAGTTTCAATTACTTTACGTTTCTCTGATGAAGCTTCAATTAACTCTGATTCTCCTGCTACTTTTAAACTTCTTGCGTTTTGCTTTTCACCATCAACAGTTCTGAAATAAGGCTGGCATCTCCAATATGGAATAGTTTTATAAGAGCCACCCCATTTCTCAACTTCTCCAATTGTTATAGTATCTAATTCTTCAATATTGTCCTTTTTATATATTTCTTCAACTAATTCTTCAACTTTAATGACAATCTTTTCCCATTCACTAAAATCAGAGTTAACACTTGTTTTCCCAATAACCGGTCTCAATTCTTTATGGACATTCAAAAAAGCATGCAATAACTTAAAGAAATGGGCCTTCATTGCATGTCTTGATGCTACCCCATCACAGGTCTTGACAATTTCGAAATACTCTCTTAACATTTTATCTACTCTACAATATTGTTTGTCTTTGTCATTGCTCTTGGTATAAAAGACACCTGGATTGTAAAGGTTACCTTCAGCCGACATCACGGCATCGCAAGTAGTTTCTTCTGTACATCTTTCAATGTCCTCTGGATATAAAATGTTACCATTTGAAAAGAATACTTGATCCTTTGGTAAATTATCTCTTAAATATTTGATCACCTTCCAGTTGGCTAACCCAGTTGCTTGGCCTTTCATATCTCTCGTTCTACCATGAACAGTTAAGAACTGAGCTCCTGCACTTAAAACCATCTTGGCGTATTCTAATGACTTTTCTTTATCATCATATATTCGTATCTTAGCAGTTACTGGAATTTTTAAGTTATTATGCAAAATGTTAATGAGTTTATATACAAGATCCCAATCATCCATTAAAAAGGCACCATATTTTCCTTTTCTTGCTATACCTTGAGGGCAGCCCAAATTTAAATCAATTGCATCACACTTATCTTCGACTAATTTTGCTGCTTGAAGTAAAGTATCTGGATCATTAGCACAAAATTGTACTACCAAAGGTCTATCAAGTTCTTTATCTCCATCCATAGAACTCCACATACTATTACGATATTTCTCCTCGTTGGCAAACAAACGAGCATGAAACATAGGAGTATAACATAAATCAGCTCCGTATCTTCTGGACAATATTCGCCATGCTAATTCTGATTGATCTACCATCGGAGCAACAATGGTCTTCGGTTGCCCTATAGCGTCATATAATTTACGACCATTTAATTTCTCAGTCACTGTCATGCTGGTAACAAAGTGCCTGTGCAATATCAATTTGGCAAAAGACTTTGAGAGAAATATGGTCTTTGTTATTATTGATAGAGGGGTTGACATCAAATTAGTCTACAGATATCTCTTCTAAAAAAATTACTTCAAAAAAATTTCTTTTTTCTTTTTGGGGCATAGGTATCATCAAAAAATACACGACCATTTTGCAGTAATTATAACTATAATTAACTGCGGGTGGAAAATTATCCTACACTATATAAAGATAAGAAAGATTATTTTGCTAGTAATTCCAATGGATTTTCTGGATGTAGGTTTTATTGATAGGCTAGGTTTCAGTTATAATTCCATATGTATATCGGCATTACGGGGAAGCAATTATGGACTACGAGAATAATAAGGGTGATATTATACGACGTACATTAGTTCTATTTGCATATCAATAATGTGGATTTATTAGATTGGGCGGTAAAGAAAACAGCAATTTTTACCTTTTTTTACGGCGGTTAACCAAGTCCAGTTTCATCCAATTGACAGAGGCTCTACATAACCAATTGTTATGATAATCTCATAATAAAATGACATCTCATATAATAAATTCCGTATTACTTTGCAATTGCTTTTTCAACTCACTTCCAAAAAAGGAAAATAAAAGATAAGATTAAATATTCATAAAGAACCAAGACTATGAATTATTAAAACTCTATTTGTAAGTACTACAAGACACACACAGCCCTTATTATACTGAAACTAACATCCCTTAATCTACATTTTGTTTTTGCTTACTAAGTCATCAAGAAAATAGTTAATACATTATTAGCACTAGCACCGTAACCATGTTAAAAACAGCCATGATACTTTCGCATGGGAATAATTACTATAATTAATAGACGACTACGATGAATTCAATGTATTATCAATCACAATTTAACTATCAAGGGAGAGTAATCAATACCTGTTTATGTAATTTAATTATATGCATTAAGGGGCTCCAGGAAGGGAATTACAAAGAGCCGAAGGTAACTTTTTTCAAGACATGAAAGAGTCAAAGCTGTAATATTACTAAATATTACTCAAAATGCTTTTTGCATAATTAATATTAGTCTCCAAAGCTCCAACTAATCGGTGATAAAATGATGCCTTTCAAACACTTAGGAAATCTTTTTGTTGATAAGACATCTTCTTATTGGTAAAACCATTACAGAAATAACCCGTAGTGAATCTAATAGCCAAATACCAAAATAAACAGATCAGAGCACAACCCAAAGAAAAGATTATTATATATCTTTAGAAGAGTCCACTTGCTGCGAGTAATTTAGTTCCGAGGGGTAATAGGGTCTATTTTAGGGTAAATTGATTCCACTTTAGGAAATTTTTTGCTGCGATAGCCGCTATCTCTGCATTGTTCCGTTATACGTCAAGTTATTGTTAGATACCATTTTCAACATTTTTCAACCTAATTTAGACATGTTATTAATATGGATAACGATATAAATTGGTTATAAATTCCTCTCAATTGTTTAAATCTTAGCTATACTAACTTCTATCTGGAAAATTTAATTTAGCTCATCACAATGAAATTTTTATCAATATTTTATGTTGCAACTCTAGTATCTTCGTTTCGAATAACCCTGGAAATCAAACGTGAAGTACTGGACGCCTTAGCTGATGTTCAGAATCTTAATGATACCACTTACAATTTTGTTCAGCTTGACTCAGGGGTATTATTCCCCATGCCATTATGTAAAGGGATCACTTTGGAAGAGGCTACTATTGATCAGTTGCAAGATTACTTATCGAGAGGTATCTTGACCAGTGTTGATTTATTACAATGCTATCTTGATAGGTATTTCCAAATTAATGATTTCGTAAATGGGGTGTTGCAATTGAATCCAGATATGTTCGCAATTGCAACCCAATTAGATCAAGAAAGAAGCCAAGGCATCATTAGAAGTCCATTACATGGTATCCCTTTCTTAGTTAAAGATAATTATGCAACTAAGGATAAAATGCAGACTACATGTGGTTCTAATGCATTGTTAGGTAATGTTGTACCACGTGATGCCCATGTTGTTCATAAGTTAAGGGCCGCTGGTGCTCTCTTGTATGGCCATGCTACTCTTTCAGAATGGGCTGATATGAGATCAAATGATTACAGTGAGGGTTATTCTGCAACTGGAGGTCAAGCAAGATGTCCTTACAATTTGACTCTAAATGGAGGCGGCAGTTCAACTGGTTCAGCTGGTTCAGTGGCATCAAATTTAATTGTTTTTGCCATGGGAACTGAAACTGATGGAAGTATCATAAATCCAGCCGGAAATAATGCTCTAGTTGGACTAAAACCCACTATTGGTTTAACTTCAAGAAATGGAGTGATTCCAGAATCCGAACATCAAGACACAACTGGACCCTTAGCAAGAACAGTTAGAGATGCAACATATGTTTTGCAACAAATTTACGGAGTTGATCCCTTAGATAACTACACTTACGCTCAGATAGGTAATACCCCAGAAGACGGTGATTATGTTAAATATGTCTCAAATAAGACTGCTTTACAGGGCGCTAGGTTTGGATTACCTTGGGCTAAATTGTGGTCTTTAGCAGACCCAGAGCAAGTTGATGGATTGTTGCAGACCATTAAAGCAATTGAAGATGCTGGGGCAACCGTATACAATAACACTAATTTTCTCAATTTGGATGTAATTTCATCTGATGGATGGAATTGGGACTTTGGGGCTGTTAATGAATCGGAATATACAATTGTCAAAGTCGATTTCTATAATAATATTGCCACATATCTTTCGGAATTGGAAAATACCGACATTAGATCTTTAGAAGATTTGGTGAATTATAATTTTGCAAATGATGGTACTGAAGGGGGCAATCCCGGAGTTGTACCTGCTTTTGCCTCTGGACAAGACGGTTTATTGGCTTCATTAGAATGGGGTGGAATTATGAATGAAACCTATTATCAAGCTATTGAGTTTGTTCATAGAACTTCAAGGGAAGAAGGAATTGATTATGCTTTGAACTACACAGATCCAACTACTGGAGAAAATTTCCAATTAGATGGGCTATTAGTACCATCTGGGCACAGTATAACTTATCAACAGGCTGCTAGAGCCGCTTATCCAATGATAACAATACCCGTGAATGAAACTCTGGTTGGCTTACCTTATGGTATTGGAATTATGAATACTGCTTGGTCAGAGCCACAATTGATTAAGTATGGTTCTGCAATTGAGGATCTCATTAAGGGTAGAACCGTGCCCACTTTCAAGGACTATTTAGCAAAGAATATTCCAGTTGTTTGAATTCCAGAAATACGATTAATTATAAAAAGAACTTACTAGAAAAGAAGAATATAGACATGTATAGAACAGATAAGACTACTAAATAAGAAAATTATACTTCTACTTAAACTCTAAATGCAGTGACAGCGCCTATACACACACTACAAAGGCTTTAGTTCTCCAGGTTTCATACGTATTTCCCTATAAGTAAAATAAAGAAGCTATAAAGAATAAAAATCCACTTGCAGCTGGCCACCATTCATTACAAAAGTATTGTTTTCTTTTTCCCGATCTATTGGTGAACTGAACAAAAATCAAAGACAACTACTAATTGAAAAAATATATCTGGATATCACAAACCAGAACAACTCTTGTAAAAGACATGAAAGTGACAAATCCTTAATATTCCTTGATATAAGCTCAGCTGTAAATTCGAAAGAACCTAATTTTGTCAATTAAATTCTCTCTCTCCATCCAACCTGGATTTGTATTCTCTGGATAGCCTCCCTGCTGAAACTTCTACGCTCTATTTTGACAACTAAAGGAATATGTTCAGAAAAAAACTCCAAGACCAATTGCACAAGTTTCACAATAAAAGTTACATTGTCAATAATATCCATTAAAAATAATTATTAGTAGTCGAATCTTTTCAAATTTCGTATATACACAACCAAAAAAAAAACACATTGTAATATTTGCATCTAATCTTCACTTAACATTTCTTAATACAGCTAAACTATTGAGTACCGAAATTCATAGCATGAAGATTTCAACCTCTAAATTATAAAGCTCCAACGCTAGCAGGAAAGCCAAAAGTAAAATTTGCAACTTATCAAACAAGAATACATTCATTGAAATGTTGATAAACAAGGAGCAACATGCTCGACCTATAAATCTGCCATTAATGCCAAAGATATCATCTATCTACTTAAATAGACCATTCTTTGAAAATATACTGTCTTCTCTGATACGTCTTTAGATATAACCATCATTGTGGAGAATCAATTTGTCTCTAACTGCTTGATTTTAAATTAAATACAACTTTTTGAGTGACCTGCAATTTCTAAAGGCAATCTTTGCAGCTGCTGCAAAAAAAACACTTATATTAATCATAGTTACTATATAAAACCTATATACTTATATCATACGTAGTTGAGGTTTATTTATACCTCTCAGCATAGGCTATTCCTATGCTTGTATCGTATGATTGCTGACCAGATAGATGATCCTAAAGGTCATCCAGATGACACTAAATGTCACCTGTTTTATCTGCATCAACAATGTCACACAACCATTACATCTTATACGTGAGCTTCAACAATTATGTACTTACTTTTCCGCATTGATGAATATCTCTCCCTCCATTAAACAATCAAAAAAATCTACACCTACATATTCTCTTAGGCAAACTATTTAACTAAGCTCGCATCAATTGAACGTTCTTGCTTGACTTAACTCAGCAACTTAAATTGATAAATGGGAAAATAGACAGTTAGAAACTTTGAAATAAATTTAGGATGCACAACTTCACAACATTATTATCTTCCCCTTTTTTAATGTTTTGAAACATTTCTTCTAAATTTGTCGTGTCTCATAATTTCGTCATGAACATCTTTTTTATTAGATGTTGTGGAATCCATAATATATGTATTCTTAAAACATAAAGCTTCTATTGATCATAGTTACAGTATAAACTACCTATATCATAAGCCATTGCAGTCTATTTTTACTCCTCTCATCGTAGGTTATTCCCACGCCTACATCCTACGATTGTTGCCCACCTAGATAATCCTAATGATCCTAAAGGTCATCTATCTACGTGACATCAAATGTCCCCCCGTTCAATCTGTATCAACAATATCACAATTATCACAATCATTCCATCTTATGCCAACTTCAACAATCAGCAAGAAATTGTAAATGAAATTGAAGATGTTGCAACACATATGTAAGCTGCAATGGTTGTGACTTGTTACAAATAATTAAAACAGTAGAAATGGGTTTGTAACACTAGAGGGAGAGGGTTTACTCTAATAATGTGCTATTAGATTTGTTGTTAGTTGACATGTGTGTTGAATTCAGAGGTATATAGATATTGGTAGGGTATTAGAACTTTATATATAGTGAATATGATTAATATAAGTATTTTTTAAGAAACATCTAACTATGGAATCTATTACATTAAACAGAGAAGACATTGACGATCTCATTGTGAAATTGACGACAGAGAGGACAGTAGAATGCATAAATTCAATTAAAAGAAGTTAAAGTAATAATGTAACTAACTACATGAATATATACAGTTTGCTTAAGAAACTGTCGTTCGGTCCTCAATCTCACAATGAGATCATCAATGTCTTGTACATTAAGAGTTATAGATTCCATAGTTAATGTTTCTTAAACAAAATACTTATATTATCATAGTTACTATATAAAACCTATATAATTATCCATAGGGATATTAGAGGTCTATTTATACCTCTGAGTTCACACACATGTGTTGTAACAACAACTCTAATAACACATTATTAGAGTACCCCCTTTCTATTGTTACAACCCCTCTTTTATTGTTATAACCATTTGTAACAAGTTACAACCATTTGTAGCAAGTTACAACACTCTACCTGTCTTCACAACCATTGTAGCTTACAAACATGTTGCAACAGAAACTCACGTATGGAGCTTGTTGTAATTATAAGAAACGAGATATTGGTATTGTAGCTTAAAGACGAAAGATAACATTTGGCTATAGTGGCCGTCTTGAAACCAGTATTTGAGATATTTCTATCACTTCTTGCACAATAATGAAAGCAACAATTCAGGATACGAAACTAAATTACCTTTAAAGGGCATCCCCATTTAAGCAATTTTTTTGATAGAATATACGATGATGCATAAAATAATGATACTTAATTTCATTGAACTTTTGGATAACAAACTTGGCGGACGAATATAATAATGTTGATGTATGGTTAGAAAAAATAACTAATCCAATTAGTGAAAATGATTAAAATTGTTATAATATAATAATCAATTTCTTCAAAATTTAATTGAAAATGACGATCATCTGAAAATTCTAGTTCAAATCAAAATTTAATTCAACATATTCTTGAAAAAGAACATGCAGATTCAACCTTAAAAGCTGCAATTATTAATGATATTCAAAGTTTATTCACTAGTGGATGAATATACGATCATGCATGAACTATATTTTAAAGCATTTAAAAATGTTGCAACATGTTTGTAAGCTACAATGGTTGTGAAGACAGGTAGAGTGTTGTAACTTGCTACAAATGGTTGTAACAATAAAAGGGGGGTTGTAACAATAGAAAGGGGGTACTCTAATAATGTGTTATTAGAGTTGTTGTTACAACACATGTGTGTGAACTCAGAGGTATAAATAGACCTCTAATATCCCTATAGATAATTATATAGGTTTTATATAGTAACTATGATAATATAAGTATTTTGTTTAAGAAACATTAACTATGGAATCTTTAACTCTAAATGTACAAGACATTGATGATCTCATTGTAAGATTGAGGACCGAACGACAAGTTATGAGCCCTGCTTCTGCCAGCGTGCAAGTCAAGTTGAAAGGACTTGAAAACTTCTACACCTGGAAGAGCAGTTTCGTTGACGTCTTCAATCAACTTGGGATCTCAGGTTTCTTAATTCATGGAAATGACTTTTTTCAATTTACTGAAGAAGTTGGTCCTACGGATGTTAATAGATTGAAGAGTAGTGTTGTAGGAATGCTTAATCATGTTCTATCCTTGACCATATCTGACACCATTTGGAAGGAATACAGAGGTTATTCAGGTGATACCGCTTACCTTTCAATTTGTGAGGAGTATGGTAACATTGATTTTACAGCTGCTGCTAGACTCATTAGAAAGTACGGTTTTGGTTCTCCCACTGCTGACGATTGGGAAATGCTTGGAGAAAATGTTTTCTGCCGTTTTAATGGCCAAGAAACTAGTGGACTTATATACTTTGCAACTATTCCTGATACTAAATGGGGACAAATTGAAAGGGCTTTTCACTCCCTTAAAGAAAGAAAAATCAATGCTATTTTTGATGTTGCTACTATTCGGAAATTAGCTTTACGTATTGGTACAAATCCTCCTGATAATTTAGACTTTACCATTAACCTGGATACCGCTTTAGTTGTTAATCGTAGTAAAAAGGTTATTTGCTATCATTGTAAGAAGGAAGGCCATAAGAAGAATAAGTGTCCAGAACTCAAAAATGAACAATCCAGAAATGAATCGACCAATGGTACAAACACGAGCAAGTCTACATCAAGAAGTAGTTTCTACGTTGGTGATCTGGCTTTTCAAGTTTCTGAAAAACCCAGAAATGCTGTTTTTCATTTTGATTCTGGTGCTTCAAGCCATATTGTTAAGGATATTAGATTATTTTCTGAAATTGACACTAATTTTAAGCATAATGTTGATTGTGCTAATGGATCAACCATGCAAGTTGAAGGTATTGGTAAAGTAAGTCTTCCAGATTTTGATCTTACTAACGTCTACTATATTCCCAAATCGGCGGTTAATCTCATTAGCATCCCTGCAGCAGCCCGTAGGGGTGCTACCTTCGTCTTTGACTCAACTGGAGTCTATGCAGGTTTTGCATCTATTGATCTTGCTGCGAATAAATTATCGCACCATGGTAGTTTACGGGCAAATTTGTATACTATTGAAATTGATACTATGAAAAATGAGGGGGTTGGAAATGCATTTATTGGTAATGTTGCTAGAACTCCTCAGGAAATTTTACACAAGAGACTTGGTCACCCAGGTCGTGGTATTCAGGATAATTTTAGAAAACTCGGAATTCAGTGTCACCTGAAGAATTGCCGTAGTTGTATGAAGTCAAAGATGACTTTCAAATTTCCAAAGTATTCCACTCGGAGAGCTACAACACTTGGAGGAATCCTTCATATGGATGTCTGTGGTCCATTTCCACCAGCCTATAATGGTTGCAAATACTTTCTCACTATTGTTGATGATAAA